TTTCTAGAAAACTTCTATAGAGCTAGCTCTTCTAGGTATAGCGTAATAAGAGATAGAAGTTAGAAGAATTTCTTCTTTAGAGTTTACTCTTCTAACTATATATATATTAGTTAATCTAGCTATATAAACTTATTATTTAATATATTATAGTTAGTTTTAACTATATAGAGCTTATTAACTAATAATATAGTAGCTTTAAGTAGTTATTTAAAAGTAAAGTCTTTTTAGTAGTATAGTATAGAAAAATAGAAAGATACTAAAACTATTTTAAAATTATTACTTCTAAATATATAGAAGACTTATAGTATATATAATCTTATAATATATAACTTTATATAGCTAGATTATTTATATATATCTATAGTTAGAGAAGAAAACTCTAGAAAGACTTTTTTTAAACTTCTACCTCTTATTACGCTATCTCTAGAAGAGCTAGCACTATAGAAGTTTTCTAGAAATCTTTATTAGATTATAGATACTATATACTATAAGTTTTATAGATTATTATAGTAATATAATAGTACTTACTAGAAGTAAACTAGATTTTTTCTAAAAGTTAGTTAAATACGTATAGCTTTTTAATTACGTAATATATCTTAGTATAATTTCTATAGTAGGTATATATAGTATAGTTCTATCTATATTTAAAATTTTATAGAAAAATATTAAGGTTTCGCTTAGTTATTTAAGTAAAATCTATTAATTTTCGTTAATTTTCCTTGCTAAGAAATCGTAAGGCGTTCGGTAGTATAGAGCTTTTAGTAGTAAAGTACGTTATATTCTAAAATTATTAGTACGTTATAAAAGTTTTTATATTACTTTTTTATAGATCTAGATACTTAATATATAGAAAACTATAATTTATAACTTATAGATTATTAATATATTACTTTCTATAACGTACTTTACTATTAAACTACCTATACTATTAAACTGCCTACAATTTCTTAGCAACAAAAATTAACGAAAATTAACTCGTTTTTCTTAAATAACTAAGCGAAACCTTAATATTTTTCTATAAAAATTTATGTATATATTCTTTATAGTATATTATACCTTATACTAAAGTTACACTAGAATATATTACGTAATTAAAAAGCTATACGTATTTAACTAACTTTTAAAAAAAAATCTACTTTACTTCTAGTAAGTACTCTTATATCTCTATAATAATCTATAAAACTTATAGTATATAGTATCTATAATCTAGTAAAGATTTCTAGAAAACTTCTATAGTGCTAGCTCTTCTAGAGATAGCGTAATAAGAGGTAGAAGTTTAAAAAAAGTCTTTCTAGAGTTTTCTTCTCTAACTATAGATATATATAAATAATCTAGCTATATAAAGTTATATATTATAAGATTATATATACTATAAGTCTTCTATATATTTAGAAGTAATAATTTTAAAATAGTTTTAGTATCTTTCTATTTTTCTATACTATACTACTAAAAAGACTTTACTTTTAAATAACTACTTAAAGCTACTATATTATTAGTTAATAAGCTCTATATAGTTAAAACTAACTATAATATATTAAATAATAAGTTTATATAGCTAGATTAACTAATATATATATAGTTAGAAGAGTAAACTCTAAAGAAGAAATTCTTCTAACTTCTATCTCTTATTACGCTATACCTAGAAGAGCTAGCTCTATAGAAGTTTTCTAGAAATCTTTATTAGGTTATAAATACTATATACTATAAGTTTTATAGATTATTATAGAGATATAATAGTACTTACTAGAAGTAAAGTAGATTTTTTTTTAAAAGTTAGTTAAATACGTATAGCTTTTTAATTACGTAATATGTTCTAGTGTAACTTTAGCATAAGGTATAATATACTATAAAGAATATATATATAAATTTTTATAGAAAAATATTAAGGTTTTGCTTAGTTATTTAAGAAAAACGAGTTAATTTTCGTTAATATTCTTGCTAAGAAATTTGTAAGCTATTTACTTATATAGGCTATTTACTTATAAAGTACGTTACGTAAAAAGCTACGTAAAATATAAGTAGAAACTTAATTTTTATAATATAGTTAATATAGCTATATATTAGATTCTTAACTTAGTACTTATATACTATCTTTAATAGTAAGAAGTAGCTAATATTAAGTAGCTATAGAAGATATAATAAATATACTAGTATATAAAAAGCTATAATTTTATTCTTCTTATAGTACTACTAGAATTTAATAAAGCTATAGCTTTTATAGCTATCTAAAATTAGTAAATAATATATATCTATAATATTTAGTATATATATTAAAGTACTTTAACTATATAATACTAACTTTATTTATTATTTAGCTACTTTTAGAAATAGCTATAACCTAGTTATATAGTAGCTAGCTATCTTTATACTATACTAAAAGATAGTTCTTATCTATAATAATAAGAAATAGTAGAATCTATATATTATCTACTACTCTTACTATTATAATTACTAAAATCTACTTATAATTATCTTTTAGAGCTAGTAACTACTATCTAAGATAATATTATTTCTATTATAAAGCTAGATTTATTAAAATTATATGTATTTTTATTAGTAATACTATACTTTATCTTTATATTATCTACTAGGTTAAACTATATTTAAATAATTATAGAATTTTCTTACTTTACTTTCTAATAGTTATACTTATAATTAAGCTATATTTTAAGCTTAGAATAGCGTATAATAAAGTAGTTTAGCTAGTTCTTATCTATAATCTTTCTCTCTTACTTAGTAAGTAGCTTATTAGCTATATCTTAAATAGTAGTAAGCTAGAGAGTAAATTCTTACGCGTCTAGGTCTAGTATATACTTAACTATTATCTACTCTTTATTTATAGTAAGCTTTATTTAATTAGATATCTTTTTATATTATAAAGTAACTCTAGTATATTAACTATAGACTTTCTTCTATAGTATATTATAGAGAGCTATAGTATATTATAAGCTTAGCTTAGAGTTCTATTAAATAGTCTAAAGTGTAAGCTATATCTAGAATTTATCTAAAGTTAATTAGATATTTATAGAGAGCTTTATAATAAAGATAGTAGTATTTAGTAAGAGCTTAGTATTTTTAGAGAGTTTAATAGTATAGAGCTTTTAATAGTAAAGTATATTAAGTAATCTAGGTTAAATTAAAGCTATACTAAGATAGAGAGTAGGTAGGTATCTAGAGCGAGCTAGCTTATATAGAGAGAAGACGCACCGCTTAGTAAGAGAGCTTAGTAAGCGAGTAAAAGTTGCCCGAAAAGGTGAGAGAAAAGAAAAGGCAGGTAACGCCGTTACACGCCGCTAAGTATATGCGACTTAGGCTACTCTACCGCTAACATAACGGCGATAACAACTTTAACGCTTAACGCGAGGCGATTGTACGAATAAAGCGCTTTTAAATAAGCTATTAATTGTAATTATTGCCTATATATTGGTGGAGTTACGGGGGGGGTGCCAAAGTGTACTATTTTTGGTGTTCATGCACGTGACTGAAAAACTTCTGGCCACCCTATGGTACGAGTGCCTTAAACGGCCTCCGACCAATGCAGGAGCCCCAACGTCCGATGGCACTTCCCGGCTTGGCGTTCTCGTTGGTGCCTGTTCAACCGACCCACCAGTTGCCGACCCTTCTCTTAAACACTCGAGAAAGCACGGCGAACACGGGCGAAGAACGGTACGAAGGGCTGTTCTTGTTGAGAAGCGCAAACATTGACGGCATCAATATAACAGCATAGTGATCGCATACAACCATGTGGGAAGCGCCTCGGATCTCGGACAGCGACTGAATCTCGAATCCTCAGCAAGTCGGGAATCGAGCTGGAAGAAAACGCACTCTATATTCCGAGGACGCTCCCTCAAACGAACGATGAAGCGTCACGAACCCAAGACCTCCAAGCGAAGCTGCGAAACCAAAGCGATCCTCGAAGCGAACCCGAAAGCTCCGCGACCGAGTCGAACCGCCGAAGAAGTATACACAACCATAACGGTGCGTTCGGCTGATCCGCCTTCTCGGACACTCAGCTCGACAAGCTTCGGCCCGTTCGAGGGCGAAACAGGACGGCCTGCGGCAAATGTGGGTAGGTAAAGTGTTAGGTTGTGGTATCGTTGTCGTGGACGGATCCGGAGGAGGTGCCGTACATAGGTAGCTAGAAGGCGATTCGGAGACGGGATTAGTTGGCTTTTTCATGGAGCTGTGTGGTGGACTTTTCGGATGATATGGCATAAGAGAAAGCAGGTAGCAGATGTGCCTGATCTAGCTACCGTGGGCCCTGTTCTGGGTTCCCGATGCGGTCCCGTTCTGGTCCCTGGATCTCACTACTTATTTCGAGACGCGGGCTTGGATCTAGCCGGCTATGGGAAACACTTTGGGAGCTCGCCCTACCATGCTAGCAAGCTACGCGCTTTTTGGAAGGGTCAACACCTCTTTCTCTTCCCTCATCATCCGCACCGCGAGAAATACCCCGTCTCCATTGTTATGTCTTGCCACTGCAGCAGGTATTCGTGAATGGCTTGTTGACGAACCATTCTTCCAGACTGGACATCGCGAACTTCGTCCGTTTTTTTGGGGGGGGGGGGCAAGCTGTCACGTTCATTGCACGTCTATCATCGGTTCCGACTTCCGACTTTCATCTATGCAATACCCGATCGAACTGTGTGGTCTACAGATGCTGGACGCCAAGCATCACGATGTCACTGTTGCACTCGGACTGAACCGCCACGCCGACATGGGATCAATATGACTGCACCTTCCTCCTTTGGGAAGCATTGGAGCGCGAAGGCTCGGAAGATGCTAGACGAGCCGTCTGATTGGGGTCCTAAGGATGGAAAGCGCAATGCAAGGAGGACAGGGTTGCTGATACAATTGAAGCTTATGTGCGATGCGGATACCGGCGTTCTCACGTATGTGTGGGTCAAAGGGCATTCAAAGCCATTTCCAGATTTCCGAGTGTGAGTGCGCTGAGGGTCTGGCGACTTAGATTTTGCTGACACATTATCAGGCAGCACAAGTGTCGGAATTTCGATGCTGTCCTTCAGTGGGTGAAGGATCACCAAACATATCAATCAGGATCCACTGGGATAAAGCGAGTCCAGGGTGCTAAAGAGATGGAACATCCACCCGAGCGTTGGGATGGATAACGGCCACGGGCGAAGCCGCTGCCGAGGGGAAGCTTCGTCCTAAGCTACAAGGTTAGGCAACTTACAAGGGAAGCAATACCATGTTGAATGAGAAATGAATGCCTTCCGCATCTTGGTTATCTGGATCAGCCAAGCAAGCCTCGCGATGTATCTTTTGCTCCCAGTCCCAGCCGATGATCCGCAGCAGTCGATAACATGGCAATCACCCGAAATTGCATACAGTACCCCATACGTGATTTAGTGAACAAGAATCGGATTAGTTTCAAAAATCGATCAACGTAAGGCGGGGCGCTAATTCTTCGAGCCGATCCAAGTAGTGCGTCCTCTTCCACGTCCGTTGCTCGTTCTGCCGTATGCGGTAGTCGGAGATAATCTTGGGATTTAGTGAATCTAAATCGAAGGCTAACGCCGGGTCGGCTCACTCCGCTGGCGGGACGATCGTGAACTAATTCCGGGCATAAACTCTTTCATGCGCACCTCGGGAATATCGTACAAACATGCCGGCATGTTCGACTCATCTTTACAATTGACCAATCTGAAGACCGGGGATAAACATGTGGCAGCCAAAGAAAACGGACAAAGGGAAAGTGAAAAAGGAATCAGAACTCTTGAAACGGGATCCATGTTTACACAATATCGCACATTCGTTATTGGTAAAACCGCGAGACTGCCAAAGAAGTAATGTGCTTGAGAGTATAAGTTGAAGAACTGCCTACGTGAAAGGAATTAGAAAAGCATTAGTCTAGCCATCCCCCAACGTGCGCCGTAGCATCAGAACCTCGTGCTTGGTGACGAAGACGCTGTTTAGAGTAGTGGCGGCGTCGGCGCTGTCCCCGAGCCCCAGATTGTCCAGCGCATCCACCAAGTCTCGCACCTTGGCGCCCTCCCAATTGCCAGCATCGGTAGTCCAGAATACTCGCTTGATGCCGACCGAGTTCATGTATGAAATGCAGCGATAACAGGGCCGTGATGCCAGGGCCGTGGGTGGCCTCTCTTTGGCAACGGTTGCTAGAGTGGCTGCTGATGATGGAGGCGGATGAGGATTGACGAGCTCATCATGCAAAGAGCCAGTCAACGGCTTTGGCTCAATGGGCGCTATGTCCGGAATATCAGCTCCGCAGCAGGAGTGTGCGTTATCCGAGGCAGACGTGGACCTGTAACCGAGCCGAGCGACATACAGATCCGCGCCGTTGAGTCGTGGATGCTTCATTCGCTCTGCGACGCTGCGGGACTTCTGACCTGTTTGTCCTTTCGGTATCAGCATGGGCTGCGTCTTGGCTGGAGGAACCGGTGCGTTCCTCTTGTGCTTCTGCTCCGGTTAGCAAAGGTATAAAGGAGTCGTCAGACCGCATACCTTGTTATACGACGTGCAAATGGATGGCTTGTTCGAGCGCGTCTCCTGGATTTTGGGGCTGGAGCTGGACTCTGAAAGATACTCGCTGCTCGACGAATCAGGACTCATGTTGGAATGGCAAGGCGCCACGATCGTCTCCGGCGCCGACAGCTTATGCGCATACTGTCGGCGCTTGTGTTGTTGACCATTGTACTTTTTGCCGTTGTACTTGGGGCCGTGGTACTGATTGCCGTTGTTGCTGTGGTACTGATACTTCTGATTCTTGGAACGGTGTTTCTCTGGACTGCTCTCCGTGGATGAAGGCGCATACTCCTCGTCCTCCTGAGGTTGAAACGCGAGATCCAGTTTGGGCCGGTTGAGATGCACAGCCTTCAAAACGCCACTGTTGAACCTGATGATTGCCGGTGCGCTGCTCGGCGGCCGACTGGGCGAGCGCAGCCTTGCAGACCGTCTCGACGTAGGCTTTGATGCCCTCGCGTTGTAGTCGAGCTTTTCGTTTAGAACTACCTGATAGTTTGAAGCACGGTTTTTGAGAAGACACGGCACTGGAGGCCAGGGTGCTGGAGGCGGAGAGGGCTGAGTGGATCGCCATCATCTCCGAGTGCATCGAGAGCGGAACGTTGGCATGCTTGCCGCCGCCGTTCATGTTCTCGAATGGGGTGAACGTCTTGGCTGTATCCTCCTCTGGAACCTTTAACTCTCGCTTTAACTTATGCTTCTTCTTCAGATCGGCAACGGCAGGGGCATCGACAGAGCGAGCAGAGAGGCGGCCCGTCTTCAAGGCGCCACCGTTGAAGCCGGAGCGGCAGTCATTGTAGCCTTGGCCGATGACCTTACCGCCGCGAACAATGATACATCCATGACGATAGCGAAGAGGAGAGTTGGCAGCCTGCTCGAGGCAGAGAGTCAGATAGTTGTCAGTCTTCATTTCGATGATTGTTGGGTTGCTGTCGTGGAGCTGATTGTGAAGTTGATCCGCGAATGCGAGGAGTCGTAGGGCGTCGAGTCTGGGTGAGTCTTTGTAGCTTTAAGGAGCTGTAAACGGGTTTATATGCAGGCCTGCGGAGTGCACGAAGAGAGAAGGGCTGAGTGCGCGATGAGTGTTGACGTTGAGTCAACCGAAGCTAATACACTTTCGGATAGCGGCTTGGCATTGGGAGATCACAGGTCCTCCCTTCACCTGGCCTGCATACCTCTTCACGCACACCACCCCTTCAGCACGATTCGCATACACTCGATCCAGAGTGCTTGTGAAGATTGCGATTCTCAAACCCGGGTCCTTTTGCTGTCATTTTGTCCAGAAGCGGGTTTATAATTGGCTATGGACAGTGCTCTCCACGTTTTCTCGCCGGCATGCGATATCTACAGTAAACAATGTACAGTACACGATTCTACTCGGCCCACACGACCGCGCTCACGCCGTCCTCGTTCTCGGGCGTCCCTACCGTGCTGATCCGCAGATTCGCAGCCTGCCCTGTCAGCTTGCCAGTCGCCGGGTCCCTCTTCACGATGGCCACGTTGGCCGTAGTCTGGTCGCCGATCGCGATGTAGTCGCCCGCCTTGTTGATATCAAAGGTCCGCGGATACGTACCGTATGAGGAGGTCGTCTCGGTCCAAGTGAGGGAGCCGGCGGAAGAGATTGTATACTGCGTGATGGAGTCATTGGGGCTGAACTTCTTGTCGTTGCGGTTCGTCGAATACAGGAAGTTGTCCTTGACGTGTATCTCGCCGACCTTGGTGCCGGCAGGAGCAGAAGCATTGCCCTGATATGGCGTCAGACTTTGCTTAAGGGCCAGGCTCAGGCATCCCGATCCAGATGGATACGTCACGCTCCATGCCGACACCGAATTTCCCAGCTCGTTCGCGATGAAGAGCATAGTTCCCTCCGCCGCGCGCCGGATCCGAGAGCTCGCCGTAGCCGGGGACCAGAATGTACCGTGTCGCGGACCGGTACCCGGGGGAGGCTGTGCAGCAGGGCATTCGGTGAGCTTGCCGGACGTCTTCTCGATCGAGTAGATGCGAATCATATCAGCACCAAGATCAGGAACCAGCAAGAAGTCTCCGGTCGGATCGGTGAACGCATGGTGCGGGTGTGGCGCATCCTGACGGGCGGGATTAGGGCCTTTTCCGTTCATGGTATACTTCAGCGTCTGGAGCGGCTGGCCGTTGTCCAAGGGCAGCTTGAATGTCGTCAGTTGAGACGATTGGCTATACACAGGTCAGCTCTGAGGCTCAGTTCCGCTAGGGCAACATACTAGTGGGCATTCGCGATGAAGCCCTTCCCATCCGCACCACCGTACAGACACGTCGCCACCACTCCCTGGGGCGTCGTCGCTTTCCCGGTCGCGGTTAGGGCACCATTGGCGCCTATGGAGAACGAGACGAGCGTTCCCGCTTGTCCATAGAAGTTCTCATCCGGAATGTAGAGAGCCTTGCCTGGCCCATCGTACGTTATCCAGCTGGGCAGCGTGTTACCCGTCCTCGTCGAAGTCGTTAGCGATAGCGAGCTGCCATCGAACGTCAAATAATTGACCGTTCCACTGTAATGCGTTGCATACAGGTTTGCAGCGCTTGCGAGGCCTCCAAAGAGCGAGACGAGGAAAGATTGCGCAGGCAACATGGTGGACGATGGAAAGACGCGGCAACCACAACCTCCAGATGGGCAAACTCGCTCAGTTTGTACCCACTGTTTCTTGTTCGTTCATCCCCGCAATTCTGCCATTGTCCTCGTGCGCACATTGAGGTCACCATGGTGAAACACCGTTAAAGTGCCGTGCACTAAAACATGGCACCCGGATCCTCCACCGGCGTGGTAGATGGTGGCTTAATTGCTCGGTACGTATATCTTACTATCCCGGTTAAGTTCCACAGCTCCGGAGAGATTAATTACAATCTGCACGCTGCTGTTTCGAGTTTAAATCCTTTTTTTCTTGCTCCCACCGGCTCTATTCATCAATTCCGTCATCCTGGCTTAGCTCGTGGGAATGGTAACATCCCTCCGCCTTGCTCCATCTATCGGATCTCCAATGATCTCTTGGTATGCTTGGCTTTTGCATGTCCCCGGAAATGAACCACTTCCCGATGTACTGTGCCGCAGTACTGCGTTGGGGGGAGCATATTCTATGGTTTGAGTCTGGCCGGCGTTCCCGAAGCATGGGCAACCAATTGCCGTGTAGCTACATATGGTTGCGGATGCGAAAGCCGTCACGACGCTCCCGTCACCACCTTCCGATGTCAGCCCGCAGCGTCCTGGAACTATGGAATCCTGTCAAATGGTTTTAGTTTGGCCAAAGCAGGCTAACACCATACGCTTTCGTACGGTTTTCATATAGAAACCATATACCCAGCTTTACGGAGTACACCGCGCCGCGTTATCTTGCCTTATCTCATATCTCTGTGCTCGCTTTCGAACCCCAGTGGTGTGTTGATTATTTTGCCCAATTTCAGGAAAAGCCAAGGGTGGTCAAGCCCTACATATAGGCCCAGGAAGCTTATTTTACATGTCCAGTATTGCAGATCATCCCTCGAGTTACACTCGCCTGCCGATCTATCCAATGGGAATAACATTCTTCTTGGCCTCTTTGGCCTTCCTTCTTCCATCTATCACGAATGCGACACCACTTGAGAAGAGAGCGACGCTCGACGACTGCCTTTCAAAGGGGTCTGTCCCAACATTAGCTGCTGGATCCGCAGACTACACACAGTCGCTCAAGTCGTTCAATAACAGAGTCACTTTTAAGCCAGCTGCATATGCGGTTCCGACGACTGTGAAGCATATACAGGATGCCGTGGCTTGTGGAGCGTCCAACAAGGTGCAGGTCACGGCCAAGTCAGGAGGCCACAGCTACGCTTCGCATGGCTTGGGTGGAGAGGATGGCCATCTGATCGTTGATATGCGGAACTTTGCCAATGTCACTGTCGACCAAACCGCCCAAACTGCTGTAATTGGCACTGGTGGGAGACTTGGAGACGTAGCTACAGCTCTCTACAAACAAGGCAAACAAGCCATCAGCCACGGAACATGCCCAGGGTGAATACACCTTCCCGGCCGCCCTATTCATGTCAGCCTCTCTAACATCTTCTAGCGTCGGTGTCGGAGGTCTCTCTCTACATGGTGGCTACGGCCTCATATCCCGCCTCAAAGGCCTCACCCTCGACAACATCCTCGAAATAGAAGTCGTTCTCGCGAACAGCACCGTCGTCACTGCCTCCGAGACGCAGAACCCAGATCTCTTCTGGGCACTCCGCGGCGCCGGCGCTGCCTTCGGCATCGTCACAAGCTTCAAATTCAAGACCTTCACCGCCCCCGAGAGCAACATCGTCTTCCAGTACATGGCATCGCCCTCGTCCGCCTCGCAGCTCAGCACCATGCTCAGCGCGCTGCAAAACTTCACGCGCAACACTCAGCCGCCGGAACTAAACATGCGCCTCTTCCTCTCAGCATTCACCACATTCTCCGGCGTATACTACGGCAACCGCACCGACTTCGACAAGCTGATGACTCCCCTGCTCACGAGCATGGGCATCAGCACGGGCGGCTTCTCCTCCGTGACCACCAACGCGTGGCTCGACACGCTAACCTCCTTCTCCAACGGCCCGCTCGAGCAAACCAAGCCCTACGACACGCACGAAACCTTCTTCGCCAAGTCGCTGATGCCCGAATGGCTGTCCCCCGACGCCCTCACCGCCCTCGCCAAGTACTGGGACGCCGACGCCCGCGCGAACAGCCGCGCCTGGTACCTCCTGTTCGACTGCCACGGCGGCAAAGCGTCCGCGATCAGCAACGTCGCGGCCGACGCGACCGCGTACGCGCACCGCAATGCGACGTTCAAGATGCAGTTCTACGACCGCGTGTACAGCGGGGAGTACGATGCAGCGTGGTTCGGCTTTTTGAACGGGTGGGTCAAGGCTATTAATGATGCCAGTCCGGGGGTGGACTTTGGCATGTATATCAACTATGCGGATACGAATCTGACGAGGGCGGAGGCGCATGAGCATTATTGGTTGGGGCATTATGAGAGGTTGAGTGGGCTGAAGCAGGTTTGGGATCCTGGGCATGTGTTTGAGGGGCCGCAGCTTGTGGGGAGTTAGGTGGGGATGGGGTGGTTTTGGGAGGAGGAGCATATATTTGTATGTGGATTTTAGATGCACGAATGCAATATCTGATTTATCGAGCCTGGCAATGTGGGACATGTTCGGATGCGAAAAGGACAAAGGAAAAGAGGACTAGAGCCACTTCATTATCGCCATCGACCCTCAGTGGGCTCTCCTCCCAGAGCTTATGGAGTCCCCCCGCCCTGTGTGTGGGGGTTTGTGAGAGGACTAGAGAGTAGAAATATATCATATTTCGATTTCTAATGGAGGGGAAGGTAAGAGAAGACCTTAGTATATGCGCGGGGGGATAGGACTATATAGACCATGCGGGTAGATATGCTTCGAGAGAATACACTGAAGCAATAGCAGGTACCGGGGTGGAACTCATCCCAGCGACAGCCGTTGTGTGACTTTAAGTATGGCAGCGGTATTAGCCCCACACTAGTGCTGTACTGTGCTATGAACGACTTCGCGCAGTCACGGTTACACGGAGCGAAAGGTTAGCATATTTGGATGACTTCGATAGGAAGCAGCAAATAATGAAATTCCATGAGACGATCAATTACTACATGCTACACCAGTAGCACCTTGAATTCCCCAGAAAGATATGGTATGGTATGGTATAAAAGAGGGATTAAAAGACAGTCATGAAGAGTGGTATCATACCAAGCAAAAGAAATCCCTCCATCCATCCCAAGTAGAAAGCGCCGATCGTAATCGTCGCTGGAAACCAAAGTCCATCATCACCCTACAATATATACAACGCGCGCCCCTACCCCGTAATCAGTCCCCACCGTCTACAACTTGCTGAAATTCCTCGTGATCATTACGATGACGCCAGCCACGACTTTGATCGCAATCCTCAGCACGAATACCATCGCTTTAAACGCAAACGTTAGCACCGAAATAATCGTCCTCGTCACCACCGGCAGCTTCTCTTCCTCCTCCTCTTTCCGCTTTGCCTTCTTTGCCGCTTTCGCACTGGCCTTCGTCTTCCCCTGTCCATACCACTCACCCAACTCGATATCCTTGTCGAACGAGCCGCTCTTCGAAGACGAGACTGTGGGAGTCTTATTCAGCGAGGATTTTCTCAGGCTGGATGTCGGATTCTTCGTTTTGCCGCCCCAGGAATTGAATCCTTCGCGGAAAGCTTCCTTGAATGGCTTAAGGTCTGATTCCGGCTTTGGGCCTAGCAGAATACTGGGGGGCGGAGGCTCGAAGTTCTCGCGAATGGACTTTGCTCTGTGTCTTCCGCGGACTGCTTCTGCGACTGCGACGGCGAGGAGGGCGGAGGCAGCGACGTCGACGAGGAAGGGGTTGCCGAAACGAGTCAAGGCGCCGAGGTTGAGGATGAGTGCATCGTTGTTAAAGTCGAGCCGGGCGAGCATGGCGTCGTCTTGGGCTGCGTCGGTCGTGGTGGGGAGCTGGCCGACGGACATTTCGGAGGGCGTGATGGATATGGGTCGGGTTTCCGAGTTGAGGCTGTCTATCCGGGGCGGTGGGTGGAGAGGGGAGAATGCGTTTGCTCGTGGCGAGGAAGGAGAGAGGATGTATGGGTTGAGGAGGGTTATTGAGGCGGGCTTTTGGCGGGGTAGTTGTGCAGTTGGGGGCATGTTATGGCCGTAGATAGCGGTCACGGGGCGTGTTGAAGGCGTGTTGATGACCGAGCAGTCGCCTTCGAGTTGGATGGGGAATGATCCGAGGGTGGGATGGTGGAGATGATATGTGCCTGCGGATGGCATGTGCTGAGCCCAGGGATTCGTTTGCTGCTCTGTAGAGTCGCGGGTCCAGGATAGTGCACAGCATTCGCGCTGCGCTGCACCGGCCAGCACATCCTCAGCCAGGCGTTGAGCGGCGGGGGATGTGGCACCAGGATCTGCGAGTGCTATGTGGGTTGCAGCGGGCGAGTTGGCCGCAGCATCAAGTGCGGCCAGCGCGGCGAGCTTAGGGAAGATGCTGGTTAGGAGAGTCACTGGCTCCTGCTGATGAGGATCGAAGAGGCTGTTGTCCATTGACGGCGGTGCGATGAGGTCGAGGTGGGAAACAGGGAGGACGCGTGGTTGGGTAGGATGGTGGCGTTGGATTAATAGCTCGTTCATGATACTCGGTATCTCATGCTCCCCGGCCAAATTAGACTGCGCCAGACTGTAGAATGGAAGAGACGGGGTTGTGCCGAAAGTTACTGTTGGGTTTGCTGCCGTTGCCCGATGCATTCGTAGAGCGTATAGTTGTACAGCCGGTTCTTCCTGGCCGTTGGTGGCTACCCAAAGATTATCGAGCAGATGTGAGGGCGTGAAGAATGGCTTGGGTGGTGGGCTCGTGCTACCGTCTCCTGTGACGTTACTGTGTGGAACATAGAACTCGGGAGAGTACGGTGACCGGCTGACTTTTGATGCTGGGATGTGTGTAGGTGATGCTTGCGTAGGCTTGTATGCTTGTTGGGCGAGAGGCTTCGTCGGGTCGAAGACCGGGAACATTGACCGCATGGGTACTTCTTGTCGCGGCGATACACTCCGGACCTGCGTTGCCGTGCTATTCGCTCGCACTAGGGTATCACTCGTGGAGAATGCGGGAGATGTGGTTCGGTTCGGGTCCGGACTGGAATTGGGCGACCTTCTGTAGGCTTGGCCATCTTGGACTGTGAGGGATGGTGATGCAGCGCGAGGATCCTGCACCCTAGGAGGAGCCCTTCGACGCTGGGTCGGGGACGGCTCTCTTGGGCGTGGTGGTGATTCGAAGGTTGCTCTGCTCTCTGACGGAGGTGTCCGCGCGGCTGAAGAATTAGGTATATGCACCCGCGGAGGCGGCGGTGGTACCGCGGGTGGAGGGGCTATTGAGCTCGAGGGCGATACCGGAACTGAGTTGACTTGGATAATGAGTTCGTGGAAGTCGGTTGGCGGCTTTGTGCTCTTTGCATTCTCCATCTTTTCTGCCACAGGAACCGGCTCTGGGGTCGGCGTCTTTATTCGGAGCCTTCGGTTCGGACTCGTCTGCCTCGGAGGGCGAGATGGAGGGGGAAATAACTGAAGTGCTGGACCAGCCATGTTGAGCCTTCTCTTGAATTAAGCTGAAATGCTAAAAATACAGAACTGAATCGCACCCAAAGACACCGAAGAGGGACCAACAACCTCAATGCAGAGATCACAAAGTTTCGACCATGGTAGAGGAAAGTATCGTGCCGGGTAGTGTGGGGTCAAGGAGTTTAAGATGGTCGTGCTCACGTCCATGCCCAAGCCTGTGGGTAAGTCTTGAGTATGCAGCAAAGCAATAGCGGCTCCTCATTGTTTCCCATGCAGAAGAGTGCTCCTTGGGGCGTCCTGGCGTAGTCAGTAATCCAATCAAGGCGCACGTAATCCTCGGCGCTTCCATCAGATGAGCGGCGGCGGTTATAATTTTGGTGGTTGGCTGTCGTCGCTGTAAGCGCCCAAGGCTCGCCGCTCGCTACACCGCCAACCGCGTCCGCGCAGACCCTGCGTCCCGCAGTGATTCGTCAGACGCCGTGTGCTGGCCCTGCGCACAGGGCACCAATGTATGTGATGGACTGACCAGCGGCCCGCTGCGATTATCTCGGAGATCTATTTTGAGCGCTAACGTCCACTCGGCGGTCTGCCAGCGAAGCTCTCGCCTACTCGTCCCTCTGGAGCGAAGAGCGGAGAACCCATGTCGCGATCCTCTTTCGGTGCGGACAGTGGAAAGACGTTGGAAGTGTATCACAGTAATCCGGCAGCTGTTGTTTCCGTATGCAAGACATCTATCGCACGCTATTTCCAGATCACCCTGGAGCAGACGAGAGCAAGCAGCCTGGAAAAGTCGCAGCAGTATTCGATCGACGCGATAATTTTCTCGAACGGCCCGTCGGGGCTTGAAGCAACGAAGCCACGAGAAGGGTGAGCGGCTCTAGGGGTTTCTGAGGGGTGAGTGTAGCCGCCGGGACGATGAGCGATGCCAGAAGCAGCTTAGCGTGCAGTTTGCAAAACACAGGCCAACAGCCATCGGAAGGAAGGGCATCGTTGAAGAACTCTCGGCATGCATTCCTCTCGGCACCTTGGGCGTTAGCGTCAATATTCAGGCGATTCCAAAGCCGCCATATCGAGGTGTTCTTGGCTTCGGATAGGGTCCTTGGGTAGGTCAGCGAACATACGATCATGTCTTCTACTTTTCCTTGGCTCTACAGTTTGCTGTCAGCATTTCAAGGGTTCGTACATCTAGAACTCGGGAGACATGAGGCAAAGACATTAGGAACAAGTCAGCACACGGATCGCTGGCTTCGTGCTCATGAGACTTGCGACCTCGGAAGCCCTTGGAGATTTGAAGGGAACAGATGGCGCTAGACCGAATAAGGCATATCGATAACCTTAATTTTCCAGGGACCAAGAAAAGTTCGTCATCGCTCGTCGCAGAACATCCGCAACCTTCACGATGCCCACTGAGCTAGAAGAGGTAGGCCATCTTCTCCGAAGCTCGGGGACCTGCTTTCTAACACCTCTTCCATAGCTAGTCGAGTTTCTACACCATGGAAACACGCAAATACGGCAAGTGGGTAAGAAACGGCCCCTCCACCCCGCGATGAACCTCTAATTGACACGACACAGCTGCGGACCACCTCGTCGGCTACTCGCAGTCGCACACGACTCTATTCAAGCGCAACCAGCTTGCGCCTGTCAAGGACCTAAAGCTCCTCGTCAAGGACTACGCGCCGATCGCGAAGAACGCCCTCACGATCCTCATCAACATCTCGCACGACGGCGAGGTGCAAAAGGCCCTTGCGGAGGACGACGCCTTCCTCGAGACGCTTCTGTCGCGGATAACCGTATGCCAGTTCCCCAGAACGCGTCACAGGGCTGGATGGAAGCTTACACCTGGCGCAGAGCAAGAAGGAGCAGAATGCGAACGAGATGGCAATGCTCCTCGCCAACATGGCGAAGGATGACTCCCTCCAACGGGTACTGGAGCTAAAACGAGACATACCAAAGGAGCTCTCCAAGTCAAAGTGGGCTATGGATCAGCTGCTAGACTGCTTCGTCAAGGGGGCGGGAGGAGGCTACAACAAGGACGCCGACTACGACTACCTGTCGTACTTCTTCGCTGATCTGGCCAAGGTTCGCATACACAGATATGCCCGACATGGGAAGAGTGCTGATCAAAGTGCAGTTCCCAAAAGGCCGCAAATACCTAACCACCCCGCAATCCCACGATGACGACGTCATTCCCTTAACGAAACTCCAAGTCTTCACCTCCCACCCCTCGCACGTCCGCCGCCTCGGTGTAGCCTCAGCGATCAAGAACGCCGCCTTCCTCGTCTCCTCGCACCGCGCCCTGCTCTCGAACCTCTCGCCCGACCCGAACCTGCCTCCACCGCATATTGGCGCGAATCTCCTGCCCTACATCCTCCTCCCGCTCATGGGCCCGGAAGAGTACTCGGACGAAGATACAGAAGGCATGCTTGACGAACTGCAATTGCTGGAGCCGGATAAGGAACGGGAGAAGGATGCGGAGATTATCAAGACGCATTTGGAGACTCTGCTACTCCTGAGCACAACATGGGGGGGGAGAGATGTGCTGAGGAAGGTTAAGGTGTATCCGATTATTAGGGAGTGCCATTTGCATGTAGAGGATGAGGGTGTGAGGGATGCATGTGATCGAGTGGTGCAGATTATCATGCGGAAAGAGGAGGGGGAAGAGGAAGACGCGCCGAACGGTGCGGGGGATAGGGGGAGGTTGGTGGAGCTGAAGGATGAAGAAGAGGACGAGGATGAGAAGATCGTTGATATCTGCTGAAGATTCGATATGCCTAAATCTGAATCCTCGCGCTGAAGCGAATCCGGAGAGCCCGTGTACGCTGACATGATGCTGAACGCCCGCTATGCCCCAGTCTACACGCACCGTACCTTTTCTACACCTTAACCGGTCTGATCCCATCCTCCCCACTACTCCTACTCTTCTCGCTTGCCTCCTTCTCTATCTCGCTCCCCGCCCTCAAAGGACTTTCATTTCCTGGCTCAGCTGCCACCTCCTCCAGCGCTTTCTCTTCCGCCCCTACCTCTTCGTCCCTCCCTACCTCCTCCTCTCTGACATGCATCGCCCTCTCCGCTGTCCTCCCATCCGCACTCCCCTTATCCATCTTCTTAAAACTCCACCCCCCGCTCCACCCCACCCATCCCCTCTCCCACGGCCCCTTCACCACCATCGTCAATATCGCGCCCCCAATGAACCCCACACTTGCGCTGCCCGACCCGATCCAGCCAGCTCTTGCGTAGATATGATTGCCCGCCGCGGTCCCCATCAACTGGCCACAAAACGTCGCGACCATGAACGCGGTGTTAACGCCGTTGCGGCGCATAGGTTCGATAGCGTAGATGGAGCTGCGATTAGCGATCTGCGCGGTCTGCATGCCGAAGTCGAGCAGGAAGGCCTGGAGGACGGGGCCGGCGATGTTGAAGGTGCCGATGTAGGTGCCGAGGCAGATGCCGAGGAGGCAGCAGGAGAGCCCGACGAGCACGGTGAGGTGCGGGACGAAGCGGTCGGTGACTGTGCGCGCGTACAAGGGCCCGAAGCACATGGCTGCGATGCCGATGAGGCCGAAGAGGCCGATGACGAGGGAGCTGTAGTGGTACGGGGCGCCGGCGAGGAGGAACGTTAGGGTTGTCCAGAAGCTTGTGAATGTGCTGCTTGTGAAGAAGCCTGCTATACAGGCTTGCACGAGCACCGGGTGGCGGCCCAGCATCTGTAGGATACTCCAGAGAAGCTTGAAGTAGTTGAAGTTGGCATTGGTGGAGGGATAGTCCGGCATGAACAGCCAAAGCAGGACGAAAATGCTGGATTGGAGCGCGAGGGCTAGCCAGTAGATAGCGCGCCAGGAGACGAAGTTTGTCAGGGTGCCGGAGAGGACGCGTGCGATGAGGATGCCAAGTTGGAGGCCGGAGACAACGACGGAGAGGGCGGCTGCGCGGCGGTGTGGCGGGGCTAGGTCGCCGACGAGCGGGAGCATGAGTTGGGGCGTGACGGTTGTGATAGAGACGAGGAAGGAGAGCGCTGTGAAGACGGAGAGGTTGGAGGTTATGCAGAGACCGAGCCTAGGATGCCTGTTAGCTGGATATCTTCGATGAAAGGGAGGCTCAAGATGAGGGAATGCAGGGCAACTTGACGAGAGCAAGACCAAGTAAGTGCAAGATTCCTAAGGCCGGATATCCCATCTTAGACTTGCCGGGTCGAGAGATAGGTCATGGGCCATCATGCTTGTTCAAGCCACTCTTATTGCCGTCTGCCTCATCGGCACAAACCCCTCTCAATGCACCAGCACAACCCCCTTCTCACGCCCAATCATTGCAACAAATGTTCTCTTCGACCGTAATAGAGAATAACCTACCAAAGCAAAGCAGTGACCCCAACCAAACCCACCACAAAGGGCCTCCTCGGAAACAGATCCCCCAACGGACACAAGAACAACAACCCCGCCGCGTACCCAGCCTGCATGACCGTCGGAATCTGCGCCACCTTCTCATACTTGACTCCAAAATCATGCGCTAAGATGTTCAGAATAGGGTGGCTGTAGTACAAGTTCGCGACAGTAAATCCCGCAGCGAACGCAAACAGGACGTTCATTGACATGGAGAATTGGGGTGGTTTGGCGGGGTCCCACCGACATCGTGGCGGGGTCCATGTTAGGAAGGTGCAAAGTTTGCGCCCTAAGGGGACGGGTTTCTGTGGTGTTGACGAAGATGTGGTGGACGTCTGCGAAGTCGAAGTGGCGGTGATTGGTGGATCGGTGGCTTGTGCCTTTTCGGCGTTTGGCTCGGACGTCATGACAGGCCGCCCGTCTCACACATTGATCCCCAACTCTTGCAAAATGCACACAGCAGGCTCACAACAAGAAAAGAGACAGCAGTAATGCGAAACGAGACAACAGAGAGGAAATAGAACGGAATTAAGAAAGCTAAAAGTCCATGACGGAAAGCGAAAAGCCATCGGCAAAGGAGGAGAAGCGCAGGAGCCGAAATCCGCCCGATATCATTACCAATCACTTAGGCAGTCGCTCGCAGCTAACCCGATAATCGCAGCCGTCATGCAAGATAGCTGTGGTTCACTTCACTGTCTCACAGATTAGCTGACGAAAGGAAGGAAATGGGAAGCCTCCACCAAAACAGTGATTTGACTGATTTCGATTCTGTTTGGCCCCTGCTGATAGCCACTAATAAGCCAGACCTGCGACTACATTACATCCGCTGTAGGAGGTCGAGAGAAAAAACACCCAGGCGGGAGAACGCAAACAAGCCAAGGCTGCAGATATCGAAGATGGTGGTGAAGTGGAAAACGCAGGCGCCAATCTAACCAATATGCCTCGCCAGACGTGTCGGGTATGCCTAGGTGGAACGCTCAGGCAGGGCTAGCCGGTTTAGGAGCTGCTGCTTTGTTTCCTCGCATAACGGTGTTGATCTGCTCGTCTGAGGGCATCTGAGGAAGGGGAATCAGCCAACTCCGCTGTTTATCAAAGCTAGACACGGCCTTGACAAGTCTGATAAAAAGTTGGGTGTTGGTTTTGTCAACGCGGTCTTTGAAAGTGGTAATGAGAGACTGGATAGTCATGCCTTCAGCAGGGAGAGCTTTGTAGATTTCACTCGCTGAAGGAAGACGGGTTTCTGTCTCAGGTATTAGCATATCTAGGTATAAGTAGGCCATGAGCGCTGGAGACTTACGCGAAGCGGTGGCGGGGCCACCAGGAGCGGCAGGGCTGCCTGCCCGGCTACCGTTGACCTGAGCGGCCGGGCTTCCCGCACGGCTCCCGCCAGGGCTAGTAGCAGGGGTGCCAAGCCGGACCTTCAGCTTCGCCTTCTTTGGCTTGCCGGCATCAGTCATCTCGCTGTCGCTTCCAGACGCGGCTCCACGCTTTGCAATATCGTTGAGGTGAGCAAGCGAAGACTTGCGCGATTCACCGTGCTTGTCATGCTTCTTCTTATGCTTCTTGCGCGATGACTCGTTACCGCTTGCTTCAGACAAGTTTGGTGAACCCGGGCGCTTCTTCTTGTTGACATCAACAGGTTTGTGGATTCCTGAAGGGGTGGTGGCTCCCTTGGTCGACGCGCCGGATGCAAGTTTGTCGCCTTCGGGAGCCTTGCCATTTTGTTCAGCTGCTTTCCGTTCCTCCTCTTCCTTGGCCCGCTGGCGCTCCGTCTCCGAATCTGTCTCGGACTCGCTCTTCGATGCGTACGGGTCATCATCCTCGTCCTCAAGGTCGTAGTCAATGTTCTTTTCCCGCTTAATGAGAGACTTTCGCAGGGACTTCTCCAGCTGCTTCATGCGCTCCGCCTCCTGCCTCTCTCGCTCTTCCTGACGATACACCTCGGTCTCGTCCCGCAATTCGAAGGCGGCGGCTCCCAGCTGGTCGCGCTTCAACTTCTCTGCGGTCTCCTTGACATCTACATCTTCACCCTCGAAAAGGCCATTCAGACCTTCTTCGTCATCGGCGAAGTCTTCTTCTAGGTTGAAGTCGATGTCGTCGGCATCTGCTTCGCGCTTAATCGTAGGCATATCATCGTCGTCTGGGCGTTGTTGCCGGATCCTGCCCTCATCATCGTCTCCGCCGCCCACCCGAGTCCTCATCCTCCTAGAGCCTTTGTCTCGCTGGAGCTCCTCCTGCTTCAGACGCTGTTTGGCCTCAATATTTAACAAGAAACTCGGTAGCTTCTCCCGACCCAGCTCTGGGTCGTCGGTGGACTTGGCTTTGCTCTTGACATTGAATCGGTACCACCGCTCCATGGGTGTTAGCTGGATGAAGTCTCCCCGGCCGTCAATGCGGGCGGGTGTGAGCATGAGATGTGCGTCAGACATTTCCGACTCGTATGTTCCGACCCAGGTCTGCTTGTTGTCAAAGTCCTCCAGATGCCAAGGCAGAGTCTCTTCATACCGCAGGAGCTGGCGCTTCTTAGCTTCGGGCGTGTCGTCGGGGCGGTACTTCTGCTCCGTCTTTTTCTGGAAGGCCGGTGGCTTCTTCGTGCCTGATGGCGCGATCTTCGCTAGGTTCTCTTCCCGCACCTTGCGTCGCTCTTCCCTCATAATCTCCATGCGCTCACGCTCCTTGCTCTCCTCAATATCCTCCTTCGTTTCCTCTTCTTCGAAATGGGCGCCGGCACCACTCGGCGGAGCACGGGGGTCGCGGCGGTGGAGACGGATGGGCGGGGTAAACTGGTCTTCATTTTGGACGTCGACTGTGTCTTTGCTCTGTAGCCTCATGACGTGATGTCGCAGCTCTTTTAAATCGCGCCGTGTGACGACTAGCGGAAATGAATGGCCACCTTGCGCGAGAACCTCATGCCGAAGCGCCTCCACAGTCTTGACTTCCCTAGAGGTAGAGCTCGGTGCAGCTTCAGGCTTCCCTGTGACCTGGTTCATCTGCGTGAGAGACATGACGGGCCGTGTAATATGCTTGAGCGGCCTCCGTGGAGCGCGCAGGACCTCCACCTGCTTCGGTCGACGACGGCGGGGCTGGCCATTCGAGCCCGCGGGAGTATGAGCCGGCATCGTGGCGGGGGATGCGCTCGTAGAGGGGCGCGGGCCGTTCGCGGCGGACGCTGTGGTTGCGAGTGGAGTAGGAGCTCCGTTCATGTTGAGAGCACGAGTGCAACCGTCGCGTGGCGGCCTGCAAAGTCGAAGTTGGTGTCGCTGTTGAAGCCGAGCGAGGATAGCGGTCGAGGAAAGAATGCGGGTGGGTGGGTAGAATAAAGAGAGACTGGGCGACCGCTTGGTCTTTGTCGGAGGCAACTGAGCGGACGTGAACAACGAGCGCCTAGAAGCATCACAGCCAAGACGCTAGTGCTCGGACAAACCTTTCGCCGGCGATCTTCTAATCAGGGCAACACCAACTGACCTGAGCTCGTGCATCTACTTGCAATCCTCTGCTTTCGCCTCCACCCCTCAAATCTGCCGTTCCGGGGAGAATGTGGTTGAAAGGACAGCCAAAGAATCCGCTCGGCCAATCTATTGCTCCGGTGGGCCCATACCAACATTCACCACCAGCAAACCTCCGCAAAATCTAAGTTGCACAAACCGTTGGCTGCTCTATCTCACAGCTGGCACGCACGTCTCGGAGGGTTTATATCCTGACGGAAGCGCTCGCAGCATCGTATAATTGCACCGCAAAAACACCTACTTTCACACCACAACTTCCAAAACCATCATGGACGAGCCATCCGCTCAAGATGGCGCCAGCTTGGAAGATCAGCTGCGGAAGATGATTCTCGGCAATGTCACCATATCCGATGGACCAGCTAACCAACAAGCTCCTGCTCAAGATCATCACCAACAGCGTCCACGAGGCCGGGGACGCGGAAGCTCCTTCCGGGGACGAGGTCGTGAAGGGAGGAATGCGCCAGCTCAGGCTGGCCGGGGGCAACAGTCAAGTGTATCCATGGCAGCCACGCACGGTAATCGAGGAGAGCAGCAACAGTCATTCCCACGGCTAGGCGGTGCTCATGTTTCGCCGCACACTGCAGCTGATCCTTCGCATACAAGCCCAGAAGGATCTCGGACCAAACCCATGCCATCTAACAGGCAGCGTGGTCCACGACCACCACGGCCGCCCCAAGCCCACAGCCAGACTCAACAGGCCGGGCTTCCTCCTACCTCGCAGCCCCCGAAGATACTCCAACGGCCTCACAATATCACTAATGCTGATAACCAGGACGGGTCATCAAAGGCACCAGCCAGTCAGTACCCACCCAGGCAATATGCTCCTGCGCGCCCACAATACATGAATCAACCAATGGAAAATATCTTGTGCCAGATCAATTATCTCGACCAGCTGGCATCGCAAGAAGTCTCCAAGGTCGAGATAACCCTCACCGAGCTCGAGGAAAAGGAGACATTCAGGAAGCACCTAGAAGACATCTGCCAGAAAGCCTTCGCTGAGAATTACAGCGGAGACATAGCGACCATCTCCCTAGTCGGGTTTGGCAGCTTGGCTTCGGGATTCGCGACCCCTGGCTCAGATATGGACCTTGCAATCGTCCCTGAATGGAAGGATCCTTCCCGAGCTCAGGAGATTGGCATCGATCGAGATATACCCCGCCTGCTGGAGAGAGCAATCCTAGACGCAAACATGGGAGCACGTCTTCTGACCAGGACACGGGTTCCTGTCCTGAAAGTCTGCCAAAATCCGACGGAGGAGCTGTACCAGGCCCTATTCAAGGAGCGCTCGAAGTGGGATGGGCTCCCCGAAGAAGAGAAATACCCGCCCCCAGTGGCTCCGCCAGAGCCTTCGCCAGTGCCCAAGCCTTTGGTTGAGGTAGATGGCGAGAAGAGCCCCAAGCTAATGCATCATCCCCAGAATCAAGGATTTGGTGCCCAACAAGGCTCAGAAGATGTGGGATCTTCCAAGAAATCGCAGTCTGAGATGCAGGAAACTATCGGTTCAATAGGTGCCGATACTTCGTTGAAGTCCGCAACAGGCAAATCCAAAGAGAATGACAACGGGACCGGAAACCGGAGTGAAAATGGTGTCACGAAAGAGCAACATCATCGCAACGTCAAACCCTGGCTGCGCGAGAAGATAAAGGGACCGCTCGACTTTCCCAAAACAGGCGTCGGCATCCAATGCGACGTCAACTTCGAGAATCCCCTCGGCATACACAATACCCATCTATTGCGCTGCTACTCCCTTTGCGACCCCCGCGTTCGTCCCATGGTGCTCTTTGTCAAAGCATGGGCGAAGCGGCGCAAAATCAACAGCTCGTATTCGGGCACTCTCTCCTCCTATGGCTGGGTGCTAATGGTTCTCCACTACCTCGTCAACATCGCGCAGCCCCCCGTATGTCCCAACCTCCAGCTATCCTGGCGCCCGCCCGTCACCACACTCGACGCAGAGAGTCTAGCGCAGATGTTCAAAGAGACCATGATCGCAGGCTACGCCGTCCGCTTCTGGCGCAATGAGCAGGAAATCGTTCAGGCGGCGCAGTCAGGCCAACTAACCCGGAACCAGCAGTCTGTCGGTGCCCTCCTACGCGGCTTCTTCCAGTACTATGCCTCAGTTCCACCAGGCTTCATGTATGGACCGCGACCGCCCTCCTTCTACTGGACGAACGAAGTCCTTAGCCTTCGAACCCCCGGCGGCATCCGCCCAAAGGCAGAAAAGGGCTGGACAGGCGCGAAGACTACATACGCTGGCGGCAAGGAGGTTCGCAACCGCTACCTCTTCGCCATTGAGGACCCCTTCGAGCTGGACCACAACGTCGCGCGCACCGTGACGCACAACGGCATCGTGGCTATCCGCGACGAGTTTCGCCGCGCATGGAGGATCCTCAGCGCCATCGGCAGGAACCAGCAGCCCGAGGGCAATGTCTTCGATGAGGTGATTGAGGAGGTCCCTCCGCCGACGCCGGGCAAGCCCGAGCCAGAGCTGCAAAAGCCGATGACGATGGAGAACGTGCCGGCAGATAGCGACAGAAGCGCAACAGCAGATGCCGACGAGCGGCATAACGAGACTAAGACACACGGAAACATTGAAGGCACGGCGGGATGAAACGCGATGGCGTAAGCAACAGGGTGGGGTGATCTTCTCCGATCGACTGAATCCGCCCTTGCATCATCAGACCAGGGCTATCTTGTACTGTACATTAGCCAGCGGCGTTTCCGGGCTCACGGTATATCACAACATAGCATACGGTACGGTAGCACAGGCACGGGCACGGTTGCCGTATGTATGCCGAGATGGCGCTCGTATAGAACTCTTATAGAACCTTCGACGACGCCCCCATGTCGTATCTGAGTGGCGTGGGGCGTGATCGGTCGGTGTGGAATGATTCTAGAAGCCGAACTTCGCCGGCATGACCCGGGTTTTGCAGCGAGGAGAGAAGCTTTTCTGGGCAGCGGCACATGGCGTCGGGAGAAGGGTTGGCGGCCTTGTGGCTGGTTGCTTTTTTCGATGTATGCTAGGAATGAAAAGTTCCAAGATGTTGCGTAGCTCGAGGATGTGGCGTGACTTTTACGTTGCGTGCGTTTGTATGCCATTATTCCTAGGCACAGCCGCGAGGTTTGCTCTTCCACGCGGAAACAGGCACTTTGTACAGCAAGTTTACGACAGCACTCGGAAAGGAGAAAACGACGATGAATGTCAAATATGCATTAGTAGCAGACCGTTGGCTAAGCCATCGTCCGCAAGAAGAGAGAGTAGTGTTCCATACTGATCGCAAGCCCAGGGTATCCGCTCTTCCCATATTCCCATACGTACTATAAGCCACACCCGTGTAACAAAGACCGCAATCCATGCCAATTCCACCTATAAATCCGTAATCTAGCTCTGTCTAGCATGAGAATACCAGAGATCGCAGACTAGGGAACAAAACCGCACATACCCGCTGCAAAACATTTATTTCGCCCGAACCACCAGAACCGCAAGAAGTGAGCTTACGAAGTCTTGGGCTCGACTGTCTCGACTGTCTCGGCGGTGTTGGCGGCGTGGTGGACCTTGAGCTCGCCCTTCTCGATATCGCGCTGGATTTGGTCGAGACGCGAGCCCGCGGGCCGGGTCTTCCAAGCGGGGATACCCATGTCGAAGACATCGTCCATTTCCTCAAGGGTCTTGCCCTTGGTCTCGGGAGCGGTTAGGAACATCTGAACACCCGATTAGCACTGCAATCTTGAATGAGAAGAGTGAGCTGGAACTTACGTGGATGAGCGCAAGGCCGTTGAAGGTTCCGAAGATCATGTACATTTTCCAGTTGATGCTCCACAGGAGCGGCGGGACAGCGAAGGCGAGAGCACAGTTCCAGGTCCAGTTGCTGGCAGTCGCGAGAGAGACAGCCTTGGCACGAACCTTGGCCGGGAAGATCTCGGACGGGTAAGTCCAGGAAGTCGGACCCCAGGTGGTGGCGAAGGAAGCGACGAAGAGGTATGAGCAGGCGACGATGCCCTTGGAGACGCTCGAGTGCTCCTTTCCAATGACCCAGGAGATGTCGTGGTCGGTCTTGTCCGGATTGGGGTGCCCGTAAGCGCCCTGCAGAGCACCAGAGATGAACAGGAAAGACATCATCAAGAACGAACCGATGAGCAGGGCGGGACGGCGACCGAACCTGTCAAGCCAGATGATAGCGGGGAGCGTCAGGGCCACGTTGATGATGTACTGGATGGAGGCCGTGAGAAGCTCATCGGCAATGCCGGCACCCTTCATGATGAATACGATGTAATACATCATAATGTTCATGCCGCAAAGCTGGGACCACATCTGGATGGACATGCCGAGGATAACACGCTTAAAGATCCTGGGCTTGACGAGCGCACCGAAGCTGGTCTCCGCTTGTTCGCGCTCAAAGCGGAGAGCCTCCTCGATTTCCTTGTATTCGGCAAGGACCTTCGGGTGGTTGACGTCGCCGCCGCCGTGAAGATGGGCAAGAACCTGGATCGACTCCTCCCAGCGGTCTTTGCTGGCAAGCCAACGCGGAGAACGAGGGAAGAAGAACATGCCGCCCAAGAGGATGACACCAGGTACCATCTGGACGCCCCACGGAATGCGGAAGCAGGCAGTTCCCTGGTCTGGAGCCTTTGGGCCGCCATCAACGAAGGATGCACCATACTGAATAAAGTATTGGATCAGAATACCCCTATATACCGATTAGTGCACAGATCCTGAATGCGGTGAAGGTATTGTAAGAGAAATAGCAAACACTGGTGGGGTAGTTGCCAAATGCGGGGAAACGTCCACATGACTTGAGTGAACAGGAATAGCGTACCATGTGATAGCCCATTGCTGAAGAGAGACGACACGACCACGGATTTCCTTCGGCGCGATTTCCGATTGGTAGATGGGGACAATGGACGAGGCAATACCGATGGAGATGCCGGAGACGACACGGCCGAAGCAGAGAAGAGCAACGCCATTTGCGGCGGTCTGGAAGATGGAGCCGAGAATCCAGATTGCAGCTCCGATCTGGATAGCAGTCCTTCGGGAGAGTTTGTCGGCGATGAAGGACGAGGACAGTGCGCCTACGAGGGACCCTGCTGGCATAGACGCGGTGATACCACCCTGGCGGTAGCCGCTCGCTTTGCGTTGTCAGTCAATCTAAATGGCCTGGCAAGAAGGAATTGGACTCACGTTCGCCGAAGTAGGTCTTGTAGCCATTGGTACCCAGGACACCGCTCATGGAAGAGATATCGAAACCGAAGAGACCTCCGCCGATGGCGGCGAAGGCGCAGATGGCGTAGGTGTTGTAGAACGTCTAGGCGCTGTTAGTGCATGTCCTGGTGGAGCTGTTCGGGGTTGATGAATTACCTTCATCCTGTCAATTGGTGAGGGACGACTGAGTGGACAAGACTAGGGAGGAAGCAAGAGGAGCCTGCGACTGGGGAGGGTGGTCTTTTATGGAGGGGTGCCCCGCCGCGCGTGATTTCTGGGTTGGCCTCTGCGCGATGCCTCGTGCGCCAAGACCCTACCTTCACCCCGTTTCGCCCGCGACCCGGTGGTGCACTTAAGATGCTAGTTCGAGCCCATGTGAAGGTCACCCGGTCAGGTTGCGCCCCGCAAATAAGCGTTGTTGCCAGGACGGAGATCCTGCCGAACAGCAGCGTAATCCTGGGGAAGTGCAAGGGTATTGTTGCCCGATATTAACCTGCAAGCCCCGTCCGCCAATGATGGCGAAGGCAGTCTGGCGACGGCTTCCACACAGAATCCTGCGCGCTGGCACGCCAGTACGACCCATTCCCAGCGCCTGGGTAACGTCGAGAAGGAGTTGACGCTGAGCACTGGAGCAATGCAGTGGAACCAACATGGCTGCGATTGACGGTGGCAATCCGAAAACAAGTCGTGCCGTGCAGCGTCTTGGGGCCTTGGAGATGTCTTTCGACGAGCCAATATCATTGCTGGCCATACTTCAAACGGTTAACAGTGTGACCATCCCCTGTAAGCTAAAATAAATTCCGTTAGTGGTGGTAGTGTTGAGCCAAATCAGACGACCGGCCAAGAGAGCCAGGCTTCGCGAAGGAATAATGCGAAGCTTCCATCAGGGCACAGCACGGAAAATTAGGGCCGTGGCCGCCGTGCGAGCTGCTGTACTGTGTAAAGCTGCAGGGCGGCATGACCTGGGCATTGGCGTCTCGAGCACCTGTATTTCCATATGAGCATGGTGATCAATCTGGATGAACGATGCAGACGCTGGGGGCTGCCTTACCCACCCTCTGGCCCGTCAACCCTTGGGTCAGCTACAGTATTAGCGGCGACCCTGATCCACCGATGGCGCCCCAGCCAACGGGCGGGGAACTGTGTTGTCGCATCACGCTTCCATGGCGACGTTGGTTGTTGAAACCGTTGCACTGTGGCGCTAGGCTTTGACGTCGATCGCCGGCAAACGGGCCCAAAGCAGGCTAGCGGCTGAACGCCAGCCGCCAGCCCTCGCCGTGTCTTTGCTCCGCACCTCGTATGACACGACAGTTGCCCGCCCGCGCGCGGCGACAGCACGCAAAGCCGAGAGTTGTGATCAGGTCAGCGCGGGGACGGGCGCATGGAGTGCGTTTTCTGGAAACGCAGCCGCGAGCGGGCTGGAGCGAGTCCGAGAGCGAATCGGACTCGCTCCACAAACGGCTACGTCTGCACCGAATTTTGCGTTGCTCTGAGCCGGGGAGCTGGAGTACTCAAGAGATGCGGGACTGGAGGTTGGGGTCGCAGAGGACGCAGCGTGGTGTGGTGGCCGGATGGTGAGAGCTCACGAGGCCTGCTGCGTCCTCCGATCCTGTCTAGCGGAACCGCAGACTGCACAGAGCGGCAGGTCTGGGACGCCAGGTAGGTCCAGCAGCAACAAGGCAATCAATCGGCGGCACACCTGGGCATGGGTGTAGGTGGTTCGCGCCGCCAGCACACAGAGGCTCTGTATTCCTTCAGCCAGATAATACAGGAAGGTGCGAATGGACGCTCCTTCCACGGGATTGACAGACTGCCACTTCTTCCTCCGCCGGAATGCCTCTGTCCTTGCTTCGCACTTTCGCCTTCAGTGAAGAGAAGGGAGACCGTTGATCCTTGCCCAGCTCTGCAAAATGAGATTCATCCACTTATCAAACCACAGCATGCACGACAGAGAATTCGGAGCCCCACGTATACCACAGCGTTCGATGTTGATGATCTGGAAGCCTGGTACGAGCGAGTCTATCTCACCGCGGCATGGCATGGGAGAAGCAGGTTGCGGGAACGAGATCTCTGGTCGGTCTCGAATTCCTCAGTGAGAGCCGGCCAACAAGCCTACGTCTGCCGCACGACGAAGGACAAAGATACCAGATCCAGACCGCCCCTATCGACTCACATTCAGACTATTGGAATCGGGCAGGTGGTCGAAGCAAGAAGGAGAGGTGAGTGGACCTGCAGTGGAGGCTCAATATCGTCAAGCCAATCCGGAAGTCGCGACCCCTTCTGCGACCACCCGTTGCCATATCGCCTCTTGATCGACCCCAGCAATTCTCTTCATCCATAACTCGACTCGCAGCCCTTCTTTGGCCACGCTTCTCGCACAGTCCTTCGCTCAGCCCTCACTGTGCCCTCTTCACTGAGGCTCTGCATAAAGTCTCGCCCAACCTCTCTGCCCACAGCCTTCACCATCCCTTTCTCCTGCAGAGCGCCTCCCACCCGCCAGCCGACAGAATGCGCCTCATCCAGCATCATCTCAACCACTACCGCACTGCACCCCAGGATATTCGTTCTAATTCGCTGCACGTCATCACAAGCGAGCAAATAGCGACCGACTAACCGGCATCCCCAACCTACACCGTCCCAATGATATCACACATCACATATAGTCACGTATATCTTCTATACGCCAAGCAGTTGCGGGAAAGGAGAAATGAGAGCAACAATATTGCGCAACACTATCTTCATTTCTCCGCCCCATTTCCTGGTCGAGCAGTGGCTATTGGCGCGGCATGGAGCGAGAATGGAGCCTCTCGCATGTGCGCGGTGGACCTGCTGACAATGGCAGCTGAGCATGGGCGCGGAATAAAGTTGTATAAGAAAGTACGTATACTTGTACCACGCCCCGTCTTACACGACTACTGCGTTTGCGCGCTTTATCTACTGCGTCACCGCCATCCCATCTTACGTCGCCATCTTAAGCTTACTGTCGCCACCAGCGGCTCCACATACGCAGCTCCCCGACGGGCCTTTGTGCGACCTAACGGCATCGCACAATCCGCCGCTGTTCGCGCGTCGTTCGTCTCTACCTCCAGGAAGGGATCCTCTCCATCGGGATTCGGACCAGCAAGACGAACATCCATTACAGATTACTGAAAGGGGGAAGAGGGAAGAAGGCAGGGGGTCATCAGCATTAGGCGCGCTATCATCCAAGATCTGTGGTTGGCAAGCGGGCGGTGAGGTACACCGCAGTTAGGGCGAACGACTCTGGCAGGCAAACAGTTCTCAGCCACTTAGCAAGCACTACGCATCCAGATTGTTTCTCGATGGTTCTGATACGGACACGACTACCACAAGGACCACGTCGTCCAACTTCCGATCGTTTCCATTCCAACCGGGTATCCAAACCGTAGGCCACACGCACGGCCGAGACCACTTCGTTATTGAACCATCAGTAGTTCCATCGCCCGCATACTTTGCCCATCCCGGCAGCGCAGCAAATCATTCATCCGACCCGACTCCACCCTGCTCCGCCTCCAACACTTCGCCGCAAATCTAGATCCTGAGCATCTCGCCCGGCTTCACCCTCCTTTCCGATGCCACACCACCTAACGAACGCCGCGTTTGCACGTACAAGTCTCACCACCTGCGACGTCTTCATCCTTGCCCTCGGATTTCTAGAAGGAGGAGCCATGATGTCGCCAGAGCAGCTGATCGAGAGCGCGAGCCCGTGGTTCCTAGACGCGGAAACGGTCTGGTATCGCAAGTTCATGATAGGATTGAGGTGAAGAAAGCTCAGAGCTCATGTTGTCTTGATCTACGGGCAGGTCTTAGAAGAGTTTGAAGGCGGTGAAGGAGCCCATTGTCGAACAGCCACGTACACGCAACTGTAACGATGGTGTGAACGAAAGCGAATCGGTTCAACCCCTGCGCCTCTTACGAGCATAGAATTCTCTATTAGCACTAAGGCTATGCGACTCCCAATTCCCCTTGTCCCGGTGACCATACCCGCCTGTCAAGAGAAAAGAGGGAGCATTCAAAGGACTACAAGAGCTCGCTGCAGGGCCCCTATGGTGGAAAGTCTGTATCTTGCTCAGCAATGCATATAACTCGCTCAGCGAGATGCTCAGAACTGTTCGGAAACCCCACTCCTCCCCATCGCAGACTCCGTGCTTCTAGTCGCCCTACCCCAACCGGGGGAAAGATACTGCTCCAGCACAAGGACCGGTCCGGCCTGCACAGGCCGAAACGAACACTGGCTGCAATGGTGGGAGAGGAACCCAGGGAGATATTCGTGGGTGGGTGGTGATATGAGCACAAAAGGGGGGAAAGGAGCTGCAGTGTGGAACTGAATTGTGACAGCGTTGAGGAAAGACACGCATGGTTCGACGGATTTGGTCTTCTCCGCTGGGGCTTGGGGCACTCCTGATTGCGCTTTGCACGCATGGACTAGACTAGACTGCTTTCTCTATCGAGTAGCCCAAGGTTGGTGAAGCGCCGCGCAGGCAGTGGTATGGGAGTCAGCATGGAGACGCGCACGATGCGATAGACAGCATGTGAAGGGGATAATATCTTTGAACAATAATGCACAGTTACGACGGGATACAGCGTCTTCCGTGCAGTCATCTGCCATAATTTACACTATACGATACTCAGTAGAATTCTTAAGTCTTAAACACTATAGTCTAAGAGCATGATCGGAGAGCCCCAAAACGCCCCAGCCAGGCTATGCTTGACCCAGACGCTGGCTCCCATCACCCCTATGCAAGCCTGAACTCCGAAAGCGCTACCATTAAAGAACCCCGTATAGTTCTAATCGTCCCGTCTAATGGGCAGTCGTCGCAGCCGTGACCGCCCCGTCGCCCAGTATCCGCGCCACCAAGATGTAGGACAGAATCGCTCCAAGCACCATCTTCCACTTATTCCGGCCCAACCAGCTCTGCCCCACATCCCGCGCGACGCGGCCTTCCTGGACGACGACGCCTACGCCCGTTGTGCTGCCTCCGGGCCGTCTCCGGAGGCCCGCCATGTCGGGCGAGCAGTGCGGTTGCGACGACTGCGCGGGCAGCGGGAGGCCTGTCTGCGGGTTGATGCGCTTCTCCTTCATCCACTTCGAGTTCTCCTCGTCGAGCTCCGGCCACTCTGAGCGGAACTTCGCGCCGCCGTCGCCCGCTTTAATCGCGCCGATGCCGCGCGTGTTCGACGACTGTGTGCCAGTTTGTTTCGACCCGCCGCCCGTGCTGTTCCACCAGCGCGTGCGCTGGGCAAACAGCTTGCGCTCGTGCTCGCTGGCGCGCACGCTGCCCGTCGTCATCTCCTCGCTCGTCATGAAGCTCAGCAGGCCCGTTAGGATCGTGCTGACCTCCCACGCGGGGTTGAAGCTCTTGGGGTGGAAGTCGGAAATGCTGAGGCACAGGCGCGTGCTGGGCTGGAAGCGGCCGCTCGGCGTGTGCATGCGGATCGCGGGCGGCGCGAAGGGGTAGTCCGGCGGGAACATGAGCGTGCCCCAGTACTGGCCGCCGTCGTAGGGAGTGTCGGGCGGGCCCGTGAGGACGTAGTGCCATTCCAGGATGTTCTTTTCGGAGGGGTGTGCGATGATGTAGGGCGGGGGCGATTTGGTGATGGCAGCGTATTCTTTCGTGAGGCGCTTGGTTGCGGCGGGCGTTGCCATTATGGTGGTTGTGTGAACGGGGGTGAGCGGTCACGGAGAGGAGAGGAGAGGAAGAGAGGCGAGGTTTTTGTAGGGTTGGGGTCGGTGTCGTTTGAGTGAGAGCGGGCGCTGATGCAATGGCGCAACCCCAAGTGTCTAAGGCAAGGGAAAGGTGGAAAGGTAGAGCGGTGGATCGAACAAAGGTGAGCGGAACCTTGGAAGTGCTGCAGTCACTGCCTTTCAGTAAAAGAGGCAACGGACTTCGCGGAAGGCGCAGGCGCGTGAATTAATGAGGGTCAGATCTGGGGAAGGCACAGCCTCGCATTATCTCCGGCTTTGGCGACCGCACGTGATCCGCGCTAGCGGCATGAGGTCAAGCTTTCGCGGAGTGCCAAGGTTCGAGCTCGACGATGCCACCAGCCTCGATGGCTTCGCCTATAGAAGACGATGTGAGTCGCATAGCTCGTGCATGTGAGAAACCCGCTAATTGGTGTCCTAGGTCTTCGAAAAGCTGAAGAATACGACGGATCCCGCCGAGCACAAGCGGAACCAGGACGAGCTCAATGCGCGGTTATTCGCACAGCACCAGAAGGCGCAGGAGCGGCTGGTGGAGCTGGTATGCTCTTCTTTCGGATGGTGCGCGGGAATTGGGCTCATAAAACTATAGATTGACGACAACACCACCCTCCCGGTGACGATCTCGTCGGTCCGCATCCTCAACGCCAAACGCACGAGACGAGGTTTCCTCGAGCGGATAGTAAACCCCTTGCTGAGCGCAAACCGCGATGAGCCGTATACACTCGAGGAAGCGCTGAGGGAGGTGGGAAATGCAACGGAGAAGCTCAATCGCTTTGGTATGAGGATACGCCGGTGGCCCGCCTGAACGGCTCTGACGTTATCCAGGCATCTTCAAACAACCGATATCCGTCTTTCTCGACCGGCCTGACCCCACGATACCTACCTCCTCTCCCACTGACGTCGACGTCTACATATCAGCCTTCGAGCGCGGCTCGTATACGATCAAGACTGGTACCGAGGCCGGCGCTTCGGAAGCAGATGCATACATCCACGCTGAGCTGCGCAACCTCTTCGGAGGCGCGGAGACGCTGAACGCACATGGCTCGCTGGGAACTCGAACGCGGTCCGCATATTCACTTGCTTTCGATACCCCGATACTGAGCAATCCGGAGTTCAAGTTCCAGGTCAATGGCTTCGCGAGTTCTACGCTGAAGAGCTGGGCTAGCCACGAGGAGGTGCTGCGAGGCGGGACTTCGAAGCTTCTGTGGAGGTCAAAGAACGGGCACCAACACGAATTTGGCTACTCTGGCATCTGGCGGCAGGTCACCGGTCTTGCGGAGAACGCGTCTCCTACTGTACGCGCTGATGCCGGCGACTCCTTCAAATCGAGCATCACTCATACCTGGACACACGATAAGCGCGACTATCCTATGCTCCCCAACCGAGGCTATCTCATGAAGACTGTTTCTGAACTCGCCGGATTTGGACCGCTCAAAGGCGACGTCGCATTCTTCAAATCGGAGGCTGAGTCGCAAGTCGCACTACCGTTCGGCGACACTGGCATTACCCTGACGGCCGGTCTGCGGGGAGGTCTACTATATCCCCTTCCGCTGTCTGGCAGCAACACACCCCAACAGTCCCGCATCAATGACCGATTTCAGCTCGGCGGCCCCACTAACGTGCGCGGCTTCCGCCTCTCCGGCCTCGGCCCACATGACGGCCCTGATGCAGTTGGTGGCGACGTCTACGCTGCTGGCGGCGCCTCCCTCCTCTTCCCCGTCCCCAAAGTCGGCAAAGATACACCACTCCGATTACAAACCTTCATCAACGGCGGGCGACTGCTCTCCCTCAAGAACCCGAACAAGGAGGGTGGTCCGATGGATAGCTCGGCCGTGCAAAGCAGCATGCAGAAAACGATTTCCAGCTTGAGAGATGGGCTGCCGAGCGCCGCGGCGGGCTTTGGTCTTGTATATGCTCATCCGATTGCAAGGTTTGAGATCAACTTTAGCTTGCCGCTGGTGATTCGGGCAAGGGAGGAGGCGAGGAAGGGGCTGAGCTTTGGAGTGGGTATAGAGTTCTTGTAGGATTCATAGGTAGTGTAGATATTGTATCAATAAGAGATGAAATACCAAGTAGACTTTCTTCACTTATTAACTCATTCGGGGCGATTGGAGGAGTGTTCAACGTTAGAAGGTCCATGAGCCCTCCTCATAGATCTGTTGTCTAGGTATACCAGTATTGCTTTTGCCCCAAATCCCAGTGTACACACTACATATTACCAATTACGCCTTCCCTATACCCCTCGCGCCTCTCTCTTACGGCTTCCTATACGGCACCTCCCTCACCGCATGCAAATACGTCTTCGCACACGTCCCATTCGCGCCCTTCCAATACAGCACCCGCTGCCCCAACGCGCCCTCGCAAATCGTCCAGCCTTCCTTCTCGCCGCCGACCGTCAGCAGATACCCGCCGTCTAGCGCAATGTTCCCCGCTGGCTGCACTGAGGGCAGGAATTTCAACGGGCTGTTTGAGGACAACACGGTGCTGTTGTACTTGTAGCTGCCTTGGCCGTGCGGCCCGGCGGCGATCGTAGATAGCGTGCCGTCTACGAGCGTGAAGTTTGGCAGCGAGGCGTAGCCCGGGCCGATTAGGCGGAGGAGCAGGTAGGATTGGAGGACGGGGTCTTCGGCCTGGGGGAGGGAGGGTGTTAGTACAATGCATATCTAGCTTGAAAGCTGCTTGAGTGCGGAAACAAGGGAGAAGAGGGCGACGCACGAATATTGCGGTTGCGGAGACGCCTTGGAGTTGCGAGGAGTTGGTGCTGGGTGTTGATTGCGAGGTTGTGACGAGGTAGAATTGGGTGAGGTCCGTGGGGAGTGTGTATGCCAGGGAGGTTCCGAGGATGGAGAGGAGACTGAGGGTTGCGAGGCGCATAGTGACGGTGGTGGTCGAGTAGGCGAATAGAGAGGAGATTTCGTATGGGGTGATGTGAAAAGTTTGAAGCTGTTCTTTCTTCAATCCGGAAGAATGACAGACAGCAGAAAGAGAAGAGAATCTCTTTTCAAAGTCCCAAAACAAAATTCAAGGAGACAAACAAAATCCCGAATCCTTGATCCCAGGTATTCGTAACACAGCAGTGATGAAACTAACCAACCAACCTGCTGTATGGGTATATGCCAGAATATCCAGGGCGAACAGCTCCGAGTTTTATACCTGCAACAGCGTGCTGCAAGGGTAACGTTAACGTTAACAATGTCATATGGGCCCCACCCCACGCGCCTTCCAATCATCTCCCTACGGCTCCTGTCGATCGTGACAGGGACGGGGGAAACGAAACGAAACGAACGGCTACGGGCAATTCCCTGCATCACCCGCTGCCAGCCAACAGAAGAGCCGCAATGCGAAATCGCCCCTGAAGGGCTTTCCGTGGGCTTTTGGAGCGCACTACGCTTTGGATGGCGGTGCTATGGGCTAGGAGAGGCTTGAAGAGCGTTAGAAGCTCTTGCGAACTTCGCGTGGAAGATGAGATGAAAGTGGAGGAGGCAAAGGTGGAGAGGCGATGAGGGGCGATCGTGTGGATCTTGCTATTTTGGGCGTGGCGGCGGGTGTGGCGCTAGCCCGCATGCCGTGGCTGCGTGGCTCGCATGAGCCTCACTACCTCCTGCCTCTTCACTCCTTCGGAACATGCGACTTCGTGGAGTTGCAGCTCATTATCTTGCACATAAATTCTTCATTCAGGGATATATGGTTTTAAGGATGGCGCCTTGTCTGCGCGCAAAACCGCTGGAGAAATCAGCCATTCTCGGGTAGTCTCTGGGAGTGAAGACGACGACGGACGGAGGAACAATCTTGGAAGTCGCATCCCCAAGGGGAACATGTTCGGAAGCGAGATACAAGTCTGTCCACAGAGCAGCGCGAGGATTGGAGAAACAGGTATGAATGGCAACGGCTTTGTTTGACAGTCACTCGGCCCGCGTTACACATCCCGTACACATTTCACACTTCACATAGGAAGAAACTCAGCACACTGCCAAGCCGAGTACAGTGTGATATCCAGTGCTCTGCCGAGTATTGGAAGTAAAGCGTCTCTTGAAGGCTTTTAGCGGAAGGACCTAAGACACGCTAGAGTGTGAACTTCCTCCTGCCGTTAATCTAATGCATTTTCTAAGTGTACTGCTATGTTGTAGACGCTGCGGCCATGGATAAGGGGTGCGATATAAAAAGAGGGTAGTAAAAGAATTAGAACACACGGCATTCTGGGATATAAGCTGACCTGTTGTGCACTTTCCGCTTCTTCAACGTTGAGGTTTGGAGCCGTGGCCTCGATACAAAAGATAGGATTTCTCCAGGACTTGGTTCTATCCCTTATGGTTCCGAAGCTACATCTTAGCGGCATGAATGCTTGGACAGGCTTTACAGGAAAACAGGCCCCGTTCTGCAAGACGAGTCCTCAGTGCAATCACGATGAACTGAGTTCTACGAAATAACCTAGCCTCGTCACTATGCGATATCCGGAGTGCTCGATTCCCCTCCTCGCCTATGCCAATGATTCCTCGTGATAATTACGTATCACCGCTCTAACCAATCCTTCAACATTCATCCCCCCTTCTCCCCACCGCCCCAATCCCACCCACCCCTCTCACCTCCAGCCTCCAGCCCCCCTCCCCCAGCCTACAAGCCCTCAATATACATATATATACCAAATACCACTCCTCTCCCCACAAATCACCACACCAAGGACGCGTGGCCAAGCGGTAAGGCGCCCACCCCCAGCAATCGCCCGCACCCCGGCACACGGAGCCTTTGACCTCCACGGCAACTGACCACTGCCCTGGAGCCTGGCATCCTAGCCGGTCACTCAACGGAGCCACAAGCTGCGTTACCCCACGGAGCCACAAAGCTGCGTTACCGAGTGACAGACAGAGCCAGACACCAGACAAGTGCAGCAGATTAAGTACCAGGAACAAGCCCACGTCGGGGCGCGGGCGAGCGTGGTGTTGTGGGAGATTCGTCAGTTCGAATCTGACCGTGTCTATTATTATTTTTGCTGTTGGTTTGGTTGGTTTGAGGGGGGAGGGGTGAGGGAGCGGAGAGAGAGGGGGGAGGCGGTGGAGAGCTGGCGATGAACGGGATGAGGAATGACCGGATTAAGGCCATGCTAAGAAGCCGCCGTAATAGGAAACTGTGCGATTCTTCTGTCTTTCTCTTAGCCTTGGGCAAAATTGCTTCCCACGTCGCCTTGTAAAGGTTGATACTGATCTCTTGTTGAGCCACTTCAGTGAGACTTTCGACAGTATAGCTAGCAGCTTCTCGCAAACCCCTATTTCCCGCAAGATAGTTCCCTCTCCCTGCGAATCAGCCCAGTGTTACTTACATATCCAGTCCCGTCCCACCTATCTGTGCAGCTACTCGAACGTATCTCCGCGCTCGCCACAGCAACTACTCAGCTTAAGCTATTAGAAAAAAGGCTCCATGTCCGTTCGGATTCCGCCGTTCGTTACGAAACAAAAAAGAAAGATTAATCGAGCGCGTCGGATATCTGCAGCGCTGCTAAGAACAACAGTCGCCAGTGTTACCACTGTGTACCAGAACAAAGAGGAAATAGTTCGGAACCCACGGCATTTTCGGCGCCCCTCGGCACGAGACGAAAACACCGACCACAGCAATACCCAATATCATCACCGAATACTGCCGTTCTTGTGATTTTCTCTTGCTAGCCGCCCAAGCACAGCATAGTACCTCGTGCCACACTTTGCCGAATACATCCGAAAGATGCCACGGGCCGGACCGAGCCTCGCCTTACCTCAGACCTGCGGCGGTATGTATACAAAAGCGCATACTGAGAATGTTTTGTAGTGTCCCATCCCATCTCTTAGTCTACCGTAGAGGAAAAGTAAGATAAAACGCCAGTCTTCGGGGCGGTGAGCGAGAGAGACGCATCCGCGTCCACGCTAAGCTCGGCTAAGCACCACAAAAGACGTTTCGGGCGTACTCCTCTCTATTTCCCCTCGAAGCCTTGCTTGTTCGCTTTGCCCTGGGGAAATTCAGAGCTGGGGAAAGAAGACGGAGATGCCGAAGCTTCCCGATCAATACCCCTGAGTGCCGAGAAAGCTCGAATTAAAACCCTACGGTTCTCTGCGCTGCTCCTCTGAGGAGAGGGATAGAGCCGGAGGGGATAGCTGGTGCTGGGTTTTTGGGATCGAGGGAGGGAGATTGTGTGTGAGTGTCTTTGGCGCTGAAGCACGCGCCCGAGGAGTACTGTGGTAGGATAGAGATGTAAGTACGGAGGAAAATTAGACAAGGTGTAAAGGAAGAGGGTGTGAATTTAATAGGACGTAGTACTACGAAGAAGCTGTAAGGTAACGCGTGGAGAGGGTATGGATTGGCTCGTGCTTGGGTACCGAGATTCGTGTCGGTGTCGATCGATCTGTCCATAGTTGGTTTCGCTGGATTTCGTGGAAGTACGTCTATGAATTGCATGCAGCGTAAAATCTAGTGTAGAAAGATTACGAGTCCTCTCAGTATATCCGCACTGTAGGCGCGCTCATGATAGGATATGCTTTGTTTGCAGTAAATAGGGGAACATGCATTGGGTTCTAGATTGAAGCATGCCGGCTACTCAACACGTATTCTAAATTTCTCCACCCAGCGGTTCCGCATCGACGAATAATTGAGCGAGAGACCTGAAAGCACAATGCATACTAACACAAGGAATCAGCCCAGTTCAGCTCCCGCCCCTCCAAACAGACAAACACGCCATTTATCGGATCAGTTGAACACGAATCCAACAACCTTGGACGCACCCGCCCTAAACCCCGTCTTCTTCGCCTTCTCCAAATCATTCTCGACGTAGAACCGCCTGCTCGCATCCAAATCAATGGTGCTGGCATCCACCCACCATGGACCCTTGTAGTAGAATCTCGCTCCAATGTAGCAGAGGATGATGACAATGACCGAGACGTAGTTCGCGAAGAAGGTCTCGGCGTTGGGCTTCTCGCCGATAGGCCATACGCTGAGGTAGAACTCGCAGATGATAAGTAGGATGCACCATATGAGGCCCCACCATGCGGCATACGGATAGGTCCATGATTTCCAGGGCAGGTCGGCGACGTCGCGGCCCTGGAGCTTCCAGGTGTAGCGCATGCGAATGTGGCTGAGGCAGATCATGCCCCAGCCGAAAAGGGTGAAGAGCGAGGTGAGATTGGAGAACCACGTAAATACGTCGGAGGCGCTGTTGTTGACATTAAGGTAGGCAAGGCCACCACCTAGAGTAAGAGTAATGAAGAGACCCGGCCAGGGACGCCCCGTGCCGTCGGCCTTCTTGAAGCCAGCGGGTGCCATACCAAGGTGAGCAAGACCCATTGTTGTGCGGGCGCCAGCGTAGCCGGAGATCGAACCCGTAGAGACGACGGAGATGAAGATGACGGCATTCATCATGTGCGCGAGAGGGGGTAGTCCAGCCTCTCGGTACGCGATGACGAACGGCGACGCATTGGTTCCTTCTCCACCGAAGATATCTGGGTTCTGAGGGTCTACGTTGATAGTAACCATCAGCGCTCCAAGAAGGTAGAAAAGCGATAAGCGGAGCCAAATGGAACCGACGGCGCGGGGGACGGCTTTCTTGGGGTTCGCTGTTTCGGCGGCGACGAGACCGCTGTTTTCAGAGCCAGACATGGCGAAAATGCAGGTTGGCATGACGGAAAGAAAGCCTTTGAAGCCATTGATGAAAGGCTCCTCGTTCCAGTAGCGGAAGCCGATGGGGCCATGGCCTGGAGCGCCGCCCGCGGAGGTAACTTAATGAGAGGAGGGTCAGTTTCTTACATTAGTGTTCAACTCCAGGAGAGGAGGACTAACCGATCAGGGAAAAGATGACGACGAATATCCAGCCGAATTTGATAGTCGAGCAAACGACTTCGACTTCACCAAAGACGTTGACGCCGAAGACATTTATGCCGATGATGACGAACCAGAATATGGTAATCCAGCCCGCGATTGGTACCTTATCGGTCCAGAATCCGAGAACAGTGCAGACTGCCTGCAGTTCGTTGGCGATTGTAATGACATAGCTGAACCCTGAGTTGCGGCAAGATTAGGAATCGTACAGTACGTTTGTCGCGAGATTGGCTTACAGTATGCCCACCCAAGAGCGAAGGCAGCGGAGGGGCAGACGAATTTACCAGTCTAGTGTATCCTTAGCAAAGTCGACAATGGGAGCGTGCTCAAATGGCTGTCTTACCCATTGCACGAAAGCCGAAGGCAGTGGATACATGACAGCCATCTCTCCGATAGAGTGACTGACGCTCCAAATCATAGATCCAGCGAGGATGTAACCTGCGGAATGGCGGTAATTAGCAGTGTTCTGAACCGGGGTGGAGAAGTCGGCATCACAGGAAGTCCCACTATCGTCAGTGCTGAAGGCCTTTCACAGGTGGCTTGCAATATTCGGGGAAGACTGAGACATGGAGATTCGTGTAACGCGCCCTACGTACCCACGAAGATACCAGCTGGACCACCAGAAGCCAGAGACTTTCCTGAGCCGAGCCATAATCCCATACCAATGGAGGAGCCCAACGCAATCATCGTGACATGACGCGTCGAGAGCAGTCTTCGCAATTCGGTGTCTGCGCCATAGTCGCCTTGCTGGACCTCGCCGACGACGGGTGCCTGCTTCTCTGTAGAAGGCGAGTATTCGGGCTTGTCGTCCATTTTTGCTGCTGGTGATGTCTAGAGCCCGAAAAATGGCCAAAAACGAAGACAAAACGACAGGAAGATAAGAGACCTCAAGGCGGGTACAGCAGCAAGGGAGGCGCACCGAATATATTCCCGGTAAAGTGGACGTCGCACACGCGCCCGCACTTCACTTGCGGTAGACCTGAGCCGAATTAACCCTCATGCGCCTATTTCCAGCGTGCTGTTTCGCCAAGCTGATAAGAGTCAAACACCGTTGCATGTCAAGTCCCAGGGTTGCGAATCCTGATCTTCACGCTGGCGGCGCCTAGTCGTTTGCGACCTTCTCAAAAGGATTGCGTCCATATGCATCCCTGCCACACCAACCATACGATGCATATGCCTACACGGGGGCCGTCAGCAGTCGGACTGGTACTACCATGTTACAATCTATGTGAAAGACATTGAGGCGATGCGGAGACCTGCATTAACAACGTGGAAGAAGATTGGCGATATCGAAGTGCGGACTTGGGACACGCGCGCCGTCGGTGTCCATTCGACGCACGGTGCGTCGGTGGTCGTTGGAAGGGAGATATCTACCGATAAGAGCCAAGAGGCCGAGGACGCTTGTCGCAGCACCACCTGCCCCGAAGACGCCAGTGGCATTTCTTGATAATACGAGGCCGTCTTGGGCGATTGCTTGACGAGAGAGCGACTAATATCGGCGTGTTCGCGTTCGTATGCTGTGCGCAGAACGATGCAGCTGGAGCTGAGTTGCGCCCCGGTGCGCCCCTATCTCTGGGCCCAAGGGCATGTGCGACGATCCTATATTGAGCCATGGCGGTCTCGCCGGTCTCCTCCAATCCGCCGGCGACAGCAAGGGGAGTCGTCAATTAGCTCCCAAGTATCCGGATGCACGGCTTCTGGGCGCGGGGTCGAGAGGTGCTTCGCCTTGATAAGGCTTTCCCCTCTGTAGCTTGCACGCCGCGTGGAGTCTCGTCCACATGCAGGTCGACTGCAGTCGCGGTCTTCTAGAACATTTCTAGAGAAGGGTCTGAGCCGCTTTTGTCGTCGCACGCTCTGGGCTGTCGGAAGAGAAAGCGACTGGAAGCGAGTGCCCGGTCGAAGCGTTTGGTGTTGCCCGCTGCTGTGGAACGGTATCCGGGATGCGGGGGCTCGTGGTGCGACCAGGGCAGCTAAAGGCAGAAGGTTAGGTGGAACATTGCCCGGCTACAAGAGGAGCAGAGTCGAGGGAAATCAAGGAGAGAAAATTGAGGCTAGCTGAACGACCGGGCAGTTATGAAATAGGACGGCTCGAGATGGAGAATAACATCTAAACGGGAAGGAACCAAGGGCGCTGTGGAAGTCGCACCAACTAGACTTCGTATGAAAAACAATCCCCTTGCTCTAAAAATGACAATGAACACGAGCAAACAAGCAACAGCCCCAAAACGAGCCCACCGTGCTGCGAAAGAACCCCTAGAGGGGCCAAGCGCCTATGATTGGTGTTCTTGATTGCCGAGAGCAGTAGCAGGAACCGACACGCGCAACCCTTCGGGGATACCAGAGTAACAACAGGAGGTCGCATGAAAAGGTTTCCGGGGAAGAAGACAGACAGCATGTGCAACAGTTGCCGTTCCCTCAGATATATACTTTTTGCAGTCATGCGCGGGTCCGGCCATGCGAAGTACGAAAGGGCGTGTTTTATACTCGAATCGGCATAGCGAATGCCGTTCGGAGTCAAGTTCCAAGCTTCGGAGTGGAATTGTAGGCTCTTGTTACCTAACAGCAACCCATTTTCGACTTCGACTCCAGCTTCACTCCGCAGACGAGTTTGAACATATTGGTCTGCTTTCTCCTGTCGGGCTATGGAGTTCGCTACGGCCTTTTCGTAATTGTAAGAAGCGTCATGGCATCGCAGAGGAACAAGTGCATGCATCGCCTTGGACGTTATATCCAGGAAAGAGACCGCGAAAAATAGAATTAGTCATTGGTATCTCAAAAAACAAACACGTAGACAAGAAGCCGTGCATCCTCATTTACAATCCCACGACGTTGGAGACCTCAGCTACTCAGCAAAGAGCAGCGCGACCAACGTTTTCGTAGCAGCGAAAGCCCCCTTGCTCTGTAATAGAGAGTCGAACGTCTGAGGTATCTTCCTGAAGCTGTTGTTGCTGTCTGCCTCACTCCCTAAGCTCTCAGTCAGTCCCATTCTCGAGCAAAGAGCATAGCTAGTCAACTTACACACTTGTGGCACCGCCGGCTCAACGCGAATCTCCGACTCCGCCTCCCCGGTCCAGTCGAATCCAATCTTCCAGCTGACCTTAAGCAAAACATGACCATCCTGCAGCACCAGTATATCGCGTCCGAGATGGCGATTGAGATCCCTCCGAGAAATATCCTTTTTTGTCTCCCGCAGTCCTACATTCTCGGTATCCTCTCCTGTCCGCCCGGAGATCAAATCGCCGAACGCAGTCACACACTTGCGCCAGAACTCCGCTCGCTTTCTTGCAATCTCCCAGTACGAGCCAATTGCCCAGCATGCGTTTCCAAGGTCCTGCTCTTGAGCTTTGGCACGCATAAAGCTGCCGAGTTCCCGTTCGGCCCAGGAAGATAAACGCAGAATCTTGAGATCGATGATGGAATTAGTCAGAGCGTCAATAACGATGGAGATGGATGATGTGAGGAGCTTCTGTGGTCCTGCGATATCGATAGTGTGCTTCGAATGAACGCGGTTTGAGGCTGGAAAGACCCTGCCGCGCGGAAGGCTGAGCTGCGTGGTCCATTTGAAGCATGTAAACATCTCCAGATATGGCAGTGGATCGTCCAGGTCCAGAGGTCGGTGCGATGCTACAGGCTTCTCTGCTGCCTCCTTTGACTTCGGAGGAGGAACGGCTAGGGTGGAGAAGGGGAGAAAGGAGCACAACAAGCTGGATATAGCCGGGGGTTGTTGTTCATCTGCCTCTGTGCTTGCATTACTAATCTTGTTGATGAAGGCTCTGTCACGTATTAGCTTGCTTGAACAGCGCCGAAAGGTACGTGTGTCCCTCACATTAGATCCTCTCTTTCCGACGGCTGAAGGATATGCGTAGCAGACTGCTCCTGAATCTTGACAATCTCTTCTGTGCAACGAGAGACTTGACCTTCTAATTCCTTGAGCTCGCGCATAAGATGTGCTTTCTCTTGCTTTCTCCTCTCTAATTCAGGATCAGGAGGCAATTTCTCTTTTGCTGCGCCTCGGGGGTCGCCCTCCCCGACGGGTCCATCCTCAGGTGGGGCTGAACGATTTTCTCGCACGGGCTGCGCTTTCGGTCGTAGTGGTGATGGTTTGACCGGATCCTGCAACCTCGGTGGCTTCTTGCTGGGCGAAGAGAACAATATACCTCTCCGGGGCGTGTCTTGTTCCTCTTGCGTCCTTTGGGAAGGTGTTGAGGGCAGCTCTGCATCCTCTTCAGATACATCTCCCATGCGGATCGTTCTGCGGGCACGAGGGGTGACGTTCTGCGGCTTCGACAGGCGCAATTGTTCCGCACCAGCAGACGCGTGGTCCGCATGCTCCTCTTCAGCAGCGGTGTCCAAAATTGCTTGCTGCCGCGCATCCTTTTCTCCGAGCACAAAAGCGCGCGCTTGTTTTCTTCGAGCGAGTATGTCCCCGCGACCGTTTTGTTTTGAGGCTGCCGAGGCAGAAGAGGGAGGGCGCTTTGGAAGCAGATCAGGGTAGTTGCGCGCGAGACTAGCTTTGGTTGGCGATACAAACGACGGCCGCCTCGGAGGTTGTTTGAGAGGGCTCGAGCCGCGGTCGAAAGTGGCCTTGGTGGGCGATGCGGACGGTCGTCTGGGAGGTTCTTTCAATGGGCTTCGCGATGGCTCTGCGCCGGCAGCGGTGGAGTCTGCTAAGAGCGGTCGGCGCGGGAGATTTTTCCACGGACTAGGAGGTCTGTCGGGCTCCTCGGGCGAAGCAGTCCTCCGTCGCTTTCGTGCTGGCTCGTCCATGGTTGACGCGATCAGGCGGTTCGCAGGCGAAAGAGGTGGCCGGTTCGAGAGGAGAGTCGCGTCGCAATGTAGCAATTGGACTAGAAATACATTGTTTGACGGCGAAAGGGGGCGTTTTAGCCTTAGGAGGGGAGGTGAAGGTCGCTCGACGCGTGGTGCGTGGTTTCGCGCGGTGTGGTCGCGACGGGGGCGTCGGCGATTGGGGCAGCTTTTGCCGACCTGGGAAAGCGGGCGCAAAATGACTTCATGGGCGTGCTCCATTCACTTTTCGTCATCCAGCAGTCGCCAACTCCAACCCTTATCCGCCACCTCGACTCTTGAGTGCAAATACGGTTCCCAGCCATGATACCGTGGAGCGCATAATCCGACATAGCTGTCATTGGACTCTGGACTACGGATCTCGGTCTCACAGAAGATGGAGCACCTAGCACACTCCGCTCGACCGCTGGCATTGCGCCGCAATCTCTGTGCTTCATGCCTTCGGCTATGGAGCAATAGCAACGTACCCATGTCGTCGCGAAGAATAGGTCTTCAGAACAGCGACCGGATACAGCGCCGCTTCAAAGGGTACATCGCCCCGGCTGGCGACCAGGCCAAGCCTTTGGAAGGTTTCTATCAAGGTATGCTGGTATAAAGCAGCCCATGCTCGGCTTTGGCTAATATCATGTGCATAGAGCTTCTTTCCAAGCCTCTGTCCCAGACTCAGTCGGCGACTCGTACCGCACCGAACCCACCACCGCCGGAGGAGCTTCCCAAGACCGAGGAAGAAGAAATACTCGCGAAGGCTAGAGTAGTATTTGGATCAAGGCTGGCGGGGCCCGCGGAACGGAGGAAGGAGATAGCATCTGCTTCGCAGAACGTCGCAGGAGTAATGGTCCCGCCTCGTCCAGAGGAGCCCGATAATTGCTGCATGTCCGGATGCGTCAACTGCGTATGGGATCTCTACCGCGACGAGATGGAAGAGTGGGCAGCCAAGAGTGCAGAAGCCCGTGCCAGACTGCAGGCTCAAAGAGAGGGCGGACAGGGTACAGGAACTATGTTGGCCGGGAAAGGTACTCCCACGCATGTGGCCACCAGCATGGACGACGATGGCGGAGGGAGTGAAACCAATTGGGCAGCAGACTTAGGACAGGCACACCTGTTCGATGATATACCCGTCGGAATAAGGGAGTTCATGAGGACGGAGAAGATGCTGAGGGAGAGACATAGAAGGGAGCGAGCCACAGCTGCATAGAATAGATGATTGGAATACCCCATGATAAATCACTGTTTCCCTGTCGTTGGTCCGTTGCATCGCTTCGCCGTGCGCCCTGAATTATGCCAGCATCATTGTGTCTAATCCGAGCCAACATCCACACCCTTGGCGGAGAGCTCCTTCCTTGCCTGCTTTATCTGCTCCATCAACTCCTTATGCGCGTCCGGGACGTCGTTGAAGGTGAAAACTCCCCAGCCGAGCTTGAAGAGTAGGTACGCGCCGAAGGAAACGAGGGCCCAGAACGGAAGCTAGGACTCGATCAGCTGGGTTCCGAGTAGCAATCGGTGTAATTTCCGGACGTACCACTGGAACGACTTCTTTCTGGATCTTCTCGGGGAAAGACACTACCTCCATGAACACCGCGAGGTAGAGCTGCTTATATCAGAGGCGTTTCAAGGCAGGCGAGAGAGCGAGGGGCACGCACGGAGGTGAGGAGCATAGCGATCGAAATTGTCTGCTGAGCGCGCGTCATCCTGGCGGGCGAGTCCTTGACGGACGTGGTGAGGGTGTTTTGAGAAAGCTGAGCGAGTGTCTTGGGCGGCATGTCGAGTCCCCGTTGCGGTGATATTTTGCCAGATCGCAATAATTCCGCTAAGCAGCTGGGGCCGATGATCTTGCCCCGGAATGGCACGTGCTCTTGCGGTAGGGAATGCGGATATCTCAGCGAGCGGCCTTCGCAGGTACATACAAGAGCACGTATAGTTAGCTGTGCATGTGATCTGATCTACACAGCGAGCTCTTGATCCAGGAGGATTTTCCGCCGCAAGCACACGTGATAGCCGTGGCACCACCTGCACTTTGGACATTTCTGGAAGGCTAAACCAGCAGCGGCCCGAGGCGGCGGCCACCAGGAACGAGCCATCGTCCGACCACTTTCTCTTGACAATCGTATCACCGGAAAACAAAGAGCGCGTCAGCTGTGCATAGATCTTCGCTTTCCGCTTCTCGATAAGACAGCCTCGCTCTCCAAGCGTATTACCCGTAGACGCCTGCGCACGCACCGCTCGAACACCGATTGCGCATAGGCCACAACCGTCAGCTTCCCCGGATGGTTATAGATACATGATGAGTCCGTGAGCACTCAAGCTTCACCAAGCTTTTGTCTTCCATTTCTTCATGCTTGTTGTTCATCATGCCCTTTTTTAGCGATCAACCGGAGCTGTTCTTGGCGGAGGTGGAGGAGTACCTGGCCGAAGGTCCTAAGAGCGGCGACGAACAGCTCAAGGACATTGCCGTGTGGCTGACGGAGTTCGAGTGGAAGCACGACGTACCAACCACCCAGATGGCAGTTCAGATCCTGGGGACAGCAGTGGGAAGGCAGAGTAAGTCCGCATCTTTTTGCGAAGAATGTTCGGGATGTTAACTTTCTACAGAGACATGGCAAACGCCATTTCGAGAGACCGGCATCCTCGAACATGTGGTCCAGAACCTAGACCCAGCCACAACCCCGGTTGTGCTGGCTAAGCAGTATCTGAGGGTCATTGGCAACTGCGTAGCGGACAATGGTATGCGCTTCATAGCCCGGAGCGTCTTGGCTTTACTGAACCCCCGATTAGATGCCAATCGTGAGCTTATTACAGAAGATTTTGAGAAGCTCCTTGCTTGTCTGCAAGAAACAGAGCTCACGACAACTGCTTTGGCGGTTCTGTTCAATCTCTGCAACGATTTCGGTATGCTTCGTCGCGGAAAACCTTACGGATTAGTAGCTGATCGGTGCAGAACCTGCTCAAATCGAAGCAGCAAAGTCGAGACTGGATAATATCCTTGCAGAATGCCTGGCAGCAGGCAAAATACCTGAGCAAGTTGTCGAATATGCCACGGACCTGCTATCCTACACCACCGAAAAGCTCTCGCCCATTCAGCTAGAGGACGACACATCAGCCAGAGTATTCAACAATATCTTGAAGGTATCACTCAATTGTAATGAAGATCATTACCAAGAATACGTCGCAATCTTGGTTCACTACCTGCAGGACCCCGAGTTCCAGCAGAAGGCGGCCAACCCGGATACCTTGGAGAGACTCGTCGACGTCCTGCTAGACTTTGAGACTCGTCTATCACTTGATGAATTCCAAGGAATCTTCCGAGAGCTGGGTGCGCACAGCGACTCTGGCAAGATCATGTCCGAGGAGACCAACGTCATTCTCATGGTCCGGCTCGTCAACTCGCTCTCTGCAATCTCGGCATCAGATGCCTTTGTGCGGAACTTCAAGCTGAGGAGTCCCGTCGTCAAAAAGATCAAGTCGAAGCTGCTGTCGCTGGCGACCTCGCCGTCCACGGTATGCGCTTGCGTAATGCTGGGTAATCTTGCAACCTCAGATCAAGTATGTATCGACATGGTTGAAGATATGGGGCTACACTTGACGCTTATCGGCGTCCTGTCGTCCCGCAGAGAGCCAGCGCTGCTGTACGCTGCCGCCGGATTCATGCGCCACCTCGCCTTCCCAGAAGCGAACAGATCTGTACTAGGAGAATCAGGCCTCATCGAAACGTGCTGCCGCCTCCTTTCCAACAAAGATCCATCAGTCCGCGGTGAAGCAGCGGCAATCCTCTGCAAGGTAGTGTCGAACAACTTCCCCAACATCGAGAAAGTCGTATACGAAGCCATGCCCGAGAACACAACGCCCGCTCAGCTACCGGGGGTCGAAGTCCCCGTACATCCAACAATCCTATACCAGATCGTGACGCAGGCGTTGGTTCCTTCGGCGCCGCTTCCCAGCACGACCATGAAGAACCCGATGATTGAGATTGGGCGAACAATAATCGCCATTCTCCGGTATCTGCGCCGAGCGGATGCAGAAGAGGATGTAGACGCCGTAGCCCGTCACATGTTCAAGACGCCGGTAGTGGCTCGACCGATAGCGCGACTTGTACGTCAACGATTCTACGCCGACGCGAGGTCAGAGGGGCTTTTGGGTCTAGGACTCATGGCGCAGTCGCACGAAGGTGCTGTATGCGTGGTAGAAGAGATGAAGTCGGATTCCGGTCTACTTGAGGCTATTAAGGAATTTGCAGTTGAGCAGAAGAACCAAGGGCAGAAGAGCGATACCGCTGCCGGTAGAGACTACCAGAATGCCGTGGTGCTTCTGCATGGCCTTGCTACGAACGGGGTAGGTCTTGAACAAATTGCACCCGTATGTACAAATAGCTAACAACTGCAGGTTAACGCATTGGATGCAGCTTTGAAAGCCAATGTAGAGTCTCTACAGGCTGAACTCAGCAGGCTCATGGTTTAGCGCTTGGTTCGACACACGGGAGGCGTTCAATAGGCATTTGGATATAGGATATCATGATAGGACGAAGGATACCATGGCTTCGAGCCGCAATTTAGGGTTTCGGAATTCTGGGCGTTGACCGTCGATAGATGCAAAAGTTATCCCATGGATCATACGAGCATCTCTCCACCTTTTTCAAAATCGGTGTCCCTGCATTCCCGCACAAAGATCCCGCAGCATGTCATGTTCCACATGCCCGTAGAAATGCGACCCATGGGACCAGGCCACCAAAGAATCACTACCCATTACAAAGTATCCAGCAAATAGCCATCTTGTGAATTGCAATGAATCATCAAGTGGCAAGACAGTCGCAGAAGTCGCGACGTTACGCTCGTCATCCAACTCGGTGGGCGTAATCAAGACGCTTCTGATTGGCCAGATGGCTCGATCAGGTGACCTCGACTGGGTGCCGATGAAAGCATACCCGTGCCTTCCTAGCGATAGAACTATGGTATATAAACTCACCCTTTGCAGCTTCTACTCATTATTTCCTGCAGCAAACATCTCACGGCTTTGGAATTTCAAGACCTTTGCTACCTTCAGCTTCGATTCGAACGGAGACCCTATCAACGCTCTATCAACAACCTACCAAGACACATCAAGATGACCTGCTGCCAACGCAACAACGGCACTTGTGTGTGCGCCCAGGAGGCTACATGCTCCTGCGGCAAGCAGCCCGCTCTCCAGTGCAGTATGTCGTTCCTTTCTCACTTTGCAAACCCTCCCGCTTTGTGTCATCTCTCGCCCTTCTGTATGACTTGTGCTAACATTGATATCAGCCTGCGAGAAGGCGGCTACCGAGAACAAGGTCCCCACGAACACTTGCATCTGCGGCAAGCGCGCTGAAGGTATGCAAGCCCACGGTTTCCCTGTATGAGGTATCTTTATCCTGACCACTGTAGACGCTTGCACCTGCGGCCGGAGCAGCTCGACTGATGCGGGTTCGTCGCTTGAGACCGACTTTACGACTAAGAAATAGGCGGTTCGGCCTTGGAATGGGAAGTCGGGGCGGGGCGGGGCGACGGGTCATTGGGGGTGTTCAGGCGTTCGATGACGGTTCGACGGGACCTTTCCTATGATTGAATGATAAGCCTAGAATGGGTACCGGGTCTGGCGGGTCTGGTAGCGACCTTAAGGGTTAGCAATTTCAGCTTCGAGTTCTCGAATTCGGCCTTGTGGTGCGCATGTTGTCTGTGTATGTCGACGTTTTGAGACGGTGATGTTAGGATACTCTCCGGGCGTCGATAAAAGGTTTCCTGCCTATGCCTTGTGGAGCCCATGTCTGGACTGTAGTAGTCCCTTCAACCTGCCGTCGTTCAATTCAGTTGCGGAAGCTCGGTGAAGGTGTTTGGGCTCGACAATGTGGAGTCCGCGTATATGGGTTGGAAATAGAAATACCTTTGGCCCAACTGAGCTTAGTCGCTCTGGTCGCCGCCGCCAAGTCCCTGTTCACCTCCACCACGTCCCGCTCTGCATCACGCATATACAGCTGCATAGCGGCAAGTCGCATACGAGCCAATGCGTCCTGCGGCTGCACTCTGTCTCCCTCAGATGTCTACGGTTTTCCTTCATGAATGACGATTAGAGCCTTTCCCGCCGACCCCTTTCGCGACCAATCGCGTCCCTCCACCCCATTACTCCGCCTGAAGTCCCTCGAGGACTAGTACTCTAAACGACCCTTTCCCTCGGCGGGCGTTCGCTCTCAACACCGCTGTTTTGTCGGGCTATCTCCCCGGCGGGAACCGCGGCACCGCGGGCCTCGCGCCTTCGGTATCCTCAAAGATGGCGTCAGGCACGGGAGGAGGAGGCCTCTTTGGCCGGAGTAACTCGGGCAATGTCCCGACCATGCGAGGTATTTGCGAGAGATCTGGATATATTGGCAAGATGCTGATCAGTTTTGCGCAGGCCTGGTCTCCTTCATCGCTGACCTGCGAAACGCCCGGGCTCGAGAGCTGGAGGAGAAGAGGATAAACAAGGAATTGGCAAACATACGGTGGGTGCCCTAGGAGTGCAAATGGATGCGGAATGCTGACGAGGTCTTGCAGGCAAAAGTTTAGAGGTAGCCCTCACATGTCGCATTCCAATTTGCTTATGGCTGACATGAATTCTTCTAGATGGCGGCCTCAACGGCTACCAGAAGAAGAAATACGTCTGCAAGGTATCTCATCCGCAGCATACAATGCAACGAATGTGCTGACCAAGAAAGCTCCTGTACATATACATTCTCGGCTGGAACGTCGATTTCGGACACCTCGAAGCGGTAAACCTCATCTCGGCCACCAAATACTCGGAAAAGCAAATCGGATATCTCGCGGTTACCCTATTCTTACACGAAGAACATGAACTTTTACATCTGGTTGTCAACAGCATACGGAAGGATCTGTTAGACCACAACGAGCTGAATAATTGCCTAGCATTGCACGCGATTGCCAATGTGGGCGGAAAAGAGATGGGAGAGGCGCTCAGCTCCGACGTACATCGGCTCTTGATCTCTCCGTCAGTCCGCCAGTTGCTGTGCATTTGGCGTTGCGCTAATGTGGAACAGTGCCTCGAAAGCATTCGTGAAGAAGAAGGCGGCGCTTACCCTCCTACGGCTATACCGGAAATACCCCAGCATTGTACAGAACGAGTGGGCGGAACGGATAATATCGCTAATGGACGATCCGGACATGGGCGTCGCGCTCTCCGTCACCTCGTTAGTCATGGCTCTGGTCCAGGATAACCAGGAACAGTACAAGGGAAGCTACGTGAAGGCGGCCAACAGGCTCAAGAGGATTGTCGTGGACAACGAATGCGCCGAGGGCTACTATTACTACAAGGTGCCATGTCCCTGGATTCAGGTGAAGCTCATAAGACTACTGCAGTATTACCCGCCTCCCGGTGCGTGCTCCCTTTCACTACATATAGAGAGTATGCTGATCGATGAATCTAGAGGACTCGCATATCCGGAAGCTCATTCGCGAAGCACTGCAGAAGATCATGGACTCCGCGCTTGAAATGCCCAAGAACGTACAACAGAACAACGCTCAGAACGCGGTCCTCTTCGAAGCAATCAACCTTGTAATACATCTGGATACGGAGCAGGATCTGATGGTCCAAATATCGACGCGGCTAGGCAAGTTCATCGCATCCCGGGAGACGAACGTGCGTTATCTGGGCTTGGAAGCAATGACGCATCTAGCGGCGCGAGCAGAGACGCTCGATCCGATCAAGAAGCACCAGTCAATCATCATCGGCTCGTTAAAAGACAGGGACATCAGCGTTAGGAGACAAGGACTGGATCTACTATACAGCATGTGCGATCCGACGAATGCCCAAGCGGTTGTCCAGGAGCTCCTGCGGTATCTCCAATCGGCTGACTATGCGATAAGAGAAGAAATGGTGCTCAAGATTGCGATTCTGACCGAAAAGTACGCCACCGATGTCCAGTGGTATGTCGACATATCACTGCGTCTGATCGCGATGGCGGGTGATCATGTCAGCGACGAAGTGTGGCAGCGTGTCATCCAGATCGTAACGAACAACGAGGAGTTGCAGATATACGCCGCCCAGAACATTCTGCAATATGTCAAATCGGACTGCCACGAGACGCTAGTGAAGATTGGGGCATACCTGCTAGGAGAATTTGGCCATCTGATCGCCGACACCAAGGGATGCAGTCCGATCGAGCAGTTTTTGGCACTCAACGCAAAGATGCGAGGCTGCTCGTCTAGCACAAGAGCGATACTACTATCGAGTTTTGTCAAGTTCGTAAACTTGTTCCCTGAGATCAAACCGCAACTGCTGCAAGTCTTCCGCGCATACAGCCATTCGCTCGATTCGGAACTTCAACAACGAGCATGCGAATACCTCGCGCTTGCCACTATGCCGACCGACGATTTGCTACGGACCGTATGCGACGAAATGCCGCCTTTCCCTGAGCGGACATCCGCTTTGCTCTCTCGACTACACCAAAAGCATGCCACGACAAGCGACAAGCGTACATGGGTTGTCGGGGGTAAGGATGCGAATGCCGATCCCAAAGAATTCAGTCTGGTGCGTTCGAATACCGGATTGAAGCGAAGCTTCACAGAGCCCGTGCGAAAAGACCGTACTCCAGGTGCTGCTAATGGAACGAATGGAGTGAACACCCTCTCGAGCGATCTTGCGGGGCTTGACATGAACATTGATACCAACAAGGTCCTGAAGGCTCCGAACCTTGCCAGCGCTGCGCATCTGAGTCCGGACTGGGAAATCGGATACAATCGCCTCTTACTACGTGCAGAGGGTGTGCTCTACGAGGACGCGCAGATTCAAATTGGGTTGCGAACAGAATATCGTGGGCAGCTCGGTTGTCTTATCTTCTACTTCACCAACAGGTCATCATTCCCAATGGGCTCCTTTACGACAACGCTCGACAACAGATCCGCGGAACAGCTCAAGACGGATATCAAGGGTCTACCAGATACCACCATTGCGCCTGACGGCCAAACTCAGCAGACGATCATGTTCGAAGCCAAGAACGTCTTCGCCAATCCACCTACCATTCGTGTTTCCTACCTCGCAGGCGCCCTGCAAGGGCTGACACTCCAACTTCCTGTCTACCTGCACAAATACATGGACCCTGCCGAGCTCAGCGCCGAGGACTTCTTCAAGCGGTGGAAGCAGATTGGAGGTGCGCCACGCGAAGCTCAGCGGATATTCGGCCTGCGGAACAAGAATTACACGATGAATATGGGATTTGTGAGGAAAGTCGTGCAAGGCTTCCGATGGGGTATTCTCGATGGTGTGGACCCGAATGCGAAGAACATTGTTGGCGCGACGGTGCTGCACACGACTGAAGGGAAGTTCGGGTGTCTGCTGAGGTTGGAGCCAAATTTTGATACCCACGTAAGCCATCGAAACTCGTCGCATGAGCGGTCTAGGTATACTAACGTGCATCAGATGTACCGCATCACCATTCGCGCCACTGATGAAGCCGTTCCGCCCATCCTCATCAAAGCCATGGAGGAGCGACTCGCCCAGGGTGTTGAAGGCTTAAGCTGAGCCACGCAGACGATCCATGGAGGACTATTCTTATCACACCGTACAGTTGGGCAGGCCTTCGTGCAGTCTTGAGGGACGCTTTTTGTAGGTAATGTTTATCTGGGGCGGTGAATGGAGGAACACAGACGCTTATGAATTGACATTTGTGGTTTGGTTGCATTTGTGTGGAGCGATGAAAAGGGACATACCCATAGCTACGCAGGGACAGATATCGGAGCGTTCTAGTTGAGAATACATCGCTGTGTTGTGGATATCGCAAACACCCAACCGCCTGGCTTCAGCTGTGTGTGTCTTGGCCATGCTTCATGAGTCAAATCCACACTTGGACTCTGTTTCAAAGTTCCAGTGGTGTCTCTATGCTACTTTCACATTATCCAATCATTCATCGACCGCCCTCCGTCTGGTCGCTAAAAAAAGGCGGAAGGTTGACTCCCAGCTGCAGCTGTGGCTGAGCGGAAGCCACACGCAGGCGCCTTCGTATTCACAGGCATAAACATGGTGCTGCTCCAGCTCTCAACCGCTTTCTCTGACTTCTTCCCACTAATCTAATCTTTCAAGAAATCTGTGCAAAGCTCGCAATTTCCCTTTACATTCGTAAGCCTTTTCAGACTAAAAAGGACGCGATTCCCACTAAGACTACGGTTCAGCTACCCGTCAACCACAGCATTCATGCCGCCAAAACGCACTTCTTCGAAAGGTGGCCGAGTCACTAAGCCTGCTACCCGGAACAAGATGAAAAAGGACTCGTTTCCTGCTCTCCGCAAACCAGCTGGGAAAGCAACTTCCACATCTACATCCACAACCTCTCCCGCAACCGCCAACATGCCCGCCACCACACCCCCTCCTGCCCCAATCTCTCCCCAGCCAGAGCAAGGCCCCGTCTACTTCTGGCGCCCGCACCAAGCAAACGGCTACCTCGGCCAATGGTACAGCAGCCCCTTCACCGTCGACGGCGACACGTACGCCACAGCCGAGATGTGGATGATGGTGCAGAAAGCACGCCTGTTCAGCGACGAAGCAGTCGCGCAGAAAATGCTAGCCACCACCGATCCGAAACGGCACAGGGCTCTCGGGCGGGAAGCCAAGAACTTCAGCCAGAAGACTTGGGATGATCGTACGTCTCCCCCTTTCCCTTCCCCTTCTCCTTTTCCGTCGCAGCATTCAGGGAATGAGACAGTTTTGGCTGACTGATATGTTGTGGGGCAGATAAGCGCGGGATTGTAGAGCAGGGCACGTATTATAAGTTTACGCGCTCGGAGGAGGCGGAGAAGCTGAGGGGCTTGTTGTTGGAGACGGGCGAGAGGGAGTTGGTGGAGGCGAGCCCGATGGATAGGATTTGGGGCGTCGGGTTTGGGGAGAAGAATGCGGGGGCGAATCGGGGGAGGTGGGGGCTGAATTTGTTGGGGAAGGCGTTGATGGGGATTAGGGGGCGGTTGAGGGAGGAGGAGGAGGGGAAGGGGAAGGGGAAGGAGGAGTAGGGGCATTGATGGAATGGGATGGGGTGGTGGGACGGATGGACGGACGGGGGGTGTCTTCTTGGGATATTGGTCATGGGGCGTTTGAAACTACTTAGCACAGTTTGATTACTTCACGCGTGTTGTAGAGCTACAAGGGAAACAGGTATCCATTGGTTATCAGTTTAGTCGTAGCTCCTCAGAGACTGGGTATCAAGGAATAAACAATCATCAAAGCACAGTACAACCATGCGGACCACATCGAGGGCGCTTCTTCTTAGGAGTATAGAAGCCATCCTCGTCCGTCCAAGGCCAGAACAGCAAATCCGGATGGTCCTCCGCCAACTTCGCCGGAACAATCTCCTCTTCACTGCCCCGTCCTTCTTGGACTTCGCAAAGATTATCGCGACGCAGGAATCGCTCGACGCGAACCCTCTCCGACTCCACCTGGTGCTCGGTCCACAAGCGCACCTCAGGGCTCATCCTATGCTTGTTCCCTATGGTCCAGGTAACCAGCCGCTTCTGCCGGGCCCGCACGTTGTGGTTCTTGCGGTTCTGGTCGAAAAAGTAGCGCATGGCGACGGCTGTGAGATCCTCGTCGTAGACACGCTTCTTGCCAAACGAATTGTAGGCGCGCGCGACGAAGTCTACTTCGCGGAAGAACAGGGAGTACGTGCGGCGCCAGTTGAAGGAGAGCTCGCGCCGAGAGCAGTCGACGACAACATCGACGAGCTCGGTGTCGTTCACGGTGGAGTGAATTTTGATGTAGAAGGGCGGGCGGTCGCCGCGGCCGATGCTGGTCATGGCGCGGATGGCCGTGAGGTAGCTCTTCTTGCGGTCTCCGGAGAGCGTGTTCCGCCAATGTGTGTGCTCCCGCTCCCACAGCGGAGGGGCGCCAGAGGCCTTGCTCTTGTGCAGCACTTTGGGTGTCGGCTTCAGCGTCTCCTTGCAGTACCGCTCCATGAAGGGCAGCCAGCCACGCACGGAGCCCTTGTACCGTGAGACGCTATCTATCTCGTTGTATTCCCGCTGCTGGAAGACGGCTCTCGTCCCGTCGTCGGAAAAGCGATCGAAAACCATGGGGACGTGGATGTAATTATTGACCGGCCCGTGGCGCGTGTGGATGTCACTGTAGTGCAGGTCAATCAGGGTGTTCTGGAGGACGCCATGGCGGAAGAACGCGTCGACGCAGGCGCGAAGGAAGTGCGAGACGTTGCGGCAGGCCGACCAGAGGAAGGTGATGTCGTCGAGCTCGTCGAAAACGAGCAGCCAGATGTCGAGATGCAGTTGCGGAGACGGGGCCGCCATAGTGCGAATCCTAAGGGGCAGGGCGGCAATCAGCCTGGACCGCCGATATATTGGCCGCTGTCCATGGTAGCTCGTCGATAGAGGTGCTGCAGGACGTCGAGGCTGAGTCTATGGATACGATAGACAAGACATGTCAATATATGCGGTATTGCAGTATAGGAAGGATGGCGGCCCCGGCGTCTTCTGCCAATCAGCGCGGCGTCGCGGGGAAAAAGTGCGGAGGCGGGATGAACGGGCATCACGTGGAGCAAGCGCACGCCGTGGCTCTCCAGTTCTTCGTCCAACCTCATATCACGAGAGCTTCCCAGACCTGCGAATGCGCCTCAAAAGCCGCTGCTGCGACGCTACATCGCCCGCGCAGCATCCTCGCCATGTCGACCATGATCACCTTCGCCGCCAACAACGAGTTCTTCCGGAAGCGCAAGCGTGCGTCGCCCTCCGCGCAATAATGAATAATGCGGCCCTGCTAACGACTGCTCCAGGCGTCCATCGCGCATGTGAATCCTGCAAGAAACGAAGGGTGAGCCCAGCGCCGGCGAGATACGCGCCCTCGGCTTTGTGGCGGTCGTGTTCTAACGGTCCAGTAGAAGCGCTGCAGCCATACCTTCGACGATGAAGACACCGAGGCCGGAAGCTCTACCAAAAGCGGACAACCCGCGCCCCATCCTACCTCTGATCCTCATGGTTATGCGCTCAATAGCCATCACCATGATCCGAGGATCCAGCGGGGGGATGCGCACGGCCATGGCCACGCCCACGCCAACATGTCGCCCTACAGCCCGACCGAAGACCCGCGCGCCTCGACGCCCCCGAACTTTCTGGGCTACCTCAACCCCGAGGCCGTCTTAAGAGAACAGGTCAATTCCGAGCGAGGGAAGCTGACACAGTCGCCCATCATCCCGTCAATCGGCCAGTGGATCGAGGGAGAGAACCGCAGACCATCGACCAGCCAGCCCGGATCAGCACTACCGCGGCTGGATGGGACGAGCCCGCAGTCTAACCAGGAGGCCAAGGTCGAGAGAGCACTCAACACGTATCTGGATGCTGTAGGCGTGTCGATTCTCCCTCCCCGCAGGAGCCAGGATGCCCTTTTCGACATCTACTTCAACTACGTCCATCCACTGCTCCCGCTCATCGACAGGAACCTCTTCTCGGAGCAGTACAGCCAGGGCACAGAACCCCGGATGCTGATGCAAGCAATATGTATTGTGGCCTCCAAGCACGCCGACGCCGCCGAGTGTCTGTGTCTGGGCGACGACCCTCGCCGGATGGGTCCGCGCGAGTTCTCTCACCGGCTGTACAACGCCGTCATCGCCGGAATCGAAGCCAAGCTGGAGAAGAACCGCGTGGTACTCATTCAGGTACTGGCACTGATATCACTACATTGCGAAGGCCCAGATGGTGCTGAGCAGGCGTCCATGCATCTTGCCCAAGCCATCCACCACGCTCACACTTTCGGACTGCAGTTCGGGCACCAGTGGAAGAACCAGAAGTCTGAATTCCAAGAGAACCTAGAGGATCTGTTCTGGTGTTTATGGAGTCTCGACAAGATCAACGCTTGCATGAACGGGCGACCGTTGATCATGCACGACCGCGACAATAGCCTGACCAGGCTGCCCACCGATCCAGAGAAGAGGTCGAGTCCCTTCGGCGTGTGGCTGCAGATATCTGAGATGCTTGACAAGGTCATCGACTACTACAGGCCAGGCCGCTCTGTCGAGGAGACTGGCTGGGAGGGCGACGACTTTCTTGGTTTTGAGGAGATGGTTGGGGACGGAGAAGACAAGCTAGAAGGACCGATTATGAGTATGCATACGCTATGCCGATGACCCTCAGCGTACTGACACAAGACCAGGCCTCCTATCCCTCTTCCACCACACCATGTGCATGGCGTCGCACAAGTCGCTGTCTATCAACGCCCCGGTAAAATCGACACCATCGTATGTTCGCCAGAGTCTTTCTGCTACCCGTGTAATCCACCTGCTCAATGCCGAACCCCCGGAGCGCCTCCCACCGCTTCCCCTTGTCCCCTATGCGCTCTCTGTCGCGCTGAGTGTAGTGTACCGCCATTTCCGATCGCGCCGCCTCAAAGTCCACATCAACCGCGCCACAGAGGAACTCAAGCAATGCGTCATACTGCTAAACAGGTTACGCTATGCATGGTGGTCAGCGGGCACCATGGCAGACCTCGGCATGGCCGTGCTGAACAACGCGGACCGCAACACCCGCGCAGCGAACACTCCCGCCACCATCGCTGAACAACCGTCGCGCTCTGAAACAAAGCCGGAACCGGGACAATTCTCTGCTCAAGCTGCGCAGCAGTCGGCGGGGCCCGGAAATTGGCAGTCCACGGACACCACGCCAATCGACCCGCGTCTCCAACAGGCTCCCACGCCGGCAATGACGAACCTGCTCAACCCGCTTCCCGCACCGACTCCCGGCCAGCATCCCACGAGCAGCGAGCGAGCAGACAGGACGGCCCAGCCGCTTCCCGCGGGCTTCGACTTCTCTGAGGCGTCGCCCGACTGGCTCAATTTCGATACCGCGTTTGAGAACTTCGAGGGTTTGCTGGGAAGTTCAGGCGCGGATCTGAGTAACGAGCTGTTCAAGCCGCTCAATTATGAGAGCCTGGATGGGTTCCTCGATCCTACGACGTAGCTCGGGAAAGCGTGGGATAACGGAGGAGAGAGAGGGCTCTAACGACTTATGGTGGATTGATTGCGGTATGTTTATACATTGTTGATTTTCTTCTTCTGTAGATCCGAGACACTTCCTACTCGGCATATTGCTTTTTGTATACACGGGACATAGGGGAACTGCACTCTGGGCGTTTGTGTGTTGTCTTCCGGGCTAAGGAAAATAGGCAAGTGGCGCATGGGGTGGTCATCTCAATTCCTCGGTTACGGTTTTCTCTCGATGCATGGGGAGTATATGTAGTAAAAGGCGTAAGGGTATATAATGATGTGACGTGCCATGCCATACTATACAAAAAGGGGGTCTTTTGGAAACTCGATCTATTTGCTGTGTGCTTGTATGGGGAGGCTGTCTTGCGATAGGATAGGGGGGTTGGTTAACCCGGCGTTTTGTGCAATTGCTCTTATTCGAGCTGCACGTCAAGGTTTTTCCACTTCTACATTACGCCACTGCTCAAGAGTCGTCAGACGGCACTTGCACTCGTCTGATAGCGCGCACTCTTCACATCCCCTTCGTCTACTAGTGTAGCATACGACCACGGAGCGAAAAAAAAAAGCTAAAAGTCATATCCTCTCCAGAATCCGGTCCCGTCCTCAGACCTCGCACTTCCTTTTCAGCCCGGAAACTGCTACCTACCTGCCTACCTACTCTAGAAGACACCAAAGTGCCACGCCGCGAAGGGGAGAGGGTAGAAGACGTCGTAGCGACGGCAGAGAGCAGGGCTAAGGGTGCCAGGCTAGACGCGAAGGTCGCTGGTGCGTTGGATGAGGCGAGAGCGAGGATTGCACGAAGGGAGTAGATGGCTTCTGGGCCTGATCAAGTTAGCCTCGGAAGAGCTGCGGAGGAAGAGAGGGCAAGGAGCGGGACGAGGAGCGGAGACTGCAGGACAGGCTTTCCATAGAGTTCGCGAGCTTCTAGCCCAGGACAAGAAGGAAGCAGACAGACCACGCCGCGGCACTCGGGATCAGGAGGAAGCCGCGCATGTCTAGAGAACAGGTCGCATACACGCATATGCCGGTCTCCCCAGGTAGCGCGAGTCCACTGAATCTTCCCTTGCACGAGTATAGGAGCGAAAAGCCGCTCGTAGGGATGAAGGTAAGGGAGTGGAATGAACACAACCCATAGTGTAACCAGATCGTGAAAGTGACGGTCTACAGTCTAGCTGCGTAACGGAATGCTGCTTCCAGACTCAGTGGTCAATGTCCCAGGGGTTCCGGGTGTTCAAGGAGGAAGCGGTGAGCAGTGGCGAAAATTTATGATTGAGGTTCTACAGGACTCGGTATCGAGGGTGGAGTCTGGACGGCTAGAAGCATCGGGGATTTAGATACCCTTGCGTGCTTGTGCGGGTAGGAGGCTCTAGGTGGAAGGTATGCGTTCAGAGATCACTCTGACGCGAGCTCCGAGGGTTAATCAAGGTGTAATGGTATGCCATCGCGATCCATGACGACGGTAGCTACAGTCAACTTGTGACAATCCATGGATTCGATCTGTGATAGGTTGGTGGCTTTGGAGGCCTTTCCGCACCCATCCTCCACGGGGCCTGGGTTTCTGAAAGAAGATCTCGTGGCATGCAAGAACAATGCGGGGAAGTATAGCTGGAGGAGCAGGGAAAGCAGGTGGGTGCGTGAGTTGCAGACGTGGTTGATTGGTTTCAAATTCTCCGATGCTTGCTCCGTGCGGTGCAACGAGGACTCGACGAGAATGGTTGCATACAGCGGGGTAGGCGGCTTTCAACGTAGGTGGGAACATCGGGAAGCTCAAGGTGACGCTCGTCGCCCCAACCAGTCTGGAGGCTGAGACCGGGTAGGATGAGTGCCGCCGTAGTACACGACAGACACGCCGCTGGCCAACCTATGCGGGTCCGTCGTGGGAAGTCGAAGCTCGGTCGGTAGCTCCGTCGACGGGTGCTTACTAAATTAACACTTACTAGAGCTCTCCAGGGATAGCATCGGGAGCAAGTAGTTTGCATCGGAGGGTGGTTTGAAGGCACGAAAACTGAGTCATGCCTCACCCACAACTCCAAAAAGAAGACACCAAAACGTTGCTCTCTCTGCTGCATGTTTGGATGACGTGCATACCGCATCCTGCGAGGTCGGTACCAGAGCGAAAAGGCGATGCAGCTCGCCAGCTCACCTTGCTGCTGTCCAGGGCTTCCCAGCCAACAGCACCTTCTCTTTCCCCTGGATCCGGGCGTTGCGGGACTACCTGAAAGCCGACGTGGAGAAGAGCACCAAGTTTCGCGGTACCCGGGAATTGCCTCGTCTCGTCTCGTAGGCGCCGTGGCTAAGCGGCACTACGTCTCTGGCGGCGATGTTTTTCGTGGTGGCCCACTGTCGGCCCGCGGAGCTAGGCCGGAGCTGCGTCGTTTCGTTGTCGGGCACTGTTGCGGGATGGGCTGCCGTCTGGTGGCGAGAATGATGTGGAAGGGAGGTCTGACAAGCGTAGCGCTGAGATCTGAGAAAATGCTGTGTAAGGAGGTGAAGGAAGGGATGAGCGAAGGATGGTGTGGCCAAGAACGTATGCTACTCAGCATCGCGGCCTCATGAGGAAAGAGCGTTCGATAGTATGCCCAATCGCCCGTCATCGAGATTCTGCATCTTTGCGTAGGCAACCGCGGGTACATGCTCATGCTTTTACTGCTCAAGGCCTTGGGAAACGAAAGACAGGGTAACCTTTGTCCAACAGCCCTTGAGGAACACCGCTCGGCACACCGGCTTCGGTCTTACCTGTCAACTGGTAATCAGGCGGGTACAGAGTACAAAGGCCAGACTGCAAGCGCAAATAACGAGAGTCGCCTATCCCTTACCTTGAGACACGGCTATGCCTAGCTGTCAACCTTGTGCTTGCTTACTCGTACAAGCATCTATAGGTGAATCCACATGGTAGCTTTCCGAGCACTAAGACTTGGGCCCGAGAGCCGTACATCCAGAGCCAGCCGATTGCTTCTCGGGCCGGTCGCACAATGACGGGTAGCCGCCGGAGCAAGAGCGCGGGATTAGCACAGCACATCCCCTCGTGGACTGCAAGGGTAAGAGAGGAGAAAAGCGAACAGTGGTGACACATGAGGGTGCAAAGTCAACCTCGATCTGCGGGTGTCCAGTCTCGGGACGCCGTAGTGCAGCCTGTGTCAACGATTGTGCCCCGGAGACCCTAGGCGCACGGCTGGTGACCCAGAGGAGCAACATGTTGACAGATGGCGCACGTCGTGCTATGTGGGTTGGAATACGTACGAGCGTGGAGCAACCATCGGTCGATGCTGTGTGAGGTCGCAGGGTGTCAGAAAACCAGATTTTAGACATGTTTACCGAACTGTACGACCACAGACGGCCCTGCGAGACCGCCGACGAGACCTCTGCGTTACCTGGGCGTTTGAATGGTTCCGAAGAGGGTGAGGCGTGCGGAGAAGCTCGCGAGTATGGAGTTTCTAACACTTTCTGGCACAGGTGAGGATGGAGTGAGCATGCACAGTCCCATCGTTTCTCATCCTCAAAGTCGTGGCTCCACTGGTCTGATGTACGGACGCGTTGGCCCTGTGTCGAGCTGCGCAGACGGCAGATTTAGCCTGAGGAAATGCAAGTCCAATCCGCGTCTGAGGAGGTGACGCCTTCATTGGGGTGTGTCGAATCTGCTGCCTAGTGGTGTGAGTAAACGGTGTCTCACAGGCTGGTCCTGCGGTAAGGTTGATTGAACAGACATCTTGAAATTGCGTCCATCCCGGGCCGCATCAACGGAAACCGCGGTATAGCATTCGCGTTTCGCCGGCACAAAGAGGTGATGGTGATGATACAGAACGTGACTCGTGATGGTGGTCGAAAAGCAAACACCCACTACTCAGGCAAAATGGCATGACTACGGATGCTGGCCACGGCAGGTGATCTCGTAGGGCTGAGAAGGGAAGGTTCGTGAAAAGCATGGATCCCGTCCCGAAGATAGCACCGGCGGCGCGCATTGTGACACGAGCAAACAGCCACTGGAGCTTGCTTCAAGCAGCTCAGCCATCATTACCGAGACCTGCTGTCCCGTCTGCGTGTTCCATTATGCGCAGCTTCCGATCATTGCCTATTCAGACTCGTCGTCGAGCACTCGCGAGGCAGAAGCGGGATCGGAGCGAAATGTGTGGCTTGTGAAGGACGACGACAGGGTGCATGCTGCGCGTCGACGCTCGGAGGAAACAAGAGGCGCAGAATCGGCACATGGCTGCTTGGGTGTCGCAATGAATTCAGCCTCTTGTGCTGCAGGAAGGAGGTAGGTTAATGTAGCCATGGGCTTAGTGTGTATCCTCCGTGGGGTTGAAGCCGTTGTTGAGCGACGCAGCAATCAGTCTATCGCACCACAATACTCGTCGTATAGGCACTGCTCGGCGGTCAGCTTAGGGGTGCTATAGTACCCAGCGAATGGGGACTAAGCCGGAGACATGGCAATATATTCTGAGGACACAAAACCAGGACAGGACCAGAACTCAGGTGTCAGAAGTTGCCACTCGCGCGTACCCGAGGCGCCGATAAGGTTCAATCAATCGAAAAATTAGTAGTGGCCGCATGCGAGCGGACTCAACTGCTGGGTCGGATACGACGGACAGGAGAGAGGCAGCTGTTTGAGGGAATTACTGCTGTGGTGAGAGCTGGCCGTGATGCTTGCCACACCAGCGTTGAAAGTGGCAGGCTAGGCCGAGATCATGATACCCACATACGCACGCCATCTCGCGAACGAACGCCCTCACTAACTCGTTATACGGGGATACGCACATGCTCTCCCTCCTATTCGTGAGCTGCGCGAGAGACGCTTGCTTTTGCTAATCATTCCTCATCAGATGACCAAGGATTCGACGCCTCCAAACGCTCTGCAACACAGGCAACGGTGCATCGCGATTCCGGTGACGCCCCTCGTCTGCAGCATCTGCTTTACCTGTTTTGCGCGCGCAGTATCTAGATTAAGCAGCTGAAGACCGACAAGGGTTGATTGGGGATCCAAGCCCAGCCTTCTCACCGAGAAGACAGAATTTGCTCGTCACTACGGCTGACTGGCCGGATGGCTGCCTATAGTACGATGGTATGCCTCCCAACGGCATCAGTCCTTCAGGAATTATGACTGCCTTGCAGCAACGGGATACATGCTCTATCCCAACCAATCCAGTCCTCCTTCAGGCTGCATAACCGACCACCGTAGTATCCGCCGGGGCCGCCTTGGAATATTGGCGGCCGCGCCCCTCTCAACAGTGAATAGCGGGCATGGGCAAAATCGACGACTGCACATGGGAGTCTCGATCGTGCATCCCGTCATCAATCTCCAGTCCACTTCTCCCCAATCTATCTGATTAGTCTAGACTAGTCAAGACTAGTATAGGTGTAAGGCGGAGCCCCAGGTGCCGGCTCAATCCTTCCCTTCCATGCCCATGTGCGTTGCCTGTCGAATCAGTCTACTGCACGCTACACCCTCAGCACGCATGCGCAAATGCAAACTTCGGGCCCAACGGAACCGCTAATTCGCTCGCCGCTTACATTGTGCTTTGCAGCTGCATGCGTGGACCTGCGCGCCCTGGCCTGGCCAGTCAGCCATCTGCAAGTGGGTGGGGGTGCCTCGAAGATGGTTGGCTGCTTCACTTGTGCAAGACGAAAGGCCGTTTTTGGACGCTTGCTTTTGCTAAAGGACGCCAGGCAGGGATGCTGCATTGGCGCACAGCTTTGTGTCACCGACTTTAGACGTTAGGTTTCGATGGACGTTGGACCCTTCCAGCGATCGCAGGAGGCTGTCGAGGCTGGATGGGAAGGCTGGTTGCGGAGCCATGGACAAAGCATTCACCAATGCTGTTGAAGAGCGTGTGGCTGTCTTTTGGCGATGCAAACGAACCGTTGCACCGCCTTAACGTATCTTTGTTGAAGTACTTGCCGTGGGCAAGACGTATATATCCGCATCTTTCAGGACCAACTACCGTACAGTGTGAGCCAAAAGGTGTGAACCTGCTCTGGTATCATGAAAGGAAAACAAATGACCGTAATGACGATGGATCCTCTATGGTATCCATGGTCCAGATTAGAAGAAACTCCGTGTAAATGCCTCAAGATTCCCCCTTCAATAGTCGTATCGTGCAGCGACAGAAGCTCAAGAACGTAAAAACAGGTATCCACACATGAAAAGAAAGAACAACCACCTCGCCGTCTAGGCTTCGGTTTCCCAAAGTTAAAGGTAGTACGACACCATCCTGGCCTAAAGGTCTAAATCCAAGGCGTTTTCGTCGTGAATGGAAGAATGTTCGAGGGATCCATGATGCCCGAGTCTATTTTGGAACGCCGGAGAATCCAGATTCGCACCAACACCGTGCAGAACACCGCTAATAATATCATCTGATCATGACTTTTCGACTGGAAGGAAAATATGAACACATCGTAGAAGAGCATCCGGTGTAAGGGTCCGCGTGGCCATCGTGATTGGTAGCTTAGTAGACATGAACCGGGGCAGCCATCATAGGTGGCTGGAACGAGACATGTTTGACCAAGTTGGCTGCCTGGATGAATGGATGGAACCATGTGTTGGCCGGTGGAGGAGAAACGTATGTTGAGTGAACCGCTCGAGCAGGCAGCTTCTGAGTCGGTGGAGGAGTAACGTTTGTGAAGGACGACGTAGACGAGGCTGACGAAACTGATGAACAAGAAGAGAACACAGAATCGTTGTCCGAGTTGGAGCTTCCTGAGGAAGTCGAGTGTTGAGGGTAGGGTAGTTCCCAAGCCGGCGGAGAGTAGATCGGACCCGGGAGAGGAACAACGGAAGGGATAGCAGGAGGCTGGTAGCAGCCATTGAAAGCACCCGCCTGGGAGCAGTCCACTGGAGAAAACGGTGGAGAAGGTAGAGGCGTAGGGGCTATAGACTTCGTGGCGGTGAACCTGGAGCACCTCTGGATTAGTTCGCGGAGCTCGGCGATCGTGACCCGTCTGGCAGGATTGAATTCGAAAATGCGCCTTAGAATGGAATCCAGCTCCGGAGAAATGGGAAGAATGGACCTGAGAAATTTGGGATCCTTCATGTAGGCTCGGAAGGTGCTGTCCTCAAAAGAGGCGCGCTTCCAAGGGTTGCGTCCGCAGGTCAAGTTCACTAGAATGACTCCCAGGCTCCACACGTCATTGGGTGCTGACGCATAGCAAGAGTAGGCCTTGGGCGCGGATGTTTGGCATTCTGAAAATGATTAGCACGTGACTCATAGTCACAGGTGCTGTGGAACTTACCGGGCGACATATAGAAAGTCGAGCCGCATCCAAAGTCGGACGTGATGTGGTCGTTCGTTGCGAGTCCAAAGTCGGCGAGCTTGCAGGTCATGCCCTGGTCTGTTACCAAGATGTTCTCCGGCTTCAGGTCCCTGTGGTAAATCCCAATGGAATGGCAGTACTCCACGGCGTCCAAGATCTGGAGGAAAGCTCTCTTGGCTAGAGCGTCATTACCAACGTACTTGCCCTGCTCGGTGATGTTTGAGAAGAGATCGCCCTCGGGGCAGTACTCAATGACAACGTAGGTGCAGTCCGGAGCATCCATGATCTTTACCAAGGAAACCACATTGGGGTGAGCGCTGGCCTGGTGGTGAAGCTGGATCTCTCGTTGCTGGAACTTCCGCTGCCGGGGCTCCAAGCCAAGCTTGTTCAAGGCCTTAACGGCATAGGGCGTGTTTGTCTGGATGTCCACGGCTGTGTAGACAACTCCATAGGCCCCTACTCCGAGGATACCGGTCAATTGCAGTCTTCCGGCAAGGACTTGGCCTAGACGGTCTTCCGGCGCGCAGAATCCATTGAGGGTTGGTGATGCTGGCGGCGTCGGCAACATGCTGTGGTCGAAGAAGGTAGGGGGATGTCCTTGCAGGTCCACTGAAGGCCTCAAGGACTGCGATTAAGTACTCCTGGGGAAGACAACTGGCCTTGATGGGTCGATGCGTCCAATATGGATTCCCGTGAACGGAAGTTCTTAAGGAAAGAGACAGCAACGTATTAAACAAACAGAGATCCCAGGGACATTAAGACCAGATCCGGTGGCGTCAGGCTGAGGTGTGGTTGGTCGAAGCGGAGAGACAAAGGATGGCGAGGCTGGAGGAGGTAGAGAGCGAAGGCTGGTAACAGTGGTGAAGGAGTGTGGGAAGGCGGAGGTGGTTGTAGGGTGGGAGGCAGATATGAGGTGAAGTGTGAGGCGGTATATGATGTATGTTGTATGAGCACGGCTGGGCACCAGTGATAAAGAGTGAATGCTCGCGGGCGGCCCCTGCTAGTTATTGGCTACTGGAAGCCCCGGTTTCTGTAAATATAGGGAAGGATGAGCCTAGGAGCGGCGCTATGACGAAGACGGGAGGCAGGGTGAGGGCAGGACAGGCCACCCGCGGTCCATCAGCGAAGATGGCCACGCTGTGGGTGCCGCTAAAACCGCTGGTCCCACTTATGCAACCACCCTGGCGTGCCCACCTCGAGCAGGGAGGCGAAAGTGAGGGATTGGCGCCTTTACCCAGTCGGCGCTAGCTTGCGTCCAACAAAGCTACCGAGCCCGCGCCCTGATTCATGCCGTCAAACCACTCGTCAAAGCCCCGGGCTTTGCATCCCTCCGCTGCTGGCCGGGCGGCTGTGTTGGTCACCCAATCACTCGCTCTGCCCGTCAGCACGGCCGCCGCTGCGGTCTCGCATGCGTCCTGGCACGAAACAGGGTGACACACCACCGCAGCGCAACACTGGCGGCATCTGGCGGGCTCGATGCGCGCATTGCAGCAGCCTCGAGGCCCCAAAAGCATCTGAGTGCAGTAGCCCATGGGCCAGCGAGAGCGAGCGGACCCGAGCGCTGTGGCGTTGCGCTGGCCCTCTCCGCGGGCCTGCCGGCAAAGGACACCTTGCCCACGGCCAGTCATCTCATGAACGAGAGGCAACACGACGCACGCCCAAGCCCCGTTGCAAGCCCAGCGCGCTCTGGTTGGCCGCCTCCCCAGCCTCTTTCTCGAAGACTCTCACGAGGCCCCGGCAGGCCGAGCGTCTGTCACCGGCCCAACACACGCAAACAGGCCGCGCCTCGCCCCAAAGAGAAGGCTGAAAGCGAAGCTTAAGCCGCTGTCGGCTAGCGTGGTTAAAGAGCCTGCAAAGCCTGCGAGAGCTTACGACGTCGAAGAAAGTCGTCGCGCACGGCCGGCGTTCGATAGCCTTCGCTGGCCCCGAGCCCATGACGAAACCAGCCCACCCGACGACGATCTTGCAACGCCTGCGGCACTGCTGTTCTGACTGTCATGCCGCCATCAGACCTTTTGTTCCGTCTGCCTGAACCCGGCCGGCGTGCTTGACTCTTGAGCCGCGGTCACGTTTCGGTTTCGTGTTAGTGGAGTCACTGCCGCCGACCGCCTTCCAAGCGTCCTTTGTCTGTCCCGTGCCTCCCTCTAATTTTGACTCCTCCGCTGCCGCCTCGCGCTTTGTGGGCGAGCTGTCTCGAACAGTTTGAGCGCCAAAGAGCGTTGGCCATGACACATGGCTTTCGGCGCCCGATTGGATCCTGCTCCGCGTCGAAGACTGTGCGACCGCAGCGTCGCCCTGCCGCAGCCCCTGCGCTGATTGGCCCCGCCCAATATATTGCCAATCTTGCCGTCGCCCGACCGATTCGCGCTGACTAACAAAACCGTTCGCCTTGAAGGCTTCGCGGAGCATCAGCAGTCTTGCCTGTTTTTAGCGGGATCCAGTGACACGCCACGCATCCCAGAATTTTCGAGAGCGAGCAAATGGCGTCGGAGATTATTTCTGCATTGCTGCCAATCACTATTCTTGAGTCTCGGATTTGCCAACATGCTTGTCTCAAGCCCCGCGCCGTCTTGTGACCAGAACAGTCACCGTCCTTTTGCCATGGCTCAGCTAGCGAACTTGTCCCAGCCCTTTTGCAAACGTGTCAGGTTTCGCAATATCGAATTGCGGCGAACTCTCAACGAACGGTGCCGTGCTGAAGGACCGATGACGGCTGGAAAGGGGCGTCCCAATCTGAAGATCGAAATGTCATGGCTCCCAGATCGAGCAAGGGCGCCTGCAACGCCGCGAATTTTACCGGCGCACACCCTCCTCTCGTTCCAAGGTTTCGTATTCACGCCCGTTGGATTATTAACGAACCGCGCTTGTCCGTAGTGGACAGTCTGGACCAGGGTTTGGGCCAGGGGGCGGCAGGTGCTGACGGTAAACGAGCCCGTCGCAAAAGAACCCGCAGGTCTTTGTCTCTTCTCGCAGCGTTCCGGCGTCATCCGTGCATACAGTCGGTGCCAGCCAAGCTCCGCTTCCCGCTGGCTGAACTTTGTTGCTCGCACGCGAGCGGGAGATCTGTGAGTCGGAGCGAAATTACGCTGTCGCCGGCACTTTGAGTCACGCTGGTCGTACCGACGATACCACACCCAAGTCCTCATCTGCGGTCGAAATAGAAGACCGGGCCCAAGGGCATGGCTATGGATTGCTCTTGGGGCGCCTACAGCAGTTGGCAATAACTTTTGCTCATCGGAGTTTCCTTTCCTGGAGGCTCAGGACCTGTACTCATTTCTCTAAATTTTGCCCCTGAGTACTCCCAGCGCACAGCGGTGAGATGCAGCTTCATAGAATTATTCTCGTCAAAGCTGCAACTCTCTCTGCCAACCAAAGACCTTACGCAGAAACTCTGCTCGCTTCTAGTACCACGGTTAGATAAATCGCGCGTCTAATGCAGAGACTTGCATCTCTGTTGCAGACGGACTTTGGAGACGGCCAGAGTAAAATTCAATCATCTCAGCGTTGAGTGGTGAGCTCCTGTCGTTATTCACCGCCGCTTGAGTCCTCAGGCAAGCATAATCCTAGGCGCGTTTGGGGTTAGCGTGAAGGCCTCCGCGATGATCGAGCAACGGCCCAGGTGGGATGGAGGAGACGGGCCTTATCGATACCTAGGTACGAATCAAAAGCCCTACCCCTGCCCCTCCATCGCATTCGACGGCGAGCTCGACCTTCTGCATGTCCACGAACCCTAAAAGTACGCTATGATAGCACGCGAACGAGTAGCATCGCCAATGAGCACCAGAGATGCTTCCGCCGCCATTCCGATGACCAAACGAATGCGCAACGTGGCTGGCGCGAGGGGGCAGGAATGTAGCAAGCAACCTGATGGCCCACAGTGACGCCGTGCTGCGACGACGATCTTCCCGCAGGGCCTCAAAGGCCCACACGGCGCCGGTCAAGGGATTCCAGACTCGCACATCAAGCCTCTAGCTGGCAGGTGACGGGCGTATGACACCACACCAGCCTCCTCGGTGTTGCGTTGTTGAGCGGCATCTTGATGTTGAGCCCACCACAGCCTGCCACCCTCTGTGGCTCTCCCTTGCCTCCTTCAGCCTTGATGCGAGACAGCATTGGGTGGCTAAACTGCCGACAAGTCCCACGAAAAGCCTTGTTAACCGCTCCACAGCCGCTCAGAGTCGTGCGCTTCAACGCCTGCTCGCTCATTGGCCTAATGCCGGGAACAGGCCAGTCGAGGGTCACACCGCTCGCTCACTGCCCGACCATACCAAGACATGATCTCCAGGCATGGACGTTTCGTTGCTATGGAAGGTCCGACTTCCGGAAACATTCTATTCTGGATCTTTTCATGCTTTGGATGCGCTGTCGACATGGATCCACCATCGTGGGAGTTTCTGCGATGGGATGCCCCGGCATTACCATAATTAATTCCGCGGTGATCAAACAATGGAATTGGGATGGACGCCAACGTCCAACCACGGTCAACGGAAAAAAAGGACCATCTCTCTCGTGCAGCTGTGCTGTGCTGAGCTGTGCCCAGCGCTAGACAGAGGGTGCTGACGCCCGGCAGAAGCGCAGCGATTGTGATTTTGTGGAGAACGGCCATGATGATGATTGACGGATGATGCAAGAGAGCCCTGCGTTTCATCTACTCTGACCTCAGATCTTTAATGTGGAAGAAGGAAGCAACCCACTACTGTCTGCCAGATCCGCGCGCAAACATCATCGCCAGCGACAATCCCGGCACTACTCGCGCAGTACCATCGTCACAAAACGTCCACAGCCCAATGACCTGACACAGCTTACCACCACTAACGCTCGGAGGAATATCTATCAGCCCTTCAGGCCGCTTTTCCGGCACACACTGCCTTGAGACGACTCTCACCAAAGATCTACGGCATCCTCTGGTAAGACAACCGACTGCTCCAGATCGGCGGGATACCCCGGCTCGTACGCGCTCGTCATATCCCACTCACCAATATCAGACGCTAGACCGCACATCATCTGAACGGCCGACTATCACGAGGAGTGGTAGACTATCTTCAGCAATCAAGATGTTTTACCAGCCGCTCGCTTCCGGTGGTGCACCACGGTTCGCAATCTCTATCTTTATTCCTTCGATCCGCCAACACCAACAACACTTGGTTCTCGCACGGCTTTGCTGCGCTGTCCAACGCGTCATGCAAGATGGACGGCCTTCCTCATGATGCGGATTGAGCCTTTGCTCATCACTCCACATGTGCATAAGCGGACAGCGCCGTTCCATGTACTATCGATAGCTCAACTGTGAGATTGGACCACATGAACCAGCGGATCATTCCCGGCCCGCTCTGACCGGTACCAAGAATCTGAACAGCCTCTCGTAACGAGCTCAGATATCGCCGCGAATGCATTCGTGCGGATTACTTACCGAACGACCCCCTGTGGTGGTTGAGAACTCTTCAGCTGAGATGCAGACAAAGTCCGAACCTGGTCGAGGTTATCGATTGACTCCATTCTTCGAAGTGACACAGCATCTGCAACCGCACGGAGTCTGATATCGCTCTCTCGGTTGGCTTGGGGTACGCGTCCGGGCGTTGATCGCTCTCGAATGCGAAATGCACCCTTGGGGCGTGGAGGCAATGGGCGACCAGATGAACCTGCTCTGCACACATGGGATGATGAGGAACTTCGTGCTTCGGAGACCGTACGACGTCTCCCCAGGTTCCAGTTCTCAACTGTCAATGCTCCGCGAGGTGACGATTTGCAGTCATGCCAACTACTCCTACTGCTATCTGTGCCCGAACATCGCAAGAGTAGGTACTTGCCGAAACATATCAACACCGATTGTCACGACAAACTGCAGCCAAAATCCTTCGTGTAAATCCACAATCTGCAAGGCCACATCCCACAATCTATTATGACCGCAAGTAAGACGGTGTGACGCGGTATACATCCGTACCTGTGTATGCAAGCCCCGGGCGGCAATATGCGTTGGTTCGTGGTTCGGACAGCGAAACTCCGTGTCAGCATTACGGTTTACGTGCTTCCTCGAACACAACCACAGGCTTCGACATCGGGAAATTTTGACGAGACTGCAGAGTCAATGCTACAGCCTACACTGACCGGCCGATGCTCAAGGCTCCTACGCTGATACGGCACCTTCCTGTTAAGCCGGCGGGTGTGTTGCGTGCAGACATAGCCACGGAGGAGTTGGTGGTCATCTGCAACTAGCCGCTGTGGCGGTGCCACGAGCAAGGCCTCCACATCTCAACACGACGGATCGTGAAACGGAGTGCCCGCGGCGCAGTCAAAGTTTGTGGAGTGCGGTCCAGTTCAGCTGACGATGACGAAAATGAGAAACCTTTGTGGGCGAGCATTCCAGCTTACAACAGCGAAGAAAGGAAGGCTGTTGCGGAAGGAAGGACGGACGTAGGCGCGCGAGCCTCCACCAACGCGTAACGCCCATTCCTCTTGACATCCGTCAGGCTTTGAAGCCGTTGGCATCCTGCCTGCTTGCCTGACTCCCGAGACCGGGGGCCGCAGCTGCAGACCGCTGAGCAAAGAGAGCGCCACGGTCGTTTCACGAACGAGCAACCTCCGAACGGCCTGGAAGATGAGCTTGGGAACGAGTACCGTGAATAGTTCTCAGCGGTTTTGCTGATTGTGCAGTATGTACAGTGCATGCTGCCCTCCCGCCGCGGTGGGTTCCTGGTTGCGTCGTCGCTCATGCGGCGAGGGTACCCAGTTTGAAACGTCTGGAAATAGAAAGCGGTTCGGCCATATCTGTAAGGTTTGTGAGCGACCGGGCGTCTAGGCTCTACACTGTCAACTAATGAGTCGCAGCGGTAAGCTGCTGCAAATGGATGGATGGGCGGTATACACATATGTTGGTGGGTAGTGCTGCATGTGCACACGCGCTGTGCTATCTGTGATGCTATTTTGACGACGGAGAGAGGGGTGGCTAACAGTAGTGTGCAAGTTGATGCATTCGAGCCAACGGGCGTTTACGACATCGCGAAGAAAGCGAGCATCTACCAGTCGCTTCGCAATGATCCGGAAGACTCTGTTAGGATGGCAGCTCTCGGTAGTCATGCGCAACGCTTGCGTCTTCCTTTGGGCGTCCACGGTGTAGTGACGCGTTGCGTGCTGTTGCCGGTGCTGTTGCTCACAGAAGTCTCCACACGAACAGGGAGTCTTCTTCATTTCCTCAGATCTGACTTCGTCCTCGTCCCTCTACGGCCTCAACGCCTTGACTACCCAGACTATAACTCGACCATCTTCCAGAGAATCCTTGAATGGGTTGCTTACAAGCGCTTGCTGCCGATCCAAAATGATTCCCCCAGAGGTCGAGAAATTCTCTTGAAGTCTCCAGCCTTACTCTTCCATGCCAACCTGAGGGCCTTCATGGTGCCAAAATTCTGCCTTGGCCAATACTTTTGAAGCCGACTAGATGTCGGTTGGGCCGGCGGTAGTAGATACCAGCTAGGGTAAAGATATCGATACTGACACCATCCATTCTGCGTTCTACCTCTTCACTGGCGGCTTACGGCGCAGGTTTCGAGCAGCTTCGGTGAAAGGCGTAACTACATTCTTGCCTTCGATATCCAATTGAACCAGTTCGAACTGATGAGGCACAGTGGGCGAGCACCCGATTTCTCGATGTACCCGACGAAGGGTCTGTTCAATCTCTTTGACGTGCCATTCTCGACTGCCTTCGAGCCTCCCGTCGAATAGCGCCCAGTCTTGACGGACTTCGGGGTCCAGTATCACGGGCACGGGTATGCGCCAGCCAAAACGTAGAGTCTTTAAGCTCGGGAATATCTTCGAGACTCCGTTGGCGATCTGCACGGCTTCGGTCCAAAATTTCATCGGTGAGAGTTGCGATCGCTCGGATTCCATTGTATCGAGACTTTTCCATGGCAGGAGGACCAGCACCGACCGCAGCAGGCTTGCGTACGTTACGGAGACGGAAAGGATGTTTATACCGCTTGGAGCACTTATTTCGATCGGATCAGAGTACAGAATTTCAGCGAACTCAGCGTGGACCTGCCGGCAGGTTTGCATGATAGAGTAGTTGTGGGTCTACGAGGGTTTTGCGTCCGCTTGTCTGGAGAGTAGCGCGGCGAAATCGAGGCACGAATCTTGTGAAAGCGCATCCGGTCCTGTAAGCTTCCACTGATGGCTCTCATGAGGGCGCTGTCCGCATATTTCACGATATATGACATCCCGAAGCTCTTTTGGGAGGTCGAGGAAGCCGATGGCTGGTGTGGCTTTCGCCGATGGTTGCCACTCGGCACTGCCGTCGCTCTAGGTATGGTGAGTATGGCGCAGATGCTGGCTAACAAGTGTGACATACCGGATCTGACTTCATGAGCCTGAACACGTATTGGGGCAGCGAGGACTTGGACGCGTACCAGCCAGAGTGCCGGGCTCTCCTGCACCTGCCTTCCATCAGCCCTCTGTAGAGAATGGCTGAGTCCCCGTTTCCCTGTCCGGCAGCTTTTCGCATAACTGAGCCGACTCGAATTAGGGCCTCGGCGACTTCCTGGAGGACGTCGCATAGGGCCGCGTCGGCGACAGGTACGACTATAGCAATAACACGGGCGAATTCGTGAAGAACGTCGGCTTGTTCGGTGAAGCGCTCGAACATATCCTCCATGGTTGGCTTCCACTGCTGGCGGCGGAAGGGCGTTTGGCGGTAGCTAAGATACAGTGCAAGGAGCGAGCCAAGGACGAGCGAGTAGTGGTATCCTTAGGATCGTCTACTGCTCCGGAGGATGGTGAGAACGACTGCTGCGCTTCGCTTCGTCCAGTCGTATAATAGGGCACTCGCATGAGTCCCAGGTTGAGAGCGAGCAAATCGAATGCGGGTCGGCATGTCGCGTTTCAGGGGCACGCGTGGTCATCTGGGATCGTCAGGGCAGCGCTTACTAAGTCGCAAGGGTGCCGGCTACCGGGATAGTCGTCATCAGCTCCAAATTTCCAGGGAAGAAAAGAGGTTTTTCTTGATGCCCCCAATTGGCCATGACGCGTTTACCGGTCTTAGAATATACATGGCTAGAGCAGCATTCCCGCTGATGATTCTCGCATTGGCATCTCTCGGCACCCGCAATGACAACCAGCCAAGATTTCGGTCCCACAAAAGCCCATCCGAACTATCATCGCATTAGGGCTGCGTTGCCCTACATCAATCCGACCTCTGCGCACTTCATCCCCTCCCCTACTCCTGCGAAACTTGACGAACCTGCCGCCGCAGCGTCAAATGGCGCCGCCCCGCGCGATCCTCCGCCGAAAGACGCTCCGGAGTCCTTGCCCCCGGCATACTCGTACAAATGGAGCTCGCGCAATAATCGCAAAGGCAGGCATGCCATAGCCATTAATCCAGACCGAATACCTCCCGAATCGAAACATCTCGCTCCTAGTCCCACGAACACGCTGCGGAAGACGGCTTGGGGGATATGGCGTATGCTCACCGTGTACCCGGTGTGGGACATATCATACGACGTGGCTACAATATTCACACTTGGGAGTGTAATATGGGTTATAAACGCCTTCTTCGTCTGGCTGCCTCTGGTACGGCCGAAGACCGAGTTCAAGAATGAGATCCTCTATGGCGGGGGAATCACTGCTTTCATTGGCGCGACAATCTTCGAGGTTGGATCCTTCCTGTTAATGGCGGAGGCCGTCAACGAGAACAGGACCGGCTGCTTTGGCTGGGCGCTCGAGCGGGCATTATCCCATGACAGCGAGAAGGCATCTGAAAGCGTCCGCTTGCGCCCATCCAAGTCCGCCTGTACCCACCACCACATCATCAAGCGCAGTTTCGTCGGCAAGAGTCGCAACATTGGCACCACACCGCGTCCGAAATCCACGCTGAAGCCGAGCGGGAAATCATGGATCTGGTTTCCTTCGAAGGAAGAGCTCCGTACCCACTACATCCGCGAGCTCGGCTTTCTAGCGTCCTTTGCCCAGTTGATTGGAGCGACCATCTTCTGGATTTCTGGCTTTACCGCTCTGCCCGGGATATATGACCACATGTCAGATACTGTCACCATTGTTCTTTTCTGGACCCCTCAGGTTGTGGGCGGCTCCGGCTTCATCATCTCTGGGACGCTCTTCATGTTGGAGACTCAGTCGCGATGGTGGAAGCCTGCTCCAAGAACGCTAGGGTGGTGGATAGGCGCTTGGAATCTGGTAGGCGGGGTAGGCTTCACGCTGTGTCCCGCTTTTGGCTACAATACAAAGAGCTGGGCGCAGTATCAGGCGAGTCTAAGCACTTTCTGGGGTAGTTGGGCCTTCTTGATTGGGAGCGTAATACAGTGGTACGAGAGCTTGGAGAAATATCCTGTCGAGATTTACAGGCCTTCCGGTGGGTCCACGGACGATAAGGTAGGGAAGCAAAAGTCGGGTTCTGAGTAATTCGACAAAGCAGGGAGTCTCACGCGTCACTACGCATGATCTTATACAGCACAAACGCTGATACCCTTGCAATACAAGTCTCCTTTCGCGTCGTTCGGGGTTTGATACTGTCTAGCGTTTGTACTCCGGAACGCGGATGCCTCTTGAAAAAGCGCTGCCGATGGCGGCATACAAACAGACACAGTTATGTGACATCCGTCGCGGATGCTGGCCGCTTCCCCCCATTCACTGCACATGATTCAGCCATACCATACACTCTCCATGTCTATGAATGAGGAGTTAGGGTCTTGCGGCATGGTACCGCTATGCCGACGGAACGAACTTCACGTGGTCCTTCTAAACGACTGGTACGTACGTATCTTTAATCCATAGATTCCCCACTGACATGAGTAGTACCGAGTCAATCGGCTATTCCAAACGTCTGACCACTATGGAGAATCCATTTCTTCAGCATGCGCTCCTGGGGAACTTCTTTAGACATCCTGATACTCCATGTTCCGTCAACAGTGCCGATAGCGAGAATACCGCCATTCATAAGGATGACCTGCACTTATACGAGAGTGCCGTATGGAGTGTCTCCGATGGCGAGGAGGTCGATGCCTTCGGTCTGAAACCTTTCGTTACCTCGGTGCGGGAGGCAGGCAGCCCTTTTGGCGGCGTTTTGGAGAAGAGAAACCCGAATCTTGTATGCTGGGATGACGAGCGCGATCCGCACAACCCCCCTGAACGGGCCAACTTGGAAGAAGATACTCAACATTGCTATCATTTTCTTGATGTGCATAGTATCGTAAGTCTTTTCAGGCTTTCAAATACATATGAACACAGCTAATGTTACCCTCAAAGCCCTTTCGCATCCCTCGTATTCGCACCCGCGATCCCCGACCTCATGTTAGACTTTGGAGCCAGAGACCAACACCTCTCCGCCTTCGTCCCCTCCACCACCCCGGTTACGCCGCCGGCGCCCTCCTCATCAGCCCCCTTTCCGAACTCTAACGCCGCGTTCCGCTCTACCACATCTGCAACGTCATTTTCGTAGTCTCCACCTGCCTGTGCGCCGTCACCCAAAGCCTCAGCAGCCTTGCCGCCGTGCGCTTCCTCGCTGGCTGCGGCGGCTCAAGCGTATTTGCGCCGTCGAGCGTGGCGGACATGGTGCGGGAGGACAGGAGAGGTGCAGTCATTGCGATTATTGGAATGGCGTATAATCTGGGGCCCACGGTGAGCCCGGTAGTAGGGAGTCGTGTTAATGAGGCGTTAGAGTAAAGGTGGATCTTCTGGCTGACTGCGATTCTGAGGGCTGGGCGTACTGTTGCAGGATTGCTTAGGCTGCCGGAGACGTACGAGCCGATGCTATTGAGGAAAATGGCAAGGCGGTTGCGGGAAGAGACAGGAAATCAGAAACTGCGACCGAGGCTGGACGCGGATTTGGGGAAGCCATCGACGCAGCGCCTCCTCACGGCCATGGTCCTCCCGCTCAAGATGCTCCTCTCGCCGAACATCTCGGTCATTTCCTTTCTAACCGCCGTAGGCTACGGCTTCATGTACATCCTGTACACAACCTTCCCGCAAACATTCCTTTGCATTTATGCCTGGGAACCGAAGAACATTGGGCTCGCCTATCTCGGAACCGCAGTCGGCAATCTCCTCGGTATGATTTTGGGAGGTGGTATCAGCGATGCTATCGTGAAGAGAAGGGCCAAGAATCGGCAGGCGAAACCGGAGAATAGACTGATTCCTATGATCTTCTTTTGGCCGCTAGTGAGTGTAGGGTTGTATATGTATGCTTGGACGGCGCAAAACGCGTTGCATTGGATATGGTCCATGGTCGGACGGCGATATTTGGTGCTGGGGCTATGTCGGCAATCGTAAGTTTTCATCACCTTGATCTTGCTAGTTCGATACGCCCGGACTGAGCGCAATCAATTCAGTTGTTCTGCGGCACCTACATCGCCGCCGCATACACCACGCATTCGGCCTCCGAAATGGCGGCTACATGCGTGCTACGATCGCTTGTCGGCGGACTAGTTCCGCTCTTCTCGAATAAGCTGTACAGCAGATTCGATGTGGGATGGGCGTTTTCATTGCTTACATTGATTGCGTTGGCATTGGCTCCAGTGCCTTTTCTGTTCTACTGGTACGGTGAGCGGCTGAGAGAGAAGTTCGACCGCTCTTTCCTGGGGAGGTGAGTGATCGGGTAATTCGTAGTTCGATATCCGCACCCTTTACTTTTGTATATCACTCAATACCATCACTTTCGATAGTAGCGTGTATTGGGAACATCTCTACCCATGGTATCGTAAGCCATTCCGACTTCGCAACGTATGCTGAAGCGCCCCAGGCGTGGGTATGTCAATCCCGTCATGCCGCGCAACTTGCCGACTGTGAATGACCAGCACCACCATTCACCGTCCCCACGTGCAATCGCGTTTCTATGGCACCGGTTTATAAAATTCACCTTCTAGCGCCCCGCTTACGGCCCTAGAGCTTTGTATATATATTCGTATAACACACCGTACACCGCAACATTGTCACGACGTCACGACCTCAAACGAAACTCTTTGCCCCAATGTCGAACTCCCCTACGAACGCAGAAGAGCTCAGACCTTATTACAAGCTCTTCCAGAGCGCGCTCATTGACCCTACGCTAAGAGACGCAATGCCTATCGGGCCGCAGCCCAAACTCAGCATGAAGGTCGTCGTTGGCGCCTCACCTGCAAAACAACGAATATGGCACCTCCCCGTGTCTCTCCTCCGCCAGCATTCCAAATTTCTGCGCTCCGCCTGCGACGACCCCGATCAGACTGAAGTCCTTCTCACCGACATCGAACCATCCGCCTTCCAAAACTTCCTCGACTACGCACACTCCAATATTTACAGTCTAAACAAGGGCGCCTCCGGCTACCACACCATCCTACACAACGCTCAAGCCTGGATACTTGGCCACAAATTACAGTCCCCTCTCTTCCGGGATGCAGCGCTGCGCACGCTGTACGCTGCGCTCGAGCCGCTCGCGCGATTCTCCGCCAGCTGTGCGCGGTTGAGTGCTGTGCGTGCAGTCGACATCCAGTATGTCTGTGAGAACACTTCGCCCGATTCAGCAGTGAGGCGATTGCTCTTCGATGCCGTAGCCGCCCACTGGAGACAAGTCGAAGTCCTCAACATTGGGGACGCTATGGATCTTGATCCTCCGTTCTCCTCGTCTCCGTCTCTCTCCACCGCCACAACAACCACCTGGCTCGATATCTACAACAACCACGCCGATTTCCGGGTGCGGCTCGCCAACAGTCTGAAAGTCGCGGACGTTCTGCGCGGCGATATGTTGCGCCCTGTGGAGGACTATTTGAAGGGGAAATGTGCGGGTATGAAGGAGGATGAGGTGGAGGAGGATATAGATGAAGAGGCCTTGTTGCGTGGTCGGGGTAGGGGAAGGAAGATTCCGATGGTTAGGCTTCCGGGGGTGAGGAGGACATCGGATAAGGAAACGGAGGGGATGGGCAGGAGGCGGAGGAGTTCGAGCACCGAGACTGTGGCTGGAGGAGGAAGGCGGAGGGAGGTGGGCGAGGATGAGTACATGACGGAGTATGAGGCTTAGAGGGGAGTAAGTCGCACTCACGATGGCGGCGGGGCAAGAAAGCGCTGCAAATAACACGGCAATTCAGAGAGGGAAGCAATCAATCTGGACTCAAAAAGACACATACCCTCAAGATGACACATCATGCTATCCTTCCAATCCTGCCAACACCTCTCAAGCACTCCTTTCTCCCATTCATTACCGATTCCCACACAAGTTCAACCCAGCAACAGTACACCAATTCCAATTCCACCGCGTAGCACTCGTCAGCGCGTCGACATTCAGCATTCCCACATCCATATCCGTCAGCTGAAACCACACCTTGTCCCTCAGCGAGATCGGCCAAGACGGCGTATCCCAATACCTCGACACCAATGCCTTATCCTTTGCCGCTTCAATCAGGCCCCTCAGCGCATCGATCTGCCGAGAAGAGAAGCTACCAGTCCAGAGGCGACCGATGGCTTCATTCATTGCTATGCTGGCGTAGTACGAGTTCTGGGAGGTGTACGAGGGATTGGATATGTCGTCGAGCGGCGCGTCGAAGAAGATGAAGCGGTTGGTGTTATTCTGCTGCACAAGGTCGAAGGGCGTATTGCCGGTGCCGACGACCGTGAGTGGACCGCGGACGAGCTGCTCGCCGTCGAAGTAGGTGAGCCAGTTTTGCTCGCGAAGCGGTTGCAGCTGCTCGAGCAACACGGGCCATGTTTTGTGCCCGTCGCTTTTGAAGTCGATGAGCAGGATGGTCGAGACATTCGGAGCGGTGTCGAACATGCCGATGTCTTTATCTGCCGTAGAGGCGACCGATACATTACGCTTAGTGAAGATGGTCGTAAGCGGGTCGAGATACAGGCTCTTTAATGTCCGCTCTCGCTTCGTCGACTTCCAGGAGTGGCTGACGAGAAGCTCGTTATCATCGGTCAGCCAGATATCCGCCTCGACGCTGACACAGCCTGCAGCGAGCGCTTCGTACAGAGGGACAGAGCGCCAGTAATCATTGTGTGAGTGGCAGTTCTTCGGAATGATATCGCGGCTGAAGTCATCTCTCCATTCAAACTTGTATGCCCCGGTTGAGTCGGGCTTCCAGGTGTCGACGATGTATTGAAGTCCACTATTGACTTTAGGAGGATTGAGCCGATGTATCAGTGCTGCGACGAGGGAAATATAGGTACTTCGTATGGTCAGCTGGGTCTAAACGAGGGATCGAGGGGTGGGTGCACGTACATGGCTGCGACAGCACCGAAGAAGGACAATACCAAGAATACAATGAAGAGCTTTCGCCAAAGCAATCTCTTCCTTGCTCGTTGCTCTGGATCCTTGGTGCTGAAGAGTCGTGACCCAAGCGCGCGAAGCTTGAGCACGCTGTTCCACGGTCTGGGTCCTCCTCCACGATACCACTTCGGCGTCGTCCTTGCAGAAGGCGCTTCTTCATCTGACCCAAAGACAATAGAGTCCTGACTCTCCGTGTCCACATTGTTTTCTTCGTCTTGATAGATTCGCGGAAAGGGGTTCAGGACCGGCATCGTTGTTCGAAGGCTTGGAAGAATAGCGATACTCGGAAGCTGAATTCTCTCTCCTTCTATCTGCTTTATATGTCAGTGCTGCTGAAACATGCGTCCAAAGGAATCTCCAAAGAACGGTAGCCCACCTGGTTTTGCATATGTATGCTTGCCTATTCGGGCAGTGTTCTCGAATGGTTACCTGACTGTAGCAATAGGAGACATGGAAGAGAGTATATACCTTTGTCGACACGCCTATATGGGTGCAAGAAGCACTTGACTACTGAGGGTAGTCTGCCTTGGGGTAAAGATCAGAGTCAGCTTGAACGAGGCCTTCGCATCCACCGCCTAGTGGGGAAGTCCTGCGAATGGTTGAAACCGGCAATGGCATGGCTGCGCAGATGATAGTCGCAGAAGCTATAAATGAAACTGAATGGCTTAGCAGGCGAAAAGGAAGCATGAAGCAACTTGAAGGATGCAAAGACTGCGTAGGGAAAGGAAGGGGCTTTGGACTCCAGTGCCAGGTGGTCACGAAGCCAAGCCATGCTATGAAGCAACTTGATAAGGCAAAGATGGAATAGAGAAGGGGCTTTGGACTCCGTTGCTAGGTGGTCGCTAAGCCAGGCCATGTTGAAGTGGATCAAAAGTGATAGCACAGGATCACGGATTAGGATCCAAGGGGCGATTCTAGACGGCACGCAAGGGAAAGTTCCCGACCGCGCCTCCAACACATCGGAGCCGAGGAGCTTTTCCGAGCGTTTACTAAGACCACCGAATCGTTTAGTGGAGCGGAGTCTGGCGAGCCATGCCGGGGCGCAGCGCATTGTTCCGATCTCCAGAAGGATTCGAGACAACGCGTAACTGTACGCAGCTCCCCACCATCTCGTAACTCCCGACATGCGTGGCGGAGATTTTCGCTAAGCAGCACAGTTAACCAATGCCCAGGTAGGAAGAGTGAATGCTAAAGGCCGCTCTAAACCTCATCCTGTATTGTTAAGCTTTTGGCTAGTCAGAAAGTGGATTAGCGCCACGCTAGCCTCGTTCAATCGCAAACCTGTCCAGATCCATCGTGGCTCTTCAACGTGCAACGCCATGATCCAAATGCCCTCGCTCCGATCCTGCGGGGCGTCCCCCATAGTTAATTACTCCCATCTGCCGAGCCTCATGGCGCCGGTGAATGTGGAGTTGTGTAACTTAAGCTCCACGGCGTCACAGAGGACACTTCATCGTATAGCAATTAAGACACGAAATGGCCAAGCTGGCATCTACGCACGAACGCTAAACATAGCACAGAAAGTTGGATATATCTAGCTAGTGATATTCGAATGCCCCTCTCCGCCTCGCTGCCTGCTCATTGCAGATCCGTCTCTTTTTCCAAAGTTCGGGGCGTAACTCTCCATTCACTACCAAGCCAATCATCATGTCAAAAGATTCATCCTTCCGAACCTGCATCGCCCTCCTCCTAGCTATCCAGGCTGCGTGCTGGGCCTTGACACTCCTGGACCTGTACAGCCCCGGCAAACCACTCTCATTGCTACGCAGCTCGACCAATCTTTTCGCTCAGCTATTCTCCCGGCGGACTTCCGGGTTGCTATCATACAAGGATATTCACACACGCACCTGAATCTGACTTGGCTTGCGAAGAAGGAACGAAAGTCTCCAGAGGCCCACTGCTGCTAGGTGGCTAGGATCACCGACCATAGCATTGCATCTACGCATGCGACAATGGATCTATCATATCGACCCCCGCTCAACTGTTAGCACCGCTACTCCACGGCGAACGACTCTCTGGGAGCCTTGTTGATATTGTCTGAAAGGACTCCCCAATGCAATAGTCTTTCCGCAGTGTCCAGCACCCTACGATCTGTAATCGCATTCCACAACGCTCTCTCTCCGCGGCGAACCATAACACTAACGAGCCTTCAATCATCATTTTTCTACCAGCACAAGGCCCACCGTACCACGCCAGCCACCCGCACCGCACCGCACCGCCATCCAACAACAAGGCACACTCGCGATCGTAGTCGACAGGAACGACCCGTGATGCCGTCAGCTATCGCCCGACCCACTTCTACTTCGACGCAACCACGCCGATCCTGGCGAACAGCGTCTGAAGAGCCACCCGCGGACTACGTTCCAGCGCAGCCTATTAATATGTAGACCGCATTACCAGGGACCACCCATCCTACTTCAGGAGTGCACTCGCACGGGTACAGGCATCCACGAAGTCAAGTGCAGATTGGATAGGGGATAGAGAAAGCCTCCACTGCGGCCTGTTGATATATACCCTGGAAACGGGATGTGTTAGCTTATGGTGGAGACGCAGAGAGAATGTCAACTAGGTGCCTGCTGCGTGTTGGGGAACAGACCAGGTGTGATACACAGGTCAAAATAGTACCTGTGACTGGGCAATGTATATAAGATATTGGAAGGAATAGTTTATCCTAAAGACATTCGACCACTCATGCCTAGCATTCAATCTTCATTGTCGTATAACCTCTATCTTTTCATCCCAAGCACCATTGCCAAGACGAATCCACAGTCCATGGTTCCCCGCCTGATTCAACTTACGCGCCCAACCCCAGAATAGCTCTGTATAAGACCACGGAGAGGAGACATATGCTACCCAGTGAGTCCAATGCTCACTTCCTAAGCTCCCGGTGATAATCGAACGACTGCCCACGGGGGTTGACATGGCGAAAAAGCACCAGAAAGAACGCAATAGCAGATACTCCGCCCAGCACCGCCACGCAAAGTGATAGCGCCTGCACCCTAGACCGCTGTTAACGCCAGAATGCTAAGGTAGAGTATAGACAAAGGAAAGTTACTGGGTAGGCTGGTGCCCCCCTATCCTGTCCACCATGCTGACGTCCCCAATGTGCTTCTGATCCAGATGGTTGGGGTGATTCGACACGAGTTCAACGGGAGGAGCGGAGCTGATTTCGTCTTCATCCTCCTCAGCGGCAGCGGCCGGTTGCGTCGGCTTTAGCGTCATCACGCTCTCCTCCAGAGGTGAGGTGGGCTCGATCTCGGGTATTTTGGGAGCCTCTGGAGGCCGTATAGCAATATCTGGAGCTGGCATCGCCGGCTCTCCGTTCGCATCGTCCGCGACAAAAGCCTGGCTCCGCTCCGGCTCTGGGTCATCCACCCTGCCCTTCCCAACATCCTCAATATGCTGCGGTTCGTCCACGTTCTTGCCGTCTTCCTTGGTGATCACTTCCGCAAGGCTCCTGAAGTTGAACATGGGTTCAGTTCCAGGCGTTCCGTGGGGAGGCGTGTCGTCGGCGCTTATACTAACGCCAGAGACGTTGGGACTAGGCCCGAAGGACGATGACGATGCGCCAAAAGTACCTTGACTGTCATGACGAAGAGAGCCCTGCAGTGATTCGGCAAATGAAGATGCTGAAGAGGAGGCATTTGAGAGATTTCGGAGAGCAGCCCTGTGCGATGGTTGCTCGGAGAATGGATCGAACGGACTCGGCGCCCCTGTGCTCGATGCTTCTCTCTGTATGTGCGCGCGACTTTGCTCCAGATGCTTTTGCGGATCCTGTTTTGATGAAGGCGCGTTCACTGTCGATGTAGGCTCACATAGGGGATTGAACCCGGCGTGTCCACCTGATCGATCTACTGCCTTTCCTTTTCCTGCAGCAGATGATGAACTTCCCGCAATGTCTTCATCGGCCCCATCCTGAACCGCCAAGGGAAAGAAACCGCTCTTCCGCGAAGCTTTCTCAGCTTTCCTCGCCTCCTTGACCTTCTTCTTCTCTTCCTTCTTTGCTTCCTTCGCGGCTTCCTTCTCTTCTTTCTTCTTGCGCTCTTCTTCTGCAGCAAGACTCAACCGGATAGCTTCCATCATCATGAGCTCTTCGAGATCTTCAAGCCTGTTGCCCCTTCTTGAACTATGACGGCCAGGAAGTAGATCGTTTTGCCCCTCATTCCGACTTGATGATCCTTGAGATGCTGCTGCTACAAGAAGAGCGTTTACATCGCCGTCGCGACGAGGGGTGCCATGTCCGCTGCTACTAACACTGTCGTTGCCGAACATCGTTCTCCTTCGTCGCCCTAGGCTGAAGCCGCGACTGTCTGACTGGAGATTGCCCATCATGTAAGCAGCGTTATGCAGGGCCGTAGCCGCTGCCGCCCTTCGCAAAGCGTGCGCCCTAGCGTCAGCCAACTTCTTTGCCCAGTCGGGTCGTACACGATCAGTCGTGATAACCGAGGCATCGGTGGCTGCAAGGGATGCCGCTCTCCTCCGTCCTGGAGAAGTGAGTCCCTGCGAATTCAGCGACGACGTCGAGGACATTGCAGACGCTGCGCTGGCGAACGGTTGTTGGCCTTGGTTAGCGTACGCCAGCCCTCTTCTAAACGGTGGGGGTTCGTATGTGACACCAAACTCGGGCTGCACGCAGAAAGGGCAACACGCCGGTTCTGATACCAACATACCATCTTCCTGTGGCTCGGCCGGCGGATTGCTCGGATCATGGTGCTCTGGGGGATGAGGATCAGGTCTCTTAATCTGCACGAAGCATTCCGAGCAGATTGTTTGGTCGCAGCATCGCGTTTTATTGAGATACGGCGGGTAATATAGAAAGCATATAGGGCACTCGGAGGCGTTCTTATACAGGAAAGCTTCGATGCGCTGGCCGTTGACATAGGGGTCCTTTGGAAGCTGAATCTCTTGCGGTGTCATCTCGGTTTGTGAGTTGTTGCGGGAGCCTGTTGTAAGTGCAGCTAGTGTTTTTGCACGTCCACGGAAGAAAGGAGACGAAGATGGCGATGCGGCGATTGGTGAGGTGGGCGAGGGAAGTGAGAAGGCGGGATGTGACGGCGACAGAGTCGCTGAGCGATCTGAGTTCTGCGACATGGAGCGGCCTGTAATTGGGACTGTAAGATTATTGATGTTCGGGTTCGAGCTGCGCGGATTCCATTCTGCACTGAGATTGTTGGGCCGAGGAGGCTCTTCTGGAGGAACGTCGTCAGGCGCAGGGAGAGGCAAGCCATTGACAACGGCAACAAGCTGATGCTCCGTCCAAGTGTCTTCGTGGTCGTTGAGGCCCTTCCAGAACGGGGCCAGTCGTCGCTCAATCTACGATGTGTGAGATGCTATAGACACTCGGCCTCGGTGGCGCATACCTGCAACTGCCGCACAACGGGCTTGCTGAAGTCCTCCGGACCGGTGTAGGTGCCGAGCGTGACGAGATAGCCGCCATCGACGCCCTCTTCGCGGATACTCCGCTCGCGTTCCTGCACCCGGAGCTGGCGTTCCTTCTCCAGCTTCCGCGCTTCTCGCTCTGCCTTGGTCTCCCGTCGCGGTTCTAGAGCCGGGTCGCGCTCAGAGCCCCCTCCAATGCCGAGGAAGGAGAGGTCATGCCGGCTTCCGCGTCCGCTCCGCGAGCTGTATACCCCACTATTTGATCGCTCATGCCGCGAGACCTCGCCAGGACCGGATGCGGTGGGTGAAGCGGGAGGGCGGGTGCTCGCCGGCCTCCCATGCCCCCGGGAGGAGCTGGGGCGAGCCTCTTTCGCTTGGCTGTTTCCCATTGTGATGAGATGTCGATGGGCGTGGAGGGCTAGGCGGGAGGCGAGGGGGTTCGTGCCGAGGCGGGCAAACGCGACTCGTCGACGGCGGAGTAGGCGGGCTATGCCACAGCAGCTGTGCGGCGATCTCGGATGGGGTTTATTTGGAACCGCGCGAGCACGAGGCCGTTCTCCTTATCTGTCGAAGGGCAGGGACTGCAAGGCGGTGGAGGGGGTCGAGAGATAACCCGTGTCACAAGGACATGATAAATGTGGTTGTGCACGACAGCTACCGCCGAAGCCGTCAAAGAATGTGTTTCCTGCGCGTCACCGGTCGCCGGGGGAGTGCGGGTCGCATGGGCAGGCGGGGAAGGAAAAATGTCGAGGGGCGGCGAGGGGCGCGGTGGTGGGCAGGGTGGTGAGGTGGGAGACAGAGGCAGGAGGCCTGGATGATGTATGCTCGACGCTTGGCAGCTGCCGTCGATCGCAAACGCATTGGGCGGGCGGTCGAGCCGAATGGGCGGCGGGGAAGAGAGCCGTCGCCAGCTCACATGTCAGCCCAGCATTCAGCAGCGCGTTGTCGCTGCTCGCGCCCGCCATCCAGATCGCGGATGCCGCGCAAAGCCAGAGCCTAACGGCCTGAGAGGCTTTGTGGTGCAGCCACAGCGCTGCTTACTGGAGCTGGTGGCGCTGGCCCCGCGCAAGCCTCACCATAGCAGGCGTCTTGTCTTCGCCGCCATTCAGACCTTTTTAGTGTGCACATTCGCATCGAGGTCTCTCCTGTCTCTCTGGCTGATGGTACAGTACTCGAGACTGCCCGGGGACATGGCATGTCATTGGTGGACATAGCATCACAGGCGAACACGCACAGCTGGTAAGACAAACGCCGGAGATAATATTCACAATATCAACCGTTCCTTTTCGACTATGTACAGATGAGCTTTCCTCGCCGCCAGCTTCTTTCTCCTCCAAGTCCTCTAGATCGTGCCGAAGCTCCAGGACGACTCCCAGTGGTACTTTTGGCCGGGACCAAAGATCTGCTTGTTAAGGCGACCCCATTCAGGACTGCGACAGTTGTTAGCGATTATTCCTCCAAGTGCCCTCAAAGTCTTACTGGTTGATGCCATCAACGTAGTCCTGGGCCTCAATAGCAATGCAGCCATCGCGCGGGATGAACTTGTCCTTGTCTCCCTTCTTGCCCTGCGTGCTCTTGAACTCGCTCTTTCCGTCGTTCCAGTTGCACGTGTACAAGACAAGCGCGTCCTGGTTGGTGCGCAGATCGGCCTTGATGCCACTCCATTTGCTGCTCAGAGTGAGGGCGACATCGCTCTTGTCCCGGTCAAGGTCGAGAGCCCAGTTGCCGTTGTACCCGTGGCAGCCACCACCGCAGTGGTCTTCAAAGTCGGAATTGCCAGATGCAAATCCGAGCTGGTGCGGAGCGGTCCAGAAGTCGTCAATGGAGTTCTTTGAGACGTTGGCGATGACGCCCGTGGGCAACGCGTTCGCATCCGCCTTCATCACCCGCTTAGCCGAAGGCGCGTAGAGAGTGTGATTCCAGATAGTCCTGGTATCAGGGTCCGCGAACCCATCGAGCTGGTAGTAGGTGTGCTGCGTGAGCATGATGGGCGTCTTAGCGTCCGGAGAGATGGCATCCATCGTGATCGTCCATTTGTTCTTGGATACCGCATAGGTCACGGTGGCCTCAACATGGCCGGGCATACCAGTTGAATTCGCAGGATCATAGATGGAGAATGTAATAGAGCTGTTGGTGACATCCGTCACGTTCCATGTCCTATAGGACCAGTTGTTCGGGCCGCTATGGAGCGTGTTTGGCCCATCGTTGAGCGTCGTGTGGTATGTGACGCCGTCGATCGTAAACGTGCCCTTTCCGATGCGGTTGGCATATCGGCCAGGCACTGCGTTGTAGACTGGATGCCCAGGATCGACAGCTAAACATTGGTGAGCTAGTAAACTTCATCAACTGGAATCGAACCATACGATAGTAGGAGGTATTATCGTAACCTAGTACAATATCACGCTCGACGCCATCTTTGTCTGTCCGCCGTTAGCTGTGAGCAATGGCTCGGATGCTATTAATCTACCCTTCACGAAGAGGTTGGTCAGGGTTGCAGCATACGGGATGAACTGCGCGATGGTTAGTACATGATGGCACCATGGTTGAAGTGCGTCAATGCATGAAGTCATGAGCTCTCAAATAAAAGGATAGACAACCGCGTGACGAGGAACTGTGGCAGGTAGGATTGACAAAGGAAATGCTAAGCACCTGAGCCTTGATTCCAGGAGCCGTAAGTGTGTACTTTCCATCCGCGTCCGGAGCCGGTGCTCTTCGGATAGCAGCTGCCGAAGCTGCAGCGGCGAAGAAGGCGCAAGAAGAGTACCTCATTGTTGATCCGACACGAAGATTCCTGGGTGTATGAAAGAACGGAAAGCTGGCCCAAAGGAGCGGCTCAGCGAAACCTACTTATACGTCTCCCAAAAACTGCAGCTGCATCCGTCAGGGACCAGATCCATTTCTCCAACTACTCCATATTTGATTCGCTCTATAAGCTGGGGAAACAGAGTAGTTTTCCGTGGATTGCAATATGAAGTTAATATGCATGAAATTTACCCCGGTATTCCCAGGGACCAGCTGAGGTGACAGGACGCTTTCTGAGCTGTGTTTGGTCCATCTGGCGCGGACACATAGTCGACAAGTGAAGTGAACGGAAGTGTTTCGAGATTGAAGAAGCGTGGAGTGGAGGATGGTTCATGCCGAAGCCGGGTGGTGTTCCCCTTAGCCCGGCACGTGCTGGTAATAGGCTAGCCCCGATCTGGCTGCCCCACAACGACACAGCCTTACGCTGGAGGCGATGATCCTTCGCACTTTGTTGAACGAGGCAACAACGTACGCACTTTCGCCACTACCTATGGATGCTTATCCACACCCCGCTGTTCTTCCATGCCGTGTTTCCCGTGGTATACCACCGTCACGCAGAGCGTTGCCTTTTAAAATTTCGATCGCTATTGTCCATTTCCGGGAACTGACATAGCCAGCACGCTTCACGATGGGGATATGTCCCACGTGTCAAGGCGTGGATTTTGACAATCTCCCACCACTACCCGCTCACTACGAGGGTTATCACTCTGCGTGGAAGAAGGATAGCGGTCTCATCGGCTTCCTTAGTTTGCGGCTGAGTGAAGCCATTAAGGCTGGAAAAGACGTAGATGCGGGGGAATTTAGCCAACAGTTGGGGGTGGCGCACCATCAATCAATTGACGAGCTTAGAGCCGCTGCCGAGTACTGTCCAATCTGTCGTCTCATTGAGCGGGGCGTATCCCAAGATTTAGCCGCACGCGCTGAAGCTGCAAAGGACGAGGTCTTTGTCTATTACCAGAAGAAGAGGGATAAGAAAGGTCCGGATCATCGCTTGTGGTTGACGAGGAGACGAGATGATTGCGATGGATTCATGGTTGTTTCTTCCGAGACCAACGACTTGAGAGAGGTATGGCTTCTAGCTGCCATCGGCTTCTGCGTGGAAGGTAAGGTGTTATCTTCTACAGCGCACGATTTGGCTGACGCCCAGGGTTCAAGACGATGATCCGCTGAGCACCTCTATTCCGGGCCGAGTGATCCAGGAAGACTCTGCGTCTAGAACCATTCTAGCGAGAGCATCCCAGTTCGTGCACGAATGCAATGCGCAACATGCAGGCACGAGATGCATTGCAGGCGAAGTGGAGTTGCCCTCGCGAGTACTCGATGTGGAGTATGGTTCGTCTCCGAGCAGGTTAAGGCTGTTCGAACCGGAAGGAACGCTTGGGAAGTATATCGCTCTGAGCCATAGATGGGGAGACGAGCGTCCCTTCGCTACCACCCGCTCCAATCTGGGGCCGTACAAAGCACAGGGAATCAATGTTGAGAATCTCCCCAAGACATTCCAGGATGCTGTCGTTATGGCACGCAGATTGGGTATCCGATATTTATGGATTGACGCATTATGGTGAGTCGCATTCCCCCTCCGAGGGCAGTCTCCATCCCATTTCCATCCTCTGAGGCCTCTGTTCATGTGCCCAGCTGACATCGAAGAGTATTTGTCAGGATGACGGCCCCGAATGGGAGAGAGAGTCTGCTAAGATGGCTGTAATCTACTCTCACGCCTACTTGGTCCTCGCTGCTACGGGGTCGGAGCGGGATAGTGGAGGCATATTCAACCAGCGATCGCCCCCTGATTACGAAGGGGTTGAGCACAGTAAGAATGGTGCGCGTGGGACATTGAAGGCCTTCCTGATCCCCAAACGATGGGCCGCGCGCCCCGATGGGTATTGCATGCTGAATGAGGAGCCTCTGTCAGAACGAGGATGGGCCCTTCAGGAACGCCTTCTTGCCTCCAGAACCCTCCATTTCGGATCGACCCAAATGTTCTTCGAGTGCTACGGCCACTTCCGCAGTGAGGACGGCTTCAGGATGCGGGGCCGTCTCAATAGCATCCATAACGACCCTCACCAACACTACCCGCTCGCGGACCCGGACTCGTCTTTGCGAAGTTCTCTGTATCGCGGCTCCGAGCTTTGGTATCAGGCTCTGTACTTCTATTATCCTAGGAAGTTGACTAAGAGCTCGGATAAGCTTCCGGCGCTTTCTGGGATAGCGAGAATTGTTGAAGAGCAAACGGGCGACAAGTACGTTGCGGGGCTCTGGCACTCCACGCTCATAGAAGGCCTCATCTGGCAGGCAGCAGGCACGCACCGGAACGCGACGAGCGCTCCGCCCGGCTACCGTGCCCCGTCCTGGTCGTGGGCCTCCATAGATGGACCCTTCGGCAATCTGGGACTTGGCCGAGATCCTATCTACAAGGGCGCAGAGTGGGTGGATATTGCTACCGTAATTGATGTCCACATTGAGCTCAAAGGCGAGAACCCGTATGGCGAAGTCGCATCTGGCTGGCTCAAGATCAAGGCGCCAATTGAACCGCTTGCGCCCAGCGAAGAGAAGGAACCGGACTGGGAGACGGTGCCTCACAAGAGAGCCCTTAGAATGAAGACAAGGGCAGGAAAGACGTTTGGAACGTACAGTATGCTGGATACACTGGATGATGAGTCGGCTTCGCAGCTGACTCTCTTTGCACTGGTCTTGGTTTTCATGGATGGAAAGGAGGGGCGTACGTACCAGGCCATCGTGGTCACACCGGTCGAAGGGCAAGATGGCTATTACCGGCGCGTTGGGAAGATGATCATGGATGACGAGTCTCTAGGCAAGTGCGCTTGGATGGAGTCCGGCGCGTCTTTGCCCACAGTCACGCTGTTGTAGACCATTCGCCTCTCTGAGACCATGGGCAGTTCTCGTGCCATCCCTGGGGGGTTTTCGCATCTGAAGGCACACATCGCATGATTGAAGAAATTCAGAAAGATATACGCGTCGTGTGCCAGGTGGGGTGATTGCTCGGATTGTCCAGCTGGGTCGTGGTTGCCTGGAAGATTGATGAAAGGAGCTAGCGCTCCCCAGGCCCGAGTTCGGCTTTAGGCAGCCATACCCTTTTTCTTTCATCATCCTCATGTGAACCCTCAACGCGATCGTCCTACCCTACATACCCACTAGTTCTAGCGCGCCGATGCCCTAAGTCGACATAAGACGGACGATATGGGAGTGATCGAATTCCTTTGCGACCGACGATTCCACCAAAGTTACGTCCTTCCGCCAAACCCCGAGACAGGCAGGCGCACGCCATGCCGCATCTCGTACGCTGATTATGGAGATCCGAACAGCGACGCGGTTGTGCTATTCTGCGGCGCGCTGATGGGAATGCGGCTTTGCTACTCGCCACTTGACCAGCTGGCAAAGGCATACAACATCCGAATCATTCACCCAGACAGACCTGGGGTCGGCGGCAGTGATCCCGTTGAATTGCATGAACGTATATCCATGTGGCTCGGTCAGTTCTACTCATCTTCAAGTATTCCGACGAGTGGCAACTCACACTGCGCAGAAATGGTTCCGCGGCTTCTCTCACACCTCAATATCTCACACGTCTCAATAGCAAGCCATAGCGGTGGTGCCATCTACGCTCTCAACACGATGCTTATGTATCCGAACCTGCTACATCCGCAGAATCCGTATGTCTGCTTCTTTGCCCCCTGGGTCCACCACTCGCATTCCAAGGTCAAGCAGCTGAGGGCGACAGAACTGCTGCCGGCGCCACTGATTGGAAGATTCGCCTCTCTAGCGCGCTTCGTCAATGATAATGTCGTACCCTTGGCTGGAATGAGCAGCGGTTTCCTTCAAGGGCTTAAAGGGACGTTGAACCAGTCAACTCCTGCACCTGCACCGGTACCGCTTACACCGTTCACAACAACGCTCTCCAGGACGGATTCAATTGCATCACGGGGTGAACACCCAGGCCTTGCTTTGAACGATCCAGACGTGGTCGAGGAGTTGCGCAAAGAGATCCTGGCATACCTCTTCGCGGAGTGCATGGATGGTATCTCCGCCGATGCGCAACTATTCCTGAAGAAACCCCACACTCTCTCTTGGTGCTCGCCCAGCATGCTCTGGTCAGACACGGACGACTTCGTGCTACTGCTGTCTAAACTTATTAGCGAAGAAGGGACTGGCAAGGAAAGCAGAACCTGGACTATCGACGCCTTCCACGCCGAAGACGACAACATGATTGGAGAAAAGGGCAAACAATGGTTCGACAACTGCTGGCAGCCTGAAAAGCCTTCCACCGCCAGCGCCCACAGCACAGAAACCCCGCCAGTCCGCTACGAATTCAGAAGCAAGGTTGTCAAAGGGACGGATCACAACTACTTGATGGATCCTGCTTTCGGCGTTTCCGAAGTCTGGTTGGAGAGGGTACGTGCATCATGGGACGCATCCTAGCATCTCTTGACTTTGACTGTCAAGTCACTTCTGAAGGTTTTCAGCAGATATAGACAGCGAGGGGGGTTGAGTCGTTTTCCCTTGAATTCTAGAGCTTTGCTAATGTGTTCACTGCGTTTGCAGGTCAGGGCATCCTTCCCCTTTCCGGAAGAGGTTTGATCTCTGCTCCCTCTTCGCAATATTGGCACGGAAAGTAGATGCTAATGGGCTTTACAATGGCAGGCTGTTCAAGATGATACTTCGTCTATGTCCACCAGACCCATTGGGGAGGCGAAGAAGAAGCCGCACTTCACGGCCCTCGTCAGCAGAGCAAGACGCGTCGTCCACGGATTATCGCGGAGAGCAATGCCGAGGTCTAAGCTGGCGCGAATATTGGTCCCGGGGTCAACGGACACGTGCGCTTCCACAGACGAAGACGTGTCCTCGGATAGCAGAAGAACGTAGTTGGCGTATTGGCAGTGGCGGAAATGGCTTCACATGCCAAGGTATTGATACCAAAACAAGTGGATAGGGCATTTTCTCACTTGAAGTCTTGTTGAAGGGAACCTAAGAATGCTTTATCGCTCCCTTCGCATTTTGACATGCGTCCCTGAAACGCACTAGGCCCCTTTTCGGTGGGCATGTTCACCCACGTTTCCCCATTGCGGCGTCCTCCGCTCGGGCGCGTGTTACGGACGTGACAGGAGGGACCGCCATGCAACTTCTTCGTTATCGCGTCTTGCTATCAAATGCAAATCTTGATACTGGACAGCTGAGAAGTATCTCTCATGAGATTGTTGAAGGAGTCGTGGAAATGACAAGGGGTTCAAACGAGGCGCGCACCCCGGAACCGGATCCCGCGTCCTGGCCTGCGGGTTAGGATCCTGGGATGGCTTCGAGGTATAGTTCCACCGCCGATAGGTTCCAGGCACCTTTTCCACAGTTGGATCTCTGGCAACTTCTGCTCGTCAGACGAGGCCACGCCTCTCATAGCGTGCGGACGTGGCTAGAATGTCCTCAACAAACGCCATGCTACGGGTCTCTGCAGCGCAAAAGCCAGCAGAAATTCCCTCCGGAGAGAGGGGTATCGATAGGGAAGAGTGGTCAGATTCCAGATCGGATCAGCTCAGGGGTACGATCCACATGCTCAGCACACGACCGCCGCGCAGCCAGCGCCTCCCTCAGCATCTTTTGGTGGAGAACTGGCAAGATTTGCTGCAGGGAGAAGTGCTCTCGTTGGCAATTGAGACAGACAGATGTGCGGCGGCGCGAAGATTGTCATTTTGGCAGCAGACGGTGACGGCGGCGGCGGCGGCGGGACGCGCAGGGCTGACCCATGATTCGCCGAGCCTGGTGCGCCGGCGGACTTTTAGCGCGTTTCAAAATAGGCTGGCTTGCTGGTTCCTTGCAGCGGCGCCGGGATGGTGAGGCTTGTGGCTCAACCGCGGCGGGCGACCCTGAGAGACGCAGCTTCCTTAAATTCTCTTTGTGCACTTACGCGTTGCCCAACGTCCGCCCTCTTTCACCGCGCCAGGGGAACTCCACACTCGCTTCTTCTTATTTTCTAATTGTGCGACCGAATCGACGGCAGGCCTTCGTTCAATTGCTCTTTGCTACCGCCCTCGTGCTGCGAAACTCAATCCCTGTGCTCGACGCACATTCTTCGACAATCCCTTCCTTTCTACGTTCTGCTCAACTCTCGTTTCAGATCGCACCATTACGACACGCGTTTGACCGCTGCAGCGAATAACAGGCCCCCGCAGCTCTGCAGAAGGCCTCTCCCTCGCGCCCTTTATGACGAACACCCCGCAGAAGTCTCCCTCCTTTCGTCTCTCGCGTCAGGGTTTCCAGGTACGCATACGCGGAACACATACCGCCGTTTCTTAGTTTGCCGAGGGAGAGGCACGCTGGAGCCCGTCCAAGGGTCTGGTCTTGCTCCACTCCTCTTCAAAGCATTCGCTAATGGTACCGTGACCACAGCCATTGAACAACCCGTACGGCGACAACATGGCGAACAATGCCACCGATAACATCCCACTGCAGACTGTCGTCAGTCACACACCCTCCTACACGCCGACCGTCAAAGAAGAGTCCGAGAAAAGCGGCCTATTCCATCGAGGCAGGAGGCGGGTACAGAAGATCGATTCGCAGGGCAATGCCAATCTCACCGACGCTGTGACCGATGACGACGAGAAGACGGCCCTCAATCGCATGGGCAGGATCTACATGAAGATACTCAACTTCAGCATCATCACCCGCTACATGATCTATGTTGCCCCGCTGGCGCTCATACTGGCGATACCCATCATCCTCGCTGCGACTGGTGTCATCACGGCCAAGATTGGATCTGAGCGAAACGCGAATAATGGCTCAGATCCGCGCCTATTCTTCATTTGGATCGAGATCATCTGGCTGAGCTTCTGGGGATGCAAGATTGTGGCCCATTTCTTACCCCGCATCTTCGAGTTCGCTATCGGCGTAGTGAGTCCCGGAGTCAAGAAGTATGCTCAGCTCATCGGAGCGCTCGAGAAGCCATTGTCCTTCGTCTTCTGGATGATCGTCAACCAAGTTACCTTCCAAGTCCTCATCGTGCGCAACAGGGCAAATAAGCCCAACTGGATGTCAAAAGTCGGATCTGTGCTGCTAGCGCTGCTCGTATGCACCTGCATCATCCTCGCCGAACGGCTCTTGATCCAGTTGATCAGCATAAGCTACCACCGGAAGCAATTCGATGGGAAGATCAAAGAGTCGAAACGCAACATCTTCCTCCTTGGCCTACTGTACGATGCGTCCAGGGCTCTGTTCCCAGCTTACTGCAACGAGTTTGCCGAGGAAGACTATATCATCCAGGATGGCCTCTCATTTGCTTTGGGTAGCAAGAAAAGCACCATGGCACACAAGCGATCCGGCTCTAAGACTCCGATGCGGCTTATCGCCGATGTAGGTCGCGTTGGAGATAAAGTCGCGTCTGGTAAGTGTGCCCGCGTTGAAGTATTCCCGTGGCTGCTCTAACAGAAGATAGCATTTGGGACTGTTGCGCAGGAGATGACCGGCAAGAAGGTCTTTGATCCTAACTCGGCCCACTCTATCGTGCTGGAAGCCCTCGAAAACAACAAATCAGCTGAAGCTCTGGCTCGTCGTATATGGATGTCATTCGTTGTTGAGGTACGTATTCAATTCTAGATCGCCACTCTGGAGCCCCTCAGCAGGGTTAGTGCAAACTAACATGTTTACAGGGTAAGAACGCCCTGTATCAGGAGGACCTCGTTGAGGTAATGGGCGCCGGCCGGCCAAAGGACGCTGAGGAATGCTTTGGAGCGCTCGACCGTGATGGCAACGGCGACATCAGTCTAGAGGAGATGATCCTCACCGTCACTGAATTCGGCCGAGAGCGGAAGTCCATCGCCTCCAGCATGCACGATGTCGACCAAGCTATCAACGCCCTCGACGGACTCCTCTTCGCCATTGTGTTCATAGTCTGCATCTTCGTCATCATTGCTTTCCTCAGCCCTAGCTTCGTCGGTACGCTCGCGACCTCTGCTACCGCCCTGCTCTCGCTGTCCTTCGTCTTCGCCGCGACCTGCCAGGAAGTCCTCGGTTCCTGCATCTTCCTGTTCGTCAAGCACCCCTACGATATCGGTGACCGTGTCGACATCGCCACGGATCAGCTCACAGTTGAGCACATCTCGCTCCTCTACACAGTCTTCAAGCGGATTAACAACGGCAAGATCGTGCAAACGCCCAACATCGTCCTCAACAATCTCTGGGTCGAGAACATTACTCGTAGCAAAGCCATGAGGGAACAGGTCTCCATTTTCTGCGCATTCGACACGCCATTTGAGGATATCAACGCTCTGAAACAGGAAATGATGGCCTTTGTTCGTGATCCCCAGAACAGCCGCGATTTCCATCAGGATATTGAGGTCGAGGTCGTCAGTATTGCGGAAATGAACAAGCTCGAGCTACGAGTAGAGATCCGACATAAGAGCAACTGGTCCAACGAGAACCTCCGCGCCGCCCGACGCTCCAAGTTCATGTGTGCTCTCGTTGTGGCCCTCCGTAGGGTTCCCATTGCTGGTCCAGGAGGGAGCGACGCCGCTTTAGGCGATGCCAACAAGCCGTCATGGTCGGTGGCCATCTCTCCTTCGGATGCTATTGCAGCTAGGGAGAAGTATCTTGCCGACAAGGATGCCTCGCGACTGTATCCTACGAAGAAGAAGCCAGAGGATGACGAGGATAGGGGCAAATCGACTGACACCGACTATCTTGGTCATGGTTCCGAAGGCCACGCAATCAATGCCTTGAACAACCGCAAGCCAGGGGTTGACACAGTCCGCGATGACACCTGGCTTGCTCGTGACGATGCTAGCACTATCGGTCGCCCGAGCACGGATGCACGTCCGGATCTAGACGAAGTGCGTGGTCTTCTCCACAAGGCCAGCAGCGGCGGACGACGAAAAGGCGGTGCCACTCTCACTCCTGTTACTAGCACGGAACCTCGTCAGGGCATGCCTCCTATTCCAATTCCTGTAAACCCGTCCCCGCAGGCCTCCAACTTCGGTAACCCGTATGCTCCGATACCCCCATCGGCTCCTCGCGCTCCGACTTCTCCGTCATCAGTATCGACCGGGCACATTGAAGAGTTCCAGTACCAAATGATGATGCCTCCACCGCGCAACCAAAGTCGCCCAGGCGCGCCCCCGACCTCGGCGCCGCCTCCTCTTCCGCAAGGTTCTGGCGCGCTCAGGCCGAGCCCTTCGACAAGGTCTAACAATCCTTACCGATCTGGAGAGACATCGCCTGAGCATCAGCACCCGTACAGGCCGTGAGTGCTACGAGCGGGCATGTATTTTACATGCCCGAGACGATGATGGTAATGAATTTCTTTACTAGCATTAGACTTGTCCTTGCGGGGCGGGACCGGGCAGCGTGCACTGGGTTCCGAGGGACTTTAGGATGTATGGCACCTATATCCGAATGTATATACAATCTTGGTGGCTACCTCGATCTGGTCGAAGAGACCAGTATGTTGAGTAGCAGCTCTTGCTTTCCCTGTGGCGCGAGACTGGCGAAAGACGGATGAATCAAACATTCCTTCAAATCCCGCGCCTCTGTCCAATTTTCGGTTTTATGTATGCCTGAAAAGCTTCGCTTGGCCTGTCGTGCCTTATGGGGCTGGAGTGGAAACTGCGATATCTGTGAGCCCTGCCAAGAAATGATCTGCACGCAGGGCTGAACGGTGACACTCGCCGACTGACGTTCTCACCACCAAAAGATTCCCCCCGCGACCAATGTGGTGACAATGGCCGACGAGATGCAAATCAACCCCCAACGCGCCAAAATACTCGCGGAGAACCTAGCAAGCATAATATCACGCATCAATGCAGCGAACAAGTCCGGAAAGCAGGTGCCCCTCCCCCGCCATTTGCCTATCCCACTACTCTAGCTAACAGAGCTCAGGTCCGCCTCATAGCCGTCTCCAAGCTCAAGCCCGCAACCGACATCCTCGCCCTCCACCAGCTCCCGCAACCTCTGCACACGCACTTCGGCGAAAACTACGTCCAAGAGCTCGTCGAGAAATCGAAGCTCCTCCCGCGCTCGATCCGATGGCACTTCATCGGCGGCCTGCAGTCGAATAAATGCAAGCAGCTCGCCGAGCAGATACCGAACCTCTGGTGCGTGAGCAGCGTCGACAGCACCAAGAAAGCGGACGGCCTGGAAAAGGGGCGAAAAGTACTCATACAAGCAAATCCGGACGTCGGGCCGCTACGCGTAATGGTGCAAGTCAACACCAGCGGGGAGGAGGCCAAGTCGGGCGTTGAGCCTGCGGATGCGCTGGCCCTCTGCAAGTACATTGTGGAAAAGTGTCCGAGTTTGCAGCTCACGGGGCTGATGACGATTGGGGCGATTGCGAGGAGTCGGGCGACGACGCCGGAGAATGAGAATGAGGACTTTATGTGTCTTCGGGAGGCGAGGGATAAGGTTGCGGAGGGGTTAGGGTGGGAGACAGAGAGGCTGGAGTTGAGTATGGGGATGAGTGCGGATTTTGAGGGGGCGATTGCAATGGGGAGTGATGAGGTTAGGGTGGGGAGTGATATCTTTGGGGAGAGGCCGGCGAAGAAGGATGCTGTGGTTGTGGAGAAGGGGTGAGCGGTGTGGATTAGCATGGGGGTGTGGGATGGAGAGGGTGAGGTGGTTTTGGGGTCTGGAGGGGCTTGAAGTCACTTTCCTTCTCAAGGAATATCCACTTCTTCTGTTTTTCACCTTCACTCACCCCATTTCACTTGTCTCGCAACCCCGGTTGGCACGCTATGACGTGTTCCGCGCGCCTTCCCTATCTCGACGTCCAAAATCTCAACTGCTCCCCCCCTTCATTTCCGCAACACCAACGTCGCCGGACGCGCATTGAAAATTCAACGCAAGATGAGGTACAGATCCAGAGCATTCGGCGAGGTATCTAATGCTGACTTCATGGTAGTGGCTATCATCCATACAAGGACGGGAGCCGTCCGCACGGTGGCTCGAGCCAGCATGCAAATTCCGAGAATCAACAAGGACTCCAAACCGGCACTGCCTTACCCAACACCGTTTCGTCTCCGAATACTCATTCTACAAGTAACCCTTTCGCTGGACTTGGCATCACTGGGCTTGGGAGCGGGGGCTTCGGAACCTCTGGGCGCACAAGAGGAGGTTTCGGCCTTTTCTCTAGCACTCTGCAGGCCTTTCAGACACCCAATCAACCTGCAACTGGAGTGGTTCAGCCTGGGAGTAACACAAACACGTCTTTGTTCGGCGGTAGCCAGAGTGGCGTATTCTCTCCGGGGCCCGCTGTCATTCCTCAACCGCACGCCACTGCTAGCGCCCCTTCCAGTCCCATGGCACCGCATACGACAGTTGCTAGCGGCGCATTTGGTGGTAAGTCTTCTATTGCCCTCCAGCAGTCTACCAGGGCAACCGCGCCTAGAAACGCTGACACTATGGAAGACGGGACTTGGAGTCCGTTCGCCGTAGCGGCAACTAGTCGGTTCGCGAACATTGGAACGGACAATCTCTGTTCCCCGCCATACATGGTGGAGCTAGATCGCGCGACTTCTATTCCTCCTACGAAACAAGCTTACCAGACCATTACCTTCGTGGACAGATTCCAGACGTTCAGCCTGGAAGAATTGAGGGTGGCCGACTATGCTCGCAGAGTAGGCACATCGGGACGCTCAACCTCTGCTCCGGGCACGGTGGAATCTGGCCAAGTACGCAGCAATTCGGGGTACGCAGACGAGCGGCCGCGGAATTGTCTACCCTTGTAAGCACGGACCCCTCCCGTTAGATTCGACGCTGACTTTACTAGGCTAAGGGGCCCTGGTATTGAAGTGGTTGTCGGTGCGGATTGTTCAACCTTTGGTGATCCACTCGTACAACAGACCTGGTCTCTTCCACAGGCCCTCTTGTCTCATCATTCTCCTTTCCTAAAGGCCGCCTGCACCCACAACTTCAAAGAACGCGAGGAAAAACGAATCACTCTTCCCACCGATGACCCCAAGATATTCGCACTCTTCGTCGAGTGGATATACTACGGCGAATACACGATACCACTGAGCACTGGGGCTGTCGGCGGTCACACCAATATGGACGCTGAAGCCTGGGTACTTGGCGATAAGTTAATGTCAACTGCATTCAAGAACTACGCGATGGACCGTCTGTACTCGCGTCACGGCTCGCAGTTCTTCAGTACGGTAGTGATGCCTGAAGATGTCGCATACGCATGCAACAACAGCCAAGCTGGTTCCCCTATCCGTCAGCTTTTCTTCGATATCGTCTCGACGCACTTCTCGGAGCCTACGCGCGTCGCCGGTTCCGCGGAGGAGTGGGACAAGGTGCTCCTAGATCATGATGACGCTCGGACGTACCTTCTTCGAGGGTTCCGGCTCGAGTCCGGCCAGCGTAAATTCGTTAAGAGCAAGGAGGCTTACATGGAGGAGGAGTTGGGACACTCCGTTCCCCCGGTGAAAAGCGAAGGTACGAAGTGATAGGCAAGCTGGAGACCGCGTGATTGTTCTCGATAGTCTTCATCTTACCTCTAGGAGGACGACGAGGGAAGGTAGCCAGCTGCCCCTGCGGAATGGCGAGAATGGCTGGCGCATAGCTGTAGCCATGGTTGTTGCATACCATGTAGTAGTTTTCGGGAAGGGTACCTTCGGGCGGTATAAATCCCCGTAAGCATCCGCATGAAGATATGATGGCGCTAGGTGCTCTGTTCTCCGTGTGAATGCATGTCGGAGCAACGTGACGCAATGACCGCCCGGCGGGACATCGCCAGCGCGCAGGCGCAGCGGACACCTGGGCATCCACTCAGCGCAGGCGCAAACATCCCCAAGACAGCCAAGCATTCGCGTGGCATTGGCGTGCGCTCCCCGCGAGTGCTGTTGCCCAGAAAGTGTTTGCCGTTCGTTTGGGCCTCCGCTGCCTGCAGGCGCGACATGGCATCAAGCCAAGCTGCGGGACCCCAGATCTGGATGCGACTGCGTTTCCTGGCCCTCACTTCATAACTGCGCGACTCCCAGCTCAGACAACCCGCGAGCTCCCTCTCCGGCCAACTTCGCGGCAGCCCCTCAGCATCGATTCGACCGCCCGCATCAACCCCCGCGCCAAGGCGTACGTTCGACGAGCACAGCAGTGCCAGTCGCCTGTGAGGACGCACGTTTCACGCAAGGATTGCGCAAGCGGACCGCTCTGGCATTGTATTCGCCTGCGGTTGGGCTCACCAGACGCCCTGGTGCCCACAGAGTCGTCTTCATACCAGGATGAGCGTCTCTCCCACGGCACGCGCTTCACCGCCCCGCCAAACAGTGAGCCCGCTGCTGTTGCCAGCGGTCGGAGCAGACACCGAGGACCCGACACGTCGCCCGTCCATACAGTTTCTGCCGCACTCTAATGCTGCGCTCCCGACAGGAAGTCCAAAGCGAACCCGCGGCAAGCGCAGGATCTCCTCTCCTCCCCCACCTCCGTAAGTATTGGCTCGTCATATGCACGCCCTCAAGCACCCCTCAGCATAAAGACACGTTCCTCCACGTTCCTCCCCTCTGCCTTGCCATTTGTGCAATTGCCCTCTTTACCCCACGCACCTTATGGCGGGCAATCATGACGGAGTATGCCTCACAGGTTGCGGGTGGCGCCCGGAGCGAGCACGAGGCTTGGTTGCCTTCTCATGTTCCTCACAGTTGCCCTCGACAGCTTAGAGCCAATACTAACTAGCGACGTCTAGCGTATTCCAACCGCGCGTGTCCTTCGATACCTTCGACAAGCCGGCCGACTTCATCGAGGAGAACTCGTTCACACTGATAGCGAAGCATAAAGACTACGAGTACACGAAGCGCTCGCGAACGTTCCTCTGCGGCGTCGATAACAACGATTACTCGGACTATGCATTGCAATGGCTGATTGACGAGCTTGTGGACGACGGCGACGAGATCGTCTGCCTGAGGGTCGTTGACAAGGATGATACCATGGCTGGGGATAGGAGCGTGGAAAAGGGACACTACCGCTCAGAGGCAGACGATCTGATGAAGGCTATACAACAAAAGAACCATGAGAACAAGGCGATCAACTTGATCTTGGAATTCGCGGTTGGAAAGGTCAACAAAGTGATTGACGAAATGGTGAGCCCCCACAAGAGCTTTCGTCTACGAGTTTCTGACATCGGCACAGATCAATCTGTACGAACCTGCAATCCTGGTCGTCGGAACTAGGGGCAGAAGTCTGGGCGGCTTTCAAGGCTTGCTTCCAGGATCGGTATCAAAGTACTGCTTGCAACATTCGCCCGTCCCCGTCATCGTTGTCCGCCCGTCATCCAAGCGTGACAAAGCAAGGTCAAAACGTGCTTTGGATCCCAATCGGCACGCGTATAAGGACCTTTTGCAGAAGAGTGGCCACATCCTGAACACTGGTAGTCGCGAGTTCATTGCAGAAGAATCTCAGCCCGCCTCTGACGATGAAGCTGCAGCGGTCGCAGCCGCAATTGGCTACAAGCCTTCAGCCGGCGCCAGTCCGCTAGCAACTGCCCAGACGACTCCAGCAGAAGCAGAAACCGAGACTGTTGCTAGCAGCAATGCAGCTTTGACCACCACCCTGGACGACCTACGAAGCCCTGGCGTTGTCATGAAAAGCCCGGAGTTGGGCAATCTTGATAGCCCCGATATAAGCGATTCAAGCAGCAGTGATGAGGAAGGAGGCGTGCCGACTGGTGCGGAGACGGCAGAGTCGGGCGCGGCTGATGCGAAGGGTACAGAACCAGGCGCGGCTACTGCGGAACCCACCATCCAGGCTGAAGCGGAACCCAAGGAAACAGAGTCGCTGCCAAGCATAGGAAAGAGCCCGGAAGCAACGTAGCATCGGTGAGCGTTCTCGTCACCTATCATAACGGGTCACGAGGATCACACCATCCCTAACGCGCGCTCCATCCGGACACGAATGCTCATTATAGCGACCTAGTTCAGGTCAGGAGAGTAATATTATTCGACCGATTCCTCCTAGAGGTCGGTCATGGGACCACTCCAAATGTGAGGATTGGATCTCTCAGGATCCTGCGGCGTAGTACGAAGAATCGACGGCTGAATTGGGACACACTGGATAGCTAGAATACCTTAGGTAGCAACCGCATGACTTAGTCGATATCGATTGACATACCCTCAATTCTATAGGCTTACTATGGTGCTATTTTCGGTGAGGTGTGGTCCACTGTAGTAGCTGCGAAGAAGTGAACATGGCTCAATTGACTATTTGAAGGCCTCAGGCGACGCGCCAGCAAACGCTATGGGGAAGGTCCAACGTGTCGTGTAGAATTGCCTGGCCGAGACGCTAACCCCTGCGCAGATCTGCATTGGCCCTGGATGACGTTTGAGAACAACGTGGGGTGCGTGCTTGGCAAGGCAGCCCGAAACGCATTCCGCGTGGTCTTCTGTCGAGTTGTCATTCTAATCCATCCATCACACCCGTCATTTGTCTCCTCAGGCATTGTCATGGTTCATCAAAGCGACACTCATGCTGAATCGATGGTTAGCGCGCTCCTGAACTACTACCTGGAGAAGTGGCAGTGAAGCAGCAGCTCCCTACAACACCCCAATATCGCAACCGTCCATCTCAGCCCTATGCTTCCTTCCGACGACGATTGCGATGCGTGCGCCCCCGACTGGGCCATCAAACGGAGCCCAACCGCGGTAGCGATCGCCGGCCTTCCTTTCGTGTTCACCTTTCTCATCGTCGCTGTCGCCGTATCGCACAAGCTGTTCCCACTCCTTTCAGGACATGCACATCTTAAACATCATGACGGCCAATTACCCGGCTTCGCATGGCGCGAAAAGACATCCGTACTCAAGAAACTGAAGATAACGGCGCGATCGCTAGCTAGCGCAGCCTTTTCAACGAACATCGCCCTCTCTGCGGTCCTGGTCGAGCTCATCCTATGCGAAATCTCGAATACCGTCAACCCCGCGACACGAACCCTAGCTTTGAAGATTACCCTACCTTCGCTACTCTTCCTCCTCATCATTGCGACGCCTGCGCTGATCATACATTCGGTGATAGCGGACGCGGGATGGGGTTTAGGCGGCGGGCAACGACACCGGAGAATCGCGTGGATATTGGAGGTTTCTGGCCTTGCGCTATGGCTTGGAGGGTTTTGGTATCTTGGGAGGGGACTGTTAGGGACTTATCTGCACGAAGAGTCATATGTTCACGAGCACACCTTCAGCGAAGGCTGCCTCGAGAGAATAGGCGTCATTGGTATAAGTCTGATGGCGTCGCTTGCTGGATTCGCTGCCGTGAGTTCATTATGGCAGACGTTTGGCGTCAAATACCGCCCAGTAAGTTGCTTCTGTTGTAAGTTCGCGGAGTCGTCCTTCTGACGCACTCAGGTCACGGAGTCCGACATTGCTCGAAAGCAAGCCGGCCTCGATGCGACGAACGATATGCTACTGACGAAAGAGAGTCGATTACGCGCCGTACAGCGAAAGCTCTCCGATGGCCCTCAGGAAGGCTTCATGACCCGCGTTGTAGGCAGCATCCGAGGAAATCCGGATGTTCAAGAACGCAACACTCTTCAGCTCGAGATACAGGGACTTGAGGCTATGCGCACTACTCTTCAAAACTCGCTCACAGTCCTACAAAACCGGCGGCATACTCAAATGCGCTCACATACTGCGTATGGCCGACTTCTGAACCTCTTTTCCTTCCTCTTCTCCATTTACTGTTTCTACCGAATCACTGCGACGACGTTTACGACTTTACGCCGCTTCTCTTCACCCAACACCAGCTTCTCGAATACCGATCCAATCAACAACTTCCTCGCGATTTTAGCAAAGCATTGGGATCCTACAATAGACCGCGTTGCATGGAGCCGCACGATATCCTTCCTCCTCTCGGGAATCATGCTTCTTGCATCCTTCAACAGCGTCGTTCAGACCTTCTTCCTCTTTGCACGCGTTCTACCAGGCATCCTCCACCATGCACGCGCTAACTTCGCGCTCCTGATCTCCCAAATTGCGGCGACATATGTCATAAGCTCGGCGCTCCTCCTGCGGAGTAACCTTCCAGTCGAGATGAAGAGTGCAATATCAGACGCACTGGGTGCGCCGCTGGAACCCGCGTTTACGGAGAGGTGGTTCGAAGGGTGGTTTTTGATGGCTAGTGCTTTTACGGCGTTTGGGTTATGGGCCGGGAAGAGGCTCAAAGGCCAGGGGTGGGACGACGATGACGACCTGGGCGATGCAGACGTGGAGATGGGAAAGTTGAATTGAAGTGTATCATTATTGTACGGGAAATGTTAGTATTTGACTAGGTAGCATAGTATATATGAAGTATAAGGGTACCAGAACGATACTTTCAGTGTTCCGATAATCCAGCGTACACGGCCTCGAAGGTCTTCCGGCTGGTGTTTCCCGACACCAACGATCTGGAAGTCGATCCTTCTTGGACATCAACGCTGACCTTAAGTGAAGATACAACTCGGCATGATTGCGACTGCTTGCTGCTGTATCAGCAATATCTGCCAGCCATGAAGGACGCCAAATAGTGCCACTTTGATGAGAACTGACGTCGATGCTGTGCATAGTTGCCCGATCTGAAAGCGCCAAGATTGTTTGGACATGACGTAGTGGTGGGGGCAACTCTCAATGAAAAGCGCGGGGCTGCGCGCTGGGAACCTTCATCGACACTCAAAAGATATCTCGAAAGCACCTGAGAACTTCACTCCCAGACCAATTCAAGTGTAAGTGGGCATTGCCGTCCCCAGAAGCCAGCAAAGCGAAGACTAACAGCACCTACAGAACTTCTCCACCTCACCCAACAAACCGTACGTCTTCCTCGCGCCTTGTGACCCTCTCATTCCCCTTCCAACTGCTTCCATCTCTACCCCCAGCTCTCCTCTAATACAAGGCGCTAGATATACAATGTCCGCACCCAACGCCGGCCGCCAGTCCCCCGATCCCGAGAGGCAGACGGGCGCTCAGCAGCAAGACCCCGTCGCCTCCAACGTCAACGAGCAGGGCGGCGCGCCCTCGCAGGGAAACGCCAAGGAGGCTTCCGACGACCAGAAGGCGAGCCTGTCCTCGAACCCGACGCACCCGCTCGAGAAGTTCGCCGAGGAGAAGACGAGTAAGAAATGATGAGCTCGCTCGTTGCCAGATGGGTACTCGTGGAGGTGGGCGGATGTGCGAGGACTACTGCCTTTTCCGATGGGTCGTGCTAGGTACTTATGAGCTCTGAGCCCTGAAGGGTTGAGATAGCTTTCTGTATTCTGAGAAAAAATGGATGCGGATACGATTGATGACGTTTGCTCGCCGCTGGAGTTGTGCTTGAAGCTTGATGTTTTGAGATGCGAAGTGTGACTGACTGGCTCATAATCAGTCTTGGGAAGATCGAGCAGTGTCCAGGCTGAAGTAATCTAACATTCTTCGTGATGTCGCCGTGGTACTCTTAAGTCCAGAGGTCGCATTCGGAATTGTCCATCTCCGTCCCACCAATCACCCCAGCAGCTCGAGCCAAGTCACCCCTTGGTTTAGCTTACCCCTCAACCCCACCAGGCAAAAAATTTTCGTGCGTCTCGTGCTTGCGCTCGATCATATTCTTGCATTCTGGTCGCGTTGTCGGCTATTATTGCACAGAATATATATTGTTTAATTTCGAAAAATGATATAATCGGGCACTTGGTCTAGGGGTATGATTTTCGCTTCGCATGTCCGCCATGAGTATGTGAAAGGTCGTGGGTTCAATTCCCACAGTGTCCATTCATCTTTTTGTCAAAAGTCTCTTGCCGTCATTCATTTTGCTCATGTCGAGATAGCGGGCAGTACAATTCTTTTTCTTGGCATAAGAACGGTATCCTGCAAATCGGACCTGGGCTCTGGATACATAGAAGCGCAAAAAGAGTGCGGACATCGATGTCTGGCTTAGCAAACTAGTTTCACTGCAGAACGAGAGAAGTGTCTAGAGGAGACGTGATGCAGGCTTAGTCTCGCTCTCACATTTTATCGCTTGCCCCGAGACTTTGTCGTGCTGACGGCTTTGAGGCCGCGTTTTTTCCCAAACAACACCCCTTGGATGCTTGCCTGCGTCCTTGAAGCCTTCACGAGTGGATATACCCTAAGACTCCAACGCCGGCTGCTCTAAAGGGCTCGTAATCGACACAGGAAATATAGGGGCAGCTAGCGTAAAGTATGATCCTACTTCTTGAAGCCGAGAAAGATCGACATACCACAGGGTGCTCGCCTTCGGGTCTCTTGTAAAAGGAGTCTCTAGCGAGAGTTTCGTGGGTCACCGCAACGCTGAGGTCTAGTAGCTCTCCAGAGCAAGTGAAGGTATAATGGACCGGGCATCCCTGATACAGATTTATGCTAACCTGAAGATTAGGACTCTTATAGATACTGTAAAATCCAAACGTAGAAGCTTGAAGCAATTCGGAAAAGCCATGCATTTCGCATCGACGCCACGCTGTCGATGAATGCCCCACGCCTGGTTCTGATGACGCCGGAGCCTACTCAACGCCGCTCAAAAGATACCAAGCCTGGCTTCAATTACGCGCCTATCGGATCATACCTCTGCCGCACAGTTCGCCTCCTCTCCACCTCCGCATCCGGATCCCTTGCTGCCGTCTCAATGATATCCACCTTCGGCTCCTCGAGCGCCATCTCCACTTTCCCGGGCCTCCTACTTCTCAGATTCGTCTTCTGGATAATGGGATAGAAGTACGCCGCCTTCTGCAGCTTAGTACCCCTCAACGGCTCCTCCTCATGCTGCTCAGGGTCATGTATCGCAAGCGCGACCACATCACCATATGTGTTCTCTGGATCGCCAACCTGGTTCTGCGTCTCGTACGTGCGGATGAGCTCGTACTTGAAGTACTTCTTCGCGCGGCCGTCTTCGTCCTGGGTTTCGTCGAAGGGGATCTCCGTGTCGTTGTCGGGATCGTGGGTGGTGAAGTTGCGTTTTATGCCGTGCACTTTCTCTCGGTCAGGAGGGAGGAATAACTCGAAGTCGTAGCGGGGAATTGGTAGAGGTATTGTGGGGTCTTGCTTATGCGCTTCCTGTTCTTGGACATAGAGGTTGTGGTCTTCGACGGTTTGCCCAGCGGGGCGTAGGAGTGCGACGTCGAGACGAGAGTCGTAGGAGGGGTCGTTCGGGTTATTAATCGGCGGTGCCATGAACTTGTATGCCATGTAGGAACCTGTGTCGGGCATGGCATCCCAGTCTGGAAGCAAGGGGTATGTGCCAATGCATGTGAGGTTAGGGTTTACGGGGTGCTTGGGCATCTTCCATGCCTGCCGGTCCTCCGGCACAATTTCTGCAGCGCGTAAGTTGTCCGCGGTGTCAGGGCCGTTGTATGCATCATCCGGGTAGGCGAGGTTGAAGCCTTTCAGGATATGCCTAGCGATGTTGGTAGGATCGTCTTCGGAGATATCAACTTGACGCCGCCGCTTTGTCCGTACGCGCATTGTGTTTGATGAGTTGCTTGACTCAAATTTCGATGCGCCGGTCGTGCTCGAGGTGATGTATTCGGTACGGCGCAAGAACGAAGCACCGGCAGCACTTGCGGTCGCTTTACCAAGGGCGTTAGGTGGTCGCATTAATGCTCGATCTGCAGGGTGCAATGCTGGGGGGTTCGAGAGCGACTGAATTGCTGCAGCAATATGTCAGATATGGAAAGAGTCTGGCTACGGGCCATGCATACCTGATTCATCCCCATCGAAGACGCCAGGGAGACCGACCAGGTCGATCGGCATACCCAGCTCTGCATCTGCTTCAATATTCAGCGGCTGCTCTCGCGCTAGCCGCGATGCAAAGCCCGCTGAGGTGTATTGTCCGCTTGAAAGGCCTGTGTTGGGGATGTCGAGGAGCTTTGGGGGACATGGCGGCGGAGGGAGCGCGTTTGAATATCGTATCCGCGCAATATAGTCTTGACGATAGTCCGGTCGCTGTGACGAGGCCATGATGTCGCAATCGTAGGGACAGTTCGGCCGTGGAAGTTGGGTGCGTTTGCGAGGTTGCTGAAAGAGAGTTGAGAGCTTGGTTCCGACGCGCCGGAAAATCGAATGGCCTTCACTTTGCCAAGGCCGGACATGACTAAGCGTTGCTCTCCTTTCACTTGATTCAGCGTGCAACATGGCAGACACCGGCCTGAATCCTGAGGTTCGATTGGGCTGATAAATTGAGTTGAATATTGATCGCAATACTGGTATAGCTTGCAAAAAGCCGGCTAGGATAGCTTCACCAGAGTGCCAAGAATATATCATCCAAGACAAATTCTCTGCTCATAGGCGATCGTGATTGATATTAGGTGTAGTCTATGAGGCAGTCTTCACTATGTACAGATCCCCTTCCACCCATTACTCAAGGCTTTATGTTGATAGGACTGCCGCCAAACAGCATCTATGCTGTGTGATGTCTAATCCAACGCCAGTTCCACCCCAACAACTTATGTGCGTCCAAATGGAACGGCTGGCAGCGTTTGAATGGAAATCGAGCGATGCAAGGCCAAAATCTTTTTTTTTTACTCCAGCTGCGCGCCGTCTTACTGGACCTTCTTCAGCTTAGCCAGCTTCCTCTCCCTCCTCCGCTTAGCCGCCTCAGGACCAGCCTCGGTGTCTAGGAAGTAATCCCACCACCTGAAGCTGCTAGAGTAGTTGCCAATGAAGCGCTCGTGGTGGACGTCGTGATGTTCAGCGCCGGCCCAGAAGGGAAGGAAGTGATGCAGACTCCAAGGGAACTCGTAGCCACTGTGAGCGTCGATGGCCTGGAAGAGGCGGAACACAATCCAGAGATACATGGTCAGAATGTGCAAATCCCCGGTAATGGCGCACCAGGCAATAGGCGCTCCAACTGTACCGAGACCGAGAACCATGACTTCGATGGGCGAGGCGTATTCGGCAGCCAGGCCAAACGGAGCAGAGTATTGATGGTGGATCTTGTGGATGTTCTTGTATAGCGGTCCCCAGTGCATGGCGCGGTGTGTCCAGTAGTGCCAGGCGTCCTCGAGCACGAAGAAGACGGCGATATGGAAGGCCATCTTGTAGATGCTGGGGAACGGGACGGTGGTGCTCAGACCAAAGAACTGGCACATAGGGTGGAAGAACCAGATCTGTGGGAGCTCGACGGTAAAGTGGGAGAAGAGGACGAGAAGAGCGCACTGCCATTGTTCCCAGGCGGTGGGGATTTTTTGCTGGTATTGTCGTCAGCTATTATATATGGCAAGAAGCGCGCACCACGTACCTGCTGAATCTTGTACCTCCTGAACCATGGAATGGCATCGATTATGATCCATGGCAACGATCGCCCGAAGTACACAGCCTCGTGCATGACAAAGGACATGATGCCTGTCGCAAGCACATCATTTTGCATGTATGTGTACCATGCAAGCCACATTTTTTCGGCGTAATTGAGCGAGACATTGTACTTGGAGATCTCCTCGAACGAGCCCCAGTACGTGTGCTGCGCCATTGGCGACAAGACCGTTGTCGAATTCCTGGCGCGACGTTAGCAATTGTTGCGATGCGATAGGAGATATCGGGTTGAGGTACATTCTGCTGGCTGAATAGACCAAGTGAAACTCGATACAATTTCAGGGTCGAAAGGGCCGAGGGAAGGAAGCACTGCAGAGGACGGTGAGCGGAGGAGGCGTCCAAGTGCAGTGGTGAAAGACGAGAACAGGCGCAGGCGGGTTTAAAATCGAGGTCGTTGAAGGTCGATCGAGCCACTTTCGCACTGTCAGGGACAGCCCGTTCCGAGATTTAGCGTGCGCCGACCTGCTGGCGCTATTCCCTTTACGACGCCGCACCCCGCCAATCAGACGCCTTGGATCGCCGTCATTTGCCTCACCGCCTTCTGCTCCGTGGTGTTATTTTTCAGTTGGCCGGTTCCTTTCCTCCCGGAATGCGGGAAACGAAAGACTCTCAGCAAATACTCGTCTTCTCTCACGTCACTGTCGCCTTATTCGCTCCTTTTTGCGCTCTTAAAAATCTACCGTGCAGTATCTAATCCAGACGGCCATCGTTCGTGGCGGTGCCGTGGCAAGATACAAGACTTGCTAAAACAGATTCCATATTCTTTTCTCAAGCTCATGAAATGCCTCTCCCTTCTCTGGTTGCCCTCATAATCGCCCGCATGTGCGACCGTGTTTGACGCTCAAACGCAGCATATGCCCCGACCCAGCCTTATCCGCCGTATACGGTAAAACAGAAGGGATTATCCATATGTTCCCGGTCTGGCGTCGGACAGATGACGATTGGCGATGGTGTTGTTGTCGTTGCTCTGTCGTTTGGTTCTGTGCGCCTCATTGCGAATATAGACGGCAGTCGGGACAGGTCGAAAGGTGTAAGCAGGTAGTGTAAAACCACAGCCAGAAGGAGTATGGCCGCAGCTGAGAGTATCCGCCAACGGTACGCAGACATGTTGATGCAAGTGCTGGCCATTATGACGTAGGAATGAATTCTGCTCGTGTAGACCTCGGGAAGATGGTAGTCGCTGAAGTCGATAGTCTCGAAGTGCCAGTGAGGCCACCTTCCGGTTGACGTTTGATGGTGACCTGGCAGCAAGACCGCAAACCGGAGCCGCAGCGCTGATACAGAAATGGTTTACGTGGCTCGACTCCTGCGCTGAAGGATGTTGAGTGTGGCGAGGATGGCGAGGAGAAGATTGCCTAGTGACCTCGAGCGGCTAGTCTATTTCAGGCGGTAGTGGCGTGATACTCGTTAGGCGCCACTTTGCTCAGCCACTCACTCACTGTCGTTGTTTCGCAACTAACTTCGAACAGCGTAACAAGCACGAGCGACACTCCTTAGTCGAACGGCGTAACAGTTCCACCACCGTACAGGAGCAATATCGGAAACGTGGCCAGGAACCGCTCCTACAGGTTTATTCAACGAGCGAGCGGCAAAGATGTGAATCAGCCTACCGCACTGCGCCCCAAGGAGGCGAGACTTAGACCCGTGACGAAGCCCAGAGGAGACCAAAGGGCCTATGCTCGTTCCAGGCACTACATGCGGAAGTAGTAGGTAAGGAGGGAATCCAAACGCCTCGGACTCGACAGACACCTACGATTCCAGTGGAGAGACCTGTATGTTCACGAGTCTGCAGTAAAGAGAATGTTGTATTGACGTTTCAGACAGAAGATTTCCCCTGTGCTTCAGAATCTACGCTTCAAACTGAAGGAGCAGTTCAGAGAGATCCGCTGAGGATACCTGGCATGTACTACAGCAGCACTACCACCATGAGGATTCAAATTCCTTCGAGTACGCTTACGAGCCTTTTAATTACCAACCTCAAGACCCAAGAATGGGAAACCTTCGGGGATCCTGCATTCGTATGCGGGGCTGCAAAGGTGGCTCGGTCACACTGGAACGCTGCTTCTTCGTGGTAGGAGTCAAAACAAGCAAGTTATACCTAGAAATGCGAGGATGAGCCAATGCCGGTCATACATCACGGTGAAGACCATTGCTCGGCTGATCAAAGTGGATTCGCGCCCAGCTTCACATCTGTGCCTCTCAAGGGATCAGACATCTTACCTGCAGTATTTGGGGGAGTTCGGCTGGCCTCAGCAGGCTATCTGGCCAGTTCCTCTGTCTCCTTTCTCGTCCGCGGTATAAAGAGCCACATGAATCACAACTATGAAATTCCAGGTACGACGGCTCCGCCTTTATCTGCGTTCCTGAAATCTTTATATCATGCGATCAAAATTCATCTACAAGTTTCTTCTCCTGCCACAACTCGTTTCCACACGCACACTCCCCCTTTTGACGAGGGAGCGTGAAGATGGGAATGACACCATCGAAGGGGTAGACATTACGTACTCCGGCTGCGACGGTATCAATCCGAGAACGGGCCATAAGATGTCGTGGGACATCGCGAATGCGTGGGACGACGCGATCAAAATGGCCCAAGCGATTACGGAAGTTGACATGGCCAAAGACATTGGCGCTTTCGATTGTAGGTATACTACCAGGAGCGCATGATTGACTGTAATTCTCTCCAAGAATCAGGCTGATGAGCATCAAGTCTTTGGACCTGGCTTTCAGACTGACGGCAAAGGCTATAAAGTCCTCAGCGTTTACGATAACATGGCCACATTTGGCCGAGCTTTCCTCTGGGGATGGCGAGTTAACGCTTTCTGCGAGCCTGAGGATCAGAACCTCTTCGACATCTGCAAACGCGGAGCCGTCGCCTACCAATGGGATACACTCTGTAAGGATGGTCGCTGTCCTTGCAGTTCGCGCGACGCAAAAGGCAACTGTAACGCCAAAGGCGATAAAGGGATTGTTAAGGATCCTGATAAGTCGTACATTAACATCATGTTCTGCAATGGCTTCTTCGCGTACCCGTCCCTAGACGAAGTTATTAAATACGGTAAGACGAGCCCGGTTGAAGAGAAGTACAATTTGAACAGCTATTGGGACAACCGAGGTAAGCGCTCTCTCAACGTGGAAATCAAGGCCTCACTGAACATTTCCCAAGGCAAGATCCTGTTCCACGAACTGGCACACGGTGCCACGGTCACCTTGAAAGTGAATGACAACCTGCTAGTCCAGGACATCTCTATAAAGATCAAAAGTTACGTGAGGAAAGATGATGGGACCTACATTGAGGTATTCAAATGGGTCACGGCCTATGGAACGCTGAACAGCAAGGTCTTGGCACGTACTATCGCCAACCACAACTTCGATTGGGTATGTATCAGGAATCATGAATAGCTCGGCATGAGAGCCTCGGGTTGAGTTCGCCGGTGGGCTTGCTAAGATATTACTAGGTGAGAAGGAATGATGACAACTGGAGCGCATATGCCCTTGGTAAGTTCCCTCCTCTTTTTGATTCTTGTATCAATCAACTATCCGTTCGGACCTCGAAATCCTCCCACCCAAATACCTATTGACGGTTCCCATGTTCAGCCAAATACGTCGAGTCGCAAGTCGGTGTGTACCCAGTTCTTCCGCTTGCAGACGGCCATGCGTATGACAAGAGCACCGAACCTCCTGAAGATGCCACGTTCTTAATCACTTCCGACGGCTGGATGCTGAACGACGAAACCTTTAATGGCGACACTAAATTCAATACCTCTATGTATGCGTCAGTTTCGGGTGAGCCAAACCAGACACTCGAAGATCTTACATTCAGGCCCGATTCGGACTATCCAGACTGGTACATCAAGCGTTTGGAGGATGCGCGGAAGGGGATTTTCCCTGAGGATACACCAACATCAACGCCAACGCCCACTCCGACGCCCACTCCAACACCACCACCACCACCGCCGCCGCCGCCGCCGCCACCGCCGCCAAAAACAAAAGCCCTGTCAATCATTCTGCAGAACTATATCGATGAAATCACGAACGAAAACAAATGGCTCTTCTTCACTACAGATGTCGGTGTTTCTGCCCTTTGCCGGGACGACACTGAGGCCATCTCTCAAGTAACGACGACAGAGGACCCCTCTATGGTGGACAATCCGCCCTGGCCAGGGGGCACGTTTCCTCTAGATCTCTACGGTATGCACTGCGAGTACAAGAACGATGGAACCAATGCGGGGGCACTATGGTGCCCGGATGGACCAATTTCCTGCCAGGAGGACAGTGGGAAAGGGAGCGGGAAGGGGACGCAGTGTAACGATCCGATCTTCTGGAACATACAGCAACATCCAGTCGCTTTTTGCGAGTGGTAGGAGATGGGGAACCAGATGGAGACGCCCTTTCGTGGAGCGGTGCAAACCATGGCATTCCAGATGCGAACAGCTTTTGACGTTCTTTCTATTCTTGCTTGGCGAGGTTAGCAGATACATTGTCTCGTACTTTCTTCGTAATGAATCCGTTGATAGAAGTAAATCACAGCTATTGCGCTAGCCGCAAACTGACGGTCCTTCCAAGCATATGCGTTAGCCGTAGACCGAGTATCCGCGAGTGGAGTTGATCGTCAAAAGGAGGTCTTCCGTTCCACGAGCAATGAAAATGCTGGCATGACGGTGCAGTTCGATGACGAGCTTTTTGGAGGGTAGTCACCTTATGTACAGAGAAGGAACGGTTAAGACTCTGGCAACGCAAGGCGGCCATAGAGTGTGTGTGTTTGTAGTACTGTAAACTCTTGCTTCAGCCAGGTCCTCTATCGCTTTCTGGGTTGCCTCGTCGAGCACAAAGTGAAGCTCTCTCCCGAGATCTCAGCCTCCTGTGTGCCGGCGACCTCGGGACTGGCCGACTTTTGTGGCTTGCACCGCCGGCGGACGCTGCTCGACCGGCGAACCCTTTTCAACCGCCTCTTGCGCCTGCGCGGCCTCCTTCACTAGGCGCAGGGAGAGTGACGGGTGGGATAGCTTGATGGTCGGCATTTAATGTGTACCTAGGTCCGAACCTTGCTCGCGGGAAGTCTTGAGTAGATCTATCTAGTACTACTATAACTTGCACAGAGCGTCAGGACAAGATCTACGGCTTTTGCTCATTGTTCAAGGAGCTCGAACGTTTCGATGTTGACTATGGCAAAGACATTTACAACCTCTACTATCGAGCCTGCCAAGCTCTCTTTCCGGTAGTCAAGGGATATGGAACGAATTCAAACGCCGCGCTTCAACTGCTTCGAAACCTCGGTCTCGGTCCTATTGATCTAGTATGGGGCGGGAAAGCACAATTCATATCTTCGGCCGATATCCAGGCCGTCGTCGCTCGCCAAGCTATCGCAGCACCAGAGCATCAAACCTCGCAACCGAGTCTCGTTGGAATCTGCTCCCACTGCAGGAAGAGCTTCGAGCTTGTAGCGACGGAATCGCCTCCAGATAAAACCAAATTCTCGGAAGGATTGTACTCTATGATGTTGTGCTACAGGCATTTCATGGGTCACGAAACGTGGTTACCGAACAGTGGCAAGCTCGATCATATCTTCATATACCCTCAAAAGTGCAGGAGGATGGCTGCTGATGCTTGGGCTAGCGATGAAAGATCTTTGATACGGTTGGATGCGGGAGAGGTACCCCTCGATCGTAATCATACACTGAGAGACATCTTTGGAATTGTTAAATTACATCTCGACTATTACTACTTGTACGATGTCCATGGACCGAACCCACAATATCGGGACTATGAATGGAACCTCAACGACCGCCTCCAGAAGTCCTTCAAGGCGCATCTGACTCGCTCCTCAACCCCACCGCCAATAGCCATGGAAATGCTCGATATATTGCAGCTTAAGGACGCAGCGAAGCTCAAGTTTTGTTGGAGTACAATCGCCAAGCTTCCTAATCGGGCACTAGCGCCACAGAGATTTCTTCGATTTCTCGGAGCTATATACACTCAATACAATACACCTCACCCCAAACATGCTGTATTCCTCAATTGCCTACTTCAACAAGTTTTACCTAGCTTTGCGGCGGGAAGGACTGCTAGTCTAGTTTCCATGGTCGTAGTGTCCGGTAATAAACCCGATAAGTCGACTCTGGCGCTACTTGGTTGGTTCAGCGGTGTAATCGACGGATGCGATGGTCTATTTGCTTCAGAAGTACCCTCTGTATATAGCACGAGAACCATAATCCTGGGCTGTCCCAGGAAAAACTCAAAACGATGCTTCAGCTTCCAAGCCCGAACCGCTATCATCGTAATAACTTTGCTGTTGCGAGACATTAGTTGAATCTAGAACACTCGCCCGTAGTGTATAAGTGCGGGCGGGTTTGTAGGTATTACCATGAGCTTATGCGGCTTCTAGCGGATTGGCAGAGGGCGTATAATAAGGGGACGGATGGTAGAGGGCGGTGGGCGGGGAAGGCGAAATGTAAGCTATGAGGGGGCGGTGGCGTCAGTGCCAGTTAGAGGGTCGATCGGGCTGCGGTGGCGTTGTAAGTATTACCATGAGGACCTGAGATACGTCTTGCTAAGGTTTGTAAGGTCGAATGAATGAATGGAGGCTAGAGCGTTTGCGGGCGACCAAGGGGGAACTCTTGGAATGTCTGCATTGCGAGGAGAACCATAAGAGACTAGAAGTGTTAGGAATTTGCTGTATAAGCGCACATGTTTCTTAAGTAATAAATCGAATTGGATATGTCTCCTCGTATGCTAGGTTAACGAGGGCCCCTAGGGCAGAGGCGGAGGTGTAAGGCGGTGAGATAGATGGAGTGTGTAGGTGATACCTTCAAGGGGAAGGTTATAACGGTAGAGGAAAACCCTTTTCTTCTACTTCATTCACAGTCATTCCTTTGAAACGAATAACATACTTCCACCGTCGAAAAAAAATTATTCTCACCAGTAGCTTCATGATACACGCTCAGGACAACATGTGTTCTACATACACCGGAGGTTACACAAACAAGTTTGCCAACATCCCCATACTCTTTCCCTTCCACTCTTTCTCGAAGTTGTAAATCGCAGGGTGACTGACGCCATGCATTGGTGTAAAAGAGAGAGAGAGAGAATGCTTCATAAGTACATAAAAAGCCGTCCATGACCAAACAAGGAGAAGGGGGTACTTTAGCAGCTCGTTATGAGTATCTTGTTCCAATTCCAACACGAAACGCCAAGCTCATTTGCAGTCTACAAGAGGTGCGGATTGACAAGCGCGACAAGCCAAGCCAAGCGAAGAGAGCGCTAGGTAGGAGAGACGTGACTACTCAATAGATAAGTTGCCGTGTGTCGTGGTGGTAGTCCGACGCCAGAAGCCCCAAACCCCAATTCCCTGCTATGCTTTACCTTTACGTTCCTTCACGCCATCCATCCCTCTTCCCCCTTGAAATATAAGCCATGCCGTCGTTTCTCATCGCGCGGTGCGAGCTCCATAGCTATTATCGCGTCTTCTTGACCTCGCTCGCCCATCCCTCAATCCCCTCTCCCTTGCTCCCCACCGGAAAACCCAAATTCACGTTCTCCATGCCTTTCGTTTCCTTCAAGAAGTCGTGTCCGGCCATGCCTCCCGCGTTCGCGCGATCCACGGGCAGCAGTTCCAACATGGGTAGCAAAAAGCCGCTAATCCGCTTGCTATCCTCCACGCTGAAATGATACTTCTCGTGGAGGACGTCGGGCAGCGCCCAATGGCGTAACCGGTGAATGTTCCGCAGCTCGCCTTTGCGGTTGAAGATTTCTTGCGACCATTTTCCGGACATGCAGAGGGACTTGGGGAAGGCGCCAAGGAGCTCGATGATTTGCGCGATGTGGTCGTCGTCTTTGCCGTACTTGGTGCCGGATTGCGGGTCGAAGAGGTAGTCTCCTGTTATTAATTCGAAGACCTGGAAATGTTAATATCCCGGCTTTTGCATCAATCACAAGGGCTGCATACCATTGCGGCCATACTCCAGACATCGGTACTTGCTCCCCACTTGCTGCCTAGAATAACTTCAGGAGACCTGTACTGTCTGGTCTGGATGTCATTGGTGAAGTGGTGGCCGACCCAGCATGCGTTACCAAGATCCGCGATCTTGACTGAGATCGTTTCGAAGGCGAGGTCTTCCACCATCTTCTCGCCGGAGGTTTCTGTTTTCGAGGAGGAGGTGGTGCTGGATTTATCGAGGCTGATACCGGAAACTTCTTTGGTTAAGAGGTCACTAGATTATACATCAGTGGCGATCATGCAGCCGTCCCAGAAGCGACTTACGCAGTCTTTTCTCGCTGCTTCTGAACGTCATCGTCGCTGGTCGTGGGTTGCTTGATGCCAAGTCGTTCTGCCATAGACAGGCCGGCAGACGGTGACGAAGTGCCTAGCGCACCACTCATTACAACACCGTCTTGCGCAGGTGGGCTCAAGCCAGTGACGGGGGATTCTTTACCTGTATTCTCGCTTACGATCTTGTTGAGGCTCTGGGTGCTACCGGGAAAAGTGGCGAGATCGGAGTGGTTGAAGCTGGCGTTGAGCGGACTGGGGAGCGGCTGGCTTCCTGTGATAAGCGTTCTCCGTCTCCGCCGGCCGTTTGGGTTGCTCCGTTCGTTATCCTTCTTCGGGTCGTCCTTGACGTACGTTTTGACAATCTGCTCAACGTCGCCGATCTCGATGAGGACATTTTCGGGCTTCAGGTCGGTGTGGATGATGCCGCATTCCCGGTGGAGGTAGTCGAGGCCGAGCAGAACTTGTTTCGTGATCTGCTTGACCAGCGGCATGGGTATACCGCGATGATTCCAGCGCTTTATTAAACCAAGCAGATTCTCTCCCAGCACCTCAAACACCATGCACACATGGACGCCGTTGGGGCCCTTGTGGTTGAACGAGTCGAGCAGACTGACGACATGTTTGCGGCCGGGGTGCTCCTTGTTCGCATCGACGACCTTTTTCAGCAGCTTGATCTCGTCGAGGGCGGTTTCGGTGTAATGCGCGGCGGAGCGGACGACCTTGAGCGCGACGTGCTTGCCGGTGGTGTTGTCTCTCGAGAGCCAGACGGTTGAGAAGTGGCCCCACCCCAGCTTGCGCACCACCGTGTACTTGCCGTCTTTGTAGTCCTCCCCGACCTGCACTGGGTGGTAGCCGCCCTTGCAGTAGTCTTCGGAGTCTTCTTCGTCGGCGGTGTTCTCGGCTTCGTCGACAGAGGACGAGGAGGACGATGGCGAGTGGCTCAATTGGTTTGTGTACATTTTGTGGTGCGCGAGGGGCGACGACGTGTTTTGGACACTGGGAGAGCAAAGTCAGCAAGGTGCATCCTGCGGGCGAGGCGTGGAGGGTGGCGCGGCGGGGAGTGGGTGTTTGGGCAGCGCGGGGGATACGCACTTGTAGTGAAAGGAGCTGGCAGAGGCGGGGGGTTCGTTTTGGCTGGTGGTGATGATGGGCTTCAGGTCCTTCTTCTGGCGCTTCTTGTTGCCCCCGTTCCCGTTCGCGGCCTGCGCGACCTGCTTCGCCTTGTTGATGGCGGCCTTTTTGATGGTGTCGGCGCCATTCATCATGGCTTCCCCGCCGCAAGCGCACTGGGCTCAGAGAGGGCGTCGAGGGGTGCTGCGATGCGGTCAGGCGCTCGGGACGCGTCGGGCTGCTGGGCTCATGGGTGTCGGCGAGGGCAGGCGTCGAAGAGGGAAGAGGCGAGAGGCAAGGCCAGCGCAAGCGGCCGTCGTAGCACTGCGCTGCGATTTCTCAATTGCTGGAGATCGGCTTAGGCGCTCGTCTCGTCGGGCCTATCCTAGCACGCCCGGCCCCTGGCTGTGATTGGGCGGCGCGCTGGGGCGTTGCTGCGCTCGGTGCGGGTGTCGGCGGCCGTGGGCACGGCGTTTGCGCGAGGATTGCGAGGATTGCGGGCGAGGGAGGGTGCGCGCTGGAGGGCGAGTGCTGGTGTTGAGTCGGACGGCGGCCAGGGCATGGGCGGCGGGCGGGTTGCAGGTTCTCAATAACGGGCTGGGGCAGACGTCGGAGCGGTAAGACGCACGCCGCCAGCAGCGATGATGCAACCGCGCGCCCATGAAACAGCGACGCCAGCCCGGCTTTCCGCCTGCTGCCCCGAATATCAACCCACCCGCGATGCACTCCCCCTCAGCGACTGTAACCTCGCAAGGCCTACAACCTCTACAACGGCCCGCCTGGCAGCCTGCTTCTGCTGCGTGCCGCTGAATCAGTGCATGAAATTGCCCGCTTGATTTGGCCACTCGCCCCCCACCAGGTCCTCCGAGGAGCTCACGGCTGGCAGCATATCCAGAAAAGTCTTATTGCTACCCCCTATCTGAAGATGCTCGCAAGCTATGCCCGTGGCATACTAGAAGTGTATTGCGCTTTCCCTTGGATATCAGGCAATCTTCCCCAGTCAACCCAGGGAACGTGGATGATAGTCGTACCGAGTTCAACCTGAATCTCACTGCAGATACTCTATCAGACACAGTAAGACACATACTTCCCCCTTTGCCGGGCAGTGGGATCGCCTTCGTTCCATTAATCTACTCGGTGACACGCCTTGCTGTGTAAATCTGTAGATCCCCGCTCGCGCGGGCGCCATAAATACCTCAGTCCTCGTCTCCATGTGTCCTATAATACAAAGCAATATGTGCAGCTGCAGCCCCTCCCGCCCTTGGACTGAGCGCTCCTGCGAGACTGCAGCTAGACATCCTCCGTGGAAGCCTAAAGTCTTGCAGATAGGACTACAGCCAGTCCTTTTACCGTCCTGCCGGTGCTAATAATGTACATGTAGAGAACCTGGCTCCGATCGCTATGCAAAATACTGCCGAATACAAAATCAAGAAGAACAAACGCGGCGCATGGGGTATCGGGGCGGGAGTGCTAGGGCTGCACCATGATCCAGATAGAGATGCCCATGTCTCACAAGCAGAGCCGCACGGCTAACTACCTGGCGGAGACGGCAGCCATCCATTTCTGCTCATCCTTCCTGCAAGGCGTTAGCAGCAGACTTTTGACGGGCGCTGTCATGCTTACTTGTCAAAGTGAAGAAGCATCCCCAAAACCGGTATCAGCTGCTGCTGATATTTCTTGTCTTTCTGTTCAAGGAACTGCAGCAGCACGTTCTTCAGGTACACGTAGTCAACGCCACCAGAACCTGCAGCTTCCCCGGGTTGCGCAGAAGGGGCCCGAGATGGTGGCGTAGGAGAGGCGAGCCGTGATCGCGGAGTTTCCAGCGACGACCTTGACGACTGCACGTTGGAGTTAGGAGCCTGTGTCTTCATTGTCCGAAGCTCTTCCGACATCGTCTTCTGCACGTCAGCACGTCGCTCAGTTACGGAGTAACAAGACTAACCTTGCTCGATTTCTGAAGCCTCTCAAGGCGGGTCTGCGTCTCATCGAATGCACGACGCAAATCAGCCTTCTCCTTCTCTAGATCACGGGCCTGCCTCTCGCTATCATCGAGGGCGTCGCGAAGCTGGCTCATAACGGCCCGAACTTCCGCCACTTCTTCGTTGGCTTGCGCCACTCGTCGTTCGAGATCCTCCTTCTGCCTCCGCAGCTCCCTCTCCGAAGATGCTAAGTCTTCCTTGTCCTCCTGGGCTCGCGCAAAGGCACGCTCGGCATCGCGAACCTTCTGTTTAAGCTCTTCCAGCTCCCGCGCGCGGCGTCGCCCGAAAGTGTTGGCCTGCTCTTCAGCCCGTTCCCTCTCCTCCACCGCAATGTCTAGGCGTTCTTGCATCTCCCGCACACGAGCATCGGCTCTGCCTTGAGCATCCGCCAGTAACCTCCTCATAGTCTCTGCTTCGCGGCTGCGTTCGCTTAGGAGGCGATGCGCGTCTGCTAGCTCCTCTTCCAGACTTTCGCTTCGGGCGCGAACCTCTTTCATCTGGGTACCTATCTCTTGTGTTTGATCCTGCATGCTGTTCATAAGGTCTTGCGCGCTAGCATATTGAGCAGACTTGAGCTGTATTTCATCCCTCAGGCCCTCAGCTTCACGCTTGAGCTTCGCAACCTCCTGCTCCAGATCGCGAAGTGTGTTGCGAGACGTCTTGAGATCCTCTTGTGTTTTGGCGAGGTCCTTCTTCAGCGTGTCGCGGGCTTCGACGGCATCATCGCGGTCGCTCTCCGACTTCTGGAGGTCTCTCTGGATTTTTCTGTTTGTCTCTTCTAGAGCAAGTCTTTGCGTGGTCTCTTGCTTGATCTTGTCATTCAGCGCCTTGATATCACCATCCTTGTCGGATACCTGGGATCGATAGGCCGCAATCTCGGATTTGAGGTCCTTCTCTCGGCTTTCCAGGCGCCGAAGGTCCGCTGTCTTCGCTGTGAGTTCTTCCTTCGTGCTCCGCAACTCGGCCACCTCTTTGCGGAGGGACGTAAGCTCGGGTTGCGCCTTTTGAAGTATTTCCCTCATATCGGTGAGATCCTTGAACCGTGACGCGGCGAGCTGTTCAGCTACAGATAGATCAGTTTGTAACGAGTCGGCCTTCGCTTTGAGTTCTTCGAACTCTGCAGACAAGGCTTCCTTCTCTTGTTCCGAGCTTTCGTGAGCGGATTTCCCGGTGCGCAAATCCGCAATTTCCTTCTCAAGATTGGAGAGGTTCTCTTGCAGTGCGGATTTCTCTGCCTGTAGTTCCTTGACCTTGTCTTTCGCAGCGGTATGCTCTTGCCCAAAGTCAAGCAAATCCTGCCTCAAGGTCTCAATCTCTTCCTCCATGTCCTCCTGATCTTTCAGCTTCTTCCTTAGCGCATCAATAGAGGCGCCCTTTTCTGTAACCTCACCCTCCAGTCTCTCAATTGCTGCAACTTTCGCCTCTAGATCGGACTTGAGCTGGGAAACAGTCTTCTGTGCTTCCTGCAGTTGAGAGAGCGAGAACTCGGCATCACGTGGACTGAGAAGGCCATTGGCGTCGCCGGCCTCGCTCGGCGTCCCTTCCGCTGCAGATGCGTCTGCTCCTTTACCACCCTTCTTCTTCCTTTTGTTCTTCTTCTTAGAGGGCGCAGCTTCGTCGGCCTTCACAGGCGGAGTTGCGGCTCGATTCGAAGCCTCTGATTGGGTTGTCTTGGCAGCAGAAGTGGCTTCCAGGTCCTTCTTCGCTTGCTCCAGGTCTGAAAGAGCCCTGTCCCGCTTCGATTCCACGTCTTTGATTTGTTCGCGCAAGTTGTTGACGAGACCATTCAAGGTCTCGTTTCGCTTCTCGCTTTTCGCTTGTGTGCCGCGGAGCTGGGCCAGGTCGGTCTCGAGCTTCTCCACCTGACTGCGTAGCGTATCCTGCTCATGATTTTCGACTAACTCTTCCCCTCTTGTAGCATGTAGCTCTTCCAGCTCTTTCGTCGTCGCGTCTAGCTTCTCCTTCATTTCGGCAATGGTTTTCTCGTGCTGGTTGTGATCGTGCTTGTGTTTTGCGAGATCCTGCTCGGCGCTCAGCAGCTTAGACTTCAGATCTTCTATCGTAAGATCAAGCTCTTTCTGACGCTCGGCAGTCTCTTTCTGCGAGCGTTGATGTTGATCTTTGAGGGTGTGCAGGTCGTTGGTCGCTGTTTCGAGGTTCTTCATGAATGACTCCGCAGACTCCTGTGCGACGGATAGCTCATCCTTCAAAGTCTTATTGTCTTCTTCGAGCTTTTCTACCTTGTCTTCGCTCTCCTTAAGTTGAGATTGGAGTCTCGGTAGCTCGCTGTCATATGAGAAGAACTCTTCGGTATCCTCCGTGGTTTCTGTGGCTTTTGATGCTTTGGAAGGCGAAGACGGCGCGACCGATTCTGTTTGAGTTGTGGAATCATCTTTCGGGACCTCGCTGTTAGCGGCCCGCAACTTTTCGGCCTCTTCAGAGGCATCCTTTGCTCTCTTTTCGGCATCTTCTAGCTTTCTGTTCAGTTCATCCCGCTCCTTCGAGACTCTCTTCAGCTCTTCCATGAGCATATCACTTTTAATATTCAACTGGCCGAGGTATTCGACAAATGGCGCGGGCTCGTTGATGGTAGTCAAGGGCGTGTTTTCGCGGAGGGAGGCTTCAAATGCTTCGATTGCGCCGACTCGTGCGTGAGCGATGCGGTATGAGCGAAGGAGCTCTGTGTTGACGATTAGACTGTCACAGTCAATGAAGCGCGCCTACTCACCAGAATATTTAGGCTCAAGCTTTTCGAGCTTCCGTAGACGGGTCTGCACCTCAGGGGGGACTTCCGGTGCTGAAGGAGCTTTCTCGTCTGCGTGGGCAGCCTTCGCGGCTTCTTCCTTCCCATTATCACTGCCTGAAGCCGTCTCCGCTGCTCCTGCCTTCTCTTTGGGACGCGGTGTCCCTGACCTGCTGGGTTGCTCCTCATCCTCCCCAATGACAAATTCCGGGTCAAACTCTGAGGGATCGGGCCCCTTTCCGCTCGGCGCTGCCTTGCCGCCATTGTCGGTCGACTTCGAGGGTCGCTTTGAAGGGGACAGATTTCGTGATGTAGATCGTCTGGGTACAGAGCCCGAGCGTGAACGCGACCCTTGGGCAGAGGCTCTCTGCTTCGCCTGCTCTTCGGCTATCCTGGCATCGAGCGCACCTTTGATGCGCTTTGGGGTCCACGGTCAGCTTCGCAACAGGAGTTGGGAGAAGGGATGGTACCTGAAAGCCCTGAAACATGTTGGCGGTATGCTATACGGCCACGGAGAGAGATTGGGTCTACAGCAGGTCCAGAACTGCCATGATATAGGTGTCCACCTGCAACTGGCAAACGGCACGGTGAGACGTTCCTTGGGTAGGGCTGCAGGGATCCCCGGCAAAACTCCGGCAAGACTATTTTGGCTCCTGCTTCAGCTTGAAATTTATTTCTGTTCCTCCCGGGCCCTGTTCTCTCCCACAGACAGCGACACCGCGAACATGGCATCAGTTCAGGTCTCTTTGCCTCTACCTGTCCTGCCTCAGGGCTGGGCCGCGGACAGGGATTTCAAGCCCATCGGACACCTCAGCGACGCCAACGACCGCAACATCGAACCCGTCGGCCCGCACTTCCTTGCGCACGCACGAAGAGTAAGTTCAAGCTGTTGCGCTGTTGCACGGAGCCTAATCACTCTTGCACCTGTAGAAGCGACATAAGCGTACCTTCTCCGAAGACGACCGCATCCAGGCCCAGGTCAACGTGAAAAAGGTCGAGGATGACGACGAGGACGATATCAGCGAGCCCGAGGACCCGCTGATGCTGCAGCGGGAAGCCAAGGATTGGAAGGGCCAGGATCATTATGCCGTCCTTGGTATCTCAAAGTACCGTCACCGCGCGACCGAGGATCAGATCAAGCGTGCCCACCGCAAGAAGGTGCTCAAGCACCATCCCGACAAGAAGGCTGCCGCCGGCGGAACGGAGGACGATCAATTCTTCAAATGCATACAGAAGGCTACTGAGGTTCTCCTAGACCCAGTCAAGAGACGGCAATTCGATTCGGTGGATGAGGCAGCGGACGTCGAGCCACCGACCAAGAAAGAGACGCAGAAGGGCAATTTTTACAAGCTCTGGGGCAAGGTCTTCGAAGCGGAAGGACGCTTCTCTAATGTCCATCCGGTCCCGAAGCTCGGAAACGAGAAAAGCACGAAGGAGGAAGTGGAGAATTTCTACGACTTTTGGTACAATTTCGACAGCTGGCGGTCTTTCGAGTACCTCGACGAAGACGTTCCTGATGACAACGAGAGCCGCGACCAGAAACGCCACGTCGAGCGCAAGAACCAGAATGCCCGCCGCAAGAAGAAGACCGAGGATACGGCACGTCTAAGGAAGCTGGTCGATGACTGTTTGGCCTTGGACGAGCGCATTAAAAAGTTCCGCCAGCAGGAGCACGCGCAGAAGAATAAGCGTCGAATTGAGAAAGAGGCGGAGCAGAAGCGTTTGGCAGAGGAGGCAGCCAAGGCGAAGGAAGAGCAAGCGAAACTCCAGGCGGAGAAAGAGGCTGCTGAAAAGGCCGAGAAGGCAGATGCTAAGAAGGCGAAGGAAGCCGCCAAGAACGCTGCGAAGAAGAACAAGCGCGTTGTCCGAGGTGCCGTCAAAGAGGGCAACTACTTTCATGGTGCGGGGGATGCCCCAGCATCGCAGATCGACAGCGCGCTCCACGACGTTGACGCCATCATCACCAGGATCGACAACGAGGAGCTAGCCACACTAACCGGCAAGCTGAACGGGAAGAAGGATGCCGGCGAGATTAAGCAGATTCTCCAAGATGAAGTCAAGCGACTGGTCGGCGCCGGCAAGCTGAAGGAGGGAGAGATGAAGTCCCTCTCATAGAGCAGACCTTCCCGTGATCTTTACCATCTTTCAGATACTATATAGATAGGTTCGGTGCTTGACACAGCTCTTAATGCCATGACTGCAGATTCTCAAGGTTTGGTATTTGCTTTAGTACTACATGAGTCCTAGGGCCTTTGTCAGAGTTCCCACCGGCATCTGGCCTTGCGCGTTCAGTCAATATCAACCCCAGAGGACCTTTACAAAGCGCACCTAACCTAAGCAGACCACATCCGATCTACCTGTGCATGCCAACCCCTATCGTCTAACGCCTGTGTCCTATCCCTGATAGATCTCGGAAAAAGGATCCTGAAGGTCATTGACCCCCTCTCCGCACCCAGGCACAGTCCCATGAGGACTAGCCCAATGCTTCTTTCCATTCCAGCCTGCGGACCTGTGGGCTCTCGTTGGGAAGCTGTGTGGGGACGGTTAAATATAGCTGTTGAGGAAGGAGGTTTGTTCCCGACATCCGAACAGGAGCTTGCTGACCATATTTTTCATATGAAATGTGGACTTCTGTCTACGTAGTAGTCCTTGCATCACCGTCCTGTTCTTCTAACACCCTTTTCCACTTCTTTTACCTCCTCGAAGTCAAAATTTCCAGAAGAAAGAATATATACATTGCCCACGGAGACGCATCTCATTCATTCGGAAGCCTGGGTATCTCTATGTCTATATGCCGTTGTCGCCCTCTATACAGAATCGTTACGTGTCATTCCATTCCTTGAGCTGTGCACGCAAGCTGCTCTCACGAGCTAGCCTCGCTCCTCTGCGGCGCCCATCCTTTCAGCCACGCCCTCGCCTTCTCCAAGTCCCCGTTCTCAGCTTCCAGCGCTGCAACACACCACTCCAATGCATACCCACCCTTTCCTTCGATTCCCTTCTCCGCGCTCAGCATCTCGGCCAACGTCCTCCGTCGCTGGCTCCCTTCATCCGTGCAGAAGTGCAGCGGCGTAGAATAGCCTCGTCCATCCATACCTTCTAAGAACGGCTTCACGAGCGGGATGGCATCCTTAGTCGGGACGGGCTTGTCGCCTTGACCGTTATGCTTCCGTCCAGTCCGGCAGAACTCGTTTTTACACCAAGCCTTTCCGCAGCCGGTGAGTAGCTGTGAGAGATATCGGCGCTCGATACGGCGACGCAATGCTTTTCCTTCGGGGTCGTGAAGAGAGACGTAGAGGGGTCCGAAGCAGACGCTGCAGAGCCCTATCTCGTTACCCGGGCCTTGGCCTTTGCGCGTTCCGGCGCGCGTATCACCCAGCTTATTTGCACCGTCTTGTGTGCGTCCGCAGTTTATGTTACGGCAGAGGCGTGGTGTGGGGCGGGATAAGCGCTCTAGATCGTGGTGACGCAGATGCGTGTCCATGTCGCGGAAGCGCACGATTTTGTTGCAGAGATGGCACTCTGTTGTTCGGCCGCCGTCTGCGAGCTCATGGGGCGTGAGCCCAGAGAGTAGTAGTTCTGGATTCGGAGGCTCTGTAGGATCGCCTTCTTGCGGGACCTGGAGATGGCAGAAGCGACAGAGGATCAGCTTCCCGGGGCATTCGGTCGTCTTATGGGCGGAAAGCGTGGGGATCGAAGGAAAGCTCATACCACAGGATGAGCATTCCTGAGGGGTGTGGTATATCGCGTCGTGTTTTTGATGGGATAAAGATGTGTTGCCTGTGAATGTATCGTATGGACAATGCCAGTGGTTCTTGAAAGCTTCTGAGCGCTTTTGGAAAACATGCCCGCATCCTTGTGGGCAAAGGATGTTGTTCCGCAGGCAGAAGTTTTCGTGTAGGAAGAGAGAACCTTTGGGAACCCATTGATGGCAGTTCTTGCACTGCACGTCTCCCTCATTATGGGGTGCTTCTGGTGAACCAGAGTCGCCCAGAGCTGGTTCAGACTTTGGGTCGAATATGGATACCTTAAGATGGAATGGCTTAGGTATAGCGGATGGTGATTCTGAAGGATAAGCGCGCACTGATATTCTGATAGCTTCTGCCTCCTCCAGTTCAACGTTTGTTGGCCGTAAACGGATGCGCTTGGGATATCGGCTGGAGAAGTCTGCGAACACGTGCTCGTCCTCCCTCGGTCGTGCTCGTTGTCGGGGAGAATATGGGCTGACAAACAGATCAACCTCATCTTCATCGTCCACGTCGCTTAGTGTAATCTCGAGGCCTTGAGACCGATCCCACGACGACAACTCATAGTCCACATACTCTCCCTCCAGGACTCGGCCATCCTGGCCTCTGAAGATATCAATCCTTCCGCCTGCAGAACTTCCCTCAGCTGTTCCTGGTGCTCGTCGTCTCTTTTCAGCTATTCTCTTCAACGTCTCACGAGCTTGCTCCTCGTTCAGCGCTTCAATGTCAACCTCCAAGTCTGTGTCCACAACGCATATACCATCTCCTTCCGGCTTGAATCCGTCCACTAAGAAGCGGAACTCTTCGCGCTTGCCACCAGCTCCTCGGCCGCCGTAGACCACCAGAACCTCGCCATTTGTCAAAGTCGTAAAATTCGACCGTAGATGTTCCTCGAGTAGCGACTTCCAGTCCTCGGGGTCGTAGCCTGCTTCGAGAGGCCGCAGCTTGACAAAGGTCCCTTTGGGTAGCTGTTTGGCATGCACCGTTATCTGTGCTAAAGCTGTGCCATTCACCCCTAGTTGCTCAATTCCGTTGACCATGTCGGTATCGCCATCCGGACTGCCCTTCCGCGACGCCTGGGCAGACGTTGTTTCGAGCCCCAGAGCTTCCCTCAAGAAACTGCTGAGCACGATCTCGGCCTCTCTCGCCGAGAACTCTCGGATGCCCGCGTAGACCACTCTACCATTATGTGGGTTTACAAGACGAAACGTAAGCGGGTGAGGTAGCTGTTGGTGCCGATCTTGGTACTGCGACCGCGCTTGTCGCTCGGCGGCGAAAGTGTATGGATTGTATGGGTCGAAAGCGGTGATGTGGGGCCGGTCCTCGTCGATAGTGGTAATGGGAGCTGCGGCAAGCAGCTGCTCTAGTGCGGAGGGGGGAAGCAGAATCTTGTCGCCAGGTAATTGTGTGTTCCGGGAGGCGTGTGTGACCGTGTACTGCGAGGACCAGCTCAGCTCCGCCGGCTCAGGCGGTGGTGAAGACATGGTTGATTCGTGGACTGAAGCCCAGGAAGGGGTGTTAATGGCGAACGACGCGAAGAAGCACCAGAGAATAAAAGGTTCGGGCACTGCATTAGTGAATGGCTGACATATTGCGTTGCGGCTCTTCTCGAAGCTTCACGGACGGCGCAGGGCAGGCGCCAGCGAGGCACGGACACGCGTGACGTCTTATCGATACCGGCTCCCACTAGGCCGAATTAGGCCCCGCTCGAGCATGCCACCTGGACAGAACCTTGGAACCTGGAAAGCCGTAATGCGCCTCAACGCTCAATACGCTAGTCCAGCGTGCATGAAGGAATGGTGAATGGCATGGGTAATGCTAAGGTAATTCCATTCACTAACGGCCGGCTCGACATGCCCCACGCTGCGCGATAGCCACGTCCCCAGATTTGCCTTGCCTGTTTGGGCGCTTCCGCAGCGGTGTCGGCCCGCGTACCTCGACAGCCGCTGTTTTAGAGTATGTTTCCTCGTCCAAATTCCCAAGCCTCCTAAGACGCCTTGGCCGCAGTTGCGCGCCGCCAAACAGCGCGCCAGGAGGCGACGGATAGACTGCGCGGCGCTTGGCTGTCGGGTCTCGTCATGGACCCTGTGAGATCTTCGCAGGGTAAGGTGGGTCGAGCCTTGATGCGACCGGCAGCCCACACATTACCCAAGCCAACAACTGCTCCCCTCTACACTCCACGTCTCAACGCGCCGCCGCGCTTTCTTTTGTTTAACACTCCACCCTGCATAGTGAGCACCCTGGCACGTGCCCGCCTTCGGGCAGCCTCCGCCCCAAGTCAATAAAGGCTCGGTGAGTACCCTCTGACCCGCGTGGCATTATTATGCTCGGGCTGCCTTCTCTTTGCCCCTCCACCATGGGCCCTATTCTTCCTGATGATGGCTCCCTCCCTACCACGTTGGCGGATCTCCTGTCGAATTCGCTGGTCCTCCGGCAGACGGCGCCCTATCTCCCTGTCGCCTCAATATACGCCCTAGCCGCAACCTCCAAAACGCTCCACCACATCGTGCATAGCTCTCCCGAAGTCTTCCGCTACCTAGACCTCTCCACCGTCGAATCAGCTATCGTCCCATATGAGCCGCTCGACTCTGGCGGTATCAGCTGGCGCGCCGAGCGCATGGACGAATCGCTGACCGAAGACGAATTCTACTCCGGCCCTCTCCGCGGCATCTTCTCCAAGCTCGAGCGACGCCGCGTACTATATAACGTGCATACGCTGGTGTTAGATGGCTTGAGCGTCCCTGCAGACCTCGTGCGCGAGATCATCGCCGAAGACAGATTCAATGTCCGCGTTCTGTCCATCCGCGAGGCCAAACACCTGAACGAGCGGAAGCTGCAGCAGGTCTTGAGATATGCGGTCCGCCCCAGCCGGCCCGACGGCACCCCGAAGATCAAGGGCATCTACTTTTTCGGCCCTCGCGAACCTGCCCCGGCCCAAGATGCGCCGGGGAAGAAGAAGCCGCCTCCATCGGCTGCGAGGGGGGCCATGTCTTCGCAGGGAGCTCAGATCGGCGCCGAATGGAACCAGAAATCCTCCGAAGCACTCAACGTTGCGCTGGCGCGGACCGATGATAACTGGTACCAATGCTCTGGGCGCATGATGGCAAAGCGACCCTCTCTCGAATGGGCTGAGACTCTGAAAGCTTGCGAGGGCATCATCGCTTTCGACGCGGTTCTCTGCAGAGGCCCGCGGCACGACCCGACCAAAGCATTCCTCAGCGAAGGCACGGGCTCCGGTCTGCCCAATCCATCCTCATACCTCAACCCTGCCATTGCGACCGTGGCGTTGGGGCCATCGGGCTGCGAGACCTGCCATTCGTGCCCCGAAGGCCCGGCTCACTTTGGCCATTCGCCAGCTTCTGAGTTTCCGCTGCTGAGCCCGGTCGCTCTCCATTCGAGCTCTATTCGGGCCGCTCAGATGCCACATACCGTTGACGGTTCGAAACCTCCGCCTCTGTTTGTACGATGTGAGGATTGCCTCAAGGGCCGTTGGTGCGAGCGCTGCCACAAGTGGTGGGACGAGGATTGCTACGCCGGATCTACAGTTGCGCAGCGCACCGAACTTCAGCAGACCGAATTTATTGAGGATGCCCAAACAATTGGGACTCCACGCATGATACCGAAGCAAACCATCAAGGTACATATGGGTCTTTGCGTTGACAACTGCTTGGTCGGCGAGATGATGGCCGGCGCAGGCAGTAACGGAATGTGGGGATGAGAAGGTACCCTTGGCGCAAAAGGTGACAGTCCTGCCACGCGGAGGTCGCATGGTAGTTGGATTCCGGATTCCAGTCTCCACGGCTGGCCTTGGAGCCTGACTATCGGATACCACCACCTGGAAATCTGGCCCTGGCGCGCCGAGGTATGTGCTCGGAAGCTGCAAAAGGAACAGACTGACAGAAATCGAACCAGATAATCGGCGTTCGACGTGATTGCTTTGGCTGCGGTCATACGGTATGATTTGAGCATCCGATACTCCACAGAACTAATATCCCGCAGTGCATCACTTGTAAAGAGCTTTTCATTCGACGGTGTATAACATGCCGAAATGAATACTGTATCGAAGACAATGACGCCTCGTCTGCGACAAGGGTATGATGCACTTTCAAGATCTATTGTTATCCATACTGACACCTCTCCTAGTGTGACTGGTGCAACTACACATCGCGAAGGACTGTGGAAATGTACTAGAGTCTGGCAGTTCCGAGGTTGGATGAATTAGGGTTTGGATGCTGGGTGGGCGTTTTACTGGTCAGGTTACCCAGGCTGAGTAAACAGTAACGAATCCCTTTATGATTCATAGTATTCTTGAGCGTCTTCGGAGTTCAATGTTGCCTACTCTACTCATAGCGGCCCTTACAATCAGATACCCCTCTCCGTTTGATTTCAGGCTATTGCCTTTTCAAACTTTGGAATGCGTGCCAGGTCATGGAGCTTGTGAAATGCAGTGCTAGTATGACTTTGGCGGCTATGCCTTTACCTTCGAGAGACCTCAAGTATGATCGTGATCACTTAGAAGAGAACGATTTCGATTTGAGGAGAGACGAGCTGGTACCAAAGGCAGGAAACAGGAGATCGCCTGAGCACGTGACCATGTTCGGCGGATTACGTGAAGCTCCGAAGAGACACGAATAAACAAGTGGCTGCGTTTTCGAACTTCACCACTCCACTCGAACTTATAATTCTTTACCCCGGATACAGCAGGGCTCCACCGTCCTAGCAGGTCCGTCTCACATTCTAGTTATCTGCCCTTTGCCGCCCGCCGAGCTGTTGACGTTTCACGGTCGCTCTACGTAATATCCTAACCGCAACGGAAGTCCAACTAGGCTTCCGCAAACAACCTCAACCGGACACCTGGCGGAACTCGCCCCCAAACGTTCTCGCACCCTCCTGATCCCACTTCGATCATCGATTCCCGGCCATAATGGCTCAGTACGGCTACGGACAAAGCCCTCCACAATACGGCGGTGGCGCGCAAAACCTCCAATTCTATTCCTCGTCTTTCTCGAACCAGCCAGTATCCGGACACTCGACGCCTTTCCAGGCGAATTATGGGGCTCCGCAAGCTCAAGCATACCCGGCACAGTATGGCGCGGGGTTTACAGCACCGGGCGTGAGCGGACAGATGGGCGTGGGTGCGTCGGGTTTGAGGACGGGATGGCTGGCAGCTTTTGGCACAGAAGGGTATGTGGTGTTGACATATGTGCCAGACATATGCTAATTGGAGCAGATATGAAGAAGAGCCGCCGTTACGTTAGTGAATGCGCCCACCGAGCAATAGGATGGCCCGCTGATTATACGCAGTGGAAGAACTAGGAGTGAACTTTGGGCATATCAAGATGAAAGTATGTGCTGCGTATTGAAATTTTGCGAGCCCTGGCTGACATGGGGAATAGACGCTGGCAGTTCTGAATCCCTTCGGCGGGATTGACCAGCATATCATGGACGACAGCGATATTGCAGGCCCCATCCTGTTCTTCTTCATATTTGGAACATCGTTGCTGGTACGTGGCTGGACCCTCGCCACATAGATTATAGCGATACTAAGCCAATGCAGCTTTCGGGAAAGCTCCACTTCGGATACATATACGGTAGGTTCACTTTCTTCCACTTCTACGCAGCTTCACCTTACACGTCAGCAGGTCTCGCGGTGTTAGGGACCATCCTCTTACATACGATCCTCTCACTCATGTCTCCACCGCTTACCGCGGCCGAAGTAGCCGCAAACCAGGACCAAGGCCAGCGCGGAATTTCGCATTTCTCGTCCTCATTGACATACCCTCGATCGGCTTCGGTGCTGGGATATTGTCTGCTCCCTCTCGTTCTCGTGGCCATTCTAGGCATAGTATTTCCTTTGGATGGATATTTCGGTTATCTTCTGACGAGCCTGGCTATCATCTGGTGCTCGTACTCATCCAGTTCCATGTTCACGATTGTTGGTGAGTATCCGTCCACTTGGACAACACTTATTAGAGACTGATTTTGTGTAGGGCGAATGACTTCGATGAGGGGACTCGTCGCATATCCGATGGTTCTTTTCTATGGTAGCTTTGGCATCATGGCTATCTTCAGCTCTCGGGGTACCGGTCAATTGGCAAAGGCTACGGGCGGCGCATGAAAAGGGTCAGGGCGGATTCCAAAAGCATAAACGTTGGCCATTGCCATTCATAGGATAGATTTGCATTAAGCGCACGATACCATGAGTGTAGAATAGGGATTTATCAATCATCCGATCTCAGAACAGGACACTCGTTGCTTTGTAGTGACTGGCCAATCAGAGCGAAAGCACTCCGATTATGACGCCGACAAGGATGTACCTTCCGAGCACCCAGAAACTTCTCCCCGACAATCTCCGCCACGCGCCTCCATCACAGCTCTTGAACGCTGTCTGCCCTCTTCGAGACGTCTTATCCCAACCGATATACTCGAATCCTACAATGGGTTGGTTTTGGGCAGACTCCGCGCCTGTTGCGCCGCATCCAATGCCTCGAGGGAACGCGGAGCCTCCTGTACGTCCACCAACCGTCACTTTGCATTTCTGCATCTAACTATGCGTAGCCATCATGTCCAATGCACAGAAAGTCACCGTCTCCTTCCTCACGACTTCCCGAGAGCGCATCAACACCTCAAGGCGCCTGTCCTTATGTTCCGCCCGATACCCCCTCGCCCGCATCCTCATCCACACCTGTACCGCCCAAGAAGGGCCTCCTCTCCCGACTAAATCCTCTAAATAATATGCCGTTTGATCTCTCAAACAAGCGCGCAGAGCATCAAATTCAAGAACTTCCCTTATCGCGCGAGAGATCTACGATACCCAAAGGCGACGGCTCGCTCTGGGAATACCCATCGCCGCAGCAGATGTACAACGCCATGCTGCGGAAAGGCTACACCGATACCCCCACCGACGCCATCGAGTCAATGGTCGCAGTGCACAATTTCCTGAACGAGGGCGCGTGGGCAGAGATCATGGGCTGGGAGCGGCGCTTCTCACGCGGTCTAGCAGAGGGCTATAAGGTCTGCGCCCGAGGCGAGGAGAACGCGAATCAGGTGATGGGAATAGAAGATCCATTTGACACCACGACCTGGAATGAGAGGGACATCCCGCCGCCCAAGCTCCTCCGCTTCACAGGCCGACCTACCGAACCGACGCCCAAATCTCAGATTCTACAGTGGCTTGGCTGGGTATTTCCGGCTAAGTTTGCGACTGCGCCGCCGTTCGATCGGCATGACTGGTTTGTACAGCGGTGTAGTGAGAAGGGCTGTGAGGAGGTGCGGTATGTGATTGATTATTATGAGGGCGACCCGGAGCCGACAGGCGAGCCGGTGTTCTATCTTGACGTGAGGCCGGCGGTTGATGGTCCTAGGGGTGCGGCAGAGAGGATGGTGAGATGGGGTACGGATGTTTGGTGGAGGGCGAGCGGTGGTGTGGTGAGGGAGGTACGGAAAGCTGAGGCGGCGAGGAAGAAGCAGGAAGAGGAGGCTGTTGCTAAGAGTCGGCAGTATAACTGATGGAATCAATGGCGGCAAATCAAGAGCGGGATATTTGGGGGTACATGCGAGGGATACAAGGGTCAAGAATCGCACGGCGTCATGACGGTGTACGGGCTTGCTTGAGTGTAAGATATGGGATTTCGGTCAGCTTCATGGGCTTTTCCCTTTTAACCCATTTGCCGCTTCTTATTCCTTCTATCCTCTTCCTTCGCTTTCAAGTCTCATGTCTGTTCTATCGATAACGCCTCCACTCTTCTCGGCGCAATATTTACCTACTACCTTTCCGTAGCTCTTTCTAATCATGACAATATTCCAATATCTTAATATTCCTTTTTACTCCGCGCTTTCAAAGACTTTAGTCATCATCAAGCCCAGCAGCAGAGGGCGGGCCAACTATGGGGCGTGATGATTCAGCTCTGAATCATTGCAAGTCTTACCTAATCAGGTCATTGCTAAAAGCCAAAAGCAAGCTCCCGATACCCAAGCCGAATACTCCAGCGCATCACCCATCACTATATCGCGCCGACCAACCTTTCGCCCCGAACAAGCAATCTATCAATATGCCATCCGATTACCATGCTACAGTATACTCCGTTTTCGCCCCGCGGCCACTAACTTCCGGATACGAGGCAGGTCTCAGACCAGCTCTCGGAATCGATATCAACATGCCTTCGAGCTCTCTCAGCCCTCGACCCTTCAGCCTCCACAAGCCGATTCAGCACCACCAAAAATATCGCGCAGATACGAATTTCGACCGGCAATAAACCCGCTACCGTCTTGCCTCGCACATGATGTTGAATTTGAGCGCGGCTGCTTCATTAGCAACCCCCTAACCTCCTCACTAAGCAGCGATTACCTAAGGGCTTAGGTAACCCTGCCGACTAATCAAGCTTGGTGCGGCTTGAAAAGCCCGGAAAAGGAAGTTTCACGCCGAGATCCCGGCGACATTGTCTCTTTGCAGATCAATTGTGCGAGAGGGTACGGTCGGCGAGGAAATGTGGTACGTTCGGGGCGCATTGCGCAGCACCCATGTGGGGTCATGATGTGGGGAGCTGTCAGTTTCATGATCGAGCCCATTGAATGTCGCCATGTGAGATCTGTATTGCAACAACCGGTAGACGTACAGACGTGGTTAAAAAGAGAACAGGGGTAAATGTGATGAAAAATCCTCCGCGGTATTCCATGATAGACCCGATTTTCCACTGCCATCAATCCGAATCCTATACCTCGAGGAAAGGGAGCAGTGGACATAGGAAAATATGATGTCGCGCCTCATAACGCCGGCTTGGAAGACACAACCGTTACTGAAGCCAAGCAAAGGCTTCAAGCATGCATGACATAGAGGGAAAAGGAAACAGACAGCCTGAGAGCAACACAGAAGTTTAGAGGACTTTGACAAAAGGTGGACCGTACCCGGGTTGAGGACTGATATTAGTTATTAGAGACCGATCCATCAAGGATCGCCAGAGGTAGTTTTTATAATCCGGTCGTGTCTATTTCGCCCGCGTGACCGCCTGCTGCTAATAAGCGTTGGGGTGAGGGTAGGTTGGCGAAGGTTGCTGACCTGGAGCAGGCGACCCGTCCGTCTTCTGGCGCTTGTCGGCATAGTCTCCTGTCCCCAATGAGCCGTCGTTCGGATGCTTGCCGTTGCTCACAGACGGACCGTGCTGCGCCGCGGCGGCTGCTTGGGCAGCCATCTGGAGCTCACCAATCTGTCGCTCGGAGAGGCCGCCGTTGTTATTGTTCGTGCTCTGCTGCTGTTGCTGCTGCTCGGGTCGGGACTGTTGTTGTTGCTGGGTTTGGTTCAGGTTCGAGGGCTCGCCGTGGTTGCGCGTGAGGTCGACGCCGGCCGGGGCTGGTGGGATTTCGCCTTGTGTCTCGAGGAGACGCGATTGCAGATTGATGATGTAGTCGCGCAGCTGGTAGTTCTCGGTCTGGAGGGTCTTGTACAGCTCGCATAGCTGCTCGAACTCCTTGACCTGGTCCTTGAGCTGCTTGATGTATTCCTCTTTGCGCTGGCGGAAGGCTCGCTGGCGGGGTCAGTACACATTGGTCGAGCATAGGTACCGGGACCGACCTGGGCAGCGCGATTCTGTGCGGCACGCTTCGACGTCGACAGCTCCCTCCTTCCCTTCCTTTGCTCGGGGCTCATGTGAGCGTCCGAGGCCTCGCCTTGGCTCATCTGGTAGGGACTGCCTGCAATTGCCGGGTCAATGGCGTGCTGCTGTGGACTGCTATGTTGGGGCGAGTGCTGCTGGAGAGGCTGGGGCGCGGCAGGTTGGCCAGCGCCGGCGGCGAGCAGGTGTTCTCTTAAGCCTGCATCGGAAGGAGTGTTAGTAATCGGGCAACGATGCGAGGGCAGCGTGGATGAGCGAAGGGGCAAGAGGGCACTAACTCATCTCGATGGTCGGCTTGTGGTCCTGGAACAGTCAGCAGGGCGGGCGACGGAGCAGTCAGCGGGAGGGGCCTCAGCTTACCTGAGCAGGTGTCTGCATGTCTGTATTGTATGTTCGCACGTTGGGGTACAGGGTAGGCAACCCGTGCGGCATCAAGGCGAGCGGACGGAGCGCCGAGGCCGGGTGGGATCACGCTGCTTCGCGCCAGACACGGTTTCAGGAATAGGGCTGATTATGGAGCAGCAGCTGGCGGCGACGAGGGTGCGACGGCTGGCGGAGTGGAGTGGAGTGAGTGACAGCGCGCGGCGGCGGCGACGAGGGAACCTGGCGTGGTCGATTAGCTTCGCGGCGCATTGTCTTTGTGTGTGCCAGTGCAGCGCAGCGCAGCGTCGCGAGGCAGCAACGGCCCGCGCCAGCGAGCAGCAGCAAGCGGCAGCAGCATGTGGATGGCGGGCGCGGGCTCGTGAGCGGTGGTGCTGGGCGCGATGGAGAGAGAGGGCTGGAGCGGCTACTCACCCGGGCGCTGGCTGATGGGGTTGGTCGCAGAGGCCGGCTTAGTAAAAGCTGAGTGAGAGGTTTTGGGGGAGAAGCGCGTTTAAATAGGCCGCCTTCGGCTGTCGGGTGGGCCTCTCACGGACGGGCATCAGAAACGGCGTACCACACGCGCACTCGCCGCGCCCTCGTCTCGGGCGAACCAGCCCGCCTGCACCACAGCCGCCCGCCGACGGGATGCGGTATTGCGCCAGCAGCTCGCTGGAGCGATAGTGCCGTCGCGCGCATCGACTGGCTTGTATGGCCTTTTGATTATGTACCACTTTCTCCCCCGAGTCACCTGTGTCCTCGCCGCGCTGACGTGCTGACCAATGCCTGCTTCACGGTGCTGGCCTTGGCATGCCGCCTCCGATGCATTGCACTGCCCGGTGCCCCTTTATCAACACGTCTTTCGAGCTGCCGTGCAGCAGGAGCAGTCTAGTAGCAGTAGTCAGCGTGGGGACCGCCGTGCTGGATTACGGAATGGTCGAGTTCCCGATCCGAGTGCTCCGCATTCCCGCTCTTACCAGACTGAGCTCGCACTCGTTTCTCCGCCTCGCAGCTGAATACTCCCCGTTGCCTCTTCTGCCTTCTCTGCTGCACTATAGCCGCTGTTCTCTGGTTCGCGTCCCGAGCCCCTTCTACCCGTGTTCTATTCCTGGCGCCGCCTGCCAGCGCAGGTGCGAGCAATTCCTGCCGGCATTTACCAGCGTCCTCTGCATGTCGATATTAACGGAAAGGCCACAGTTCCGCCCTGACTGTCCTCCACAACACCCTCAGCGTGCCACAGCAGCGCCGGTGACTATCGCTTGATGATGTAGAATACCCCGAAATACGGGCGAATCAGTAGGCCCGTATGACGAGATGCGATCCGGGGCCCGAGCGCGCATCTGCTGCAGGGCGGGAGTCCACCATCACTCAACGTCCTCCCCGCATACACCACCAATCCGGGCACTCCTTTCGAACATCCAAACAAGTTTCTTGTATTTCTCACTCTATATTCTTGCTCTTCCGGCGTAGCTTAACCTGCAGCGCGAGTCCGCATACGCGCTGCATTTCCCAGCCCCCATCCGGCGACATCAGAATCTCGAGGCTTCATTTGCCTGCTGTGGACCTATCCCAATCCCACCGCCTGCATTATCCAATGGCTGGTCCCTTCAGGCGCCTGCCGCAGGCACTCGAGTACGTCTTTCCAACTGCGGGCAATACTGCGGATCTGCAAGCCCTTCCCTTGTGTCACCGGACATGTACTTCCATGATTACCTCAGAACCTTATTGCGTCCTAACCTGCGACTTACCCCAGAATGTGCGAACATCTCTATCGCGCGAGGCCTTCAGTCTTTGCGTCTCGTTTATTGAGACTGCAAATCGCCGCCAGGCCTCCATTCACTTCCGCCCGATCGGTTTCGCTGGCAGACATTCGACGATCCTCGACTTCTCACGCGTCCCGTAATCCGGCGCCTGCGGAAGGGAAGGCTCCTAAGATCATCTTCGCCGCAGACCAACCTATTGAGCTGCCCAGTCGCCTTCGTAGGCTGTCAGCATGGGGTATCACAACCTCCAAAATGGGTATCGTGCGTGAATTTGCCTTCCCTACCTTTTCTGCCGCCTGGCGCTTCATGTCACTGGTCGCCGACGAGTGTAAGGCCAAACGACATCACCCTTCATGGCATAACCTTTACAACAAAGTCACCATCGAGTGGACGACGCATAAGCCCAAAGGACTCAGCCTCAAGGATGTCGAGATGGCCGAGTTCTGCGACAAGGCCGCCGATGAGATCGGTCTCCAAGCGCAGGACCACAAAGCTGGAACTGACAACTCAGAGGGATCATCAGCAAGAAGCAGTTGAGTGGACGAGGCAGCCATGTACTACTGCCAACGAAAGACTACTGTGTGAAGGGCCTTCGAAAGCCTCGTTCGCAAGCGCCGACCGATGCGAACTGTACGCGCCGATGGTGCCGCACTTACTAACGGAGATATCGCGCACGTTCGATGTCCGTACGAGGCGTAGACGGGACGACGGATACGGCCGCTTTGGTAAGCCTCACCGTTCCTCGTACCTCGCACCGCTGAGCCGCTTTCAGTTAGAAATCTAGTAGCAGATCGCAGCGGATGCCCAGTTTGCGTCGAATATATCTCGCTTCTATTTCGTTGTAGTATACACAACTGCACCGATTCCGCTGGCACTTGTGGAAGACCGGAGAATGCTCAGCACCTGGAACTCCACTCCAGAAGACGCAGCATTGCTTCCAAACCCAAGTCTTGGACACTAGTTCCAAATTACCGCGTTCCGTACCGTTCGCTTTTACACTGGTATCATAACGTCAGCATCAACCCCTTCGCACAATCGCACAATCGCTACCCCCTTTCGGAAAGTCATTCGAACCTCGCACGTACTTTCTTCTCGTCATCGCCGTCAACGCAGTCTTCCCGTCCCCAGCGCCCCCTTGCTCTCCCCACATCCATGAGCATCGACAAAACCTCAATATGCCCCACCCTCGCTCATACTAATCTATGAATAATCCGCATAATCCGCGATTCCACAACATCACTCCGCAGTATTACCGCTTCCGGATAAAGAGCTTGCGAACCATACCCTGGGGATGATCCACCTCGCTTCGTGGAAGCCTTTTAGGGCAAACCGCGATCGACGGATGATATGAGGATCGGAGCATGGAGTCTCGTTTACTGTGTGCGACTACAGTGCTACAGGACGCGCTCTCTTTTGATGACGCTCACGCAAGCCAGCCAGTTCACACTGTACCATAGGGACGTTTCGCGCCGTTGATGTCTCCGACTCCGACTCCCCGACTTGACTCTACTCGCGCGACTCTTTGAGCTTAATCAACTTCAAGTCATCAAACGCCAACCTTGGAATCCTCAAACTCCAAACCCTCACTTTCCCTTCCCCTACTTCCCTTCCCCTACGCTAGGTATACTTTCCACTTCTGTCGTAGCGTCTATCATGCGTGGTCTTACTCATCGTCGATAGGAACATCAGCCATTGTTTCTTCCCGATCATCATCAGTCTACAACATCGCTCGGCCTGATCATCCCTCGTACATCGCACTTCTTTCACTAACGACTGGGCTCAGTAATCCCATACTATGTAGAGAAAGAATAACCCAGGCCACTCCGTCCGATTCAGCACCTGCATACCGGCATTCACGACGCTCGCCAAAAAAGGTTAGCCCAAGCTTACTAACCCGCGGCTAGCTTAATCCGATGTATCTCGGGGACCCACACCACAACGTGGCAACAACCGTACGGCGAGCTTCGATAGCTGCGCGGATATGTCCCTTGCTGCCATGGGCCGGCAAGACCCTCATTCCGCGCGCGCCCAACAACGGCCCTGGCCGAGATTGGGACGAGGAATGCGCGGAATTAAGTGTGCAAATTCTAGTGCAATTGTGCTTTGTAATCTTCTGGAGGAGCTCCTTCCAAGAGAGGATAGCGTAGACCGGGGCAAGCGATTAGTAACGTGTCGTAGACGGCGATAGGGAGTGATGAGGAAAAGAATGTGGGCTCGGGAGGACCGGGTTCGTGTGAGGGGGGCATCGGATTAATCGAATCGGGCGGTATACGAGGACTGTCTTTGATACTCTTCCCGTGCACGAAAGAATAGGATTCTATTGCATCGCATAGGTAGCAGCCGGCAGTTGGCCCACTATCAGTATCCGGCGCATCCCGCAGCCTCCCGCGTCTCCCCTCACAACCGTCCTCCTCGAAATACCTGCCTTCCCCCCTCCAATCTACCAAGCAAACATACACTTGTTATTCAATAGCCGACTCCCCAGAATATCATACTCCGTCTTACTAATCCAACTATCATTCCCTGCAGGACTCAGTCTCCCAAACACGCTCCCGCCCTTCCAGATCACCACCTGCGGATCGAACTCCCTCGGCGGCGGTCCGACCAAAATCTCCTTTCCGTAGTACGGCCTCAGCTCGCGAAGTCGCGTCTCGAGAAAGGCACCGAGGCCGGGAGTCTTACTGCCGCCGCCGATGAGCATAATGCCGCCGAGGAAGTCGCGTAGCTTGCGATCGTCGCCGCGCGCGCCTTGCGTGACGGACTCGAGGACGGCTTGGTCAAGTGGCATGACGGGGACGATTTTGTCGCGCTCGTCGGCGAGCTTGGTCTTTTCGAGGACGGGGTCGCGGAAGACGAGGGGTTGGTCGGCGTCGCCCATCGGCGTGTCGCGGTCTGGGTTGGGTGTTCCGGTGCCTTCGGGCGCAGGGGATCCTGCTACGGAGGAGCGGGGCGTGTTCTCGTTCTCGTTGAGGCGGCTGAGGAGATTGAATGGCTGGGCCCGTTGTGGCGTTGACTGCACGGCCGGTGTGCCTCCAGGCTCTTGAGTGCCGTTGACGGAAGCAGATTTGCCGCCAGCGGTGTCCAAGACAGTGATCTGGGCTTGGGAAATAGGATCGTTGGGAGATCCGTCGTAAAGATCTACGGAGCGGGGAACAACCTTTCGACGGCCCTCCAACTTCCGCGAGTGATCAAATATTGATGGCTTGAACAGACCCTATATCCAATTAGCTTGAGAACATGACCATAGGTCCAGATTGTACTCACCATCGCAGAGAGCATAGTCTCGTCGTAGGTCTTGAAGGTGTATTTCCTCGTATCCTGTCCCGAGGCTCGCAAATGGAAGTCCCACGTCTGCACCGTGACCGAACCTTCGTCCATCGAGCAGAACTTCTGCTTGAGCTCCTCAGCGAGCAAGAAGTCGTATCTCCGCTTCAGGTTCATATCCGAGTACGGGAAATGGCCGTAGAGCATCATCTTGATGAACGTCTCCGTTACATCCGCCCCTCCCATCTTCAGGTTGACGCGCGAATCTTCGATGCACAGCCCTTCGTCCACGCAGCAGATGGATGTCTTCTGTGCTCCAATATCAACGACACAGGCAATGCCGTATCCGGCCCCAAACGTCGCAGAAAGGCTTTCCTGCTGCAAGCAGACCTTTCCAAGGCCAAGATCCCGGATCAGGATGTCCAGCATCATAGTCACATAGACGCGCTCGTAGAGGTCGGGAATAATGAACACACACTTGTAATTGGCGAGCTCCTTCAGTTTCGTAATCCCAAGCTGGGTTCGGAAGGCTTCCTCGAAGATCTTCGATATGTCGTGGTACAACTGGTTCCGATTGGTGTAGTCTCTTTCGTTGAACGTTCCATTGCGTATCGGCCAAAAGAGCTTATACCTAGGATTCGACTTCTCCGGTATTCGAAGGGCTTCATGCCCGGTAACGTATTCGGGGGCTTTCTTGGGGTCCCTTGGAAGCTCGGTCCATTCAATCCTGTTCACGTCGTTGTGCTCGCTTATAACCTCCGGCGGTGTGCGGCGGTTGAAGTTGGTGACAAGGTCCTTGGAATTGGGCAATACTCGTCGCTTATTTGACCGCATTCTCGTTCTTAACTCGGAGGACATGGCCATGTACTGATCCGCAAAATCGTCTCCAAACCACTTCTCCGGGAGAGCATCCGCGGGCACCGCTCCGTCTATCTTCATCCGCTTGGGGCTCGGTTCGCCGTCGTTCTCCTCGGACTCGTTCTCCTGCCACCTTCGCGCTATGACCATGGGTATTGATTTGGGCAAGGCATCCGTACCCAGTCCAATTCTCAAGTTCTGGCTCCCAACGTGGAGAACGACGAGTCTGGATGGGTCATCCCTAGAGTATGACATGCCAGCCTCATCCGCCCCCTCTTCAGCCGTTGTCTCTGTAGATACTCCTTGAGCCAGCGCGCGATCCTTGTCTCGAGCCTCTCGTACCATGCGCGCGCGCTCTTCTTCTTGTGGGTATCGGACCGCGAGGTATTGCTCGTCGCGCTTCAGGAATTCGGTGTAATAGTTCTTCTGGTTGATCATGTTCACCTGGGGCCATGTTGTCAGGTCGAGGTTGTTATCCGTCCGCGCGAGGCCTGTAGACACCGTCAGCGCATGCTTCGTCTGGGTGGCTGCAGACACATACCCTCCTCCCTGAGCTGGGCCCGCCCAGACTTCTTCCCAACCATGACGTGTGCAGCTGGACGTTCGAGTCCGATGCTCGTAGTTCAAATCACTCCTTTTGTGCAGTCCCCAATCTAGCCTTAGCCCAAATCAGCAGTCCAAAAGCGGCGCAGTCTCGAGGTGTGGTACAGTCAATCCGGCCCAAGGTCGCTGACTGTCTGGGTTGAAGAAGCGTCTGGACACGGCTCGCCGAGATGTCTCTTTCGGCCTCGGAGAGAGTCGCTTGAAAACGTCGGGCGGAAACGAGAGTGCAACGGCGGGGGACGCAATTGAGGGCTGGACGCTGGACTTCTCGTTCGACAGAAGTCGCGAGTTTAGGCTTTGTCCTTTCTAGGGATTTGCGCTCGACTGTGTCGCGTAGAAATGCGCGGTTCAAATGATTTCACCGTAGGCTCAAGAAAGGCGGTCGTTGTTGCTGTAGGTGTTAACGGCGGATCTGGGATGTTCTGCACGGAAGCTGTGAGCGATCGTCGGTTCCGCCATCCTCGCAGCTATGGCCGGGCCCCGCCAAGGGAAAGGTAGAGCAACAATAACGGCCCAATAATAGGATGGCTGGTGGTGAGAGAAGACCACCAGCGTCCTCAATTTCTGATAGCGCCGGCAAACCCATCTTGGTGAGTGAAAAGTGGTGAAGCCTGAAGGGAGAGGAGAACGAAGTCTGATTGGCTGGAAGGTTTCATATCACGTGACCAGAGTAAGGCTGGGATAAACTCGCTCAAAGTGTAGCGCGTAGTATTACTATGCTAGAACGACTGCTGAAGATGAACAGAGTGCTTGAGGCAATTACAGTATTGCTATGCTCAGTATCTTGCACCAACAATCATGCGAACCGTTACAACCGATATCCCAAAGCTTTTAGCAGACCAACTTTAGTCTGTGAACCGTAAACTCCTTAGTATGACAATTTCCGTACTAGTGAAAGCTATATCCGCTTTCAGCATTGCCCAACTCCGCCATGGGTAGGTAGGCACTTCCCACATCTTGCTGCTCTCCGAACCCCTCAGTGTGGTTCACAGCATTAGCGAACCACATCTGATCCGCATTCCAGTCATCGCTGGCAAGACCACTTTCCGAAGGCGTTTCTCCAATTGGGGTTTCTGGTGAAGCCTCTTCTTGTAGCTCAGATTCCGATTGATATACGACCGACTGCACCTGCGAAGTGGTGTCTGAATGGGCTTGCGCCAACGCCGACTGATACCGTGCCCTATTAAGATTCCTATTAAGAATGAAATCGGCATTCGGCCGCTCAGGGATACCTTTGACGAGGACGCCAGTCGAAGTCGCAAGCATGCTGATGGCGCGCTCCAGAAACTCGACCGATTTAGACGAAAGTCGTAGGGTCCAGCGATACTCGTCCAATTTGGATCTGTACATATCCGCCTCCTCTTTCTCCAAAGCTGTTACCCAGAGAAGAGAAATGAAGGTCCCAACGAGGGCGAAGCAGTATTTGGATGCCGAATACCAGAACGACTGCAGGTGCTCGGGCCGAAGGCTCTGGACGAATTCCATTACGGACTTTAGTCGGGCTTGAGCTGCTTGGCGACATATGCTTCTCAGGGAAGGTTCATCTGCAGAGGAAAGCGACCGGATAATTCGTCGGTGAAGGGTGATCTCAACAGCATAGTATCCGAGATGTAAGTAGCCTGGATCATGCGTCAGCTCACTGTAAGCCTCTATATAAAAGGACACGCATACCTGTTGAAGATAGCTTTCGCATAGCGATGTTTTCCATCTTCAACGATGCTGGCAGACTTGAGTGCCATTGTCGGAGCGATAACTGTATCGGCTTGGCCCTTTCCAGAATCCAACGTACACCCTCATGAGCCCGCTGTTCGAATTCTGCCTCAGCCTTCAGAGTATAGAAATTCGAGATCACCAAGGCGAGGATCTCCGTAAGCTTGATCATTTCGCAAAACAGTGTTCGCCCTTTTTCGACCTCAGTGCTTCCGTCCTCATCATCCTCGTCCAGGGCGTTCTCTGGGAAATCATCCTCCTGGAGCGGCTTTACGTTCCAGTCCTCTGTGGTGACATGCGATGGTCTCCCATGCATCAACGCTCCCCACTTATCCTGCATGAATAGAGCCCAGGCCAACCTTTTCCTCAGGCCACGCTCCCAAGAGGGAATTCTCCAGGAAGAGCAATCAATATGTAAGCCGAGATCCTGTCCAAGGCCCACTAACCGCGTTGTCAGAGCCCAGGAATCTCCTTCAGGTCTTTGAAGTAAGAGTAGGCCGGCTTGAATTGTTGATAGTTTAGGTCGGTGGATTATGTCGTTAATCGTCTTGAAAGCCAGCCTCTCAAGCCGAGGGACGTCAGGTTTGGGAATTAAGGCGAGTTCGCTGCTGTATGCCCACCAGTTCAGCGCCAGAATGTAGACTGCAGCCAATAACGGTGGCGAGAACTCTCGGTGCGTACGCTGATACTTCTCCAGAAAGACCTTTTTGTGCAGAACGGGAAAACTGGGGTGGACAATGCGAAAGTACAGGTGTATCAGCGCTTGGCCATGGGGAGCAACGAGCGACTCTATTGCATCCAGGTCAGGGATCTCTTCGTCGTGATTCCTTGTTCCCGCATCTGGCGAGAGTACGAAGGCAGTATCCAGCGAGTTCACCTTCCGTAGGGCAGTCAAACCAATGGGGATTTCCTCTTTCTCTCGGTATTCTTCGAGTTCAAGGAGCACTTGCTCGTATTCCGAAGTGGATCCGATGAGTCGGCTATGCCGATGGTTTTGAAGACCCAAAGTCTTCTTCAAGAGTGAAGGGCCTCTCAGGCTGGCATAGTCGTTGACAGGCGGATCTTGGCGGACTCTGGGTGTATTTATTGGAGAACTGCCAACCGTACGTGTCGTTTCGTGCACTGGTAGACGGTGAATCTGATCCCTACTTGCCGTAGTGTCTTCCTCGTTCAACGGTGCTGCTCTTCGCTTCCGAGGTTGAGGCTCTTCATTGAATGTGCAGTCTTGACGATGGAAGCGGCATAAGACGCAAGGAGGGCCACCTTCAACTATCTCGCATCGTGACTTCCGACGTCGGCACGAGTCGCAAGGGCGGCGGGATCTCGTCTTGGCGGCATTTGCTGCATCATTCTGAGACAGAAAGAAATCGTTCGGTGTAAAGACCTGAGTTGGGCTGAAGTTCATCGTTCAGATGCTGTAAACTGGTCAGTTCTGCCATCCCTGGGGCAAAGGACGGTTCCGGGGTGCTTCTTGCGGTAGGGAATGCTCCGGATCTAAGGGCTCGCCGTCCAAGTAAGTAAGATTAGCTGTCCTATTGTACGCACCCGCGAAGGCCTCTAGGGTAGCTGTTGCGCACGTCTTCTATCCGGAGAATTCCACACCGTGAGAGGGTGCGTCCGCACCATAGTCCCAACGCGTCGCGACCAGTAGCCTTGGAAGGTGCATCGGGATTCCCGGTACCAAGAGAAATGATGGATCATCAAGCATGGGGGATCGAAGGGGTAGATGCAGAGTCCTCCTACAGGTTAGCCACTTACCGGTGAGGCGGGACCTGGGGCACATGGAGCATGGCCCAATGTGGCATGGGCTGTCATGCGCCGGCGGGGTTAAAGTGCGGGAGCTGGTCGGTAACGGTGCGAGGAGCAAGAACAAGCGTCTCCGATGATATTCGATATGGAAATCCAAGGAGTGGAGTAGTGAGGTACCTTGGAGCGTCGCTGCGCCGACATTTAATGTAGGCCCAAGGCCATGGTGTTGGATTTGATATTCGCCTTGTGGACCACGTGAGGTGGAGAGCAAGATACGCGCCCGATATGGCCCAGGACCGCCGGCGACGACGGCGGCGCGAAGGACCGGGCCTGGGGCTTTGGCAAAGAGCAAAGTGTGGTGTCGAGGCTCAGATAAGATTGAGTGTGGAGCCAATCAAGACGCTAGACTAGCGAGCATTATTCAGCCCATTCCTAATGCAAACCGCAGCCAAGCCTCATGAGCTCTATCATGCTAAATTCTCCCATGAGCCAGCAGGTTCGTTAAAGATTGACAGTTATCATAAGAATCGCGTATATCGCACAGGCAATAGAGACCCGGCTCATCCTCCAGCCTACCAGAACACCCTGTGTGATCACCAATTACACGGAGCTCCCGGCCTAGACCATATCAGAAGTCTCCTTCTCCTTCGCCACGTACGCAGTCTTTGCCTCGCCATCCTCTCCTTCGAGAACCGGTGGGCTCACATCGCCCTTCTGCGGTGGATAGACCGCCTCTTCAATAATGGACTCCGTCGGTGGCGAGACATAGGTACAAATGACATAGTGTACCAGCATAGATAAAAAGAAGCCGAAAATCCAGGCGAACGAATATATTTTCCAAGCGCCGCCAACGTTGAGGGTAGGTTCGATGCTCTTCGCGAAGCCTGGCAAGAGAGGGGCGAACCCGGTGATGAAAGAGACATATGCACGCCAGTTCCAGCCGCCACTATACCAGTAGATACCGCGGTCAGTGTAAAGTTGATCGATATCGAGCTTGCGCTTCTTGATGATGTAGTAGTCGCACACCATGGTGCCGGCGAGCGGGCCCATCAAGCAGGAATATCCAGAAAGGAAGGCCAGGAGCCCAGCAGCGTTCTTGATGATGTTCCATGGGGTCGACACAATGCAGAAGAGGCTGATAAAGATAGTTGCGCGGAATATGTTGATGTACTTTGGTGCCATTCCGGTGACGTCGTTGGAGAAGGGGTATGTGCCGGCGGCAATCTGGTTGCCGATGGTCGCAAGCATGAAGCTGGCGGAGACAAAGAATTTGGCCGCCCGAGAATCGAACTTGGCAATGACTAACGGCATGTACCTAAGCTTCTATTAGCTAACGCATCGCTGAAGAGGATGATGATGCACATGCCATTGGAATTCGCCCCACAGATAGGAGTGCGCAGAGGTTACGAAGATTGGCGTCAGTGCTCCTAGTGTGCCTATGATAGGAAGGGCAAGAAATTGGTGAGGTCCCTTGAGACGGTTCTTCGAGAATCGACCAAAATCTGGCATGTTGACAGCCAACGAGCTGAAAAGTCCGATGATCACGTTGAGGCCGGTCAAAGCGGAGTATGCGGTGTTCATGTAGGTCGAAGTGATTTTGTATTGGCCGGTTACGAGCTCTCCGCCGCTATAACGTATTGGTCAGCATAAGACTCACAAGTAATGCGGAAGGTACGTACCCTTTCGTGACAATGACAGCCCAGAGGAACAAGGCGAAGAAAGTCGGTGGGACCACGACGCCTTTGACCCAGAACAGGATTCTGAGCTTGGAGATCGGCATTAGTGCAAGCCCTGTCTGGCAGAACCAGTAGAGGAAGATACATAGGAGCTCGGCAGCTGAGAAACATCAGCCAGAAGTCCTGTCAAGCATGACACGGGTCATTGCGGTGACTTACACGTAACGCCGGCGCTCTCGGGAAATTTGTTAGGGAAATCGATGAAGCTCGGCCAGATCGCTTCGATACAGCGCTGCAAGAAGTTTCCAGCTTGGACAGTAAGAATAGCGGTCCACATGAGAGCCACGAAAGCTTTATAGAGTCAGCAGTGGTTCGCGCTTCCCACTGTAGAGAGCATACCTCGAATGCAAATAGCTGGGAACGATCCGTACATGCCAAAGATGCTTCGGATGATCACAGGGAATGGCACAGCATAGGTCGCACCCATCTTTCCGGTCAAAGTGATGACGACGCTGCAGATGGCGAAGCCGAAGAAGACAATCGGAATTGTCTCTCGGGCAGTGAAGCCCAAGGACATGACACTAGAGACAGTGGCTGCCAAAGGGGGGGCGAGCATATCAGAGCACCAGTATGCCCAGTAATCAATACCGCCCCATGTTCGCTCCTCTGGGGGAATAGGGTCAAGATCTGAAGCGCGTTAGCTTATGATGTAGGATAGAACCGCATCGGTTTCCTTACCTTTGTTGGACCAGCGAGAGCCATACTTGCCGCTCTCAAAGGGGACCCTGAGGCGGAAGTGGGGAGCGAGCTTGGACTTGAGTACGGACATGACTTGACAACGTTGATGTTTCGCGAGAAGAGATGGTTCCGATGAAGTCAACTGCTTAAGGATGCGAGCTCCGCATACCTGGGTTCCCTGCACCTACATATACTTCGCACAGGGATCCAAGTGTGATTCCCTAATACCCTCATCACACCTCAATCGTCAGATATCGATATCCCCAGAGCACCCAGAGATAGGAGCCTTCGGCGAGCCATAGCGCCGGGCCTAGTTCGCTTGCGCCGTCCAAATGTGTGGAGTAGCTACGTCGAATAACGTTTGAGGATTAAGCGATCTCAGCGCCCCTTTCGTGGGGACCGGGTTGATGCACATGGATGGCAAAGAGGACGAGGTGGTCTGGCCCAAGCGCGAGTGGACGGAGGTGGTGGCGGGTGGAAAGTGGTTAGCGCGAAATCGACCGCCGCTTCGCCTAACGGTCGCCGGGCCGGAGGCCTGCTGCATGAGCCTGCGGCAAGCCCTGATATCGGAGCTTTATCAGAGAGATGCAACCGTCCTTACGGTGGGGTTGATTTTTGCTTTTCCTTTCTCGTTTCTAATTCACTTCAATGCTCTTCAGCTGAAGCCGGGCAAGGCCCTCCCCCAGTTCTCCTCCCTCTGACTCTGGGCCACTTCGTCGCTTTCGTCTGTCTTTTTCTATCTTGCCCTCTACGCCAAGATGTCGTCCCTCAAGAGTACTTCCACAATGCTTTCATTTGACGCGAAGCCATACGCGTTCTCCTTTCCTCTGGACCATACCGCGCTTCTTGTCATCGACATGCAACGCGACTTCCTTCTTGAGAAAGGCTTCGGCGAGATCCAAGGAGGGAACCTAGAAGCCGTACTGGCGTCAATTGCTCCTACAAAGAAGCTTCTGGAGGCATGTAGGGGTGTCGGCATGACCATTGTTCATACGCGGGAAGGCCACAAGCCAGATCTTTCGGACTGCCCTTCCTCGAAGCTCGTGCGGCAGGCAGCTGCCCCGAATAACACCCAGCACAAGCTCACCATTGGCGAGAAAGGCGAGCTCGGTCGGCTCCTCGTTCGTGGAGAGTATGGACATGATATCATTGATGAACTGCAACCGCTTCCGGGGGAAGTTGTAATCGACAAGCCCGGCAAAGGCTCATTTTGGAACACGACGATCTTGCATAAATTGAAGGCCCGAGCTATCACCCACCTTATCGTATCCGGCGTTACGACGGAATGCTGTTTTGCTACTTCCATTCGAGAAGCCAATGACAGGGGTCTCGAATGCTGTAAGCTCTCCCATCATGAGCGCTCTATCGGAACTGACCTTCTTCAGGCGGTATCGAAGAAGCAACCAGCGGCTACAATGATACGTGCTTCAAGAAGTGCACCCTCGACATGATCCACTGGTCTCAGGGTCTCTTCGGCTTCGTAGGCAGCCTGCAACCCCTCCTCGACGTCCTCTCACCACTGGCTACTCCAAGCATCACTGGTGACGCTACACCTCCACAAACGCCACCGACCTTCGACGGTGATCTTGCCATTCCCAGCCTTCAGAGAGCCTACAAGAACGGTCTTTCGCCGGTCACCGTAGCCGAAGCCCTCTACGACAAGATCGAAGCCTATCAAAAGACCGACCCAGCGGTATGGATCTATCTTGAATCAAAAGAGAACGTGCTTTCCGCCGCGAAGGCCCTCGCGGCCATTAATACGGACCGCAACGCTCTTCCACCACTCTTTGGCATACCCTTCTCGGTCAAGGATAGCATCGACATCGCGGGTCTCCCCACAACGACCGCGTGCCTACCCCTGACTCACATCCCCTCCACCTCCGCCGTCGTATACGACAAGGTAATCTCCGAAGGTGCACTCTTCATTGGCAAAACAAACCTCGACCAGCTCGCAACCGGCCTTACCGGCTGCCGCAGCCCCTATGGCATCCCACACTCTGTCTTCCACAAAGACTACATAAGCGGCGGCTCGAGCAGCGGGAATGCCGTCTCCGTCGGCGCGAACCTCGTCTCCTTCTCGCTCGCAACAGACACTGCAGGCTCAGGTCGCGTACCAACTGGCTTCAACGGTGTGGTAGGATACAAACCCACGCGAGGCACCATCTCCTTCCGGGGCGTGACACCCGCATGTCTCTCATTAGATTGCATAGCACTCACTACACACACCGTCGCCGACGCCCGGACACTCTGGCAAATCCTCGAAGACTCCGACCCACTGGATCCCTACTCCAAACCCGCCATAGCCTTCGAGCGCCACATCAACAGCATCGGTCCACAGTCTAGAAGCTTTAAGTTCGGCATTCCCCCGCCCGAAGCGCTCTCCATCTGCGCCCTCCCTATCCGCCGGAAATTCAACGAGACGGTCGCGAAGCTGCAGAAGCTCGATGGCATCCTAACCCCCATCGACTGGTCGCCCTTCCAGAAAGCCGGGCAACTACTGTACGACGGCACCTTCGTCTCCGAGCGCCTCGCCTCCCTCCCGGACGACTTCCTCTCCAAGAACCGCAGCGCCCTCCACCCCGTCATCCTATCCCTCATGGACGCCGTCGTCTCCCGCGGCAGCTCGGCCGTCCAAGCCTACCGCGACCTGCAAGCCAAAGCGCTCTACACGCGACAAGCCGAGTCCGTCTTCGCCTACTCCGCCTCAGGAATCGACGTACTCGTCGTCCCCACATCACCTACACACTGGACAATTGAAGAAGTGCTCGCCGACCCTATTAAGAAGAATAGCCACTTGGGCGAGTTCACGCACTTCGGCAATGTGCTGGATCTGTGTGGCGTGGCGGTGCCCGCGGGGACGTACCCTATCAAGGAGTTGAGTGGGAGGGAGGAAGATGAGGGGATGTTGCCGTTTAGTGTGACGTTTTTGGCGGGGAGCAGGCTGGATGCGGAGATGTTGGAGGTGGCGAGGAGGTTTGAGGAGGGGGTTAGGGCGGAGTCTTTATGAGAGTAATGATGTGTCTTGATGCTTCCTTGATGTTAATTTAGCATAGCATGCATATTGTATGACATTGATAACGAAGGTCATGATGTACACAGCAATCCTCTTCATGTGAGAGTAGAGATGAGAGGCTGTGGCTTCTCTTCTAGCCGCAAATTGCCCGCCCCTATAGAGCTCACATAGACGCATGAACATGGTCTGGGCGATATTTCGAAAGAATAGCTGGATACGTTCTCGCCCGTTAAATTCGTGTGCGTAGCGAGCTGTGAAAAGCTGAGCCTGAAGTACTTCAACGTATAATGCGTTTGCTCGTATGCGCTTTCTACACCCTAATGTGACTCTAGCGTGGTCTCGAAATGTGCACACCGGTTAAGACCTCACAAAGGCGATTCGGCTTGAATTTACCTGGGAAGTGCTGCCGTCACGTGCCAGTTAATCATTGCCCCGCCTGGAGATCCCCAAGGCTCTTTCCGAACCTCGAGCCGAGCTTCCTCCATCCCTCTTCAATCACAACGCCATGGAGAATGGCAGTCGTACCAAGTACCCTCAATGCAGCAAAGATCGATGAGGAAGGTTGTTCCACAAGCCTGCGATGCTTGTCGCCGACGGAAAATTAAATGCAACGGTCGCCAACCATGCCCGGGCTGCATCTCGACAAATCTATCCTGCACGTTCAAGCTGCCACAGAAAAGAGGCGGGAACACAGGCGTAAGAGCTACAGTACTGAATCAACTACGCGCCGGTCAGCAGCAGGAAAGTGAAGACAGCACGAGCTTTCCCGAATTTCGGCCCTCGCCGGACGATTATGCGTCACCAAGCAACGATTCCGTAGTAGGATGCCTGCAAGCGATCACCATCGACGCCTGTATAGATGCGTATCTGGACAGAATCCACCCGGTGGTGCCGCTTTTGACGCCTGACCTCCTTCGAGAGGAAGCTTTGCAGACGTCCACGTCGCTCACTTCCCGCCAATTCATCGTTTCATTCTGCGCATACGTGGTCACTTTCGGCAATATACTCCATCAATACCTTCCCTCCCATATCAAAGAGGAAGACCTGCAGCAAAAGCTGCTAGACGCCGCGTTGAGCATTCAGGACCCAGACAGGGTCTTCCAGCCTGGTCGGCTCTCGGTCTACATTTCCTTCTTTCTATACGGAGCATATGCGGGACTGGGGAATTACCGGCAGGGTTGGTTTTACCTGAGGGAGGCTACGACGTTATTCATGATGCAGAGGGGAAAGGAAGAGCAATATGGCACCGAGGCTTATAGATGCTTGTTCTGGGTCTTGGTAGTGTCGGAGAGGTACGACATCTCATCTCCGATGCTCTTTATATCATGCTAATCCAAGAGCAGAGCACACGCCGTCCGTCGAACCCGCCCCATCACACTCTCCGTGACGGCTTCAGCTCCTGCATTGAATTTGACTGCTGAGCGCGGTTTACACTATCTTGCCTCCATATTCCGTCCCTTCGATGAAATGTTCTTCGCTGTCTGGAATGGGTCGCGGCAAGAGTGCAGCAAGGAATGGCTTCTGGGACTCGAGAACGAGGTGCGAACAGCACTTCCACCCATTCTCGACCTTCCCAATGAGCAGATAGCGAACCTACGCGTCTCTCAGCTGTGGCTTCAGGTCAAGTTGTGGGAGCTATTCCCCCGTTTTGGGTTCCTGTCAAGCGAGTCAGTGCACAATTGCTTGACGTTTCGATATCCCATCAGTATCGCGAGAGACTTGACAATCGTCGCGATGAAGCTGCCGGTTCAAAGCCTACAGATCCATGGTGTTGGAATGGTATGTACGCCTCCAGCTAGTCAACAGTAGGTGCTCTAACAATTGTACCAGACTGAGAAAGTCTTCGATATTGCCTGTGCCCTCGCGGACATCCTGCCCTTCATTTCTATCCCGACTTCGCAACTCGAACTAGGCCCTGTGGACTACCTCGTGCAGGCAACGTCCCTTCTTGCAAAGCTTCCAGGTACGTAAATGGCGCTATGTTGCAAGCTCGAGAAAGCCTATCATGGCGGCCTTCAACCGGCATTCCATGGGTGTAGAATCTACTTGCCCCGTATAAGACATTCGCTGACGTGAACGCTACCCCTTTGCAGGTGGTTCTTCGAAGTTCATTCCCCTGCTTCTAGTGAAAGTAAACGAATTACTCCCCGAGCTTTCAAAAACGTTATGCGAAGCAGTTTCAATACCCGTGGTTTCTATGAATAACCCGATGAGCCCTGATACAAGGTTCATATACGAAGAGGAAGTAGGACAGGGACTGTATATGGATTTGAGAAGAGGGAGATAGGAGCGGTTTCGAATAGCACGCTGTATGACCTGCGAGTGTAAGTTTACCGCAGTCACTTTAGAATCTTTGCGTCGAGCCTGCGCCGTAATTTTGAAAAGTCCCTCGTCAAAATTCCGCTGGTCCTGTCAAGCTCGATTGCGTTTCCTTCCTGGTCCTCGCTTACATATACTCTCAGACTCATAAGCCTTTCACATGTCCTTCGAAATGAAGTATAACTGTCCTTGAAGTATTCTTAGTTCTCGCTGTGCTAGCCTACAACCCCTCCCGCACCCAGAACCCTAGTTTGTTCCAGGATCTGTCCTTGCGGAGTCCTTCCGGAAGTGTTACAGGGATGTCCTATTTATCGTTTCCTCGCTGCACATCTCCCTTCTCTTTACCTCCGTCCTTCCTATAACTTCTAACTACGTGTAAAGGAGAACCTTCAGACGACGAACAAATCGCACAAGAAGCCTATGCTATCCTGCGCAACAACAGATAGCTCGAAACCTTGGAGCGTCAGAGGCGACTTGTTTACAGTGTCCCAAAAACGTGACTATACGGAGGTGTCTTGGATCGAGCGTCATTACCGCCGGTGTTGGCACACTTATTTTGGCCACTCGTCGAGCCCGAACGCGAAAGCAAGCCGAACGGAGACAGAATACAGCGAACAGCATGATACAAAATTAAAGCTTACAAAATAGAATACATTGATTGCTTTGTATCGTTATCGAGAACGACTCAAATGGCCATCGTGCCACTGTCAACCGAATAAAGACAATAACCCTCATTCGATCTCTATACACCACTACGCACCCATCTCCATATAGATCGGGTACATAATCGCACCGACCTCCTGACTAAGATGAGACATCTTAAACGTAGCTACCCCCAGTCACAGTCGCGCGTTGCCGGTCCCGGGGCGGAAGTCGCAGCTGCCCCAACTGCGATGCTCACAGTTGCATCCAACGTTGACATCCATAGAACCCGAACGAGGTCGGTGAGTGATCATTGGGATATCGAACGAACCTTGGAAGGTGATGTTAGCATCTCAACTCCACCATGGGCGCAACATGAAAATTACGCGACATACAGTTGGCGAGAGTCATATCCATGACCGGGAAGTATTCTCCTTCTTGGAGTCGATGGTTTAAAGCATCGTTTGCGCCCCCCAGCAAATGGACTCGTAGTGCTAGAGTGTCGGCCGCGGTGGGCCGCTCAGGCGCTTTGTTGGTAGCGGTCTTCGGATTTTGTGAGCAGATGACATGATCGTGTTTTCGAAGTTCAGCAACAGGCTTCAGATAATGTGACTGCGAAGGGTAGTCGAGCGAAAACTGGTCTCATACTCTATGGGAGAATGGTACATTATATACATATTGGGCGCGAAGGACTCGTGGAGTAACCCCTCGCCAATTCCCGTGCCTTTTACGAGGTTGACTCCAGGATTTTGCAAGTTCACAGGGCAAAGGAGCTCGACAACACCAGTTGTATGCGTTCTATGAAGTTCGGTCAGTGAGCCTCGAAGTCTTCGTGTAACATTTAGTCGCCAGCGGTTCAAACGGACCAATCGGGGGGGCATAAAAGATTGCCAGCGCGATCCAATCTTGGTACAAGAGCATCTGGCGCAGTACCTTTGAAAGAATTGTGGCGTGGACAGGGAATTACGAATGTCGTGTCTCGCTTCACGGAATGAAGCTGTCCGCGGGCATCTTCCACCGAGACGCTGCATGGATTGATCCTATTGGAGAAAGAAGCGTACTAATCGGTTCGAAAGGTGAGCTGTGTTTGCGCGACGATCTAGAGGTAGTGTTTCAGCGATAATGTGGCCGGCCGGCTCAGCTATCCTTCGGCGGTACCGGTTATGGTTCCCGCGACACCGTCGAAGGACCTGCAGCATACCAAGTCGCAGCCCGATTAGACGAGTCTAAGCGTTATCGATGCGCCTCGCGGTCAACGTCATGAAGATCAATTTCGTGATAAGTCGCTCAAGTCTCACCGGTGGTGCGCAAAGGCGAAGGGAGGTCGTCGGTGTTGCGGTCGCTCCAAACCTACATGATGGATACTCGAACGGAGCTCTCATGGACATAAGTATGGCTAGAATGATGAAGAACTCGACGATGATGACCTTGTTTTCGTTCTTGCTCCTCTCCTTTGGTACGGAGACGTCATGCGTGTCTTACCAATGGCACGGCCGCGCTGGCAGATGCTTGCTGCCGAGAAGAGGCAGCACGAGATGTCGAAAATCCCGGAAGATTGGCTTCTCTCCACGAAAGTTGTGGAAGAGGCGAAGAACAGGAAGGCCATCACCGGCGGATATATCGAAGGACTTCTTGACCCTGATAGCCGACGCATAACGACGCTGGAAAGCATGGAACTTCTCAAGAGCCTTGGAAATGGATCGTTATCCGCGGTGCAAGTTGTCTCGGCGTTCAGTAAACGAGCAGCCTATGCACACCAGTTGGTACGGGGCACATCATAGATAGTGAAACAAAAGGCCCACTAACATTCCTTCAGGGCAACTATCTACTAGAGATCGGGTTCGATGTGGGCTTGGAAAGGGCAAAGCAACTCGATCAGTACTATCAGGAGCACGAGAAGCCCATCGGTCCCCTGCATGGACTACCTGTTACCCTGAAGGACCAGTTCCATATCAAAGGACTGGAGACTTCCATGGCATTTGTTGGATGGATCGGCACATTTGAAGGCCAGAAGGGCACTGGCAAGGAGAGGAGCTTCGAGAGTGAACTAATTCGGGAGTTATACAGTCTAGGCGCTGTGCCGATTGGCAAGGTCAGTCACTCTTGTATTGCTTCAAGACTTCGCTAACCGTGATCTAGACGACACTGGTGCAAAGTGTCTGGGTATGCAGGTTACTTTCGATCCAATCTTTTGCTGATCCGAACTAGGCACCAGAGACGAACAACAACATCATGGGTTATGCATGGAACCCACATAATCAGAAACTGTCGACCGGCGGTTCTTCCGGAGGTATACGTTGAACCCTGATATCCCACGTTGGTCTGCTGAACAGAGTAGGCGAGGGCGCTATGCAAGCACTTAGAGGCAGCGCCTTTGGCGTCGCCACGGATATAGGTGTCATTTTCTCTCTAAGGTTCTACCAACGCGCTACTAAAACTTCCACAGGTGGTTCCATCTCCATGCCCGCGTCAATGAACGGAGTGTATGGCTTTAAGCCTTCATTTGGCCGAATATAGTTCAAAGGCGTCGCAAACACGGTCAGTATCACGCTCATCTGCCGTTAGGGATGGGATTCCCCACTCACAGCGGTCAGGGAGCTGGTCAAATGATCATGCCAACAGTGGCTGGGCTACTGGGGAATTCTTTACCCATGCTACAACTCGTCTTCAAGTCATTGCTCTCGACCAAGCCATGGCTTTACGATCCTTATGTTGTGCCAATACCGTATCGAAGCGATCAAGAATATCGTCCGAGCAACGAAAAGAAGCCAACCTTTGGGCTTTTGATGGACGACGGAACTGTAACGCCGCACCCACCTGTCACAAGGGCTCTTCATATTGTGGAACGTGCATTGAAAGCGGAAGGTTACCAGGTTCAAGTTGATCCACCATTGCGTCTCGTAAAGCACTAATAATCAGTAGGTATTTGACTGGGATGCACCATCGGTCAGTGAGACATCAGCAATACATGTGAGTGGCCAATGAGTGCTCGACTACGCAATGTTGACGAGCACCAGGGGCCAATTGCCCGTGGAGACGGAACTCCAGATGTTTGGGAGGCTCTTCAGCTTTCCGGAGAGCCTCCAGTACCACAGATCCAGCACCTCTTTGACAACGGCAAACTCAAAGAGCCAATGAATCTGGTGGAGTATGAGCAGGTCGTTCTTCATATGAAGGATTACCGTCACAGGTATCAGGAATATTGGGAGTCAACAGTGGAGCTTACAGATACTGGTACGTATGCGAAACTCCTTGGGCATCCTGAGAGACAGCATCTGACTGCGACTTAATAGGCCGTCCTATTGACGCTGTTATCATGCCCGTTTCACCATATGCAGCCGTGCAACCAGACAAATTTATGTACTCCGGTAAGTCCTTTACCATGCTTCATCATATCACCGACTCATTGGACGGTGTTAGCATACAGCAGTTCCATCAATGTCCTGGACTACACTTCGATAACAATATCGGTCACTTTCGCCGACGAGAAAGTGGACATTGTGGGTTCTAGTTTCGAACCCTTGTCAGAGATTGATAAAAAGAACATGGATGCTTGTATGCATTTTTATTCCATTCCGTTCCGCTTTTCGAAAAAGAAAGACTGCTAAACTTAGCGCTAGACGACTCTCATGTTACAGATGGCGCGCCCGCTTCCATTCAACTTGTAGGCCCAATGCTCAGCGAAGAGAGGTTGCTCTCTCTCGCGCAGCTTCTTGCCGACGCGTTGGCGAAGCACAGGTCCTAGTGGGGTTCAGACGCTGGACGAGAGATCATCAACATCAACATTCCTGTAAGCTCGTGGGCAAAGCACATTTCGACTTCAGATTGATACAAGTCGTGGAGAAGGGCTAGCTGTCGGTAGGAAAGGACTTATATTGCTAGCCACTCAAGCTACCTCGCGCATTATCTAGCATTTCTAGGACTTGGTGTATTGTTGGCCTTGACTCGCCAAATATACCGCTTTTCCACTCTTCGCCATGCAAAAAGTCCTCAGCTCTCGTTAACTCTGCGGTCCACCACTGCATAGCAGCATCGATCACGTGTGAAACCGCGATCCCACTCTGGCTTTCTTCAGTCCATCCCTTAGGTATCAAGCGGCCATTTACTCTCCTGATGCGCCTCGCTCGCACCATGTGTTCTTTCCACTCCGGGGCATCCGCTGTGCACCTCCGGATGATTGATCGAATCGAAACTGGCGTCCGTTTGAAGTTAGGAAACTCAACGTCTGGCTCGCATGTGTACGCGTTGGCAATGCTCTGTCGCACATTGCTAAGGCCTTCAAAAACGCAGTAGATGAAAAGACCAAGAGAATAAACCGCTGCTTTTTCTTGGCTCTCGGGATTCAAAGAGAACCACGCAAGGTTACTAGCTTTTACCTTGCTATCGGTGCGAATGGCATCTTGGCCTTTAGCATTGCCGGGACCATGGGAATATTTCTCAACAAGGTAGTCCCAACGATGAGCTGAATCTGAGGTCGGACGGTTCGACCGCAAATTCTCCGCGTATTGGCGGAACAAGATTTCCGGCGCGTTCCACTCGTGCCAGTTGCCGCGTTGTTCAAAGTCGCACAGGATTAGATACTCCGCTCTGCCTACGGGACTGCATAGCAGGACGTTGGCTGGGCGAAGGTCGGAATACAACGATTGCTCAGTCTCATGGACGTGAATCAGTGCACTAGCGATGTCTCGACACAAGTCCAGCTGTTGATGTCCAGACAAAGAACCCTTTGCTAGAACTAATGCCACCTAAGTAGATAGACTACTGTTGAGTCGCTGTCCATTTCAAAGGGAGAAATGTAGCCTCCCCATGAAGGACAAACTTATTGCGATATCAGAGTATAAATGGCTGGAAACTTTGAAGAGCTACATGTAAGACATCGGCTGGCACTGGCTTAGGATTTTGAGATTGAAGAGCGCCCCTCAAACCAAGATACCAAGCCTCTCACGAAGAACGGCGTACTTCTGCGAGGCATGGGAACATGTGACTGGTAAGCTCTGCATAGCGATTGCTTTTTCCAATGTGGCGTGAGTTTGTTACGTCCGATATCGATAGTCACGCAGGGTTTGCGATGAATGATGAGCAGGCTGCGTGTGTCTAGCTGGCCAATAGCGTGTTTTCGACCGACCTACGCCCACTGCCCCGAACAAACTTCAAGATAGGCTATCCCAAGTCCAAAACTTGACATTTCCCCTCATAATCTCTCTTTCACTTTCGAATGCCTATAATCGTAGTGCCAGTCATCCCTCGCCAGATCACTCCGTACCTTGTAGTTATCCTCTGCGTCTTCCAGAATCTGCATATCCACATCCACAACGCTCATTCCCTCGGCACAGCTCCCCAGTCTCGTCAGTGCTCCCACGAAAGGCACCACGACCTGCGACAACCCAGCATACCCCCTCCCTGGCGGCCCTCCCGCGTTCGCAAACACAATCGCTGTACACACGTCAGCCCCTATCCAATCCGCATCTCTTCCACTTCTTATCCCCACGTACCGCAAGTATTCTCAAACGCCCGCGCCGTCAACATACTATCCAGAAACAAGGCTTCCGCACATGGATTCAACTTCAGGCCCGCCTCATTACAATCATTCAGCGTCCAGAACGTGGGCACGATGATGATTTTGGCGCCCTGCGCGATAAGCTCGCGGAAGGCTTCGGGGAAGGCTAGGTCCCAGCAGATGAGCAAGCCGACTTTGCCGAGGGGCGTGTCGAAGACTTCGTGGACGTCGCGGCTGGAGCTGGTGAGGTGCTCGCGTTCGGGCCCCCTAAAGTAAAATGTTACTGTGTGAGGATAGGGGTGTGTGGGGAGGGGGGGCGGATGGAAAGGTAAGGGAAGGGGGGAGGGAAAGGCGTACCACAAGTTCTTCTTGACGTATTTGCCTTTTATTTCGCCATCGTGATCGATGAAGTATGCTACGTTTAGAAGTCGATCCTCCTCATTCTCATTCTCTCTGTGGCTCTCGACGATGGTCCCAGGGACGATGCATATCCCGCACTCTTTCGCTAGAGCTTGATATTTCTTGAGGTACGTTTCCCACTGGTCGCACAGGTCGAAGAACCCGGGCGATTTCGGTTGCCAGTTGGTGAGATGGTACTCTGAGCAATATCTGAATTAGAAAGTCTTGCCTCGAAGAGGGCAAGGACGAAAGCAAGGGCGCAGCTGAGGTTGAGGAGAGTAAAGAATATAGCGGGGCGGAAAGGAGATCAAGCTTCTGATTTCGACAGGGCCCCCATTCGTTGCATCGGTGTTATTACTTACCAGGCAAAACAGCCAACTCCGCTCCCTGCGTCGCCACACTTCTTACAAACTGCGCAGCCTTATTGAAGTTGTGCTCGAGTTGCATAGGCTGGTTCCTCGGTTAGGTCATCATGCCGCAATGGCCCACGAAAAATACAAGGTCCACAGACCTTCGGGTACAACTGAATGACAGCAACCTTGACAATTGGTGCCATGATGATAGCTATTACGGGAATCAATGGGTTCCGATGACCAGACGGGAAGCCGGTAGCGTGACGTGGATTGATGCTGGAGCGGAGCGGAGCGTCGGGGTTAAGAAGGGTGCGGAGTTAGCATATGCAGCTAGGTGGGTTTGGGATGGTTTTGATGGCGCCAATTGGCCGATGAAGACCTGGGTGCAAAGTCAGGACAGGCCTCATTCTTCTTACTCTAACCTCTCGTGTGACAGGTGCATGCAGCGAAGATTCGCCGCCATTGGAATTATGTCTGCCCTTTGTTCCTGTTGAAGGAAGTAGATAGTTCAGTATTCTCACCACAAGAATACAGCAGGATCCAGAGCAGGACGACCGACAACAAGATCAAGCTGTAGTTCCTTATACCAGAGCGTTGATAAATCCTCTGGAAATCCCCGCCGCTTCAAAGACACCCGTTCTCTCACTCATCCAGAGCTAGACACTCCCAACAAACCTCCACCCCACATCCCCCCCGTCCCTTCCCGTAGCCCTCGTCAGCCCAACCATAACTCCTTTCAACGCGCCCACATCCACAAACTTCTCCAAATCTTCCGCATGCTTCTGTTGTGCCTTGTCCTCATTCACCTTCGCCAGGAACCTCTCATAGTGGCCTCGGTCGGCGAACGTCAGCACGGCGACGCCATCGAAGGCAATGTCTTGCGGGCCGCCAACGCTCACATTGGCTTGGCCATCTAAGGTCCGCTCAATGTAGTGCCGTGTGTGGGAAAGCGGGAAGTCATAGCCAACGAGCGATTTGAGGAGCGGGATGTGCGACGTTTCCCAGTGGTGTTTGAAAGCTTCGAGTGTGAGGCCTGGTTTGCATGGGACGAAGAGGATGAGGGAGTAGGTCATGTCGACGAGAGAGTTGAGCTAATCGCCCGTTGGGTATTTAGTAGAAAACTTGCGCCGTTCGAAAGAAGCATTGACTGTGTGGAGACCGGGTGGATGAGGCAGACGGGAAGTGGTGGTGATATGGCCGGTCCACGGAGTTTAAGCTTAGGCTTAACGCCGGCAGCATCGGGTCCGACCACTTGGCACGGAAAACAACATGAGCAATTTGGAGACGCAAAAAGGTCAAGAAACTCGGCACCTGTAGAACGTCCCGAGACGGGGGTTCGTGAAAGTGCAAAAAGGAGTGCCATTCCGCTTCGCCATAGTCGCCGAATGATGGGGTATCTATATCTACACACTGATATACGAAGAAGGAAAATGAAAGAGAGAAAATCATAAGCTACGGGTATGAAATGCGCTATGCATAAGAAGCTCACCGGCGTTACCACCTGAAAGAAGTTCGTAGAGAGACGAGCTCGGATCCAACAAAATCCTCCACGTGAGGTCTGCCCAAATCCAGAATGAATACAGGTTAGGAAGTTTCAGTATCGTACGAGGTGTCCAGCCGCCCACAGGGTGTCCTCGTACCCATGAATATACTTTGTGGGGGGGAAATTTCTCTTAACAGGGGGCAATATCCGTCATAGTCGTCGATTGGCAGATTGCGTCTGTGACAGGCTAGATGTGGCGGGCTTCATCGAAGCGACGTTGGACAACATCCAGGGGCGGAAAGCAGTAGACGTGTATACCCGTTGAGATGCGCAGTGGCAGAGCCATCTTACGCTACGGCAGCATCGGCCCAGTTGTTGTTGACCGGGATTCCGCTGGTTATGTACGAGCTCTCCTCCGAATCGGAGTCTAGGTCGGATCCGGTGTCGAGGAGGTGATATCGGTTCGTAATCGGCATGGGCTTCATGGGCACGGCGGGTGCCGGCGTCTGCACTTTCAATGACGGTCGCGGCAGAGGGGCGGCGCATTCATCCGGGCACCAGTCGATGCGGAGGCCCTTGTACGCGGTGCGAGACATCATGCACGTCCGGGCGAACAATGCGTTGTGAATGGAGTTGGTGGAGATGTAGGCATCGGGATTCTTGAAGTTGATGTCAATTACCACGAGGTTGTGGATATGGTCTAGATGATCCCGGATCTGATCTTCGGTAAGCTTTCCGGCTGCACCTCGGACGACCAAATTCCGGCTCGCTCCATTAGCAATCTTGTTCGCCACATGCGGCGGTACGTGGAATTGCCGGTCATTCCAGCGGAACTCGAGCTGCGCTGGTCAGTTTCGGCCACGTTATCACTGTTACAGAACTCACCCGCTTCGTGTGCAGGTAGATGTCGTTCCGCTTTGCGTAGGCTAGGAACTCGGCTGCTCCCTCCACGAACGATATCGTGGCTGTTCGATCATTGCGAAGGAAGATGTCAAGCAGTCTTCCTCCACGTATGATGCCCGCCAGATCTTTGTGAGTAGTCCGATCCGAGAGATTGGTGATGAGAACAGTTCGCTGGTCGTGGACTGGGACCCGTTGCGAGGATCCCTGAAGGTCATCCTCCTTCTCGGGGCTGTCGATGGAAGAATCGGGCTGGCCATAGCTGTAGACTCTGTTGTAGGAATGCGGATGAGGTCTGGGCTGGAGACCGTCGCCAACGGCAGTATTGTCCGAGTTCGGAGAGGAGTCGTCGGCGTGCGGTGCAGTCATGGTGACAGGCACAGACTGAGGTCGGACAAATGTCTCTCCCCAGGTGTGGGTATGCGTGGTGTAATCGTTGGGCTCATCGTTGGTGACCCCGCTCTCGCCTGATAGGAGAGTCTCGAGCGTCTCAGCCGTCAAGCCACCTCGAAACAGTGCGCTTTTGAGAAGATCTATCTTCGGTCAGGGACTTGTTCGTTTGGGCCAGGTGTAGTCTGAGCTTCGGGGAGGCACAAGGGGACGAGAGCGGCATACTGTACTCGCGCACTGCTTGGATCTGGAGAGTGGAGTTAGCAATGAGCAGCTGTGAAGAATTGCAGGTAAGATATGAAAAAGGGCCATGAAAGAGGGAATAGGGCGGAGCAGGGCGGGGCCTGTTGAGGAGACATACCAGGTAGTCGTGCTCGGCCTTGGAGATGGTCACATTGTTGGACAGGCTAGGTGTAGTGTCGAAGTCATGGCCGGAAGTGTGCTAGGGTCTCCGTCAGGTCTGCTCGCCATGCTCATGCGCAACGTAGCCAATTGCTCGGGAACTCACGAATTCAGCCCTGGGAAGCGTATCAGCAAGCAGTACGGCGCAGCTTCAAGCTCCAGACCGGGGCACTCACCGACGCAGCAGGGCATCGAAATAGGATTTTCCTATGGTTACAGCGGCCATGGTGTGTAGGAGAAGAGGGCACGCTCGAGGCAGACGAGGCCTTGCGTGAGGTGCACGAGAGGGAACGCAGGTGTTGGGCGAATTGCGGGAGGCTAGGCGCGGCCTGGCCATGGGAGTGTTTTATCGGGCACGTTGAGGGCAGGCGTGGCCCAAGCTCCATCGCGCCTTCCCAGGGCAGTGGAGCGCTAGCCCAGCTCGCTCCCCCGGATCTGTCTCCCGCCTGCAGAGCTGCCGCCGTCTTTCTGCGCCGCGGTGGGGGCTGCAGGCCTGCAGAGTGGCCTGAATACTGCAGGGGGCGCTTCTCGTCTTTATCTCGCACTCGAAGCTCCATTGCGGCGCGGCGTTGGTGTTGTGGCACGGATGAAGCGGGCTCCGTGTACCTCTTGCACGACCCTTGGCGCATCGGCTCGTTTCGGCGTAGGGCCGTCTCGCGTGCGGCACTCAAAACTTTTGGCAGCGTCATTGCGCTGCTGCCCATGGACAACCCCAATACGCCGTCGACGCCGCAGCATCTCGCACAGCATGTCCCCGTCGAGAGGAGCGAGGGCCTCAGCTCCTATCTCTCGCACCTCACTGCGAATCCGTTCTTTACCGCCGTACGCCTGTCCCTGCCGCTGAACTGGAGGTGTGCTCACGTCCGCCATAGGGCTTTGGTCTCGCAGCGCTTGCAACCGCGGCGCGTATAGGCCAGAAGGGTCTCCAACATGGGGCCGCACTGCTGCGCCGCCGCATGCTCGTCGACCTCGAGATAACCCGGCACGACCACGCCTACCCGTGGTTGCTGCTGTGGATGACCAACTTCCACAGAGCACAGCTCGCGGGCGCCCAGCAGCCGTCACGGCGCGGTGTCATCTCGACTCTGATCAGTCGCATCAATCCGCGCTTGCACCACCTGCAAGTAAATACAGCCCAGGCCAAGACTGGCCCCTCGCACGGCGCACACTTTTTCTTCGTCCCAGGTCACGGCAAGCACGTCCTGCGCTATGGAAGCTCATTCATCTTCGTCGACCGCCAGAGGGAAAAGGCGTTCAACACGACGACAGGCGAACCGTTCGAAACGATTACCCTGACCACGCTTTACGCGCACCGAGACGTGTTCGAGCAGATCTTCGCCGAGGCGCATCGATTACACCAGCAGATGCAAGAAGGCAAAACGGTCATATACAATGCGACGGCTGGAGATTGGCAGCCGTTTGGAGACGCGAAGCGGAAGCGGCCTCTCGACTCTGTCATCTTGGAGCGAGGCGTGAAGGAGCGGATCGTGCAGGACGTGCAAGCGTTCCTTGAGGCACGAACCTGGTACCTCGACCGCGGCATACCATATAGGAGAGGATATCTGCTGTATGGGCCCCCGGGAACGGGCAAGAGTTCGTTCATCCAGGCATTGGCAGGTCACTTGGATTTCAACATTGCCATCCTCAACGTCAGCCAGCGCGGCCTGCACGATGACCGGCTGAGCCATCTTCTGACCAAGGTCCCGCCGCGGACTATAGTGCTACTGGAGGATGTCGATGTGGCATTCGCCAACCGCAAGAAGCGTGATGCGGATGGATATGCAGGTGCGACGGTCACCTTTTCGGGTCTGCTAAATGCGCTCGATGGCGTCGCGAGCGCTGAAGAGCGCATCATTTTTCTCACGACGAACCACGTTGAGAGGCTCGACGAGGCTCTGATTCGGCCCGGCCGGGTCGACATGACTGTCCGGCTGGGTGAAGCAAGCGAGTACCAGATCGCACAGCTGTGGGACCGATTCTACGCCGAGTTTGATGCGGACGGTCAAGGAAAGCAGAAGTTTATGGCCAAAGCCAGAGAGCTTGGGCTCATCGATACCGTGAGCACTGCGGCCCTGCAGGGGCTGTTTCTGTATAACAAGGACGACACCGAGGGCGCCATCAGCATGGTAGAGGGCCTCACAGCTGGTCGCAGTCACCCAGACGCCCATGTGGAGCTGCCGGGACATGTGGAGGTCAAACGTGGTGCGCAGCCACCCGTGTGATGTGTCGCGCTGTAACAATGTTGTACTACGACTGTAGTGTCCTTAGCAAACGAAAAGTTCAAGTAATGGAAATGCGCAAGGAGCGTTGTTCACTGCGAGACTAAAGACCCGAGCTCTCACGGTGTGGAATTCTCCGGATAGAACGACGTGCGCAACAGCTACCCTGGAGGCCTTCGCGGGTGTGTACAATGGACAATCTAATCTATCCTTTACGGCGAGCCCTACCGCAGGAGCCGAGCAATGCGGGCGTGGGATGGCGTGCAGCGGCCCCGGCGATGACATCGGCCAACGTCGGGAGCGCTGCATGCGCGCTGTTGGTGCTGTCGCATCCCACGGATCTAACCGCTATCTGATCTGATAAGTCACTCGACCAGCAAAAGCTGGCCGCTAGCCACTTTCGTGACACTCTTGTACGCGCCCATGCCGCCAGCTCACACATATGGGGTCTGAAGCCCGCTCTGTGCGGCGCGAGCCTGCATCCTCTGTTTCCTCGTCTAGCGCACGTGTCGGCGACGCAGGAGCGCTCTGTTCTTTCGCCCCCGGAGGCAGCTACGAGCTTCATGATTTTCCACAAAAAGCAACGAGCATAGCCCCAGCCAGCCCGCGCCCTCATGACGACAGCGAAGACGGCCCTCGACGCAGTGAATCCTCGCCCCGTCCTGGCAAGAACGAGATGTCGCGCGCTCCGCTGCTGGTGCGATCCTCTCCGGCGCAGGGCACCGGTTCATATGGCGGCCTCCCGGTCCTCTCCTTAAGCTCCAGCCCGGACGAGTCGGACGACCATCATGTGACCACGTTTCATCAGCGAAGCAAGAGGAAGGGAAAGAGCAAGCTCAGGCACAGCGAACCCGCCCAGGCTCGGTCTTCCCTGCACCGCAGCCATGACGACACGGCCCGGAGCGAGCCCGAGTTCACGACATCACGCACTCGGCGGCGCAGCACCAGGCATGAGAGCAGGCAAGGAGCGCTTGACGAGGCTCTCGAAGGGCACCAGGAGTCCGGGCTGGAAACGCGATTCAACGCCAGCGGTCTGGCTCCTTCAGCACATGGCGCTCCTCGAATCTTTGAAAGCCTCCAGTCGTCCTCCACAAGCAGTCAGGTCGAAGGACCAGATGACGAAGATGAATCATCAGAAAGCGAAGATATGCACGACATCAAGTCGAACGGCTCCCCGTCGGATGATTCACCCTACGCTCAAGTACGGGCTTCTGTAGCGGCGACCGACGATACCTCCTTATCTATCAACACACCTCGCATGTGGACGCTGTCGATCTTGTTTGCGATACTTGGCTCTTCTACCAACCTATTCTTTTCCTTAAGATACCCCAGCGTTAGCATCACGCCCATCATTGCTCTTTTGCTTGTTCATCCTCTTGGCCTGCTCTGGGACCAGATTCTAAAACGCTCCGATGATCCCGACGAATCGTTTGTCAATGGAGCGCTCCATTCCGGCAGTCGCTGCCTGTATGCAGATGGCAGCCGACCTGCTTTCAGGCGTAGCTCGCAACCATCATTGTCGAAAGTGCCCCGGAGCACACGACTTCGACTCTGGTTGGCGCAAGGGCGCTGGAACGCTAAGGAGCATTGCTGCGTCTACATCAGCAGCAATGTATCCTTTGGTTTTGCGTTTGCTACAGATGTAGGTCACGCCGGCGCACCAGGTAGTACGGTACTAACGGAAATCAGGTTATCGTGGAACAAACAAAGTTCTACCACCAAGATCTGGGCGTCGTCTATCAGATCCTGCTGACACTGTCAACGCAAATCCTCGGATATGCTCTCGCTGGCCTCACACGCCAGTATCTCGTTCGCCCCAGCGGCATGATTTGGCCAAGCACTCTGGTTTCTACGGCTATGTTCACCGCGCTACACAAGGACGAGAACAAGCCGGCTAATGGCTGGACGATTTCGCCGTCCAAGTTCTTTCTACGCGTTTTCGTCGGCTCAGTTGCGTTTTATTTTCTTCCCGGGCTTCTCATGCCCGCATTGAGCTATTTCAGCGTCATCACTTGGTTTGCTCCGAAGAATGTAGTCATTGCTAACCTGGTGAGTCTGTTTTCTCATATTACACGTACGCATACTGATCTAAACAGTTTGGGATTGCTTCGGGACTTGGATTGTTCCCTTTGACTTTCGACTGGGCGCAGATTGCTTACATTGGCTCGCCACTAGTCACGCCTTTTTGGGCTGCACTCAACATCCTCGGCGGCCTCGTCGTGGTCATGTGGGTCATGGCCCCGTTAATGTGTACGTATTTTACAGCTCCGGCTTGACATCCATCGCTTATCGATCTACAGATTATGCAAACGTTATGTTCTCGGCCTACATGCCGATCTTGTCAGCTGCCGTTTTCGATAATCGAGGGAAGCCGTACGATGTCAGCAAGATTTTAACCGACAAGTTTTTGTTCGACGAGAATGCATACAAGAACTACAGCCGAGTGTTTTTACCTATAACATACGTCTTGAGCTACGCGCTGCAGTTCGCCGCTCTCACAGCTTTGATCTCACACACCGCACTCTGGCACGGAAAGGACATATGGAGGCAATGGCGCCGCTCATGGGCCGAGATCCGGAAGAAACCAAGCGCAGAGTACGAGCCATTGCCGGGTAACAACGTCAGAAATGGTCGCCCAGCCTCGCCGCAGATGTACAGATCGAGCACCACGTCCGAACCCGAGCTCGAGGATCTGCTCACTGCAGAGGACGTACACAACCGGCTCATGCGCAGGTACGAAGATGTACCAATATGGTGGTACATTACGACGGGGGTGAGCATGACAGCCATCGGTATATTCGTCGTTGAATACTACCCTATACATCTACCCTGGTACGGCCTTCTGCTAGCCCTCAGCATCGGCGCGACCTTATTCATCCCTATCGGTATCGTTATGGCTATCACCAACCAACAAAGCAGCCTCTACCTCATCTGCCAACTCATCTGCGGCGTTGCTTTCCCCGGCCGTCCTGTCGCGAACATGGTCTTTACAACCTACGGCTATATCACTTCCACCCAAGGCCTAAAGTTCTCTTCCGATCTCAAGCTTGGCCACTACATGAAGATTCCACCCAAGATCCTCTTCAACCTCCAACTTTCTGCCACCATCATATCCAGCCTAACGCAGATCGGTGTGCTTAATTGGATGCTCGCTTTCATTCCCGGCATCTGCACATCCGAAGCCATTAACGGCTTCACCTGCCCTATCGCACGCGTTCACTTCAATGGGAGCATTCTCTGGGGTGTCGTAGGGCCTAGGCGCTTCTTTGGCTCCGGTGCGCTATACCGCCCCCTCATTTGGGCCTTCCTCGTTGGCGCCGTCGCACCAATCGGGTTATGGCTTCTCGCACGCCATGATCGCAAATCCATCCTCCGCAAAGTGAACCTCGCTGTTGTCTTTGGCAGTTTATCATGGATACCCCCAGCCACAGGGCTCAACTTCTCTGTGTGGGCCATGGTATGCTACATCTTCAATTTCGAGATCCGGAAGAGGAAAAAGGAGTGGTGGAAGAAATATAATATGACATTAAGTGCGGCGCTGGATTCGGGTCTTGCTGTCGGTGTTGTGGTCATTTTCTTTGGCATTGTGTTCCCAGGTTGGATGAGCGGGTTTAAGTGGTGGGGAACTGAGGTGTATAAACAGGTGAGTCCTCTTGACTCTGTAATGAGTGCCCCAACGTATGCTAACATCTATACAGGGCTGCGATTGGACGGCGTGCTCATACAAAACGGTCAAGAACGGCGATACATTTGGCCCGCATAAGTGGTGATTTTGCATAGTACTTCATCGGAGTTGCATTGGATGAGCGAAGGGTTTTTGCATTCTGGAACACATTATTGGCATTGCTAGATACCTATTTACGGCTCCTCACTCACTCCTTATACTCCGCTTTCTCCATCTCTTTCTCCGTTTCCTTCCTGTCAAAGCTATGTGCGTAAGGGTCCACATGCGTAGATGCAAACTTCCTCGCGCTAACCCTCTGCTCGAACAACAGATCCAGCTCAACATACGTCCTACCCTTTGGTTCGGGCAGCCTGAAGAACACCCACACGACCACACAACCGCAGGTCCCAGCCCAGAAGAAAGCTGTCTTAGCACCCCAGTTCCAGTTCGCTTCCCCTAGTTGGTAGTTCGTCAGGACGTTGACGACGATGTTCGACGTGTTGTACAGTGCTCGCGCAAGCACAATGGTTTTCGCCTTTAGTCGCGTCGAGGAGATCTCAGAAACTATCGAATACGTGACCGGCCCGATCGTAAAGTCGTAGACAAAGACGAAACCGATAAGTATGCCGCCAATTGCCCAATTTGACGCCTCCGTCCCGGCGAACGAGCACGCGCCGACGATGATCAGGAGAAGAAAGAGCGTGCAGGCACCGGAGAAATGGATGATTCGGCGGCCCAGCTTCTGCATGAGAAACCAGGAACCCATCGTGCCCACGAGACCGAGGGCGAGGGAGATCATCGACATGTTGAAGGATTGGATGGTAGGGAGCCCGGCTTTCTGCATGAAATACGCGCTTTTGAACATCAGCTGAGGACGGTAAGGGTACCCTATGATACTTACAAGTAGCCCATAATGTTGGTCCCACATATCGTCTGGGCGATCCATGTGAGGCACACAATCTCAGTCCTTCTAAGATCTACGCCCTTGAACAGATCCAGCCACCTTGTCCCGGCCGACATCTCCTTTTCGAGGTCGTTCGTATGCTGAATCATAGCAATGGTCTCGTCTGCATTGAAATTCGGGTCCTTCTCGGGAGAAGTAAGCCGAAGCAATGCGGCGCGAGCTCCTTCTCGATCACCTCTCCGCACATGCCTAAAGATGAGGTACGAAGTCAGCGCAGATCTCAAAGTTGGAGGTACGCTCATATCTCAGTCAAGTACTCGCCGTATCTGAAACGCCCCTCGTGGAGCATTTCAGCACACGTTGCACATTGATGAGGCGCACATACTTTGTGCTGGGACCTTACGTACCACCACGGGCTCTCAGGGGCCAGCGCGACACCAATAATAATCGGTATTGGCCAGATCCACTGAACTGCGAAGGGGATCCGATATGCCCACTGATCATCCCGCGTGACACAGCCACGATTTACTCCTGCCGCGATGAACTGGCCCATCACCCAGCACCTATCTTCATCAGCACTGGTGCGATCCTCGAACGTTTGAATAACTCACATGTTGACGAAGGTCGTCAGAATGGGCCGAAGTTGTACAGGACTGACTTCCGAGGCATACTGCGTGGTCAGGGTCTGGAACATGCCCCACGGGATGCCGCACAGCACCTCTCCGACCACCAGAGTCTGCACGTTGGGCGCAAAGAAGAGAATGAAGATAAATGCGGTCATGGAGACCAGGGCTCCAATCATAGTCTTGCGATATCCATATCGCTCACTGACGAAGCCGTTGATGATGAGGCCGATGACTTCGCCTGCTCGAGCGCCGTTGGATCTGACTTGATGAGCCGCTGCTACGATTGACTAATGATAAGAAATGGCACTTACAGAGCGCTCTGCCATTTTGCGGGTACACTCCACTTCCCAGTAGAGGGGTTCTGCACACCGTACTTCATATTGAACTGAGGACTGCCGTACAGACTTCCCAAGAGCGCGAGATCATAGCCTTCCATGATCAACGCGCTAGAGAGTACGACAGACCATCCAACCGCCTTGGGATACAGCTTGATGGCTTGTATCACGGACATGGACTTCTCGTCGGCAGCGGCATGGCGGGCTTCTTCATTTGGAGCGACGAGGTGCCTCGCAATAGGCTGTTCGTTCTTTTGTTCGGCCATGTCGACAACGTGGAAGGAAAACCCTTCGAACAAAGAGCACGGAGGAAATGAGATGGACGTGAAGATGGGATTCAATCAAGGCATCCTGCAGATTTTATATACGTTCAACAGCGGCAAGGATGATCAGTCCCAAAAACAGGCCAGCCGCCTACGACCAGATTTGCGGGTTAGCGAGCCCCTCCACTTGGGACCTCGTCCCCACGAATGCAGCCTGGCATTGCGCGCACCTACCCGGAAGGCGTTCGGCGATGGACAGGTTGCGTGATCCATGACTCCGGTAGTTGGAACATGGAGCGGAGAGAAGTCGGCGACAGTGAGGTCGAGTTAGAGCTTTGGGAGGGAAAGCGGGGCCAAGTCGCAGCGTATCGCAGCCAAGTCGGAGAAGGCGTTAGCGCGCGGGGCAAACTGACAAGGGATCTTGACTCGGGATAGGCGATATTCTCTGTTGAGCTTTGACGACTACCTTTGCCACGATATCCGTTATGGAGACACTGCAGGAACAAGCGCAGATGGGAGGTGCGAAATTGAGCCGGCGTTAGATACATAGAATGCAATGGCTCTCCTGATCTCTGCCCACCTACTCCCTCTTAAGTTCAATTGCTCGCCTCGGCTTAAGTCTTCGAATTGCTCCAGCATCAGCGTTCCCTGCTTCAGTCACATTCTTTGACAGAATCGCCATGTCTCCGCACGCAGATCCTCTCCTCCACAAACGTGTCTGGTGGAAAGAAGCCGCATTTTACCAAATATATCCCGCTTCCTTCAAAGACAGCAACGGCGATGGCTGGGGGGACATCCCCGGTATCCTCGAGAAAATCGCCTATATCGCCTCTCTAGGTGTCGACGCAGTATGGCTATCTCCAATGTTCGACTCTCCGCAGGTGGACATGGGCTACGACATTTCCAACTACGAAGCCGTCTATCCACCCTATGGGACCGTCGAAGACGTGGAGAAGCTGATTGAAGCTTGCCATGCGAATGACATGAAGCTGATTCTGGATTTGGTCGTGAACCACACGAGCGATCAACACGCGTGGTTCAAGGAGAGCAGAAGCTCGAAGGATAATCCGAAGCGCGATTGGTACTTTTGGCGACCCGCTCGATACGATGAGCAGGGGAACCGCATGCCGCCAACAAACTGGCGCGGTTACTTCGCCGGTCCCACATGGACATGGGACGAGCATACGCAAGAATATTACCTCCATCTATACGACAAGTCGCAGCCGGACCTAAACTGGGAGAACGCAGACTGCCGCCGTGCAATATACGACTCAGCAATGCGTTTTTGGCTCGATAAGGGCGTTGACGGTTTCAGAGTGGATACCGTGAACAAGTACTCGAAATACGTCGAATTCCCCGATGCGCCAATAACGGATCCGGCGAGTATCGTACAACCCGCGGCGCAGTTCTGGTGCAATGGGCCGCGGATCCATAAATTCATCAAGGAGATAAACTCCGAGGTGCTATCTAACTATCGCACATACGATGGGCAGCCCGTTGTCACCGTGGGCGAGCTTTCCCTAACGCCAGATGCCGAAGGCGTCCTGCGATACGTAAGCGCGCGGCAGAAAGAGCTAGATATGGTCTTCCAATTCGACATCACGCATCTCGGCCAGGGTCCGCCGGGAAGCGATAGCAAGTACGACTTCACCGAGTGGAAGCTCCCGGAGATGAAGAGGGTCGTCGAGAAGTGGCAGTCGTTCATCGAAGGGACTGATGGCTGGACGACCGTGTTCTGCGAAAACCACGATAACGGAAGAGGTGTTTCGAGGTTCGCCAACGATACCCCCGAGTGGCGGGAAAAGAGTGCCAAAATGCTGGCTCTATGCTTCGCGGCCCAAACTGGCAGCTTGTTCCTCTACCAGGGCCAGGAGATCGGGATGATCAACGCACCAAAGGAGTGGAGTATGGACGAGTACAAAGACGTTGAAGCGCAAAACTACTGGAGGGAAGCTGTGCGGCCATCTGAGGACGGGACAGATCCTACACGGAAGGAGCGTATCCTCCACGGCTTGCAGTTGATGGCACGGGACCACGCCAGGCTACCATTCCAGTGGGATTCGAGTGTGAACGGAGGATTCTCGACTGGGAAGCCGTGGATGCGTGCGCATGACCTATACAAGGAGATCAACGCCGAGGCCCAAGAGAAGGATGCTGATAGTGTACTGTCGTTCTATAAGCGTCTATTTCGGTTAAGGAAGGAGCGCAAAGACGTCTTCGTCTACGGCACATTCGAGCTGCTCGACCCCGAGAACCTCAGTACTTTCGTATACAAAAAGCAGTACCAAGAGAAGACGGCTCTAGTAGCGCTCAACTTCACCACCGAGCCTCAGCCGTTTCCAGCGACAGAAGATATGAGGCTGCTCTTGAGCTCATACTCGAAGACCAGGCCGGACTCTTTGCAACCGCTCGAAGGGAGAATCTATATTAACTACTAGGGGTATCGTAGTTAGTTCCACCTACCAATCAATGGCATGGTATTGTACAGCTCGTCGAATTCTCTGCCGACCCAACCTCCCATCTTGCCAGCTCTTCCTACTATACCCAATCCGCCTGCTAACCACAGACCCGCAAGTGCTGCTGATACCGCGTTGATTCCGTACCACCTCCTCTTCTTGACAAGATGTCTCTTGGAATCCGTGTCCCGCGCGTGCGTAGGCGTGAGTTCTAACCACCTGGCCCAGCCCCAGACGATGTGCCATGCCCCAACTCCCACCAACGCTGTGAATCCTGCAAATGATACAAATGGGTGCAGGGTGAAGCCATGGCTGATGTAGTTGAGACTTATCAGCGAGTTATCCCCGTGCATGTACAAAGGTAATATCCTCGTGGTCCATAGGTGGAATCCCGCCAGCGGAACAAGAGCATATCCCAGTGCGCTTGTCCCGCTCAGGGCCGGCCAAGGTATCGTTCTTCTATCCCGATGTGTCTCCGCGCCGTATCGTTTAAGGGCCTGTCGTCTTCGGTAGAGTCGCAATGCGATGCCGGAGGCCACATGCGCAATAAGCGGTATTCCGACGAGTAAGGGTTCGGTGAGAGAGGACTGGTAGTATGGCCGGGTGAGAAGGAGGTAGCGATTGCTCTCGTGCACGGATTTCGTAAGCAGCGGTATTATCGAGGTGTTTGCGACGTGGAAGGAGGCGAAGACGGTGAAGGCGTATGAGGAGTACTTCTGCACTCGCATAACTGAATATCGTGTTAGCAGCCTACTATACGTGATTATGAAGCTGCAGGTGTACGCACGATAGTAAGCGGGGCCATGTTTCCCTAGGCCGAGCGTCGACGTTCTTGAAGATTGTTGCGGCGCCGGAAAGTAGTCCTTGAATTCCACGGGCGTCTCCTCAACGGGCGATGGTTCCACCTCCGTTAGCCCCATAACGCCGCTCTCTTCGTCTCCTAAAGGAGGGAGAGACTGCTTGTCAGCCATGTTGAACCTCGCTATCGGGTACGTGTCGCGATGCTGACCTTCGGTGTTGATGACGTTGGTTGGATGGACGACTAATGGTCCGTGCGTGATTGGTAGCTTCTTTCCCGTTGCGCTCCATTTGCGAACCATGCCACCACAAAGGCCACTCACATCCTTCGCACAGTTAACTTATAGTCAACTTCTAGTCCGTCGCTATCATTCGCGCAACTCCGCGCATACTCTACTCGTAGGACAAGAACAAAATGCCTCCGGTACAAAACACCCATGCTGCGCTCGAGCACCCACTGACGACCATGCCAGCGAAACGCACCCCTCCCGAACGCCGTCAATCTCTTCCACTGCAGCATATGCGATAAAGGCTATCCGCGGCAAGTCGACTATGAGAATCATCTACGCTCCTACGATCACAACCACCGTCAGCGTCTCGCGGACATGAAGAAGCTCACAGCTTCGAACGAGACCGAGCGTCCAAGCAAAGGCCCGCTCGATATGCGGAGTATACCAATCGAAGAGGCGGGGAAGAAGACTGGCCTGGGGCCGCGGTTCACAAAGATTGGCGGAGGAGCGGCTGCCGCAGGAGGGAGCCGGTTCAAGAAAGTCGGAGTCGCTGTTAGTGGGAGTGCCGGCAACTACGATACAAAGGCTGCCACCGAGCCGGCAAAGGTAGATAACGCAAACCACGTCAAGACGGACAGTGCAAAGAAGGTTGAATTAGGTCCCCTTGAGAAAGAAAACAAGGCCCCAGATACTAACGCGGTCCCTGAACAGCAGGCAGAGCCCAAGAAGGACGAAGACATTCTCATGAGCGAAGCTGATGACCGGGAGACCGTCGCCTGGGAGCCATACGACTTCACCAAACCGACTGGATGCCCCGACCACGCCAATTGCCCGGGTTGCAAAACGAGTGGTTTCAAATATGACGAGGACGGATGGCTCATACTTGATGATGCCTAGGGTATTTAGCAGGCAACAGAAGATATCGATCGGTGGAATCGGTTGAACGACCTTCTGCATTATAAAGCATGATGATTGCAAAGCACCATGCGCGGCACCATGACACAAGGCTTTGAGAACCGATGAAGAGCGTGCGGGAAACAACGCTCCGGCTCTTCATGAGCCTACGTGAGTATTCTTTCTTCCCCCATGCTATGCATGAGAATGTCTCAAATAGCTGAATATAAATTTACTACGTGGTTCCCTCAGCACACCGCTCTCACAATTTCCCCTTTCTGGTCTATAAAATCTTTGTTTCCCTCTTATACTCTTCCGAGGGAATGGCTAACCAGCAACGCAGGATGGCTCCAAGCTTAGAAAACGAACTTTCCGAAGAGGACAAGAAATGTAGAAAACATCACAACACCCTCATCCAACTCTTCAAGGAGAAGACAGAGCCTTATAAAGCAGCGTGTACCGCCTTCATCAGCGCCCTCGCAGACCCGGAGCTCGATCGCCTTGTGGGAAGGACGTGGAGTGAAGGCCTCAGTCGCCCAGTCCGAGAGAAAATCAGATTGCTCGTGGACTGCTCCATGGACACCCCAGATCTGGGCGCACTCTGGCCAGCGAACGGGTACCTCGAAAATTACTCTATCGAAGACATTAGCGAACAGACCGGAGAAATATATGTGTGCGCGGATGTCTCGAGACAAAATCGGGCGCAGGTGTTGGAGCTCATGTTTGAGGATTACATCGCGGAGGATAAAAGGGACAGGGAGGCCTGTAAGCGTCGTTGAGGCTGGACTAGGGCTTTGAGATTATGCTTTCGATATGCAGTCAAGAGAAGGCGCGATGAAGAGAGAAAGTGGACGGCATCTGCTACGAACAACATGATGAAGAGGACAACTATGAGTCACGCATCGAATGCATCGTCTGCACATGCTCATTGTTAGATTGATGACATGGCCTTTTAGAAGGCGCCTTGTATGCACCGTTAGCCGTTCATCTGTCTTTCCTGGTCACTGAGCAGAACAGTTCTCTGCGCTTCACTCCGCCTCGTAAAACGGAGTGACCGACCAATCCAATCTATCCTAACTCTCCCCCTTCTCACCGCCGTCCCAAATCGATATCCAGCACTTGAACCAACTCCCCTTCCCCACCTTCTTTCCCACCATCCAGCCCGAAGAACGGCGCCACCGCTTTATCTACAACTCCCTCAAATAGCCGTCCCACTAAATCCTTGAGTTCATCTCCCGTTTGCCGAAAATCCGGAAATGCGTTAACCTCTAACAACCACGCCCTCAGCTCCCCATCCCGTTCAACCGAGACCATGAAATCCAGCCCAAAGAGCTCGAAGGCGTTGGGAAGCGGCTGGAAGTGTATTGACATTGAGCGGGCGGCGGCTTCGAACACTTCGCCTGTCACGGCGCAGATCTGTTTGAAAATGGTGTCTTTCCACTTTTCGTCTGCGGAGACGCGGGCGGTTTGCTCGATGGAGTCCGAGGACGTCTGGGGCGGTATGGTATGCGGAAGTTCCCAAAACAATCCCACGCTTCCCTCGCGCTCGTTGCTCTCTTGAAGACATGTGTTTGTTAGGTGCCCTTTCATAGCTTCTTCCATGTCGTCCTGTAAATCGGCGCCCCAGGGCGGCACATACGGCCGCGCAGCGAACAGTGCGAGCATAGGTTTGTAGACATATATTTTCAGCGCGTCGACGGCGAGGACGTAAGTCCGGATGTGGAATTTGCGGAGTGCTTGCGTTGCGTCGCCAGAGCCGGCGTCTGGGCCTGTTGATGGAGGGTAGAGGAGCAGTGGTGGGTGGATATAAGGCTGCACGATGAAGTGCCGGAGCTGCGAGGTGATGATGTCTTTGCCCTCCTCTTTCTTGCGCTCTTTCTCTTCTCTTTGCGCTAACATAGCGGGGGAGCGGGATGGCGAACTCTCCGCGCTGGGCGTAGCTTCCTCGTCCTCTTCCTCGTCCTCGTCCTCCTCGTCCTCCTCCGGATCCCACTCCTCAAAAATAGCACTCAGTTCCTCCTCGCAAGAGAACAGCCTAATGCCCTGCCCCCTCTCGCTCATCCCCGGCTTCAATATCCACCACTCCCTCTTCTCGCTCCCCCTGCCCGCCCCTCTCTCCCAGCTCTCTTTCAGCTCCCACGCCTCCACTAGTGCATCGTCCAGAAACTCCGCATAGTCAACCTCAAACTCCACGCTGGGCTTGACATGCCGCTGGAGCAGGGAGTCCGGATACTTGGTGATCCAATTCGAGATCGTAGTTGAGAGGTAGTGTTTCCGGATCAGCGCTTTGCGGATTATGTAGGCGTTTGCTAGGGAGGTTGTGGGGTGCGAGAGCAGGTGGTCGAAGGCGACGGATTCGTATTGGAGGAATTGGAGGAGTGGAGATTCAGGAGAAGGTAATTCAGCTAGCGAAGAAATGAGGCGGTAGGATGAGGCTGGGAGGCGCTTCTCCAATGCGGATAGAATCAGTGGCTGCACGTAGGGGTCTTCGTAGTTTACGAAGGCATAGAATTTTGGGTCGGCGTCGGAGTTTTTGGTGGCCATGATCGCAATAATACTCCGGGTATATCCCTCCTTAGTCCTCGGCTCTTAATTCCGCTTTCCTAAGGCAGGTCTTCAATTGATTCCTGTCATTGATATCAGATTAGGCACGGTGCGAAGGATTGGACCTTCAATTGGGCGGACCAACAAGCGTCTCTACGGCTGAGATGATGCAAAAAGACCAGAAAGTAAGAGGAAAAAGGATTTGGTCCTTGGAGGTCTCTTCACATTTAAACACTAAGAAAGTCGTTTTGTAGTTGAGGTATCCAAAGACCGCAAAGAGAAATTCGACCTTCACTCGCTTAGAATTCCCGAATTTACTCCATCCAATCAGAAGGCTGCCTGTTCAACGCCCATACCATCCTGTCCCATCGTGGCTCCTCTGACAAAAGAGAAAAGTGGATATCATGTGAATCAAACAACTTCCAAGTCATCGTCTTCGTCCATAGCGGCGATCAGTCCAACGTCAAGAGTGCCCAGGCTCTCCCTGCCCGGCTCGCGGATGCCCTTCTCGGGGAGAAGCAGGCGAGCTTTCTTCTTTGCTGGACTGGTCTCTCGTGTCTCACGAGACGGGCCGGTATCCTTCTTGGGAGAGAGCAGCAGGCCGCGCTTGAATGCTCCGCCCCAGCCGACGGGATCGCTCGACGATGTCGACTTTCCAGAAATAATGCGCTTCCTCTTAACATGCCCAAGGGAGACATCCTCCGCTTTCCTTCCGAGCAGTCCTAGGGTATCATCATCTAAAGTTTTCTCTTTCCTCGTGTTGAAAGGATCTTCTGCTGCGGCACCACCTCCAGCTGCAAGATTTGGTGTATCAGCGCCCTTGAATTTCATGTAGTCACCCCCAGCGCCACTGCCAATCTCGCCCAGCCTCTTCGCGAGCTCGCGTTCCTTCTCTTTCTCAGCAAGCTGTTTGCGATGCCTCTCGGCTCGAGTCGTGTGCTCCCAAGGCTGTTCGTCCCGATCCAGAAGTCTTGCCGCGCCGCCAGCCGAGGGGGCGATGTAAACCGTTTCGTGCAGAAATCGATCGTGGAATTTGCCCTCTCTCCTCAAATCATCATCTTTTTTGAGGCCGCCACCTCTGCCACCACTGAACATCCCTCCCTTCCCACCAGGTCCTTTGCCGAAGCCTGTCATGGTGTTGACCTCCATGCGTCCTCGCTTGCTCTTCTCGACCTGCAGCTCAATATGAAAGTCGCAGAACTCGGTTTTGCGTCCGTCAATCCACTGGCCGCACTCTTTGCCGTCTTTTCGCATGGCATGGCAGAAGTCCAGGTCCCTGGCAATACCTATCTCGAGAATGGTGTCGTCAGAGCTTGCGAGTTTGAGAGAGAATTTGCCCGTGTCCCTGTTACGGGGCGGCATAATGTCCGGATTGAGTATTGCGACCAGCGTTCCTATTGGAAGTTTCCAGAACTGCGAGAAGCCAGTATCAAAGAGGAAGAGGTCGAGTTCCCATTTCAGGTCTGTAAGCCGAATGACCATGAACTTGTTCGTCTGATTCGCATCCATATCTTGATTGCCAGCGGAGCGTTCTCGAACAGCGCTTTTTGGTGTGAGCGGTGAGGATTTGGATGCTATAACCCCAAGAACAACATAGTCATTCTCCATATCCGGCGGCTCGTAGTCTGGCGCTTTGACAGTCTTCAGGAGCTGTGGTATCGTGACGACAGTCTTGCCTTCCAAAGTACGCGTTATGACGTTGTGTTGCATCTCACGGGACTTCAAGTGAAGACCGGAGAATGATTCGAAGCTAGGCGCATCTGTGCCGTCGTCTCGTTGAGAGATCTCCGCATACTTGGACGCGGTAGCTGTGGCGCCAAAGCCCTTGGAAGAAGCTCTTGAAGACGTGGACGGTGTGTATGAGCGCTCTGACCTTGCGGAAAGGTTCGAGCCTGGCCGTGGTGTCGCGGTGTTGCGGAGGTCACTGACAGATTTACTCTGTGCTCTGTCTAGATGTCTCCCAGATAAAGCCGTATCCTGTGAGCTCCTGGTTCCCGCGCTCAGCGAAGAGCCCGTCCGTGACTTCGGCCCGTCCTTCAGGCCTTCAATGTTGTGTAGTCCGAAACCTCGACTCCTGCTCTTATCGATCCTGGCCTGCTTCTCCTCCCGCTCTTTCTCCTTATTTCTGCTTTCCGCTATTCGTTCGCTGAATGACTTGCCTCGCGGTGCTTCTGTTGTCTTTGTTGAGCTCGCTCGTGACAGCCCCGCCGATGCCCCCCCAGCTTTGCCCCTAGCAGAAAAGCTCGCCGCCCGCTTAAGGCTAACATCTTGCGCTCTGAGTCCCTTATCGATTCCCAGCCGGACTCGTGCGGGACTCTTCTGCTCCTCCTGCGCTCTTCGATTCCGTGTAGGCGAAACCGGCACCTGAACCTCAGACTGTGGTCTCGGAAGCTCTACCCTCCGCAGACTGGCCGCTGTCCCGGGCCTCGAAGTTGTGCCAATACTGTCGCCTTCTCCATCTTCTGTAGCTTTCCGCGCCTTCTGCAGCTTCTTCAGCTTCAACCTCGCTTCAATGGCCTGGAGCTGCAGCTGCAGCGTCTCCTCATCTTCCTCCTCTTCGTCGTCGGATTCCGGCTGGGCGCGCGATAACGGGCGGCGCTTGATCGGCGAGGGAGACACGGAGTTGCGCTCACGCTGTTGTTGGTACTTCCGGCGGCCAGAAGGCGAGCTCAGTAGAGCTTCGCGCGGGGATCTCGGCGGCCAGTTCTGCTGTTCTTTCTGCACTACCAAACTGTCAGCACGTAGGTAACCCATAAGCGCGCAGAGAATACCCACCCCTAGACTTAGGGCTCTCCCTCACGATCATCGTGGTGGAGTTGGAGGGCGGTGTCTGGTCTCTACAGCGCCCATATCCGCGCCAAGACCGTTGAAAACAAACTCCAAAGATAAGAGTGACTCGGAAGTTGGCGCAAAGCGAGCGGTTGGCGCGTGGGAGAGCCGCTGTGGACGTGTGTTGACTCCGCAAAGCGTCGAAATAAGGTTGCCCTCCAAATCTGAAACTGACCAGGATGACGCGCTTGTCATTCCGACGACGCGTTCCGTTCGCGCACTAACGGACGCGATGTCCAGCCCATTTCACTACCCATCTTCTTGGGCACAACTTTTTTTTCGCGCATTCTCTACTGTATAGGCATTCGGGGTCTCAATTGAGTAGTTTAACGCAGCAATGGCTCGTACTCGATCCAAACCGAAGGCCAAAGCGACCAAGGAGAGCACCCCAGAACCGCCGACTTCAAATGCCAAACCGCTCCTACCCAGCACTTCAAACCCTCCGAAGTTATTTGTCCTACCGAAAGACACGTCGAAAGATGCGCGCATAGTCACATTGGACAACCCAGCAAGCGGTGTGCCCTCTCGGTATTACTTCTGCCCGGACAAGGGCGTCCATGAGTTCACGCGCATTGCGGCGCCGAAGAAGGCTTGCAGGAGTTGGCTTATAACGCCAGAGAAGAGCTCGGGTAGCAACGAAGAGGAAGAGGAGGGGCACGATGGTACCGGCATTGGTAGTGGATATGTCACAAAGGCGGCAGATCTATTCGTCGCTACACCTATTGATCTGATGTTCCTCCTCCTGCCAGTCCTAGCCCCGAAGAATGCAAAGGAGACGAAGCAACATTTCCTAGCGCTGGATGACCATCTGGATAATCTTTCATCTTCCTCGCGGCATTGGAAGGTCTTATTGGCGCAACATCCAACACTGAAGGCCATGATAGGGAAGAGAATGGGAACAGTGTGCGACACAGTAGACGCCGGCGACGAGACCATGTATCGGCTATCGCACGGGAAACTGCTAGCCATGCTGTTGAAAAAGGCAGAAAGAATGTGCAAGAACGGGCTGCCTCAATCCATGGAAGAGAAGTTCGTCAAGACAGCGCTCGAAGTACCTGTCATGAACATCAAGCGCGAGGAGAGCACTCTCAGCGTAGTGTCCGACACGCCTTCGATGCCTACAGAGGATTCACAGGTATCTGTCTCGACGCCGTCAACGAGCGTAGAGTCGCAGCTGTCGACTACGACATCCATGGACTCCCAAACCAGCACCGAGACCGCCGCAACCAGCGTGTCGTCTACAGAGGAGATCGTCTCGAAACCCGCCCTACAGACTCCACCCGAAGTCCCTCACCTTCTCCGCCTGCGCACCGCCTTCACATATCTCCTATGCTCCTACGTCCCACAAACCCTGCGGCCGTCTCTTCAAGAGTTGTTAAAGTCCAGCACAACCCCCTCCTTCACCCTCCTCGACATGCATCTCTCGGCCATCGCCAAACTTCGGGCCGAGGCGATGGCCTTACGCTCCATTTCCGACAACATTAGCCGCAAAAGAGTACTAGAAGAAGACGAGGAGAAGATGGCTGAGCGCGAAGAAAAGAAGCGCAAAAAAGAGGAGGATGAGAAAAAGAAGAAAACTGAGAGTAGAGGCATCAAGCAGCTGAAAAAGGCGGATACGAGTGGCATGAAGAAGTTGAGTGCTTTCTTTGCCAAGGCGCCGAAGAAGGGTTGAGGTGCGGTGCTGTGTTGTGCTGTGCATTGCTTTGGATGAAAGGACAGGCGTCTGGAGTTTACGGGCAAGGCCCAAGGTGTTGCGAGTACCAAGGACATCACATCACTGGACGATACCGGCTTAATAAAACAGCGACTTTTAAAGAATTTTCAGATTTTCAGATCATTTGGCCATTTTGCCGATCGCACTGAGCGTGCGAGCTACTTGGGTTTCTTACCTTTGCTGTTCCCAGTTGAATATCCCACCACGAGATCCTCGACAGGCGCACGGGAATAGTATGTGAATACAGTCAGAGCGCATCCACGCCATTCCACGCACGCATTGAGAGACAGGACCGGAAGACTGGGCCCAGCCGCACTATTCGCGCAGCTCAAGTTGCAGTAAAGGATGAGCGGAAGCCGTCCCGTACCATTGAGACAACTCCTCTGTGTAAAGGCGATAGGAGTCCGAGGCCGGACAACCGCCCAAGATGAGGTGAGCTTGAGACAGCCCAAAAATCCGTCCGTCCGTCGAAGGGAGAATCGGAAAAAAAGCAATGTACAATGGTCAGTCCACCGCGAAAAAAATTAAGGGTATCCAGCAAGCCTGAGTATGCAAAAAGCAACACCCAGCGCCCACTTCGCACCCTCTTATTACAAACGCAGAAGGTGTCAACCAAAGGTAGTGCTCATGCAGTCGTAAAGTCGTCCAGCCCATATAACGCCGGTCCGTGGTAGTATGCAAAGGGTTTTGTGAGACAGACAACCCGAAAAGTAGAAACCTCTCAAGCAGATGCAAACGCAACACACTGCATCAGCGGGCTGTTGCCGCGTCAGAAGTCGTCAATAGACATGGCAGAGGAAGGCTCACTCCGCTCACTCCGAGCTCGCTTGTCGGCGGTGCTCTCCAGCGGCGGGCCGCTACGCTTCTTGCTGTCGCGCGTAGAGCCGCTGCTCCTAGCGGGCTTGACCCGGCTCCAGGAATCGAAGGAGATTTCTGTAAATTGTCAATATCTTGCTCATCCATGATTGGTGGGGCATGCTTACGTCGCTTGACCCGGGTCGTTGGCGGTGGAGTGGCCTCCTGCGTAACAGAGACACCACTCTCAGCGGTCTTGCGCGTCTTGCGGCTTGGAGTGGCAATCGGGACCTCGATATCCGTGATCGCTTCCTCGTCGTCGTCATGGCCATTCTCCCGCTCTCGTTGCTGAATTTCCTCCTGGAACAGAAGACGCGGCTTGATTTGGGCGCGCGTAAGAGGGCGATGGGCGACGGCGCCGGCTTTGTGGCGTAGCTCATCTCCAGAGAACTCGGGTTCTTCCTCTGAGGCATTGGAACGCGGAGTATTATGGAACTTGCGGAAGACCTTCTTGCCACGGCTATAAAGAGTTAGAAGACGTTATTTTTGCAACGTGTGAACGACTTACAAAAGATAAACCATTCCCTCGTCGCGCTCGACCGCTTCATTCATCCTCGCTGTCTTTGCATCCACCTTGCGCGGCTTAGGCGGGGCCGCTTTTGCCTTTCCTTTGCCCTTCTTCGTGACAAACGGATTATCTTCGTCTGCATCGCGAGTGGGAATGCGCTCCTTCGAATCAGTGAAGACCTCAATGTGCTCATTGGCCTCCTCCATTCGCTCAGCGAAACTCTCTAGCGTATAGGCGTCCTTTCTGCTCTTGCGGCCCTTGCGCGGAGAAGGCATGGCCTCCTCGATGGTAGCGGGGCGATTCGGAAACAAGATGCGCGCGGTGGAGCCCAGAGTCTCTTCTGATTGCAGAGCGCGTTTGCGCGGTGTCTTGGCCGGCGTTGGGAGCATGCCGTGAGGCGCCATGGTTGTGAGGTAGCGTCGCGCAGGCGTGGGGGCAACGTGATCTGAGTCAGAATCAATTGCGCCGTTGTCGAGGTGGGAGCGACGCGATGAGCGAGGCGAGTGGTGCTTAGCCGGAGAAATAGGTGAAGATGGCGGGGACAGAGTCAAATTGGAGGTGCGGGTGGCTGGCTTTTTCCTGGAGCTCGAGGGAGTCACGTCGCGCGTTGTGCGTCGGCGGGTTGGGGACGATTGTTCGTGGTGAAGGTGTTGTTGCGCGGCAACCCGGCTCGACCGGCGTGGTGAAAAGGGCTCGTAGCTGTCGTACTGTGGGCCGTGAAGTGGAGCCGGCGGCGTGTGCAGCCGGCGCGGAGGGGACGGCGTCCTCTCCATCTTGAACGGCGTCTCCAGCGGGTTGGGAATAGGGGGCAGCTGCGAGTGGGTTGGAGGTGGAGGAGGAAAGAAGTTAAGAATCAAGTTCCAAAATCAAAACAAGGTGACTCTTATACGCTACCCCACAGCAGGCCCGAATGCCCGCCCAGAAGCGCAATTGGATAGGAATTATGGCCTGACGGATAGTTTTGTGCGATAAGTGAGTGGTGAGCGCGGGCGCGGTGGTGGTGAAGCGTAGAAATGGAGCCTCAACGTCGTGGTGAAGGAGGGAGGTTGGTCCCAGCCATGTTCTTGGCAGGAAGGCGCAAGGGCCACCACGACAACAACAAGCTGCAGCTCCGCACGCACTCCGCCCGGCCCCTCCGTCAAACACGTCAAACACGCCAACGCACGTCACACATGCCGCGTCGCTGTCGCTGCTGGAGTCAATTCGTCTGAAAGCTGTTTTGCACCCCAAAGTCACAACAACCATGGATCCGCCAAATATGGGCGACCTCTCTCTCTCCGATTCGGATACAGACGCGTTATTCGACACTCCAGCGGCGCGAAAGAACAAGAAGAAAGCTCAAGAAGGCGGCACGGACGCGGGGGAAGGAGCAGCAGCCGGAAAGACGCGTACAAAGGAGTCGCATTATACGACTGAGGAGGCTCGCGAGGCTGCACTGCGGAAAGAGCTGGAAAGCGTGCGCAATGTCAACAAAGTCATTGAGGGCGTCGTTGAGAGCCTGCAAAAGGCGAGAAACAACATGGACGTAAGCATTAGCTAGAATGACACTACACTGAGATATCCTGCTGATTTGGAGCCAGACTGTTTCCCGCACTGTCCACAACGCATCAACCCTTCTACAAACGTGGACGCGCATCCTTTCACAGACTGAGCATAACCAGCGCCTCATTCTAAACCCCCAATGGCAGGGAGCATCCCAAGACCTGATCGATATTCAGGAGGACGAGATACAGCGGCAGCAGGCTGCAGAACGCCGAGTAGCCGAAGAGCAGGCAAGAAGGGAGGCTGCCGCCCGAAAAGCAGAAGAGGATCGCAGAAAGGCAGAGGCAACTGCAAAATCTGGATCACGAGGCAGGGGCAGGGGCAGGGGCGGAGCGCGACCGCGAGGGACATCAACTTCAAGTTCGGGCTATGTGGGTGTGGGCGGGCAGACCGGGCGAGGGCTCAATCGCAGCGGATCAACAAGCAGCCGAGCCGGCAGCGGCATTGGGCGCGGGTTGCGTGGGAGAGGCAGAGGACTGGGCTGAGCGAGGAACTCAGCGTCGCTCAGGTGACAAAAGAGCGAGGCGACATTGGCGATTAGACACCTCAAGTGCCATCGTCGGTACCCAGATAGTTTCCGAGGTCCGCCCCAGATCGCGTGCTCGAAACCCATCTCGGTGGAGCGACCGCTCGATGTCGCACTCAGATTCCAAGGTTTCTTTGCGGACTTCAAGACGATGCGCAGGCGGCTCAACAGGACCGCTTCCGCTGTTCCTTTCCTCCCGGATACGATTCCGAAACGGGAAGGCCCCACCTAGGTAGCTCAGTAGCTCCCCGCTATTTCACACCACAGCTTCCAGTATTTGCTGCGTGCGCACAGCTATATCAAATTTTCCTCCTCAACCTTGCTTCCGCTCCTCTTCTCTTACTTATGAGAACTACTTTTGGCTTCTGGATTGTCTCAGGTTAAAAATATTCTAACGCTACGATGGAAGTTCCGACAGCAGCCTCATTACGCGACATCTACACCGAGGACGCGGTGCCGGTGCAGGCGAAGCGGTGGGAGAGCTTGCTGGCAAAGTTCAAGGAGACCTATGGCAAGCGGGCGGACTTCGTGGCAAGGAGTCCAGGGCGCGTCAACATCATTGGCGAGGTGCGGTCGCGCGTTCTGTAGCATTGTAATGTATTGGAGCTAACAATTGACAGCACATTGACTACTCGCTCTATGAAGTGCTACCAATGGCTATTACCTCCGACTTCATCATGGCTGTAGCTGTCCGACCCGCCGATGAGAAGCCGCGGATACGGATCGCGAACATACAGTCCCAGAAGTTCCCCTCACGAGAATTCGAGATTCCTGCCGAAGGAGACATTCCTATCGACGCTTCGGAGCATGAATGGACAAACTACTTCAAGTCGGGTTTGCGAGGAGTTTCTCAGCTGCTCGAGAAGAAGCAAGGCAAACACTTCGTCACCGTGGGCATGGATATCCTGTGCGACGGAACTGTGCCGAGCGGTGGTGGGCTTTCAAGCTCAGCAGCTTTCGTGTGCACAAGCTCGCTGGCAGTCTTGACCGCGAATGGCGAAGACAAAGTCGACAAGAAAGAGCTGTGCGAGCTTGCTATTGTGTCCGAACGCGCTGTGGGTGTCAATTCGGGAGGGTAGGTGTGCCGCATCTTTGTTTGCTGGCAGAGCTAATTGGAGCCCAGCATGGACCAGGCAGCCTCAGTCTTTTCGCTCCGCGGCACTGCTCTTTATGTGACATTCAAGCCAAGTCTCGACTACACTGCAATCGAATTCCCGCAGACGGATCCCGAACTTACCTTCGTCACAGCCCAGAGCTTCGTAGCAGCAGACAAACACGTCACAGCACCTGTCTGTTACAACCTACGTGTTGTAGAGTGCACTTTGGCCGCAGCGTTCCTGGCGAAAGCGTTCGGTCTGAGGCGCGAGCTGCCAAAGGACTCATCACCGCTGGGCGTCAGCCTACGAGGCTTCCATGATACCTTCTTCGAGGAGAAGGAAGGGGTTTCTGACAACACGAAGACTTCGGTCGCCGATTTCAAGGTCCAGCTCCAGAAGCTAATTCAACTGACGGAAGACTATCTACCACAAGAAGGAGGCTATTCAAGAGGCGACATCTGCGGGCTACTCGGCATCTCAGAGGAGGAACTAAACCAGCGGTACATGTCGAAATTCCCTGTGCGTGCAGAGAAGTTCATGCTCCGACAACGCGCGCTTCACGTTTTCACCGAGGCTCTGCGCGTTATACAGTTTCGAGAACTACTCTCTTCGCCTCCAAAGGACGGTAAAGAATTCATCAAGTCGCTTGGAGATTTGATGAACGAAACGCAGACTTCGTGCCGAGATGTCTACGACTGCAGTTGCCCGGAGCTTGATGAGCTGTGCGACCTTGCGCGCGCTGCGGGTTCATGCGGAAGCAGACTGACAGGAGCTGGATGGGGAGGATGCAGTGTACATCTAGTGCCCAAGGATAAGGTTGATGCGGTCAAGAAGGCATGGGAGGAGAAGTACTACCGGAAGAAGTTCCCCGACATCACAGCCGAAAAGCTGCAAGATGCCATCGTTGTCAGCAAACCCGGTAGCGGTAGTATGGTTTTCAAGGTCGTTGGGGATAAGGTCGTATAGGGAAAAGACACTTTGAGGAACAGAGGCGTTTCGGTATATATTTGGAGAGGTCATCTCATAGGGCAATGCCAGCGTGACACCAATCTTTCCGCGGAAAGAATCGCCTGCACAATGAATGGTCATCGACTGGAGCGACATCGGCCGTCCTTCCTAGTCGTCGGGTTAACACTGTCTGACCAACACAATGTCTTTGATGCCGGCATACAGTTTCACAATGTCAATATTCACATACAACTCAAATATCAGCGTGAGCCCCTTCAATTTTCAAAACAGACATTTGCTGGCAGATTCAAACATTCACTCTTAGGGTTCTTTTCGATACCACGGCCGTCCTTCGAGAGCTCAAAGCTTCAAGCAATTCTGATGTGCATTTTCAATTACAACATCTACAGCTGCGGCCATACAGAGTATCACTACGGTCGAGCAACGACGACATCCTGCACACAAGAGCGCGTCTGTGAGCTACCAACATTTGAAAATATGGGCGAGGATCAATATCACCTCCTGTACGAAGCGCAAGTGCGGACGGCCATCTGCGCCATGTGTGACGCCGGGGACGCGGACTTGCGAACGGACCCTTATCTAAAGAACCTACAAGGCATCGCCTTTCTCCTAGAACAGGCCCTAGAAGAGCTTCAAGACTCACAGAGTGCAACCGCAAGCCGGGCGAGAGAAGTGGTCTGCTTGTTGTCACGTATGTCCAACGCTTACTGGGCAAGCGGCGAATCCAGGCCTGATCGAGAGGAGATGCGTATGTACGTTGCCTATGCGACCAATTGTGTCGAGAAGGCGAGGGCGGCACATAAACCGGAAAAGGTCGGCGTACCACATGTCCTCCGTCCTCCTGCTTCCGCCAACGAAAACGCGAGGTGCTTCGAGCCTTTTACAAGAGCCTTCAGTGAAGATTCGATTGAACGGCAACTGTGCCACCTTGTTCCGCAGATGTCGGTTGTGGAAGCTGCGCGCGAGCCGCTGCTAATGCATCGGGCAGTCTATGCACCCGTACAGGCCGTTCGATTGCCTTCGGTATCGGCCCAGGAAGATTTCATGAGACACATGGTTCTTTCCCGCGATTGCGAGCCGGCCTTGTCAGAAGACGGCGAGTCTTCCATCATTACTGATCCGTTTATGGAGGACCTCTCTTGCCCGGCTTCCCCCACTCTCTCGACGTGGTCGAAACCCTTTGCCTCGGAGGACTCAGCTCCCAAGACGTATTTCTTCGGACGAGACAATTGGGATTGCGATTTCTGCGGACCGGAGTGCTTTTGCGCCGACTTATACGACTAATAATGCAGGCTCTTTCAGGCAGGCCATCTCAATTCAATTTCAGGTTAGTGTACATACCATCTAAATACGTGCTTTAATGTGATGCTGGCCTTTCTGTTTCTCTTCCAGAGCAAGTACAAGCCGCGTCGATGGAGCGGATTTGTGAGTGCGTCCACATCATACTTTGACTTCTGAAGGAGCATTTAGTCAAGGTTAGGGGACTGAAGCCTTTCGGGAGTTGTGCTACTTAGATCGGCGTACGTAAAAGGACTGTCTTAGATACACACTCTGACCGCAACTTCAGTTTTTCAACCTTCTCGTCGGCTGTTAACCCTTTGAGCTCCAGCGCGGTGGGTACGGCTTGCACCGTGGCCTAATGCCATGATGCGCCCCAACGTCTCCTGCTTATTGAGCGCACGGAAGGCACGAACGTGCGTGTACATCGTCTCCATCAACGCTCTTTCCTCTCATGTTGAACCAATCGACGACTTCCGAGGTTCCTCTTCCTTGCTTCTTCTTTCGTCGCACTTTCTACGCAGGACTCAGCAACAAGACGGCAGTTTCTTGCGCTATTTTCGCCCGTTCCGGTACCAATCAACCGCTTCAATTTTCTGCGGTGCAACACAGAGATCACTTCTTCTTTCTAGATCATCGGAGAAATGGAGCATGGCAATCACGACAAGCGTTTACCGTTGGGAGGGAAGCAATCCCGACTATTGAACATGGAGACGAAGGTGGATAGGCTGCGGGATGCCTTGGGTGGACCCAAATCGACTCCGAAACCTGTCCTCGATCATGATCCGATCGACCGGCCGCTCACCGACGTTTCTTCCGGCTATGATAGCGACACCAGCTCTATTGCGGATATCCTCCAGTTCGACGGCGCGGGCGGCAGCAAGCAGGAAGGAGGTGATTCAAACGACACCCGACGCAGCGGTATGCGCAAGAAGATGCACAACCTCAAAGAAAAACTCAGTCCCAAGAAATCAAACAAGGAAGGGAACAAGTCCGACGCTGAGGACGAAGTCGACGATACATCTCCCATGAGAGTCGTATCTCCAAGGGCAACCGATGCCGTCTCTCCTGAGTCCCAACCTCGTCGATCTTTCTCGATGCGTCGACGGTCTCGTGGATCTAGGTCCGCTTCTGTTGGGAATGTGATGGCGCCGCCCAGCAGAGCTCAAACGCAGGAGCCTCTCGGTTTTGCGCCCATCTCTACGCAGAGTGTGGTTCCAGCCGCTACTGGGACGCCACTTTCATCGCCGACGCGGCCGCGGCACGGAAGTGCGATCAGGACACCGCCTTTACTTCCGCAGTCACCTAGTCGCCTGACGGCGCTTTCGAGTCATCCAGTGACGCCGGACGATTTAGATATTGAAGGCCCTTCGACTTACCACACGCCGGGGAGTTCAATTGGCGGCAAGGAGGATGGTAATTAGGTGCAGGAATATTTGAAATAATGGACCGACCAACCCAAGGCGTCGTACCGTTCTTGTATCAGTCTATCCCCCGGTATCTCCACTTACAGCATTGCTGCTCCCTAAAGCTCTTACGGAGGTATCTTATAAAGAACTGTGCAGTACCTATAGCATGTCAGATACATTTCTCTATCTATGTGCTGAATAATTCTCGCGCGTGTAGTATTAATGCTTCGTGAGACATATATTAGCGATCCCCCCGTATGGATACATACAGTTACAGTCAAAGGGGCATATGTGCAGATTCCTTCTAATCTCTTCGCTCCTATTTCTTCGTCGGTGGCGTCCACCTACTCAACGCGCCCAGATCCGCACACATGCTAACTTGCTTCACTACGTCCTTCCCCTCCTCCTTCGTGGTAACGCCGAGCTTTGTCAGTGGCTGAAACGGCAACCTTCCCATATCTTTCTTCCTCAGCTTCTTCCTATCCAGGAACACTGCATGCCATCCCGCTGCCTCGGCGCCAAAATAGTCTTTTTCTAGCGAGTCCCCAACATAAAGCTTCTCGAAGTCGTCAATGGATTGCTCTTCTGCACCCTGGCCATCCTCGGCTAACGTCTCCTTGAGCATCTGCGTCGCGGCTTCGAAGATCCGGCGATCGGGCTTCTCGTACCCGACGTCGTAGCTCAGCACCACGAAACTAACATCGTCTTGAACCGTAGCGTCTGCGCTGCGTTCAGCAGAGCTGTCCACCCGGCGCGGTCCGACTTTCAAGCCAAACGACTCCAATATGGAAGATACGCGATCGTCCGAGTTAGTGATGATGCCAACGACCGTCTTCTCCCATTTCCAGGGTGGGTGGATGGTGCGTTGCATGGACGGGCTTTTCAGCATGCGGAAGAAGGGGATGACGTCCGGATACATGTTATATCCTTCCGAGGTGGTGTAGCGGGTTAGCAGCTCGGAGACGAGCGCTTGAGGGACTTCTTGGTCGGGCTTGAGGAAGGGCTTGAAGGTACCCGTGATCACCTGCGCATGCGATCAGCGATAGGTTTTGGAGAAAATGTTACGAGGGGAAGTACGTTCGCCCACCACCTCTCGGCTCCCAGCCCCGTGGCTTTGCCATAATTTGGATTCTGCTCCGCCTCCTTGTCGAATGCTTCAGTGAAAGAATCCCTCACGCTGCCGCAGGTGATCCCGTGATGTGAGGCGGCAGCGGCGTATGCCTCCGGGATGCGCGCATTCGGTGTATACAGCGTTCCGAATGCATCGAATGCTAACAGCAGATTCTTTTTCCGCGCTAATGGTCTTGTTGATTGCATGGTTGATTGAGGTTAGGATGGAGAGCTGGGGTGGTGTTAGTGGTGCCGAAAGGAGCTAGTGGCCTGAGCTCCTAGCTGTGGTACGGACACATTTCTGGACTTCACGAACGTCGCTCAATTGCACCGCAGTCGCTCGTTCAACAACGCAACAGGCAAGATGGCGAAGCAGTCGAAAGACAAGTACTCGGTCCTCCTGCCGACCTATAATGAGCGCCGAAATCTGCCTATAATAACATGGCTACTCAACAAGACGTTCACTGAGAAGTACGAAGCACCCCTTCGCTCCACCACAACTCCTAATTCTAACACAATGACAATAGTAACCTCGACTGGGAACTCATCATCGTCGACGACGGCTCCCCCGACGGCACCCAGGAAGTCGCCGCCCAACTCCAAAAAGCCTACTCCCCCGAACGCATTCAGATCCGCGCCCGCGCCGGCAAGCTCGGCCTGGGCACCGCCTACGTACACGGCCTACAGTTCGCGACGGGCAACTTCGTCATCATCATGGACGCGGACTTCTCGCATCACCCCAAGTTCATCGCAGAAATGGTGCGCGTACAGAAGAGCAGGAACTACGATATCGTTACGGGGACAAGGTACGCGGGCAATGGAGGCGTGTATGGCTGGGATCTGAAGAGGAAGTTTGTGTCAAGAGGGGCGAATCTGTTCGCGGACACGGTATTGCGGCCGGGCGTGAGCGATTTGACGGGCAGCTTCAGGCTGTATAAGAAGGAGGTATTGGAGAAGGTTATCAAGAGCACGGAGAGCAAGGGGTATACGTTCCAGATGGAGATGATGGTGCGAGCGAAGGCGATGGGCTGCACGGTTGCGGAGGTGCCCATTTCTTTCGTTGACCGTCTGTACGGCGAGAGCAAGCTCGGTGGAGACGAGATCGTGGAGTATGCCAAGGGGGTGCTAAGCTTGTGGCTGAAAGTATGAGCTGGGCGGTGGTTTGCATGGCATTGGCGTTCGGTGGGGATATAGGGGCATTTCGCGGCCGGAAAGCTGCTTGATATCCAGGGCAGGTAGGCCGAGGGGCATTGTAGCTTCATTTTGCTTCACCTACGCGCTAAGTGTTATGCACCCCATTCCAGCATATCTACTCCTGTTACCCGCCTTGCCCTTCTGGAAGAGGTGTTTGTAAGCTCGTCTATCGCTCTTCAGTGTTCACCAAAGGTCGAACGGCACCAGGCTTGTCTTGAATGCTCTGCTGCTCATTAAAGTGCCGACCGAGACATATTTACCACGTTCTTCCATTTTTGGGGGGCATTAGGATTGCGGTGAACTCCGTGGTCTGGAGCGTCCGACGAATCTGAGAGGTTTACGACTTGTTGATACCGAAGGTGAAAGCTAATAGTAATTGCAGATTTCGTGCTTGCTTCCCACGGCTTCCCCGGCATATACCCGAGACGGATATCGAATAATTCAGTGGGGAGGACGCTTTGGACACTGTTGGCGTGGACCCGCACATCGCACTACATAACCGATTCCTCGCCTTCGCGCCCGAATAATCCTCGACTCAACCAAGCACCTTACACGCAACCAGTCGATATGGCCTATTTTCCCTATCTCCCGGAGGAACTTCTCAATCAAATCTTCTCTAACTGCGTATCGGCGGTGGACGAGGACTTGGACCCCGACAGCGTGCGGACATTGCAAGCCATCTCTTTGACGTCTAAACAGTTCCACCGCATTGTGGAGCCTTCACTCTACTCGAACGTTCTAGCATGCTTCGCCGGACTCGAATCCGAGTACTACCCATTTTGGCTCGTCAATGGACCTCGGCTGCAGCGGACGTTCGCGGAACGACCTGCTCTTTCATCCTATGTCAAGACCTTCCGGGCGTTCCGGATTCGCGCGGACGAGATGCGGTATGGCGAGGAACACACTGCCAAGCAAGAGGTATACCGGGACAACGAAACAACTGCACGGATGGGTCTGGTGGGCAGTCACGTACCCAGGATTCTAGAGGGTATGCCAAACCTAGAACGCGTCGACTTTCGGAAGACCGCCATATTGTATTGTCATGGGTTGTGCTACTGGCTCTTCGGTAGCGAGCTAAGCACAGGCAAGATGAGCAACCTGCGAAGGCTCGACATCACGCTTAAACGCTCGACACTTGTAGATCTCCTTCCGATCTTTCAGCTCCCTAAGTTGGAGGTTTTTGTGGCCGACATCGTGTACCTCTATGCTCCGGACTCGGAAGATCGCGCTTGGTTTTCTCTGCGGACTTCCGTTAGAGAGCTGACCATGAGGACTTTCTTTTGGGATACGCGCACTATCAATCTCCTCTCAGCTTTCCGGATTGTTCTTGATGCTTGTCCCTTACTGCGAGCTTTTAGGCTCTCGTTACACGGAAATCCTGATGAAGAGTTCGACGAAGAGTTTCAAGCGGGCATAATCGGGCTTTTGAACGTCCAGCTGTCTAGTGGTACCCTCCGACATCTGGAACTCTGGTCCAAGCAGGGTCTATGCGGCCCATACGAAATGCTCAACCCGCCTTCGTTACCCAACGTTTGGACGAGCGCTAGCCTCGAGCTTGAGTCGCTTAAAGTGGACATGTCTTTACTATCCCAAAACCGTTTCAATACTGGCTATCCGGGAATCAGGGCTTCCATAGAGAGTGTGGTGCCACAGTCTGTCCGGCATCTGACCCTGCGGCACGCACCGTGCCGCGAAAGTCGCTCTTAGGATGTGTCGAATCGGCTTGTGTTGGAACGGCTTCGGGAGGCCATTAGCCATTTCCCCCGTTTGAAAAGCATAACGTTGGAGATATCGTCGTGGCTGGTTGACTCTACGAGGGAATATCACGAATGCTTTCTGAAGCTCGGGGTGCAGTTCATAACACACATGACACAGATTGTGGATCCCGAGGACAGATTAGATTGAATGCTGTAAAGGTGGGTGGTACGTTCAGCGTCTCCTAGGACGTGCGGGGCCTGGGCAGGTGTCGGGGTGGGACGTTCGTTCGGATGGGTTCCACTGTATATAGGCAAGAAACGAATAGCTCAGGGAAGGCATTAGAAAGGTCCATACCGTGCCTCGAGATGATGATATCATGGATCCGGCCTCGTAATTCCCCCAGCATCTCTTTTGGTAACAAATAGACCTGATAATCAAGCGATGCCCGAGTAGAATTAAGGCTTCAAATAAAAGTTTACACAAGATTGTTAGATTGTTGAGTAAATCTCTCGCGTATCGTATATTGAAAGCCGCACGTTTGCCCATTGCGGAGATGAGCCTGACGAGAAGAAAATACATGTGCGTGGAGTGCATTCAGCATTCAGCGTGGAAAGAAAGGAAGAAAGAAGAGACGAGGAGATGTTCTCGAGAACCAACCTCGGTTCCACTTCCGAAATAGGAAGCGCCAAATTAGCGCCAATCAGCACCTCATCGCCGGACAAGTTGCATGTTTGCTCACAAGAGATTGTTTGCGCAAAAAAAATGGCACGTCAAAGCAGCTAACCGACAGTCATGTGCTCTTTCAGTAACTTCTCTGTGCCTGAAACGACTGCGTCATTGAGGCGGTCTGACTTCCGGATACAAAGACACCGGACATGGCGGGGCTAGTGCCCGTCCAGCTGAGTAACACTACATCACCGCCTCACCAGGCAGCTCTTCGCCTCGTGCACGATCTTAGCAGCGTAAACCTGTCCTCTCGGGCTTTCCTTTCTCTCCTTCACATACCACAAGAGACTGGACATACAACGAGAATATGTTTGGCTTCATCGCCGACGGCCTAACGTAAGTGAGCCCCGCCCCCGCAATCGGAGATCGGATAGCAAGCACGCTTCAGATCGCAGCTCCTGTTGCAGGCGTCGGCTGGTCCTCTAGCTCTCAATCGCTTCAGAAACACCTCGCCCCGTACGAGACATACGACTAATGCCTTCCCAGCGTCGCAACCACCGTCCTCTTCCCCATCTTCGCCTCATACAAAGCCCTCCACACCTCCGACCCGGCGCTCCTCGCACCATGGCTCATATACTTCATCACGCTGATGCTGCTCCACACAGTGGAAAACACCTTCGACTTCATCCTCGCTTGGGTCCCCTTCTGGGCCTGGATGCGCTTCTTCATCCACTTCTACTTGATCCTGCCGGGCTCGCAGGGCGCGACCTTCCTCTACCAGGAGTACCTTGAGCCGTTCCTGTACCACCACGAGCGCGAGATCGACGACTTCATTACCGAGACGCATGACAGGGCGAGGTCGGTGGGGCTGACGTATCTGCAGCAGGGCATTGAGTGGGTTAAGGTCAATGTGCTAGGGTTTGCGCCCCAGCGGCCTGCTACCCCGCCGAGCGCGGGACAGAGCTATGCGCAGAGCTTCATGTCGAGGTTTACTATGCCGTCTGCGAGGGGGAACAACGACCTCGTCAGCTTGGTCTCTCAAGCGCTGAGTGGAGCTGGTGCGCTGTACGCCGGAAACAAGGACGCTCAGGCTGCAGAGCTGAATCGGAGCGCGAACCTCGTGCCCGACAGTATCCGGAACAACGACGACAGGCTGAGCTATGTGGGCTCGCAACGGGAGCGTATCTTCACCCTGCTGCAAGCTTTCGACCGCGAGGCAGAGAACCTAAAGGCGCAACGGGAGGGCGGAAGCAGATACTACGAGGGAGGCGGCCTGTCCAAGAGCAGGAGCGAAACCGAGTTTGATAGGATCGAGCGAGACGAAATCAGAGACGACCGACCTCCTCCGTATCCTGTCACTCCGCCGGCGATGAACCGAAGGACGAGTAGCGGCTGGATGCCATGGAACTGGCAGCGCTATGATCGACCAGTCGAGGAGGATCCGCTCGCATACGGCGAGCATCGTTCTCAAGGACGCTCGACAGGATATGATCGAGACCGTTAGAGGATAGATGGACATCCGTTCTCTCATGATTGTGGGTTTCTGGCGTTATGTTTACATTGAGTATGAAGGTAGAGAAAAGCCCCTCTCGCCCCACGGCCTCGCGGGCTTCATCATGTAGCAATGGCATGAAATGAAAGCTAAAGAAGAGTCCTTCGTATGACACGTATGACCGATTGATTTTGTTACACTCTATTTGTACAGGGTCTCTATATGCAACCCAGGCTGGCTATTGAACGCCCAATATGTCCGACGGCTCCTAGTTCCTAGTCCTATCATATCTCCTCCATGGTTCAGAGATCGTCTACATCTTCGACTCCTTGAACGGATATCGCACAGTATCGTCCTTCCGCATCACAATCTTCCTCTTCTTCTTGGTCGTGACGTGCTCCACCCAGGTCTCCTTAGTCATCTGCTTCGTGAACGTCCGGATAAACCTAGGATCCCACAGCTCGGATGCTATGCCGAGGTCCTTGCAGCACCGCATCAGGGCGTTCGATTTGCAGCCTTCGGTAGCGGTAGGGATGCCGTCAGGGTCGAAGTATTGTTGCTCGCCGCGAGCTATTGACACCAGCCTAACAAGCTATTAGCAAGATTCTTCGGATACGGATCTTCAGATTGGCGACATACCTCCCCTGCACAACAAGCCCGTACTCCCTCGTAACCAGCTTCCCCGTCACGATGCTCTCTCCCCTGGGGGCAAGCCCCCAACCGCCCGGCCCAAACGCCTTATTCAATATCCTCCTGTACTTGATCTCCGGCAGATACAACAGCCCATCAGGCTTCACCTCCACGTCATCTTGCTCGATGGGCGCAAGCAGAACCTCCTGCTGCTCCGGCGTGAACGAGATACTTCCCAGCCCGTGGTACGAGCGCGTCCAGTCTATCGCGGGCACGCCTTCGAGCTCAGGAGGCTGGTCGGAGAGGCCGTTGGTGAGGGAGCGCTGCTGACGGGCGGCGGCTGCGGCGTTGTCAGAGGTGGTGTTGCGGGAGGTGGGAACGGGGGGTTCTTTGGCGGGGAAGCTGGGTGTTACGGTTCGTTGGGAAGTGGTGGAGGCAGCTGCAGGGTTGGTGGAGGTAGTGGTTTTTGCAGGAGCAGCGGTTGCGGCACGCGATTTGGTGGTCGCAAATGCGGAGGAGATGGGGGAGGAGGCGAAGCCGCGCTGAGGTGACCGGCATGCAAAGGGCGCTGCTCGCGAAGAGGAGGAGGAGAAGAAGAGGAGGGACAACCCTCTTCTTGAGGTTGTCGCGGCCATTGTGGAATGCGATGGAGGAGAGACGCGGGGATGGCGATTGGCTTGTGGGCGTCAGAAAAGGTCGAACGCGAAGTCACGATACCCGCTAGTGCCGCGCCGGGGCCAATCAAAGCAACGACAAATCCAGGCGTTACCCGTCAAGCTTTCGACAGGCGTTATCCGTCAACCTAAACGATGCGCAAAAAGAAGGCGGCTAGACAGTTCTCCGAATCCGAGACCGAGCAGCCAACTGCGCATGCATCTCGCTGATCCTCCAGTTGTTTCGTCCAGTTGTTTCGTCCACCACTATCGGACGAAAAGCGGTTTCCCGTCCCAACCAGCTTTTGCAGCGGCCGCAACTATGGCCCAGCTCGTCTATGAGCGAATAGACTCTAATCCTGGCTGTGTTACTTCTGGGGTACAGCTGCACATCAATTTGCTCGGTAGTTGCATGTGGCCAGTTCAACGTTTATCCTCCGACCCTCCGGCCGCTTCTTGTCCTGCGGAATCTAGGCGGTGTCGTCGCGGACGAACCGCATCCTCCGAGCAATTCTGCCTGTCAAGGTGCATACGAAGTCTCTAGTAGTGGCAATCGGAGGCATATAGACCGGCGTTCGGGTCCTCGAAAGCCAATCCCGCGCTCCGCACCTAACACTCTCGCGGCGCTAGCCTTCTTCGTCTAACGCCGCCGCCTGAACATGAACCCTGTCGCAGAGGGCACTTGCCTAGGTTAGATCGTCAGATGCTAACAAGCTGGCTATATAAGCTCTGCGGACTTTGCTAGCTTCTGTTCGATACTCTCCTCGTCCTTTTCATCAACGAGCAAAGATGTCGTCGACACCCATGGACGGCACGGTAGGCCTGTCCAGGCTGATCCGGCAGGCCTCAGCCTCCCAGATTGCCACCTCCATCATTGTCATTGTCAGTGCAAAGTCAGCCAATTTCCGCGCTTTTGCACCCTAACGTATCCCAGCTGGTCGTCCGATGGGTTGCAAGGGCCTTCTATCGAGTTTACTTCCACCCGCTCTCCAAATTTCCTGGCCCCAATTTCACAGCAGCAACACGTATTCCGCAGCTTTGGGGAGTGGTGACTGGCACGCCGCACAAGCGGATAGCTGGACTCCACCGAAAGTACGGCGATGTTGTGCGCACTGCACCGGACGAGGTCAGCTTCGTGAACGCGGACGCCTGGAGGGATGTCCACGGGCACGGCACCAAAAATACGCCGGGCTCGGTCCCTCACAAGCATTGGATCCGCTACGGCACGTCTGTGAATGGCGCTGCCTCTCTTATTATTGCGAAAGATGGGGAACATTATCGGATGCGTCGCATCTTCAACCCTGCCTTTTCGGATCGCGCTCTCAAGCAGCAGGAGCCGCTCTTCATGAAGTACGTAGACTTGCTGGTCCAAAAGTTAAGAGAAGGCATCGAAGAAAACTCGGAGCGCAGGTTTGACATGGTCCGGATGTACAACTTCACCACGTTCGATGTCATGGGAGATCTCACCTTTGGAGAGCCACTCCACATGCTCTCAGAGGGGGAATATGATCCATGGGTGAAAACCATTTTCGCTTTCATCAAATTCGGGACACGCCTGAGCATCATCAACCATTACCCGCTCATCTACAAGCCTTTCCGAGCCCTCGTTCCGGAATCCTTCGCTAAGAAGAGGGTAGAGCACTTCAACTTCTCCGTGCAGCGGGTGACGAAGAGGCTGGAAAAGGGGAGAGACGCAGAAGGAGTCGATCTATGGGATCTCGTGATGAGCCAACCAGAAGGCAAAGGCTTGTCCCGCGGCGAGATGGACGCGAACTCCTCTCTCTTTATGGCGGCTGGAACAGAGACTACGGCCACGCTCGTTTCCGGTCTGACGTTCCTGCTCCTCAAGAACCCAGAAGCGATGAAGAACCTGACAAAGGAGATCCGCAATACCTTCCCCGGCTCAGAGGAGATGAGCTTCGAGAAGCTCGCTGCACTCCCGTACCTCAACGCTTGCATCAAAGAGGCGTTCCGTCTGTACCCACCGGTTGTTACTGGGCTGCCTCGTATGACGCCGCCAGACGGCTCGACCGTCTGCGGACACTACGTCCCACCCGGAGTGAGTATTTGCATGCCGTTCAGGCTGACGTGAGCATCATCGCTAATTGCTGACGCGCTAGTACGTCGTTACCGTGCCGCAACTCGCCATGTATACGTCGGAGAGCAACTTCAAAGAGCCAATGTCTTTCATCCCTGAGCGTTGGCTCGGAGATGAGCGGTTTAATGGCGATAAGAAGCAAGCTCTGCAGCCCTTCTCCATCGGCTCAAGGGATTGCTTGGGGAAGAAGTGAGTCCTATACATGTTAATTGCGAGGGAAGCATTTGCTGACGAACGTGTGTGCAGCATGGCATATCATGAGATGCGTCTCATCATCACGAAGGTCTTGAAGAACTTTGACCTGGAGCTGTTGCCCGAGAGCGCAAACTGGGCCGATCAGGAATGCTACACCCTGTGGGAGAAGCATCCTCTAATGTGCAAGGTGAAGGCTGTGAATTGAGCTGCAATCCTATTTCCGAGCGGTTAGTGACGCAATCACGATCCGGATTAGTGGCGTCGTACCGTGCACGGTTAGGGAGAATGGGTGTTGTTTGGCGTTTATTGGTACGGGTGCAGGAGTCACCTCGACACCATGACAGGACTTCTGCCAGAAATGATGCCCATTCATGACTTTGGGCCATTACGATTCGAGAGGTGACCGGGTTATAGATACAGTAAAATACAAATAGTTGTACAGAAATGCCATGATCCGCCATAGCAAGGTGAACGATCAGGAATCCTTTGACGCGGTCCTTTTGTCATTGCCATACTGCTTCCAGCATTCTCGAAATATCTCCATCTGCGCATTATACTGTCAGCGTTGAAACTCGAGAGGCTTAAGTTGCGGTCGAGGAGCTCACGGCTCGGCAACTTCTCGGTTCCCGAATAGGCTTTGAGCTGCGCTCTGCAAAGACTTACCTCCTTCTTGCATGCCCGCCAGTCCTTCTTCTCATAATAACAATCCGTCAATTTCGCGTTTTCGTCTACTACAAGGTCAACTTATCAGATTGCGACGCTCTCAGAGTGGAGAACGCACCAGCGCAGCCGGTGCTGAAGATTCTCTTGTCCCTACAGCCCATCAGCAGCTACTTCCCCGCATAGGAAACCCATCAATTGCACGCACCACTCATCCGGTTCATCACCGTCCTCGACCTTAGCGGCAGCACCAGTTCGCTCCGCATCATTTGACATCTTCTTGGGCGTTAGCGTCGCTGTTGGTAGTCTGAAGCTGGGGTGAGGTCTGAGGGTCGGTTCACGCTCGGAGAAACTCGGCTCCGCGGGGCGACATCCTGCAACAATGGCAACCAAGAAGATGAATGTTTTGGTTTACTCTGGTACCAGATATGCCTATTTCACTATAAGGCTGCCCCTGCTAATGTATCTAAGGTAATGGAAGCACAACAGAATCCGTGCGTCACTGCATCTACACTCTACGACGCCTCCTCTCACCAGCGTACGCTGTCATTCCGGTGACAGGCGACATCATCATCAAAGAGCCATGGATGCCCACCTGTGCTCTTCTCGTTTTCCCCGGCGGTGCAGATCTCGGCTACTGTCGAACTCTAAACGGCGAGGGAAATCGCCGCATCGGCCGTTACGTCAACTCCGGCGGTTCATTCCTTGGCTTCTGCGCTGGAGGCTACTATGGCTGCGCAAGATGCGAATTCGAAGTTGATGATCCTAAAATGGCGGTCGTGGGAGATAGAGAGCTGGGCTTCTTCCCCGGCATCTGTAGAGGTTTAGCGTTTCCGGGGTTTGTGTATCATTCGGAGGCTGGTGCAAGGGCGGCGGAATTGAAAATTCATGAGAGCGCGTTTGCGGACGGAAAGCATGGGTTACAGAAGACGTTCAAAAGCTATTATAATGGTGGTGGAGTGTTTGTGGATGCGAAGAAGTTGGAGAGTCGGGGCATCGAGATTCTTGCAAGTTACACTGAGGATTTGAACGTCGACTCAGGAGAAGGTGCCGCAGCAGTAGTCTACCGAAAAGTAGGCGACGGCCATGTCGCTCTCACTGGACCGCATCCCGAGTAAGCATCTCCGATCCAACATCATTCCCGTGCTCACCGACGTCCAGATTCGCACCTAACAACCTTACGAAAAGCCCCAAGCTGCCCTCCTACTCCGCCGCCATCGACGCTATCTCCAGCACCGACAACACACGCATCGCCTTCATGCGCCTACTCCTCCAAAAGCTGGGCCTCAAAGTTAATGAGGAAGAACAAGCGGTACCGTCTCTCTCCCATCTGCATCTCTCGTCTTATACGCCTGCAGACGTCTCCGACCTGGTCGCCTCGTGGTCGGAAATCTTTACTCTAGTCGATGGCGACGAGTATATTAAGGGTGAGAACGATGTGTTTCGTATTGAGAAAGAGGGTGCTGTTTGGGGCCTCCAGGGGTTAAAGAAGGCTGTTGAGAAGGTGGAGGAGGCATTGCCTGCTGTTTTGACGGGGGAGACGAAGGACAGTGGCAAAGAAGTGGAAGAGAGTGGAAAAGAGGACAAGAAGCCGAAAACTAAAGAGGAAGAAGTCCGCGAACGCATCGAATACACAGCCAATTCATCCTCCGACCAGATCCTAGACTACGACAAACTCGTCAAGACGCTTACACCGCACGCAAAGCAACTCCCGTCAACACGCGAAACTCCCGCCTTCCATCATGAGGCATTCTACGCGAATTTAGCACACTATCATTCAAAACTACAAAACCATGAGCCCTCCTTAGGGAAACATCTCCTCTACGGCGAAGTCGTAACCTCCACCAACACGCTGCTCGAAAAGAACCCAACTCTCCTGCGCAACCTCCCCACAGGCTTTACCCTCACTGCAACACAGCAACTCGCTGGTCGGGGTCGTGGGTCTAATGTCTGGGTAGCGCCGCCAGGAGCGCTTATGTTCTCGACGGTCTTCCATCATTCGTTCACGCTCACGCAATCCGCGCCTATCATCTTCATTCAATACATAGCTGCCCTCGCCATCGTTCAAGGCATCAAGAACTACGCCCCAGGGTACTCGCGAATCCCCGTAAAACTCAAATGGCCAAATGACATCTACGCTCGTCTCCCTGGTTCACCGTCCAACCCCCTTGTCAAGATTGGAGGCATATTAGTCAATTCCAGCTACTCAGGGAGCAGCTACGACATCGTCTGCGGCATCGGCCTCAACCTCTCGAATCCCCTCCCCACAACCTCGCTCAACCTCCTCGCCGCCAACTCCAACCCACCCCTAAAACCCTTCACACCGGAGAAACTGCTTGCCTCGATCCTATCACACTTTGAATCTCTATACAACGACTTCTGTAGACTAGGGTTCAGTAGGGATATGGAGGCAGACTATTATGATAGCTGGCTGCATACAGATCAGGTGGTGACGCTGGAGACGCATGATGGCGCAAGAGCAAGGATCAAGGGAATTACGAGGGACTGGGGGTTACTGCTCGCGGAGGAGGTTGGATGGGAGGATCGCGGGACGGGGAGAGTGGTGGCGCTGCAGAGTGATAGTAATAGTTTTGATTTCTTCAAGGGGCTGGTTAGGCGGAAGGTGTAGCGGGTGTCGGCTTCGGTGAAGGTGCACTTAGCATTTGCGAGGCTTCGTCGCTCTATCATTCCCATACCCGAGGAGCTCCGGAAAGAAAATAACCCACAATGAACGATGACTGCTTTTGCTCATATGAAGCTGCAGGGGCCCACCTATTGTGTTACATATCGGCTAGTACAACGGGTAGCTGCATAGTGGTGAGGCGGATGCCCGCCTGATGCGACGCATTGGAGCTTCGTCACGCGGCGTTCGCAGTCACTTAGTCCATAGAACGAGTCTGCCATTAAGGTCCCGACCAGATAGAAAGGCGGTCCAGCTATTCAGCATAGATTATTGAACAAAGTGGTCCGGCGAAGGATGAAGCGCTGCGGGTACCTTGCGGTTGACATAGGTTGACGAATGGGAAACCCGACGCCACAACACCGCCACAAATACCTCGGTATCGAGAGCACAAGATCTCATGTTTCGATGATGCATAGGCCTTCAAGGTTCTCATCAGACTGATTGCCCGCATGACAGTTTCTTTGAAGATGTAATATGCCACGAAACAATGTTCTCGGCTGATATGTCCAACAGGCGTCCTGAAGACCTTCCGTCCGGCCATCGCAGTCGCCATCTTCGTTAATGACGTCGGGTCGCTCAGCCACGCGCGGCATCGTTGCACATCACTCTAACCCCCACCGCCCCTCGGCGCATTCTGCAACCCCTTTCCTTCTCTCGCTATTCCTCATAGTCGCGCGCAGCTATCCCTATCCACGAAATGAAGGCGAACGGCAATAATAACAACAAGAAGGCGGGCGCGGAGACTCCTCCGCAAGCCAAAAGCTCGTCTTGGTCGAGCTTCCTCAAGGTGAGTTGGGATAGGGCACCCCGACGTGCCTCAGCGGGCTAAAGAGTCTGGCAGTCAATAGCATCCTTCAATGGAGATCTCTCGTCCTTGACGGCTCCCGCCTGGATCCTATCCACCACCTCCCTCGTCGAGTTCTCGTCGTACTGGACCGAGCACCCCTCCGTCTTCGTTGCACCTGCCGCCGAGAAAGACCCCGCGAAGCGCGCTATGCTGGTACTGAAGTGGTTTTTGAGCACATTGAAGCAACAATACGCAAGTCGGAGTGAGAAATTGGGCAGCGAGAAGAAGCCCCTGAACCCCTTCCTGGGGGAGCTATTCCTGGGCAAGTGGGAAGACGAGGCGGGCGAGACACGGCTCGTGAGCGAGCAAGTCAGGTATGCGATACACTAGCCTCGGGTCCTTCTGCGGTGTATCAGGTGCTGACATTGGCAGCCACCATCCTCCTGTTACGGCATACTGTATCTGGAACGCCAATGCGGGCGTGAGGCTCCAGGGCTACAATGCGCAGAAAGCGTCCTTCTCTCGGACGATCAATGTCAAGGTACGTAAAATGTCGTGAAGCACATCAGGCTCCCTAATGCCTCGGTGCAGCAAATCGGCCACGCAATCCTCCACATCGACGAATACGACGAAGATTACCTGATCACCCTCCCTTCCCTTCACATCGAAGGCCTCATCTCCGGCTCCCCCTACGTCGAGCTGAACCGCTGCTCCTACATCCAATCCTCGACGGGCTACACGGCAAAAATTGACTACAGCGGCAAGGGTTGGATCTCCGGGAAATCGAATACGTTTTCGGCTGTCTTATATCCCCAAGGCAAGGAGAAGGAGGCAATATACACAGCAGACGGGCAATGGAATGGAGCCTTCGTCATCAAGAATGCCAAGACAAAGGAGGTGGTAGATACCTATGACCCTGAGAAGACTAAAGTTACACCCCTGACGGTCGCTCCGATCGAAGAACAGGACGACTACGAATCGCGGCGCGCCTGGAAGAAGGTCGCCGATGCGATAATCAAAGGCGATATGGAGACGACCTCGTTCGAGAAATCCCTTATCGAGAATCGCCAGCGCGAGCTGCGGCGTCTGGAGAAAGAGGAAGGCCGCGAATGGTATGTATTTGTCTTTATCCTGTGAAGGCCTCTAGGCTAGGTTTTCCGCATCTACTTTCCCTCATGCTCTACCCCTCAGTCTTGACAACACTCCGTCCATTGAAGGCCCTCAGGCTCGGCTTTCCGCATGCTAATCATACCATGACAGGGAGCGCCGATTCTTTACTCGAACTGAAAAAATTTCCCTCTTCGAGAAGCTAGCTGGCAAGATCGGCGAGCAGATCAACGATAGCCTGACGAACGGAGTTTGGGCATTTGATCAAGAGAAGGCGAGTCAAGCTAAGCCTCCCTTCCACGCCGATGTTCCCTTTTTCAAGTCAGAATCAGAGGAGTCGTCAGAGGTATACGAATCGGCGAGGGAGTCAGCCAATGAGTCGTCTAAGGCTACGTCAGAAACTGCATCTATGGCTTGAATGCTTTGTGTTAATGGTAATGTCTAGGGAGAGGATTTGGGGTACCCGAAAATGCTGGAAGGAGACTTGAGCAAAGTCGGGCGGCGCACAAGGGCATAAAGGGCGGACTTCTGGCTTGCAGTTCGAGACTTCGGTCCTGTCTTTGGTATACGTAGAACTTCTGTAATCCCTATTACTTTTCTCTGCCTTCTGCTTCTTGAATTCTCTGCGGATTGTGGTGCAATGCTAGCCTCTCGTTGTAGATCTCCGCTACCGCTACTCAAGCAGATGGCTAGAAGTGACGTGAATTGGTCGTGGCGTATATGACAGTGTGAAGGTCTTCTGGCTTGGCGTTGAGCATTCGTTCTTTTCTCTAGTGCACTTGGTTCCTGCTCAACATCGATTTCTTCTGCGCTACATCTGCCCCAGAACAGCGAATATATTGTTCTGCTGTGCGTTTGCCTCGCGCGTTATCTTGTCCTTCCTCTCTGCTTCCCTTTTCTGCTTCTTCAGCTTCCTATTGGATATCTGCTCAGCTGGTATTTCTATGTTCAGCGACGCATATATTTCTTGGAGAACTTCTCGCAACAGCTCATGCTTGTTATGAGACTTCTTCTCCTGACCCGGTACAATGAACAGTTCAGCAATAGTCGGCATGCTCGCCAGATCTTGCTGAAGTTTGCGCAGGGCCTCCTCGAGTGGCTTTGAGCTGGTTCGACGTGTGGCCGTCCAAACTGCGATGCATTGCTTTAGGAACCGGAGCGAGTAGAGGGCCGCTTGAATGCGAGCTGTAAGATGCACAAAATCCCACGTGTTGTCGAAGTCGCCCTCTAACACGCGCATCAGGAGAGGAATACGCGGCGGCCGCTGCAGGTCCACTAGCACCAAGTTCGTTGCAACCAGTGGCCAGATGAACTCCTGTGGAACTTGGCGGCCATCCATCCACTGCAGCCAGGTCTCAACATTTTGTTGTAGCACTGCAGCGGCTGCATGCGCGTCTTTAGGCGAGAGGGGTTTAAGATCCTGCACGGTGGTGGCTTGGGCTTTCCGTTTATACTCTTGCACCATCACGCGGTCCAACGCAAGCAGCGAGTATGCGAGGAGACGTATGTCCTGGCCGATGTTCCAGGCGGATGCTTGGTTGGCGTCTTCGACGAGTAACGGGAGGTAAATGGTGGGTGCGAGAGTAACATCTAGTGCTTGGTGGGCGAATTCCGAAATCCTGACATCGAGATGCTGCAGCATTGTGCGCAATTCGGAGTTCTTGGAACTGTAGGCTGGGGCTATAGATTGTCCACTATAGCGTCTACTGAAGTCGAGATAATGTTCTGACTCCGTATCAATGCTCTGAGCTTCCTGCAGGAGGGCCATAAAAGTATGGGAGGGCTCCTGGACTATGCTATATGCAAGAGGGACGAGGCTAGCCAATCTTAAGCTCTGGCGAATTTTGGCGGGTGAGTAGCCCTTGAACTTGGGTTCGGGCCAGAGCTCAACGTTCCTGAAGAAGACGACCAGGCTTTCGGCGGGGTAATCGAACAATAGAAGGTCGGTGTCGTCACTGAAAACGATAGAGCGAGGGCTATCATTGGCGTATGGGGTACACCAATCATCGGCTTCGCCGGGAACAATGCTGGTGACGGAAGCATAGCCGCTATCGTTTAAGGCCTCTCTCAATGCCGGCGCGAGAAACGAATATGAAACGGAACCGAGGCGAGCGGGAATAGGACAGCCTTGGGTAGGGTAGAGGATCCTCAGCTCTCGGATTTGCCTATTGTTCCTCTCTAACCTCCTCACTCTCTCGTCCCTCTTCGTCTCTGGAAGAGCACCGTCAAACAAGATAGCCGACCTACAAGGTATTCAGTCAGTAAGGGATCGAGTTAATAAAAGGCTGTGTCATGCATATGTTCCGCATGCACACCACAGCCGCGCCGTTGCATGCGGCGGGATCATCTCGCCAGCGGAAAATTGTGACAACAGGGATATCACAAGGCCATTTATAGCGCACCGTGGGAGACTCGTAAGAGTAACCAGGTGTGCGCATCTCAGTGGCTCTTCGGGCCTTTTCCTTTCGCCTCGACAACGGTCGTGCATGCCAAGGAGTACTTTGATATAGTGTACCAGTACTGCGAGGGTGAGGATGCGTTGGTCACTCACACCTTGATGTTGATGTCCTCCAAAGCCTTTAGCCAGCGAATAGCCTCAGTATTGATGTCTGCGTAGGAGGGGAGGCGAGATTGGCGAGCCACCGCGGCCAGAGCCAGTTGGTGTGCATGGTATGCAAGAGAGGGCCCGTCGACGATGGCGTAGTATCCGTCCAGGTCTTTCGGGGCATAGCGGGCGCCGTACGGCTCGAGGCGCCTCGCCAGTCCCGCTATCCCCATATTGGATGGATATGCTCGAATATGCACGAAGGAGGCACGAGCAGGCAACGGACACCACGCCGCCCTGGCAAATGAAAGCAGCAGGCGGTGGGGCGGATTTGAGCGCAGCGAGGCCGTTGAGAGCACCCTGTATATATGCAAATGAACTCGTCCTGCTGTTGATGTTGGAGGTGCGTGTGATGCGGCGAGGCCGGGATTGCCATGCCAGGCGGATCGCACGATCCAATCTGCCGCTAATCGTGTGAGACCGGTAAGCCGCCCTGCCTGGATGCGCGCGCCGGCCCGAGCTCGTCGTCGCGGGCGTTGAGGACGACGTTGGAGAGAGACGAGGGAGTTGAGGAGAAGGCGACGGCTAGCGCGACGATCAGGACGGGTGACCTGCCGACCGCCTGCTAGTGGCTGGCTCAACGCTGTCAGTGCGTCATCCCGCTCCAGGTGGGGGCAAGTGCCCCTCGCCAGCTCAAAAAGCTCTCGACTGACAGCTGCCAGCACTCTGCCCACCCTCCAGATCCTCGCACAACAGCCTGAACACACCACTCATCATGAGCGTCCGGACCGTCTCTCTCAAGCCTTTTGCCGACCAGAAGCCCGGAACGTAAGTCCCTCTCGGCTATGCTTAGAGTTAGAGCCAGCCTTAGCCGCACCTGTCATTCCCTGCAACGCCTCTATTTACACTGGAAATTGCAATCCACCCATAACACGCACCCTCACCCCATCAACATGTCTGTCAATCGCACCCTAAAGACCTCTCTATTCCCAATGCCTGATCTAGGAGACCATGGCTAACTCCTGGTTCCGCACTAGCTCTGGCCTGCGCAAGAAGGTCAAGGTCTTCCAGCAGGAGAACTACTCCGAGGCCTTCGTTGCCAGCACGCTCCTCTCCATCCCGGAAGGCGTTGAAGGGTCTGCCCTCGTCATCGGCGGCGATGGACGGTACTGGAACCCAGAAGTCACACAATTGATCGCCAAGATCGGCGCAGCATATGGCGTCAAGAAGCTCATCATCGGCCAAAACGGCATTCTCAGCACACCTGCGGCCAGCAATGTCATCAGGATACGGAAGGCAACCGGCGGCATCCTCCTGACTGCCAGCCACAACCCCGGAGGTTCGTTGGCCACCACCCCGCGCTCAGCTGATATCACCTACGTCGCTCATGCTAACCGATCCAGGCCCCAACGAGGACTTTGGTATCAAGTATAACCTCTCCAATGGCGCCCCGGCTCCCGAGAGCGTTACGAACAAGATCTTCGAGACGTCCAAGAACCTCACTTCGTACAAGATTGCCGACATCCCAGACGTCGACCTGACGACCATTGGCACCAACACCTATGGCCCGCTGGAGGTCGAGATTATCCACTCGACGAAGGACTACCTTGACATGCTCAAGAACATCTTCGACTTTGACCTCATCAAGAAGTTCATCAAAGATCACCCCGACTTCAAAGTGCTGTTTGACGGCCTGAGCGGCGTGACTGGCTCCTATGGCGTTGATATCTTTGAGAAGGAGCTTGGGATCCCGAACAGCACCCAGAACGCTGTTCCCAAGCCAGACTTCGGCGGACACCACCCAGACCCAAACTTGGTCTATGCCAAGTCCCTGGTCGATGCTGTTGACAAGAACGGCATCCATTTCGGTGCCGCCAGCGACGGTGACGGCGACCGGAACATGATCTATGGCGCAAAGACTTTCGTGTCCCCCGGAGACAGTTTGGCCATTATCGCACATCACGCAGAGCTCATCCCCTGGTTCAAGAAGCAAGGCATCTACGGACTCGCGCGAAGCATGCCGACATCCGGCGCCGTCGACCTCGTTGCAAAGAAGAAGGGCGTTCAGTGCTACGAGGTGCCCACGGGCTGGAAGTTCTTCTGCGGCCTCTTCGATGCCGACAAGATGAATATCTGCGGTGAAGAGAGCTTCGGCACTGGCAGCAACCACATCCGCGAGAAGGACGGATTGTGGGCTATTGTTGCCTGGCTCAACATTTTGGCTGGTGTCGGTGAGCAGACTGGCACCACGCCCAGTATTGCGTCCATCCAGAAGGACTTCTGGAAGACATACGGACGCACCTTCTTCACCCGCTTCGACTACGAAGGGTGCGAGAGCGAGGGCGCCAACAAGGTCGTCGCGCACATGAAGGAACTCATCACCACAAAGAAGGACGATTTCGTCGGCTCGACTGTCTCCGGCCGCAAGGTCCTCGAGGCGGACGACTTTTCCTACACTGATCTTGATGGTAGTGTCTCCAAGAACCAGGGTATCTACGTCAAGTTCGACGACGGCAGCCGCATCGTTGTCCGTCTGTCCGGTACCGGTAGCAGCGGCGCTACCATACGTCTCTACATCGAGAAGCATGAGTCGGACGAGTCCACGTACGATCTAGATGCCCAGGACTACCTGAAGGATAACATCGCGCTTGCGACTAGTCTGTTGAAGCTGCAGGAGTACATTGGCCGCACTGAACCGGATGTGAAGACATAAAAGGGTAGAAATCGTGGCATTACAGGGGATGGGTTATACCAACAGGTTGGACATAGGATAACGAGACACGACAAACAGTAGATTATCGAAGCGATATCGGAGACAGTATGGAAAAGCCAGCCGGTCAAGCATAACTCCATAGACTACAAACAGCAGCTCAACAAAGTGCGTTGCCACATCCATCCTCACGAAAATTCACAGCGATTGAGCCCTTCTTGATATCATTATTATCAACCCGCAATGGCGTGCTTCCGCACGCCCCACACCCAAAATCAATCAGCTCCTGCACTTTGCGCTTAACCAGCCACCCATCAATGAACCAGCCTTTTCCCAAGTGCTGCGGATACACGCACAAGGCCCAGTGATCGTGCCTAGGGTGTGAGCACACGGCGCAGGCTATCTTTTTGCCGTCCTCGTTTTGGCTATCGTCGTCGAGGCGTTGGAGGATGGCGTTGAGCTTGGTGAGGGAGACGCCGCAGTCGCGGCACCGGTGAGAGCCTTTGCAGTTTATGCCTTGGAGGGGAGCCGGGAAGAGGGACGCGTTGGATGAGAGAGCGTTGAGTCCGGCGGGGGAGAGATCGTGGGGAGGGTCGCGTGGGAGGGCGGAAGAGAGAGCTGAGAGGAGAGGAATGGCGAGGAGCTTCATCGTTTGGCTGGAGTGATGTCGATAATAAAGAAGGTTTGGATGGAGACTCTTGGAGAAGGACGGCTGGCAAGGGAATCCCCTTTTTATACTCAGCTTCGGTAAGATGAGTAGAAAGCTGATTCCTGGGTACGAGTACATGGTAATTTGAGGAAGTATACAAGGCAACTTTGTGACAGTGCAGACTTTGCATCCAACCTATTGAGCGGTATTCGGATATTTGCCAGGCGCGCGTACTGCGATGGTTCCGAACTGAGGTGAGCGATTTGGAGCCTATCGGAAATACTTAACGGCCAATATTCCGGGTGGATCCGTCGTGATGTGGATGGTTGGACGTGAGCCTTATTGGCTTGGTGATACTTGTAACCCACCGCTCTTCTGCCGGTGTGCTTGCGTTCGCGACTGCGTTGATAGGCAGTCCTAAGTTGCTGGCTTGTACGCAGCACAGAGAGACCCGTTCAGTGTGTAGCTGGTCCCTTTGCGTTGAGATTAGCTGTTCCGCGCACCAGATACGATGTATGTGCAATGAAACAGATTTTGACAAGCTTCCCTAGCATTATGTACGCATCCGAAGAGGAAAAGACGCCACATCGCCAGCATGATATCCCAACACGCCAACACGCCAAGATGTCAATCCGCCGTCCATACGCATCCCCCTCCTCTCACATATTCTCGTGGAAAATACTCCTCCGGCTCCCCGTCGGGCTGTTGTCCCCGCTCCCCGTCTTCTTGTGGCCCTGCGACTTACTCGCGCCCCCGTAACTCGTGTCCACGCCATGATCCAGCGGCCGTGGACTCACGCCCCTCAAACTCGCCGCGTTTTCGTCCCCAAACGGATTGTCCCGCCCACTGCGCCCATCGCTATGCTCGTCGTACTCGCGCGTCCTACTCCGTCCCCTCTCAGGCTCAGCCGCGAATCCCGTAGTCGGCGCACCATATGACGTGCTCTCATACGGGTTCGCGCTCGCGCCGCCTCCGTGCTGCGGGGCATGCAGTCCCAACTCCTGCTCTTCATAATAAGCTTCGTTCCCGACTCTCGAGTCCCACGCTTCATCCGGATCTAGTCGATTTCCCTCGCCGCGACCGGTCCTTCCGCCTGCGTACGTCGACGGTTCCTCGTACGCGCCGGTCGCATAGCGATTATTTCTGTTCTTGAACTTGCGGATCTGGGAGTCGATCCAGCCACGGATGCCGGCGGGCGCGGGGCCTGGGTAGTTCGATGCGGAGGCGTTGCGGGCGAAGGGGTTGAGCGAGGGTGGTGGCAGACCGTTCTTGGTGGCTTGCATGCGCGACCAGAGTACCCAGCCTCCGTAGCCGCCGATTAGGAGGATGATGAGGATGATGAGGAAGACTACGCCGCCGTTCATTGTGCTAGTTCTCGTAGACGTCGATCGATAGAGGTGTAGATGGGTGGAGGTTGCGCATGTGAGGTGGTGTGGTGCGCTTTGTGAGGTGCGTTGCGGTTGCGCGAAGGATTCGGGATTGGTGGGCTGTTGCTACCGATGGATGGGAGTGATGTAAATGTCGCAGAATTGGAGCGATGGGGTCAGCGCTCAAAGGGCGGCGTGGGAGCTGAAGGTCAGCGCGGCGCCGCAATGCTGAGAGGTATTGATGAGGCAGCCGGCTGAGCTGGGAAAGCTTGACGTGCCAAGGAGATCACGGGATGACGTAAAGCGGGCGAGCCGTAATGCTGACAGCTCGGTCCGCTTGGCGCGAGTTTTTCCAGCGAGCTGAAGAAGTTGATATAGAATCCGTTTCGTAATCATCTCAAGCTACTAATTGTTGATCCCAAGGCTCATTCAAGACCTGTGCTTTGTCTTGTCTTGGGGAGGTGTTCGAGGTGTGAGAGCGAATTGGGCCTAGTGTGAGTATTAGTGGGGCGTTGCAAGCGAGGCAAATCAAACGGTGCCCAGCATGCCCGTCATGGCAGCGCCGCTATCGTTCACCGGGATCCTTGGATCGGCATGGCGACAATCAGCTCACAACTTCAGGTCCCGAGAGATCAGGAAACAGATTAAAGAAGCCATCTATGGGTCGCCAGCTAAACTCTCTACCGGACATGGCGGAATCGGACAACAAATTCACGATCAGACTCGCCGAGAAGGGCATAGAGAAAGCAATCAGCCGGAATGATCTTGTCGCTGTAATATCTAATTCGGAAAGCTCTCCTTCGACCATCATCTACGTCGAACATGACGGGAGCGATGCTACAGCGCCTCCGAAGGTGAAGATCACCAAGGGCGAGGCATTGGCGACCGCCCATCCGCCCGACACGAGCGACGCCGAGACTCACATCGTCATATCCACGGGCTCCGGGACAAACAAGGCGATCACGTTCTACGACGAAGCCGTAAAACCCGTGCTGGAGACCCTCTTCCCGAAAGGACACGGTAACTTTCTGATACATCATACCGAGTCGGCCTCAACTATATTGGACCTCACCAACGACATTTTCTTCCCGACGGCAAACGCTGGCATCACTCTGCGCATCATACTACTCTCAGGAGACGGCGGCGTTATCGACCTGGTCAATGGCTTGCTATCGAAACCGTGCTCTGCCGAGTACAAAGCGCCACTAGTCTTCCTGATACCGCTCGGCACTGCAAACGCCCTGTACCATTCAAGCAACGCGGGGAGAGAAAACACATGGGGGCTCAGCACTTTAGCATCTGAGAAGTCGAAGCCGTTACCAATCTTCACGGCGTCGTTCTCGGCGGGTGCACGCCTGCTAGTTGATGAAGCTCGAAGGGAAGAAGAGCTACCGAAGGATCCTTCCACTCAGCACCCAATCCTCCATGGCGCTGTTGTCTGCAGTTGGGGCATGCATGCATCGCTGGTTGCTGATAGCGATACTGCGGAGTACAGGAAGTTCGGCATCGACAGGTTCAAGATGGCTGCCAAAGAGGCGTTGTATCCTGCTGATGGATCACCACCACACCCATACAAGGCGAAGGTCTCAGTACTAAAGGGCGAAGACTGGAAGCCGCTCAAGGCAGAGGAACACATGTATGTGCTAGCAACCATGGTCTCCAACCTTGAGAAACCCTTTACAATCTCCCCTGGGTCGAAGCCATTAGACGACACTCTGCACTTAGTGTACTTCGGCCCGACGAACGGAGACGAAGCTATGAGGATTATGGGTCTAGCCTACCAGGGCGGGAAGCACGTCGAAGATCCCATGGTCCACTATGAGGCCATAGATGGATTGCGGATTGAGTTTCAGGGCAAGGAAGAGGATGATAGATGGCGTCGCATCTGCGTGGATGGCAAAATCGTCAGAGTAGAAAAGGGTGGCTGGGTGGAGTTGAAGAAAGAGGAGAGACGGGTTCTCGACATGGTTGTCGATTGATGGGCGCATGGCTCTAGCGCGGCGGTCAATGCTCGCATCAGGCTTCACAGGCTCGCGCTCGCTCTTTCTCTAGGCCGAGAAGGTCTTTGCGCGGGACGGCCCATATGCCCACCTCTATAAGTACCTGCTACGTAAGGAGAGATAGACGGAGAAAGGATCCTCCGACTTCGCATTCGCTTCCCCAAGTATGCCCTGCGGGCTTCTCATCGCGCACGCGTCCGGCACGCGGTATCTGGTGACTCAGAGCGGATCCTTCGACATCCGTCCCACTTCTCACTGCTGTATTCGGCCTCTCGGAAGATCCTAGGTGGCATGGCTGTTTCCGGCTTTACGCGATTCCTCTTCACGTTAGCATGAATGCATGAGCCCTGGAGGCGGCTTATCAACCGAATCCTGCGCTCGCCCTGCTCCCCTCACCACCCGCACACCCAGCATTATTTAAACTGCCTCTTCCCCTCAATCCGTCGTGTAACTTTCCTCAGTCTCTATTCCGTTATCGAATCGCTTCCCGCACCCTCTACTCAACTTTGCCGGCAAATTTAGGACACTTAACCACAAACCCCTTTCTCGCTTACTTCAGCAATTCCTCCCCTTAACGCTGGCCCATCATGCCGACTCTCGCCATCCACCCCGGTGCCGTCATCTTCGTTACTGGCGTTAACGGACTGATTGGCAGCCATATCGTTGACCAGCTGCTGAAAAGAGGATACAATGTCCGTGGCGCGGTCCGCGATGTTGAGAAGAGCAAATGGCTCGCTAAGTACTTCGACGCGAAATACGAGGGTGCAAAATTTGAAATGGTGGCGGTACCGGATATGACGGCTGATGGGTGTTACGATGAGGCCGTCAAAGGTTTGACGCATTACCCCATCTGCAAAGAACCAGCTGACAGTGGCGTGGCTATCCAGGCACGGCCGGTTTCGTTCACGTAGCGTCCCCGCTCAACGGCGAGGACCCGAACGTTGTCATTCCTACAGCGATCAAAGGCGGCTTAAATGCGCTCAAGGCCGCGGCGAAGACTCCCAGCATCAAGCGTGTCGTATACACCTCATCCTCCATCGCGGCCACTTTCCCTAGCCCCGGTGTGGAGAAGATCATCACAGACGAGAGTTTCAATGATGAGGGAACCAAGAAGGGGTGGAGGCATCCGGAGGATGAACCGATGTATCTGAAGGGCCTGTACCTATATGCTGCGTTGAAGACGGAGGCAGAGAAGGCTTGTTGGAAGTGGATGCAGGAGAATAAGCCGCATTTCGATTTCAACAGCATCGTGAGTAGCTACACATGGGAACTCTTGGGATTGAAGTTAGCTGATGATAACCGCAAAGCTTCCCAATGCGAACTTCGGCAAGGTACTCGTTCCGGAGAAACAGGGCGCTCCGTCTACGATCGCATGGGCAAAGTCCGCCTTCACTGGTGAAAACTTCGAGCTCATAGGCAAAGTTATCACGCCTCGTAAGCGCTCTCTGCCTCCTCTAACTCTATCCCCCTAGTTGACCCCTACGCCTGTAGAATATTTCATCTCGACGCAAGACTGCGCCGTCCTGCACATCGCCGCCCTCATATACTCCGACGTCGCCTCCGAGCGCCTCTTCGGCTTCGCTGAGCGCTTTGACTTCAACAAGATCCTCGCTATCTACAGGAAACTCTATCCGGACAAGAAGTTCCCAGAAGATGTGCCCGGTTTGGTAGACGACGGAGTGAAGGTGCCGAGCGAGAGGGCGGAGGAGGTGCTGAGGTGGGTGAAGGACGGGGAAGGGTGGACTAGGCTTGAGGATGCAGTGGGTGAGATGAGTGCGCAGTTTACTACGGAGACGTGAGCTACAGGGTTCAAGAAAGACCTGGAGGTAGTTAGCTCGAACTTCTAGTAGTAGTTCTTGATTCCTCTTTCGTCTTGCTCTGATGGTGTACATATTCCTTCCTTTCTCGACAGCAGACTCGCTGTATCACTCACCGGCAGCATGCCGCTAACGTTAGATCCTCATCACAACTTCCCTAATAGAGACCGAGACAGTCTGCTTCAACTGTATGTCCTGAGGCCCTCCTAGCTTGATTATGCACTGATCGGAGTCACAGAATGAGAGATGCTGCGGTCAAAGCTCCCGATTGCTTTCAAGTCTTCACATAGACGTACTTCAGTTGGTTTCCTGACGTTGCTTAGCTAGTACATGTCGGTTTGCAATGTCATGTGATGGGCTCCGTCACTGTGACTCTCTAGGCGGTAACGATCACTTATTATCTGCTAGTTCGCTCAGACCTCGCAACTTACACCATTATACATCCTACCCCCATCGCTAAGCCCTTTCCTTTCTGTTCCTCGCTTAGATGCCTAAATCCTCCACCCTCAACAGTCCACTCGCCATCCCCGCGGCCGCCCACGTCCCGCACTTCAGACTTGGATTCCAGGCAAGCTTCGTAATGGCAGACTTCTCCTCATAGATGGTGATATATTTGGCCCCGTCTTTGTAGCGCTGGAATGCGTCTGGGTAGTGTATGCCGGGTTGTTGAGCGCGGTACCCTTCCGTAATGCGGATTAAGGGTTGGGAGAGGATTTGTGGCGGGACATTGGAGGTTGTCGCGACCACAGGGGATGCGCTACTTGGAGGTGCTGCAGGAGTTGCGCCACCGTGTTGAGCGTGAGGAGCAGCGTTTTCATCGCTAGGGGCGGTATCAGTAGGAGGAGATTGGCTATTCGTCCCACTACCCTGCGCCCCATTCTGGCCCTTCACCCTCAGCGTCAACTCTTCGACTGGCGGCCTCCATTCATGCTTGAACCAAGGCTGTTGCCAAGGAAGCTTCTTACTATTCAGCACCTTCGCGACCGGATTACTCCCCAGCACCGTACCATCCGTACCACCCAGCAGCACGCAAGGCTGGACCAGGCTTGTCGCGCAGCACGTTACTGAGCTGTTGATTCGCATACTGTATATATTCGCATAGTAGCGTCGGATGGTGTTATGCTTCAGCATGTAGTACTCGTCGGGCATGACGAAGGATTGCGTTTGCTCGTGCCATGCTTGGGTGAGGACGAGTATGCGACTACGCACCGAGGAGCAGGCGTCGGCGACGGGGGAGCGCAGATCGAAGAGCCGGGCGAAGCCGTCGGCCGTCGTTATGGAGAGGTAGTGTGGGCGGGAGGGGTAGCCGGAGGTGAGGCTCAGGATGTAGGTGTCTGCTACTTGTTTATAGAACCAGGGTTGCGGGATGAAGCTGTCGACGTCCCCTGCATTTGCAGGTGGGAAAGTTTCCGGTCGCGTTAGAGTCCAGACTGCGAGGTTGCCTGACGCTGTACCGACTGCGAGCGTGGTCGCTGATAGCCAGTGCAGACACGCTGGGATCGTGTCCGCAAAGGAAACTTCGAATGCGGACTTGGAGTAATGCATATACTGTGTCTCCATCGGATCCTGTTCAGGCTTGCGGTGGGAGACATCTAGAATCCTTACTTTGCCATCCGTCCAAATACCCGCAAGCAGTCCGAGACGGATCCTGCTGCCGTTGTTCGAGGGCTCCATCGAATCTGCTGCGCCGATTGGCCACCATCTGAACTGCCTTGGCAAGCCCCAATCTGTGCAAATCACTTGCTCGAGCCTAGGTTCCTTCGTCGTATCCATATCGCCATTCGCAAGGGAGTCAAAAGCCCAGATCTGTATCGACGCCGCGAAGCCCTTCGTAGGCGAGAAAGCCGGAGCCTTCGGGTTCTCTAGCGGCTTGTGATGGCGGCCGGTTGTCTGCTTTTGCTCGACGGCGACGGCGAGGTATTGGGTACCGCTTTCCACCCATTGCGCCTCTTGGATCTTGGACCCGAGGTTGAAAACCCAGCCTTTCCTGCTTGTTTCGGGACTGAATGGCTTCGCCACGCTCATGTATTCACCCTTCCTCAAAGTGTAGAGCAGCGGCTTCTTGACATTGCCCATGAGGAGATTGGTTGAGTCCGGTCCCAGGTTCGCCATGTACGTTTGAGCCTCCTCTTCTCTCAGCTCCCTACTCTTTTGCCCTGCAGCGAAGGCTGCGCGTCCATCCTCTTGATACCACTTCCTCGTCGCTTTGGTTTCCTTCTCCGGTCCCTCTTCCGGAACAAAGAACGACCTTTGCGGACCGCCCTGCGACCGGCTCGGAAACGTCTCCTGAAGCTTCCACTTATCCCTCGTCAACAAGACCGGCTTTAGGTCGTCGTGGGTGGGTCCAAACAGATCCTTCAGCCGCATCTCCTGCCCTCCTGTCCCCCAGTCTGCGGCCCCTCTTGCATGCTTCTCCGCACTGGCGCCTATTAAATAACGGCTGCCGGGTTTATAACTGGGACCGCCGCCGCGTCCAGCGGGTTTTGCTTTGGCTCCTTTGCTTCCTCGTCCGGGCCCGGGACTATGGGTGTCGAGTTCTCTGTCGGAGTTGACATCGATGACGGACTCGCCACGCGGTAGCTCTTCCTCGATCGGTTCGGCACCGTCGTCCTCCTCGTCGCCTATGTCTTCTCCTAGAGACTCGTCCGCTTCGTCCTCGTCATCCTCGACAGGAACGAACTCATCGTCTTTCCTCTTCCTTCTCTTCTTTGGCGCATTGTCTTCTACGTCTGAAGCTTCGATAGGCTCGCCATCCTCGCCTTCGTCTAGGAAACTGAATTGGTCAAAGCCATATGACCGGGGTTGTTTGCCGCGAGTTTGGCGGCGTGATCTCCCTGCACAATGGCTTTAGCTCATGTGCATATGGAGTGCCGGCTTAGCGAGCGCAACAGCGTGGCTCTTACCTTCTACCATGTGCGCATGCGTCTGGTCATGACCCGCCGAGCGCGCTGGTTGTTCGGTCTGGGCCTAGCGATTTGCCCGCAAGTCAATGTCTGCGCTCTCCGATGCTATGTTTTGTGCGCAAAGCGTTGTTAGGAACATTCAATAGTATGTGCCGTGCCGTATGTTTTCGTAGTATATCACGAAAGGCGCAAAGTCGACGAAAAGCGGGAAGTACCCGTGGACCATTAGTAGTATCGAACAAAAGCCCCGCCGCACAGACCACTTCTTTCACCTGCGTCATCTTGCAAACTTTGGCCGTACCCCACTTCGCTCCGACTCATCTCTCAATAATCGCTCAGACGTCACAACTCAGACGTCAAAATTTTTGCCTACACTATATTTACCAAGTATTATTTGAAACACTCATCAATCAAGCATACAAGCATACGGTGGTATGGTCTAGTGGTATGACGTCGCGTTGTGGCCGCGCCAGCCTGGGGTAGGTTGGCCCTCACTTCTGAGGACTAAAAGTCACAATGCGAGCATCGGACTAACAATGTTACAGTTCGATTCCCAGTACCGCCAAATATCTTCTTTTTTGCACTTTTACGTCGCTCAAGGTGGCAAAAGGCTCCAATGCCGACTTTTGGGGCATTGCTATCGTGGGTTTCTTTTTACTCTGTGCGTGATCACGAAAAGAAGGCCGAGGCATGGCAGACTCAAAAGCGTACAAGGATGTCGGTGATGCTCAAAAAGCTCTATTAGAGCGTAGATCGTAGAGATCTCTATAGGGGTGGTGTTACTCATGAATATGGTGTTATCAAACACGTAGAATAAGTGAAGATGCTGTTTGAAGAATATCCCATTATTGGGGATGTTTCATTGAGTCACATCATTCAAAGACCCCCTCCAGCGAGCCAGCCCAAGCTATGTGACACTCTCGACCAGATGCACAAATGCGTGACCCATTTCCCAGTATGCCCGCGGCTGTATGAAAATCACCATCTATAGACCCGACCCTAGTACTCAAGCTCGTGTTCTGCTACTAGACTTCTTATTCTTGTCCTTGCTCCGATCATAATCCAGCACCCTCCTCATACGATGGTTCTGAGCCATTTTCCACCGCACGTAGAGTAGCACCGCATCCTTCATACCGACGAAAAGACAACCTCCGACGATACTCCTTCCCCATTTGGCTTGCAGAAAACCGGTGGGTTTCCCTGATGCAGGCGGCGTTACCCATGATTTCGGGAGCGCGTGCTTGAGCGCTTCGCCTACGGCTGCGGCTATGGAGGGGAAGATGAGGGCCCCGAGGATGGTGTCGGCGAGGCCCGTGGTGCTGAAGCCGATGTTGCGCTCGCGGCGGATGCGTTGGCGGCGGGGGTGGGCGGGTTGTTGAGGGACGTTCGGTGCGGGCGCGGCTTCCTGATTCTCGTCGTTCATGTCGATGAGCGGAGGCGCTTCGTCATCCATCGGCGGTGCGTCTAGAGGGGGCGCTGGGCCGCGCGCAATAGGTACTGGCGGATTCTCAGCCGCGTCGTTATTATCCGCTGCTCCGCCGTTATTCCAGTCTGCGAAAATGTCGAAGTCGACTTCGATTTCTACGACGTCGTTATCGTCCTCGTCTTCGTCTGCGAGCGCGTCGAGGATGTTATCGGCTTGGGCGTGGGCGTCTTGGGCGTCGGCATTGTCGTCTGCGCCAGACCGAGGCTGGATCTCCTTCAGCCATCGCTGCTCACGCGGTAGCCAGACGCGCTCGTAGTATGCGTTGTAGATGCCGCGAACGTAGGGCAGCGTGGCGACCGTGAAGGCTGCGCTCGGTGGCCACGAGAACTGCAGCATCTCATCCTGCGGCGTGCCTCCGCTGACGAAAAATATGAGCGGGAGGAAGGGGAGGAAGGAGTCTGCGAGGGATGTCCGGCTGGCAACGAGAACTGTGGGGATCAGCGGCAGACCGACATCTAACCTCCAGTGGTTTCGCAGGTGGTTGTATAGCCGTATCGCAACCGAGGTGTCCCGCGGGTTTGGCGGCTGGTACAGCGGCCCCAGAATCTGCAGCGCGTCCTCCGTCCCAAAGATCTCATACACCGTATGCGTGCCCGCCAGCGTCAGCGTCGTATACGCCGCTGTCGCTGTCACAAAGATGAAGCCTGGGAGCAACATCATGCCCGTCAGCCGCTCCATCATGCGCACCGTATCCACGACCAAGCTACGCGGCCGCTCAAGCCGTATCTCAGACTTGCACTGTGGACACAGTATCTTTCCCGACTTCCCACCAACGCGCCGCCGTGAACTAGGTGCCTCCATATCAGCTATCCAGTCTAGGAGGCATTTCTCGTGCGCTACTAGTACGCAGGGACATGGCGACCGCCATTCTGAGGTATTTTCATCGTCCTCGGTTTCATCGTTGAAGCATATCCAGCACTTGCGGGGTTCCTTCTCTGGTTGCGGAGCCTCCTTCGGCGTTGAAGATGATGATGCGTCGCGCTGCGCTGATTCGGCGGGCTGTGCTGATTGTGAGGGCGGAGAGTTTAGGAGGAGGGTTTGGGAATCCGCGGAGGCGGAGAAGCTGCTCTGGCGAGCTGGCTGGTTCTGCTGCGAGGAGGATGATTCGGCGGGCGGAGATGCCCTCCGCTGGGAGGCTGGCCGTTGCGGCGGGAGCGACGCCATAGCAAGAGGGATTTCGGGCTGTATCGAGGTCGGGAAGGCGTATCAAAGAAAAGAGGTAATATTAGGTAGCCATAGTCAAGGTGGAGGCAAAGAGGTGGTGAGCTTGGCTCGTGAGCGGAAGTTTGTTGATGCTTTGCCGAAACTAAGGGCGGGAAGACGTCACCTCATTCACTACCCGCACCAGTGCCCGTGGACCGCCAAGGCTGAAGTAGCACAAGCGCTGCATACATTGCCATTTCCATAATCCGACCAAAGAGGATATGGCAATAGGGCAGGTACACATTTATGTAGCTTGCTAGCTCGGCATTCTATCAGTAGTGGTTGTATGCAATCAGGATCCATGCTTGAAGCAATACTGCTAAATATTATACAGATCCCGTTACGCCTGCAAATGGCCGGTCTTGTGCCTAGTCTAATCCGCAATTGTCCGTTGCATCCTCCTCAGTCATCCTCATGTTACCAACCCTCGACCTGGAATTCGAACGTCGCATCGCCTTTGCCCTTCTCAATCGGTTTCGCATCCCGATCGAAGAGCGTCCGTTCAAGATAGAAGACCTTGCCCTCCCGATCTACCAGAATAACAATATTCTTCTGCGTCCCATAGACACCGTCCGTCGCGTGCGCAGCCCTCTGCTTGACCACGTCGCCGATTTCATGAGCGGGCATCTTCAGTTCTTCAAGATCGTCCCTCCCAATCGATGGGATGAAGATGCTATGCCGAAGTTGGTTCAAGTACATATCCCATTCCTCGTTCTCTTTCTGCTTTGGCATAGTGTCGATGCTTAGAATGTCGATCAACCGGTCCACAAGCTGATCTCGGGTTTCGTTCTTTTCCACGCTCGTCCTGATAGCTTCTACGGTCCATTTCTCTCCGTTCACGATTTTCGGCCATGAGCGGTCACCGTAGGCTGCATTGCTGAGAGCGTGTGTCTCCCCTGGTTTTGTGGCGAGGATTATCACGCCGTCGATATCGGGGGTCCGATTGGAGATAATTCTGAGGCCTTTTCCGCCCTTGACGACGTCTTGCATGAAACCGTAGAGCAGGCTAAAGCCTCCCACACCTTTCACACCATCCTCCTGGATCATTCTCTTAGCGAACTGCTCCGCTGATTCACTGGCCTTCGGATCCGACTTGAGCCATGCATTAGGAATGAGTCCCCGGCTTCGGGCACCTTCGATGATGGCTTCACCCTCCTCACGGTAGTTGGTGAGGACTGCGACTCGACCTTGGCGAGTCACGCCAAGCCAGGTACCGCGGGCTGGCCGATGCAGGTCGTAGCCTCCGAGGACTTGGGTGTCGGGTTCTGGCCACCATGTTGCTTCTTGTGTGGGTCGGTGCAGATATTCCTATTTCGAATGTTAGCGATCGCAGCAAAGATTCAGAGACGGCTAGGAAATACATCTCGGTTGTTCAGTATGATGAGGGGATACTGAGGATGCTCAGTCGTCACAATGGCGATACACATTCTGAGAACCTACAGGAAGCCCTGTACACAAGTCGACGAGTTGAGCTTCGAATAAAAGAATCGTAGGCAGTCTCGAGACAGGTCGCTTAACAGTGAAGGAATCTGAGGGTGCAGTTTGGAAGGCTTCCACGATTCGGAAATGTACGGGTCGAGTTAAATGGATACCGGTATCGGGTAGTTGCAGCGCACAGGTACAGAAGTTGGAGTGCCAGGCGGTGTGCGAAACAGCAAGCCCTTACTTTATATGTGTAATCCAAGCACCTCTGCCGAGCCACATTCATGTGAGATGAGGTGTCACGGCTCCATGGGGTGAGCCAGAACGGCGAGGATTGAATGCCTCGATTATGGACTTGTGACGGTGACGGCAACGTAGCCCGAGGTTCTGGAAGCTTAGGCTCACCTGACGTTCGCCATTTTCCTTTCGAACGTGGGGTAACCTTGGGAGGCAACTGAAGGGGGTTCTATGAGTGGGATACAGCGCTATTGTTGAGTAGTGACAGGTCGCACGGCAGAATGTTTCTCGAGATAACGACCTGTGCCTGTGGATGTGCTTCCAAGTTCTTAGAGACTCACGTGCGGGTCTAGCCGCTTCCGGGTGGGAGCTTAGACCCTGCCCGAGCGCGTCATTTCAATGCATGCCGCTTCCTCAGCCCTACGTGTCGCAGACATCCTTCCAGTTGTCACGATCTCGGGTTGACAGCTTTCTCCTCCTTCAACCTCTGCACCCCATCGCTAACAAAGATGGCAAACTTCGCGCCCTACCAGGACATTCCCGAAACCACACGCGCCCTCTCTCCGCCGCCCGCAATAACCTCCCCAACCCGCTCCCCACGCACCTCTCTCGACCGCTCCCGCAACATCGGCACCGGCGCACTCACCTCTCCGACCACCCATCAATATGGACAGCAGCATGACTACTTCCAGGGCCAGCAACCGCAGGAGCCTGAGCGGGTAGCATGGAATACGCCGGGCGGGTTTGGCGGGCATAGGGAAGAGGTGGATATGTTCCAGACGAGGTTGGGGTTGAGGATGGATTATGAGGCGTGTTTGGCTTATTTGCTCCTACCGCCTGCAGGCCCAGTGCTGCTTCTGGTGTTGGAGCATAGGAGTGATTATGTGAGGTATGGTTATGAGAAGGGAGTGAAGGGATGGAGGGATTAGAGCTAACGGAGGTCTAGGTTCCATGCGTGGCAGTCGAGCTTGCTCTTCGCATTCGTCTTCGTCATTCACATCATCTTCAGCTGGTCGAGCATAATATCGTGGCTTCTATTCGTAGGAGACCTAGGTCTGATTGGGTTCCTCACATGGCACGCATATCAAGATGGTAAGCAGTGAACGCTATTATTTGACGCTTAGTCTTACTCTATATAGCGGCAACCCTCGATCACTACGAAGTTCCGTTCTTCGGGCCGCTAGCCACCTCCATCCTTGAGGACGAGTAGAAGCAGATAGAACCTCGAACCGAATCTGTATCCCAAGATTTCCACATCTAAGAGGGCAACGGCGTCAAAGGGCATGTTCAGGGCGTCGCAGGGCATTTCAATACCATTGCTGGGTATCCATCCGTGGGATATTCGGGTTTCTTCAAGGCTGCTGAGCCCGTACCATTGTAATAAGACCTTCTACATAACACCTTCTAAATGTCAAGCGAACATCGACTCCTTTATCCGAAGCGTTCCTTGGCAATGGCCTTTAGATACACCATCGTCTGTGCTTCCTTCGCCCTCCGATCTGCTAGTCGTTCTTCTCGTTCGGCCGCTCTTGCCCGTAGTATCTCCTCCCGCCGAATCTCCCTCTCGCTCTTCTGCCGCTCGGCTTCCACCTTTCGCTTTTGGTAACCCTCGATACTATCGTCGCCCAACAGATCAGCGTCGCCTATCTCGACATCCCCGCCTTCCTTCGCATCGCGAAAATCTTTGAGAGTGTTGGTTGTCTCACGCTTCTTCTCCAGCTGGCGCTCGCGTGATCCTGGGTCTGCTCGTGGGGCAAGCTCCTCCAGCCGTTCTTTCTGTGTTTTCCGGTCTACCTTTCGTTCATATCGAATATCGTCGACGTAGTTGGCTCGCTCGCGTGCGCGGTCCTCTTCTCGAAATTCATCCCTCAGCGCTAAATCGTCAAGTTTGGGTATGGTGGGCCCATGACCCGGATGCCGATTTCCTACATCCGGCGGTGGCGGAGGCCCGAAATCGTCATCGTCACTTTGAGGCTCCGCGTCTTTGCGTGAATTGTACTCGGGTGATCCGCGCCTTCGGGGCTTCGGGGAGCTTCGTCGGAAGGACTGAACAGTTTCTTGGGCTGTTTTCAGCATCGAAGGTTCATACCAGCTCCGTGCTAGGTCTCCACGATTCCTCACCAGTGTTAGCATACTTGTCCCTTCCGCTGCCGCGATGAAGAGAATGGTACGTACCATCGTCCAACGAAGCTCTTCCAGCGACCCTTGGCTTCGCGCTCATCTAGATCATCTAGGGTAATCTGCTTCTGGATATCGAGATATGACTGGAAAAGCGGCTTGTACTCCTGAAACTGGCGCTTTGAGAGCTGTTTGGAATTATACGGCAGCACTACCGGGCGTGGAGGAGAGCGCGAGCGACGGCGCTTGTGGTGTCCTCCATCGTCGCGAGGCGGGGAACGCGAACGGGATCGCGGATGGCGAGAGCGATGGGGCTTGTGATGGCGTGGTTCTCGATATGGAGACCTTGATTGTGATCTGCTTCGATGTCTGTGGTTGTCGCGAGTTGGTGGCATAGTTCGTTGTGCTCGAAGGGCATGGTGGATCGTCCTCAAGCACATCGCAGCTCGGCTTCCGCTTTGTGGGATAGAACGAGTGGTCTGTGCGCACAAGCGCCTTTCACCAGACGTGCGCTTCAAGCATTCACCTCCCAGGCCATCTCTTGTCCGTTCAGTTGGGTCTCAGTATTGAATGCCTTCACCGCCGTGGGCTCTCTCCGGGCCATTCTCAGATGAACGCTGGCAGCTTCGATGAACCACCCGTCACGATCAGGACCTTCCTATTCTTGCTGATGTGCTGCCCGCATCGTATTCCTTGACCCCGCAAAACAGAAATTCGTCGTCGGCACACGATGTGCCAGTTCGCAGATCATATCTCGTTCCTGAGCCGCCTTGAGCGGGGTCAGACACCGGTGGCTCGTCATCCCGAACTGCCTCATTTTCTTCCGTAGGAGCAAAGCTCCTACAAACCTTATTCTACCCTCCTCACGTCCCGCTCTCTCTGCGCTATGGACTGCCGAATCAAGTTCTTTTCTCTTTTGTTTACCATATCGTTGCTACCTGCGGCTACATCAGTGGGACCGCCCCTCCGTGAGACTCCGAAATGTCGATTCTCCCCTCAGTACTCTCTGGAAGATGTCCTATCCGACAGTGATGCCTTTGTTTGGGACCTGTTATACTGGGAAGGTCACTTCCATCAGAATAATGTCGGATACAACCAAGCAAACGGCATGACGTTCGATGGTACCTTGCTAGATCCCATCACAGGCACGGCCAACTTCAGTGGCCTCCATCCTTTTAGTGCAGCCAGCAAAGAATCTCTGCACGTTATGATTCTTGCGCATGCCGTTGCCGGTAGTTCTTTCGCAGCACGCTTCTTATCTCCCGAAGAGCCTCAGAGCACGCCACGAATCGCCTATGAGATCCTAGAGAAGAAGCTCAAGACATACGTCCAGTTCAACCAGACGTACCCTGGCTTTGGGGGGTTTCTTCCGTGGTTCCTAAGCAACGAGACTGATATCCGACCCACTTTGGACTGGGTCAACAGAGTACCTGCTCTTGACAACGGGTTATTGAGCCCCACACATCTTGCGAAGGAATTATCATTGACTCTTGTGTAGCGAGCTGCTATGGGCGGTCTATGGGGCGGTCCAGGCACTTGAACGCTCGAATCAGTCCGAGTTTACGGATCTGGCACGTGGTTGGCAAGCCTGGCTAGACTACACCAAAACCACAGCAACTGAGGTAGAACCATAGCTCCGGGTCTAGCTGTTCGTTGAAGGTCCTGACGACGGCAGGTTTTTTATAACGGCACAGGACGTGTCTGCGCTGTCACCGCCATTGGAAACCAATCGGAGCCCCTTGGCGGGCCTGATCAGTCGTACATGTGCGAAGGCAATCAGACTCTTAACGATCCGTACGAGGGGGAGCTCTTCACGTGGTGGTTATATCTGTTCTCGGACCTCAACACCGCGAAGAAGGAAGAGCTCTGGACCGTCAAACGAACCCAGGTTGTTGCTACCGAGTGGCATTCCAATACTTCCCTTGGAGATGTCACGGTTCAGAAGGGTTACTGGTTTTCAAGCCACGAGCAGTGGAAGCTCTTGGAAATGCCGTACACCGATGTGTTGCTCATCAAGCGCATTTTCCACAACGCGGAGCGAGCGCGGACGTGCAACTCATTCTTGAACGGCGTCCCAGGAATGTATGCTTCAGTAAACAACGTCACGGACGAGTCTGGTCAGATCCTAGGGTACATTTCAAACGCCGGTGTTCCGAGCATCTCGTTTCTGCCCGTGCAGGAGCTCGATGTCATTACTCCCTACTCGGTCTTCCCTACCGTCCTCTTCGATCGAAACGTTGGTCTTGCGTGGTGGAAAAACATGGTTGACGGCAAAGGCATGCAGAACCTGTACGGCTCCACAGAGTCTGAGAGGGTGGATGGCGCCGGTATCAGTAGCTTTGTGTCATGGGATAGCAAGGTTACCACCGTCGCTGCGATACTAGGCGGTGTGACAGATCTCGTAAGGGACAAGATGAAGGAAGATGGTATTTATGACACGTTTGTCGAGGTATCCCAGAGAGAGTACACGCTTGCTTTTGGAGACAGGCTGGAGGGAGAAGATGTGGAGTTGTGCTTGCCCAACGTTGGCGTGCCGGATACCGGCAAGGTCGTGGATTATGAATCATGTCGCTAAGAGATTACAACGGCCTTGATAGGGCGTACCACAGGGGCATGCAGGATGCACTTCAACTGTGCACGATCGGGACATTCCCGACGTTTCGTCCGCCAGTATGCAGCTCTGCTCGGATAAAGAGGCCTACGACGCCGAGAAGCCTTTCAACGAGGCACAGCACTGCCTATCGCGTGGCTTTGATACTCAGCGCGAGACATGGCTCACTCATACATCTGACAGTGGTCCTGTCCAAGCCACGACCCATGAGTCGAATCTAGATCCTGCTTCGCTGCGGTTGGCCATTCACGCCTATCTCCGGATTGGGCATACGAAGCGAGCGTCGGCGAACAGGCATTCCGCACCGATCTCCACCGTCATTCGCGGAGTCAGCTTGCCGTCCCGCCGACCGCAGCCTCCATCCACTCATCGTCGTCCTTGGGATCAGCCGAGCTACGCCCTGGTCGATCTTCCGGATTTGCGTGTGGAGAGCCGACACTTAGGCCTCAACACAACACGCTGCGGCTCACGCGAGGTATCGTCAGCATGGTTTGGCCGTGCTTGGTGAGGGAACATCAAGTCTGTTTCTGTTCTGAAACAGACGAGTTTCCCGCAGGAGAAGCAGACATTGTTCCTGGGCTCCGGAGCGCATAATGGTATAGAGGAGTATGGCGAGCGCCACGGACAGTTTTCGGAAGAAGAAACTATGCTTATTACGACCTGCAGAACGCAGCGACGCGTGGGCAACGGCGCACAGCTACCACCGGCACCCCAATCCAGCAAGGCGTCGACCCGTCAAACCTAAGCAAGAACCACAAACCGCAGCACGCTCCAGAGCGAAGGGGCTAAGCCCGCCTTCATCCCATTGGGTTCCTAATGCCGTTTCGTGTATGTCGTGCCCACGCCTTCGTCATTCATCTGGGTAGCTGCATGCTATTCCTGGGTCTAAGGCAATCATATCCCGTTCCGGCCCCACTCCATCTTACAGCTCGTAAGGTCTTCTGATATATGGACGGCCGTGTAGATATCGGCGCAGCCCGCTTCTGCCCCTCTTGAACTTTTGCGTGGAGAGACGTTTGGTCGTGTTGCGACTGTTCGATATGTCTTCGACGGGTGGTCAGGATCAGGTTGTGAGTGTTTACAGTGTATCCTATGTGTGCGAAGCTAATGTTTTCCAAGGCTGCGCAACAGCAATCGGGTCCTCCATATGCGCCTCACAATGCGAGTTTGGGCGGTCGGCCAGATATTATACCAGATATCCCAGTAACGGCGGTCTTTCTCTTTCTCTATGTCGTCTTCGGCATTATACATATCAAAATCTTCAAGAAGAACAAGGCCAGAGGGCACAAGTTCGTGTTTAATGGAGCGCTATTCGGTACGTTTCAACTGCCCCTGTTCAGCCAGCAGCAGCCTTTGAGTCTTTACTTACCACGAACCAGGATTCTGCCAGATACGGATAATAACCATGTCCCTTAGGATAGCATGGGCGTGCCACTCCACAAACGTCGGCCTTGGAATCGCAGCCCAGGTCTTCGTCTACGTCGGAACGATCATTCTGTATATCGTCAACTGGTTCTTCATCCAGCGAGTTATCCGAGCGCAGCACCCACTCTTTGGATGGTCGATGCCATACCGAATACTGCACAGACTAGCGATCGTCTGCCTCATTCTCTCCTTGATATTGCTGGTCGTGGGCGCTATCCAGCAATTCTTCACGCTGAACACGACTACGCTCGATATCGATCGCTACTTGCAACTTGCGGGCAACACGTACTTCGCTGCTTTCTGCTTCGCGCCAATCCCCATGGTTATCCTTTCGCTCATTTTCCCACGGCGCAGAGTCGAGAAGTTTGGGGCTGGCCGACTCAGGAACAATGTTGTGATCCTTCTAATTGCCGTAGCCATTCTGTCTGTCGGGCAGATCTTTCGCTGCGTTACCGCATGGCTTCCGAACTACCCGCTCCGCATCCACCAGGGCCAGGAAATTGACGCACCGTGGTACTATTCCAGGTGGTGCTTCTACGTTTTCAACTTCGCAACCGAGATCCTCGTAGTAATCTTCTACGCCGTGACCCGAGTGGACCTGCGCTTCTACGTCCCGGACGGCTCCAAGAAAGTTGGAGATTACTCAAACAGGCCCGGTGGCCGCTACCATGTAGACATTATCGGCAACGAGAAAAACCTCAAGCGCACTTCGACCGGCCCCTTCGGAATCGGTGTTCTCCACCCCAACGGCTCAAGCGAGACGCTGCACGAGTACGAATCCTCGCTTTTTGACGACACCCGCACGCTGGCCGATTCCCTGCGTTATCCATCCTCGATTCTGGAAGTGGATCCCAAGTCCGGTCACTGGAAGATCAAGCGCGCCTCTGGTGCTGGCTCAGTGACCAGTCTCCAGCGCCACTCTAACACGTCCGAAGGCTCGGTCTGGGACCCAACGCGCAACACCTACGTCAACGAAAACACGCCGCCCGTCCCTGACATTCCAACCGATTGGCCGCTCCGCGAATCGCAGCTCCCACGTGGGTCGATACCCGTTATGGAGCACCAAAATCGGGGTAGTAGGTCGGCCGGTCAGTCGTCGCTGAGGAATGAGATCGGCAACCATGACATGAATGCTGTGGATATGGGCAACTCTATCGAAGACGCGATCCGCAAACTCGAGGCGAACAGCGAAGTGAACAAGGCCCACCCACCCGATTACGACGCCATTACGCCTGTCAAAGAGCGTTCGGGCAACGTTACACCCCTGAAGTCGCGTCAATCTAGCGCAGAAGTCCCACGGAAACACGTGTACCAGCCCAGTCCGCTCCGCTCCGAGGCCGCTGATATCCCGCGGAAGCATGTCTACTCACCAGTGTCGAACAACCCATGGGCTTCGGAGCTCCCGCAGAAGCACAGCCACAGCGCTGTTGCCTCTAGCTCGGCTTCCAACCTCCCCAGAAAGATCGATTACAGCGGAACCGCTTCCGGCTCAAGCTCCGATCTCCCCAAGAAGCGCGACTACAGTGCTCACGCTCCTCTGACCTCGCATCCTCCGACTCCCCCCAACAAGCACTACAGCGCCCCTTCCCCCACAAGCGCTGGCTCCGACATCCCCAAGAAGCACAACTACGCCCGACCCGATGAGCTGCACTTCTCGGCGCTACAGCAGCAGCGAAGTCCTCCGCCCCAGCCGGTAAGTCCGCCGCAATCGTCACATCGCAGCGGCGCGACAAGTTTCGAGACGGCGACTGCGGAAAGGGAGTTCAAGCGCTTCAGCTTTGAGGCGCCGCCGCGGAGAGGGGAGGATGGGTTTGAGGGCGGAAGTAGCGAGAGTGAGAGGGAGTGGGAGCGGAGGTATAGAGGATGATTGATGAATGAATAGACGCACCCGACGGTGGCATTCTGAGTTTGTTTTGATGCACGAGCGTTGGCGTTAAGGATGGTTACGATGGGATGGGAATGGCATTTTTGTATATCCACGAGGGAATATAATGACCTTAAATACTGCATCTGAGGCGCTCTTCGGTGACCGTAACATGCTGCGTCGGGTAACCTATGCTGCATAGCGAAGAGTAAGCAGTCTCGGGGATTGAAGACGCTAAGAATGGCAACCTTTCCAATAACGAGTTGGGAACCGTGAACTGTCCAAAGAATCCTTTATTGCGTCCAGTTTTTCTAACCCATGCGTGTGTGCCTATGCCACAACCATGCCACCTCATCCCAAGGCGGCAGTCCTAAGTAACTCAACGAGAGATGAAAATGCTTGTAGAACGAGGGTATCCATACCACGCTCACCTTAAACCGCACCTAAAATATATACACGTGATAGAAATAAATAACCCAACAAGCCACGACTCTACCCAGAGTCAGTGCTCTAACCCGTTAGGCAGTCGACTTCCAATCGACTTCCTTCAAACATTGTAGCTGATAAGTCCAATAGTGTTCGAGTAGACGCTCAGATTGTCGCTCCACTTCGCCTTGTCCTGGCGATCAATGGTCAGCATCTGCAGCGCGCCGACCTGGCTGAGGGCGTAGGCAAGAATGCCGCTGCTCGAGCCCTCGATGCTGAAGATTTGGTTCTGGCAGTCCCGCTGCCCGTTCGCCGCATTCGGGTCGCTGCACGAGACGTCGTAGTTCTTGAAGAACGAGTACAGGCCTCCTCCGTAGATGAGGATGTTCTGGGAGTTGAGAATGCGCAGGCCGTACGCGTCGCAGGTTTGGCCGGCGGGGCATGCGGATGCGTAGTCTGGGTCGTTGAGGGCTTGCGAGAGCGGGTAGGGCTGCGACTTGGCGTCGGGCGACGGTTGCCAGTAGGGAGTCTCGGTCTGGATGAAGCCGGCAAAGACGTCTTGCGCGTTGGCGAACTGGTACTGGTAGAGCGCGTGGTGCTCGACGCCCGAGGCGTAGAGCCAGGTGGTTGAGCCCTCGACGAGGAGACCGCGGCCGGTGAAGACGGAGACGCGGGTGCTGTTCGGGTCGTCGAGGTCGTGGTCGGCCGTCCAGAACCAGTTGTTCTCCATGTAAGCGCCGCTCGCGGACTTGGTGATATGAACGTTCAGGTACGCAGCCATGCACTCGGTCTTGGTGGTCATGGTGGGGCACTGGGCGACTTGGAGGTTAGTGCCTTTGGCTCCACCGATGCGTGTGTGGACGTCCCACAGGCCTGAGCCTTTCGCGGATTTCAGGTTGTATTCGATGAGCACTGCACCGGGCGTGGCGCCTTGCGTCGCGACGATCATGTCCGACCACTCGACACTGCCGCTCTCTCCCGCTTTGCCAATCTGAACGACCGGAACCGGGTTGGTGTTGCTCGCCCAAGTGGAACCGCTGGCCATGATAACCGGGTATGTCTCTCCGGTCATGCGAGCGCCGGGCGGGACGTAGATAGTATTTGTGACCTTGTATACACCCTGGTCGAAGAAGAGGACCTTGTTCTGCGAGACGGCTTGATTGATGGCGTTCTGCACGGCAGTGGTATCATCCGTAACACCATCGCCCTTTGCGCCGGCGCTGCGAGCGCTGATGAAGTCGCCGACGGCAAGGTTCTCGTATTGAGGCTTGGACTTGGCGTAGAAGTTGCTGCCGTCCACGAGTCCAGCGGGTCGCTTCGCAGGCGTCAACGGGCCTTGGAACTTCTGAGGACCATCTGGAGTGTACTTGTTGCCTTGGCCCCAGGCTTGAATCGTGGTGCTCCCGCCAGCCAGAACTGTGGCGCCGGCTTTTGCAACAGCGACAGGCACGTTGCTGAGGGCAATGTTTTCGAGAATGAGTTGCCCGGCACCGATAGGCTTGGTGTTTTGCGCCCAGTTCTGTCCCTACGTTAGCTTGCATTCATTGACGTAGAAAGGAGAACATACCATGTTCACGAACGTCGGGCAGTCGGTGATTTTGCTGTCAATGATGACTACGGAGCCGACCAACAGGTCGTTGTTCTTATTCGGGTCCGTGCCATTCATCGAGAAAGCGATGCCGCATTTCGAGATGTCAAGGCCCTTGTAGAGCCAGCCCCAGTTCCATATCTGCGAGATGCCAATGACGGCATTCGAGATCTTGATGTTTCGCATGGTAAACTGTTGATTGCCGATATTCATGCCATAAAGACCTCCCTCAATCTCGAGATCTACCATGTGGCCGCCAGAACCTAATTTGGTTAGCGTGTATTCTGTGATACAGGCTCAATGTGTGCAATGATTCCGGATACACGAAGCTCGAGGCGAGCGGTTGCTGTAATAAACATGAAACACCGCAGCCCAACTCAATGAAATGCCTGGGAGATGCACTCACCATTCTCAACGAAGATGCCAGCGTGGACTGAGTTGGAAGCCTGGTTCATCCGAATCTTGACATTCTGGATCGTAGTTGCTTGCGACGCGGGCCAGTGAATACCTTGGGCGCCCGATGTTGGAGGAATAGGTGTCAGATCGATCTCAAAGTTTCGAATCTGCCGTGCGAAGATGTTGGTAGAGGTCCAGCCGGGTGCGCCATTTTGGTTGCTGTACGGGCTAGCGTCAATAAGGGCGAGGGCTTGGAGTGTGGGCGCAGCTTTGAGCACGGGTCGACCATTCGGGTTTCCAATCATCTGCGTCATGTAGTACATGACAATAGGCTTGCCGATGATGTAGGTACCAGAAGGGAAGTACACGACAGCCGGGGTGTCGGTAGAGGACTGGCAGACCCACGGACCGCAGCGGTTCCCGTCGCTGATAGCTTGGTTGATGGCATCAGAATCGTCGGTCACGCCGTCGCCTGTTACATGTTAGCGAAATGGATTCTCAACTTGTTATCAAGCCTCACCTTTTGCTCCGTAGTCCTTGACGTTGCGGAAGACTTTGTACCCCGCGGGATTCGCATTAAAGGCGGCGATGCCCTGCTTCGGGATGTCCGCCAGCCAGTACGAGCCAGCTGCGGCTGCCCGGATCTCATTCTGGGCTGTGGCAGCGTTCTCAGAAGTGGTGGCCGGGCCTTTTTCGAGCGGAGAGCCTGTCGAGGACGAAGATTAGGACCAGAAACGTGTATATACTGGAGGGGAGTTACTTACGTAGGACCGCTGCCCGTCCGCCTACTGCCAGCAGGCAGGAGACAAGGGAGAGGAGACGCATAGTCGAAGTGTATGTACAATAGAAAGTAGATTTGTACAAAATGGTAGTTGATAAAAAGGAGAGTGTAAAGGAGCGAGTACGAGGAAAAGAAACAGAGGTAGGAATTGTAGGAAATATTAAGGTCTTTATAAAACAAGGGCACTGTTCACCTTGCCCTCACGTATGGTAGCGCCTTCACGGTTAGTAGGCAAGGATGAAGGTAGGAAACGCGGGACCAATCCTTGGCCAGCGGTCATCTAGATGAACGGCGAGGGCACGGGAGGCATCTCTGGTGACAGGCCAGCCCGCCCCAGCGCTCTTGAAAGGGCGGTCATGCCGCAGTGAATTCCAAGTCGGTGTATGGTCCGACTGACTGATTGCAAACGTTGCATGGCTAGAGACTTTAGTTTAATTTCTGCGCACCTCCGGCTAAGCGACTGGAACTATGCAGGGCCTGCATCCAATGCCGGGGATTGGGTAGTGGTACGAAGTTGTACTCGACGGTACCTTCGAAATGAAAAGAAGACAAGATCCAGGAGACATCCAGGGAGAGGTGCGGGACTAACCCTAATTCAGCCGAGGGTCACCGGGGCGGCGGACACTCTATCCCAGTCAGACGTAGGAGACTTAGACCAATCAACCAGAGACATGTGAACACCACTATCCTAAGACATCCAGGCCGGCTCCAGGAAATAGCGCCGCGGTCATAGCCGCTCAACCCCATCCGTTCACACTCTGTGTTCACTGCCATCGCGCGTGGCTGTTGGTTTTGCGGGGTAGTTAGCGGCTTACTAGAGAGTGATCAGATCTCTCTTGTCGCACTGCGTCATGCTCCGTTCTGCCCTATTTGACTTGCCTGTTCTAGAATGCTCCTGCGCGCGTGCTCGCATACAGAGTTACATGCAGTTGTCAAAGAGCCCCTTCCGCGGCAGTCACGAAAACGCGACAGGTCTCGTGCGTACTCCGCGGGACAGTCGATCGGAGGAACCGACAGCCTTGGACTGTCCTTGGGGGTTGCTAGATGAGGCTGTTTGCGCCGACGGGCGAGAGAGGACATGGATGCAAATTAGACGCTGTCCTGAGTCTGGGCGCGTGTCCGGAGGGCCTCCGTTGGGAAATTTCGACAAATACCAGGCGGCAATTCATCTAGAGAGATGCTCTTTTCCACCATTCCAGAGAGAAGAAAATGTGTGAACAAACGAAAAACGGTTTTGCAGGTCAGGAGAGATCGTATCATATGCATGGTGCATATCTCAATACCAAACGACTAGGCGTGCAGCCGTGAGAAGGGAATTCTGGCCAGGAAACGCGACGGGAGGATTTGACGAGATAGATTAAAGGCCGACGCGATAGAAATTAAACAAACGTTGCTTTGGCCAGTCGGCTGCTTCAGAGTCGACCTTCTGCTTTGGTATAGCCACCAATCACGTTAGCGCACGTTCAGTCCGTTAGCGCGTGCTCAAATTAGAGACTAAATATGAACATGAACAGACGCAGCTTGTGCTCTGGAGTTTTTGTGTTCACCGGTACGTAATGCGTGGCATCGCGAGGCGCTCGTGTCGGATAATGTGCGCCTTTGAGGAAGTTTACCGTCGCGGGGGTGTGACGAGAAGATGGACGTCGGATTCCCTGGGTCATCTGGTCATACCATTCCTACCCGTGCCAACAAACTAGTTGACTCTCCATCGCATTCAAGCCTCCAAGACTCGGGAAGGTGTTAGGCCGAACGCAGCACGCGACGCGTGCATGGTACAGCACTGGCAGAGAACTGATCTACCAACGCACAAGAACGTCAATGAGCGGCTTGGAAGGCGGACACGGCACCACGATGTCGATAGAATCAAGTGGCTCGCACGGCAGGCAGATATCGAGCGTCTCTGGAAGTCGAGGTCGACGGGCAAATGCGAGCGGTCGTCCTCCGGGGTTTGGGCGCATACCCACCATCACACCGATGCAAAGGCCAGCGCCGCGCGTTCTTCAAGGCCCTGCCATTTATGTCATATCTTCGTCTTTACCTCAATAAACATCCCCTCTCCCACTGTGTACACAGTGCCCTGGCCGTCTTCAATTGTCGTGCGGATGTAGATCTTGTTCCTCTCTCTTCGATCGAACTTGGCTGTGCAAAGCACAACACCCGGCGTGGGAACCGGCTTCTTGTAGCTAGTATTGAGATCTTGTGCTCCGTTAGCCACCGCACCCAACGACATCTCAAGAAACATACAAGCAGTAAAGCAGTTCATCCCCTCGTCCGGCCCCATCCGTCCCACTTCTAGTCTCCGTTGGTTCTTGGCCTCGATATTCAGTGTAAGCAGCACCCCCATAACCTCATCCAACATCGTAGCCACAAACCCGCCATGCGCCATCCTCGGGTATCCATTCAGCCCATCGCCTAGCTCCATAATCGTCCGAACCTCCTTGAACACCATATCCCCGTCTTCCTCCTCCTTCACCGGCCTCAGGGTCAAGCATGACCGTATAGTCCTGCTCGTGCCCAGCGTCTCCGCAAAAAACGAGTCCTCGGTCGTAGGCTTCGGTACACGGGATGCGGTGCGGGTAGGCGTCCACTCGGGGGAATCGATCAGGGCGGCGCACCAGGGCGTTTGCGAGAGGTGGGCGATGGCAGCGTCGCCCATTTTCCTGCGGGTGGAGGGGGATGAGCCATTGGCGCCGGCGGGTGTGCTCATCTTATCGTGAAAGTGAATCGTGACGGCGTTGGAGCCGAGGTGTTGAGCAGAGAGGTACATGTTAGCGTCAGCCACTTAGATGACGGCATTTCCCAGGGGACAGGACGGAGTTGGTGCAGGGCGCAACCGAGAATGTTATCGATAGGTTAGTGCATATAAAGTTCTAGGGTTAATGCCCCACCGAGGGGTATCCAACATAGCCTGACGTCTGTCTTCAAGATCTTTGAACTCTACGATTTGTTCTTAATCCAGCTTCATTGCCCGCATAATCCGACCCCTGATTCCGCGGTCAACTAAATCAACATGACAGACCTCAATCTCCACGAGATCCATGATTTCATGATCGAAATTGCCCGCAAGGCAGGAGAGCGGATCGTCTCCGCGACGCCGTCGACACAGGGCGTCGGAAACAAGAAGAATTGTCCGTGAAAACCATTCTGCCTTCCAATTGACTTGAAAACCGTCTTTACTAACCCGCCCCCTCCAGCCGTCGACCTCGTAACCGAAACCGACCAAGCCGTCGAAAAGCTCATATCCACCTCCCTCCACGAGAAGTACCCAACCTTCGCCTTCATGGGCGAAGAGACGTACAAGCCCGGCGACAAGCTCAACGAAGCCCCCACTTTCATCCTGGACCCTATAGACGGCACCACAAACTTCGTGCACCGACACTGTACGTAGGACTATATACTCGTGATGCCTGGTCACATATCGAGAGCACTCGCTAATTCCCTAACCTACACCTGCAGCATACGTCTCCATCTCCCTCGGCCTCTCGCTCAACCTCACCCCCACAATAGGCATCGTCTACAACCCCTTCACCTCCACGCTGTACTCCGCCATCCGCGGCCAAGGCGCATATCTCAACCAATCCGAAAAGCTTCCTCTCTCTCCACCCACCCCCCTCGAAACGCTCAACTCCTGCCTCGTAGCCGTAGAATGGGGCAGCGACCGGTCAGGCAACGACTTCGCCGTCAAATCCAAGACGTTTGCGAAGTTAGCGGCCACGAAAGAAGACGGAGGCGGCATGGTGCATGGACTGAGGAGCTTAGGGTCCGCGGCTCTGAATCTGTGCGCAGTGGCGAGTGGGAGTCTGGATATTTATTGGGAGGCTGGATGTTGGGCGTGGGATGTTTGCGCAGGGTGGTGTATTTTGAAAGAGGCGGGCGGTATGATGGTGGATGCGAATCCGGGAAACTGGGAGCCGAGGATTGACGAGAGGCGGTATATGGCTGTGCGCGGGGGCGAAGGGCAGAGAGAGGTCATCAAGGAGTTTTGGAGCTTGGTCGAGGGAAAGTTTGAGGTCGGAATTTGATGTAGTCCGCATATGGGGGATATGGCGTTGATAGAACGACAGCATAGGCAAGAGCACATAGACTCAAGGCATAAACATCCTGCAGAGATCGTAAATCGTATATCATTATCCAGCAAGGAGGGTATAACCATCCATCCTCACCCCGACAGCTACAAGGGGTATATCCAAGTATTATACAAAGAAACAAAGACGAAATCGAACCTGCTTTTATGCGGACCATATACTCCACATAGGTCTATGAAGCCGTCTTCTTCCTCAGTAAGCGCTTCGAGGCCTTCCTCTTGAGGCCCCCTAAGCCTCTCTTGTGTGGCTCGTTTGGCTCTGCCATATCCGACTCGACGGCCAACAACCCGTTCTTTGACTTTTGACTAGCGCTCCTCTTCGCCCGCTCATTCTGCTCTCGCCAGAAGAGCCGCTTCTGGTCGATGACGTTCTGGGTCAGCGACCCGAAGCCCTTCTTGACAAAGGCGATGTCGTGGAGGACGTTTGGGTCCAGGCACCGGCGCGGTAGGTTCTGCACTGCCATGAAGAGCTCACCGTCTCCGGGCCGGTACTTGCGAATTTCCCCTTCACCGAGCTTAAAAATGGCGAGCGCGTAGCGATACAATGCGCGAGGTCCTTCATAGAGGAATGCGTCCCAGACGCGGAGAACGGTCTCAATCGGTAGGACACCGACGAAGAGACTCATGAACCAGGAGGTGCATGACAGGGCAACCGTGGGCTGGCGCTGGAACTTGGAGTCGGGGTGAGCGTGAGAGCCAGGCCCGCTGTTGACGAGATCGGTATCGTTGATCGAAGCCCAAACCTTTGGAAGGTAATCGCGGATTAACATCATCAAGACGTTCACCTCGGTGTTTGCCAGGCTTCTAGCGTGGGCGCCGGGAAGGTGGTGTTGAGTGATGATCGTAAGTAAGACGAAGGCTCGCTCCGTGTCCTGCTTGAGGAAGAGGAGAAGAAGACCGGCAATGAAGTTCAAGGATTGACAGTATCCAATACTGGGGTTGTTCAGAGCAAAGCAAGAAAGAACCTCTCGAAGGTCCGTGATGAGGGACGGCTCCTGGGCCGCCTTTTCATCGGGGTTGTCGGGCGTGGAGTCAGGGCGGAAGTGTATGTTGTCTGGGAATGTCCTGTCCAGATCTCGCTCAATGGCTTCACGATCATCCCTGTTGAGTTCGCCTTGGTTCACTCGTGTCCTTAATGAAGGGTAAAGACCGGCCATGTCGGCCTGGCGTATCTTGTATTGACCGCCAGAATAGAACCACCACATAGCACCCCGCCACTCGGGTGGATAGCCTTTCCGGGCGTATCGCTTCACCTTATCGCACGGCTCCGGGAATTGCGACGGGTTAATGGTCGGAAGGCCTTGCTTTCCCATGAGGGCGATCCATTTGTTTCGCCGCCGTGAGACGTACTCATCGTATTTGGCAAACCACGCGTCGTACTCTTGCAGGCTGATCTTGTCGGTGACCTTCTTGAAGCCGTAGCGATCCCGCTCCACGGCAGTTACCACAGTCCTCAGCCCCATCCGCTGTTTGTTGGTTATGACGGCTTTGTTGCTGAACTCGGTGGTTTTTGACTTGGCCGGTGGCGATGGCTGGAACTTTCCAAGCTCGAACAGCGTACTTCGGCGGTCAAAGATACTCGTCGACGCACGGCGTGGGAAGGCTTCATCTTCGTCAACCTCCGGGAGTGGGTCCGACCTCTTGGGTGGCGACGGGGGAGAAGAGACTTCAGCTTTCTTAGCGTCGTCTGTAGTCCTACTTGAGACGCTGGGCCCTCTGGAGTGTCGCTGCGAGTAAGCATGGATCTCATCCCAATCCTGGCGAGACATGCGCGACTTCTTCTTCGGCAACCGCGGTAGGCTCTTCAGCTCTCTATAGATCTCTTGCATCTTTTCACAATCACCACTGTGCTTCCTTGAGAGTTGAGGCCGTAGTGGGGGTCTGCTCATGCGTTTGGCGGGCGTGAGAGGGCCAACTACTGATGTGCGGGCAGCCATGGAGCCGGGTCTGGGTATCTCCTCGCTAGACCGTTGCCAGGCATTATCGTGTGGCTGAACTGACGGATGTTCCAGGCTGAGCTGTGTTGGATCGTAGTCGACCTTCAGAGGACTGAGTTGGAGAGGTGGAAGATAACTAATATGACCGTTCTGCTGATCATCGAAATGGGTCGCACTAAGTGGGCTCACGTCGCCCATGTTTGATACCTTGATGCCAGGGTTGACCGGCCCAGACAAACGATTGCCCAAGGTGTCAGCGCTCCGTCGAACGGCGTCGTTGTCCTTGGGAAGCGGCGCTATCTGATCAGCTGCCCGTGCTGGGAGCTCAGGAGAATATTGGGAGCTTCGGGATCCCGCCTCAACCGAATGAGTGGATGAATGGTCTGGGTTTTCGAGGCCCAATGCGTCATGGGAATAGTCAAGCATCCCACGGTTGCTCTCCCTGAGTTCCTGCTCTCGCTCCTCCTCATCATAGCAATAAGCATCGATCACATCCTCCACAGTACTCATCACGTCTTCGTCGTCGGGCGTTACGGTAGTCGGAAGGGTCTCGCTCGACATGTCCGGGTCCTCGGAGAGGTCTCGCGAATAGGTGCTTGCTCGATGGTCGCTGATCGAGCTTCGACCTGTAGCCATGCTGCTTCGTTCCGTGCCGCTCGCCTCCATAAAGCTCGATGATGCGTTAGTCCATCCGGATCGAAAACTGGCCCGGGCTTCCTCGCCGCGGAATTGTCGATGAGGATAGTGATCGTTATGGGACCAATTCGGACCGCCCCGATTTGGCCTGTACGCTCCTGACAAATTAGCATGGTCACTGCTCCTGAACGGCCCATAGTCAGGTATAGATGTTGCGGCTCTTAATGGCGGGTAAGGGCGAAAGCCGGATTGTGACGAGCTGGTCATTCCACGCATTCTGTGCTGTGCCACGGCAGCTGACGGATCTTCTGTCGTCGATTCCCATGACGGACCTGCTTGATTGACTGGATTGCTTGCCAGGGGATTGAATACTGATCGCGGGTCGCTCGCGGAGCTTGTACCGCTACCCTGTCGCACCATTGGCTGAGGGAGTGTGGGGGATATTGTGGGTTGCTCCGCCCGCGGATATCCCTCGTTCAGCGGAGAAGGTGCGGCAGCATGGCGAAGGAGGGAGGGAGCTCGCTGTCGTGAGACGTATTTCGGAGAGGGCAGGGGAGGGAGAGGCGGGCTCGAGGACGGTGACGGGCTGTACGTTGGGCGCTCGTACGCAGGGGCAGGCGTGGAGTCCATCTGCAGGTTTGCCGGGTATCTTGACCTCCCGGATCCAAAGCCCTTTCTCGCCGCAGGGAGGGCATATGGATTTAGCGGTTGCGGGGACGCGGGCGGCGTGAACTCGCTGTTATGGGGCCGGTATGGAAGATATTGCGGCTTCAACGATGCGGTTGACTCAGAGGTCGAACTGGTCTCGCCGTCGAGGGATGCACTAGGGGTGCCCGCACGCGGAGCGGGCTCGTCCATTATCAACCGGGCGGTTCAGAATGTATAGGGCGTAGACGCGGAGGAATGCTTCATTCGACCGGGGAAGAGGATGTCTCGGAGGCGCCTATGCTTGCCATTGACATGTCGGGGGGCTGACGGAGTTGTGTGAGGGCGAGGGGGGCGAGGCTATGGGTCGTGAGGCGTGAGAGCTGCTCCTCTCAGCTGCGGGTGTGCGAAGATCGGGCAATGCTGTGAAAGGATTCGAGTCCGGCCTTGTGTACAAAAGCACGGCGGCAATGGCGACGCCCCGCGGGAGCTGAAAGGAACAATGCCCAAAGGAATGACTGCAAAGAGGTATAGGAAAAGAGCGTAGGCAGCTGGACGGGCGCTGGGCTGTCGCAGGAGGAGGTCAAGGTGGCAGAGGAAGTTGGTTGAGACGTTGCACGATGTCTATTAAACGTCGCGGCCCGAGCTCAAACGGGATCCGTCCCCGAAAAGGCGCCGGCCACGGGACGGAGAGCCAATTGCTGCACTGCTGGACGGGTCCAATCGCTCAATTGATTCAAGGCGCGGCGATTTGACAAGCACCGGGCCCGTAATTCTTGATTGTTCGCATCCGCGCACCCACGCTACCACGAGGCCGTTCCTCGTAAACATCGCGTCCAACGCGCCAAGACTGGCGGGTGATTAGCCGCTAGCACGTCTGCATCATTTCCACCCTGAGCCTCACCGCGGCACTCCACATTCCTCAGACGCAGGTGTCTCCATCGCCATTGTTGACAGCTCTTCTGCCACATTATTGCAGCTGCGCCGTCGTTCGCGTTGCACGTTCCGCATGAAAGGGGACGTTTCAGGGGCTGCACTTGCTTCTTACCTCACCTCGGGCGACACAGGAAAAACCACCGCTAGAAGCTGACTCGTTAAATTTGTCCGACTGCGCACACGAGCTGCCGCGGACTCCGGGCAAGTCGCGCAGGTAGGGCTGGGGAAGCTGGCTTGCGAAGGAATCCGGAAGGTTCAGGCGCTCGGGAGGCTCTCCCCGCGAACACTTCTCTGGTCGCCAACGGTGCTGCGTTAACTGAAGTGGGAAAAGCAACTGTATCTCACAATAAGACCTTCGCTTCCGAAGCAAGCATCCTCGACTGCCTTATTTTATCGCGCGATCCAGAGTGAAAATTCAGTGCTTATGACGACGTCTTCGGTGCCCACAACCAATCTCTCGGTTTGGAAGTCCGAAGCAATGTGTGATCCTATTTCTCGGGCCGCTCTACATACCATACAAAGGTACGAGACCGCAGCTCAGCTACGGACATGCCGCGTCTTCAATTCATCCGAGGCCTCGAGCACTTCCTGCTCTAGCCATGGCGTTTGTCACCGTGTGATAGACCATTCCGATGCAATTATCGCCTGAACGCCCAGAATGCATATCGGCCATGCATGATGCCACCTCTTAAGACCCCTACTATTCACCCCTATAACTGTCTATCTCTTACTTTGCATACCGCTTGACCCAGTCCTTCGCGTTCTTGTCGAACTCCTTGCGGTTCTCCTTGAACTCGTTCGCGATGGAGGGCTCGATGGCGTCGTCGGGGTTGGGCTCGATCATGAGGGTCTGGATGAGGCGGAGGACCGAAACAACCTTGTTTGGCGGCTTCCATTCGTCAGGACGCAGGAGGCCAAGGCACATCGATCCCTTGTCGTCGTTGCTAACATTGGGGTGGTATATCTTGGTCTTGAAGCTGACGACGGGCGGCTTGAACGGGTACTCGTTAGGGAAGGCAATCTCGAGCTTGAAGTGGCCACCCTATGCATCAATTAGCACGCACGAAAACTAGTGAAGGCGATCGAGAGGGCTGAGACATACGGCATAGACCGACTGGTCCGGGCCGTCTAGTAGGACTTCCCACTTGGTCATGTTCTGCTCGTTGAAGATGATTTTCATGCCCGGAGGCGTATCCGCCATGCACTCCCCGTACTCCTAGACAGATGTTAATCCACTGCACTCGCGTTGTCATACGGGGGGCTTGCCCTCATGATGCGCTTCTTGGCTCCTGTACTCATTGTGGCGGTTGTTTAGTCCTGGCAGAGGAAGTCTGAGCAAGTGTTGCCTGGATGAGGTTGGAGGCGCTCCGAGGCGGGCGCACTTTAGAAATAGAGTCGCCGCTGCTTCACGGGCGCGAGAGGGAGGACTGCAGCGAGGGAGGCGAGCGGATTCACCGGGTTTCGGGTGGTGGTCGCGAAGTTGTTGCAGAAGTAAAAGTGAAGTGGGCTGGCGGGGAAGTTGATGACGAAGAGTCAAGCTTCCCGTCCATGTGCGAGTTGGCGCCTGGCGCCTGCCGTTACAACACTTTCCCTTGGAGCCTGGATATTGTCAGACCAGTCCAGCGACTCCAGCGCCTTCACATACGTCAAATCTGTAAGCCGTTCCATTGCAGATTCCGATAACGACGTCACAGAAAGCAAGAGTACCATGGTCGGCAAGGTCTTCCTGACCATCCAATCACGCGCTCCGACGGAACATGGAAATTCGAACCGGAGCCGATTAGCCATCTCTAGAATCTCTTTATACATCCTCGGGATCCGTCGACCTCCTTCTTTCTTGTATACACAATGCGCGAGGAGAATCGACATCGGCGCTGTACCCGCAAAGAGCGTCAAGACCGGCCTTGAGCCCGACGACATGATCATTACCATCCTCAGGCGCCGAGAAATTCCTCAATCTTTCCTAGTCATATTCATCCCCTCTCCGAATTGCGCGCTCGCTCGGTCAGAACGCCCAATATGCATTTCAAGAGATGGCATATCGGCGAGGCAACTACTCCGTAGACCACGAAACCATTCCACGATGCGCCCGCTCAGCGCTATCCGTTCCCCAGACACCCGACCAGCCTCATCACCATCTGTCGCTTTTGGTCTAGGGCTGCTTAGCAAGAAAAGGCGTACCCAGCTTCCAACATGGCCAGTCCAGCCCTGGTGAGTCACGATAGAGGCCGCCCGCACTTCCGGTCACACATCCGCTGCGGGACGCATGTCGTGGAACAGGACGCGGCATGAGGCGCGCCTGGAACGGTATGCTTTCGTCGGCTTCATTCTCCCTCAGAGCGTGCTGTCTTCCGTCTTTCCGCCTGTGTTTCGTTTCAATGATCTTCCATTCGTCTATCTCAATGAGGCTGAACGACGTCAGCCCCAGTGCGTTGTCGCTTGGCGCAGATGCAGCCAAAGATACAGCAACCCTGCATGGCAGGACTGGGAACGTCCTCCATCTCTCCCGTCCTCCACCGAATCAAGACGAGCAAAACAACGCGGCCTTGCTGCCTGGCACCACGGCTCTATCCAGTAGCACAGCGCACGCGCGCAATTGACGAATAGAACAGCACGAGATGCATGCACTGCCCTCGCACAGACGCTATCAGGCTGCAGGGGACGTGACTTGGCAGGGCGCTGTATAAAAGGCCGGCCTCCCCCACCGCTCGCACGCCACGCCTCACGACAAGACCCCAGAGCCAGACAACCCGCTGTGTGCTATCTTCTCTTCCCCAAGATTAGATAACACACAAAGCCCTTCGGATTTCTCGCCGCACTTTTTCCCGCAAAGTCGCGAACAGAACATCTGAGGGCTTCCGGAGCTCTCCCGCATCCAAGCTGCGTCGCACTAACCTGTCCACTCTTTACCAGACACTTCGTCGCTCGCTCCGTCGCTCGCTTTCACGATCTCGCGCTTCGCTGTCCGCCAACATGTTCGGAAAACGCTCCTTTGCCAGCTCAAAGGACCGCTCGGGCAAGATAACCAAACAGCCGAAGAGATCGTTTCGCGAGACGTCATCGTCCAAGCACAAGCAGTCGATACTCGAGAAGATGGAGTCTGTGCGCATGGACAGTCCGATGATGGGCAGCGAGGGCGACTACTCGCCCAGCCTCACGTCCGCCATCGTGACCATAGTCGTTGGCCCCGACCAGCGCCTGTTCGCCGCACACGAAGACGTCCTCTGCCACTCCCCGTTCTTCGCCGAAGCACTACGGGGCCAGTTCTTCGAGTCCACCAATCGCCGCATCGACCTGCCGACGGAGGAGCCCGAGATCTTCTCCTGCATCCTCGAGTACCTGTACAAGGGCGACTACTACCCGCGCCTTGTGCACGACAAGCGCCGGCAAACCTGGATGCTCGAGGGCGCAGTGTCGAGCCCGGACCCGTCCAAAAATGGCGACCGCGTAGCCGCCGTCGAGCCAACCTTCTTCCACTCCGGCGTCGGCGACATTCTTCTCCGCGACACGGCCGTGTACTGCGCCGCCGACCGGTACGGCCTCGAAGAGCTCAAAAGGCTCTCCCTGCGCAAGCAGGGCCTGCAGAGCGGGATCGAGGTCGGCACCATCCTGCGCAGCGCCCGCTATGCCTACGAGAACACGCCGGACAGTGATAGCAGGCTGCGCGCTCATTACCTCGCGCTGATTATCCGCAGCCGCAAAACGTTCAAGCGTAGTGGAACCATGCAGATGGAAATGGAGATTGGGGGGAAATTGTTCTTTGACCTGTTCGTGGCCATGTGTAATCATGTCGATGATATCGTGGATGCGAGGTGAGCTCTCGGGGCGCTCTCCTTCCTCCCGTCCACGCTCCCCCCTTCATCAGCACTAACATTGATCTCGTAGCAACGCCCGCACCCCGAAATCCATCTAAAGGTTCCACAAAGGCCCGTACTCGTCAAGCCGAACACGCAAATCACCCACGGCATCTCCTTCTCGCGCGCTCAAATTGCCAATTCCAGCGACACGCTACCCACGCAACTCGCTCTCTCGCGCTTCACCCACAAAAACCCAGAAAAAAACATGGATCGGATTGACTCCCCTCCGGTGCTTTCCTCGGCGTTCTGTCTGAATCACGGCCTGCAAGTTGCATCATCATTTCCACTCCCTGTTAACCCCCGTGGCGTTGCATTTGCTTACCCCCGATATTCTCTCTCCCGCTCCACCCCATTTCCTGCACGAAGATGACTGCACTTTCCTTACTTCCGCCCCCTCCCGCTTGCGGGAGAGTACATGACTCAGCAAACTGCGTTTCCTTTGTTATTTGCTAGCTGGTGGAGTTGCGCACAGTGTTGTTGTAAGCAGTAGGAAAGGAAAGGGATAGGGACCTTCATTTCCGGAGCATTATTGGTTCTGCGCTGGTTGAGAAGCACTCGTTGCTGGATGGGACTTCCCTAGTAGTTCCTGCGGAGCGAAACGGAGGTCTCGAAGCGGGACAGATTGATCGAGACCGCTTGGATGTTGGGAGATTGGCGGCGGAGAAAGGTTAGCGGTGTAATGAGACAATTTGGTCGCCGCTATGCTTGTGTGCTTTTTTTGTTTGCTGCGAGCTTGTGCACGCGATGTCTGCTACAGAGGTAAGGTGAGGTTGTGACGCCGAGCCCCGGCTCGCGGAGAGTGGTGATGTCTCGCATGTGGCTCACATCTAGGCCTTTCCGTAACGTCTTCGCGCCGATTCATGATCCCTACCGATCCAGCAGCCCCAGCTCTTGCGAGTCACGCCCCCAGAGGGATCGCAAACGGTGTGCTGACGTTCCATGTCCAGCATCACGGAACGGAAAATTTACCGACTTACGGCCGATCCTTGAGGAGGATGACAGATCTCACACTTGCTCTCAGACTGTACGCGCGCGGACAAGCCGAATTCCGAGTCAGCGTGCTCGGCAGGGCTTCTGATACTTCATCAAAGCGAGTGACACGCGTTGCTACTAGGGTGGATGCGCCACTTTACACCTTGAAGACGGTTCACCATAGGCGATGACGCCTGGATGGAAGAACCCAAGAACGACGGGTATACGCGGAGGATGTGAGCTATCCCTCCATTTTGACAGCGAGCTAGATAGACTGAGGGAGCGGAACTCCTAAGCAATGCCTCTTCTCGTAGAGGGGTACATCCCTCTTCCCTTCCTAAACAACACCTCATTAAGGAGACCAAAGTCCAGACAGCGCCAAAGAGAGTGCGTACGCCGCCGCTAGTAGATAGATATCGCGCAACCAGATTAACAATAGCCAATATGACGGGACGGACATCAACATTTCGTAAGATGAGAGGGGTAAACCCCGAACGACAGGAGAAGGATGAGCGAGTACTGGCTAACAGCCACTGTGCGCTTGGAGGTATCCAAAAAGCGGGGATATATGAAAAGATACCTCCCACAGATGCGCGTGACACCGCGCGTATGCCTCTTCGCGTTCATGTGATAGGTGACGAAAGCCTTTTTGGTACGAATGGAGATGAGAAATTAGTGGAGGAAGATTTTTGCGACATAGAAAGGAGAAACAGAATAAGCGAAGTAAACAATAAAAAGCAAGTCCGCATGACCAAGGATAATCCGAAATAGCAAAACGTAGATATGGTCGTGACGGGAGACGCGCAGGTCGAATCAGAGCGCTGCCTCCATGGTATCAGCACGTACTAGTACATGATTAAAATATGCTGGCGAGATCAGTCGAGTTCAGTTGGCGGTTCGTCACTGCATCCGCTTTCGCTTGCGGGCCTCGTCCGGATCATCTTCGTCCGCTCGCTCTTGCGTGTCGGCGGGGTTGAGCAAGGAATGTACATTGGAGGCCATGCTAGAGCGACGCGTAGGCGGACCGGGGGTGTCGATGCCCTTGAAGGGGTAGCGAGCTCCTGGGAGCGACCAGCTGCTGTCCGCGCTTAGTGTGGACGGAGTAGTATCGCTTGTCAAAGGTGGAGTTCCTTGACGAGACGACTGTTGGCGAGGACCGCGGGGCAGCTGGTACGACTCCAAAGCATCCCGGAGCTGCTGGTCGCCACCTCCGATAGGCGGCCGATGGGGCGACGAGGGCCATTGGGATGAATTCTGGCCGGATGTATACGGTGAGTGCGAGGGCGGCTGTGGCTGCCAACCGTGCGTGCGTATATCTGCCGAGGTATGCCGCCTATACAGATTATAAGGCGGGGATGAGCTGCTCCCTAAATTGCTCCCCAGAGTCCCACCCGGATGCTGGATAGACGGTGGAGGAGGTGGGGGTGGCTGGTGGCTCGCTGGGGTCCTGGCTGAAGATGGCGAGTAATTACCCGTACCTATTGAGCCGTATCGACGCGGAGAAATCGCAATATGGGCCGGGACCGGAGGCTTAAATGGGGCTTGGCGCGGAGGCAGACCGGCTAACGACCCTCGGCGGGATTCAGGAAAATTATCCTGGGGCATCTGTCGCGGGGAAAGAGGGGGTTGGTTGCCGTTGTCGACCTGCATGAAGAAGGGTTGGCGTGCCGAGAGGGGCTCTTCTGGAGCTTCAAGAGCACGCAGCATTTCCGTTTGGCGGGCAATGTCGCGCTGCATCAAGCAAACTAGGCGGATGGTAAGTAGGTAGTGCGAATAGAGTATAGGCAAAATGCACTAACCATCCTTGTGGATCTGACTTTCCGGGTCTGGCATTAAGGTCATAATATAATTTGCGAGGTCATGGTTCCACTACCCGTACATTAGCTGATGTCGATCGAGTCCCGACACATCGACGAACCTGGTGGCATCGCATCATGCCCTCCATCAGGAGCATGTTCTTCTGATTGAGATAGGCGCAGCTGTCCTCCGAGCGCTGCATGCGCGCGTGCATGTCGTACAGGCTATGTTCTAGGACGTTTAGTCGTGATTCGACCGGATCAGGCATCGGCTCGACAGGTGCTCCGGCCGGCGGGCCGGAGAGGACTTTGGGCGTCGAGAAGGAATCGCGGTGGATGAGCGCGTGCCGCGAGGCCCGTCGCTTGATCTCCCGCAGTCCCACCAGGTCCCCGCGCTTGAAGCTGCCGTTGCCGTGTTTGAATTCCCACAGTGGCGAGTCAGGAGACCCGGTGTGGAAAACATCGCTCACTGCGCTACGTTTCAGCACGGCCTGCGCGTGGATGTGTATCGTCTCGCTGAATGCCTACCTTTGTGGAAGCCGTACATGTTTAACTGGCGGACGAATGAGGAAATGTTAGTGTGCTTGAAGTACGATCTACAGACCCGGTTAGATATATTAAAAGAGGTCAAAGCTCCAGATGCACGTACGACAGGACTTTGGAAAACTCGCTTGAAGGTGACATGACAAAGCTCTCGTTGCTGCTGGACCATGAAATGAGGTGCTGAATGCTTTGGTCTTCAAGCATGCTGTAGTCGCGTTAGCGGTCGCATCCAGCCGCGCAGCAATAGGGCAGACGCACTTGTATAGCTTGTGAATAAAGGCAGTCTGGACGACCTTTGGCTGCTGTGCGGCCGCGGCAGCCCCTACCGGCGTAGAACTGCCATTTCCGTTTGTAGTCTTCTCCGGTTCCCCGATTGTAGGCGGCTCCTGGGCTATTCCATTGCGCTCCCCCACCGGGCTGCTCAGCACAGGCGGGCCCATGGTGGGGAGCGTCGAAGGCGTGATGTCCATGGGGTCTCGCGGCGGCGTCAGGTTCGACGAGCTCGCGGAGGACGGCAGGATGGGAATGGACTTGTGCAGTCCCTGGTGGTGCGGATCGGCTGAGAAGGGGCTCCGACGAGCTTCGGCGACAGAGGCCATGGCTGCGCTCGACGGTGCGCAGAGCAGCTCTCGGTGTTAGAGGGGGCTCCCAGGGGGAAGCTGGCGTCGAGATTCGGCTCGTAGGGCGGGCTCCTGATATATCAATGCAGCACTCCCGCGCAGTCCCCAATTGCTGGCTGCGAGCAGAGTGCTGTGCGCTCAATCCCGATACTCAATACGGCGGTCCCAATGCAGGTGCTGGGTGTACCATAGCACGAGGCGCAAGCGATCGGGCGGGGCGGCGCTGGCTCGGGGGAGCATTCGACGAGAGATAGTGTGTGTGTGTGTGCAAAGTGCGTTGCGGGAGCGGGACGGTGTGACTGGCGGGCCGTCGTAGGGAGGGCGTGGGATCTTTAGGGGCGGACGCGCGGGCGTTCCAGAAGGTGCACGCAGAGGCCACAGCTGGTCTTTGTCGGATTGGGGAGGTGCCGTGAACGCCAGGAGCTACCGCGCGGAAGGAGCTGTCCACTGTCCTGCAACAAATGACGGGCGGCAGGGTGTGCGCGGTTGCAGGCTTCCAGCGTCTGGAGTGGCCTTCGCTGCAGATGCGCGATCAGAGCAGCAGGAGGTGGTGCGTGGAAGCTTGGCGAAAGGAGGAGGTTAGGTTTGGGATGGCAGCGGACCGCGGCGATGCGAGTGTCGCAAATGCTCCCTGGAGGGCCCAGGCACGGGCCGGGGTGGAGGAAGCTTGGAAGCGCGCAAAACCAGCAGCGTTCCCCGTGGTCTTGCGCAATAATGCACAAGGCCTGGCTACGGGGAGATCGCGGGCAGTGGTCAGTCCTGGGGGCGAGCAACAGAGCATCCAGAGGCCTTTGCGCGGGACGCACGAGGACGGTCAGACGCAGGCGACGGCTGGGGATCTGGAGGTTCAAGACTTAAAGGCGCAGGGCGACGGGGTCTCGATTCCGGCTCTCTCGCCAGCGGTGCTTGGGAGCGGCCTGACTGCCGTTGTAGGCCCGCGTCTCCACGCCCGTCGCCAAATATTCCCAGAGAGACTGGCCGCGGATTTGCCCATGCCGCCCGCCGCTGGGCGATGCTCTGCCGAAAAGCCCCCCTGTCCATCATCCATCGCGCGCACAGGCGACCCAGGCCTCCTCCTCGCTGATGAAACCGCCGCTGGCGGGCGCTATACCTGGCCGCTGTATTTCTGCTATAGCCTCCAGCGTGAGTGTCGCGCTGCAGTGCAGTCTCTGTGAAGATATGCGCAGCGACATATAATGCGTGCTATTATTGCTATTATTGGCGCCGCTGGGCGCTCGTGAGATGGAGGAGCGACTCCGCCTACCACGAACGGCGGAGCGTCTGGCACTATGCCTGCACCAGAAGCTCCTCGAGGCTCGAGCAGTACTCTCCCGCGACCGAGTCGGCAGGTCCGATCAGATGCGTGCATGCGCACACAGCAGGCTCAAACGCTAGCCGCCACGAGGGGCGTTCGCGCTGTGCGACGCTTGACCTGCCTCGCTGCTAGCGATCGGCTTGCCCGCCGTCACCACTGCTGGAGTGCGGGACCGAAGATCTCGCGGTCGCTTGGATGCCACCACGCACGGACGCGTTCCTGTTCGGGTCCAGCTTCGGCACGAGTCACGTCTCCCCACCTCCACCACCACCATCGTCAAGGTCGCCTGTTACAGTTGCGCCGCCTGGTCGCAGCGACCCTAGCCCGTCATTCCCGGCAATCGGCCGCTGATCCAAGCGACAGAAGGCTCTAGCAATCAGCTCGGAACCGCTACTGGAGTGCATAGGCAAGCCTGAAGACTGTCAAGGAGCGTTCCGAGGTTGTCTACGAGGGCTCAATGATGGACACGGCCGCCATGATTCAGACATTCCGGGGACTACCAAGACACTCCCGCATGGAAGCTCTCGAAGCAATTGTCACCGAGGAGCTGACCCCGTACGAATGGCGCGCTCTGCAGACCATCGTCAACGCCAGGACCTTCCAGTTCGATATGATCGGCGCCCTGCCGACAGAGCTCGTAGCTCTGGTGTTTTCATATCTGGATACCACAACTCCATACCGCCTTCAAATAGTGAGGACTCCCGCACCATGCTGTTGATACTCTGCACGTCACCACCACGACCCAACATTCGTGGGCCCGTAAGCGGCGCCGAGTGCCTTCAGGCTCGGCAACTCTCGGTCGCTCTGATGCAGAACTGATCCGGCGGGTGCTGACCTGCAGTAGTCAAGTGTTCTACTCTGCTATGATTACGCTAAATACGCCGTAGGTCTCCAAGCGCTGGAACAGTCTCCTTCGGAGCCCGGATATCTTGAAGCCGAGCTTGAAGGCCTGGTGCGATGGGACCTTCGAAGGAGACTACGAGCTTTGTACGCGGAAAGCACAGAATATACACCGATTCCGTACCGGAAACTTCGTCGACGTCTATACCATTCCAGGCGAGGATACAGCCTCGTCTGCGGGTGATATCACATTGGTTGGAGACCTTTTAGTCGGCCAATCGAGCGTCCGCACATTGCTAGCCTACAACCTGCGCACACGAAAATCCTGGCGAACCCAAGGTGACGCCCGGGAGCGTATCATCGCTGTCGCCTTATCTGATCAGCTCGTTGCTTACGCCACAATGTTGAATGCATGCTACGTGTCGGATCTATCCGGTGGACAGAAGAAGAAGTTCAAGCTCACTAACGGCATGTTCGAAATTCTCACCTGCCGTGGACGGACGGTAGTATGTGGAGGTCTTGGAAAAGATGCTGCGAGAATCTATATATGGGATTTCGATCTCCAACGGGGGAAGTCTTTACAGATCGATTATCAGCAGTCACCTTTCGTGCATCGCGTTAACGAGTAAGTAGTACCTGTCCGTTTCCTTTTTTGGACTCCACACATACCTTCGTAGCTCGGTCCTGGCTTGGGAAAGCCACCCCTGAAGGCTTTCGAGGAGTGAGAACATAGACGTGTGGGGATGTTAGCTCCCTTTTGTACTAAATCCAAGACATTTGCTAACGCGTGCCGCGACTTTTACAGCTGCATGTTCAGGCAGATGAAGATCCTCCCAGACCCGCAGTCACAGACGTTCGTCGTGATGACGAGCGACAAATGCGCGCGCGGAGCCTGCCTGCATGATGCTTCTGATGTCCGATGCTCAATTCATTATACTCGCTTCACGTTCGATGGCCAGCCGATTCAAAACGGCCGACTACAACTTCCAGGATTTCCAGGCATAGACCTCGTCGGTTTTCGGCCGGTGGACAGACGCGGGGGTTTCTCTCTTGAAGCAGCAGCTCGCCGTCCCCGTGAGCTTGGTGATTGCCTGATATTCCTCCAGTTCAATGAACATCTGCACACATTTGTGAGCCCGAATTGCCCGGTGTCGAACCCTGGTCCATGGGTTAAGGCAAGAACTTCGTGGTGGGAAGACTCATTTTACCAAGTCCTTCCTGATATAGGCACGCTGCCAATCGGGACCTCGCAGACCGATACGCCAGAGACGGTCCTTCTGGCTCATCTAGGAACCAGGTAAGTTGAGAGACCTCAACAAATGTGAGAAGATTTTTCTTAACACATCGCAGCGAAGGGTTCAGATTCAAGCCGATACTACGGGAAAGGGGATCTAACAATTCCCAGCGTCCGGCAGGGTACGGGAATAGGTACTTAAGGCTGCTTGTCAACGATAAGTACGCCGTCGTAGTCGATCAGGGTTTTGAGGTGCCGTGTTCAATCAAAGTCGTCTCCTTCGAAGCAGAGCAAAACAGGAATTGAGAGCAGACCGTAAGCCGGCCTTGCTTCCGGTCCTTGGTGGACTTTAGAGATAGTGACGCTCAAGATGAGAGATATGAGGAGTGGTATAGAGGCAGGATGGGGATGGATGGATGCTGTCAGCTTCGGGCCGCATGGCCCTGGTCTCGGGGACGCCGGTACTGCAGGACTATATATGATTGTCAGCAAGAGTAACTTTACTCTTGCATCTGCAATGTAAATGTCATCGGTCACTCGCATTGCAGCAGTGCCGGATAGTAGAACAGCCACATAATGCTACTTCGATGTGACTTCTTCTGTCCCCCCAAAAGGGGTCCCTGCAAGCCTGCAATCGGTGAATAGCACGTGCCTCCATCTGCGCCCTGCCCGTCACACTGCAAAATTCCCCGCAGCTAGCCCAATCGCCTCTAGCGCGGGGCTCCGACCATTCCATGCATATCCACTCTCGCGGCCACCTCCGAAGATCTTCGTTGACTCTCAACCCGTCAAGAAATTTTCGAGAGCTTCCACCGCGCCTTGCACCCCCTCTGGAACGCCCTGCAGAAGGCCAACCCCCAGGAAACGCCCGCCATCATGGTTGAGAAGATCTACGTCACATATAACCAGGTACGTGCATTTGCATCAAGATTCGGCGCCTTTCCTGCTCTTTCTGAAACGCGTGCGCCGGTAACTGCCTGTACCGCTGCAAGTACCTATATTCCTTCCCACTACCGTACCTGCTCCGTACTACGAAACAGAAAGGAATGGCGCATGCGGCATGAGCATTTATGCTTTGCGCGCGCATAAGACGCAGGGCTGTCTGCTATACATCTGCAGCGCTGCGGCGTGTCTGTTCCGTTCCGTGTAGTTTGCTTGCTTGCTTTTACCCTGGTGCCCTGCTCACTTTATCCACGCAACGTTATACTGGGGTGCAAGGAGAGAGCCAGAGGGAGCTAATGCGGGGCGCAAATAGGTGCACAAGCTGTGCCAGAACTCGGCGGAGCAGATCCTGAATGAGTTCAATCCGCAGCTGATGGTGGCTATTGGGGGTGGCGGGTATGTGCCGGCGCGGATTCTACGGTGCGTACCTCCAGGGCTACCCAATTGCCTCGAGTCCTCCTGGAGTGGTCGCTTGGAGGAGCCGCAGGGCTGACAGCGTAGCGTATAGCTCCTTCCTCAAGAAGCCCAACCACCCCAACATCCCCATCCAAGCCATCGGCCTCTCGCTCTACGAATCCCTCGGCACCGACCCCGTCGAGGCGCCTGGCACGCGCGTAACCCGCACCCAATGGCTCGATCTGTCCTCGCTCGAAATGGCCAACCTCATCGGCAAGAACGTGCTCATTGTCGATGAGGTGGACGACACCAGGACCACTCTCGAATACGCCGTCCGCGAGCTGGAAAAGGACGTGCTGGAGGCGCAGAAGCACGCGGGCAGGATGGACGAGAAGACGACGTTTAACATCTTCGTGCTGCACAACAAGGACAAGAAGAAGAAGGGCGGCCTGCCGCAGGTGATTGCCGACGGCAGGTATCTTGCGGCGCAGACCGTGGGCGATGTGTGGATCTGCTATCCGTGGGAGGCGATCGATATTGAGGAGCATGACCGGCTGAGTAGGCTGCAGGAGGAGCAGAAGAAGTAATATCACTTGCGGGGAGCAATGGGTGTAGAATCACTTCAACAATAGAGAGTCAAGAGCCTCAGAGAGTAGTCCGCGTGGAACTTCCGCAGCCGTGTGTTCATTATGGACGTGGCTATCCAATCTCTTACCGAGACCTCGGAGATTCGCCTAGCTAAATGTAGCAGGCAGTGTCTCGCCGTCATTCAAGTTCCCGATCCCAAACGCCATAAACATAAATACATGAGTGGGCTAATGGTAGCCTGATATGTGCAACCATCCCGGAAAGCCAAGAAGCTGTCGTGCTTCACCGACCTAGAGGAACCATGCAGCGACCATGAAGCTGAGCACCAATGCCATGAGCGACATCTCAACGCGCCCAGCACCTCCCTTGCCCGTCGCCTCCTCTTTCTTGTCTAGCTCAGTGTAGACGGTAGAATAGACCTTGACAACCTCATCTCCTTTCTCAGCGCGAACGCGAGCAGGGACGTGATATGCGCCGGTGGGATCGTCCGTGGGGACGCCCGTCGCAGCGTACGACGAATTGTGCCACGTGGGAGGCGTGTAGAAGACTCCGCTGGTCGTCCCGTTGACAGGCGCGGTGAGGCTGAGCGTGGGGAAGTCAGACAGCTCGCGGGTGATAGTCTTGGTGACCTGAATCGTGGAGGTGACGTGCGTCGTGGTCGTGGCAACCTGTGAGCTCGTGCTGTGCTCTGAGGCGCTCCCGGAGGGAGTAGGCGAGGGCGGAGGCCCAGTGGAGGACGGAGGTGCCTGATGCACGGTCTTGGTGATGATGACGGTAGAAGGAGAGACGAGCGTGGTCGTGGCGGGTTGCTCGGTTGGGCTGGTTTGGCTTTGTTAGTGCATGAAGTGAGAAAATGAAGGGAAAGTTGTTTACGGGGAAGAACCAGCACCGGTCTCGATCACAGTCGGAGTGACCGTGACGGTTTTGGTGACCGTGACGTGGATCGTCTTGTCCGGGCAAAGGTAGGTCAAGACCGTGACTTGACCAGCCATCGTCGCCTCTCCGGTGCAGAGGCTAGGCAGCGGAGCGCAGTCTTCGCCCGCGGCGAAAGCCGCTTCAAATTCGATCAGATTAGCAAAATGTGCTCAAGGAATTCAGGCTGAGACTTACCAAGGGCGAGGAAGAGAGCGACCATGCGCTTGAGAGCCATGGTGATGAAGGAGAGCTAAAGCACGGTCAGCAGCAGAAGACACCCCTCCTCCAGCTCCCTCCTCCCGTCACCCTCCACCTCCCCTCCAAGCCCAGCACCCAGCCCAAACCTCCCAGCAGCAAGACATCCCAAACCCGACCCAAAAGATAGCAGATGGCAGCGGCAGACAGTGGCAGACAGCAGCAGAAACAGATCAGGTACTTACTGAGAGTAGGTGTGTAGAGAGTGTGGTGGCCAAGGGAGCAGTAGAGAGTGTGATGTTTTGGTAAAGCTTTCGAGCAGCGGTGGGCCGTCGAGTAAATGAGCCCGTTGCTAGCGCGGTCTTGGCACGACGTGACCGGCCTTCACTGCGTGATCGTGCAACCATTGCTGATCCAACCATGGCCTGCGGAAAGGATGCTGAAGCACTCCAGGCTGAGTTTTACAAATCCCAATACGACGGCTAGGTTGACTAGTGGAAAGGGGTGTGAAGTACTCCAGGCTGAGTTTCACAAACTCCAACGTGACAACTGGGTTGAGAAGTGGAAAGGGATCTGAAGCACTTCAGGCTGATCTTTACAAACTCCAACATGACCGTTAGGTTGACTAGTGGAAAAGTGTCTGAAGTACTCCAGGATGGGCAATACCAGTTCAATCTCCATACATCTCCGTCAAGTGATTCAGCATCTTCCGCTGCAGTTCGAGGAGTTCCTCCTTTGCGATCGTTCCCTCCTCAACGCCGAAGAATGGTACGCCCAAGCTCTTTAACTGCGCAGACTGCGACTCGACCATCCGTCGGGAAGCCCGGTACACCTTCTGATCGTATTCACCCAGCTCCTCCATTTCACGCTCTGGCGTCCGGAGTGGCGTTGTGTTGTCGAGAAGCCCCGGAAGAGATAATGCTCTGTGCATCTGCTCATTCTCCCGCTTGGCCTCTTGGTCGTCGAGCAGGCGCTGACGTCCAGCTTCCCAGTCCTTGACATTCCGCTCTTGGTCCTTCATCAATTTCTGGACCGTAGCGACGAAGCTAGGGTTCTGGGTGGCAGTCTTGGTGACGCACCGAAGGCCCTGCTTCCATTCCGTAATCGTGGCGGGGTCGACAGTGGGAGTCGAAGCCCGGTCTTGTATTGCTGGAGGCTGGCGATTCTGGGGAGCGGGTCTACCGCTCAGCCTCGGATCCAGGTATTGCTCATGTCCGAATGGTATGCCGGTCTGCGCGGGGTGGTGCGACGCAGGAAGCTCCGTTTGGCCTTGGTCCTGACTCAGATATGGATGTTGTTGTTGTTGACTGCCCGGGGCCGCACTTTGCGTCCTTGGAAGATTTGCCAGTGTCTGGAGGATCTGTGCTAGGTCTAGGCTTGGCTGGTCTCCGTTTTCCTCGTCCGCCATCTTTCCGGTTGGAGTCCCTCAAAAGCTGATCCGATAAAGTCCGAGGGCGATGAAGAGGGCCTCAGGTGGAAGCGCGCGAACAGCTATATGTGTGAAGGAAAGCTCTCTCGGGCATGTACAACATGACGCGTTTGCGGGGAAATCCGGTGAAGAAGCACTCGGTTACTTCGTGCTTGAACGTGCCTTCTGCGCCTTGTCATGCGTCAAATATCTCTTTTTTTCACAGACCCGGATGGCTCGTAACGCGCTGCAACACAGCGGAAGCCCGAGGACGGGGAACATGATTGTGAAGAGCAGTCCTAGATGACATTGGATGAAGTTGTCGGATGAAAGTACTCCCGACGCCGGATCGCCGGCTCTCTCCGCATCCTAACTTTTGCAGTCGTTCGACTTCCCATTCGGCGATTCCATCCACCTCCGACTCTCCCTCAATTGCTCCCCGTCCTTCTTTTCAATATGTCGAGGTCTACAAAAGATTCGACTCGGTTTACGGCTACAGGAGTATGGGCCCACACAAAGCCTGGCGGCCGAGCAACGACGCTCCAATTCGCGGACCCGGCACCGAAGAATGAAACGCCACAGCAGAAAGTCAAGCGATTGAGGGAGGCAGCGAACCGAGCGAAGATGGCGCAGGTCACGAAGTGGGATTACATGTATTTGTACGGCAGAATGGCCGCAGACGCGGCGCATAGGTTTACGGTTTATGGCATCATCTTCGCAACAGGTATGCTCCCCAATAGAGCATCCGAGGCTGTCGGACTGCAATTGTTCCCTGTGGACCGTATCTAACAGTTGTCTCAAGGCTGCATTGGTGTCCTCGCCGTATTCTCAATAGGAGACATGATTGTCTACAACCGCCGTAAACGCGCAATCTACTTCGAAGACCAGGAGCTAGAACAGGCCAAGATTCTTGCGCTCGCCCGAAGCGCAGTCGCATCAGGTAGCGCAACGGCAGCACAGACTGCACTCGTCGAAGGAATCGCGGACGAAGAAGCTGCCATGGAAAGGAAGAAGGCGGAGAGGAAGATCCCGTCGAGGATGCTCTGGTGGCTGCACGGCGAGTGGAAGGAAGAGAAGGAACTCAAGGAACAGAGGAGGCTTGCTGTGGAGGACTACAAGAAGAAAGAAGAAGAAGCTTCGAAAGCGGGCGTTAGCGTCACCCAAGCAGTGCAGGAGGCTCGGCTGAACGCATCGTCACAACCACCAGCGGGCGGCCCGCTCGACCAACAAGCTTCAAAGGCAGCCGCGTTTACCGAGAAGGTGGCGCACAAAGGCTGGTTTGGGTGGCTAACAGGCGGGTCCAAGAAGGAGTAAGATGTCATCAGGAGCTGAAGGGACGCCCCGTGTCCATGTATCATATTCGCTCTCCCAGCCTGTACAACGCTGTGTATTATTGTACTGCATCACGGAGTTGGGAGGCACAATGTCCGGTGTAGATGATTCTGGCTTGGGTATCTTCGACATTCATGTCCATAATTTCATTCCCATCCAAACCTACGCAAGAACTCCAGCTTAAAGTATATCGACATGAGAGTAAGAATACTGGAATGCTCCGATCATTGTTCCGCCTGTCCGGATACGGGTATGTAGGTTCGCCGCTGTCGAGCGCGCTGTACGGGAGTCAGTCAAGCTCTGTCTTTTCCGACGCGCCGGCGAGCAGAGTTTATATCCACATACCTCCGCCCATTGCTCGACCCAAGGTCTTATGGCCGCATAGCTCAGCAGCCCGACGGTTGCAAGGATGAATATCCACACTACTGCCTGGTCTTTCGCGGAGTCTCTCTCTGCGCACGTCAGCACTCGTGCTCCTCGACTAAGAGACTACATGTCTTCACATACGGAAGCACGTAGTAAAGACATTCTCCTCCTTCTCGCCCTTGCAAAACGAATAGCTTAGGCAGAACTGCCGATTGCAGTCATTGCACGTCTTCTTCGAGGCGCGTTGTTTCAGGTCGGGCGACGGTTTCTGGGTGTTAACGGGCGAGTCGAGTGCGACGATCGTACTGTTGCCGAAGCAGGTGCATTTGCAGAAGGATGTGGGTGCTGGTGGAGGTCAGCATGCGGTGTTCGTGAGCCCTTTCACACCAAGCTTACATTTGGCTAGGGATGTAGAGAGCAGTGTGAGGAAAGTAAAGAGGAGCAGTAACCAGGGCGTCCGTCTTCTCATGGTGTAAAGTGCTAAAGCTGTGCTGGGCGTTCATTGAGAGTTGAGATGGCTTCCACTCCCGCCGCGAACCAGGTGCTCGGACCAACAGACAGCTCAGCCCAGCCCAACCAACCGGCGCTAAGCTTTTCCTCTGATCTTCCACCCCTCCACACTTCCCTCCGCTGCGCTTACCTGCGGCGCGTCTGCTAATTAACCCTCTATTAATACTTTGCGCCCATATACAAGAGCCAGAACGCTTCCTTGCCGGGTTGAGCTCCGTCGCACCGAACACTCGCGCGACTCATGCCCGCAACACAAGCAGCTATCGAAAAGGCTGGAGCTCCCACGACCGCCACAAGTACAAAAGGTGGAGCCGCGCAAGGCGCCCAAGAAGATCAGAGTCGCATCGTCAGACTCCATATTACGCCCTTGACCCCCGCGCTCCTCAACGTCTACCTGCCGCCCACGGTCCTCCCGCTCGCGAAGAACATCTCGTACCACACCGTCGTGACCTTCCCGGAGAAAGGCTTCGGATACGTCGAGCTACCGGCTATGGAAGCGCAGAAGCTCAAGAAGAAGCTCAATGGCTCGACGCTCAAGGGTTCGAAAGTCAGGATAGAGGACGCGAAGCCGGAGAAGCGCAAGGCAGGTGAGGATGCCGAGGATGCGAAGGAGAACGGAGAGCGCCCCGTCAAGCGCGCGAAGAAGGAGAAGAGGAAGAAGGAGCAGGGTGTGCTAGCAGGGGTTGAATTGCCTGATGAGAGGAAGGTCAAGCGCGGGTGGACGGACCCACCCGTCAAGAGCAAGAAGGAGAAAAAGGGAAAGGACAAGGAGAAGTCGAAGCGGAAGGAGTCGAAGTATACCAAGGAGCCGGAGGTGCTGTTCAAGGCGAAGCTTACGCCTGTTGCGGCTGCTGAGGTCGCCCAGAAAGAGAAGAAAAAGGACAAGAAGGATAAGAAGAAGTCGAGGTCGAAGCGGGACGTGGTAGTGCACGAGTTCGAGAAGAATGCAAAGCAGCCGAGCTTTCTGAAGGAGGCTAAGGTGTCAGCGGAAAAGAAGCCCGCGGTGGATTATGTTGACGGCAAAGGATGGGTAGACGAGGACGGAAACGTGGTTGAGGCTGAGACCGGGAAGGCCAGGAACAGAAGAGTACTGGAGCTGGTGGATTCCGCGCCGGTGCAGCCTACTACGGAAAAGAAGCCCTCTGCTACCCCGTCGCCGAAGTCTTCGCCTGCACCTAAACCCGCAAAGAAGGAGAAGAAGAAAACGAAGATGACACCACCTCCCTCTTCATCCGAGTCTGAGGACGAGGAATCCTCCGTGGTATCATCTTCCGAAGATGATTCGTCCGGATCAGACCCAGAGGACGGAGCCGAAGCAGAAGCCTTGCCATCATCACCTGCTCAGGCGCCCAATTCTGACGCTCCTGAGATAGCCTTGACGCCATCATCACCTGCAAAGAAGGAGGTCCATCCCCTGGAAGCGTTGTTCAAGCGCTCAAAACCTCCAGCTTTATCAACCCCGGGGTCTAACACCGCATCCACCCCCGGGAAAGGCCTTGCGCCGATCAATACCTCATTCAGCTTCTTTGACGAAAGCAGCGATGCCATGGACGTGGACGCCGATGCTGATCCGTCCGGAAACCCGCCAGTCACGCCCTTCACGCAGCGAGACCTCGAATGGCGCGGTCTCCGAAGCGCGGCACCAACGCCTGACACAGCGGCTATCGGCCGGCGCTTTTCCTTCCCCTGGCGCAATAGCAGTCAGGAGATGGACGAAGAGGAGGAAGGCGACGACGAGGAAGCAGAGAAGCAGCTATCCAACAACACCAAGGCGAATGCGTCCGCCACGCACCTGCCTGGCGTCGCTGAAGAAGACGAGGAAGATGCAGAAGCCGGTGCTGGGCAGGGCGCGGAAGGAAAGGACGAGGAAGAGGAGCCTGAGAGCGAGTTCAAAAAGTGGTTCTGGGAGAACCAGGGGAGTCTGAACCGCGCGTGGAAGAAGAGGAGGAGGGATGCGCTGAAGGCGAAGAGGTTGAGCGAGAATAAGAGGGCGGTTGGCGGGGGAAGAGTCGGGTAGATGCAGCGAGTAACGTCGGTTGCGTTCAGAGCGATTGGGCTAGCGGAATAGAGGGCTTGACGTGTGGTGTGCCGTCTGAAGGGCATGCGTTCATATTTCTTAATGTATATACTTTAATGTCGAATGCCGTTGTTGAAGCACGACTTCATGTTTCAGAAAGCAGACCGCATTGAAGTTCCCGACTTGAGGGACTAAGGCATGAGGAGAAGCGCAGCATGCAGTCACGTGTGGATTTAAGCGCCCTAGGCAGCATCGAACCCATGGATCTGCCTGAAGGACACCGCCCTTCTCAGCGCGCACATAATCTACAACGCGCTCGCGTAATTACATACTACTCTCTCTTCACGACCCGAATATCTTCTTCGACGTCCTAACGAGCTTGAGCAGAAAGCCGGGCTGCGCCAGAACCGCCTATCTCGGAAATTCTGAAGGTCGCGGTAGTAAAACCCCCAGGATAGTCGAAGAACCTCAGCATGCGCCCCTGGAAGAAGCCGCAAGAAGAACCGTATCAAGAAGACTACAAAAGAGATATCTCGGTGGAGTTGAACGCCGCCCCATATCCCCGCCGCCGCGGAACAGCCAAGCTGGACACCTACCATGAATACGACTTCATGCACCCGCGCTTTGCCTCGCAGCTAGGCCTCAGCATCGGCTTCGTCGCCGTCGACACGATCGAATCGTCGCTGACGAATGAGACTATCCCTGTGCTCGGCAAGGCCGACGTGCGATGGTTCTGCGAGCAGAAAGGCGTCCCAGCGACGAAGCGGTTCGATCTTGCCCCGAGATATGAAGATGGCGTGTTTTGGGTTACGTATGCGGCGGGGGAGTTTGACGTCGTTGTTGGGAGGAGCACGATCGAGAGGGTGGGGCTGGTGGATCGGAAGGGAAGGCTTATTATTCCGAGGTCGAGGAGTTTGCCGCCGCAGGTGAATAGTATGTGTGACTGCGGATTGGTACGGGGGTCCATGCTGACAGGGAGAATAGAGGACCGACTCGATGCGGAGCAGGCGAAGGAGGAGAGACGCAGGCAGGAGGAAGAGGCACGGAGGCGGGAACAGGAGGGGAGAGTATGTGCAGCTATGAACATCACTGTCCAGAAACTTTGGCTAACGTTCGTAAGGTCGAGCTTGGTGCGTCAATCTTCACGGGGCCGAATACTTGGGCAGACAATCCTTATCCAATATGAACGGGGTGGGGTGTCAAGGTATCCAGCATAAGCAGGAGTAGATGGATCGCTATCTTACTCAAGGACAAGAGATATATTTCGCAGACACTGCCCACAAATCTTACGAAGCACGCAGGCCTTCACTCCTCATATCCCCGTAGGAACAAGCGCCTGCACCTCGATCAAATTGCCGTCCGGGTCCGCCACCACCATAAACTCCCTAAAGCCGATAGCCTCTAGCCCCGGCATCCCCCTCGCGATATCCTCCTGCACCTTTTCGCTCTGGATCCCCGGAAACCCCCACGCACCGCCGAGAATCCGGCTCTCTTCCGTGTCGCCCGAGAGATCGGCCTCGCCGGCCCGCTTGATGAAGCGGACACCCAGGGAGTCGAAACGGGATTGCGCAGCCGGGATGTCGTCGACGATGAGCCCCAAGTGTGAGAGTGTGATTCGTGGGGAACCAGCGTCGTAGCTGCGGTTTGAAGAACCCTGTCTCGTCCATCAGTTTCCCGGTCCGCAGTTCGATGGAATGCGAGGTAACGTACAGAATACTGCACAAACTCTACCATGCCCGCCATGTTATTCTTATCCCGCGCCATCTCTGCACCCGTCTGGTAGCCGGTGCCGTTCCTGCCGCCCTGGCTGTGCGCCATATACATGATCGTGTATTCCGGCGAGACCTCAAAGGTGAAGATGTGTCGCATGCCGAGCACGTCCGAGTACCATTTGCGCGTGCGGTTGACGTCCGAGACAATGAGGCCGACGTGATTGATGAAGTATCCCTTGGTGGCCGGGTCGGCTGGCGGATCGTCGCCTTGGATGTATGTGAAGGGGAGCGAGGAGTTGGCTTCCGCTTGGCGCGCCATGTTTGCGTGGTTGCAGGCCTGGGCCGTTGCGAGGAGGAAGAGGGAAAAGAGAAGTGAGAGCTTCATTGAGGAGGAGACCTAGGAAAGAGGTGCGAAGGGGTGCTCTTGATGGGCATCCCAGCATCCAAACCCTCCGTCTTTATATCCCTCCCTGTCCACAAAATTATAAGGGACGCCCAACTCAGCCCCATTCCCATTACCAAGAGACCCCAAACTCCTCCTTACCAGCTGTGAAAGGCATCATCTTGCGGACGTACTCTACTTTCACGTCCAACACGTGACTGGCGCAAGCCGTAATCTCTCCGCAGGACGCGAAGGAAGCGCCGGCGGAGATAGTCTGACCCAGCGCTGGGGCAAACTAGGAGAAAACGGCGTTTCTCACGTCCGTCACTCCAGACTTGGGAACTATGATGCGAGGCTGTGCGGAACGTCCCCTACGGCCGTAAGAGCCTCACGGGTCGCCAAGCTAAGCGGCCCGTTTCTGTGGAGGAAGGCAGACTCGGCAACCTTAGAAGTCCTAGGTAGGGCCGAATTCCGCCTTGCGTTTGGTGAACGAGTTTCTTTGATCCTCTTAAACCCGTTGAGTCCTGGCTCCAGGGCTGATCGCGGCATATTTGCCGTCCCCAGCTTCTGGAAGCCGCAACGAAGTCAATATCATTTCTTGTAGTCGCATCTCAGTCTCTCAGCATCGCTTGCTTTATTACCATCCCATTCAGGACCTTGATTTAGGCAGTAGTACTCGTCCTACTCACCTTGTGTCCATCATGCGCTCTCAGGATGCGAGCGAGTCCGCTCGGTCCGAAAGCCGGAGATCAGAATGATAATGGAGGCGGTGAAGGCAACCGTCGGTGGAGACGAGGCTAGGGCACTCATTATCGGCTTAGGACAAGACGCCAGACAGATTCTAGCTATGCCGTGGATTATTCGAGGATGATTGATTCGCAGGTAGGGTTGCCTTGCGGAGATATGGTCCGGTGTCTTCAGGGAAGCGCGCTGTTGACCGCGGTCGCTCAGTGCGCCGCTGATATTATAAGCATCAGCCTCCTCTGCTCTCTTCCGCTCACATACCATGCCAACGTTGGGTTCTTGTTTTCGCGACCTTCTCTTTCCGAGTTTAAAGATCTTCTTCTCCGCCCCCTTCCATTGGACCCCCAAATTCAGATTCATCAAGATCATCTTCGTCGAATCCTTCATCAGAGCCGTCATAATCGAACTCATGCTCGTCTCCATCGGGCCTACCCTGGTCGAAATCGTTCTCATCGTTAATACTCATGGATGCAACCTCGTTCATCTCTAGAGAACGGCTTGGCTGAGATGAAATACCGCCTCTATCACCGTTGGTCCGGTCTCCGTGGAACTCCGCTTTATCTTCAACACAATCAGATACAATAGCGGGTACATTATAGCTCATAGCAATGGGACCATCTGGGTGGGTTGAGCCTTGGTCCTTACTGTAAGGCGTTCCTTGGCGGATAGGCAGTTTGGTTTCAGGTCTAGGCATCTTTGCAGTGCTTTCATAACGTTACGCTTTTGATCATTGGTCGTGTCGTACTAAATTCCGGGTTAGTGGAAGAAATGACAGCTCAAAGAACCGAGACGCGATTACCAGACACCCTAGATTGTACCACGCTTCCCATACATAGGGATTCAATCGAATAGCTCTCCACACAGCATCGAAACCATCATGGTATTGGTAAACCTCGTAGTAGAGCACACCGATAGAAATCCAGTAGTCAGGATAGCGCCCCAGGGAATAATTTACAGCGTGCTGGTAGCATTGGTGGGCTTGCTTCAAGTCCCGGACGGAGTTGATCTGTTGGTATGCTCGTCCAAGAAGGTACCAGCTTTGGCTGTTCCGGAGATATACATATCTTGTCAATTATTGCCTTGACTTTGCTTAACGGTAATGCATATGTTTGCCTTACGTGAGTTGATGGAACGTTCCAAAAAGTAGACCGATCCGCCGTCGATCCGGACAAGCCGGTGCCATCCCATATAAAGATTTGCAGACGCATCATCGGGATCCCTCGGTAGCATCTCTTCTGGAATTGACTCGCTTAACGCGTTCGTACAGATGTACTCGACGGAAAACCGTGACATACTGTTCTAGTTCGTTTATCGTAGGTATGACCGGCGATACGCAGCGGCTTTTTCTTGGGTGGTGACTATCATCCCTATTATATGCTCGCGGAACGCCTGCCTGGTAAGATAGGAGATCTTCCGGTACTGGCGGGGACGCTAGGTGTATCAAGTGTTCTCTCTGTTTTTCTATCGAGCTCCATCGTCCGCACGTTAGACTGCACAAGTCGTTAGTGGGAGACTCCGTTGTTCTTAATCTGCAAGGCTCAAACCTAACTTACCAAGTTCTTCCTCTAGATGTAGGTTCCCTATCTCTATCATCTGAGTCTGTCATCGCCTGCAACTCTAGAGCGCCGCCGCATGATTGATACGGACAAGTGTCCTTTTGAGTTTGTGCTGCGGACTGGGAAGTAACCATGGCTTGTTGAACGTGTATTCCTGCTTTTGCCACGTGGGCCCACTGGTGAGGTCTGATAACGGCACCTGTTTTGGCAGAGACAATCATGAACATATCCGCAGAAATAAGCGAAGCCCCGGTCCATCCATTTCCGTAGACGACCTGAGATAGGACGTTTTTCAAGGCCTAAGTTCATTAGCTGCTTATACGTCAATAAAGTTCAATCCGGGCCCACTTACTTGCCATTGAGTACACGCCTGGAATGGAAGGCCCCAGCTCTCGCCCAGTGCATCATCCAGTCGGATGATATCCAAAGTGAGATGTAGCGGGATCGCCTCGATCGCACGTATGACCTGTCGCATTTTGTCCTGAAGGCTGAGAAGCATTTGACTACAACGTGTTAAAACTTCCAGAACTGAGCTGCCTCCCGGGATGTGATGCTGAAGTACTTACGCATTGCGGGCAACTTCATGTAGCAGTTTACTTGAACAATGGAGCAGCCTAATATTGTCAGAAATCTGCGTTAGACTTGTCTGTCTAGACTTACAGTTGGACCAGCTTCTTCACCTCTAAGATCGGGTTGAAGAGTCGAACGATAGTTTGAGTAGCTCGTGAGCCTACTCGTGAGGCAAGGGAAACAGCTGCGTTCACATCGATATCGATTTTCTTGATGTTATTAGCCATGACTGTTAGACTGTCGTCCAATTGCTTGAGCCGTCTGTTCTGTTGCGTTCGGTGAGCGACCGTAGACTCTCGCATATGCGTGAAGGCTTCTGGAATGCCTTGAACGATTTGTAGAATAGTCGAGGTTTGTGTCAGGACGTCTCGTGAGTGGGTAGCAGCTGTTGCGGCCTGGATTCTCCTCTGCTGTTGAGATTCGAGCGAAGACTTCTTCAGATATGTTCTACAAAGATCAGTATATCTATTCTACCGTCCAACGTATTTTACTTCTTACAAGTGCTGCATGCCTAGGAGGAGACTGATTGCGACCATCTCTGAGAGGATAGTCTTGCGTAGATCATCCACATCAGCTTTGGAGACCATCGACCAGTGCAAACGTGTGCCGAAACCGCTGAGAGATTGCGTCGTACGGAAGTGTCCAAGATTAGCCTCTTTCCCTTGCATCTTGCTAATGAACGCTTGAAGAGGCTGAAGGCAATGCATTGCGATTGCCCGAATACGCTGAAAACTAGCGTGTTCCACATCGTCGGCGGCCTCCATGTAGAGTAGCTGCTGGATAGTATTTCGCATCAGGTCCAGCTCCAGCTGAAGCTGCTGGAAGTGAGCGGGCGCATTGCGGTAATTTCGGACCTCGTGAGCCACTCGCTCGATGAGGTTGAGAACGGCGACGATATCGCCCACAGCATAACCGAAACTCATAGTGGCTGCCCCTAGATCTCTAGATTTGTCGTGTGAAATGAGCTTGAAATGAGTCGGAGGTAGAAGACATGAGCTGTGCGAATATCGTGGTGGCTGCCTGTGAGGCTGAGTGGGGTTTGGGTCTCAGCCTCGTACGGCAGAATCCTATCAGCTTCCATTCCTCTTGCATGACGAGACGATTGCCGGGTTCGATTTCCAGTGACCGCTCGCGCCGCAGATGTCCTTTCTCCTTATACAAGCGCGTTTGCCATGGGGTATGGAGGGTTCTGAGTGCTAGCGCTCGCCGAACGCGATTCGATCCGACTCTGGAAGGAGGAAGGACGAGGAGTCGGAGAACAGAACATCAGTAGTTGAGCTTGGGGAAATCATATCAGTGGTGTGCGCTTGTAGTCGTGTCGTGGTCGTTCGAAAAAGCGGAACGTCACCAAAACGAAAAGTGGTACGCTACTGCGTGCCTTCCCCGTTGAGATAGGACATAAGACCTCCGCAAGAGTTGGACATAGAAATGGTGGTTGTATATATCGAATCATCGAATTTGCAGGCGGCTGGACGTATTCGAATACCTCCCTTGGTGCAATTCGGAGTTCTGCAGTTGTAGCTCTAGTTTGTTGAGACGTGACGAAATCTAGCGGATCAAGCAACTTTCCAAGGAACCCTGCACCTGACGAATGACACCAATGCTTCATTCCTATAACGGATGCTCTCAACGACCGAAGCATTTAGCAGAGCATGAACTCAAGCCATGTATGTCAAACTCCACTTCATAGCCAATGCACATAGCACGACGCCCTCCTTTTATACTAGCATCTCGTTCCCATCACCGCCCTAAACCCATCCGTCCCAATCCCATCCCGACTCACCACCCTCCCCACACAACTACTCCCCCTACACGCCTCCTCCGCCCTCGTAAGCACCGAACCTCCGCTCTCGTTTTCATGACGAGGATGCTCGACCTGCTGCGTACGCCCGCAGTGTTCTGGATGCGCATCCTGTTGCGCGTACTCGTTCGGCGGCGTATCATCGTTCCGCAGCGGCCAATCGCCAGCGAAGAGTAAATTCTCGCCCATCATGCCCTTCTCGGTAGCTTCGATGATTTCTTCGGAGACAGAGACGGGAAGGGAGACGGGCTGGCGGATTGTTGATGCTAGGAGGGCGTTAGTGAAGTATTAGCAGGGGAGGGTAGAAGGAAGGGATGAAGTACCGTAGTCATGTGTATCTTCCCATTCCGCCTCCTGAGCAGCTGGAGACGAGGGAGGGCTAAGTCGCGTAAGGACGCTTCCCATCGCAGATACTGTGCTCCCGCTGAGGACTCAGGGTTCGTTTCGTCGACGATGAAGGCTACAGTCAGAATAGTATGCAGGGGAACGTAAATAAGAGAGAGGAACCTCAACTTGAAGCAAACTCAGTCGAAGCAAAATCTCGGTACTACGAACCCTCATCCCGCTCAACCATCGCATCATAATATACCCCATCCCTCGCCGTCAAACATTGACGTTCTGTAAGACCCTGTTGTGTCCCCTTGCTTTTCCCGCTGACCCCCATGACGTCGATCGACGCCCCAAGCAGACCACTCCCGCAATTTCAGGGTCCAGTCGCTTTCCTTTTGCGGCGCACATGCATCAAACCACGTCTACGTGCATCTTCGAAACGCAGAGCATCTCTGCTGGGTATAGGAGTCGAAGACCCTTCCAAAGCCGCCATGATCGCTGTCTTGGGAGAACTCGATGCCGCTTGGCGTGGATAGTGCAAATCTAGAGAACGCGATGTGCACCAGGGTCGTTTCCTCCCGATGACGAGAATGACGAAGATCAGCGTGCTAGACAAAAGTTCCGCGGGTAAAAAAAAAGGAAAGCAAGAGATAAACACGTAAAAACGACGTTTCAGAATGCTCCCGCGGGGAAAGATGGGGAGATACGGAATTTTCGTCTATTCATTCAATCGTAGGAATTCGTACCGTGAAGCGTCTTACCGTCGCTCCACTACCTCATCCGTCCGCTACCCTCAGGTGGCATTACCTGAAGAGGCGCTATCGTGCCCAAAAAGTCTTCCCCAGTTGCCGTGTTGAGTGGGATGTGAGCCAAGGACACCCGAAAGGGTTCAGGAATCCCCGTACCACTGTGCCATGCCTTGGCCGTGACATGGACGCATCATTCTTCCTCAAGCGCCCTTATGATTGGGAAGCAGCTCCATCAGCAGCTACTGCTCCAGTAGCAGGTGTCGTAGCATCGCTGCTAGCAGCGTTGCCCGTTGCTGGCGCTTGGGCCTGTGCCGGTGCGCCCCTCCTACCCCTCTGTGTATCCGCATCACCACCTCCCCGAATCATACGCTCCAACTCTCTGATCCTCCGCTTGAGCATCTCATTCTCCCTCTTAGCCTCTTCCAACTCTTGGCGGTAGTGCGCAACCTCCTCGTACCTTGGCGTGCTGACCACGCTTGCGCTTCTGGCCTGCTGTGCAGCGGTCGGGTCGCTGGTGGGTTGGGAAGACATAGAGTACCGATGGTGCGGAATGCTGGCCGTGGCAGACGTAAGTGGGATGCCGTAGGGAGGGGCATTTATGCTGCTGCGAGATACGCTCGAGGAGCTACGGTGACGACGCGCGGACGTGGGGTGTGTTGGGCCGGTCATGTCTTGATCGATGTGAATGCCGGACGCGGTGCTCGAGGTGGTCGACGCTACAGATGCGGAGTGGGCGCGGAGGGCGGAGAGCTCGCGAGTTAGGCGGTTTACGACCGCCTCTTGTTCCTTCTCCAGCTCCAAGTGTAGCTCTGCCGCCGTCAGCGGTCGAGGATGCCGCATCGGCACGCCCTGAGCATCGACGCTAGGTACATGACCGGACAGGTTGGGGCTCAGAGGAGGAAACGCGTAGGCGTGGGAGTGCTGGGTAGTACCCGCAGGGAGAGCGCCGCCGGGGGAGGCGAGAGGGAGCGGTGGAGGGCTCATGGGGTCTAGATGTGGGGTGTTGTTAGCGGATGTTCACGTAGCGGAAGGGAGGTATAGTATATGCTGGCTGTTGTGGTAGGGTGATCGTCCCGTCTGGCGGAAGGGTTTAGAGCAGATCCCGTTTGACACTCCGCGCTGGGCTTCCGTCCATGGAGCGAACATCGTGAAGACTTCTGCACCCAGGGGCCATCCATACGTACATATCTGCGACGCGCGCCTCGAAGCAGGCGTAGAAGACTGACGCGAAGCCTGTGCCGAAGCACCGCTAGCCGCAGCTTGTATGCCCTGCATGGTCGAGCTCGTGGTGTTTGCTGGATGCCTCGGGGAGGCCGGGACAGAATTAAGATCGGGCATATTGCTGTTCTTTATCCTTCCTGTTGGTTGCGGTGGTGATGTGGTTATCGTGCGTGTATGCTGCCCGCGGTCGCCGCAAGTATATGTGGACCTCGTTCTCAAAGGCAACAGCAACAGACGACAATGAAAGAGTTGCGGGTGCGGGTCGCCGTTCACTCCGCTGCCATTGTTTTGAGCGACCAGGAGATTCTGCTCGCCCCGGAATGCTTCCCTGGACCTTGTTTGGCGGGGCGCGCTGTGTTGTCGAGGTGGTCGATGGGTCGACAGGGCTATTCCTTTCGGAGGACGTTCTTATCCACTCACGACTCTCATGTCAGCAAGGGTCTCGTCAACGTGAGGCGCTCATTTCCACATCCAACAAGGACTGTGGAATTTGAGAATTATTCACGAATGCATTCAAGCGCTCCACGGCTATTCCATTGATCTCATGGGCATAGGGGTTTCGACCTTGTTGGACCGGAGATTCTGCAATTCTCCACTTGTCGATTTCAAGAGGTACAGCTACGGCGGCTACTTCCCTCAGCGAACATAGGTCGAGTATGACGACCCTGCGCTATATGTCGCTGTCCTGTTCCCGCATTACTCGCCCCAGAACCTCCAAGAAATGCTTTTAACACATTCCGAGAAACCCCGCCAACTCCAAGCCGCAATGCTCTATTCATGATAGGATCCATAGCCCATATAGCCTTTCTAATACGTCCTCGCCAAGTTGCGGAGGTACCAGTCTACCAATCTCCTACCCACCTTGGACTCAGCAACGTGGATAAGATCCTGTCTATGGTTAGCATCTTCGAAACTCCGCCAAGCATCGCAGAACTTACACCTTCCATAGCATAATCAAGATCGCTGCTGTGGACAATGTCTCCCTCCAATAATCCGCCCTCGCTCCACCTCGTCTGCCTGTTCCTTTGCTTGTTGACGAGCAGCCAGCACCTGAGCCTCTCCGGGTCCACCTCCAAGAAGCCAGCAAGCTTCTTTAGATCCATCGTGGTGTACAGCTTGAGGTAGCTCTTCACCGTTGGCGACATCATGGTGTTCTTGACCTCGTCCATGAAGATGCGGAGGTGGTGCTCGACGGGGTCGACGTTGATCTCCGGGTTGTCGAAATCGGGAGGCGTGGGGCTGATGAACTTGGGGCAGGCGGATCGGAAGAGTTCTTCGAACAGCGGGAGAGCATCGGGTCCGCCACGCTGTAGCCTGTTGAATTGCTCTCCGTACTTCTCGCGCAGGGCGGTGTGAATAGTGTCATCCAGCCTCGTGGGGTGGAATGCAACGCAGATTGCGATCAGAGCGTACATCTGGTCGTTCTTCTTGGTGATCGAGTCATACTGAGCGTTCTTCTGGAAGTTCTTCGTCCTCGAGACGTAGACCAAGATGTGGCTGAACATGCGGATGGCGTCGGCATAACGTCGCATCATCATGTACGCGAAGCCGACGTAGTAGTAGGTGGTGAAGTGGGCGGCCATTACACGAGCGAACATGGCCTTCTTGTTGAGTTCGATGTCGTCCAGGGTCTTGAGCGCCAGGCTGAAATCTCCAAGCAGACAGTGTACCCGCAGCAGTCCGATGACCGAGAAGTATCCTAGCATCTTATATAGCGGCCTTGAGCCGTACTCTCCGGTATATAGGTTCGGATCCTCTCCACGCTTCATGGCCGATAGCTGCTCGCTAATCTGTGACCTCTGGATCAGGGAGTACAAGACGTTCAGGACGCTGTAGCAGCCCCACGTGTTCGGATTCTCTCGCAGAGTCCGTATCTCCTCCGCATTATCGCCCTTGAGTGCGACCTTTTGGCGGTAGCTGCAGAAGCTGTTGAACTGATAAATGAACTCGTCGATGACGTCCCAGGCCCAGAATGACTGCTCGACTGTTAGCATTGGACCAGAACCATGCATTCTCGGCGCCTTACACTTGGGACCTCTAGATCCACCGGCCCTTCTGAGTTCAGGATAAAGTGGAAGAGATTGCAGTAGTTGTCGTAGCTCGCGAACTTGGTCTCGAGGGTTGCTTGGTACTCAAGAGGTGTCGCCGCCGCCTGCAGCTGGGCGTGTATATCCTGGCTGCCTGCGAAAGAAGGTATTCGATCCAGGTCTTCCATGCCATCGTAGTTCTGCACCTGCTCGCGGTAGTCGTTCACCAGCGCCTCCTCCTCGGCATCTGACTCGTCGGCCGGGGCGCGCATGGCGTCGCCATTCTGGTATTGCGGCGGGACTCGCTCTCGCAGACTCATCTTAGGTATTCGGACGGCGGGCCGCGCGGATGGGGGGGCGAATGAGGGTCGATTGTGGTCTCCGGCGTTGTCACAGTGGAATTTCGCGGGCGCCCAATTCTGCTGTGGGTGGTCTTGGCGCTTTTATCGATAAGACAGAGAGGTGTCTGGAGGTAAAGCGACCCCGCCAAAACTGAACACGATGTGCAGAAAACTCACGATTTTTAAGGAAAATTAGCAAAGAACGAAGGGAAATTGCAATACTAATTACCTATTTCTTTAGGATAAAGGATATTTGGGATAAATAAAGATTTTCTTTAATTCTCGTGATGTTCTCTTCGTCAGAAGAAAATGCCAAGAAATCTTTAAGTCCAAGTTCTGCTGCTACCCGTGACCATCGCCCCTTTCCCGTGGCACTCTCACCACAGGTAAACGTAAACAGGAACCACCGGCCCGCCGCCGCTGAGCCCCCGGAGACTGTCTATATTGCTGGGCTGACCCGAGTCTGGTCGGCGGCGTCTGCTCCATCTCCTGAATAAGCTGGTGAGTCGAAAACGATATCCGACGATCACCCAGGGTTCCTGGAGCTTGTATACTAGCGAGGGGGGGGTTAAAGCTTCTGCTAGGCTCTTGCAGTTGCCGGCTACCTCGTTGCTGGTGCGCTTGCCAGCCTTCGTCGCCATTCTCCAGTTGCTCACCGAACTGGCTACCCTCCGTAAGTCCTTGGAGGTGTGCTCTAAGGGTATCTGAGCCTCGCGGTACTTGAAGCTCGGTATGTTCTCTCTGGTCTTGGTCTGTGAGATCTTCAGACCCTCTGCTAGCCAGTAATCTTTGCTGGACCCGAGGAGCAGCTGCTTCCTGCTCCAGAGTCTCTTCATTAAGAAGCTCCCTGATCCTCTCGTTCACCTGCTTCCTCTTCTGGAAGGCTCTGGCATATCGCGCACTGTACTCTTGGCGCAAGTCTCGCTCTTGCTTCCGAAGAGCGTCCGCATGGGTCTTCGCGAGTTCTTCGCGGGTCTGTGTTCTAGTCTCACGTATCACCTCTGCAAGACTTCTGCCGAACTGTGCCTCCAGGCTCTCCCGGATATCCTTCTCGGTTTTGAGTATCTCAAATACCCTGCCGAGCTCTTGCTCCGCTTCAGTCTTTGCTTTCTGGATCGCCGTCTCGCTTTCCGTCTGCAACGCCTCTCGCGTGCGCTGCTCGATGTCTGCCTTCGCCTTCTGGATGGCATTATCGCGTTCGGCCTCAAACGTACTGCGAAGCCGCTGCTCGGTTTCTTCGCGAGCAACTTTCTCGTTCTGAAGTTGCTCGATTTCTGCTGTGAAGAGTGAGCGGTTGTGGCCTTGACCACTAGGAGCACTCACCTTGCAACTCCTCAATCTTCATCTTATCGCACTGCAACACAACTTCCGGTCGTATGCGAGCTTGTATCGCCTCTGCCGCCTCTGCTTCTGCAACCGCATCATCCACTGGCGTCGCAAGCTGGCTGACAAGCAACTCATCGTTTCGACGGTAAAGATGGTGGTATTGGGCTACGACACGAGCCCGTCCGTGTCGATGCCTCCATTGCTCACTCATGCGCTGAAGGTGATCCATCGCGCTGTAGGTGATTGTGGGTAGGTACAGGATTGAATTTTTCAGGTCATAGATTTTGCAGTGCCGTGGCTGCGCGGATGGCAGGTGCGATCCGACATGGCCGTAACTGCCCTGGCGCGCTCACCTTCCGTCCCAACATCTTGAGCCAAAATGCTTCGTCCGGAGCTTTCAAGACACCATCCATTATACCTCGCCATCTCAAAATGATGCAACCTCCTCGGAAGAAGCGACGAAGACGGATAGATGATTTTGTTGTTGACGATGATGCAGCTAGCATTTCATCCACCGCGGACTACGAGCCCACCCAAACCAGCCCGAGCCGCGCTGGTAGACAGCTCCTCCTGACCGGATTGTTTGGAAGACAGACGAGCCCCCACGATGAGGATCCAGAAACCGATGAAGAACAGGATCCAGAACGTGAGGCAAGCGGGTCTCTCGACAGCCCGGCAGCACGTCCTCAGCGTGGAGCCGCAGTAAATGCTGCTCCACAGATTCGACACTACGCTCGTGCCGACATTGGTGAAGTCTCTGACCTCGCCGAAGATGATGAGTCGGACGAAGACGAGATGGATGCAGACGCTATCCAGTACGCTCCATTTGAAACCCAGGTAGCGGGTGACGAGCAACTCTCGCAAGTAGATGATATCCCAGAGTGCGAGGATATCGGTGATCTGCCGAACGTCTTGCCAGAAGGTAGTGACCACTTCGTCAAGCTCGTCGAGCAGGTAGAGCGAGACGGCTTCGTCCCGCTGATCGATGAAGTGCTCAAGGTCGAGCACAGAAGCGGCTCCAAGTTCGGCGAGTTTTTGTTTGCGGAAGCCCCCGACTACTGGAAAGACATGTGCTTGCTGACGCTGTGCAGTATGCCAGAACGTGTCATACAAGAGCTTACCTACGGCAACCTCAAGCAGGCTTACGAAACGGATGCAGAGCTCAAAGCGGTGCTAGATCGTTACCAGGCCCGCGGGAAGGAGCACCCGAGCATCTACGCGCGTGTATGTACTCGAGACAACGGGGAGTTAATGACCATCGAGCAGGCACGCCGAGTGGTCAAATGGCTCTCAAGATATATCTCAGAAGACCCCGCCGTCAAGGCACATCGACGGTGCGTAGAGGCATTCCGCAGGATCGATTCGGCGTTTCGCGGGCAGTGGCGGCCCGCCGGACAGAAACCTGATCGAAGTTATCTCGCGACGAACTCCACGATGCGCTCAGATGCTCGAGTGCGTAACGTACGACTATTTTGCCAGCAGTTGCTGGCGGAGTGCGACAGGTGTGAGGCAGCGAACAAGCCTCTCAAGCCGCTCCTATACATTGGTTTTGCCGCGAAGGCAGACAGACGCAAACGGCAGCACGAGGCTTGCGGCCAGTCCTCCAATTGGTTGGCGACACTCGTGCAAGCCATCTGCAACGTGTTATGGGGACGCGGAGTCTTCAAGATGCACTTCTTCGTGATCTGCCTGCTGCACGAGGAGCTGCAAGGTATGGCAGCAGAGATGCTTCTGACCAGAATTCCAGGTGCCTATTACAATGCAGGAGGTGGATTCTGCATCGATGTGGCCGGAAAGAGTATGGAGAGCATATACTTCAAGAAACTTTCGGCACAAGACAGTGTCGACCACTGGAATGAGTTGAGCGAATGGATCGACCAGAACACGCCGCTCGTAGAAAATCTTGATCTCCACAGAACTCGAGTTGAGATTTTGCAACGCCGCAAGAAGATAGCGGCCGAGGCTGAGCAGCAAGGTCTAACACCCCGCCAGCGGATCACCAAAGCCGTGTCAGAGGTCAAGAATTACTATGACAGTTGTCAGAAGTTAAAGAACGACCTCTGCTGGCAGACGGAGGAGGGGAGGAGGTGGGTGCGTGAGTCAGAGGAACTTTGGGGACAGATGAAAGAAAGGTTTCCCGATTATGTTTAGAATCTAAATATCAATACTAATTATGATGAGCATCACCGGGGGTAAGCGAGGAAAATACGTGAATCCGTCTGACAAGTGAATCGGTACATACCTCTCACGCAGTGTCATTCGAATGAATTCTTGCACCTCCTACATTTCTGAACCTTTCTGACTCTTCCGGTGAAGCATGTCGTTGAGTCAAATTCCAGCCCGTGTCGCCGTCGTTTGAAGCTGTTTCATTGGCATTCCAAACAGTGCCACACTTTGTGAGGATTCTTCTTCTGGACGTTGCTGTTGATATGGCCGTTAAAGACACATATGGCACTCCTGGCTCATCGCGTGTTCGGTGTGGTACCTAGGTAGTACACGTCTTTTCCCCATAACTTAGCCGGCTTGATGCGACCTCGGGAGCGGCTGTCCTCTCACGGTGTGGGACTCTACGAATAGGCGCTCCTTAATCCCACAAAACGTAATTGACCTATCCACTAATAGTCGTACACACCATCCCCCGCCCGAAGCAAATTTGCTGGCGCCCAACGCTCACCCCTCCCTTCAGAGCATATACCGATACCCCTTCTGCTGCGCCCTCGCCGCCGCAATATCGATCCCCTCAAACTCCGCCGTCTTCTCCAGCCTCCTCACATCCCGCTCCGTCAGCTGCGAGTCCTCCAGCTCCAGCCTCGCGAGCCGGCGATTCTGATACTGCAGATAAAAGCGCATGCCAACGAAGCACACGAGCGCAATGATCTCCAGCCCAATGCACACGCCCAGCGCCGGCCGATAGTGCGGCGCGCTGGACGGCGTGTACGTGAACGGGGTCCAGATGGACGCGCTGTTGCCGATGGAATTGATGAAGGCGAGAGCGACGGCACGCTTCGCGGGCGGGCGGGGGATCGCGTTGGAGATCCAGGCGTAGATGGTGCCGTTCTGCGCAAAGACGAAGTTCATGAGGAAGAAGGAGAAGTAGCGCGGGCCGAAGGAGTCGGTGGTCATGAAGATGATAAAGCCGGCGATGGAGACGAAGACCGGGTAGGTGAGGAACCAGAACCGGTTCCCCAGATGGTCGCTCGCGTAGCAGTGCGCGTACGAGAAGAACACCATGAACACGTACGGCGGCGCGACCAGCAGCAAGCTCACGACCTGGTTATATCCGAGCGTTTTCGTGAGCGTGGGGAAGAAGTTTTGAAACCCGGCTGCCCCGGTGATTCCCATATACGCGATGGCCAGCATGTACGTCTTTGGGTCGAGAAAGGCGAGCTTCATGCCGTGAATCTGCGACATGCCGCCTGCTAAGTCGACGTCGGCCTCGGCGGCGTCGATGGCGAGTCGCCGGTTCGCAACGCTTTTTTCGGGGGCGGAGAGCGCGGTCCAGGTGTCCGGGAAGTCGGGGAGGATGAGCACGATGATGATGCCGATGCAGCATGTTATGGCGCCTTCGATGATGTACAGCCTGCGTGGTATTAGCGCGAGACTGTTGAAGATTCGGAGAGAACATACCACTGCCACGCAGACAGCCCCCTAGCGCCCGCCAGCCCATTCAAGATGCCCGCCGCAATGAGGTTCCCAAAAGCGCCCGAGACGAGCGAGCCGGAATAAAAGATGGCGTTCCGCTTTGCCAGCTCTTCCTTGGTGTACCACTTTGACAGATAGAACAGCACGCCCGCAAAGAACGGCGCTTCCACGATCCCTAGGATGAAGCGACAGGCCACAATGCCGCCATAGCTAGTCACTTGCGACGTCAGGGCAGAGACCAACCCCCAGGCGATCGTAAAGAACCCGAGATACCAGGACGGCCGACCCACGTAGTTGAGGAGAAGGTTTGAGGGAACTTGCATGAGAATGTAGCCGACGAAGAGGATGGAGAGGCCGACTTGATACTGGTCCCCGCCCAGGTTGAGGTCGTCCTCTAGACCCTGCAGGCGCGCGGCGGCGTAGTTGTTTCTGGTTTCTGGTCAGCGATGTTTGGGACGACATGGCCATCACGCACCTGTCAATGTAGTTCATAAGATATACCAGAATCACCAGCGGCATGATCCTCAGATCAAGCTTCCACCTCAGCTTCTTCTCAATGGCCAGCTCTTCGGGTGACAGCTGTCCATGGTGCAGCAGTTCCTCCTGGGCCGTCTCCGCCTTCTCGCTACCAATCAATTCCTGATCCCGGAAAGTGTGCTCTGCCATGGCGCGAATTCTGTAGCATCAGTGTGGAAGAGACTTGGGCAAGAGAAGATTGCGGGGCGAAGCTTAAAGAGAACAAGACTTCTGGGGATTCTGGGGACCTGGGGACCTGGGGAGCGCCTCCATGACGAGTTGGCGCGGTCTGAACCCCTCGATGGTAACCGTACCGCTGGGTAGGAGGCGTGCGCCGGGCTCGACCGCCGTTCTGAACGGTGACAAAGAGAATGGTACCATACGCCTGCCGTGATTGGCGGGTTCTCTCGCTATCACCGTCGTGAGACCAATAGGCGAACTCGGGCGCGATGGAGATGTCATGATCAGCATGTAGGTCAATCAAACCCGGCAACTCGCGTAACGCCAAGTGCGGGAAGGTGAATGCAAGCCTGACGCTGCACGAGCTGTACAACACGGTTAAAAATGTTTTGTGGCAAGATAAGAATATTTTGGGTTCCGAAACTGCGGTACTTATCGTCCGACAACACAAGTGATATCTCGACCCAACCAAAAGCGCCGTTAACACCGATCATCGCTATTAAGGCCGCCCGCTGCCGTTACAGGTAACCGACCCACGCCATAGCCGTAACAGTCGTAAGCGTTCAGTAATCGCTCACCGCCCGTGGTTGTAAGACGAGTACTGCGGCGGTTGCGCATACTGGTGTGTATGCTGCGCAAAATCCTGCGGATTGTACCTATACTTGCGGTCCTCGGCATACTGCTGCCCCTCGAGCCTCCTCCGCGCATCCTCGTGCTCTTCCCGCGTTTCTTGCATGGTTGGCAGCTCGGTCGAGAAGCCCTTCTGGTCGAGGCCGGGGGAGCGCATGCCGTCAGACGCGTACGAGCTGGGTCGCGAGCTCATTGAGCTCTGGTAGTCGTTGGAAACCTGCGACCACCTGCCGTCTGACGGATTCGGCGAGTGGCCGGAGAGCTCGGAAGCGGTTGAATAGCGGTGGTCGTTTGGCTGGAGGTGATTCGGCGACTGCGGAGGGTGGTAGAAATCACCCGGAAGCTCCATTACGATGTTGTTGTGCCCTTGCGCATGATTCGGCGGGGGGTATTGCTGCGCCTGCATCTGCTGCGGAAAGGTCGACGACCGGTTCGGCGACATAGGCATGTTGTACGGCTGCTTGGGCGAAGGCAGCGGCGAGTGAGGGCGGGGAGCATGCGACGAGCGATCCGCCGGGTTGATTGTCGTCAGCCTGCCGTTCTCCATCATGGCATGCAGGGCGCCGGCGTCTAGCAGCTCCGCCTTCTTTATCAGCCTCTCCACCATCTTGAGGGCGGCTGCCTTCATTTCCTTCTTCACGAAGCCGACCATGGTGACGTTGCACTTGATTTCGATATCCTCGCGCAGGTACAAGCCCTCGGGCGGGGCGCCGATGCCCAGCTCGCGCGTCTCGGGCGGCTCTCCCGGCTGGTTCCCGCAGACCTGCCACTTGTTGCGCAGATCCACGCCCGCAGGCGCATACGTGTGGGTCTGCAGCCCCCAGGGCATGTCGTGGAAGCAGCCCCTGAACCTTATCACTCCAGAGCCCAGCTTCCCAATGCCCGGAATGTACTGTATCCTCTCCGTGATCTCGTACCAGGTGGAGTAGAACTCGTCGGCGGGCGCGTCGCGCGGCGCCTTGATGCCCTCGAAACTCAGCACGAGCGGGTTCAGTTCGATGATTTCGCCATGGCTGTGGAGGAGGTCGACGGCGAGCTGGCGCGGGATGTAGCTCGGAATCGGCGTAATCTGCGTGTATGTCGTCTTCTTTCGCATCATTTTGGCGGTGCGGCTAAGAATACGGAGTGCGGTGGTGGGAGGAGAGAGAGAGGGCAACGGGGGCGCGGAGGGGGCGGGAAGGCAGATAATAAAGCTGCTTATTACTCCCTTGCTGGGGCAGCTGCTTGGTGGAGATGATGGTTAGCTGAAATGGTCTCGCCTAGCCGGCTTGGGCCCAATGGCGCTCATGCGCACCACGTCATGCACGTGGCGGGGGCCGGTGATGTCAGCGCCGTGGGAGCAGGAAACGAAACGATCCGGAATCGCCTTGGAATACGCACCTGCAACTCGGTCGGAACGGGCAATGGGTTTTTGGATCCCTGTTGCCTTTTTTCGAGTCTGCGATGGAGGCACTCTTGCCTTCAAAGGTGCTGATGGCCCGCGAGAGTGCGGCTATTTTTAGTGCTGCTATGTCAGCAGCCTCTGGATCAGCAACTGTCGGTCCCAAGCCGTGCCGGGTTTCTCAATCTCCTCCGCTCACAACACAATTTGAGCCTTCAGGGGACGCGTATCGTTTGCGCTGCGCTGTTGTTCGTCTGCCTTCAGTCGCTGCGCCTCGACGCTTTAAATGAGGATCTAAGTCCGGAAACCCCAAACCCGCGCCGAGCCTTCTTTCACGCCAAGCTCCGCCTCTCTGGGCGCGCCGCTGCGGCTGGGGCCAGCTGGAGGCCAGTGGCAGCAAAGCTAGACGGGCATCTTGTCGTTGTCTGCGATTTGTTGAATGTGTCCAGATGCGGATCGTTTCATGGGACATCGGCGTGCATCAGGCACGGATTCTGACTAATGTGACATTTGGAGTCTCAGCCTGAGGCCGATCGACGCCTTCGCGGGCGAGAAAAAGGACCCATAGTTCACCGGCGCATTCACAAGCCCTTGGTGTCGGTTGCCGAGGAAGGGACGGTAGCAAAAAATGGGCGCCCAGAAGCCTCAGGCGTAGATGCGCCGGGCTTCAATATTTGTGACGGGCATTGTTGGACGAGCAGATGAGATCTAGCTAGGCCATGAGGGCAGCCGTGATCACTGAAAATCTCAGGCTGCGTATCTGTCTCAGTCAGCCATGTATTTTGAGCGACCCGTCCATCCCTCCAGTGTCGCGATCTTGAAGCGCATCTAGGGAGTGTTCAATATGCTCTCTACCGGCGCCAGCGGGCTCTTCAGCGAGCGAGAGGAACAGGTATCGCTTGGGACTGTCGCTGGCGGCGCGACTAATAGTCAAGTCCAGGAGGCAGGGTCAAACAGCGTACAGTAACATCGTCCTTGCCCACCCAACGTGCAACATGGCTTTCAAGCCTCTAGGATAAGTCATCCTGATTCGTACTTCTTCCATCTCTCTATGTCGACTGCCTCGTGTTTGAATAGTTCGAGCGCGTGAATAGGCCCAACGTCAGAAAATGGCAGGTGCTGTCGAGACAATGACGTGAACCGTGGGTCGGGCAAGTGCGGACGACACAACAACTCATTTCTATCCCGATTCCACTTATCCAGCAACCCACTACATTCACTCATCGCCATTATCATCCAACACAATGGACACTCTGACCGCACCGTTTCGCTGCATCGGCAAAGGCTTCTGCGGAAGCATCTGGGCTTTGGATAACCGCAGTGTCATCAAGAGAGAAGACGGAGGGCTAAGCCGCTCAATGACCAAGAGATGCACCTGCAGGTAATTAGCAACTGCAACAGTTCCATCCCCGTTCGAATTGCCTCGTCCTGCGGCGTGGTCGAGGCAGATGATCCTTGGTGGCAGGTTACGATAGGCCTATTCCCGGACAATCTGTCGCCATGTCGAGGCTACAAAATGGAGCGTATCCCGGCGATGCCTAGGGCGGCTAGAGAGATGCTGATCGATCGATACTGCCCTGAAGACCTCCAGGCGTTCGTCAGAACTAACCGCGACGACCAAGACTGCCTCGTCAGATTATACACAGGCCGGAGACGGCTCCCAAGCGCTTCTCAGTCAAGGTTCCAGCGTTTCAGTCTCCGAAACTACCCTCTGCACGTCGACCAGATGGAGGAGCTTGGACTGGATACGCATGCGATTGCACGCACTCTTGCCGACGCCCTGACCCACTGCTACTGGATAGCAGGTGTGGATGCGAACGATGTCGAGTTCGTCCTCGCACCCCAGAAGACCCACTCCGAGCACTGTGAGAATTCGCCAGAGGTACCTCGTTTCAGATCGGATGCACTCGGCGGCGAGTTTGTGATATGGATGCTCGACTATGACTGCTGTAGGGAAATGAGCCAGGACGAGGCGGGCGTTGACCAGGCCGTGAAAGCCTTTTATCGAAACGATCCTTACTATCCGCGGCCATACGCACACGGCCACGCCGAAGAAGATCGCTCGTTATGGCAAACATTCCGTTCTCGCTTTCTCGAATCGAGCCGCCACATTCTCAAAGGACGAACTGCGCTTGCCACAATATTGATCGAGAAGATTGAAGAAGAGGGACGGAGGAGATGCGAGCGAGGCGGACTGGAAGGCGCCGACTAGCTTTCCACCCTTGAGTTCCTTCAGGCGGAGTAGAGTGGATAGGGTAGGAGTAGCTGGCAATTCGCGGCAACCCTCTCCTCTCTTTTCGCTTCATTTTTGCCCCTCAAAATGGCACGCTGCCCTCATTCTTGTTTGTCAGCAATGACCTACACGAATACTATTCTTTTGTCCGCCTTTTCGCGCGCTGCTCCGGGTTCGGGTGCTCGAACACGTGAATCCGCACGACGCTTTTCTTTCCCGCCTCCTCGCCTGGTCCATTATGTGTCTGAATTGAATAGCTCGAAGGTCGACGGGATCTTGGAAGCTCGGTCGATTACCCGATTGCTGACTCGGGTAAGTTGTATCCTTTAAACTTTTCAAGCGGACGTTCCCTTATCGCAGTTACATCAAGCTTATCGTTCTTTTAAGCATGCTGCACCGTCGTCCTCATCGATTTGTCGTGCTCCGGGGGTTAGAGAATCAGTTTCGGAGGAGTGTTCCAAGAATTCAATCTCCACATTCCGACGTCGCCAAGTGGGGCTTTCTCGGACCTAGGCTGGAAAGCCAATGCGGCTACTCCACATCCCGGACTTTATGTTCTATACGTTCTGAATCCCTAATCCAGAGTTAGACATACGCCGCCAAAAGTCAAGCCTATGCACCCCGCAAACTTGTGGCTGTCGATGGAAAACGAAGAGACATCTTAACTGATCGGTCTGTTGTTGAAGTACCTACAGATACCACCACCATGACATTCCCATTTCCAGGGATAGCTATTGCGGTCCTACTACTTGCGCTGCTCTTCGTCCCTGTTCTGATCAAGGTTAGCCACGAGCAAAAGCAGCCACCCGAGTCCTTTCATTCAGCTAATGAATCCGTACAAAGTGCTATACACCTCTGCGACACATCCCTGGACCGTGGCATACCTCGTTCTCGAACCTGGCCCTGAAAATCGCAGCAGTCACCGGCAACCGCGTCCACTACGTCCACAAGCTCCACCAACACTATGGGCCAGTCGTCCGCATTTCTCCAACCGAAGTGGCCGTGAACGACATCGAGGGCTTCAGAGAGATCCATCGCATCGGCTCAGGCTTCAACAAAAGCCCATGGTACCAGGAACTGGCCTTCGCGGAACGCCCGGGCGTGTTCGCCATGACCGAGCCAAAGCAGCACGCCGCCCGCCGCAAGATGTTTGCTCGTGCATTCAGCAAGACCTTCCTGCGGCAGAACTGGGAATGGCTCGTATTGGAGAAGTCGCGACTTGCGGTGAGCAGAATTAGGGCGGAGGCAGAGCACGGGACGGCGGATGTTATGAAGTGGTGGATGTTCCTGGCCACGGACGTGTCGACGCATCTGATGTTTGGGGAGTCGTTTAGGACACTCGAGTCCGGAGAGGTATCGCGAATCGCCCTCCTCTTCTGGACTAAGCCGCTGGCTAACATCGCGTAGAAAAGCACCTATAACCGTATCCTCGAGGCCGCCCTCCAGGGCAGTGGCATTTGCGCGGAATTTCCCATGCTGCGATCTTTCTTCCGCGCTCTTCCTTTCCGACAGGCGCAAGAGATGTTCAACGCGGACGCGATGCTGAGCGAGTATGCCGCCGTAGCTGTCCGGAACAGCAAGAACATCGGGACTCGTTCGAACATATTCCACACCATGATAAGCGAAGCCGAGGGCGGTGAAAACACCCAGCTGACAGATTTGGACGTAAAGCTAGAGGCCAGCAATCTCATTGTTGCCGGGTCGGACACGACGGGCATTACACTGACGTATCTAACGTGGGCAGTGCTACAGCGGCCCAAGTTACAAGCCGCCATCGAGGAAGAGGTAGCGACGTTGCAGGGAAACGTCTCGGATGCAGAGCTTGAACGCTTGCCCTTGCTGAATGCGGCAATCGAGGAAACCCTGCGGCTCTACGGTGCCGCGCCCGGCGGCCTTCCGCGGATTGTGCCATCTGGCGGCGCCACGCTGGGCGATCATTACCTCCCAGCAGGCGTCACGGTAACGACCCAAGGCTGGTCGCTGCACAGAGATCCGAATAACTTCCTAGATCCGGAGAGGTAAGTTCGTTCTCCTGTGACTCTCTCCCCAATCTCACGCTGCGCAGGTTCGACCCATCGCGGTGGCTGCCCAACGGAGGGGAGAAGCTGTCCGATCGCGGAAAGGCGGCATTCTCTCCATTTGGAGCGGGTGCAAGAATTTGTTTGGGCGTTCACCTGGCCCGCATGGAGCTTCGGATTGCTGCGGCATTGTTCTTCCAGGAGCTGAAGGGGGCTCGGCTTGCGCCATCTGCGACGGAGGGATGCATGGACGTGGTGAACTACTTTCTCATCGCTCCAAAAGGGCATAAATGCGAAATTACGTTGCATCAGGCAAACACGCAGGAGATAGCGTCAAAAGACTCGTAGCTGGGCTAATATTATCATTCGGATTAGTATTGCCATTGACAAGGGCTGAGGGGGCGTCATGTCGACCTTACGTTCCTGGAAAGCAACCTCCCTTCAGTGAACCCAGGCAATTTCGTGTGTAGCCAAAGATGATTCAGAAAGTGCATTAAGTAGGCCACACTGAGCCGTCACCATTCCAAACCATCTATTCCCTGATGTCCGGACATGCCTGCAGTAGATACATACACAACCTCGACGACGTCCAGATAATACAAGCGCCTCTGGGATCGCCATCTGCGAGAAGCCCATCACCTGAGTTGGCATTCCGTGTCCATTCACGAAGACATGTCGTATGACCATGTAAGAAGCCACCTCTCAAAAATTATCTGCATAACCTCCTAGGGGCTTGAAAGGCGTGCATGCAACGCTGAAAAGTGACAAGATGCTTACCTCCGTATGCCTGCGGCTCCAGAACGCTTCATCATCGGCTTGATCACCGCGGATCTCGGCATGAGCTTCTGTTGGGGGAAGAACTTGTGGGCAAGAGCCTCCTTTGGCTGAATGCGCTTCTCAACATTGAGGTTGAGGCAGGCTCCGAGAAGGTCGGCAAAGTCGTTAAGCTCGGTTGCAGTCGGTCCGGCTTGGGCGATACCGCGAGCGGCATCGCTGACGCGAGTCTTTAAGTCGCGAGGTATCTTCTTCTGCTGTTCGATCTTGCGAATAGAAGCCTGTCACTGTTAGCGACAGAATAGCATAGGAGATATACGTACAATGCCGTGCTGATCAACCTCCCGGCTGATGAACTTCAGCGGAGGTCCAGCTTCGAAGTGTTCCAGAACGTTCTGCAATAGACCTTTTTTGAGCAGCTTCTCGGTGGGCCATCCAAGGCAGTCCATGAACGCCTTGACCATCTGATTGTTAGTACGACCGGTGAAGAGGATCTTCCCCGTCCACAGTTCGTAGATCGTGCATCCAATGGCCCACATGTCTATTCCGTAGCCGATGTCCATACCAAGAATGATCTCAGGCGCCCGGTAGAATCGACTGACGAGATACTCGGTGCGCTCCATGAGATCTCGCTTGTCGACAGCTGTACCAAAATCGCAGAGCTTTATTGTTTTCTTGTCCGGTGATACCAGAATATTGTCGGGCTTCAAGTCGCAGTGGACCACCTGGCAATTCTGCAGGTGTTGCAGACCGATGAACATTTGACGAGCATACGTCCTGACCGCTTGCAGTGACAGGCCGTGGCCATTAGTGTCTTCTTTGAGGAGATCTCGAAGATTCTTCGACATGTGTTCGAACACAACGCAGAGATGGCCCTTGTGGTCGAATGAGCCGAGAAGCCGGATGATGTGGCGCTTGTCGTGCGGATCCGCATCGTTGACCTTTCGCAAGAAGTCCATCTCCTTCTGACTAGCCTTTCTCATAAGATCGTTCCTGCGGATCATCTTGATGGCAACGAGCTTGTGGTTCGTGTCATCGCCTTGGATCTTGACGTCCTCAGCTTGGGCAACGTTTGCGAACACACCTCGCCCAAGGCTTTTGATCATCCTGTAGCGGCCGCCGTTGACAAGCTCGTTGCTGATGACCTTGTAATAACCTTCCGGATCGTCCCAGTTGTCCAGCAGCTTCTCATCGAGCACAGTTCCCTTGGCTATGTCGTTCACAGCCTCCTCAACCCCTGCTTCTTCGTTCTCATCCTCGTCATCTTCGAAGTCGAACATGTCGAATTCCTTCTTCTGTTTCTTTGCCGGACCCGCTTTCTCCGCAGGCAATGTGGAGAGCAGCTTCGGGTTAGTCTCGCTATAGGCATCAGATGGAAGTTCAGACTGCCGCGCTTTCTGGGCAGCCCGGTCGCGGTCATCGAGCATATCCTTGGTGGGATCATAGTCTGCTGCTGATGTTCCATCTGCTGTCGGGCTGTTGGCCTCGCTGACTCCTCCTTGCTTGTCGACAACCATGACGTCTGGAGAGGCTGGCACGGAATCCAAATCACCAATGCGGGGAGACCCGGCAGGCGAAACAGAGCTTTCGACCGGTGCCGCGGGTGAAGCAATGTTTGGGGTGGTGCTCTCAGAGGCATTAGCAAGAAGGGCTTGCTGGAGCAGGTTGTCCTTTGGCTTGTCTTTCTCGGCAGCGGCTCGTATAGCGGCCCACCTACGCCTCTTCTCCTCGCGAGTCTCTTGCGCTGGCGCCTTGTCCTCGTTAGCTGGCTCAAGCGGGTGCTCAAGCTCGTCCTTTGGACTTGTCCTAGAGTCATCTATTAGCAAGGTATCTACCGTGAAAGATAGGGGCACTCGCATTTCAACGTCTTTGCTCTGGGTTGATGGGGCAGCGGCTGTAGACTGCCTATGTGACGCGACCTGACCGTTTGGTTGAGATTCTCGTTGGATGCCCCTACGCTGATAATCGTCCCTGCCGTGGTGAGCAGGCCGGTCTGCTGGGTATAGGCCGTCACGGAAATCGGGCACCGGAGCTGGCCTCTCATTGTCGGCGTAAGAGATGGGCTTGGCGTGCGGTCGGCCGTTGTAGGAAGTGGGCTGAGACGGGGCGGCCCGAATGTCTTCAAGATGCGGTTTGGGTCGGCGTTCGCGGTGCCTGCTACGATCAGTGTGATGCCGCTTCTCCGGTCGGCCGCCGGGCAGCGGTAAAGCCTTGCGCTTGGCAATTGATCGCGAATCGTCAGGTTCGCGGTTGTCTCGACCATGACGGAACGGCGAAGGAGAGCGGGAGGGGCCGCGCTGATGACGATAGGGAGAAGGCGAGCGAGTGCGCTTCCTACGGTACGGGGAGGGCGAGCGGCTCAAAGCCCGATACTTGTAGCCTGACGTTATCAGCATGTGCCGCGATGGTCGAGGCACCTGAGGGGGAGACGCACCATATTTATCTGAAGCTCCGTCCCGGCCAAAGACCCTGTCCGAGCCGTTAATCCTGCGTTCGCCGTGCTGACTGATGCTGTTTGCCTTGTGCTGGTGTTCGACTACTTCGCCCTCCGACGCTGAGCTCGCGCGGGAGGCCATGTTTGTCGTCTACTCTCTCTGGACTCCTACAAACAAAGATTCGAGATTTTGGCGTCAGCTTGCTTCTTGTGTTTGAAGAATTGAGTGCCTTTGCCACTGACTGTATGTCCCAAGCTGGAGCGCACAGCAAACCTGCCCGGCCGGAGCGGGGTTTGTAGGCAAGGAGCGCGTAGAGAAGAGACAAGAGCGAGTCGCAGTGCGACCCTTCAGGTGGAAGGCGGACTGAGGGTGATAGAGAGGGTTCCGGATGCAGCGTTGTTGCGGTGGAGATGTTGTTCTGTCGGGGAGTCGCGGGGCGTGAGTGTGAGGTCACCGAAATTCTGGCTAGCGTCTTGGCATTCTGGGTGCCTCAGCGCTGAATCACGTGCAGTTACATTCACATCCCGCATCTGGACTCTATTGCCGTTCCCTACATTCACAGCATCACCAACTGTACACTGAACCATTGCATTGTCTAAAGATTTGTCATAGCCTTTACAGCTTCCGATTGCGGCAAAGGATCCGCCTGCTTGAAGGAACAGATGGAACGGCTTGCAGCATGGTGGTCGTCAAGACTTCAGATGCATCCGCCCTCGTCCAGTCAGAGTAGGTGTCTGTACCCAATGAATAGGGATCGAGGCCTCATTTGCCGATAAGTATCTGTGGAAGGACTCAAAGCTGATTGTGACCTTGCAAAAATACCTGAATATTCGTATCGGCCTTGAATTGCAAGTGCGCGACCCTCGTGATACTTGCGCGATGGTACCTTTCTGGAAGCTGGCCTTTAGTGAGGCGGAAGGTGTACCAGGCCAATGAGCCCCGAGCAGCGGGCTGGGGTTACGGACACGACGAAACTGCTGCTGCCCAGGCAGCGCATTACATTACCTCCTAACTCAAGGCCACCGGAAGAAATAGGAAAATCATAGGCAATTGACATTGGGGTTCCATGTCGGTGGCAAGGCCGACTCCACTTGCCGAAGTCCACCGCAAAGTTTATTGCGCCTCTTCCAACGCTAACTCGGGACCATCTACTAAATCGCTAACCTAGTCAGTTTGGGCGTCCCGCCGCTTCTCATGCAAGTATGGGTATCAGTAATACTAAGCAGAGGTAGGAGTCAGTTAGCAAGACTCGGGTCGAAGATGAGTAACTACTTTCACATGGCGGAAGCCAGAGCAAGATGCGAAAAACGAGGCATTTCCTGCGAGGCACCCTCAAGACCCAAAGTTTCCATGCCAAAGTGAGCAATTTACGTTATCCGAAAAGTATCGAGCTACTCGCACAAGCAGTGTGCAGCGGATCGTGCCGAAGGGCCACAGGTCGACCAGAGTGGAGCCTGCGCCTGGTACAAAGGGTAGCATGCAAGAGCACAAATTCAAGAAAGGCCGACGAACGAAACAGCTTACGACAACATACGATTGGAAAAGCGTTGGCGGGGATTATCCCGCGAGCACTGGCTGAAATACCGCCGCATGGAAACCGTCTTGGAATACCGATAGACGGAACAGGTAATTCAGGCGAGAAGAGTCTGGGATGTGCGATCGAAGGACTAGGAAATGGCGTGAGTTTGACTATCAAGCTTAGTTCTGTTGGGGACTTCACCTGAATTAACTTTGAGGGACAGTATGTGCAAAGTTACATGGTGGAGACGCTGATCTTTTGTCTAGACCCCGGATGTGCGAGCGTATTTACGAGCGCAACTAGGTACTGCGAGACAGATAGGCGAGAGATGGGTTGCAGGAGGAGCGGTAGGACAAGGGGGTTGAGACCCTGCAATTGGGCAAGAGCGGAGTCCGGTGAGACTCTCTTCACAAGGCTAAGCGGATGCTCGCGCTTGTGGAGGCTCAAGCTGGTGCCAATCATTCGGGTCAGGACTGGCGGACCGTTTGGCAGGGGAAGTCTAGTCGCTTGGAATTGGGGCTTCGGGCTTGGGCTTAAAGGGCATGTTCCCCATCACACAATGCCCTAATGGCGGCTGCTACGGTAGGTGCAGATGTATGCATCGAATAGCCCCTGGGTTGGCCTCCGTCGGGAAAAGTCGCCCGGGTTAGAGCGCACGTCAGTCTCCAGCCACACAAGCTGAGGCGCCCAAAGAGATCAAAGCATGCTTTGCGTTGATATGGTCGCCATGACTTATATCTTCAGTCCTGCCTCGAGCGCGTTGACTTCGCGGGCAGCTGCTGAGTGCATTCGGGATGAAACATGCACGACCTGCAGTGCGGTCGGAGCTCAGGAAGCAGATTCCATGAACGTGGTAAACCGTAAGCGTAGATACTTGCGATGCTCGTCCAGATATGGTTTGGTGTTGCATCAGATAGAGTTGGGCCGGCCAAAATAATGCGGGGAAAGAGCGCAGTGGGCACGCAGCAGGCCTCCTTCCCGTATCTCCACGGGAGTCTGGAGATACCACGTCCGGCGACGGAGGCGGTGCAGATATCCTCAGTTTTTCCGCTTCGATCGTCATGGGCCAACGAGGCGACAGCCCACGGTGAGAGATCTGCGCTGGATTACAAGGTCGGCGGCAAGAAAATCGGCCTGGCAGCGGCGCCACACGTTAGCGGGCGCCTCCAGCCAGGGTCAACATCGAAATCCCATCCCAAGAAGCGTCGGCACCCTCCTTTACCAATCAAGAGCGCGGAAATGGATATACATGCCACTTGTAGCCAAGCGCCGATCCGTCTCGAAGTATCTCCGCAGCGAAGACCTCAAATTGCAGGGTGTGCTTTTTGACATTTGGGTGAAGTGAGCTACCACATTTTCCCACCTCTGATGAGCTGCCATGGAATGATACACATCATCGCGGACTCCATTGAAAGGGTAGTTCGTGTCCGGAATGCCAACCCGATCGGCTTCGACCCGCAATACCAGACGGCGACGTGATCCGTTGATGGGACGGACGATGCAGACGACGGGAGATTGGCAGTGTCTTAACGCCGTGGGAAGTCTGATCTCCGGTTTGCCGCCAGGGAAAGTTCAGTCGCGCGCGAAGCAGTTCAAGGCAAAGCATGGAGGTATCCACTGTTACAGCTTCGCCATTGTTGCAACGACGCGTCGGACATGCCCCCCGGAATGAGCGCACGAGCTCGCCTATCACCGCGCTGCATGTGATGCGCCGAACCAAATTCGACTGCTAAACCGCCACAGCAAATGCCATTATACCGGCTTTGGTGTAACACCGAGAGAAGACGTCTTCGAGAAGCCGCGATCAGAATGCCACTAAGCGGAGCACGACGTCATGAGCTTCATACGTCAAAGGGGCGGATCGTCGTCGTCGCATCGAGGCGGTGCTACCAGTGAGCTGAGACGCGATGTATCGGTCCGACTGCATAGTATCGCCTTGCCGGCTTGGGCACTCGACGCCCGCCCCATCGTATAGAGTGCCTGTTGGCAAGCAGCCAACCTTGCGTCTGAACGATGGTCCGCCCTGTATAAGGGTCCAGAACGCTACAGAGCGTGCGCTATCCGGAGTCAAATTCCATTTAGTATCCGACGACGCACATCAATTCGTACGGTGCAAGCCGCAGCATCACCCTTGTGACGACTTGCATGGGCGCGGAGCGCGGAGCCCATAGCGGGCAGGGTAGAGAGGGCACCGTTCAGTGACGCGCCTTGGTTCCCTGGGTGAGACTGAGAACAGGGCGCCACGAATAAGATCCGGCAGACCGAATACTGCGTCGCCCACACCCACTCTTGCCGGATTTGATTTCGGGTTATAACCTGGTTGACTTCTGCGGAGGACGCCGGCCTGGACAGTTCCGATAATACCGCAGCTCAGCCGACTTCCCCGCCGTTCTTGGATTGTGGTCCCGCTAGACCCTAGATCCGACCTTGCATCCGCTTTCCCAAATGGTGTTTAGGTGACCGTCCTTTGAAACCCGTTCCAGCACACAGTGCTTGTCAGCAGGGTAAACGTAAGGATTGGCTAAGCCCAATGGTTTACCGTACGCAACCCTCTGCGAAGAACGTTATAGGAAGTAAACCCCCGTGAGTATGCAAAGCCGATGCGCTTTCACGGTTTCAGCGTGTTTATTTCTCTCATCCGTTTCCACGATCGAATAAAGCTTCTCTGCCGATTGCGGTGGACTAAGACATGATCTCACTCATGTCTCCAGAATCAGCAAATTCCTCTCCAGGTATGAACCGAACCCAATACGAGAACAACCTGCAGCCGCTGATATAGACAGCAGGGGCCAGCTATTGGTATGGCGGCGACCTCCAGAATGAGTTGGATGGCTTCCCACAGGATGGACCGAGTCTTCGTACATTGCGTCGAGCCTCAGGGGCGGTGATCCATTCGAACGCGTTCCACAGGTGAGCTTGCTTCTGCAATGTCTTTTTCTTTCTACGGCTGGCCTTCACGAAAGCTTCTTGTTCCACGCTGTGGATTGCAGTGGCGCTGGGCAACGGCGCCCTCGGTCCTCGTGGCTACTCTGTCCGAATTACGAAATTTCTTCGGATAATTCCTACGCAGGCCGCGATATTCGGTTCATAGGACGGTAGCGACGAAATTTGTCCTGGCCACGGGGCATCTCCTGCTCCAGCTCCGGACAACGACACGTCCAATTCTTTCGCAACAGGGAAGAGGATTTTGTGAGACCCGAGTCTGATGGGAAGTCCTTTCAACCTCGGCCACCCACAACCGCAGACATCTGAACGCCCTCGGATCCGCATGAGAAGCTGTGTGGAGCAGCTAGGTTTTGAGTGGGCGGTATTTGCCGAACCGTCATTCATGCCCCAGCCCGACGATCGATATGCACAGATCAGCCCACTGCGGAGCCCAAACCACGCCTCTTGCAAGATCTCTCGCGATATACAGTACATCGGCGTATCAGAGACCGTAATCCGTCGCAGCGCTCTGCTCGGAGCGGTATCGCGGAGAATTGCCAATTAGACCGAGTAATGCCAGGCCAAGCATCTTTGTCCAGGACCGGAACTCTCTCGGGAGTTGTGGAGAAGCCTCTCGTTCACTTCGATGCAAAACATCCCCAGCTGACAAGACGACAGCCAGGAACTGGACCCGTGCGAACATAGCGCAAGACTACTCCGTTTCGATACATCGCAAGCATCCGCACTGGCTTTTCGATCCCAATCTTCATCTACCTCTGCCACCTCTGCCAACAATAAAGCCCCCTTAGCGCCAAAGCAGGGGCTTGCAGGCTCTCTGGCGAACACTAGAGGCCAGCATAACTCCCCCATCTCCGGTACCTATGCCCTACGCACTCCGCGAGGAAAGATCACCTCAATCGCTTGCGAGAGCTGTCGGAAGCGGAAGTCGAAGGTGCGCAGCAGATACGCCGGATAGTCTCGACTCTCCTGACACTCTTTTCTAGTGCGACGGTGTGCGGCCGAAATGCAATACGTGCCAGACCAAGAACCTCGTGTGCGTTTACGATGTCGCCGAAGACGGCAAGACGACCACGCAGTTGCGGGCGCATGTCAGGAGGCTCGCAAAGGAGCTCGATGACATGAAGTCAATCGTATCGTTGCTAGCCATAGCGCCGGACAGGGTGTCTGCGGCGAATTGGGCGAGCGAGTTAGAGAAGAATGGGTTTGCACACCACTCTGCCGCGGAGATCCGGCGGGCGCTCCAGGTCAGCGAGCCTTCCGCATCTCACTCTCGAATGTCTTGTTCATCTTTTGCAGGAAGCCGACAACCTTCTGCGCCCATTGCCAGACCAAGAGTCGTCAGGTGGTACTCCTGGAAGTGAGGCGTTCTCTCGGCCAACACCAAGTATTGCCACATCGTCATACGATGGATCCTCGCGGGACGGAAGGTAAGAGAATACCAAAACAGAAAGACAAGGTCGGCAGGGGACTAACATGTGAAACAGCAGAGAGCAGAGCCAAACAGCGTTACCGTTCCCACTTCCTGACAGCGCAATGGGCAACACGTCCCTCGACTTCAACAAGACGGGCGAACTCGGCAAGTTCAGCTTCGACTGCGCCTTCTACCGAAGAACCAAGAGAGACTTGCTGGCCAACGGTTGGGATAAAGCACAAATCTTCGGGCGGAACGAGATAGATGTAGATACTTTGTTGCTAGGTTTTACGGATCCTCAGGATGGACAACCGGTGACAACTTGGGCGTCCAGGACGGTCAATAAGCTCTTGCCCGCGGCTCCTCTACCAATTCGCTTGGCTTCGGGTTTCCTCTTGACTCAGATGATGAGGGTACGTCCTTTTCAGCCAAACCAAAGCGTCCATTCTAGTTTCATCCGGACCAAAGCGAAGGGCATGCGCTGATGTCTCCCAGTGGCTCATATGGCCCAACGTCGAGAACATGAATTCGATGCCCGAATGGTTGATGCCTCTTCCTAGGCAAGACTGCTCGCCGTACGATATCCTGGTCGACCTTATCCCCTGGTAAGCGGATCTCCCTGGTTTCCTTCTTTTTAACAATATTCTGACATCTTTAGGCCGCAACTCCGTCAATATCTTTACGAACACCCCAGGGAGTTTGTAGTAGTGGCATTCGTCGGTCTGATAGACATAGACTGGCCATACGCGGAGGATGCTTGCCATTACTGGGACATGGAGACCGGATATACACGTTTAACCCCGCTCTTCGAGAACCACATCCGCGACCTTAACAATTGGACTTTAAGCGCCAAGGCTATGGAGCTTATGCCTCAGCTAGAGGCTTTACTTCCCGGGGCGATACGGTAGACCGGTTGTGGGATATGGCGTTCGGTGGGCATAGTAGCATTCCCGTCCATTCCCGTCCAGCTAATAAGTCTTTCTGTATCCCTGATCTCCTCTACGGCACATGGCCCTCTCTTCCGTACATAGTTTCTCTCGTTTCGATAAGCGCATCGCGTTCGTTTTGGGTGGGGTCGTTTAGCTGGGCTGCACAGTAGTCGGGTAGGGAATATCTTAAGACAAGAAAAAGCAAGCGGCATCTCCACAAACAGCCACAACGCGAGCAGGCTCTCTCGTATTAATACCTGTCTCACCCACCCCTGCTCTACGGGAATGACCGTGCCATGTGCAGGTGGAATGAGAAGCCAGCCCCGCCAAGCTTACTCGGTACACTAGCCGACTAGCTCCTGAAGCGCTCCGCGGAGCAACCTCCCTTCCGCTGACTCGCCCAACTGTCCTGCATCCGATGCCCGCTAGGAGCTTCACCACCATGGCGATTGTTACAATCGTGGTCTAAAGCTCCGAGCTCCGACTACGTATATCCATGCCATTGGGTAGAGCGTGGAGAAAGACGCGCCGATTCCGGGGAGTCTCGGATTCGGACAGGTGGTGTATGTACGGCCGTCGCACAAGGAACACCGATGAGGTCGTTCGTCCCCAGTGCTGATTCAGTGCCGCGTCACTATCCAGGACCTCATAACACAGGCTACCCTACCGCTTGTCCGGAGTCCCAAGCATGCGGCGTTGTGATGCCATCAATCGCCATTTGACACGACTGCAAGACCCACAGTGTTGCCGGCCGACGAAAGCAAGTCTCCCGAGTACTGTGTAACAGCATCCCACTTCCTACGGCCCTCATCCGAAGCCGGCTTCAGAGCGCTCGCTCACCTGATCCTCTCTTTCTCAAACGCCCTCAAACGCTCCTGCATCCGCGAAACAAACGTATCGCCGATTGTCGAAAGAGCGCGCCGATGCGCCGGCATCGTCGGCATTAGTTATATCAGGTTTTCGGCGGACTACTGGATTAGTCGCCTCGCCTCGCCCGAACATGGCAGCCTTGCTTTCCCTTTCTCCGGTCCCTATCCGCATGGGCAAGAGATTGGTGCAAGCCACTCCGGTATGCATGCAGCATGCCATACACAGGTATAGCCTCGCATACGTCGTCCCGTGCCTGCTCATCCAATGTCAATCCCTAGGATCTGCGTCTCCGCGTATGGCTTGCGCTAGGAGGCGAGCAACCGAGCACCGGCGGGGTGGGACCTATGAGGATGCAGCGTGAAGGACTACATCCGAGGCAGAGGGGCGTGTGTATGAGTTTGTGGATGCGTAGAGTTTGCCTCTTGCACATCTGGAGGAGGATTTAGGAGCGTTGCTGGCGCAGGTGGCTTTGGTCGGGCCGAAGAGAGATCGTTTGAATTGGGAAGAACCGCGTGCTGTTCGTTCGACTCTTCTATGCTGATGAAAGGACGTGCTAAGTCCACACCCCTTCCCCGCCATCCTTGTTTTCTCCCACGAGCTCAGGCTCAGAGAACATGCCCTTGCGCCTAGTCACTCAATGATTCGATCATTCAAACCCCAACCCCTCCTCCACTATCCCGTCTCCCCCTTCGCACAACACGCCTCACGACAGGAACCCAGAACCCGCGCGAACGGTCCAACCGCAGCGCCACAAATCCATCTATCATTCGCCCTTACCGCATTAGATTAGCCCTCCGTCAGCGTCGCCCTCCGCATCGTCGATCACCTCCGAGCATAACAGAGAAAGTACCACCTCACTATCTCCTACGACTCATATTCTCGCGTCAGCTTTTGCGCTGGAAACACATGCTCGGATCTGCGTGGCCATCGGCCCCTGGAGGCTGGCTACTACGGGCGTAAATTCACTACTAGATCGACTCTGGCCCTTTGCGAGGCTTGCCTCCGCGGAGCCCTCATCATAGGTCTATGCACGACACTCAGCCACCAGCACAGTATCACATCCTGTTCCCAGGGCTAATCCATGCCTACTATTGACCAGCTTGCTCGTGTGCGCATTGGAGTCGGGACTGCTTCAGATTTCATGCCCCGGCGCTGCGTCCTGAGCTGGCGCGATCCGCTAAGATAAGGACGGCTCCCCATATCCATGAATAGCATCTATCGTCGCTCTACGAGCCCCCCGAAACGTCAAATCCTTATCAGACACCATACAAACCATGCATTTCAAAGCCTACTACCGCATTCGTAACGATAAGGCCGTCATCTGGCTCCAGACACATGGGTCCGATGTCCATAACAGCACGATATCTCAACTGCAATTTTGAAAGGGTGGAATCAAATTGAATTGAAGAAGGGTAAGAAAGGAAATGAGGTATCTTATCGGAGACGGGGATCGACACTTAAGAAAAAAATGAAAGGGAAGAAAGAAGGTATGGATCACCTCCACCCGGAGCCCCATCGCCTTGCTAGATGCCCACACGCCCCTCAAATGCACGGAAAAGAAAGAGACCGCCCATAGTCGCACCATTCAGGAGGACCTGCTCCAACCTGCAGACAAAGCCATGCAGCGCAGATGCAGCCAACGCGTCCGCAGCATCCGCAGGCTCGTCACCGCGTCACCCGCCTTATCCAGATCGCACTCTCACTCCCAGGATCAGCCTTCTCCCTCTTCCTCCACGCGCGGTGCAATTTGAGCCCCACGTCGTGCTCCTCGCGCTTGATCTCCGCCAGCTCGTCTTCGAAATCCTTCTTCCGCTGCTCTACTAGCCTCATCTTCTTGAAGTCCGTGACCATTGGATTCGGCGGCGCCATGTTGTTGAGGTCCCTGAGCAGGCGGTAGACGTTGGAGCGCCGTATGCGCAGATCTGCCATCTGTGATTCTAGGATCTCGACGTGGTCGGCGGCGGCGAGCTCGGTCGGTGGACGCGGAAGAGCTTTTTGCGTGCTTGTGGAGAAGGTCGAGTCTGGCCGTGGGGAGGGCGGGTCAGAGATCATGGTTGTGCGCGCGGAGGTTGCGGCGGAGGTTGCGGCAACGGGTTTGCGGGAGGGAATTCGATCGGCGACAGCAACGGGGCGCTTGCGGTTGAGGATCGAAGAAGCGGCAGAGATGGGCTCGGTTGGGACTCTGGACGTCGGTAACGGAGGCGGCGGTGATGGTGGCGGGGATTGCTGGTATGTGGTGTTTGTGTTGTACGTCGTCCACGAGAAGCGACTCGATGGCCCGTTGTCCCGGCTACCGGTCGACCCTGGGGTACCCTCGATCGACTTCCTCGCTACTTTCTTGTTTGATGGGGTCGCGTGCGCTTGCGTTGGCTCTCCCTGCGGCCTGCCGTTTTCATACACGGGCGAAAGCGGGTGATGTTTGTTTGTTGGTGTGATCGGGCTAGGGTACGAATAAGGCGCTTGATTACCCGGATTATGCGGAGAGGTGGGTGAAGCCAGACTCCGTGGCGGTGAGTTTCTCCCAACTTTGAGCGGGACGATGGGCTTAATGGGGTCCTCATGCATGTCAAACTCGTCCGGGGAGTCTGCGACGGGTGAGGTGTCAGCTGCAGCGGGAACGCGTTTAACGGTAGTCGTAGGCGAGCTTGCCGCATCGTGTTCGGACCCCTGCGCTTTTTTAGGTTCCGACTTCCGCACAAAGTTCAGAGGCTTGTCCGAGGGCTGGTCTTTGAAGGGCCTCACGATTTCGGCGCGTCCAATCGCGCGACTCCAAGGCTCGCGCGGTCTTGTGTCGACTGCTGGCGGCTTCGTACCGAGACGGCCCGCTCGTTCGGCGAGGGATTGTTGCCTTCTTGGGGTGGCATCCGGTCCAGTCACCGACACGTGATAGCCCATCTCGCGCCGCTCGGACGATGGTGGAGAAAGGGCGACTTTGGCGTAAGTCCCTGGACTGACAGAACCCGCCTTCCCCGCGTTACCGGACGTCGGTTCACCAGAGTACTCATCCCAGCGGACTTTGCTGTTAGGCGCGACTTTTCCTCCCCAGAACTTTTGCGTCGAAGTGGGTTGTTGGTTAGTCAGACCGGGCGGCGCTTTACGGAGAACGGGAATGTTGCTCGCGCCCCGAGACGAGGGATCGGCTCGACCCCGGTTTTCGTCGACGGGAGATACATCGCGCATTGAGCGAAATCTTTTGGGTAGATCTGAGTCCTCCTGTTGCTGCCGGTCGGGTTCGGGCGAACTAGGCGGCGATACGTCGTCGAAGTTGGAGCGCCTTGCAGCCGTGGGATTGTAGTTGTACCTCAATTCAGGCGAGGGCTGCGAGTACATAGACGATACCGTAGGCACTTCCGACACTCTATAGTCGCGTGGATATTGCGGTGAGAGAGAGTCGCTGGCTCAAGTTAATGACCGCGAGGAGCGGGGGGAAGAAGTGACTTACTAGCCTTGCGGGGCTGAGGAAGCATTAGGCTGATAATTGGCATTTTGGGCGTCGGCGACATTGGGAATGTGCCTGAGTTGGTCTTCGTCGTAAGTCGTTTCAAGAAGCACCGGGTTGCCTATTTGCTTCTCTTTCTCCCGCACGTGTCCCTGCAAACGTTTCCACATGATTAAGCCTGCATGAAACGCGAGTTAGCGAAATTTGGAATTCACATGAGGTCCGCATCAATACTCCACGCACTGAAAAGAGTGGAGTTATGCAATCGGGTCTTTGAATGGATTGTCCTCTGGCCCAGTTGGAGAGGCATATGAAGGGTGTGCTGTGAGTGCCCTTGACTCTTCGCGCTCAAACAACAGCGCTGGAGATTTCGGCGCCTCTTCCAGTGGCCTCGTGCCCTCAGCGCTCCGGGCCCACAGCCGGTACCGCATGGGTCGTGACATATTGCGCCTTTCCTGCGACCGTAGAAGGTAGACGAAGGCGTGAATGATTCCGGCCGGAAAGAAGATGATGCCCCATACAACGAGATTGACGATGACGCAAATGCCGGATGCGCCATCGAGGTACAAAGCGAGCGGAGGTATGAAAAAGGCAAGAACCAGGAGTCCTGTGAGCGTCCGCTTCCGGGGCTTGGGCAACGCGACGGAAGCTGGCCTAACATATCCGGGCTGCGGGAGAGTCATGATAGGACGGTCGGTCCGACTCGCGGGTGGTGATGTTTGGCGCGGTGGAGGTCCGGATGCGGATACTTGGAGCTGAGGAAGAATAGACAGGAGTGCGATGCAGGCCCAAGAATACACGGATGGCAGTCCGGTACTCGGGGTGGATGAAGGTGACGACAGGAAGCAGAAAGCGAGCAAGCAGATGTATACGTACCGATTACAATATTAGCAGGGAAAGTGCAGAGTTCCGGTGTTGAGGTTGATGTTGCTGTTGCTGTTTAGGTACACAGAAGCAGCGGGTGAGGTCAAAGAAGCACACGCAGCTAGGGCATGCGCGATGGCGAAGGTGAGGCTCAGGGCGGTTTACTCGGGACGCGAAAGCCGGGACCGCGAGTGCGCTTTGAGGCGCAGCAGGTGCTCTCGTGCTCTCGTGCTCACTTGGATCGCGGCCGCTGGGCGGTACACGGTCGGAGAGACTCGAGAGCGTCTGCAACGGTTCGACGAAGCTGGCCAAAATATGTTTCCTCAGTCCAGCTCTTGGGCGTGAGTCGACGAATGAGAGGCTGCCTGGGCGACCGAAATGAATCGCTTGCTGTGTTTCAGGGAAAAAGTCGGCGGTTTCAGAGTGGTTGGCGCGCGCAGTGCCGCTCTGGGTGATTCGCGTCAGGCAGGCCCGCTCTCGCGATGCGACGGGTATTTATCGAGGAAGCAGACAATGTGAGGGTCAGGTCAGTCGGCGCTGCTGGTGGTGAGAGGGCTTTTGAGGTGCGCTGGGCAGCGATATGGCGCATGAATTTCCGCGCCCAGAAAGGGCCCAGCTGGTGATTTGGCAGCGCAGCTCCTTTCACGCCTGGCTACAGCCTCCCCCTATCGTCGCGTGTTCAGGGGTGCAGATGCGAAAGGGAAATGCGAGCTGACTAACTGCTGCCGTGGTAAAGATTCGGGCTGTATGCGTCGCTAGTCGGCCGTCAGCGGTGGTGTTGTCAGCGCTCGGGGTTGCATCATCCCCACCCCGCCGCCACGGGCCTCGCCTCACCTCGCACTCTCCCGACAGCCCAAGTCCGTCCTCTACGCACTTAATTTCCCTTGGTGTCCGCAATGGCAGACTGTGAGTGGAAAAGAGTGTTTCCTGTCGTCTTCTGCGTGAGCCTCTGCTAAGAATAGCTAGCATCATCTCCTCCGCCCGCTGCCCAGGCGTAAGCTGCTGAAGCTCTACCTCCATGGACCCCCGTCGTCTAACAGCTCCATAGGGCCTCTCCCGTCACGCCCATCAACCTGATCCTCCTCGCCCTCTTCGTCTTCCTGGTGTACCTCCGCCTCAAGCCCGCAAAGCCGCAAGTCCTCCCGCGTGCCCCGCCGCCCACCGTCTTCCGCACATTTACCCCGCCGGAGCTCTTCCCCTACAATGGCCTGAATGGCATGCCGGTATACCTCGCTGTGCGCGGACGGATCTTTGATGTCACGTCCGGGAGAAACTTTTACGGTCCGAGTGGTCCGTATGCCAACTTCGCTGGACGCGACGCCAGCCGAGGTCTTGCGTGCGGCAGCTTCGATGAGGACATGCTGACCAAGGATTTGGACGGCCCGCTGGACGATCTGAAGGATCTGAACGCAGAGCAGATGGAGGCTCTGCAGGGCTGGGAAGAGCGCTTCTTGGAGAAATACCTCGTTGTTGGCAAGCTTGTGCCCGTTGGGAGCGACGAGGCGAAGGCTGCCGCGGCGCAGCAGTAAGACGACACATATGCAACTCGGAGTGGAGTAGAACGATCTGGTTCAAGAATCTGGCTACATGCAAACTATGCTCTCGCGTCACGAAACCAAGGAAGGTCATACGCCTCTTCTCCGAAACGCACAGAGCCGCGGTGTAGCGAATGGGGCATTCTATTAGAGCTCGCCTTTTCTATATCTCTGGAAAGTCCGAGGCCGTTTGGAAGATCGAAAGATTGTGAGGCCTGGGACGGAATAAAAACCGCTGTTATCTTCCTCGATGCGCCAGGCGATCCTTCTCTCTGTCTCTACTCTCGGCCTTTGTCTCATCCTTCTTACCATGTCCCATGTCTTCATTTAGGTCTTCCATGTTATCTGACCTGTGCCAAGGTCCGCATGAAATCGCCGCTTCCAAGGAAACGCTTCGGACTCATGGCATCCAGGTTCGCAGTGCAAGCTACCAGTGCCCTCGCGTATGTCGGGCTCACTGTCTACGTGCATCCTATTCCTTAAACATGGTCTTTGCAGGATGCACTTCCTGCGTCTCTGCTATACTCAAAACATGCCTGTTCGTCTAATGTTAGCACGGCTACAGCAGATCGCAGGTACGGTGCCGCTATCATGTTTCAGCCGCAATGCAGAGCGCCAATCACGCATCCCCGCATCTGCGGCCTGTAAGACACGCGTGCATATCCGTACACAAACTACTCCTGACAACAGATGTGGTAAAGCAAATAGACGGAGCTAGCTTGGGTTGGACTAGCGTGCCTTCCGGTTGTTGTCATAACTTGACCTCGCCCTCCAACTTTACCTCGACGTTCTCATCACTTCTTCCATCACTCATACTCCATCTCGACCACCAACATCTCGCGCCGACTCAGCCAAAGCTTCTACTATCTAATTACACGATAATCACTATGGCCCCAGCTACCACCAAGACCGCTGCGCCCAAGGCCAAAGCGGCGAACGGCGCCGGAGTCAAGAAAGCTGGCAGGCCAAAAGGCGGCAGGAAGGCCAACGCGAGGGCAGCAATGGCAAAGATGCAAGCCTTTTGTGAGTGGAATTTTTCCGTTACCGGCGAAAACGCGTCCAAATCACGTCGCGACGCGTTCATCACTACTGCCTCCCGAGTCAGAACGGCCACAACGCTGAATCAACGCTAACTTTGACCTACAGTCAAGGAACACCGCCCCAAGTACAAGAGCTTGGAGTTCAAGGACCAGCAGAAGAAACTTGGAGAAGACGTAAGTCAGCGCATCGGTTGTTAGGTTGCGCATCATCCCGCGCGTCAACCTGATCGACTGGTGATATGTTTCCCATCATTTCTCTTTCTTCTCGAGCCGTGCGCTCAAGGCCACCCGCGTCTTTCGGCCTTCTCCCGATTCCGCTCTCTCCAGTATAAGGCTGACGCGTCGTACAGTGGAAGAAGAGTTCCCAGAACCCTAAGAACGCTGCTTAATTATCGACACTTCTACGACTTGATTGCGCTGCCGGCTACGATATCGCAACTCGGCCGTTAAAGATTACACGACCTTGAGTCACTAATCCTTTCTGATATCACCGCGGAAACTCGGCTCCTGCTGTCTCGCTCTGGACAAGGCGCTTCACATTCGCCACGGTTTTCCTCTCTTCACAAGATTCCCATTTTCCTGACTTCTTTCATTAATGGGCTTCACGGCGGTAACGGATGGTGGTTTCTTGGGTTCGGGCCGGTTTATTTGAAGTATGCGCATGATTGCGCGTGCTTCAGTGCTTTTCTTCCTCGGATGGGTAAGAGGAAGCTGGGCGCACACGGTCAGAACTACGAATAGCTCGATGGCAATATGGATGATTAGGAGCTTAGCGCCGTGTGCATGCATTGCTTGCGTTGTTCCTGCAGCAGCGCTACCTCCTGCAGTTCAGGCTAATTGCACGCAGGATGCATGATGTCGATGCGGATGTTGTACGCCGAAGACAACTGCGAGAGGAGTACAGGCCGCTTCTGCGGCGTACCGTTCGCCCTGCCTTTCTCCCATCGAAACGCTCGTAGCACCCCTGGCTCTACCTGCCTGGTTCCCCACAAGTGCGCAGATTTACTGGACGCTTGGTCCCTTTCCCGCGTTTTCCACCGCCCCATTCATCCCCAGGAGACGCTCTTCATCTCAGACTCAACAAATGACCGAGGAGCATCCGCTGCAGATGCACGTATATCGACTACGGATGCATGGGTGGAGCTTCTGCCGCCACATAATCCGAACAGTAGCCCGCGCGCCAACACGCCTTAAACATCGGCACGCCCCGGGGCCCAAACTATGGGTACTACCATGTTGCGCCAGCCCATCCTTCCCATCACCTTCCATCTGGGGAATGAAGGTCAGGGTGCAGTGCCTGCACAGAAGATGGAAGAACACATCTATTGGGCCCCAACCGCTCGATTCATGGTTCCCTTGCAGGATCCTTACGTCTCGGGCGTCTCCTGGCCATGAACGTTATACGTGTGAGGCTCCTTCATCGGGCCGTCCCGTCCGAAAGCCCACGGATACTAACCATCAGGCCGCATTCCATGCGCGTCGGCATCTCCCTAATGATACTGTCCAGGCAAGGTCGGCTGTTGCGAGTTGCACCTGCTTCTACTATTCTTCCAGACCTCCTCATGTCTTGATAAGCTCAAAACACCTGCGGCAAACCTGCTGATTTTGAAGTGCTATACTACCGCAAAATGGCCATAACGTATCTAGGTAGGTTTGCAGCTCCCAGCTCTGCGTCACGTGGATAGTTATCGGATGTCAACCTTGGAATGCCCCACATCAGTTACCGAGCGCCCCTCCGACCTCATCTCTTCGCAACCACAAGCGGGGTAGCACGACCCGTTAGACCTTCATTTCCACGCCAGTGAACCTATGAGCGATCGTAGATCCTGATCATGTCAGCAATTGGAGATCGAACTCTAGGAGCTGCGGAATGCGCCCGCCATCTTTCAACATCAATTGCTAATCGTTTAGGACGCTTCATTAGAAGAGCTTTCGAGCTGCAGCCGTTGGGACTTGTCTTTCATTTCTCTTCACATTTACTTCTACCTCAGATTGAATATCCTGCTGTCGCCGCACGCGTCATTGCGGAGCACCAGCCATGTCCTTCAGCGTCGACCCCGACGCTTCCAACACGACAGGATCGAAACCGAAAGTCGATGTCCCTATCCTTAAAGATCTTACCATCGACAACATAACTGAGAATGTGCACCGCATCAACTCGCAAGCCGATGATGCACGGCTCAAGTATGTCCTCGAAAGACTAGTCTCGCATATGCACGATTTCGCGCGCGAGACGCGATTGAGTACGAAGGAGTGGATGGCGGGAATAGAGTTCTTGACTGCTGTGGGGAAGAAATGCACCGATGTGCGACAAGTACGTCTTTTCTCTCATATCCTTTCTGCCATTAATCGCACACCGGGGGAAGATGTCATGCTAACTACTAGCTCCTCGTTTAGGAGTTCATCCTCCTCTCCGACACCCTCGGCCTCTCCCTTCTCGTCGACTCCATTGACCACCCCAAACCGCCCGCCAGCACCGAAGGCACCGTCCTCGGCCCCTATCATACGCACGACGCCCAAGATAAATCCGCGGGCACTAATATCTCCGCCGACCCCGACGGCGAACCGCTCCTCTGTCTTTGCACCGTAAAGTCCACAACCGGCGAGCCCATCCCCGGCGCGAAGATCGACGTTTGGGAGACGGATAGCAAGGGCGTGTATGACGTGCAATATGAGGATTATAGTGGCGAAAAACCAGATGGGAGGGCGGTGTTGAGGAGTGATGACCAGGGAGTGTTTTGGTATAAGGCGATCGTGCCGGTGCCGTATCGAATCCCGAATGACGGGCCTGTGGGGGTTATGCTGGAGAAGCTAAAACGGCACCCATGGAGGCCGAGTCACATGCATTTTATGTTTGAGAAGGAGGGCTTTGATCATTTGATCACGTACGCGCCTCCCTTCCCCAAGACCAGAAGCGAACACTAATGGATTTCCAGCGCACTCTATCTCCGAGGCGACCCGTATGAGACATCTGATGCGGTATTTGGAGTCAAGGAGTCGCTCATCGTGGACCTCGGCACGGTAAATGCTGAGCAGGCGAAGAAGTACGATATCAAAGAGGGCTCGAAACTGCTTACGTACGATTTTGTGCTCGTCACGGACGAAGATACGAAGAAGTTGAGGGATGCGGAGGCGATGAAGGCTATGAAGGCTCTGGGAAGGGATCGTATGAAGATCCTTGAGGGTCTTCCCGTGCCGGATGTCGACTAGAAGGCTGAAAACCGGGTTCATGTAGAGAATGTGGGAGAAGCTAGGCGTCTGAGTGGCTGGAGTCCAGAAGAACGTCTCGCGTTTCCGCAGCCCAAGAACTCGTGCAAAGGCGGTCTGATCTCTCGTCTACACGACATCGTGCCATTGTACCCACCTGTGAAGGCCTCCAGGGTGGCTGTTACGTGCGTCGTTATATCCGGAGAATGCAACACCGGGAGAGGGAGAGTAAGGGTGGACGGTAGCACTTGGACGAAGGACTCCGGGAATCGAAAATGATGGAGAGGCAAACCATCGTTTGTTTGAATTTTCCTTTTATCACTCCGAACTTTGCAGCACTGCGCGGTTGGGCGCACAGCCACTGTGGCATTGAGGATTGACGTAACTGGACCAGAGAGGCTTAGCGTTTCGTTCCTCAACAACTACATTGTCCATCATCCGGCCATATACGGAAGGACGGTCATTCCCCAGATCGACACCATGCCTCTCCTCGAAGAGCCTGATGCGGCGCGGGCACACCACGTTCTTACGATGGCGCACACGCGACATACGCCACAGAATCAGATCCTTGGCGCAGACGTTCTCAGTATCTTCAAGCGAGCAAATGCCTCAAGACCCGCCACAGCCTTCAGTCGTCTCTTTCACACACCATTTGCTCCCGCAATGTCAGCCTTGGGATGAACCACCCTCGGTTGACTTCCTAAGCCTCGGTCAATTCCCACTTACGAGACGCCAGAACGTTTCGTCAATCCACACCAAACACTGACGAGCCTGATGTCGCGAGGCTGAACCCTTCATTCTAGGTGAGAACGAGGCTCTCTGAGCTGAAGAAAAGCCACAAAACGCCTCATAAATGTCAACCTAGGTGGTCCCACCACGGCGTGATGACAATAGAAGGATATACTACGGACTTTTCTCTACGCTGGGCTCGCGCAAGTTTTTCTTATCTTCGAAGACCGTCGGTTCGCCTGGTTTACCTCCAATTATTACTATGATGCCTAGCGCAGGTCAGACGACGCCAATCGTGCTGCTAACAGCTTTAAACATCGCTCATCTGATATCGTCTGCCCACGCAGCCTCGTGCTATTCACCCAATGGCACGCTAATACCCTCAGCTTACCAACCATGCCACCCAGACCGTCCCAGTATGTGCTGCGCGCTTGATCGAGATTATTACATCAACGAATGCCGAGACGACGACCTGTGCTTCCAACCAGACGGATCCTATATCTGGCGTGAGAGCTGCACAGATCCTACCTGGGAGAGTCCACAGTGCTTGAAGCTCTGCGCGAGTGGAGAAGGTTTGGGCCCGTGCTTTCAGTGGGAAGCAATTGCATAGGCTGATAGCAGGACAGAAGAAGGCGTTAATAGCAACAGTGGGGATGTCATCATTACCGTCTGCGAGGATGGAAGCTACTGCTGTGGCTATGAAAACACGCTCTGTTGTGAGAACAACCACGGATTCTGGATCGCCAATGGCCATGTGTATGATATCAGACCAAGCGGGATTGCGCTTGGTGCCTGGTCTACATCTGCCACCGCGTCGGCCACCAGCACACCCACGGCGCAGGATTCAGCGGACCCAACTGCAACAATCACACAGCCATCATTCATAGAACCGAGCTCAATCTCTTCTCCGACGATACTACCATGTAACGATCAGTCCTGGATGCCATCGCCCGAGAACTGGGATTTGGAAGAGGTGGACCAGAGACTCAGAGATGCTGAGGGTAATTGGGCTGGTGATACATCATTCGTCCAGTACATCTCCACACTGACTGGACAGCACGGACAGAAGTGCGGCATTGGACACATAGGAACGTGCACAGTCCCAGACTGCAATGGTATATACAAGACCTCGACTCCATAGTTGGGTATATATTTGATAACACGGCAACAGCGTTTCAGAGTTCAGGCGGCGAAAAGTGGGCGTACTTCGTGTCCATTAGCATTCTGCAAATGAACACCTTTCTCAACATCATACATGTAAGACTGCGACCCCAGGAAAGATGAGGACTACCTGACCCCTGCGGTAGAGCGGCATCGACGCTGGCAAATCCGACCTGAGCCTCGTAATCGGACAGATGACAAGCGATTTCTTCCATTTCGAACCCAAGCCCACTAAGAAGCCCATATGGCCCTGGATCGGTGCGCTGGTCACGACCGTGTTCTCCATTTTACCGCTTCCCCTGAATCCCGCTAGGCTGCCCGTTTGGTCAGCAGTAAGCGGGAGTGCTGCGGCATTTGTTAATGGGGGACTGGGTACTATTGCTCCTCCTTCGAACAACCCTGAGTATGGCATTCGCCCCTGATCGAGATTGCTCCGCTGACGAGTGTAGGGTGTTCTATCTCGGCACCATGCAAGAACTTGGTGTGGTGCTCAAGGATCTCACATTCAATACCACGGAAGGTTTGGACAGATGGTCTGCAACTCTATTTGAGGGAAAGGCGGATTCTTCTGGAAAGACTATTGTGTAAGCCCTGCTAAACTCCCAGATAGACATCCCTGACACAAGCCAGTGACTATTTCGGCGGCGGTCGATTCACCCTAAGCTATGACATCCAGGAGACCGATATACAGAGGCTCTACTTTCAGACTCTTGTTTCTAACGTAGTGAACGAGCAGTGGAAGTCAGTCGCTCACATCTCTATAGAAACCATTAGATTTGGGCTAATGATGGTATAGGAGCCCAAACGCTTCTACACGCCAGTTCATTATGTGCGCCAACGGCAGCGTACCATGCACGGATCGCTCCGTCTACAGCGAAGATGGCCGCGCATGCTGTCTCTACAGCCTAGACAAGGACGGGAACTACGCAATACCTCCCGGCCTCGACGCCCTGGGAAACTCGACATTCAACATAAACGCATCGGTAACTTAGCCCTACGCCACGCTATGTCTTTGTTCTTGTTTTCTACTCCAACGCTAATCCATGAGGAATAGGACATCACCGCCAGCAGTCTGCACTCCTATTCCGCCCAAGGTTTGAATTACACACTCTCCTCCTATGCCACCCGCATCGAAGCATCCCTCGGCACCAGCAACACAACTTCGGCCTTCGACCAAGGCGTCGCATTCCAGGGCACATGGACTATTCCCGTCTGCGACGTCGGCAGTAATACGAACTGGGTCGGCAACGAGGACAGCGCTGGCATGCCGTGCTGCTGTGGCCCGGCCGCTGACGGTACGTCATGCAAAGAGACGAAAGAATTCATCTATGCGGCCAATTTGGACGAGTGGGGTCAGTTTTACGCCGATTGTAAGGAGCAGTATCCAGGTTTCGAGGGACCGCCCAAGAAGAGCATGGGTGTCAGGAGTATGGGCGAGACGCTAGGATTGGCCATTCTATTGGCGCTACTAGTTGGCTGGAGTTTCTACTAGTCTCAAATCGTCATAACAGTAAACTCCCTCTTCCTCTCCACGCACACCATCCACCACCCCTCAAACCACTCCCTCACGCCCCTCCCCTCATCCTCCCCCGACCAAGGCGGCTTCGCATCCTCCACGCAAACGCACAAGTCAATCTCCGCCTCCCTCGTCGCCTCCTTCACCCGCTCGAATTCCGCCTCCAGATCCTCCCGATACATGACGCACTTCGCGTTCACCGGCCGCGGAAAAAGCTTGTTCCATTCGAACTCGGCGTCGTCGCACCAGCTCGACTCTTCCGCCGTCTCGGGCGGCGCGAGCAGAATGTGCAGGCTGCGCAGGTGCTGCACGGGCACGCAGCCAACGCCCACGAAGGCCGTGGTGAGAAAGTCGACCATGAGCGCGCTGTACCGGTAGCGCACGTAGAAAGCGTTGGTCGCGAAGAACAGCGAGGTCAGCTCCAAGAGCGCGGCGTTCCGCATCTGCGCCGCGGCGTCATCGCCATCGTCGTCACCGTCTTCTCCTCCCGCGGCGGCGGAGGGAAACGGCGACGCGCGCCCGAGAAGCGAAAAGCGGCAGCAGGCGACCGAGCGGGACGGGTCGTAGCGGAAGATACCGTCTGGAGGCTCGATGACGTAGACGCTGTCCGTGTATCCGATGATGAATTCGTAGACCAGGTCGCGCAGTTCACGGGGCAATTTGCCGTAGAAAAGAGCCCAGAAGTGATGGGATGGGGGGGCTTCAAGGTCTGGGGGGAGCGAGAGATTCGAGAGGCTGTGTCTGGTTCTATTTCGCTTCTTGAGCCTGCGGCACGTGAGTATTGATACGGGAAGAGAGTGGAGTGTGCGTACTGGAGAGGCGGCGTGTCGCAGAGCGTGGTTAGGTAGGTGTAGACTGAGCGTTCCCACGCCGCGATGTCGGAGACTCTTACGCGGCGCGCGTGTTTTGAGGGCGGCATTTTGGTTTTGAGGAGCGATGATTGAGGGGAGAGGAAAAGAGATACTTGTGAAAAGTCAGCTGGAGATGCGTGCTGGAAATGCGCAGGGCTGCAGGTGGGCTAGCCGATTGCGGGATATGGACTGCGGTTAGTAAGCTTCAATTAGACATCATACGTGTGTGCCATCGCCGAGATTCCGGCATCCCATTGAAGCACTCCTTGGTCCTGCGTCTAAAGGCTATAACATATAATTGACCTAGCTGTTCTTCAAAAGACGATCCGATATCACGATGTGGGGTAGAGTGCTGTAGCTATGCACCTGCATCTATTGTATGCATAAATCCGTAGAAATCTTGGCGGCTTCCTCACAAGCTCATGCGATACGAGCTTGCCCGAGCAAAGAACATCCAGCCGCTTAGGTACGCGCAGCTCGGGCCGGAATGTTCCAGCGGGGGCAAACTGCTAACACCAAGCAATCTCCAACCTGCCAACACAGTGTTATGCTTTAGCGCTAGCAACGATAATTTGGTGACTGTGATGAAGAACCATAGCGTCTAGTTTACACTAGTTCCCAGCTGCGAGGATTACTACATGCGGCTGTTCTCGCCATAGTATTAAGATGGTTGTACATTCCGCGAGGTTGGTGTGCGGAATGTACAGGTGGATGGTCGGCTCGACAACTGCGTGGAGGCTTGCGTATCTACGTTTGCCTTTCTTCTCGACTTCTGCTCAAAGCCCCTACGCACCGAACGAATGATCACAGGAACTCTCTTACCAATTGCGTGGGGGCTAATCCGCAGGAGCTAAGAAAACTCAAAAGTTGGTCTTGTCCTACATATGCTAACTTGGTTGGGGCTGATCAGATAGCAGTGGCGAGGACCGTTACACAGCGTTTGTTGAAGGAGGCAGATCCAATGGGCGTTGCCGAAGGCTGAAAGAATCGGGGTCACGTTGCCACATAGAGGCAACGCGGGGTAAGGCTGGAGTTCCGGTGAAGTTGAAGTGATAGAGAGACGCAGCTGCCTATCGGGAATCTGTTTGCACGGCAAATACACAAATTAAAAGTTTCATCCTTCCAGAGGATCTACAACGCACAGCTTGAGGCCTGTTACCGTGTTCTACGTTCCGTAGACTACAAGCCAACCGCAATCATGGCAAATAACCTCATAGCTGAAATCTCGCGTTTAGGCCTCAAAGACCTCAATTCTCCAGCTTCAGCATCAATCACTGACGTTCAGCACCTCGCATCCTACAACTGGATCGAAGCGCCGAGAGCCACACCCACCATCGCTGTCCCTGGCAGTCCAGACCTATGGTCCCCTCCCAACGGCCCCTTCCGATTGGGAAAGGACACTGGCCACATCTATATTGCTCAAAACGCCGCGCGACACCCAGACAGCCCTCTCGAACCACTCTTCCGCGCGTTGTACGTCTCGCATCCATCCTTCGACATCGCCTCTATCGACGTCGTGACCGACCGGAATAACATCCGCAAGCTCCTTGGCATTGTAAACCCTCGCTGGAGCAGTTACAAACGGGAAGACTTCACCATCCACGTCGAGGTCACGAACAACACCGCCATCTTCTGCCGCGAGGAGACCAAAACGGAGGAATACATTGGTCCGAACGAGTTCAGAGGTTATGGCCACTCGTTCGAGAAGAAGTGCACTAGCCGTCAAGTCAGCGGGAGTACTGGACACCACAGAATTATATCGTATCGCTTTGGGGGCCTGAAATTCATTGTCCGTCATGAGACGGACGGATACGTTGGCGTCGCGGGCACACAGCCCAGCCTGCAACCCGCCGGCACCCAAGCCTCGGAAGTCGACGACCTCTCCAGCGTCCTAGACTCCCTGTCGCTATCTCCTGAAAGCAGCAATCCTGGGAAGACCTATCCCGCCGGCTTCAAACTCGTAATCCGGAAGGAAGGCCAAGCGGTTCCGCTCCCCTCAACCCTCGAGGTTAAAACGCGCGTCGCACACAGACCGCTTGCTTTCGAGGACGTTGTATCACAGCTCTGGGTTTCACAGACGCCCAAGCTCGTCCGTGCGTACCACACTAAGGGCGTGTTTGCGGTCCCCAAAGTGGAAGATGTGGCGGTCCAGGTCAAGGCTTGGGAAGACCAGAACCAGAAGGACCTCAGGATGTTGGCCGGCCTGATTGGGAAGATTCGCGATATCGTGAGGGAGAGTGGCGGGAGAGCTATACTGAAGTATGATGCCAATAGAGACAAATTGGTCTTTCACAAATTGGGAGGGAAGCAGATGCTGCCAAAAGGCTTGTATGCGAAGTGGGAGGGTAGGGGTAGTGACGAACAAGGTATCGGTCTAGACGTGAAGATCGTTGGGCAGTCCATTGAGGAGGCTGAAAGTGCGGTGAGTGGAAAGACTTAAGGATGGCGGGAATAGAAGGGAACATAGTCGCTGGGGCGTAGCTACCGATTGATGGCGATTAGATGATAGCTAGTAGGTTGGATGTACTACAAACTAAGTAAAGTGCATCAGTCTCTCTCGCAGATTGAGATGCCAAGGGAGCAAGCCCAGTCACTAGCTAGTATTACTGGCGTTCGGCCTTTGTCTGTCTCGAGGGTCGTCTTATCACGGTACTAGCGTCATATGACAGGCTAATCCTTTGAAAAACCAGCATAAACCTACAACACTACCTGTGGGTTGAATTATTTGGATATCTTACCCATCCTAATGTTCCGATTACGACCGGAGAGGGCCGGCTGCGTATTGCGGATGTGGCACAGGCAATGCGTTAGTGCTTCGCCTCCTACCCATAGGATGGACGACTGACGTGTGACAGCATCTGGCTCACAGAAATAGATGCACGAGTTCCCGAATCCGTCGAATTGGACAGGCTGGACATCTCGTTAAACGCCGCGCCGCCCGCAGAATGGTTGCCCTCGAACGTAACCTTGAAGACGTGGGATGTGAAAGAGGATGCACCCGGAGATCTTGTTGAAGCTTACGACATTGTCCTTCAGACTGCAGCAACCGTATAGCTGGCTCGAATCGAACAAATCCTCCTCGCCTGCACATCACCCCGCCCCGGTGCCTGGTCTGCCTACTTAGCCCGCGATCTTCTTCACCACATCCACCACTTGCGCCGTCGCAGTGAGATTCGGACAGTGCCCGGTCTCCAGCTGGAACGTCTGCACCTCCCTTCCCTGCTCCTGCATCTTCTCGACCATGGATTTCTGGTAGTCAAGTGGCACAGTCATATCCAGGGTAGTGTAGATATAATTAACGGGCGCTTCCCTCCACGCGCAGTGCGACACTTCCTGGTACATGCACGTCCCGTTCCAGCGCACGTGCGAATTGACGTAGGCCTCAATCTCGCCGTCGTCCAGGCCGGGGGCTTCTCCGACAAGGAGCGTCTTAGGATCTCGATGCAGAACCGTGTTATCGTCGGCGAAATCGAATGCCAGCGGAAGGAGATGCTCGTGACCGAATTCCTTGACTTTGCCAACCATGGAGCCACCTTCCGGCAGGGCAAACGCGCACATGTAGACAAGCTGGGTGATGCCGCCTGTTTTCCCTTCCTTGCTGCGGATTTCCGCGCTCAAGCCGTGCAGAGCGTTCGTGCCTACTTGGCCGCCGTATGAGTGCATGATGGCAACCACATCGCGGCCAGCTTGGACGAGGTTCTCGACGTACGATCGAATAAGAGCTGTGTCCGTGGAAAGATCGGCGTTTGGAGGCCGAGTCTCGTTCACTGAAGCGAGACGGGGCACATGGACTTCGTAGCCGGAGGATCTGAGGGCTTCCGCGAGTTTGGAGTAGGTAGCGGGGACGTGCCAGCCGCCATGAATAAGGACAATAGTGGGCTTGGTGGCAGCCATGCTGGAAACGGGGGATGACGTTGAAAGGGGTGTTAAGATGGCGGGCTGTGAGTAAGGTAAGAGTGGAGCGGGTTTTGTTACGTCGAAAAGAGGAGTTATATACCTCCCAACGTTGCTGACGGGCTCCTTCGGCTCCCGGCACTGCCTCGCTTGGCTCCGAATTTGGCATAGCCGTATTGTGGGACTCATTGCGCCGTAGCGGTGTTAGGCAGCTGGGCTACTCTGGGCCTGCATTACGGCGCGTCCGTTGGAGCTCAATATTATATTTTCTAATTGGCCATAGTGCCGCCGATGTATTTCACGGACCCCCGAAATAGGCAACACCCAAACATCAGTCTCCCGGGACAAAGAGGCCGAGATTGAAGACCGGGCGGCGGCTTTGAAGAATACAGAGTTGCAACACGAGGCTGCGGCGCTAGTCACTCGGTGGTTCGCGGTGAAGGTTGCCCAGGTGTTGGGCTTTGCGGAGGGCGATATTGATGTAGGGAAGCCGGCGCACTCTTACGGGATCGACTCGCTTGTGGCGATCGATTTTAAGAATTGGTTTGCTAGGGAGATCATGGCTGAGATCGAGGTGTTTATGTTGCTGGGCAGTGGGTCGCTTGAATCGCTTGCGGCGGTGGCGGCGGAGAAAAGCAGAATCAGGATAGAGAGTCAGAGCACACAGTAGCGGCCTCTTGAGGGGATCTTTTGTAGTATTAGATTCGACTCTGGAGCGTAGGAGTAATGGGGGTCTGACTTAGCATTAGATACCCACAATCAGATATGCTGGGCGACGTCCCCTTATCCAGCCCTCGAAAAGGTCCAGCCCGGAGCTTTCATCCTTTGAGCTGCACTGTGCTCATAATTTGCTTGTCGCCATCTGTTCTTTTGCCGTCTCCTCGCTCAACACCATGCCCACTGGTCCGCCACGGCTCCCGTCTCCTTTCCACAACTCCTCTGGCGCTCTTTCAGCCGGCCACTCCCACCTGCCCTTGAAATCTTCCGGCGTCCTCCCCATTATGCACTCCAAGATGCTCTCCCCAATTACTGGGAGGAATTTGAAGGCGTGCCCTGAGCCGCCGGTTGCCACGAATAATCCCTTATACTTGGGATGATACGAGATGAGGAAATCCCCGTCCCGGGTGTCTGTATACCAGCAGATCTTGCTCTTTGTAAATGGCCGCGACGGCGTGCTAAGCGAAGGATGGATTGATGCAAGGAATTCCCGGCATTCACGCTGACCTTCGCGAGGAACGGCTTGAGAGGGATCATCAACATGCGTGAAGGGGAGCGAAACCGTTATCGTGTCGTTCGGATCGGGAGACTCGGGATGCGGAATCGTGGTGGGATTCACGTAGCCATAGCCGTGCCTAGCTATCTTTAGTAAACGTTGAGAAGGTGGTATCATAAAAAGACCGGTTGAAAGGTTAAGAATTGTTGGCCGTTGTGAGAGCGTGGCCTCTTCGGAGGGGGATATGGGCATGTAGCACAGCGCTTGGCCGGTAGCCTTGCAAATACCGCGGAGGTCGATGAGCGCGGAGGTCCATGCTCCTGCTGCGAGTAATGTGAGATCGGCTGTCAATTCGGAAGAATCGCTCAGTCTGGCGCCAGAAACGGTGTTCGTGTTGTTGTCGATTATGAGCTTCTTCACGGTTCCAACCACAAAATTGACCCTGTTCAGTCTTTCCACCTTTTCTCGGAGCCATCCCATAGCACCTTCTGCATTTGCCCAGCCGGAGCTCCAGTTGACATACCCTGTGCTCCCGCAGCCCTCGTCACCCTTGCCTTCCAACCCACATGCTTTTCTAATGTCTTCGGCGGTGCCCAGAACTTCGACATTGTCAACCCCGAGGGCTTGTACATTGGCTAGAGACTCAGAAACATATCTCTGTTCAGGGCCGGAGGCAGTGACACACAGGCCAGTTTGGTGATAGTGTTCCGGAGCGAAGTCGGTCCGCCAACGCTGTTGGGATATGGAAGCGAGGCGTGTGTATGGCGCGGCAGCATAGTCGGGTCGTATTATCCGAGACGTGTCGATCTAAAGCTCTTAACTTCTTGTCTAAGCGGGTTCAAGTCTTGTACCGGCGTCCATTGAGAAACTAGCGGTTGGGGGGCTTCAGATCGGACGAAGAGGAAGAGAAGCCGCGCTTACACTGGAGCCGTCCGGCGTGGGGAACGGCTGTCGATCTACGAGTGTGATTGAGGTGTCCTTGAACTGCGGATTATTGCAGAGCGCCCATGCGGTCGAGAGCCCAAAGACTCCGCTTCCGACGATGAGGATAGACGAAGGGATCTCAGGGGCCATTGATGCCATTGCTATGCTCAAAGAGAATGGGGAGGAAGAACGCGACGAGGCTGAAGACAAGGAAATTGAAGAACTGGTGCCTACCTGTGTGCGCTTATCTACGACAAAGCTGTGGAGATGGTCCGATATCGTCGAAGGGCGGAATTTTGACAAGCGTCGGCTTTTCGCGGGCCACAAGTTCGGTATCTGAGCTTGAGCTTGGGCCACGGAAGCACGGACTCGCGCAAAAGCTTCACGTCGCTGCATTAACAACACCAATTGCACACCACGTCGCTCGTTAGCCAAGGCTCAATTGCATCGACATGCCCAAGTTCCCGAGAGTGCCGAGATCTGTTCCCCCGAAACCTCCCAAACCGCCGTCGCGCCCGCAACCACTGCCGTACAGACCTCTGCAATCGAGACCAACGCAAGCGAAGCCAGCTGCGACAGAACTCCCAGCGCCGCCAGCTAAAGAAGACCCTCTTTCGGGTGTGCGGCGAGTATGGGCCGAAAGACCCGGACTGAAGGATGTCAGACGCCTGTCCGAAGAAGATAGGAAATCGCCTACGCACACAATGATGGTGCGAAGGTGGAGGCAATGGCCCGTCTTCGTCTGCGGGCTGGCTGCATTTGCGATGGGAGTGTATGGCGTGCAGCTGTACATATCGCTCACCCGCGACCCGCCGAATCTGGAAGACATCCCATCCGATCTATCAGATCGATTCGACAAGGAGGCCGAAGGGTATGATGAGAAAGTCGACCTGGCGGAGATGATGTTGCTTCTCACCAGAAGACGAAAAGAGATCACCAAGAAAGTCAGGGGCCACGTTCTAGAAGTCGCTGTCGGCACCGGCAGGAACATCAAGTATTACCCTACGAAGCAGTGCGCAACGGTGACGCTGCTGGATTCTAGCGCGCCTATGCTGGCCGTCGCAAAGCGGAAGTGGAAGGACACACATCCAGAATTCTTTAACCGGGTCTTCTTCAAACACCAGTCCGCTCTCGACCCGATCACGCCTCCGTACGGCGCACAGGACGGATACGATACGGTATTTCAGACTATGGGCCTGTGCTCGACGCCGGAACCCGTGAAGCTGCTGCACAGTTTGGAAGCCGCCACTAAGGAGGATGGCGGCCAGATACTGCTCCTAGAACACGGCAGGTCGCATTATGAGTGGCTGGACAGTCTCCTGGACAAGACCGCACCCGCACACGCCCATGAGCATGGCTGTTGGTGGAACAAAGACATCGGGAGGATTGTGGAAGAGAGCGGACTAGAGGTGGTTCAGATCAAGAGATACAACTTCGGCACAACGTGGTGGGTTGAGCTGAGGCCGCGGAAAGGGATGCGCAGGAATCGAGTGGAGGCAACTATTAACGAGAAGCCTCTCGTGCCGCCCGAATCCCCGGTTACACAGAAGCCGTGGTGGGGTCTATGGAGGTGATGTTGGAAAGCCTCCATGCCAAGCGCATCCTGGAAGCAAGTTTCCGGGGAAACCGAATATACCGCGAGTACTCCTCTCTCGAAACAAGAAATCGTCGGTACCAAGGGGATATTCGGCGACAGCTCTCGGCACCCGATGGAGGGGTCACGTCTCAATCGGGGAATCTAACATACAAAATGGTCAATCAGGATCCCAGATAAATTCCTGTTGGGCGTCTGACGGCAGCCACAGCGCGGCTCGAACATCTGATATCTTGCATCATGAGCTCACGACTTGTAATATATGTCGAGTTCCGGATGTAGTAGCTCCTAGCTGACATGCATGGCCCACCCTCGACAAGCAAACAGAAGCACCGTGGCTTCGAGTTTCTTGAACCATACCGGTGTACAGCGCGCGCGCAGCATTCGGCTGGGGCATGCCGGAGCGCATCCGGAGTGTTTGCTAGCTTTGCTAGCCTCGCGCGACACTTTCCCACCCCACAAAAAGTGACGATGCAAGCAGACGCCTTGTGTAATGCGGGCCATCCGATTGGGGAAAGACGGGCAGTTCCCCTAGCCAATCACGGGCGCGTCGCGTGCGTTGTCCACACCGAGCAGCGATGGGCGGCGCCGGCTCGTGAAACATGCATCCCAGCAGCTTTCCAGAACGAGGCGCGACGACAGAGCCGTTTCGCATGCGTGGATCGCGCAGTGGTGAGAGAGGCGCATCGCATGTCCGCACTGCGCGCTGAAGCTTTTCGTGAAAGTTCGCCGATATCGACCGTCGCCGTCGTATAATCCAAGTTTCGCGATGCCGAGGCCAGACGGAGAGAAAAATTCACAAAAAAGTTAGCTCACCGCCTTCGAAAAAATCCGGCACAGCGTTGAGGCTAAATCGCTAGGGTGATGTATGAGACAGGGGGTCCATGCAACATGGAGCACGATGATATGCAACACCATCAGATCATGACCTCCATCGCTTGCCGGCGTGGCTAGAATTGGGCGCTGCGGGCGTCAGCCTCGCCAATGTGGAGGCAGCAGAGGGGGATCTCCATATCTGCAATATGGGCTGATGGATTCCGACGAAATGCTCTTCACAGGGGGTCAAGAGAGACGGATGAGAAGTGCTCCCATGGGAGAAGCGCGCATCTGCTAGGGATAGATTTCGTTGGTCGGCATGCAGTTCCGAAAACCGTGGGTACGTACCTCCAGGCAGGTGAGGGGAAGGCAAAATTCCATGGTGAAAACGATGCGACGGCCAGGGGTCGTTAATGGTGGGGAGACGTCGAAGGGGATTTCTCCGTGCTGCTTTGGGGTCTTGCTTTTTGAGGGCTCTCGTGCAACACTCGGCCAGCCACGTCGCTGTTCATAGGCCGTGTCGTGGAGGTCAGCCCCTGGGCGACAGCAGCGAGATGGCGTCTAATAAAAGTAGCATGCTATCGTATCTTGCGTCTGCCCGAAAGAGGTGATCCCTGGATACATCCAACTACTGCGCACGGCCGCCTGGCTCTACTAGGCCCTCTTCCTTCACCAGTGCTCCACCACGTCCCTCATCCATCCCTCTCTCACACCACACCCCCCTCCCCCATCAAACTCCCCCAGGGCCTCTCGTCGGGCGTGCCTTGCATCCCTTGGGCGCTGTTGTGACTTGCTCCGCCGTGCTGCAGCGAGCGCCGTGACGCAGTTGACGTACTCAGGAGGCGGCGACTCCATCCTTTGACAAGGGAAGCGGCGGCTGGGCCCGGTCAGCTCCAGCACACGTCCTGCCTCCCCCAAATTGCAGCGGGCACACAAGCAGTCATCAGTCATCTCTGCAGGCTGGCGCGCAGGCAGAAGTGTCGCACGCTACCTTGCATAGACCAGCGGTAACGCTTCAGGTAAAGGCTGCAGCAGCTGCATTCCGCGACCAATCGTCGACCCTGGCATTCTCACGGCGCAACAACAACTTCCTCATCCCCTCTGCCAGCCGCAGCAATTCCTCTCTCGCCGGGGAGACGCCTCTCTCGCATTCCCACGACCTCTGCGACCACGCCGCCGCGATACCATGCAGACGCGGAAGAAATCGCTGTCGCTGCCGTCGCTGGGCATAGCCCTGCCCGGCGCGCCGCGATCCGCACGCTCACCGCCCTCGTCCGCGAACGGTCAGCACGTCGCGAAGAAACAAAAACGGTCGCACTCCAACTCCAACGCATCCACGCCCGCATCGCCGCCGCGGCCTGCGACGCTGCGCTTCGACGAGCGCCCGAAGAGCTCCGGCCGTGTGGCGGACACGCCGCCACCGTCGCCCGGCGGAGAGTCCGGCCAGACAAAGGTCGACACCCAAGGCATCGACGACGTAATTGTCGTCGGCGTCATAGAGCAGCTGGAGAAGACGGGCAACCGACCCCACCTGCTCAAAGAACTGGCGACCGTCCTGTCGCCCACAATCCCAATTGTTGAAAGGTACGTGCCGAGCTCCAGCTCCAGCTCCAGCCCCAGCCCCAGCTCTACCCCTAGCTCCGCGTTGCGCATGCTGATGCGCCATAGCTCCGCCAACCCAGCTGCAATAATCTCGTCGCGGCTTGCCACGTATCTCAAACGCAACTGGACTGCGCTGTCGCCATGCCCGCTCGACAAGAAGCTTGTCGGCACCCACCCGAAGCGCGTGTACTACTTCCTCTCCACCTGCCCGCACCAGCCAATTCCTGAGGATGCAGGCAATGCTCCAGCTGCGGCGCGCATTATTTCGCCGTCGCTGTCGTCGGCTACGTCTGAAGAGGAAGACATGGATGCGCGCTCACGAGACGTGAGGTCCCCCTCACCGGAGCTGGATCTCTCCGACTTCGATGACGGTAGCGACCCGTTCTCAAACCGCACCCATGACCCAGCGACCCACAACATCGCACACAACCGACGAGCCCAGTCGCCGCCCTTAGAAAGAGACGAGCGCGAGTTCACCCAGACTGCGTCATTCTTGCAGCAGCAGAGGAAGAGCCAGGAAGCCGAGCGCGAGCGGTCCTCTTCGACTGAGGCGACCCAGAGCACCGACGTCACCATGGAAGACATACCCGAGGTCGAAGAGACGGAGGAGAGTGCTGCGCGCAAGAACTCAGAGACGGCAGCGGCTCTCTTTGGGCAGATGGACCATGTCTCCAGCTTCCAGCCGGACTTCGTCTCGAGTAGCCCGATGCTGAAGCCAACTCTCAACATCGAGATGCCGCCACCACCCATGCCCAAGACTGTAGCTAAGATCGAGACTGAGGACATCGAATGGAGCTGGTCGGAGATGAAGAGCCCGGAGAACATCGAGCTAGACGAGCTCGACGACCTCTTCGGCGGGTACTAAGTCGCAACAAAATTGGGATATTTGCGGCACACGATATTGATGACCACCTTCCCCGCGCGATTCTCTTCTTACATTGTTTAGTTATATCCCTCCTCTCTTCTTCTTCTCGTGGCGTATACCTAGAAGGTTTTGTTCGCTGCTCGCGCTGCATTCGGGTCCGGGGGATGTCGGGATATCAGTCGGGAGTTTCAGTGATCTGGTGTCTAGGTGATGGGCGAGGTATTCTGTACGATAGTGTGAGGATATCGCTGAGCCGCTGGCTGTAACTTGGCTGATATCAGGTATTCGGATTCGGATTTGGGTGGGCATGGAATAGGAAGTGGCGCCGCTGGAGGGGCTCTGCGAGAACGCTCATCAGATAAAAGTGCTTAAATTGGAAAAACAGTTGATATCTGCTACTTGCCCTTCTCGCGCTCTTGCGTCTTTAGTTCAACCAACCCCAACGTCGAAGCCCGAGCGGTGAACAGCTGTATGTCCCATGCAATGCCTGCTCCTTGCATGTTGCAGCTGGTATATGCGCCCCACAACGCTACTCTCCTTTTTTCCATATGCTCTTAACACGAGAGAAGAAACATGACTTGGGTATGCAAGCTTCACCAGATCGACTTCGTGCCCAAAAGCCGCCGCATGGCGCTCAGGCAGGGCGATCCTGCCGCAACCGTCAAAGTGGCCAGTTGGCGGCCTTCGAAAATTTGGTCCCTTTGCCGGGCGTCCTCGACAGGTATCAGCCGCCAATATCTCCTTGTCACATCTCCTCCGTGGCTCAACCCAGCGTGAGTTGCAACATATGATAGTTGATGCCTGACCTTTCAGGCGCTGACTCCAGCCACCCGTTCTCGCGAGCCCAGCCACCGCCGAGGCAAGCGAGTCCATAGGGCTGAGGCTCGCATTTCGGGCACCTGCTTCGCGACGCCCAACTTCCTGCAAACTGTCTTGCGCATTCTTTTCATTTGGTCGGCTGTCGACTCTAGATACCCACTCGCGCTGCGCGGAGTCATCGCCCCACGGTTTGCGATCACTGGTGCGCGTTGTTGCGCGCGGAAGAGTTGGTGGTTCGATTAAGTTTGCGGCGGACTTCCGCGACTTTGACGTGGCGGAGAAGAGCAGGGCGCTGGAAAGGAGGGAGACGATTGGAGATTTTGCATCTGTTGGAGTTGAGAAAGAGTTTGGATTGCTCTGAGGAAAGAGGACATCGCGCTCCCGCTCCCGCTGTGCCCTGCAGCAATCAGCACGTGGTCAATTAGTTCACTCGGCTGCACCAGGCTTCTCAGACCCCTATCGCATCCATCAGACGCCATTCACTGCGCTATCCACCGGCAACAGGGCATCACCGCGCCCCGCTCTCCGACGTGGATTCCCCATCATCCAGCGATTCGGGGTACGTCCCCTCATCCGAATCTGCAAAGAAGAGAAAGAAGAGGGCAAGCCGCGTCATGTCAGTCGCACCGTCAAGAGCGCGGAGTCACAGCCGTGCACCGAGCAATGCCCGGGGCTCTGCACCCATCGTCATCGACCTCCCGCCTCCAACGCCCAAACCGCCGATCGAGGTCGTTCTGCCCGCCGCTCCCAGACCTAGGAGTCGAGGACCACTAGCCGTCGAACCGCCGGGCTTGAGCGGCGGACGAGGCATGTTCAAGAGACTGATTGTTGCGTGTGATGGGACGTGGTTGAATTCAGACAACGGCCTTGTGAACGGCAAACTCGCCATCCCCAGTAACGTGACGCGGATGTCACGCGCGATCAAGGCAGTTAGCCAAGATGGCATTCCGCAGATCGTGAATTACCACTTTGGCGTGGGGAGTTCGGGCGGGCCTTTGAATCGCTTCATCGGCGGGACCACCGGGGAGGGACTAGGCGATAACGTGCGAGAAGCGTATTCTTTTCTCGCGAATAATTACCACCACGGCGATGAGATATTCCTGCTTGGGTTCTCGAGGGGTGCCTTCACGGCGCGTAGTATTGCGGGCTTGATTGGAGAAGTTGGTTTGCTTACGAAGAAGGGCCTCTTTGCGCTTCCGGAGGTGTTTGAAGATGTCCAGCACAGGCGGGATCCGAAATACGTGCCAAAGAACCCCAATGCCCCCTTCCCGCACAAGCCCAGCGCCAATTCGCCAAGGTATGCGGAAGAGTTGGAACGGAGAGGCATGACGCGATTAGGCATCAAGGTCAAAGCTATCGGCGTCTGGGACACGGTCGGCAGTCTCGGCACGCCGCGAATAGGCTGGCTCACAAAAGTCGGCCTGCAGTCCTCGGAGAGCAAGGAAATGGCCTTCTACGACACCAAGCTGTCCAACTGCATCGAGAATGCGTTCCAGGCGCTCGCGCTCGACGAACGCCGTAGCGCCTTCAGCCCTGCTGTCTGGGAGAAGCCCGAGGGGAACCGCACGACGCTGCGCCAGGTCTGGTTTCCGGGCGTCCATTCGAACGTAGGAGGCGGGTATGACGACCAGCAGCTGGCGAATATTACGCTGGCGTGGATGATGAGCCAGTTGCAGGATATGCTAGATATGCGGCCCGAGTATTTGCTCGAGCAGGACGAGGAGAACGAGAGGTATTACCGGAAGACGACGGGGCAGGACATCAGGCCGTGGAGCTTCGGGGAAATCAGCAATTCTATGACCGGCCTGTATGCTCTCGGCGGAGGAACTGTAAGTCCATTTCCTACTCTGCCTGAAAGATAGGAGGAAAAATTGCAAAGGGTGACGGACGGCTGATGGGCCCACAGACCCGCACGCCAGGCCACTACTACGCCTGCGACCCCACCACCTCGCGCCCGTCCGACCGCCCCCTCCGCGAAACAAACGAATACATCCACGCGTCCGTCCGCACGCGCATCCGCCTGCACGGCCCCGGCGTCGCCGACAAAGCCGACTACGAGTGCCGCGCCCTCACCGACAACTACCGCCTCGTCGTCGACTACGGCACCGCCGACCCTGCGCGCTCCGCCCCCGCGGACATCTACTGGCGCCTCAAGTGGAAGGACGCCGACGCGATGAAGATCCTACCCGAAGCGCCGCTGTGGGGCTTCGAGCGCGAGCTCGCGCGCAAGGACCCAGATACGTACGATGAAGTGTGTCGGCCGAGGGCGACGAAGGAGGCGAAGCGGAGGAAGACGGAACGCCCGCGGAGTGCGGAGCTGGGGAATGGACGGGCGGCGGGCGGGAGGAGGAGCGCCGTGGAGGAGGAGAGGAGGGGTGGCGTTATTGCGGGGATGGGGCCGAGGGGCAGTGTGGTGCTGGAGAAGAGTGGGAGGAGTAGGAGTAGAGCGAGGAGCTTTGATGAGCGGGAGAGTGTGATTAAGGAGAGTATGCCGCATCGGAGGGAGAAGGATAGGGCGTGGTGGGAGGGCAGGGGGGGTGCGGAGAGGGAGAGGGAGAGAGATAGGGATAGGGATAGGGATAGGGATAGGGATAGGGATAGAGATAGAGATAAGGGGAGGGATAGGGGCGCGAGGAGTCCGAGGAGGAGTAGCATGAGGGTTTGAGAATGGATTTTTCTGCATATCAGAGCGGGTTTGGCATAGCGATCTAGGTAGGCTTTAGCTTTGGCTTTGGCTTGGTTAAAAGGGGCGTGTGTAAGATGCCATCCGATCCGATCCGATGGATCTCTTGTTTCTTTCTGTTTTGGGGGGAAGCGGATACCCTTTGTTTTTAGATAGAATGTCACTTTTTTTGTACGCAAGTGTCCTGCCGAAGCGACATTAGATAGCTAGTTGCTAGGTGCCAGTTGCTCATTCGAAGCAGAGAAAAGACATTCTGTGCATCTAGTCCATTCCCTTCCTCGCTAACAACTAGCCAGCACTTCTTCTCAACGAAACGCTGGGTGACTTCTCCCCCGTGCTTCAGCATCCGGTGCGGGCTTTTTAATCGCTAATAAGGCTGTGAGGTGCCCTTTTTGGGTGGAGGTGCACTTTTATTAGATGGAGGTGGAGTTTTTTTCTTCAGGTCGGGCTTGAGGAGGAAGTATGGCTTGGGACCTAGCTCTTGCATCTCCTTCTTTCTCGCTTTCTTGCTGGCTGTGTGTGCGTGTGCGTGCGTGAGTTGGTGACGCCGAGGACCATGTCTTTGCGTGTCTCAGCAGGGAGTAGCTATCCTTCAAGCGGCTCCGTCGTAGTGGCTTGTGCCTTGATTAACTCCCTCTGAGCTCATTGATGAGGCTTGTCTCTCTGTAGTGTCGTTTTCGGGACTGAAGTTCTTGTACTGTATTGTATTAGTCAGACCGGCTGCCTGCTCCCGATCTAGGCGAAAAGCTACCCACCACTGCTCCTGATAACACCGCCGTTGTCGTCGTTGTCGACCGAGAAACCTCGGCCGATAATCCTCCGCCGTTTGGGGCTCGGGCCCTTGGAATTTCGCCGGCGCTTTTTGCGCAGCTCCGATGGTTCTGTCGTTAGGTGGGTCGGGTGTGCTGGTGTGGAGGCACCGCGTTCACATGTTGGGCTCCTCCGGTTGCTCCAGCTCCATGCCCTCCGTGGCATCTGATCAACTCGCGAGAGCCGCTCAGTTTCCGCATCGACATGTTGGAAACGCATCCTAGGCTATTGCAGATTGAATTCCTCGAGCTTGTACATTCTCGCGCTCTCCTGAGCGCTATATCAGTCGCTACCGTCCTACTCTTTCTCAGCAGGGCCACTCTTGTTCGATCATCCAAGTTTGCGGAACTGGATCGGCAGTCCTACCTGGTTGGCCAGTCGTTGGCATGGTTTCCGGGAGTCTGGGCCAAACTTGCGTATGCGCTGAATGGCTACGGGTTGATCTATGAAGCATTTGAAAAGGTATGTCTTGGATCATGTCATTTCGGAAACGTGTTGATAGCTAACTCTGTCCCAAAAGACTGAAGGTAAACGAATCCTAAAGATTCCTCTCCAAGGCCAGAATCTCTATGTCCTTCCTGCCAAGTACGTGGAAGAGTTGAAGAGCGTGCCGGCATCGGTCTTGAGCTCATCTCATGCTGTATCGGACTACTTCCTGGGGGCTTACACAACGCTTGATCACTCCATGTTTGGACATGCCACTTGGGACGTGGTCCGGAAATATCTCACGCAAAGACTCGGTCCATTGGTGCGGCCGCTTGCAGAGGAGTGCGAGATTGCTTTCAGGGAGGAGATTCCACTATGTTACGACTGGACCGCGATCGAAATACACGAGCACCTCCTCCAGATCGTGGGCCGCATGACTAGCCGCGTCTTCGTCGGAGAGAAGCTCTCCAAGGACCGTTTCTGGCGACAGACGTGCATTGACTTCGCGACCTGTGTGTTTCAAGCCTCTGGAATTCTCAAAGCTCTTCCGCCTATTCTGCGACTCCTTGGAAGTTTTCTCAGCCCACACATCTGGCGCATCCGTCTTCATCATGTACGCGCGAACCGATACCTAATCCCAGAGATAGATCGGAGAAACGATGGGGCGAAAGAGGAAGATATGCTTAGCTGGCTCGTGTCGAACGCCGGAAGTGATGGGCCGTCTGGTATCGTGAAGCGACAGTTGGGGCTCAGCTTTGCTGCTATCCATACCACCACGAACCATCTCACCAACGTGCTGCTTGACCTTGCAGCCCGCTGGGATCAGTATGCCCCAGAACTCCTAGCAGAAATCAAACAAGCATTATTGGAGGACGAAAGGGGCTTGACGAAGACGACAGTGACGAAATTGACCAAGCTCGACAGTTTCATGAAGGAATCGCAGCGTCTGCATCCTCCAAGTGCCTGTACGTGTGGGCTCATCTCCACTGCCGACTGAGATGATGCGGGCTGACAACCATACAGTGTCTTTCAATCGCAAGGTTATGAGTTCCATGGTCCTTTCTGATGGTATCGTTCTCCCGGAGGGATGTTATATCGCCGTCGCCTCGGGGCCGTTGGCTCGATCTGAAAGCTACTATTTCCACGCTTCTGAATTTGACGGCTTCAGATATCATCGCATGCGACAAGAAGCAGGTGGATCCGCTGCCAATGCTAACTACTTCACCTCGACTGGAACTCATAGTCTGGTATTTGGGCATGGTCGCTTTGCTTGTCCAGGAAGATTCTTCGCCTCCCTGGAGAGCAAGATCATTCTTGTGCATATCCTTTTGAACTTCACATTGAGACTGGAAGAGGGTGACGCACGACCAGACAACTCAGTTTTCGCTGACGCGTTGTTTCCCAACGCTTCGGGAAGGATTCTGTTTCGGCGAAGGGAAGGAATATGACGGGGCCGGATATACGACGGGATATAAAGATGGCCCCACCAACAGCGACTGTAGCACTGTGCCGTACTCGGGGTAGACAATACCAAGACGACCCCACCAATTGCGACCGCGCCGCAGTGGAGGGTACGGAAATATCATATCAGCACTTTATCTTTGCATCCTCGCATCGCGCAGGACAGCGTAATGGTTCATCTCAGCGAGGCAGACAAGGCAGAAAGACTGGCAGGATGCTCCTACCTGAGGTTGAGTCTGCAGTATCTTGCATGCCCCGGGAATCCCACGGCGGTTGCACGCGGCGGCACGCGGCGATTCCGTCCCGTCAGAAAGCACATCGATTACTTTGTCCAGCTTTGGCCCCTAATCCGACGAGCTGCATGTCAATTGCGGTTAGTTAATTCATTCTCCCCAGGGGTGCAGCCTTCTCTCGCGAGTGATTGGTCCACCCCATCGGACCGAGCCATGCACCTCCTCCATTTACAGACCACGGCGCAGCGCCTGCATGGGATACGGGTGGCGCCCTGGCGGGGAACCTGCGGGCCCTCCATCCGGACGCCCGCTATATCGCAAGCCACCGCCTTGCGATACGCGATTCTTGTATCCGTCATCACCGTCCACGCGAGGAAACGATGCCCCCAGATAACCAGAAGAGGAAACGGCCAGTAGCATCGTGTCGTCCATGTTATACCAAGAAACAAAAGGTATGAGTAGTCGTGTAAGGCCATCCTTCGCATACGCTAACGGCTCGATTAGTGTGGTCCCACAATCCGTTTAGGATGCCCTCACTAACTCTCTAAGATGTGATAAGCAATACCCATGCACGAACTGCACACGACGACGCCTGCCGGAACTTTGCACTTACAGTTTCTCGGAGCCAGAGCCCAGGACCACTAAGGTGACGATACAATCTCACGGACGATCCAGCACCGCCTCAGAGGCGCATACACCGGCTCCCGAATCGCTCCAGACGACGTATCCTCCTGTTAGTGCAGAAGATGGTCAGAATGAGGATACCGTCAGCCAGGTTGCCGATGCAGACGTGGCGGGTCACGTCAGTGCTATGGTCTCGCATCTCGGTTACTCCGAGGGAAGCAAGTACAATCTGTTCAGTCTGATGAAGAAGGTGAGCGCCCCGTGTGTTGAGAGGCATGAAGAGGCAAATGCTAACAACTTCTGGCTTGGCAGTTCGACCTGTTAGGCACTGAAGCACACTCGGTCGATGCGACAGAACGTGCGCTGCGGAGTGCGGAATCGCAAATTCGGAAATGCCTAGAAATTCTCCCGAAGCGACCCATCATCAATTGCCTCATACAGCACTTTTTCGAAGAAGTGAACTGGATATCAGAACTAATTCATCCCCCGATGTTTCTCAACCGCTACGAGCAATGGTGGAAAACCTTTCCTGGAGCAAGCGTGGACAGTCTCGAATTCGGCGTTTTGATACTTCGAATATGCGCGTTGAGTGCGCAGTTCATCCCGTCTCGGTCGTACGGCGAGGGGAGGGTCCTGGGAATACCGGTCAACACCGTGCGACTGCATTGTCGAAATCTCTCCCAGCGTCTACAGAAATTGACGGATCACATCAAGGGTGCTAAGACTCTCGCGTCGGTGCAACATTTGTTTTACTGGTGCTGCTACTTGGAGAATGAGGGTGCGATTACCGATGCCTGGTACGCTCTTGGTGATGCCATTCGGGTTTCGCAGGACGTTGGATTACACCTGCCCGGATGCACTCTCCTCGAGGGTTCTATCAACGATGTGGAGAAAGATTTGAGGAGGAGATGCTTCTGGACTCTCTTCACTTGGGATAAATATTTCTCCCTTATATTGGACCGGAAACCGTGGATCCAGTACGACGTTTCGGATATTAGCTTTCCTGTCATGCGCATCATCTCTGGCGTACCAAAGGCTAGCCCCGAACAGCCCGATGCCTTCACCGAACGGCTACTAGAAGCCCGACTCGCCAAACTCTGGTCATCCTCTTTCCCTAATGGACCGCCCAATGACGGCATATACGACGTCTGCGCCGCCGAAGAATTCTACGAAAAAATCTGCAAGATTTACATTCCAGATCTACCACCTGTGTTTTCTCTTCGCGATCCGGACACTAAGTGGGACTCGGACCTTCGTATGCTTCCACGACAGAGGCAGATGCTTCGCATATCGATCTACGCTTCGACCTGTCAGCTGTTTCTGCCATTGCTACAGCTTGAAGAAGGGCAGATTGCGAATCTGCCACAATATAAGAAGGATATATTGCTATCCCAACGGCATCGGCTAGTTGAAGGAGCCATGCGCCTGCTCGATGGAGTATTTACTCTGCACGACCTTCTCGGCCGAAGACCTACGGCCCTATTCTTACTGAGCTACTTCTCTTTCCATGCTGCGGTTGTGCTATCGATGCATCTCATCTGGACAGTCAGCACAAGGGGCCACCATCTTGGTGGTCAGCATGACCTATACGGCATAGCCTCTGCACTTGACAGCCCAGGGTCATCTCCGAGGCGCCGAGGAATCGGGTGGCGGCACCGCGAATATGTCGACAAAGCTCTACGGCTTCTCTATGACCTCGAAGGCGTGAGCATCATCGCCAAGCTCGCCGTACCACAGCTAGAAAAGGTAATCGCTAAGCTGGAATCGATGGTCCCTCCAGAGCAAGAAGTTGCGCAGCAAATTTCCGCTGACGGCAACGGCATCGCCTCAGTACAAGCAAGTAGCAACTGGCTCGGTTTTGAACTAACATCGGGCGAAGATAGTGCCCAGGGCACGGAAAGGTATGCTCTAAAATGCACACAGGCGTAACAATACTGAGCACATCCAGATTCAGCGAACAACGATACCATCAAGCGAATCTCCCCACTCCGGCCTCCAAGGCACGCTCACCAACTCAGGAGTCGAATAATCCTCTTTCCACATATTCCGACGCATCGCTCGACTCTACCCTCGGCGGATCCGTAATGTCGCACATGGATGACATGTTTAGCTTTCCAATAGACTTTGAAGGGCCCTTTGATCACTGGGCAGGGCTGCAGGAGGCTGGATTGGGATTGCCCATCCCACATATGCATACGGATGTTGACGATTCACGATATCAAGCAACTTCACAGCCATATGTGCAAGATGGAACTCAGGTTCCCGGGTAGGACTGTTTTGCGGATCGATTCTGAGTAAGAAAGCTACTTGTGCACGCCATGGGGATCTCGGACCAGACCAGCTCTTGAGCAGACGCCGGGCTCAGTATCTGCTTTCTTACCAGGGCACGGGCTCTTTTTCGTAAGAGATGAACGTGCCGGACGTCGTCTCGCGAGACGCTTCGTCAATCTATGCGAGCATCAGCATCCATGCGGCTCCTTTCATTCTTCCATTCGGCACTTACCACTTGCAAAACGCCTTTGATACTATCCTCCAACTTCAGTGGCGCAGCCTCCAGACCGACTGCCCTCGCGGCAAACTCGCCCATATCAGTTTGCACCCAACCCGGGCTGAGTACAACCGCAGTCAACCACTCATTCTCAAAGTGGATCTTCCGTGTGAGGAAGTTCATAGCCGCCTTAGACACGCCGTAGCAGAACCAAGGGCCAGGTATGTATTCCATGAGGTTCAGGCTGGCAAGGTTCGTGGACATGGTGAAGAACTTGGGAGCCGGGGACTTGCGCAACAGAGGCTCCACTGCCTGGAACAGTGTGAGAACGCCGACGACGTTAACGTCCAGGTGACGTCGGACGCTTTCGGGGGCAGCCGCCGTGACGGTAGTGGCATGGTCGCCAATTCCTGCGTTGGCGATGACTACGTCCAAGGTGGTGATACCGTGGTCAGACTGGAGTTCAGTGACCGCTTTTTGAGCGTCGGTGTCGACCGCGCTGTCGATCTTGACCAGGACGAGCTTACTGCCTTCGGCTGCGGGAATAGACTTGAGGTCCTGAGAGACAGCCGCGTTCGGGTCTCGAACTGCCGCGATGACGGTATGGTTCGGGCGGCCCAAGAAAGCTTCGAGGAGAGCCCGACCGATTCCTACAACCGTTAGTATTCGAAAGACACGCGGCTTTGCATGAGCTTCGGCGGGCTTACCTCGATTCGGGCCAGTGATTAGCACCACCTGCTGTTCAGCCATTCTGATACACCACAAATATGACGACAGAAATCGGCCCGTCACAAAACCTGGGGCGACAATGGCCTCCAATATTCTTCTGCTGATGGGTCTTTCATATACATGACCCTGCGCCACAGGGATCGCTTAAGCAGATAAAGAGCCGAAAAGGCTCGGAGCGTATCAGAGAGGTGCTGGATGCGCTCGCGGCTGGAGGCATATTCGGCCTCACCGATCACTCCGCCAGCAGCAATGTGTGATGCAGGAGAATATAGGGTTTGCGGGGATGCCGATCCCTCAAACCCGGTCCGCTGGTAACTCAATAGAGGCCCCAGGTCTCGGGAATTAATTCGTATTGGGGGCTGGGCTGAGTCTCCGGCTTCGTGGTGGATACGAGCACTTTACATACTCTTTCCGCTCGAGTCCACGCTTTCAGGTCTTCATCTTGTGGAAAGAGCAAGATGCGGTACCTCTTTTCCTTTCTGTGGACCGTTATCTTCCATCTTGTTACCGCCGATGTTGTCGTTTCCGACCTCCTCGTGCGGGCATCCGGACAGGACATAAAGAGCGGCCTCGGCCCGAAACTGTCTTCCGGATCACGGATTCTCCTGCCAGGAGATTCCGACTTTCCCCCGGCATCGGAAAGATGGCAGGAGTATGCAAAGCCGACGTTCAGCGCCATTGTCGAGGTGACTAATGAGAACGATATTTCCGAAACTGCAAGTCCCAGGGACGTCCCCGGTATCTGGTCAAGCTGACGGGCGCATACAGATTATATATGCGAATAACAATTCGATGCCCTTTCTTGCGCTCGGCGGCGCTCATGGATCCATCACGTCGTTGGAAGGCTTCCAGAATGGCATTGGGATTCGACTCAGCAAGCTGAAGAATATTACGGTTTCGGATGATGGAACGTACGCGACGATTGAAGGGGGCGTTACTAATGGCGAGGTCATGCGGGCACTGAAAGCCGTGAACAAACAATCTGGTATGTCGGCGCGGAAGAGTCCATGTGGACCTTACTCATCGCTAACACCCTCAAAGCTACTGGTGTCTGCGAATGCACAGGCTTCATGGGAGCATTGTTGGGCGGCGGCCACGGACTCCTACAAGGTAAGTAAACCGTCCAACCTCGCTTCCTCCCGTGCCTAAAGCTTTTCAAGGCCACTATGGGATGGTAATCGACAACGTCATCGATTTCCGTGTGGTTATGGCAGACGGATCCATCGTCAATGTTTCGGATACATCCGACCACGACTACTTTTGGGCTCTGCGAGGAGCCGGACATAACTTCGGCATTGTGCCTAGCTTACGATACAAGATCTACGAACCGGACTACTTACAGTGGAACTACACCATGATGGCTTTCAGCCAAGACAAGCTGGAGGCCGTTTACGAGGTGATGAACAAGATCACGGCAAGGCCGGAGCATGAACTCACCAATGTCATCAACTATGCCATCTGGATGCGCAGCCCGGATATCGACCCGAATAATGTAAGTTTTACCCTAGAGAAACCAGGGCGTTCGAACACTTACCAAGCTAGGTCCTCATATTTTTTGGCCTTATCTACCCCATTCCAGATGACAACGGCACAACCTTCACCTCCTGGTTTCTGGACCTAAACCCGCTATCCGTGCAATCCCAAATCGTTCAGTACTGGGACCTACCAAAGCTGACCGGCAACGGAGACGATTCACCCATCTGCCAGCATGGCGTAAACAACCACTTGAGGTTCCCAATCTACCTAGACGAATACAACCTGACCGCCACCCGCTCCGCTTATGATCTGTTCAACAACATGACTGCCGAGGTCACGGCTTTCAAGGACTCCATGATTCTCTTCGAAGCCTACTCGCTCGTTGCAGTGAGGCTAGTGGATTGGGCAAACTCTGGGTTTGCGTGGCGGGATACGAAGGTTCTAGTGTAAGTTCAGTCTTTTTCCGCGCGTGCGTGATGACTGCGCGCTAATTTCTCGTCTTTCAAGCGCGCCTGTGATTACTTATGCGCCCGACGCTGCTCTGGACGACACTGCAATTAAGTTTGGGAACAGAACGCGTGAGATTCTCTATGAGGGAACGCAAGGGACCAGGTGGTGGCCAGTTTTGCGAGTATATGTCAACTATGCGTTTGGAGATGAGACGCTTGATCAGCTGTACGGGCAGCTTGGTTGGTAGGTGTCTTGTATCCCATTGCTATTGCGGCGAGCTGACATATACCGGTAGGAGAACAGATAAATTGGCAGGTATCAAGCAGAAGATTGATCCGAACAATCGCTTTAGATGGTTTGCGCCCGTTGTGCGTTAGCTAGGAGCTGGTACGGATGGATGGCTTTCGTTCTCTGGCTAGGGTATCTAGGGTAGAAATGCTATCTAGAGCAGCTCTCTCATGCCATCACTTTGCGTTAATAGTGTATACTCCTCTTGTCATCCGTTCGAGTCGCACCGTGTCACTAAAGTCACGGGACTCCCAGCTCGTGCTCCACCCCTCACCGAGCAATGACAAGACCGAGCTCGTATTACGCTGCGGATCTATCCGTTAACGGCGCTATCGAAAGCCTCCCGTCAGGCAGAACGCCTTGCCAAACCCCGATCACGCTACCTCAACCTTATCTCTGCTGCAATCCCTCAAGCCTCTGAATCCCATTCCTTCGCGCACTTTCCCCCTTCTGTCTACCTATCGTCAGTTCAAACACCGCGGGATTTGCCTGGCTGCGTACACGAGGCCATGCGCTCGCACGCGCCCGGCAATGCCGAGTCGAATATGGAATACGATCCGCCCCGAGAAATCTCGGCCCAGCAAAGCCATGCGATATTGCGCGATTCATTGGCGCGACGCGGGGCCGCAAAGGATTCCTAGAGATACAGCCGAGGCGAGGGCCATGAGGTAAGCGAGACGGGCGTCGGGGACCGTAGGTAGAGTGGGAGGCTTGTGTTGGTGGGCCCTTGGGTTGAGTTGAAGTCTTACGAGTTCGCGTCCTGGGACTGCTGCGCTTTAGGGCTGACAACGCTGGGCTATGGGGAAATACGGTGGCCTTTTTATGCATGCTGAAGACGAGCGGGCGCGTGAGCGATCGGTGTTCTGGATGTCGCTGTTGCTGTCTGACTTGTCTTTCGTGTTGTTGGACTTGGACTTGGACTTGGACTTGGACTCCGGGTAAAGTAAGTGCATTTTCGACGACACCGATTTCGCCCTTTGCATAGCTGCCCTCTCCTCTACGTCAAAGACGTCCGTCTTGACAAGTCCAGGCCCAGAGGCCTGCCGCCGTCCACGATGGACCTTATGGATCCCAGCCTGAGATACAACCTCCGTGGACGGATAATACTCATCGTCTTGACGACATTTTTGTTCCTCGATTTCGTCGCCGTGGGTCTCAGAGTGTATGCGAAGCGGTTGATGCGGAAGTCCATGCAGCTGAATGATTGGGCGCTGATCATAAGCCTGGTACGTCCTGAGAGAAGCAAGAGTCACTTCATCTGCGCAACATACTGATAGTAGAGCAGTTGCTCGTGACGGCGCTGTACTGCATCGAAATCGCGGTCGTTCTGCGCGGGGGCCTGGGGCTGCACGTGGAATGGATATTACTGAACAAAGGGATGCCGACGCTCATGCTGGCTGGAAAGCTGGTGTTTGCGGCGGATATTGTGTGGAATTTGAGTTTGATGGCGATCAAGGTAGGAGAAAGATGCTTGCCCGTACCACTTATGGCTTGTAGAGGCTTACTATAACATAGATCTCTATCCTTCACCTCTACCTGACCTTGTTCGGGACCGTCATGACGAAATTCCGGCACGCAGTGTATGCCACCATCGCGCTCGTTGTTGTATCTGGAACCGCGTTTATCATACAAATGTTTGCGCTGTGTCGGCCTCTGGCATTCTTTTGGGATAAGATGATTGTCGGCGGGAAATGCAGCGATGAAAGATTGGCGTACCTGATTCCAAACATCATCAATATCGTCATCGATTTCCTCATCTTCGGGTACGTCGAACACTGACCGGATTGAATCCCGGACAGCGGTGTGCTAATGGCCAGCGTAGGCTCCCAATGCCTCTGTTCTGGGGCCTGAAGGTCTCTACCAGGAAGAAGATAGGAGCTTGCGTCGTGTTCAGTATAGGTCTTAGGTAGGCCTCCGAACCTGCTGTGCACCGGGCCGAGCTAATGAACCTAAGCATCTGTATCCTCGCCGCGGTCCGCGTCAAATACATTCTCGAGCTCGATTTCAACGACTTCACCTATTCGCTCTACCTCTTCTCGATTCTGGGAATCATGGAACCCATGCTCGCCATCATCAGCGCGTGCCTACCCATACTGCCTCCGGTGTTCGCAAAGTGCAAAGCGAGGATTCTTGGCCGATCACCAACATCGACCCACAAGTCCAGTATGCCGAGCTCAAGTGGGCACTCGAAGTCGCTCAACAGTGCTCAGAAGAGCCCGAACGCTATACATATACGCTCGGACGCGTTCGATGATCTGGAACATCCGCTTATTGAGCTTCAAGTGACTGGGAAGAGTAACGATACCTTACCTGTATGACGGAGTTAGGGAGAATACGGCATAGTAACGGTAATGAGATGGACAGTGGGGAATCCGAGTTGCGGTACAGATCGCGGATCCTCTTCGATGTATATATTGTAGTCAGCAACGAGCGTACGAACCATTCTAAGGATTTCTTGATTCCCTCGTGTGACCTATCTCAAAGTCCCAGATCCCAGCCTCATTGACCGGGCTCACACGTGGACAGCACGCTCTCCGGACCCATGAGCTGAGCTCCTCGGGAAGAAGCTATGGCCATGTGGGCTGGATGATGGCGACCTAAGCCTGACACTGCATCCCGACTGTAAGGTGCAAACCGATAAAGATCGGGGACACGGCCTGAAGCTAAGCCCTTTCTGGAGGTCTGCATATTCGTAGCTGGGTTCCGGGATGTGGCCTTGGTGCCTCACAGAACTGAACGCGCCGCAAACGGTACCTGCAGCTCTTCAACATTTCCACCTCTCTTTTCTTTGCATTATGGCGAACACTAACGGCCACGTATCGGAAAAGGAGTCACCGCTCGCACTAGCGGAAAGCATACTCTCGCTGACCCAGACTCTGGTACGCCACCTTCGAGAAACGTCACATTCTCTTCCGGATTTCAGCGTTTCGTCTCCGGGGCCTCCGTTGACATCGACGTATGAATCGCTTCGCTTTTCTTTGAACACGGCGGCACTAGACCTGCTTCGCTTGGTCAATGGACCGAAGAGCACCTTCCGCACGTTCTTTACGACCCACTATGACCTCGCCGCATATCAAGTAGCGCTGGAGTTCAAGTTCTTCGCACTAGTACCCTTGAATAGCCCAATTACAGTTGAAGCTTTGGCGAAACAGGCCGGCATAGCTGAAGATCGAGTCGGTATGGTGATGCGAATTCTGGCGACACAACGAGTGTTCAAAGAGCGCGAAAAGGGAGTTTTCGAGCATACCAGTGCCAGTGCGGTCATCGCAAGGGATCCGCTGTTGCAGGATGCCTTCCTGATGCAGTAAGTTCGCAAGAATCGGCCCACAGCTGTAAGACTTCCTTTCTATTCTGACACAGGATAGAATGGATGAAATGTTCCGCGCCGCGTCCGAGACGTCTTCGTCACTGCAAGCTTCGCCTTACAAGTTCGATGGTCTGAACTCGCCGTTCGCTACCAGGCACAAGCTTCCAGCGTACGAGTACTATAAAGCCAATCCGGAGAAGGGAGCGCGATTTGCCAGAGCAATGGCCGGTGTAACCAGGCGTAAGCGTCAACTCCAGCGCCATCTGAAAGCATACTCTCTGACGATGCATGCAGTGGACCGCCAACTTGTGGAGGTGCGAGACGAGTTCCCGTGGGATACCATCGGAGACGGAACGCTCGTTGATGTTGGAGGAGGAAGCGGGCATATCGCGATATCCCTAGCGAAGGTGTGCAGCGCGAAGGACCTCCCAGGTCACCGTTAACACTTCTTAGAGCTTCCCAAAGATGAAATGCGTCATTCAAGACGTCTCGCCCCTGATGCTTGCCCCGGGTCAAGGCCTTCTGGATGACTCAGTCCGAGATCGAATAGAGTTCATGCAACACGACTTCTTCCAACCGCAGCCGCTGGAGGCCAATGCATACCTCATTCGGCAAATTGTGCACAACTGGAACGATGAGGACTGCGTACGGTTATTCCGGGCCTTCGTTCCAGCTCTTGAGCGCTGTGCTCCAAAGACTCCGCTCCTCATCAACGACACGATTCTGCCTGAAATCGGGGAGAAAACACCGTATGAGGAACACGGGCTGCGCCAACTCGATATCGGTATGTGGGTTGTTCTTGGTGCCAAGCAAAGGTCGCAAGAGGAGATTGCTGCTTTGTTGAGAGAAGCAGATCCGAGGTTCAAGGTAGAGATTTCTTGACTCTTCCTCCTCGATAGTTGATGCTAAGACAGTGTCTAGATAGCCAAGGTCCACTCCAAGGGCTCCATGGGACTGGTGGAAGTCCATCTCGCCAAGGACGAGAAACTTGGAGCTGGGCTGGAAGGGTTCAAGAACACAGATGCCAAGAATGAAGCCATTGAGCTTGATAGAGAATTCTCCAAGAGTGACTATTCGTAAGATGCGCAGATGTTGTTGCTCGCAAAAGTCGGAGGTAAAGGGGACGGGACCTCGGGAGTTCTCAAATTTTTGATTTGTACTAGTCCCAATTCAGATGAACAATTTCACGTGACTCGGAGTCTTGGCGAAACGACTCTGGTCGAACCAGTTCGCGTGTCCCACCCTCAAGCTTCGACCCACGCCCCGTCATCGCTCAATGCTTTGTGATGCCGCCTTGGATCCACCATCATGGCGAATACATGTCGATTAGCGAGGATTTTCATGCCCGCTGCGCCACCTCGGCGCGCCCTTGTAAATTGCCCTGGACCCGCAGGTGTGGGCTTCGCGGCTACCGAGGCACATTGCGGCATCTCTTCTCGAATCCTAGACTGTAAACAGATCCAATATTGTTGCATTTAGATAAACATCTTACGACGTATTGTTTAATCGGAATCCCGGCCTTCATCATGCAGTATCCCCTGCGGACCGAGATTGTTCGGGCACGTCTCGCAGAACGCTGTATCCGAGTACTACTCAGGGCCGGGATCAGGAGTGTGTACCAGCAAAAGCATGGTCCTTCCAAGTCTCTTGCAGAGGAGTCTATCCGTCCCGGTTTCATGGATGGAGCTTTTCATCGCGCTTAGGACAACACTGTGCTACCATACCTCCTGCATTGGCTACGCGCGCAGGACATGGATGCTGCAACAATGAATGGCACCGCGACGCCGGCGCGCAATTGTCCGGAACCTATTGCAATTGTATCAATGGGTATGTCATCTTCCCAAGCACGCGGGCACTACTAAGTTCGGTAGCCTGTCGATGGCCTGGCGGCATTGCTTCTGCTTCAGAACTATGGGATCTGCTGAAGGACAAGCGTTCCGGATACTCGGACTTCCCCCAGTCGAGGATCAACGCGGAAGGATTCTATCATCCAGATCAACACCGACCGGGAAGCTTCTACACCCAAGGCGGCTTCTTTCTACAAGATGATCCGAGGAAGTTTGACCACAAGCTGTTTGGCATTAGCCCAGTTGAGGCTCGCACCATGGACCCAGCCCAGAGGAAACTTCTCGAAGTAACTTTCGAGGCTTTTGAAAACGCTGGAGCGCCATTGGAGAGAGTCTCAGGAAGCAGGACGGGCGTCTATGTGGGCAACTTCAATGCAGACCACCAGGCTATGCAATTCCGAGATCCGGATCACCCATTGCCATATGCGGCAACTGGTGGAGGAGTAACAATTCTCAGTAACAGGATCAGCTACGTCTTTAACCTGAAAGGGCCAAGGTATGAATGATCATCCTCTCGGATGAAGAAATCGAGGACATGCTGACTTAGCTAGCCTGACCGTCGACACAGCGTGCTCATCGGCCATGTATGCATTGCACATGGCAGTAAGCGCAATCAGAGCGCGAGAGTGCGACGCAGCAATAGTAGCGGGAAGCAACCTCATTCTCGACCCTGCTGCCCAGATCTTCACGACCAAACTTGGTGCAATTTCGCCAACTTCCGTTTGTCATACCTTTGATGCCGCGGCAGATGGATATGCTAGAGCGGACGGCTTCGGTGCGCTATATCTAATGAGCCTGGAGAAGGCCATCGAAGGAAGGTATCCCGTCCGTGCTGTAATACGCGGGACCGCAATCAACGCGTACGCCTTTAATGCATCATAAACTTCGAATACCGTATTAACTTCCAAATAGGAATGGTCATGGAAACGGCATCACGCATCCAAGCGTCGAAGGCCAAGAAGCCGTCATTCGGCAAGCCTATCACTGCGCAGGAGACTTGAACCCAGCCGATACCGGATATTTCGAATGTCATGGCACGGGGACACCTGTCGGGGATCCGATTGAGGTATCAGCCATCGGCAGAGTCTTCGCAGAGCATCATACCCACTCTCCACTTCTCATCGGATCCATCAAACCGAGTCTAGGTCATAGCGAGTCTGCTAGCGCCATTGCTAGCATTATGAAAGCTGTCCTTGCTATTGGCAGAGGCGAGATACCCCCGACCGTTGGCATCACAAACTTCAACCCCAACATTGACTTCAACGGCGCTTGCGTGAAGGTGGTTACAGATTTGACTCCATGGCCATCCGGAGCTCCGCGAAGAGTCAGCATCAACTCCTTTGGTTATGGTGGAGCGAACGCTCACGTGATTCTCGATCATGCCCAGGAAGTCTTATCAGGATACTGCAAACTTCCAGACAAGATTCCTTTTCGGACCAACGGGGTGCCAAAGTCATATAATATCAATGCTCGTGCGCCTTGCAGCGGAGTCATTGCTGAGGAGGAGTGCTCTACCAATGAGCCGGCCCACTCATCTGAATCACGTCGGTTTCTTCTGCCATTTTCTGCTCATGATGCGGAATCGTTGAAGGCAAATATTCGGAATTTGTCAAATTTACGCCACGATCATGACCTCAAGAGTCTCTCATACACACTCGCTGCACGCAGGACGCTATATCCGTCTCGTGCTTTTGTCATGCTCTCCAGCGATTTGCCACCCACAGGCCTCAATCTGAGCGACTGTGTCTTTGCGAAGCATTCAGCGTCTCGAGAACCAACCTTGTGCTTTGTGTTCACCGGCCAAGGCGCTCAATGGGTGGGGATGGGCTCGGAGCTATATGAGAAGTACTCTGCCTTTACCAGTTCCATCGACGATCAAGACGCTATATTAGCGCGGCTTTCCAATGGTCCGAACTGGCGTATCGCTGGCGTGCTGCAGGATATGGAGAATGTCTCTATCCATCATCCGGAGATATCTCAGACAGTTTGCACCGCCTTACAGGTCGCTCTGGTGGATTTGCTAGCGAGCTGGAATATTACACCTGTTGCTGTCGTTGGTCATTCTTCTGGAGAAATAGCAGCCACGTATGCAGCGGGACGCATCAGTGTGGTAGAAGCCATCCTCGCCGCATACTTCCGGGGCTATGCTGCATCGAAATTGGAGAAACGCGGGAAAATGGTTGCGGTCGGCCTTGGTGTTGAGCAATTGACTCGTTATCTCGAAGGGAAAGAGTCTCGAGCCCGAATCGCTGCGATCAACTCTTCCGTCGCCGTAACTCTATCAGGAGAAAGCGATGCTATCGATGATTTAAGCCGCCAATTCGAGGAAGAGGCCATTTTCTGCAGGCAGCTGCAAACGGGTGGAATGGCATATCACTCTCATCATATGGCGGAGGTTGGGCTCCTCTATGAACGACTTCTTGACAATGGACTAGCTGAGCTGAAGCATCTCATTCAGAATAAGGTCGCAGCCGAATCACCCCTCGTCTGGTCCTCTTCAGTTTGGCCACACAAACGCTCCTCCAAGATCACTATAAATTCAAAATACTGGCGTAGGAACCTCGAATCCCCGGTCCGATTCAGCGAGGCTGTGGAGAACCTCCTTCAGCATGACGTCTCTACATTCCTAGAAATAGGACCCCACCCTGCCCTTCGCTCCACCTTGAAGCAGAGTTTCAAGTCACCTAATCCTTCAGCTAAGGATGAATTAGCTATCCTCGCAACCCTCAGCCGGCACCGCGATAGCGTGACCAGTCTTCTAGAGCTTAGTGGATATCTCTTCCTTCACGGCTACCCGGTGGATATCTCTCAAGCGAACCAGACTACCAAAGTGACTCAGACATGCCAAGACTTGCCGAACTACGCCTATCATTACGGCGAGATTCTCTATCACGAAAGCAGAATGAGCAAGGAGTGGAGGCTGAGGAAACATTTGCGTCACGATCTTCTTGGGGCCCGCCGTACTGGGGACTCGGGACTGCACCCGTCGTGGCGGAATGTGATTGTTTTGAATCACGTACCGTGGTTGAGGGACCACAAGGTCAGTCAGTGGCATCGACACTGGGAGTGTGGCTAATTGTGCCACCAGCTAGGCTCTCATATCGTCTTCCCGGCCGCGGGTTACGTCTCCATGGCCATTGAAGCTATGCGTCAACGACATTTAGAAACGGCACCGGAAATGTCGATTGCTACATATTCCCTTCGCAACGTGGCCATCAACTCGGCGCTGGAGATACCAGACGACGACACTGGGGTGGAGATTGTCCTGAATATGCAGAGTCAAGCACTTACAACGTCAACCTCGTCCTGTTGGTATGAGTTTAAAGTCACGTCGTCGCGGGATTCTGGAGACTGGATCGAGAACTGCACCGGACTGATCAGCGTAAACTATTCAGGTAAGTACGATCGTTATAAAAGATAGCCCATATGTTGACTTAGCGCAAAAGGGTCCTCCTCACGCATTTCCGAAGCGGAAGAAGCGAATGGCATGGTGAAGGTCCAAGCCAAACGATGGTACCAGAAGTTCTCAGAGCTAGGTATCGTGTACGGACCGTTCTTCCAAGCAATATCCTCCCTCTCAGCCTCGAAGGCCAGAAATGGCGCGCAGGCATTCATCAATTTGGCCAAGACGTCGGGTTCTATGATTCGCGAGTCGGGATATGTCATCCACCCCACGGCACTGGATAATTGCCTTCAGCTTGCGCTCGTTGCATCTCATGGTGGCGACATCGGCGCCGCTCGCTCCGCCTACGTTCCTACACTGCTTAGCGACTTAACAGTATGGGTCCCTTCCCGAGATACTTTCGCGCATGCATTTGCGGAAGGGCGCTTGGTCGGACCAAGAGGATTGAGCGCGAGGGTAAGGCTCGAGACAGAGGCCGGAAAGCCGCTTCTTCAGCTAGAGTCTCTGCGATGCGTCGCTCAAACTTTGCCACCAGGAAGCACATCCACAAATGAAACGAGACCCCACAACCCTTTTAGCAGGCTCAACTGGAAGCCTGATATTGACGCTCTGTGCAATACTGACGCGCAGAGGCTATTTCCACCTCCTGGCGATGGACGACTAGCAAAACATGCTTTCGAAGGGCTTGCGAGGCTTTCCGCATGTGTGCTTGTTGATATCGCGACCAGGTTCCCACGAGAACAGGCAAATGGCACGTCGGAAACCGTCCGGAGGTTCTTGGCTTGGGTTCACCGATGGTACGATCAGCGGGCAAGTTGCACACCTTATGGACTGGAAGCCCTGCTGTCATTCCCTCACGATCGTTCAGTCATAATCAATGCTCTATTCTCGGAATTGGAGGACGTTGTAGAGGCAAGAATCATCAGGCGAGTCTACGAGAACCTTTCAGTGATCGTCTTGAAAGAGGGAGACGGTCTTCAGCTACTTCTCCAAGATGGCTTGCTCGCCGACTTATACACTATCGGCGTTGGTACGACATGGGCCTACCCTCAGCTCCAGAAAGCTATTGATCTGATCGCACATAAGCACCCTCGTGCTAAGATAATCGAGATTGGTGCAGGAACCGGTGGCGCGACCAGACGCATCATGGAAATTTTGAAGGGAAGCACTGTGCAGAAACGCTATAGGACATACACCTTCACCGACGTGACCTCGGCGTTCCTTGCGTCCGCCCAGCAGGAGTTCGCGAGATGCAGAGGCATGGAATACCGAACCCTGGACATCGAGATGGACCCGACAGCACAAGGCTTCCAGCCTGAATTCGACGTGGCGATTGCGTCGCAGGTACTCCATGCCACATGGGACATATCGCAAACCCTGCGAAACGTGAGGAAGCTTCTCAAGCCAGGCTCAAAGCTGGTTCTGGTAGAGCTGACACGCATGCATCTCGCTACTGGCCTCGTCCTGGGTACACTCCCCGACTACTGGAAGGGCGAGGCTGATGGACGTGTTGATATCCCGTTACTGGGTCGAAGGCAGTGGGATCACAAACTAAGAGAAAATGGCTTCTCGGGGATCGACATTGTGTTGGACGATTATCCAAGCGGTTACGAATCGACGTCGATTATCGTGACGACTGTTGTGGAAGCAAGCGATCCTTGCATGACCCTGTCGGAGAGCCACCAGCTTGTTTTCATCGTGTTGCAGGATCCGACATCTCCACTTGCAGTGGGAGTTGCCTCGCAAATCTCCGATCACGGGTTTCTGCCTAGCTTGCTTCACATCCACGATGTCAGCGACATCCCTCGTGGGTCCCGGGTCATTTCCCTTGTGGAGATCAGCGGAGAGCTTGGAGTATGCCGTGATGAGGAGACGTTTAATTGCCTCAAGGTCCTACTGCGAAAGGATTCTCGCCTCCTTTGGGTTTCTAACCGCAGAATGGACACCTCGCTCAATCCAAACCTTGGATCGATGCCGGGATTGCTATCCACCGTCTCCCACGAGATTCCAAATGTCCGGATCACGCAGCTCTGTTTCGAGAGAGATTTACACCCGACACCCGAAAATGTTGAGCTTATCGTGAGCCAAGCCCTTCATCCTCACAATAGTACAGACTCAGACCGTCTCGAAAAGATCCATGTGGTTCGTGATGGGGTTGCTCATATCTGTAGAATCGATCCGGATGAAGAACTGAATCGAGACTTCAGAGCGCAGGAATGCCTTGAAACTATCTCCAGGACGGTTCCTGTCTGGCAAGCGCCCCCTTTCCACGTTGAATTCGACCAGCCGGGTCTCCTCAGCTCCATGTACTTCAAGGGAGACCCCGAATTTGCGCAAGAGCTAGATAGTGATCACATAGAGATCAAAGTGGAAGCCGCGGGCCTGAATACGAAAGACATCGCGATAGCTACAGGCAAGTTCGATTGGCCCTACTACAGCACGGAGTGCTGCGGAATTGTCCATTGCCTGGGCTCGAATGTCACTGAGCTCAAGCTCGGCGACCGCGTTGCTGGCGCGATACCGGGAAAGTTCGAGAACTACGTTCGGTGCCCTGCATCGAGGGTGCAGAGGTTTGATGATCGGTTCGGACCAACCGAGCTAGCGAGCATGCCGGTCAGCTTTATGACAGCGATCTACTCCCTTATGCACCTCGCCCATCTGCGAAAGGGCGAGTCGATGCTCGTCACATCAGCTGCTGGCGCGCTTGGCTTAGCTGCCATGCAGATTGCTTCGAATATTGGAGCACAGGTCTATGCCACGGTGGGCGGCTCTGAGAAGCACAACCTTCTGGAATCCCGATATGGTATCCCGCACGAAAGGATCTTCAATTCGAGGGACGGTACTGCGCCACAGAGGCTCATGGAAGCCACTGGAGGAAGGGGGGTTGACGTAATCCTTTCAACAACCGCAGGCGAACAGATGCACGAAACCTGGAGGTGTATCGCACCTATGGGTCGCTTCATCGAGGTAGGCCGCACAGATGTGATAGGGAAGGGCAGATTGGCGATGGAGGTATTTGAACGGAATGCGACATTCTCGTCGTTTGACTTGGGTTTGCTGAACCAACAGAGGCCGGACGTGGTGGCGGGGTGAGTAAACACCGCATCTGAGCCCAGGGTTATGCTGACGGAGGAATAGTCTGATGGCCGAGGTGGCCAACATGTGCACGCGAGGGATCATAAACCCGATCGAGAATATCACTACTTTCAATATTAGAAGGTTGGAAGAAGCCATGATGTTCATGGGAAAGGGCAGTCATGCAGGGAAAGTCGTCATTACGTACTCGGACGAGGATACCGAGATCGAGGTAAAGCATCCTGTCTGTTTCATGCCATCCATCCTTGCGCGTGAAATCGTTCCAGGAGACATCATGAGCGCTATCATACTAACGCACATATAGCTACGAGCTTCAACGCCCAAGGCGACATTCGATCCCGAAGCGGCCTATCTACTCGTTGGATGCCAGGGAGGAATAGGCGAAGCAATCAGCCAGTGGATGGCCGACCGCGGCGCAAAACACCTCCTCTTCCTCTCTCGACGCGGCGAGAATGGCTCTGAGGAGCCCGCTGCACTTGGGAGTCTCCGGCAGCGCGGTGTAGCCGTCCACATCGAAGCCTGTGACATCACTGATGAGAAGTGCCTAGAAGCCATCGTGGAGCGGTACGCAGCCACTCGCTCAATCAAGGGTGTCATACACGCCGCCATGGTTCTCGAAGTAGGTCCGGCCCCTTACCTCTAAACCACCCCCTAACCTCCCATTCCCAGGACGCCCTCTTCGAAAAGACCTCCTTCGCCCAACTCCAATCCGTCCTAGCCCCCAAAGTCCGCGGAACTATCAACCTGCACCGCGCCACCCTTTCCCAGCCCCTCGCCTTCTTCCTCATGACGTCCTCCATCGTATCCCTCGTCGGCACCGCCACGCAATCCGCATACGCCGCAGCCAACAGCTTCCAAGACAGCTTCGCTTCCTACCGGCGCTCGTTAGGCCTACCCGCAACCTCGCTGGCGCTCGGTATGATATCCGACGCCGGGTTTGCGAGTAAAAGGCCGGAGATCCAGCGCTCGCTGACGCGGAACGGTGTGTATGGGACGGAGATTGAGGAGGTGGTTAGGATGCTGGATGTGGTGTTTGCAGCGGGGGCTGGGAAGGAGGAGGACGAGGGTATTGGCGGGGAAGGGGCTAGATGCCATGTCCTTTGCGGTCTGGAAGCTGCCAAGATCTATGCCATGGACAGGGAGAAGCTGGGGGAGGAGTTCATCTGGTCGACGGATCCGCGCTTTGCGCATGTCATGCAGCAGATCGAAGACTGCCACCTTGCGAGTGCGGAAGGAGGCGGCTTGCACACTGGACCCACACAGGCTGGAGACGGCTCGTCCACGGAGCAACAGCTGCTGGCCCTCGCGTCGGGGTGCGCAAATTCCGACTCGGCAACGACGGCCCCTCATGCGGCCCTGGCCGAGCTCGCGACGAAGGCGTTAGTGGAACGCCTGGCCAAGCTACTCTTCTCGCCGGTTGACCAGGTGGACGCGAAAGCGGAGCTGCAGAGTTTCGGCGTGGACAGCATGATGAGTACGGAGCTGCGGAGCTGGCTGAGTAAGACCTTCGGGCTGAATATGAGTTTCGTGGAGTTGATGCGGAAGGGAGTCACGGCTGAGACGATCGGAGGAAGAGTTGTGGAGGTTTTACTGAGCGGGAAAGAATGATTGTACGCACGGAAAGCTTGTGCTGAGGTCGTGTTTTATGTCTTATACTCTATGGGATTATCTTTCCTTCATCGTCTATTATATGTCATTCGAGCATACTCCTATCGCGCGCACGTCTCGATTTCTTGCTGCCGCTGCCCACCAAACATCCGCCAGAATACGCCGCCCTCCTTCCTCCTCAGTGCCTCTGGGCTATCGTGCTCCACAACGCGCCCCTGCTCTAGCACGACTACCTTATCAAAATCCAAAATACTCTCCAGCCGATGCGCAATAACGATCAACGTACAGCCCTTGAAGAACTCGCGTATAACGCGCTGGATGACAGTATCCGTCGTCTTGTCCGTCTGACTCGTCGCTTCATCGAGGATGATGAGACCGCCTGCCTCAGGCCCCTTAACGAGTTGGCGCACCATTGCACGGGCGAGGGCGAAGAGCTGCTTTTGCCCGTGACTGAGGGTGTCTGGGGAGAAAGGGGAATCGAGAGGGTCTCTGCTCTGCTCTTTCGGCTTCTCGTCGGAGCTTGCTGGGCCGGACTCTTGAGCAGCTCTCGCGACGACGTCCCAGAGTAGGACTTCCGTCAATATCTTCTTCAGCAAAGTGTCGTCTGCGCCACAGTCGAGGGGGTCAAGATTCTCTCGGAGTGTGCCGCCGGGGAGGAAGAAACCTTCGTCGGAGACGGCGATGATACGTTCGCGGAGGATGGCTCGGGGGATAGTAGCGTGCTCGAAACCATCAATAGTGATGCGACCCTCTGAGTCGACGAGTTTGAGAAGGGCGAGAAGGAGCGTGGTTTTTCCGCTTCCGGTGCGGCCGCAAATGCCAACTTTCGTGCCGGGCGCGATGGCCAGCGTGACATCTTTGAGTGCTAAGTGAGAAGCACCGTTGCCCCTGCAGTATCCGTCTCGTCAGCAATCTTGATTGTGAAACTGGAAAGGTAGTTGTCAGAGGCTACGTACTGATAAGTAACGGAAAGATCCCGTATTTCGACAGCACCGGCCGTCGGCCACACCTCAGGCGGTCTCTCATTCTCTTCCGGCCGATTCTCGTCACCCGCCTCATCACTGAACGTCCTAATGCGACTCACAGCGCCCAAGCTGGTCTCCATCTGCGTCCAGAAGAGAATGATGAGCTTCATATAACTCGTCAAGCTAATGATTTGGCTGAGCGAAACACCGGTGAATCCGACGCTGACTGAGTTCCGCAGAGCGACTGCGATGCCGACGACTACCACTGCGAGCCCGGTGATGATGAGATCAAGGACGAGCGAAAGCCATTTCTGAATCATGTATAAAAGGTAGAAGGGCTTCTGGCTGTCGTCGACGAGGCTGTGGTTTTTGGTGATGCAGGCGGCTTCCCAGCCGAAGGCGCGGAGAGAGGCCATACCTTCGACGGACTCAGTGAACTGGGTGCTGTGGAAAGCGTCGTCAGCATTTGGAGTTGCGGAAAGACGAGTGTCTGTATACTTACTAGAGCGGAGCCTTCTGCTCTAGATCGAGAAGACGCATCTGTCTCGACGTTCTGAGGTAGTATCGCTGCACCACATAGAATACGGCAATCAAAACAGGGAAGCTGAGCACGATCCACGCAGACGCCGAAGCAATAAGGCCTGCTTGCCCAATCGTAATGAACAGATTCGTAACAACACACATCAATGAGAGCGGGAGTTTTGAATCGACGAGCTGGAAGTCTTGGCTGAACTTGGTGGTGATGGATCCCGTATCAGTGGTGCTGAATAGCGACATTGGCGCGCGCATGATGGCATCAAGAATCTTGATATGTAGCTGAAGACCGGCCTTCTGGGCTATTATGTTGAACGAAAACCAAGTGAGCACTCCGGAAGAGACGAGCCCAGCGATCTGAAGGCTGGCAAAACCGCTGGCATACCTCGCGTTTTCGGCGTTCGGATTCTCTCCGTTGGATTCGGCCCACCACTTTAACCAAATGTTCGGGAAAACCGTGAAGAAAGCGAAGGCAACCTGTAATAGGAAGAAGGTAAAAGTCAAGAGCCAACCTAGGCAGGAGAAGTAGTAAACATAGATGCCGGTGTCACCTAGAAGCCTTTTCTTGTCGTTGGCCGTGTCTGCATCCTCGGGCTTAGATGATGGGGATGAATTGTGGCTCTCCTTTGCGACTTCGCGGAGGGGGGCAACTCTATTAGTAGGAACTGGCTCCGATGTGCCTGGAAGATTTCGGTGCTCATCGATTGTGTGTTTGCGGTGCAGCTCATAGACGTAACCACCTTGTCTTGCGCGGAGCTCATGGCAAGTGCCTTGCTCCTTGATTGCACATTCGCTCATAACGATAACCCTGTCGGCGAAAGGAAGGAAGCTCACTGCGTGTGTAGCTAGGACAACGGTGATATTGCTTCCTCTGAGCAAGCCATCTGGACCGAGAAGGTGAGTGAAGATGTGGCGCTGCGTTGGGACGTCGAGCTGGCTTAAAATATCGTCGAAGAGCATGATGCTTTTCCGAGAATAGACAGCACGAGCGAGCGCAATTCGCTGCTTCTGTCCGCTGCTGAGTGCGAAACCCTTGCTTCCGACCTTGGTCCTATCGCGGTCTTGCAGCTCCTGAAGATCACTTTCCAATGCGCATGCGTGGAGTACCCTTTCGTAATATACCGGATCGAGTGACGAAAAAGCGGTGATGTTCTCGAGGATGGTACCGTTGAAGAGCCAAGGTGTCTGGTCACAGAACGCGATCTCTTTGCTAGAGACGAGCACTTGGCCAGAAGAGACCGGGAGTTCGCCTAGAATGGTTTTGAGTAGCGTAGATTTTCCAGAGGCGACTGGCCCAATGACGAGAGTAAGTTTTGAGGATGGGATGGCTAGAGTAATGCCACTTGGAGTGGAATTTGCATGGTCCTCTCTGGACCAAGTTGCGGTGACTTGTCGAAGCGCGATGGCAGCGTTTTCGTATTCATCATCAGCCGGCTTCTCGTCTCGAGGCTTGATATCGCTCAGAAGCTCGCGATTGTCGTGGCGGGACTCCGCAGCAAGGTAGTCATTGATCCTGTCAAAGCACCCGATGGCTGCTACGAAATCGATGATGCCAGCGAAGAGACTAAACAAAGGTTGGGTAAGGAGGATAAGAAAGGCCAAGGAAGTGAACATTCGGGAGAAGTCAAGGACGGAGTTCTTCGCAACGCTGCTCGCGGTGAAGATTGCAAAGGTGACGACTGGGGACACCATTTGCGGAACCAGTGCTGACGGAATGTCAGTCACAGAATCTATCACCCCCTTACGCAAACGAACCTATGGTGGATGTGAAGGCGCTAAGGAACCAGAATCCCCGCGCACTCTTAATCTCGTTGAGGCGGAGCTTGTGGATCGCGGCTTGAACCTTTGCGGCCAGACCCGATAGGCGAACAGACTTCATCGCCCCAAGCACCGCAGATGTCGTTCCTATTGGATGGTCAATTTCCATGCCATTCCTCATCACAGGCTGCAAGAGCTGGATAGGACGATTTACCAATTCGCTGCTCAATGGCACCAATCCAGGCTAATTGATATTTCGTAGTGACCATTCCTCCCCCAACGGTCGCGACAATCGACACAAGGCATACGACAGCTGAACCGGCAGCTGCCGCTCCGAGCTGCTCGGCGAGCAGCCAGGTTGCAAGAGCAATTTGTAGTATGCTCGACCAAAGCTCGTGGAAGTCCATGACACCGCGAACGATACGTTCGGCGTCCGTGCCCATCAAGGTCATGGCCTTAGCATTGTCGACGGCAGTGAGACCAATGGTAGTTGTCTTTTGATAGATAGCAGTAACCAGCATTCCTCGGATCATAGTCAATGATCGGTAGGTCAGGAGCCAGTATACAGCAGATGATGCCTGCAAGTGGAACCTATCAGCTTTGATGGACACATGTGGCTGGCTTCCTTACTGCCATGCCAAAATACGTGAATAAATATGCCCCAATCAACCCATACCCAATGTTCGCATTCTGTCGCTCCACGGGATCCTGAAGATAACTGAGGAATCGTTGTAGAAGGAGAGGCTGGCAGAAAGTAAAGGCGAGAAGAACGAGGCGCGGTACGATTGGGCTCATAATAGGCCATTTGAGGGTGCTCAGGAGTACCAATGATATCTTGTGTTTGCTCGTGCTCCCACCTAGTCTATACGTTAGTCGACAAATGGTGGTAGACGAAGTTGGGAAGCGCATACATTTATTCCAACCGTCCCAGAATCGCCGATTTAGCTCATGTGCTTCAAGACCCGCGGGTAATGGATACAGCTCCCCGGAGCTGAGCACTTCCTTGAAGCCAGTCTTGATGAGCGAATTGAGCCACCAGTACAGGCTCTTGCCGTAGATTCCGGAGAACTCCTCCGGGCTTCGAGCTCTATCATGCTTAGATGAAACAAAGCTTCGCTTTTCCTTCGCTTCTAGTAGCAAAATAATTGCTTTGAGTGAAAACGAAGCAGTAAATACTCTGCGCACTTGGTCATCGAACGTGAAAATCCATAGCGTACGGAGGATCGTCGCGTCGAACAAGATGCTGAAGAGTAGATAAGAGCATAGAATCGTCGACGGCATAAGGGACTTCGCGTGTTCTAGTGGGGAAAGAAGACATAGTGCAATGCTTGCGAGGAAGGAAAGCGCTGCAGCCGCGATACCGGTGTTTCGGGCTGGGATGCTGGGCCGCGTCGCCCATAGGACCGCAAGAGCAAGCTGTAGCGCAGCAAAGACCGCTATAGTAAACTAGGCCTATAATGAGTCCGCGAGAAGAAAGGGAATCAGGCGAAAATACGCACTACTTTTAGCCATTTGAAGGTGTTCGCTTCAATGAGCCGCTCGCGCCGGAAGAAGAGGTACGGTAGTCGTACAGCGCTGGCAAGCACGAACACGGCGGAAGGACCGATAGTAAAGACGGCTTGCTCGAACGTAAGCGTAAAATCGAAGTCATTGCGGCAGCCCTGAACAATTGGGCCGAAGGCACTTTCTGCTGTCGGCGGACAGAGTTCGCTCGATGAATTCATGAATGTGGGAGGCCTGGAGACGAAAGACGAAGTCGATGACGGCCTGGCACCTCCTTTATATCGAAGCTGCCAAGGGAGATGGATTGATGATCCGGCGACCGTTTGGGTCATCTCGCGCAGGTCCGGGGAGCGTGTTGTTGCCGACAGCGCTGCCCGTGGCCAATCAGCTTATCGTCACGTGACTGCTTCTTTCTCTCATACATCAACCGCAGTATCACCTATAATAGGCAATCCGAGAAGCTATTTCAGCGTCCCAATCATACTTCTATTGGCTATGGGCATCGATACCAAAGCGAAGCTTCTGGGACCGGGATCACAATGTAAAACAACAAAAGCCCGAGAATCAAATCTACAACTCCCCATTCTTCCTATACTACATACACGCCGTCTCCTCATTCGCATCAGAGAAAGCGAGTGCTCCGTAGAGTAAAGAATGCAACATCCCAGCATCAAAAAGCCCCCTAACGCCTCCCGCAAACACCGCAAATGCGTATAGCCCAGAACGGAAGAAGTGGGTGTTCAAAATTCGATCAAAATGCTCGTAAGCCCGTTACCAAGTCGCAAATTGCGACGACAACAAAATATGCAGGCCGTCACTCAACAGTTCTGAAGGTAGTTAGAAGGCACCAAGCCACGCCGCCCATCCTTGCCCACAACTTCCGCCTCCCACCAACCGTCATCTTGCAGTCGCAGAATAGCGAGGATGTCCCCCTTAGAGAAAGTAAGTTCTTCGGGGATCTGAGCTGTGTACATGTACATAGCTCGTGCTGCGCCGTGGTCAGTTTTACAATACTTTTTGTAGATCGAAAATGGGAGTACTCACAATAATGCAAAATCATCCTGCCATCCCTCGTGTACTGCCTCGGCTCAGCAACGCTCTTGCTCCTGACACGAGTGCTAAGCTGGCTTCCCCCGCCTCCTCCGAAACCCATATCGCTTCCTCCACTACCGCCGTAGTATGAGCTCTGCGGGCGCTGGCTCCCACCACCGCCTCTGCCACGCTGGCTTCCGCCGTAGACGCTTCCGTCTCCGCGTTCGCTGCCCGGACCCGTTGCAAGTTGCAGCGCCATATCGCTTCCTCTTGAGCTTGGAGGTCGATCGTACGACTGGCGGAATTGTGGCTGTGGACTAACAGCCCGCGAGCCAGGCGCTGCGCGTGAAGCTGGTCGAGATTGGGCATACGCGGGTTGCGGGGATACGGCGCGAGGGATATTGGCGTGACCTGGCGAGCCGCCACGTGCTGAGGAGTAAGAGCCTCGTCCCGTAGGCGTTCCGTAGGGGTTCTGGGCTTGGCCCGCGGTCTGTGCTCGAGGTCGACTTCCAGCGTTGGATACGGCATAAGGATTTGGCGATGCGGAGCGGTATGCTGCCGGAGACTGCGGCTGTTGCTGGGTCGAGTAAAGGCCAGGTCTTGGACTTGTAGCCCGGGGAGGAGCGGGAGAGGCAGCGCGAGGAACATCCTGGGCAGAGGCACCACGGGTTGGTGGTCGAGATGTAGACCCAGTGTTGAACATGTTGGCTTTCTGGTCGATGTACATCTGCTTTGTCTTTTGCATTTGACGGGCTGTATGTGCCGGCTGTGGAGCACCAAGACGAGACATTGGTGGCTGTTCGTATGATGGCGGAGGCGTACCTCGTTTTGCAGCATTCACATTGATGTTCGCGAGGGGGGTAGGTGCACCTCCGGGAAGGTTAGCTCCTACAGCTGGCGTACCTGGAGGAATAGGCGTGGCTAGGCCGTGGTAGCGGTCCGCAGATACGCGCAACGAGGATTGTTTAGTCACACCCTTCAGCTCGGCGAGGGCCTGGGCAATGGGGTCCAGATCTTCCAGAGGCTCTTTCGGCTTGGAATTCTTGTTGCCGTCCGGTGACGCTACATCGAAAACATTGTTACCGATGTTGAGCTGGAAGTTGGCTCTCGGATCCACAGGCTCAGGACTGGCAGACTGGTTGTCTTTCAGAATTGTGCCGCGAGCGCCTCTTCCAAATGGTCGAGTTGGGTTAACATTCTCGTTATTTGCAGATCTCGATGCGGGTCCCCAGGTATTGCGGTTGTTCGGTGCGATAGATGGAGGCTCTGTTTCATGCTTGCTCTTCCTTCGGAATGGACTATGCTGAAAGAACCCTCTCTTCTTCTGGACTGGGCTCTCTTCAACAGGCTGAGGCGACTGCGCCATGGGCTTTCCTGGGGACGCAGATCCGCTTGGAGGCTCAATGCTTGAGAATGATGTGGGATTCGAACAATCGCTCTGCGAGTCTCTGCTAGAGGGACGGACGGGACTTGGGATTGTGCTTCGCTCCGAAGGCGGTCCGATCCGACAGAATTGTGTCATACCATCCATCGGATAGTCATTATGTGGGACTTGGCTCTGTTGATACTGCTGGCTGGCTTGGTGTTGAGCTTGGACTAGGCGTGGGTCAGGCTGGATTCCTCTCGGCGGCTGAGTGGGCTGCACTGCCGGTGCAGGATGCGCCATCTGCTGTGGGGCAACATCAATCTTATCTTGAGGAACCGGCCTTGTGTCTTTCCCAAGTCCCATCTCGCGAGCCAGCGGGTTGTTCGGGTCGTGATGCGACTCAAAGACCGAGGGCTGTGGTGAAGAGGCACGGTATGCGGGGTTCATGGTCCTCTGGAACTGGGCGACTGAGTAATTCTCATCTTCTGATGCTTGCGAAGAGGTCTCAGCATCTCCCCGACAGTAGTTGATGAATTTTGGTGGATCTGGTATCTCCTGACCAGTGCCGTTATCCTTGATGAAGCAGGTGATATCCTTCTCCACCTCGCAGTCTTCGAGTGACAGTCTGATCTTCTCGCAAGAGGCATCGTCGCTCACGCACACTGTCGAGGCAATGTTCGCGAAGTTCCATAGGCTGCTCTTGGTGTAGTCGATTCGCTCTTCTTCCAGATCTTGGAATTTCTTCAGCGCTGTTAGCTCCCCTTCCCAGACCTACAATTCATACTTACATCGCATGCTAATTTCCAGTCCCTGTTCCACCTTCCGGTCGTCTCTTCTAGGACCTTTATTGAGGCTGCGTATTCTCGTTCCTGGTCAGCCAGCTGAATCTGCGTCTTCTCTAGCTTCGCCTTGTTCTTCCGCTCCTCCTGGCCCATGACCATGTGCGCCTGCGCGAGGAAGCCCTTGATCTTCAGAGAGTCCTGTTCGTAGCGATCGCGAGCCTTGTTTACTGCGGCCGTCTGCTGCATCTTCAGCTTCAGCAGCTTCTCGATGCCTCCTTGAACAATCTTTCGTCGCTCCTTCATACCTCCCGCAAAGGCTGCCAGCGGCTCTTCCAGCTCCGTCTTCATCTGCTGTGCGATGCTCTGGTGTGCCTTCCCCATGGCCTCCACTTCTCCGCGAATAACGTCGAACGACATTCGTAGGGTACCGGATTCGGAGGACCCGAGGGGCTTGCGCGAGAGGTTCAGGAGTTTGCGAGCATATTCGTCTTCGATGGCGGATCGTGCAGCGTAGAACGACTTCAACTCGTCGGATGTGACTTTCGCACTGTGCATGCGCTCGAGCATGGGAGAGACGCCGGCGTCATCTTTGCCCCAGAAGTTGTTGGCGACTGCAGCATATCAGTAAGCACATGGATATATCAGTCGGCCGGCATACAGGAAAGAGTGACGGAGGGCGGCTCTGCCACGGTTGGCCCAGGCATGACGCCTGTTTACTCTGTGAAGCGAGTAGTGTGCGCGACGAGAGGGCGACGCAAAAGTAACGAAAGGTCGGATAGAATGCTGGGGTAGGATATTCGGCGATTGAGCTAGGACTGGGTGTTGAGAGACGTGAGGGCGAGAGCAGGGATGGGGGGCTTCGTTGTTTACCGCTGGTGCTGGTTCCATAGCAACGGACCTCGCTTAGCTTTCCCCTTCGGGCGACGTCGTCTACAGTATCTCGAACCTCCCGCGACGGACTCTCCCGCGCATCGTTTCGAGTCTCTGGTAGGTGTACAGCGTCCTTCCATTCCCAATGTAATAGCGTCGGCCGAGTCACTGTGGACTGCGGCATAGAGTTCTACTGTCCGGGTTGGAAGCGTAAGATCTGGCGGCTGCACCTGGGAATATGCCGCTATTAAGCTCGGTCGCAATGCTTGAACGGAAAACTAGCACTATGGAGAAGGGTCTTTGAAGAAGTAACAAAAGGTCACTTCGTTCGTGAGGTCTCAGGCACGGCCAAGCTGGCGTCCGCCAGGGGAGCGGAACGGGAGCACACTGTGGGGGTGCACGGACCAGTCTGGATTCGGAGAGGGGAGAGACACGAGAGGCGAGCGGATCCGGAGCAGGTCGCTCCTTCTACCTGCATCGGCGGACGATGCACTGCAGCCCAATCGCCCAGCCTACAGAGGAGCAGAACAATTTATCTCTCCAGACTGTGTTCAGCTTCAAGAGGGTACAGGCCTGAGTAAATCTCTCCAGTGACACCGCGCTCCGCTTTGTGCTTGCCCTTGCGCTCAATGCCCGGCCGCCGCCAAGCTTTCCACAGTGCACCTCGCGCCGCGCTTCGCATATCTGCTCCGACAATCCATCAAGAACCATCCTCCCCTCTCCACCCATCTCTCTCGCCGGCCGCCCTTGTGCTGCTCATGGAAACGCCCTCTAGATGAGCAGCCAGCAACACCCCTGGGGCCCGCCGAGACACCACCAGAGCACACGCCTGACGCCCATCACCACCGCATTCGCGCAGGAACAACGCAACACGCCCTCGCCCAGCGGCTCGCGCCCGGCCTTCTCTCCCGCCTCGTCCAGCTTCCCATCGCTCCCCCCGTCCACCGCCAGACACGTCGGGAGCCGCAAGTCGTCGGCCGCCTCGTCCACGTCCGCGCCCTTTTCGCCCTCGCACGCCGGACAGCAGCCCCCGGTCAGCCAGCTGCTGTCCTCCCGATCGAGAACAATAGCGTCGCTGCCTGCCTCGCAGCTGGCCTCCTCCGCCGCCGCAGCCGCATCGCAGGGAGGGGGTGGGTCCTCGAGCAGCGGCGGAGGGGCTCCTCGGCTTGTCCGCGCCTCGCCTTCACTTTCGACATCGAGCACCGTCGGCTCGCCCAACACGTCCTCTAACCCCGCCAGCGCGTCGTCGCAGAACCAGAACCTCTCCCGCATTGTCATAGCACAAGTTTTCCTGCTGCTCAGCCAGTTTGGCCCCGTCAAGGACGACAAAGACCGGACAAAGTGGGACACGCAAACCGAGCAGATTCGGAAGGTACACCAATTGCTCCTTCCGCCCTCCCCTCCTTACATGGCAAATCTAACTTTCCTTCAGCTGATAGACTCGAACGGCATGGAGGTCTTCTCCAAGTACTTTCGGCGGGTACTGCAGAACAATGCGGCGCAAATCTTCGGCACCGGTGCACGCGGCCAAGAACCCAATGGCAGTTATAAGCTTGTTGCGGAAGAGATGCAGAAGCTGCGAACGGACCCGGAACAGGCAGTGAAAATTGCAGAGTCCATCAGCTCCGCTGAGGGCGACCTTTTCCGCGACTTCGACCTCTCCACTTTCATCGCACACTTCCAGCTAGATCCGTTCTCGAAAGCGCTACTCGCTGTGGCCTGCAAATCGGGGCCCAATCCCGAGCTGAGGGCAAAAGGTCGGTGCTCTGTGCTATTCTATTTTTGAAAGCTAACGCGAGGTAGCCGATTCAATCCTGTCCGCCATGAGCGAAGATCTGCTAATGGCCATTGCCCGGCCTGACTCGGCGCAGTCGAACGAGACCACGCCCGAATATCTCGCTGCTCTGGTCGAACGGCTGCTCCAAGACCCGCCACAGGATTGGAACGAAGACAAGAAGATAAGCCTATCGTACGCCATCCACATGCGATACCAAGCGCTGCATGCAACAGTGCCCGTGGAAGTTGAATCAGCGTTGCAGCTTCTCGAGCTCACGAACGGCTCACAGAATCCTCTGGTGAAGCTCGTGCAGCGCGCGGGCCCACGGGCGACCGACACTGTGGACGCATGCAAGGAGATGCTCGCATCGGCCGAAACCCGCGACATCAGCTACCAGCAAGTCGCCATGGCTCTGCTATACCTGGCAATATCTTCAGGGTACAACGCGAAGAACTTTGTGGCTGCGCTGCGAGAACACCGAGCTGGACAGCGGCTAGACTGGCAGGATATCGTGCATGCCTTTGATCGCGACGGGCTGCGGGTGTCAAAATCTCAATTTCTGGAGATCTACAACGCCCTCCTCCCGATAGCGCAAGAGACGGATACCTTTGATATCCAGCTATTGTGGGGCGGCACATGGCAGAACGAGGTAACGCAGCTGTCGTTCCTCATGCGCTACCTGTCCTGCACTCCAGAGGAGCTCGACGTTTCCCAGATCCCGCGGTTACGGACATCGTACTCCACAAAGCTGTTCGAGGGCGCATCGGAGGAGGTTAAGGCCCTTGCGGATCAGGCTGTCAAACACCCCTACGTTTCTCTGGATGCCACGAGTGCGCTTTTCGGCATGATATTTCGCTCTTCGGAGTCGTATCATTCGGCCCAGTTACTCGGCATTCCCGACGCTGTCATTAATCCTCACACGGCCGAGTTCCTCATCGCTGCGTCGGCGGTACCTAAGCCATGGGGCGCGCTACAAGAGCAGGCTCTCAAACAGCTCTTCGACCCGTATTTCTACAAGAAGCTGCCCAAGCACAAGTTCGTCCTCTATGGGCTTTGGCAGCAGGACACGCAATGGCTTGTCGATCGTTTTGTGGACTCTTACAATGCTGATCTGATGTCTCTGAATCTCATCATGGAGCATGCTGAGACGAACGGCTGGTTAGAGGCTCTGATTCGCAGCAACACTGACATCAGCCTTGATCTCGCAGCGCAGGCACATGCCCGCGGTCTCTTCGAGATTGAGCCTTGGCTGCAGCAGACATTCGAACAAGCAGGTCCGCTCTTCCGCCGCATCCTTACGAACTTCCTCAGCGCCCGAGCATCGGACGAAATGCAACGCTTACGCGACGACCATCATCCGGGCAGCATGCCCCTCGCTGTGAAAACCGTCTATCCGCTTCTTTGGTTCCTGGCCGAGTGCGGACTTCCGGAACAGGAGCTCCTACCTCTCCAGCGAAATTGCATCCAGGCATATCCACGCCTGATCAACTACGGAGAGGGCGTTGACGATATCATAGATGCAAATGGACAGAACGGGAACTCTCTCCCGGACGAGGCTGACAAGAAAATGCAAGAGCATTTCAAGAACATGTATAGCGGCGAAAGCGACGTGCGCGACATCATCTCTGCGTTGAGGAAATACAAGGAATCGCGGGACCCGGCCGAGCAAGACCTTTTCGCTTGCATGATCCACGGTCTCTTCGACGAGTATAACTGCTTTGGAGAGTACCCGCTGGAAGCTCTGGCAACGACTGCTGTGCTTTTTGGAGGTATCATCAACTTCAACTTACTCTCACGCATTGCTTTACAAGTGGGCTTGGCAATGGTTCTTGAAGCTGTCCAAGAGTATCGGCCCGACGATTCCATGTACAAGTTCGGCCTCCAGGCTCTCCTTCACTTCGCCAACCGACTCTCAGAATGGCCCAACTACTGCGATCAACTTTTGATGATACCCGGTCTCCAAGGTACCGAAATCTACGCCAAAGCAGAGGAGGTCGTTCGTGAACAAGTCGGCGAGGTGAACGGCGAAGGTCAGAACGGGGTCGGTTTGACGAACGGTACCAGCATAGGCGAGCAACTTCCGACGGAGCCGGCTGTGCCCAAATTCTCATGTCTTCATGTGGACCCGCCTGTTCGAGCGGACCTGTACGAGGAGCCTGATGAGGAAGTTCAGGACAAAGTGTTGTTTGTTCTCAACAACGTGTCTGAGCGCAACCTGCGGGACAAGATCAACGATCTCACCGAAGCGGTCGAGGAGAGGCACCACCAGTGGTTCGCCAACTATCTTGTCGAGGAGCGGGCCAAGATGCAGCCCAATTTCCAGCAGCTGTATCTTGACATGCTAGAGCTCTTCAACGATAGGATGCTATGGGCCGAGGTTCTTCGGGAGACGTATGTTGTGGTCGTACGTATGCTTAATAGTGAGGGCACTCTAGGCTCCACAGAACGCGGCCACCTCAAGAACCTCGGCGGCTGGCTCGGTTCCCTCACCATCGCCCGCGACCAGCCAATCAAGTTTCGCAACATCTCATTCAAAGACCTACTGATCGAAGGATACGACACAGATCGCCTTCTTATTGTCATCCCCTTCACTTGCAAGGTCCTCTCGCAAGCCGCCAGGTCCACCGTATTTAAGCCTCCCAATCCATGGTTGATGGAGATCTTGCGCGTTCTGCTGGAGCTCTATCACTACGCTGACCTGAAGCTGAACCAGAAGTTCGAAATCGAGGTGCTTTGCAAGGGACTGGATATCGACCACAAGACGATCGAACCTGCCGACAGCATCCGTGCGAGGCCGCCAGCTGAAGAGGAACATCTAGGCCAGATGGCACCTGACGGGCTCGAGCCATTCGCAGACATTTCCATCATGGGCCTGAATCGTGCTCGAGGTCCTAGCGAACGATTCTCGTCTGCAGCTATCACGGCTGCTCTTCCCGACTTTACGAATCAGCTCCAGTATCCTCCGTCTGGCAACAGCGTCGTACCGCCCGCCACACTGAAGAAGATCTTCCTCACCGCGGTGCAACAGGCCATACAAGAGATTATTGCGCCGGTTGTGGAGCGGTCAGTCACTATTGCAGCCATCTCGACGTCGCAGCTCGTTAGCAAGGATTTCGCAATGGAACCTGATGAAGAGAAGCTGCGCAAGGCTGCCCACACTGTCGTTAAGGCACTCTCTGGTGCATTGGCCCTGGTCACATGCAAGGAACCTCTCCGCATGAGCATCCAGAATAACATCCGCGTGATGGCACGGGATCTGCCCGAGCAGGCCCTGCCCGAAGGCCACGTTTTGATGTTTGTCAATGACAACTTGGACCTCGTTTGCAGCACTGTGGAACACGCAGCTGAAGTGTCATCGCTAAATGAGATTGACATGCAAATCGAAGAGGCAGTACGAATCCGCCGGATCTTCCGCCAAACTCGACCGAATGAACCTTTCAAAGACGCTGCCATTAGCCCTTGGGCTTTCTACATTCCGGAGCCCTACAAACAGACAGCTGGTGGTTTGAATCGAGAACAGCTGGCCATCTATGAAGAGTTTGGTAGGCAATCACGAGGCGCTCCGCATACCAACAATGCCTCTCAAGATAGCGGGCGGCAAGTGCCTGATGTCCTCCAAGACCAATTCGCCGCAGTTCCAAACCTACCAACACCCGCGGCTGCTCCAGCGGAGCCACGCCAGCCGACGCAGCCACCACGACTGCAAAGCCTTCAGACAGCGCATGCTCCTCCTCAGCAGCAGCTCAACGGTTATATGGAGCCTTTGGGACCAGAGCGTAGTCAGCGCGGCGTTGAAGATCTCTTGATGGAGCTGACACGGATGGTCAAAGAAGCTCCCGAGGAACGCATCAGCGAGCTTCAACCGACTAATCCCATCCATCATGTTTTTGAACAGCTTGTCTCCGTCATCGAGGTTGCTGGGCCCAACAAGGATAACTGGGCATTCCACATTGCTGGGCAAGTCACAAACCACCTCTTCTCCGACTCCCTACGGCGTCTTGAGATTGAAACGTTGGCGCACCTCATGGGTAGTCTGTGCCAAATCTCCACGCAGACTTCCAGACAGGTACTTATGTGGCTGGCGACGCTTAATGACGACGATCGTATTTTCAATGCTACGGTCATGGTCTCTTTGATGGAGGTGGGCCTGATCGACATGCACCGGCTCAACACAACAATTGCTAAGGCCATCCAAGAGCGGCGACTGGCTGCTGTTGAGATGCTGTCCAATCTCATGGATGAGATTCTCCTCAGTGAGCATCCCAGCGCACTACGTGCCGATTTCGCGCTTTCTATCGACGCTCTCACCAACTGGCTAGCTGAAGATCCCGACCTGGAGACTGGAAAACGTATCATGTCGAAATTGCAAATTCCGCCCGCCGATCAATCCTTGACACCGCCAGCCACTGGCCACAAAGACCAATTAGAGTACATCTTCGATGAATGGGTCCATCTCCAGCACCCGGATACCCCGAAGAAGTCTATTGCCGCCTTCATCTACCAGTTGCATCAAGAGTCAGTCATGAAGAGCCAAGAAGACTCCATTGGGTTCATCCGTACATGCATCGACGCTGCCGTTGCCGCCTACGAGCATGAACAATCTCTACCTTACGGCGGTGGAAATCCTGATACTGCTACTGTCAAGGTGGACGCTCTTGGCAAGCTCATCGTCGACCTGGTTGTCTACCAGGGTGAGCAGCAGAACGGCGCAGTCAAGGAGAGCAAGGCGAAGTACCTTGATCAGATACTTCTTGTTGTGATCCTAGTCCTTTGCAATCACCAAAGCACTCGCGGGGATGCGTTCTGCCAGAAGATCTTCTTCCGCCTGTTTTCCACGATCCTCTTTGAGCTCAATACTGCCGCCAAAGACAACGTTTTTGCTGGCTTCAAGGCAGACATCTTCCTCGCCATGGCGAAAGCCTTCCTCATCTTGCAGCCCAATAACTTCCCGCGCTTCACCTTTTCCTGGTTGACCCTGATCTCCCATCGGATCTTCATCCCAGCGATGTTGGAAGATAGCAAGGACGAGCGATGGGATGTGTACGCAAAGATTATGGAGACGCTGCTAATCTACACCGGCCAGCTGATCAAGCCTACCGGGGAGACAATCATGGCGCAAAACTTCTACCGCGGTGTTCTCAGGGTCTTACTTGTTATCCACCATGACTACCCGGAGTTTCTTGCTGAGAACCATTTCCGCTTCTGCAATAGCATCCCGATGCACTGCACACAACTGCGCAACCTCATTGTCAGCGCCTACCCGTCGAACATCCTCGAGATGCCCGATCCTTTCACGAGCGGTCTTAAAGTTGATCGCCTTGACGATCGTCAGGGCCCAATCATTCGCGCCGACATTGACCAGATCCTCCGCCAAGCTGGTATCAAGGACACAATTGATGGCCTCTTGAGGGTAGCCGAGCCAAAAGCCCAGGAGGTCGAGAAGGTGTGCAATGTGGTTTACTACGCCGAACCGAAGCCTGCCGGGTTTGAGCTCGTCCCAACTACGGCCGATCCGGCTTTGATTCACGCTATCGTCATCTACATCGGCAGCGCAGCGCTTGTTGCTCAGGGGTCTAAGGGACCCGTCTTCGACGCCAACGCCCCGGCTGCTAGGCTTATGGGGAAGTTGGCCAAGGAGCTGCTTCCGGAAGCCAAGTTCCACTTCATCAGCGCGATCGCCAACCAGCTTCGTTGGCCCAACTCGCACACTCAGTACTTTAGCTACGCGCTTCTTCACCTCTTCGGTACACCCAACAACGACCCACAAGTTTTGGACGTGCAGCAGACTATTACCAGGGTGCTATTGGAGCGCTTGCTGGTTCATCGCCCGCATCCGTGGGGTCTTATCATCACCCTCTTAGAAATTCTCAAGAACCGCACGTACGCATTCTGGGACTTGCCCTTCGTCAAGGCTGCGCCAGAGGTTCGTGCTCTCCTCGATCTACTCCATGCGAACTCCAATCTGACCTCGCTAGGTTGAGCGGCTTTTCAATGCTCTCTTCACGCACGCGCAGCAGAGTCCCCGGCCGCTTGCGTAGATTTCATCGATTCGATCCCGCCTAACCAGAGCGAATCGAAATATGACACCGCGAGATGTCTATCGGCCCGTCCGAGTCGCACGGGCTTTAATGTCTACTCACTGCATTTGCGTGCGTACCGGGGTTATGGGTTTCAGTTTTCTGTGGTAGTTATTGCATGGTTAAGAGCTCATCCATGCTGTTCGGCTCATCCCTTCACCTGTGCTCGACGCCTTGAGGCGACAAGGCGACGAACAACTTGGGCATATCGGAGAGTCACAGCGGCTTTGTCTCAAGCCGATGACTTTGCAGCACAAAAAGCAAGGCGTTCCTGGGTCTCTGCTAATTTTTTTCTCTCTACTTATACTTTGACGATGGATGGGGGACCCCTACTACCCTTTGCGGATCGGCTTCGTGTAGAATAGCATATTTTTCTTTGAACTGAACTGGGTCGGCGAAAGACTGGGTATGGAAGCGAATGGTCGGTGCATTGCCCATTATGCCATATACTGTAGGATAGGCTTGTTTGCTCAACTTGTGGTTTCTGCTACGGAGGCGTTCCCAACACGACTGTCGGGCACTGATGTTCCTGTGAAACGCGTGAAAACGACCGCAGGCGTGTCATATGATGCGTTGTCGCCTTGTCCGTTTGCGAAGCGTTAGAGCTCGTGTCTTAATGAGCGCTCGTTATAGGGCAAACACGCGTTCTCCCCCTCGCAAACTCTAGCCGCGTCATGATATCTGGCCATTTCTCGCCGTCGTGGCTATCCTATAGCGTCGAGGTAAGTGGACCACTGCGTGTGTCGCCGTCGTGGCTATCAAACTTTATGTCGGGTAAATAGGTAAAAATGTGCGTAGTGCGCAGGGATGCTATTGGCCCTTGAGCGGGAAATCTTCCGCTCGCCGTTGCCATGCAGGGGTGCGGATCAAGCTTTGCTTCTTGAGCTTTTTCTACGTCCCGCGCACCCCCCGCCGTTGGCAGGGATAGGGTTTGGTACTGGAGTGGGAGGGGTTGGGACGATCGGATGATGAGAGGGGTTTACGGGTCTTGCTTTACTGGTGTGCTGGCTTGTGGCTACGGGACGGAACGGGATGGTAGGGGACGCTATGAAACCCTTCTTGCAGTTATATCGTAGCCAAGTTTTTTTCCTCTGTTCCGCGGAAGAGGTGGGGAAGAGGAAGTTCGGAGTAGTTCTTCAAGGCGTTGCAGCGGATGAGGATGAAGCCAAGCAAGCATCGGAGACTACCCGCACCATGCTGTCAAATTGGATTGTTGAAGAGGAATGGGGGGTGGGTGACACGGTGCTGGAATCAAAGAAGCACTGTGGCACTGCATGCGTAGAAGATCTGAGCGTGCGTTTGCGAATCCATGGAGTTGGTAATTGACAAGAGTTTGCATCTATATATACATATACATGTATACATATATACACCGTGGCGACTGTACTTATGCAGTAGATGCGCTATGTATCATGACTGCCATGTACATGCAGTAAGTCGGCCGGGTACTCTGCAAAGTCCTCTTTGCTCCTCACTCTCGGCATCCAAGGTATCTGCAGTCATTCCCCCCTTCTATCAAATCCCTTCCCACAACCCAATCGCCTACCTATAACCTAATGCAGAAGGTACTAAGCATGGCGTTTTCCTAGTCTCTACCCAGCCAGAAGCAGCCATTTGCCGTAAGCCGGGGGTTGCGTTATCGAGATCAGCCGGCAAGGGACGTGCCGAGCTAGGATCAGAAGCCGGTCCTGGGTCAAGCTCGAGCTCGAGAACGTCTAGTCCGGGTTCTGGGGTTCTATGAGATAGGGGGTTAGCGAACACGAGAGGAATGAGGAGAGTGTGTCAGTGCGGGTTCGGGGTCGGATTGATTAAGACGATGGAAGGGGGAGGTGCTAGAGTAGAGAGAGGAGTAGGATTGCAGAAAGGAGAGCAGCAAGAGGACACGCGTTTCCAAAATGTGGGTTATGATGAATGGCTTGGGGCATGATTACGCCGCTAAACTTTTCCGTGCTGTACTCCTCGCCAGTGTCCTGTGCTGCTGGTTCCAGGTCGATATCGTACAAAAAGTCCAATAGAATTCCAATGAAAATTCGCCATGTAACGCCGAGAATGCCGTAAATCGCTCGTATGTGGGTGGGTATCGCACTCGTAAAGAAAGTCGTATGTATCGTGTGTGATTTGCGTTCTCATCCCTAGAACGGCACTTATTGTTGGCCAGACGTCACCTTAAGCCATCAAGCCCTCCTGCTCTCCCCCCATTTCGTGATGCATTATTTTGTACACATCTCTTGATCCTTGATCCTTCCCATCTCCGCCTCTTTGTCTTATTGTTGAGGGGCTTCTACCGAGATCCTAGCTCTGAGATTAACCGCGGAAGTTTCCAAGCGTCGCAACACTGGACGCCTCGCGTTGTTCGCGAACTCCGCCAAAGCGCATTTCTGGAATCTTGTTCGGAGCGAATGTCCACGCGTACATTTTGTTAGCAATTCTGTGTTGCTGTGGGAATGGGCTCTTCCGCATCGGACATCATCGCTCGGCCGCTCTACGCATATGCGCTATCCGCGGGCCTCTGATGTCGGTAGGTGGTCGTCTGGACGGTCGGGACATCGATTCGCGTCTTTTGCAATCCTATTCAGGGGCGACGAGTGTTCGCCTTGGAAAGTAGTATCCTGTGGAACATCCGAATCTCGAGCCTTCAAACCGTTGTCACCGCGTATATCTCAGGCCTCATCGGGGAAATGGGTGATAGCGGGCTCAAAGGTGCCCTGAATTCTCGATCACTCCCCACCGTCGGGACCGGACTTGGTATAATCGGCGTACGTTGGTGCATCGGGTTGTCGGGCGTGATTTGCGGCTGGATCAGCTTCGCGGCCGGGCTCGGACTGGGATGGCGTTCACGAGCCTTTGCTCCTCTCATCGCTTTCCTAACGAGCGGTCTCAAGAACGGGATAGACCCTGATATGATACCAGCATGCTGTTCGACCTGCGACCAGATGAGAAGATTGGACGTGTTTGCTCCCTGGTTGTTCCAGTTGGAGAGCCATTGAGTAATGACGTAAAGGCGCACGGCGGAAGCGACGATAGCCAGTATGCCGATAGAGAAGATAGCGACGAGCTCGAGACGCCGTTTTACGGGCATGCTCCGTAAGTTTAGAACGAAGGGAATCGGCAGGATCCAGATAATTGAGTCTGTTGCGAGATTGAAGCCCGCATTGAAGAGCCAAAGGATTGTCGGATCGTAGCACTGGGATGCGTAAATGCCCTTGAAGCCGTCCATAAAAACGCTGAATGACCAAGAGTCCGAGACCGGGCGGCAGATGAAAATGCTGGCCATAGCCATGCCGAAGCTAGTGGCTACAATAATAACTATCAGGGTGCGGACAATGAGGTGGAACGCCTTGTGGGACGAGGCGACGTAGTTATAGAAGAGGAGGATGGAGGTCTTGATCAGGCAGTGGTCGAAAATGTAGTTTAGTCGGTAGATCCACATGGTGAGCAGCGCGCCGACGGCTACGGGTTCGAATGTTTCCAGGCTCTTAGATCGCTGGTCAGCAGGAAAGCGGCTCTGGGAGCCGTAAGCGCTTACATAGACGTGGCTGTAGTCCAGGAAGTGGATTTGGTAGTAGTTGACAACGGTGCAACCCCATGTTGATATCTAGCGTCGTCAGTACAGCAAAATCCATCGCTCCGGCAGCCAGCACTCACCAACGCAAAGAGCATCATCCAGTCCGGAGAACCAAGCTTGCCAACGAGGAAATACCGGCTGTAAAACCTATGCGCACGTCAACAATCACGAACGTGACACGAATCCCACGCAAGAGCCGCTACTCCGTACCTCAGAGCTACCACAACCGTGGATAAGCTAGTAAGCGCGAAAGCAACGACAACCGCGAGTTTTGCGTGAACCGCCATAGTGGACCGACAGCGACGGGGACGAAGGTTGGTTGAGACAGGTCATCGAAGGGCCCTTCGCGCATGCAACGATCGACGGGAGGGAGCAAAAAGCCTGCGGAGTTGAGGGTCCAGAGGAAATGGCGTGCACATATACGGACCGCCGCAACGCGGACGCTAGTTTAAAGATGGCGTTCGTGCCTGGGAAGGACGGCGACGATCCGCCACCAGCTCATACGCCAGGGTCCGAGTCAGGAGATGGAAGTCGAGACTCGACATGTAGCGGTAAGAGCAACGAGCGGGGAGGTTTGTAAAGAGTTTTCTCCGCTTTGTGTAACTCTTGATACACATCCCAGATTGGCTCTCCATGTCCCAAGTGACGATTTGGAACCCCAGAGTCCCCATGACCATCGCTCCCCCGCATTCTTAACGCGGCCGCTTCCCAGGAGGACGCTTTGTGCAGGCTCCTCAGCAAATTTCCGGGCAGGCCATTGGCTGGCAGTGGGTAAAGTCGTGGGTTTGTGGCCCAAGCATTAAGAGCTCTGACCACGTATAATATCTCGTCGCCCGCAAGGGTTTCATCCGCCGTACCGAGACGTCGAAAACAGCAAAGTTGCACGTTTACCCCGCCAATGGTTGCGCGGCAAGCGTGAAACATCCCAGCTCTTATTTCGCATGCGTATCGGAGGGGGTCTGCGTCTCTTCCAAGCTTGTCTTTCCTGTGTTCAAAATGTCACGTTTGTTGCGCGAGACTTGTTGGCTGATAAGAAACTGAATGGCTATGACGGCGTATTGCACGCGGCATGGCCAGATCGCGCTCCGGAGCGGCCTTCTGCAGTCGGTGTCACACCGTGAACCGTTCGTCCAACCACCAATTCCATCGATGTGGCCTTCGGAAGTCGGACCGCCAGTCGTCAGCAAGTCGAGGACCGGGGTCCTGATAGGCAGGATTCATCCTCCGCGGCTCCGCCTGCCATTTTGATGAGGGCCAGATGCCGACGGCGCCGGCAAATGCTGCGGAAGACCTGGTACAGCACTGTACGACGTGCAGATCTCGCCCAAAGGAACAAATGAAGATATCGAGGGGAGCATGAGAATCTCCATCCTCAGACGCTTCTCGCGAGAAGTGATGTTGGAGAAGAAATGAGGGTGTGAAGGGGAAGTCAACAGGACGGAGGGTTCCGTGACGAAAGGCGTAAGTCTCTCCGGATGACTAATGGCATCAACACCAGTCTTCCTCCCAATATTGTACAATACAACAGCCTAGCATGCGTCATGGTCTCTCCAGCTTTCTCCGTCCACGATGATGACGTGGTCCTCCTCGCTGCAATCGAAATGAGGGAGCAGCGATCCGCCGTGCAGCATGTCATCCTGACATAGCACGGCTTTCGCCGCTGCGATTCTGCAACTGCAATATCGCATGGTCAATGCGTCCTGCACCCCACAGTCTTGGGTGGTGTGGGTCGTACCTCTGTAAGTCATGCACTCTCCTTGGGTCTTACGCTTGGTCTCCCGTCGATCCGGAACGGTTCAAGTCAATATCTAATCGCTTGGCCAGATTGCGGAGTCATGGGCTGAGATAATTCAACGCATCATGGTCATGGCAAGAACGCATGGAGTATCGTACTTCATCATTGACGCTTGACCGACCGACTGATAGAGACCCCTTATTGACGCAACCACCATATGCCTGGCGTCTCAGGGTATATGCAAGAATTCGAGTCGGTTCGCTCAGAAGGATGACTGCTACACAAATCTTCTTTCAGAATCAGCTTCATGCCCATTACCGCCGTCCAGTCCGTCAAACGCAACCCGCCTTTGCCGTCTCGACCCCTCGTTCGCGCTGATATGCTCCAGCTCCTTGTCCGTCGCGGCGATTCCAGCTTCAAGAGCATCCTCCTCTTCAGGCAACGGAGTTAGCGGCTTGCCCGCGTCCCGTTCTTGAAAATTTCCAGCGCCAAAGCTCCATTGTACTCGCATTGGGCTCCTCTCTGGAAGAAGCGGACGCAAAGGCGAGACAGGATAAGTCGAATCCCAGTCAACTTGGGTCGGACCATCTCTCCTTGTCTCGTTCTTCGCCACTTTCTTTGCGAAAAGAGGTTCAGGCGTGTCGATCTCTTGCAGCTTGACATCGCCGTCTACCGTTCTCGTAGAGATTCCTGATATGGCGCTGGATGAGGATAGAGCCCGCCGACGAAGATCCCCATTCGTAGTCTCGTTTTCCTTCTTTATCTCTTTGTATAGCACCGATATCTCATTACTCAGATTCTGCATCGCGTCGCTCCTCTGCTCTTCCTCCGTTTCCAGACTCGCTCGCTGACTGAGCATGGCCTGCGTTCCTAGAATCGAAGCTCCGTGGTAGCAAGCAGGACGTGGCTGCACAGTGGGAAGGTTGAGGGATGGCGACCGAGGGAGCGTGGTGACACCGGAGGATTGCGAGCTTGATGGCAATGGTAAGGGTTTTCTTTTCAACTCCTTCGTCTTCTTCTGCGTCTCAGCTGGCGGCTTTGTGTCGATGAGCTTTGCTGGGGTCTTCGCTGCGATGGCCTCGAGCTCTCCGGTGTATAGGAACGTCCGTCCCTCTATTGTTCTCGCACGACGGAGGCCCTGCGCGAGGATCTCGATCTCGACGCCAACCATTTCATAACCATCTTGCCCATATTCCGCACGCAGATAGTCCTCCAGCCTCCGCGCCTCCTCCGCACCCGACATTACATACACCACGCCTTCCACACCCTCCTCTTCCTGTTCACTGCTCCGCCCTTCCTTCCCCGGCAGCGGCGATCTTAGTTCATCTTCTCGCACCACAACCCATTCCGTCCCTCGTCTCACTCTCCGGTATCCCTGTATCTGGGCTTGTTTCAGCCTCGGTTCGTCGTCGAGCTGCTGTACGCGCTTCAATGTCTTCGGTTCGGCGAGAGAGTCGTACAAGAAATAGGGAATCGGATAAGGGTCCGTAAGGCTCTTCTTCGATGAGGTTTCCTCCATTCTCGCGGCAAGCGACTGATAGAGTCGTGAATGTGAGACGGCGGCGTTGGGTATACTAGACGCAGACAAGCGTGTGTAGATGCCCGATCCGGTGAAACTTCGAGGTGACCTTCGGTAGAACCAAGCCTCAGCGCGCTCAACGACCGACAATGGCTCGCTGTGAACTCGAACGGGCGCATGTGAAATCCCAAGAGCTGAAAGGTGCTTAAATATTGACGGCGAGTTGGCTTGCAGTGTAGCAATCTGCTTTCAACAGGCGTGTGACCCGCAATGGATTGTCAATGCGGCACGAGGAAGCGAGCAACGGAGCGGATTGTGGGATGGCCACGGGGAACTGCGCGAGTATTTTGGCGGGGTGGGCAAACGAGGGTATCGAGGTTGGGGCGTTGTTACCGAATTTCATTGTTTGTTCTGCTAGTCGAGGTTTCGAGGTTTCACTGCGAATGGTGTTGGATCCATATCACTGACTCCATACCATATACGCTTGCACTCTGTCCCACTCAAAGCAACTTGAAGGCCTCCAGGCAGGGCTTTACGGACTCGACTGTGTATCATGCCAAGCTGCGTCTACTAGAGTAAAAACACCAGTGAATGTGGATATTTGTGGCGTCGCGCTGTGGCGGTGCGGGGTCGCAATTGGTCTCCACAACGACGAGGGAGCTTCTCACTTCGCACAAATACAAACCTCCACAACTTCTCTTCTGTTTTCCTTCTACAAACCATCGCGAAGCGCGCCAGGCTACACAAGGCGCAAGCAAGGTCAGTCGCTCCCATAACCAAACCTGCTCTCCACCTCCACCAGTGTCTAACTCCCTTCAGTCACCTGAGGATCCCAAGGCTCCGCTATACAAAGCCACATCCTCAGCCGTAAAGGTCAGTAAAGTCCCCCAAGCTACCTAATCCCTCAAAGCTTGGGCTCAACTCCACGATGGCTTCGGTCAGCGGCAGCAGTGACGGCACAGGCTCCGACACCACCGTCACCATGGCCACGTCCGCACCCTCCACCACCGGCTCAGTCGCCAGCGACACCACCGTCACCGGCGCTGAAGCCGCCACTACCACCCCAGGCAACGCCAACATCTCCGTGCGCTCCTACTTCTACATCCTGCCGTATCCGCTGCCCGCCGGGACGCCAGTGCCCTACACGCCCGGCCTGCCCAACGTCAATCCGCTGAACTACCCACCGCACGCGTTCGAGCCGACCAGCACGCTCGTCCTGACCAGCACGTCCAAGGTATTCATCGACATCCGCATCTTCAAGCGGATCCAGCCGAGCGACCCGGAGCTGCCGAACGACGGCGGCCACCGCGAGCGACTCGAGTGGGCGTTCGCGGGAAAGTCGACGAGCTACGCTATCCCAGATCCGCACGCCACTCCCCAGCACGCAGGTGGAGGCCAAGGCCAAGAGCAGGGACGGCAGTGGGTCGGCCCCGTGCAGCACGCCATCTGGAGCCACTGGGTGGACTCGCGCTACCCCGTCGGCGCGATCGCCCCAAAGGACGAAGGAACTATGTACCCCGTCAGCGCGACGCAGACGCTCGAGCACGGCAGCAGCATCAACCCGTACACGGGCGCCATGATGTCTTACGAGGAGATGTGGCTTGATGTCCCGGTCCAGACGTGTTTCCCTTCGACCAGCAAGTTCAGCATCGTGCTTGTTCTCGACGCGCCAGAGGCCAAAGTGCGCGGCGTCGTTATCCGTCTGGGTCAGTACTGCCAGGGCATCATCGTGAGGGATGCGGTTTCGACGATTGAGCGATGGGGGTTTGAGGAGAAGAAGGGGAAGAACGGCAAAGTTGTGGGAGGGGACTGGAAGCGGGTGGCTAGGATTGGCGATGACTTCTTGCCGTGCGCGACGACGTTCCAGCCGGAGATTCTGACTGTGGGCGGGAGGGTTAGGTACGGAAATCATGAGTGGTTCGTCGACGAAAAGGTCGAGTGGCAGGATGTGATGGGTCAGTGAAGCTGGCATCCGAGCTTGGATACGAAGATTCGGTTCTTCGATGAAAGATTTGGATAAGCCTAGTGGATCGATCAGAGATTTTCAGGAAAATATGGTGGTATTGCTGCAAGGAATTGGTTCTGCAAACAAGATGAGCCGATCGAGGAAGGCTATGTATAATACGACAGGATAAGCTGCATATGCATGGGCAATGGCGGTTTGATTGTGGAGGACTAGATATCATTCACGTGCTGTCATAGCAGACAAAGACCTAACCATTGACGCCGCCCATGCAGGGAATATCCTTCGCCAAACCGTTCCCACCATTTTTGAAGTCCCACTACACCGAACCATGGGCCCGACTGGACGCTTATTTCTTCTTGGTCTGCTCTTCCTCGGCCTTGAGCTTAGCACGCTTCTCACGGACACCAACAAGGCGTGCCTCAGAGCGGGCCTCGCGGAGCTTCCGGTAAGCATTCTCGGTGGCCTCGTAGTTGCCGATCGGGCCCTCCTCGAATTGAACGACGTTCTTGATGGGCAGGATCTCGCTGGTGGACTTGATGATGTTCTCGCCCTTCTTGGCGGCCTTGACATCCTCGGCGGAAGCGTCACCCTGCTTCGTCTTGCCGTTGCGGCGCGGGAAGAGGATGAGGCGCTTCCTGTACTCCTGAAGGCGCTCCACGTTGGCCTTGAGGCTCTCCTCGGAGAGGTTCTGGCGGCGGGGGTCGACGGAGATACCGATGGTGGGAGCCAGCTTGCGCGGGATACCGGCGGCCTTCAGCTCGGCGAGGGAGAAACCTGAGAACATTCAGACGTTTATCATACAGTATTTGGCTATTGACCTTACCACGACCAGGACGTACGCGCCTATTGTACTTAACGGTGGGGCAACGGACGACTGGCCTCAGACGATCGCTACTTGCTTTAGCTTTCCTAATCGACCTTGGGGACGTTGTTCAACTCACACTGGACGAGGAGCGACCTTCGCAGCCTTCTGGACCCGCGCATTGCGACGGGACTTCTTCCTCCCAGGCTTTTTGCTATTAGCATCTGACAACAGGCGCCACTGCTCTCAATCACTTGAGAGGGGAATAACCTGGTCATACCTGGTCGAAGTGCACGCGGACGTAGCGCTGCCTGCAAGGACGTTAGCATACGGCGAATTAATTGGAATTGAAAATTGTAGGTCGCGTACCAGTCCTTGTGGAAGTGATTCTTCTGAATCTGCTGGTTGTGCTTGATAGCCATGGTGCAGATTCGTCGCTGTCGGTGGGCCTGAAGAAGTTCGTGAGGATAGCCAACGTTTTTCGTGGTTTGTGGGAACGGGCGGATGAACTATTGTCCGGACGGTCTGTGCGGAAAATTGCGCTAACGCGCCGAGGCGGCCGTGCCCGGCAGTCAACGTGAGAGCCTTTTCGACATTCAGGTCACTGCCGAAGCTTTTAACGCAGGAAAAGCCACATTAGTTCAGTACCGCAAAATGCCACTGGGGACAAGAGTTGCCTATACAAAGATCTCTCATTCACTATCTACCGATCGTTCCTCATTCCACGTCCCTTCCATGTAGGTATCCATCCTTCAGTAATCCAGAAATCAGTGTAGATATTACAATTTGGCAGACAAGAGCCACCGCAGGGTGCCGAAGCACCCGAGAATTCAAATCCGTACAAACTCCGTCCCAGCCGGCCCGTTCACAAAAATCATGATTCGTCAAAGTACCAGCAAAACATCATTTCATGTTAGTCTCGCAGCAAACCTCCAATGCCCAGACCGACTCCTTGATCGATCCGACCTCTCTTTGTTGGGCTGCCATGGTGTTCCGCTGACTGCAGCCGCCTCTTCTCGAATTCTCCCGATCGGGTAAGACCATGCCCCTTCTTCACCTGGCCAAATATCTTGCTTTGGATCAAGTTTGATGACTGCGATGACGGTGCCGACATCTGCTTAGACGGCGCCGCTTTCCGGAGCATATTGGTAGCCATTTGGCTCGCTTGTGACTCGGGAACTTCATCGTCTTCCCTGTCCGTGAAAGCCTCTTCTTCATCCACGCTCGATGCGGTGATGGTGGAGTTGCTGCTTTCTCGCCGGACATGTTTTGGCTTGTGCTGGTAGTGCGCCGGAGGAGCGGACTGTGGAATGTTGACAGCAGCGAATGTCGGCGGCGTGCGTGGCACGTCGGTATGAAGCTGGTTAGAGCGCCGATTCGGCGTTTGAGGCAGCGAGGACATAGAATGAGTGCCCCGGCTGTGGCCGAAACGCGACCTAGGTGCGTGCGACCTGGTTGGGGTCGATGGAGCTGTGGCAGTTTCCTGGCTGAGCATCTTGTCTGCAAGGAGAAGTGCCTCGAAGTTGTTCTGACCGCGACTGTTCTCGTTGGACAGTGGGGGAGGCACCCGGTTGACCTTATGCCGTGGAGTCGCATGGTGATGAGGAGTTCCAAATACGGAACGGGGCGAGCCGTGCTCGTTCATTTGCTCGAGGTAAGGCAGATACGGCGCGATGTGGTCGCGGTTCTTTCGGATCCGGGTCTTGAGTCGGTCATTCTCCTCCGTCAGGCTAGCGAGCTCGCCTTCTCTATGCTCAGTGATGCGCTTCTGTTGATCAAGCAAATCCCGGAGCTCTTCGTTCTCACTCTGCAGCACCTGGATGTGGCGATTCATCTCCGACATCAGAATGGCATTCGCCGCATTTGTCGGAGATTCTTGGAAGCTCTGTTGCGGAGACATCATGTTGCTGCGACGTTTCTCCTCAGCCTGCTGAAGGACGTCGATTTCGCGCTGGGCCATGGCTAGCTCAACGGCCATGCGGCTGGCCGACTCCTGGCTTTCCATCACCGCCATGTTGTATTGGAGCTTGTGGTGGGCCGCCGAGAGTCGAACATCCCGCAGCGCACTAGTGAGCTCGTTGACCATGGATCGGAGCTCGTCAGCGGAGGCATTGTTGATTTGGTCTTGGGAAAAGGGAGCTTTTGCTGGTTCCGCCAGGGCTGAAGGCTGGTTGGGCAATTTGGAGGTCGGAGGGGGTGAGGAGAGCTGGGGAGTGGGCGGAGTGGGTGTCCGGACCACAGAGCGGGTGTTTGGCATCTGAGAGGAAGGAGGAGGCGTCATAGACGAGGTTGTTGGGGGTGCGGGAGAAGTGAACTTGGCTCGATCGGGAGACACGGCCTTGGACATGTCCGTGGGAGCAGGCGAACCGGAACGCGAGGCAGAACGGAGTTTAGGGGTGGCGGGCCTCGAGAGCTCCGTCGAAGGCATGAGAGAGTCCTGGGACGCCTGGGATAAAGATGCCTGGGAGTCCATTTTGCCTAGGCGACGGCGGCCAAGCCTCGAGCGACACGTCAGAATTGCAGGCGAGACGCGCCGGAGTTCGCTGTGTTTGCGCTTTTTCAGTCCGCGGTCGGCGCAAGGAGCGACGGCTTCCAGTAGGTGTTGCGCGTTGCGGGGGAGGCCAGACGCGAGGTCGCAGCGTGGTGAGGGTCGAGGGACACGAGCGGATGCGGCGTCGGCGGGGTCGCGTCGCTGCGCGCTTTGCAAGGGTGGATCGCGCACGCAATGCGACCAATGCCGCAGCAGACTCGGGGTGGGCAGCGATGGGATGCGACGTGGGCGTGAGCGCTGGCAGTGGTGATGGCTTCGCAGCGGAGCGCGCGTGGAGGAGGCTGGAGCGGTGGTCGCGGCGCTGGAGTACCTGGGAGCGTGCGGGCGGCAGGCACGAGCCCAACCCGGCCTTGGCCTAACCGCTTCCGTCGCCCCAATTTCACACACCCTTGGACGGACCGTTGGGATGGCAACGCGAGCACCTCCCGCGACGCCCAGGCACGCCTGCGCACCCAGCGCACCCGCCGCTGCTCGTCGCCACTAAATTATCGTGCACCTGGCCGCGCTCTCCTTGTGGTTGGATATGGAGCTCGACAATTCTCCGTGAGACGCGCGCATCCTGACATTCTCCGTCCCCGCAGGCACGCTGTCGGCCAGTGCTGCGTCCGCCATGGAGCAGCAACCCTCCTCCATCCCCGTGCGGACATCTGGGATCCCACGCCCGGCTTCACGCCTGCCAGTGCTGAGATCCTCTGGCAGCCAGTCCCAGCTCCGGCCGGCCTCGTCTACGGAGCACTTGCGCAAGAAGGCCTCGATCTCTTCCATCTCCTCCACCGAGCAGGTGCGCAAGAGGCCTTCCATCTCATCGATATCGAAGCCGAGCCAGCCACAGCCGTCATTGCAGAAGAAGACATCCCGAGCCTCCCTCGTCCGCTCGAATACCCCGTCCACAGCAGCCTCAGCAAACACCAGCTCAAGTAGAGCGTCCTTGACCTCCGCGATAAGACGAACGATCCCCAGCAGCGCACGAAGCTCGACCTCCGATGCTTCTGTCTTCAAGAAGCCAATTGCCCGGCCGCCATCGCGCCAGACGAGAACGAGAACCACACCTCAAATTACGCCGACATCGGATACAGGTCACAGAGATGATGTGCTGGGAGACTTGGAGGGATTCCGTTCGGCCTCGCGAGCATCGTCGCGGGCAGGCTCAAGGGCCGGGTTCCGCGAGGATGAGGTAGAGCAGGTGCGAGAGCAGGAGAATGAGACGGAAGCTGCGAAGCCGGCACCGAGGAAGGCACGCCCGTCTCTGTCGGAAAGGACGATCGAGAGTCTTTCACAGCTCCCCTCGTCCCCAGCGGGGAGCAAGACAAGACGAAGGTCAAGCTTCTTTAACGGAGATAAGTCCATGCCGCCGCCGCTTAGACCCGCTTCGGCATTGGGAAATGGAAGAAGACCAATGACGAGTGATGGCACACCCCAAGCAGCCCCTACCACTCCGAGAAGGCTTGCTGCTGGAGCACAGCGAGGGTCAATGACAGCTCCAGGTAAGAGGAGCGTCAGCGCAGCCATTGCTACCAATGCCACCACAACACCCAGCAAAACATCGTCGCTGGCCAGGCCAGCTTCGACCATCAAGAAGCAGCCTCTCAACCCCTTGCAGAACATACAGACCACGCCAAAGCTTCGACCGTTGTCCAACAGCAAGACGATGCTCGCAAGAACACCGAAGTCTCGACCCTCCATAACTAGAGCCTTTGGACAAGCGATATCCCCTCCGGGGACAGAGGCTATCCCTCATACACCTTCGCCAGGCAGACAACCGGCGGCTAATAAGACACCAGAAACGAGTCGGAAGGTTTCCAGTTCGTCTGCCGCGCTTCGGGAACAAATCGCGAAAGCAAAGGCTGCTCGGCGATCGGATGTCACACCCAAACTTGATGACACACCACCCAAGGCCAATTCGTCTCAGGCATTGCGAGATCAAATCGCAAAGGCCAAAGCGGCAGCCAAACGCGCCAATGCGGCTCAAGAACCTCGGACTGTCACGCCTCCCAGAGAAGCCATCGTGCCAGACCCGGCTGAGATTGCTGAGTTCGATTTCGGCCTCGACGATCCCTTCAACCAACGCTCAAAGGGAAGCAAATCTCTGCTGCGGAAGCGTGTAGATGCCGCTCGTGTAGACGGGCGACTGAACATTGCGGCGATGGGTTTGAGCGAGATGCCCGAGGAAGTAATGGAGATGTACAAGTACGACCCCAATGACACCACCATCGCTTGGGGCGAAGTTGTCGACTTGACTACAATTATCGCTGCGGACAATCGGTTCGAGAGTCTTCCGGACACTATGTTTCCGGACGTCGATATGGAATCCGCCATCGAGGCTGATGACCCTGGACCGCAGTTTGGCGCAATCCAAAACCTTGACTTGCATGGGAACCTCCTTCCTCAGCTCCCGTTGGGAATGAGACGGCTGACACAGCTCTCCAAGCTCAACCTAGTAAGTGTATTGAAGCACTTGTACCTAGTCATATCTGCTAACGCACATATAGTCGAGGAACAAATTAACCCCGGAGGCTTGGGATGTCATCTCCCAGATCACTTCGCTACGCGAGCTGAAGCTAGCAGAGAATGGTTTTCAAGGAGCCGTCCCTCCAAGTCTAGGTAACCTCAACCAGCTAGAGACGCTAGACCTTCAAAGCAACCGACTCGCCAGCCTGCCACCAGAGATCCGCGAGCTTGCACATCTTCGAACGCTGAACATCGCGGACAACAAGCTAAATGCCCTTCCAACAGAACTGTTCACGTCCGTTCCGATCATCGAGCTTGTTGCGACCAAGAATGCATTCAGTGGATCCTTCTTTGACGTTGATACAGTTCCTCACTTGCAGACTCTTCATCTGTCAAACAACTCGCTTACGTCTTTCTGCGAGTCGGGTACCATCTTACTACCTGCTCTGAAGTATCTGGATTTATCTGCGAATCGACTCACATCGCTTCCTGACATGTCATCTTGGACAAATCTGACAACGCTACTCGTCGGAGAGAATAAACTGTCGGAGCTTCCGGAAGGATTCCTCTCACTCCATCAGCTCCGTAATGCGGACTTCACAGGGAACGACCTGGTCAAGCTCGACGAGAAGGTCGCGCTCATGGAAGGGTTGGAGAACCTGACGCTTGCAGCGAATCCGCTCCGGGACCGGAAGTTCTTGACAATGAACACTGAGGATATCAAGCGTGATCTCCTATCGCGATTAGAGCCTAGTAGTGTAGAGGATGCTACAAAGGACGATGTTGAGACTAAGGAAGACACCTCTGGGGTCGAAAACGGCTGGAAGTTGACGCCCTCAGGTACGCTGGATCTGTCTTTCCAGAACCTGACAGAGATCGATGAAGAAGCCGTCGCCTCTTTCGCCGAGTCGAATGATGTTCGCCAGCTCTACCTCCAGCAGAACTACCTGACAGCTATTCCCAATGTTATGGAGCAGCTGTCCTTTCTCACGGTGCTAGACGTGTCTAAGAACAACATTGCCAACCCACTTTCGCACTCACTCCGCCTCCCGAAGCTCCGCGAGCTACGCCTCAATAGCAACAAGATGCCGTCCTTGGCCAACCTCACTTCATACCTCTCCGCGCCTGCTCTCCAGCATCTCGACGTATCGAACAATCGCCTGTCCGGGTCCCTTCCAACACTCCGAGATTCCTTCCCCAAGCTCATGCTGCTCATGGCGTCCGACAATGGCATCTCTGAAGTTTCCGCTGAATCCCTACAGGGTCTCAAGATCGTCAACCTCAGCAACAACGACATCGAGCGCCTAGAGCCGCAGATAGGTCTGCACATGGGCACATTGACGAGTCTGGATGTCGAAGGAAACAAGTTCCGTGTTCCCAACTATGCTATCTTGAAGAAGGGGACAGACGCGATCTTAGCGTGGTTGAAGGATAAGATTCCGAGTCCGACCGAGGAGTTCTTTAGTTGTGGAAGCGGAAGCTCAGGCTTTTAGATGTTTGCAGTTTTTGTAAACCTTTGGGGATGGACTGATTTGGTATTGGGGCGGGCGTTCGCACGTTTGGAGGTGCTTTTTGGTGTAGGGGGATACGTGAAATGTTCGCTTCTTCGCAGCGATAATGTGTCGCCGGCGCGGTGAGCTGCGCTTCATGGACGTCGGCTGCCTATGCCTTCTTTTCGACTTTTCGCTCTTAGCTGTTGGATACATTGAATTGTAATGCTTAGTTCTCGTCAAATTTGTATTCTGTTCAGACAGAGCAGCCGCCCTGTTCTCCCTTGCAAATGTGCTTCGAAAGCCGATGCCCTTCTCCTATCGAGGAACGACTGCACTCGGAATACTGCGAGCCTACTCCGAAAACATCTCAATAGAAAACGGCTTCCTCGTCCGATCTCCATCCCCTTGTCCGCAGTGTCTCCAGGTTATCTGTACCTAACTCCGCGCGCTCTCCGCTTTCGTTCGCTTAGTCAGGCGCCCGGACCAAAACCGACCGTCAACCACTATCCCATGCACTTCTTCCTGGACAACTGAAGTAGGATAGTTAAAGACCGCTGCTTATCCCCGCATATTCGGACGACTAAGGCAACCCGCTCCAGTGCGGCACGGCGCGCAGTTGCTGCCCAGACTAACAATGGCCGCGTCGGGCATAGCTGCTCAGCCGACATATGCATGGGCTGGTTTGGGGAAGTGGGCTGTGAAACGGACATTGTTTGGCTGCAGCTGGGGATGAGGAGGTATATTTAAAAGGTTGGGATGGCCAAAGGTAGAGCTTTTTTTTTTTTTTCAGTAGATCATCACATCCTATCCTATCGAACCCCAGTTCTTGTCCTTCAGCCCTCTCCCTCGTGCGAGAGATACTACGCCTTTTTACCTACTTACTTCACACGACTTCGAGTCGGAAAGAGTTTCATAGCTCTTGCTCCAAAATGGCTTCTGGATCCTCCCTCCGCACTATCTACCAGGCCACCGTCAAGGACGATGGCTCCCCAAAGATGAAATACAACCGGTAACGCCAGCCTCCCCATCCATCTCCACCCGCATCCTACTAACCCTCCCTCCCCCCAAAAAGCCTCGGCAAATCCGGCCTCAAAGTCTCCGCCGTCATCCTTGGCGCCATGGGCTACGGCACGCCCAGTATCGGAGGCCCCTGGGTCCTCGAGGAAGACAAGGCCCTCCCTCTTCTTAAATACGCCTACGACAAGGGCATCAACACCTGGGACACGGCGGACTTCTACTCGCTCGGCAAGTCCGAGGAGATCCTCGGCAAGGCGATCACGACGTATGGCATTCCGCGCGAGAAGCTGGTGCTGATGACGAAGTGCTTTTTTGGCTGCGGCGAGGAGGAGGTTATGAAGAGTGGCACGCTGGATCCGATGGTCGCGATGACGAATGATGGCGGGTTGGTGAATCGAGCGGGGTTGAGTAGGAAGCATGTGCTGGATGCGGTGGAGGAGAGTGTGAAGAGGTGAGATTTCTGCGGTCTTATTCCTGTCTCGGTGTTAATAGATGGGAAGAAAGGATCTTGCTGACGCAGAAACAGATTGGGAACTTACATCGACGTCCTCCAAATCCACCGTCTAGACCGCGACACGCCGCCCGAGGAGATCATGCGCGCTCTCAACGACGTCATCGAGAGCGGGAAAGTGCGCTACATCGGCGCCAGCTCAGTAAGTAGCATTCCCCCTTTGCTCACCCCGAGTTCTCCGTATCTGCAAGAGGAGCAGCAGCTAACGTAGTTGTTTCAGATGGCGGCCTGGGAGTTCCAAATGCTCAACAACATCGCCTCCCGCAACGGCTGGCACACCTTCATCAGCATGCAAAACTACCACAACCTTCTGTACCGCGAAGAGGAGCGTGAAATGCACGCCTACTGCGCCCACGCGGGCATCGGCCTCGTGCCCTGGTCGCCCCTTGCCGGCGGCATCCTCGCCCGCCCCTGGAGCGCCCGCAAGAGCACCACGCGCAGCGAGGACAATCCGTATGTCGACCTCATCGCGGGCCCGGGCGACCAGGCGGTTGTGGACCGCCTGGAGGAGGTGAGTAAGCGCCTGGGCAAGAGCATGGCACAGGTGGCGACGGCGTGGAGTTTGGCTAAAGGCGTGAATCCGATTCTGGGGCTGAGTAGCGAGAGGAGGATTGATGAGGCGGTGGAGAGTGTGGGGTTGGTGCTTGCGGAGGAAGATATTAAGGCGCTGGAAGAAGTGTACAAGGCGAAGCCGGTGGCGCCAGTGTTTTAGGAGGGCAGAGAGGGGAGGTTGGACATTGGTGGTGGTTGTGCTAGCAATGGGTATGTAGAGACAGTAATGCGCACACACACACAAACAAATATAGAGAAGAGTCTGCTTTGTTACCCCTATACACCCTTTCTCTCTCTTTGTGAGCTATAGCTAAGTACGCTCTTGTACATTGATCGACTACGGGTCAGATAGCCACTCCCACCACCGACGCAATATCATCAGCCGAACTGAACTTAGTCAGTCTTCGCGACCTTGCACGCGCGCTTGTCCTCGCGCTCGTCGTCGTCCTCGTCGTCCTCCTCCTCTGGGCAGGATCTCTTGGTTGTAGTGGTGGTGTTCTTCAAGACACTGGCGTTGCCTTCCTCGATGTCATTCGCCTTGGGTCCGGAAAACTCGTTCAGGTAATCTTGATACGGAGTTTCGTCGGGAATCGTAACGTTATCGTCGATGTCATCGAAATCTGCCGACTTGATCTTAACAGCGCCACGCTTATCAGCCTCCTTGGATGACTTGACAACGTCTAGATCGACCCCAGCAGACTTGTCCTCATCCGTGGATGGCTCATCCACATCCTTCGAAGAAGGGGAAGATGAGCGCGAGGGGGCATTGGGGTCGCTCGGATAGTACTTGTTGAACAGAGGATGATCGCATGAGAAGTAGAATGCGGTGGTTGCATCCTTCGGGGGCCCAAATCCTCCGCGACCTTTGCCGTTTGAGAAAGACGTCGTGCCGGAGGACGGTTGCGACTGACCAGCCAATTTCGGCTTCTCCAGATCGACGAGAGCAGCCTTCTTGTCAGCTGAGAAGGGAATGTTCTCTTCGGGTAGCTGGACACGAATGGGTTCGGTCGTCATTGGCTTGGAGGTGTCTTTGGGTTCACGGTGGTGGGCTTCGTCAGTGGGGATCTTCTGGGCAGCCTGGCCGCCGACATCATCAGTGCGGAGCTGCGCACGGTGCGTCTCTGCATTGAAGGTCAGTATGTGGTTGCGAGGGAGCTCGGAGAGGCGACTACCTCCACCTGGACCATGGGATGAGGTCGAACCGGTTGCCATGCTGAACTAAGTCGAGGCGCTCTTCTGCCTCCGATTAGTTTGCTTCCAATCGCAGTGTGCGTGTGGGAGCATACCTTTTGAGTTGACTAAGGGAACACTATCGTCGACTCGAATGAAGTAGGGAGGCCGCGTTCGCGCGAATTTGTTGTGGATGTATGCCTATGTGGGTAAGCAATTGTATTACGCGAGCTCAAAGTATGAGAATGAGCTGGGGAGAAGGAGAGCAGGAAGCGGGCGTGGGCATTATATAGAGCGCGAGGTTGAGCACGGGCCGGCCAGGTGAAAGAACCGGCGGTATGGTAAACTGCGTCCGTGCAGTCGACTGCTGGAGAGATAGGAAGGAACGATTTCCGATACCGGCTCCTGGAAGCTATGAGTCGGCCGCTGGGGAGATTGGAAGGGGCAATTACCGACACCGGGCCTAGTAGGTGTGTCGGCGACTGGAGAGATAGGAAGGAACGGGTGCCGGTACCGGATCCTGGCAGGCATGTGGTACCGATGTTGAGCACTCACCGCTGGTAGGATGCTGCCGTAGCCGAGCGTCTGTTCCTAGAGCAAAGCTCATTGGCGTACAGTGGGGAGACATGCCTACCAAGGTACCTAGGTATGATTCGGTCACCTGAACACGCGGTGCAAACGCGGTACCTGCCTGACGATGTCCAGGCAGGCTTCCAAACGCCTGCCCAAGGTGCCATTGATCATATTCAGGCAGCAGCCTTGCGTTTGCTCCATCTTGACCGAGACCTTATCTGGCCCCCCTTTCACTTCTCCGTATCGCGTCATCCACGGTGACAGCTGGAGCTTACTGCACCGCACCATGTTGTCTGTGCGAGGCCTGTACCGTAGCTTGGGCAACGCTTCTCCGCTTCACAATGGAGGGCCTCCATTAACTTCGGCTTCCAACTTCCATAAATTCGTCTGTGCAAACCACTGCGTTCCTTTTGCTTAATCTCCTAACTCGCACTACATCGTACTTCTCCTCAACAAAGTACTTAAAGTTAACATTGAGCCAGAAGATTGCACAGATAACACCATGGCCAGCGATAGGTCGCGCGATACCACGAATCAACCGGAGAACCAGACTCGAGGACGAGAGTCGACCCCGAAGAAGAACGAGCGCACCGAAGGAGGCTCCGATAGCGAGTTCAGCGTCAACAGCGATGAGTACGATTTCGTAGAGCGCGATGTGCAGGTAGGGGCCGCGGTGCGATATCCTTAATCAAGCAATGCTCATACTCTAACGACACAGCAGGATGAGCAAGGCATCAGCCCTACACCATCATATCAGTTTCCTGGCACCTGGGAAAGCGCGATCCACGATACGTCCAACGCTCTTAAGGAAGTTACATCAGCCTCGCAGTCCTACTATGATGCCATCTCGAAGAGCGGTGTCACTAAAGCTGGGTTGTCCCTCGGTGGTGCCCTGGCCGGGACCGCTAACCGCAGTGCTCTAACGATGGCGAACTTCGCAGTCAATGCGAGCAGCACTGATCAGAGCAGGCTTCCTGCTGCTGTTAGAAATTGGCTGAAGGGTAAAGAGAAACTGGACGCTGCTAAGAGGAGGGCTCAAGAGGCCGAGAAGGCACGCCTAGCCCGGAAGTACAAGAGGGAGTTGATTGAGCGCGGGGAGGTAGTCGAGACAGCTCCGCCGAGCAGGCCGTCGTCTAGGGCCTCTGTCCACAACAATCGTCGCGATGATGAGGAATATGATGTCGTGACACCGCGACGTCCTTCCTTCGGTCGCCGCCGCTCTTCTGCAAATCGCTTTAACGCTGATTTGTCCAACTTCCACGTCGACGAGGATAATGAGGATGAGAGCGAGGCAGGGGAGATCCTCCAACTGAAACCCACACCTCAGAATCCCTGGACATTCAACAACCCTGCAGGTTCTTCTCCAGTTCCGGATCTTGAGCAGAGCATGTTCATCGCCCAGGAAGCAGAGAAACCACTCACCTTGAAGACCCCAGCGCACGCCACAGGCGTCTTCAAGAGCCTGGAGACCCCAGATACCGTTCGTCGTCGGCTGAACAAGCCATTGAACGTTGGAATGCCGTCTCGTCATCTATCCGGTCTTGGACGTGAGGTGGAGTCGCCGTACGCAGATTCCGACGATGAACAGGATCCGTATTTCAGGGGCCAGCCACGAGAATCTCATGGGTTCTCTCGTCGTCAGTCAATGGCCTCGGCTTCGCCCAGCATGCCTTCTCACGTGAAGCCGGTCTCTGGTGCAGAATCGCGTCGAGAGTCTATGAGCGCCATTTCGCCTCACCCAGGACCTGTGAGCGAGGTGGAGCATGACGAAGAACTCGAGGAGAAGCTTGAGGACAGTGAGGACATGGGCGTAGCGGGTATGTTCGAGATGGAGTGAAGGTTGAAGAATCGGGTGCTAGAGCGTGTTTTGCAGCAATAGAGGAGAAACTTGGGACAGGGTCTCCTCTTGAGAAAGGAACGGATTCTGGATAATCGATGATTCTGGAGAAAGGTTCATTGGGTATTAGGTACGCGGCATCTCGGTAGGTGCTAAGCGTACCCTTTTCGTAGTGGGCATTGCCCCGCGAAGCAATTCAGCCTCCTGCGCGGCGCGGTACGTGTAACACCCGTGCATGCTTGCAGCCTTATAGGCCACATTGTTCGAGGATAGCTGTGTGAGCTGTCAGACTCTGTCTTGTCGCGGTCGAGACATCGGCTGCAGTCTCAGGCGGCATGTCGCTCTTGCCAAACACTGTTCCTCGTCCTAATGCGCCTTCCCGTCCGGACGGGTGTGCTCTGCGCCCTTAGCCTGCCGTATAGCACCGTCTCGTTCTCTGTATCGCTGTCGTCGCTCGTGCATGGGTCGTCTGCCGGCATTCGCATGCGTCCACATCGCATTCCCAGATTTAGCCTTCTAGCCGAACCCTGCATCGGGCCACGGCGTCATCGGAGGCTCGTGCAGGCCAGCCACCGTTTCCCCATAACTCCACGCGAGCCAATCACGGCTCAGGATCGCCATCGCTCGCAGCTCCCCCGATCCACAGCTCGACCTCATCCTCTCGTGTCCTCACCTCTTTCAACCTCACGTCTGGCTTCCCTGCTCAGCGCATATCTCACCACCACGCGCGCATCATCTCTTTCATCTCGCGCATCATCGCAACTTCTACGCGCTTCAATTGAGCAGCTCTCCCGCATTTCGCGACTAAGTCCGGATTGTGTGGAGAATCACGTCATTCCATTCGTTCCGAGCTCTGTTCAGTAGAGGCGTGCAAGAATGGCCGAAACTCAGATCCAGGAAGGCGACAAAGGTACGTGCGCTCTCAATTAGCTCTTCAGCGCTCTTCTAGCGCGCCCCCATTGCTTTGGAAGCTTGCTGCGCGCACATCCCCCGGCGCGTTTGCGCTGAATTATGCGACGCGCAGATGGCGTATCGATAGTCATCCCTACCATACACCGATCTGAGCGTAGAATATAAGCTGACATATCCGCGCTCTCGCAGTCTCCTGGCAATGGGGATCAGGGAAACCCGGCGGTGAGGTTGCCGAGGTCAAGGAGCAAGGCGAGATCGCCATTGAGTCCAATAAAGGCAATACCATCAAGAAGAACGCCGATCCCGAGAACCCCGCGGTTCACATCGAAAGGCCCGGCAACGATGTCGTCAAGCGCGCTTCTGAGCTTGAAGTTGAGGAGAAGGCCAATGGCACCAACGGGGAGCAAGCCAATGGCGAGTCAAAGAAGGTAGAGGAGAAACAACCAGAGCCTGAGAAGGAAGAGGAGAAGCAGCCCGAGGCCGAGAAGAGAGACGAGGAGATGAAGGACGCCCCGGCTGCCGAACAAAAGGAAGCTGAGCCGGAGAAACCCGCTGAGGACGAGTCGAAGAAGCAGAATGGAGCACCCGAGCCGGCGGAAGAGCCCAAGGCTGAACAGCCGAGGGAAGAGTCAAAGAAAGAGACCAAGGAGGAGAAGGAGTCACAGACACCCAAGGCAGAGAAGAAGACCGAAGCACTGAAGACAGGGACGAAGCGCAAGGCCGAGGACTCTCTAGCCGCTGAAACTGATGGCGCTGAGGCGGAGAAGGACGAGCCGGCTTCCAAGAAGACAAAGACGGACGAGACGAAGGCCCAGGGCAAGGGCAAGAAGGGCGGCCGTCCGAAGGCCACTGAGGAGAAGGAAAAGAAGGAGCCTGTCCGGAAGAGGCAGCCCAAGAAGGCTGCTACCGCCGATGGCCAGCCTCGGCGAAGCGCCAGGAACCGGTCCTAGATGCCGTCACGTCTATGTCCTGGCCGCGGCGAGGATCCTCGGAAATAGGTGACGTCGCGACGGATACGAGTTTCGTGGTAATCCTTTACTTTAACGAATGGGAGGCGGTGGGCTTGGGGAATACATCGGTTGAAAAAGGCGGCGGTTTCTCAATGACGGCGCTCAAGGACTTGCAATTTTTACTGATTTTCCGCTGATTTCGCTGCTGTTTCGACTGATCTGGTCCAATTTCACTTTCAAGCTGTACCATAGCTGTCATCGTCTGTATTTCCTACGGATCTCGGAAAAGCTATGGAAAGTACAGATAGTTAATCAAAAGTGAAACGCTATCGATTGGCTGTCTGTGATGCCTTGTTAGCTTGCTGAGCTGCGAAGCACGTAATTTGGAGAAGTAGGGTGGGCTCGGTATCAGGTTGGAAAGTATCATTCAATGAGGCAAAGCACGACGCCTCTCCGATCCGTCTTGAAACTTGAAATTGAAAGAATCATCATGAAGAGCTGAGAATCTGAAAGAAGAGACGTGACTTACCTGCAGGACCCGACTCTGTGGGCCGGCTAACACGACGCTCACACAACATTGACCGTCCCTCGCGCCACCAGAGCAATATGCCTCGTAAAAGTCTGCGTAATCGGCTCCTATAGCGCCTTAGGCATCTGCAGAGATGTCATCCCTGCTGGCGATATGCGGTCGTGAACAGCTGTGAGGAGGTTGAGGGCAGTTCGGAAAGGCAGCGTCGAAAGTTCTTTCCAAGCGAAGGCTTGGCACGGACCAGCTAATCTCCCTCAGGTCGACCACCTCAACTCCACCATCTTTACACCATTAAACTTTGTGGATGACCGTTGCCTTAGGTTTTCTGCTCAATTACGCGTACATCTCATCGAAGCACCTTCAAATCACCGCTTTTACGATCCAACGCCTTCCCAAACATGCCCATCGACTGAACACGAAACTTATCAAACTCAATGCCAGAACAGCGCAGAAGAACGCGACCATTGGCTGTGGACCTACGGTCTGTACCAGCTCGCCACTGATCGGAATGCAGACCAGCGTCGCCAGACTTGCGATGAAATACATTGACCCATAATACCGTCCAAATTCCTCGGCCCTACAGAGCTGGCCAACACAGGCCGGCGTGAGCGCCATCCAGCTCCCCGTTCCAAATCCAAAGAGCGCCGCGAAAGCGTATATTGCGGGAAGCGAGCGGTCCCCTAGCGGCAGCCAAAGGACCAGCATGACCACTAACGTAAAGATAATCATGATCAGCAGCGTGTTGAACCGTCCGATCTTGTCCGCTAGGTAGCCTGGCAAAATGCGCCCCAGACATGACACACCGTTCAGCACTGAGATCAGGTAGAAACCTGTATCTGCCGGGTAGTTGGTGCTCAACGTTGCATACGTGGGTAGGATACCCAGACCTCCGAAGAGAACGACCTCGAAGCCGAACACGCTGATCGTGAAGAGACTGAAGCGCAAGTCCCCGAATATCGACAGCGATATGATTGCTTTCTTCTTCGCGGCGGGAGTCGGAGGGATTCGGGCTTTCATAAGGATGTTGCCAATGACGAAGCAGCCCAAAAACATGAACCCGAGAATACGGAGAGACCAAGCGTACCCGTATTTGGGAAATGTCGACCTCAGTATCAACGGAATCGACAGGCCTCCAGTGGAGCTTCCCATCATCGCGATGCCTTGAGCGAGACCTCTTCGGGCTTTGAACCAGTGCGCTACCACGGCAAGCGATGTCGTTGTTAACATCGCGCCTGTAACGCCGCCCAGCACACCGCAGCATAGAATCATTTGCCAAAATGTTTCGCATTCGGCAAGGAGGAACATCATGACCAGGTACCCAGCGCTCCCCAGAAGAGCAATCCACCGAGGCCCGTATCGATCGAACAGTGGGCCAATCCAAATGCCCAGACCCAGGGAGAGATAGACGAAAACCGAAGGTATCCAGCCAACATCGCGAGCCGTGTAATGCGAAAGCTGATGTTGATTCCAGTAATCTTGAAGTGTTCCAATTGCAACCATGAAGCCAAAAGACGGGAGGAGCATCAACCAGGCGGCGGTTACAACAAGCCATGCCCTCAAGCCGCCTTCTGGGAAGTTGTCCTCAAAATCAACTTCAACAGCTATCTCTTCGTCTGGCATAGTGTCTGATTGTTCTGGGTTCGACGGTGGGCGCTCCGGAATTGACACTTCCGCCACATGATGGGGATGTGCTTCCTTCTCATTCTGCGCGCGGTCCGCACTCTTGCTCATGTTCGACAACGCCCTCGTCAAAGGACCCAACTCTGCTGCCGATATCGCTTCGTGCCCACCGCCTGACGGGAACTCTTGCAATTGAACAGCGGATTCGCTACAGCATCCATCTCGTCTCGCTTTTCTCTTTATACCCCTTTCAACTTCTGTGGTAACGACCCAAAGAATGCGAGCACGAAATTTATGACGAGCCTGACCATACCGACGGTTTATGTAGTTTCTAATCGGAGTATAGTTGTTTGACACATCGACATCATGCATACGCCCTTTGAATGCGCCCTATCGGCAAAGGCTGGCAAAATGTGGAGCGAGCCGCGGACCAACTGCAGCCAGACCAGACGCCCAACCGGTTGCCCCGCGTCTGCAGCCGGAAATCCGATTAACTGCGAAAGGAATGCGATTCCGAGATTTCATTACCTCTCCTTTTCGAAAGTAATGCGAGAGCGAATGTATAAGAAGCAAACATGCGATTCCAGTGGCGATGAGAGAGTTCTCTCTGACTCTGCTGCCGAGATTGCAGATAGTCACAGCGCGCTTTTCCTGATCAGGAACACTACACCAAGAACGAACGTTGGGCATCACAGCTTGCAGATCGTTTTCGCTGGCGGCCAATACTGCAACGGCTTGATACGGGTAAGGTGCTTCCTCTGGGCGACACCTACCCTCTCCGATCGTATCTACAATTCCGCCGCTTTCTGTACGCACCACAGTATTCCGAGGCCATTCCGATGCTGTTCTGACTCACAGTGTTCCAACGTCTGAGGCATCCTTGGAGGATGAGAGTGGTACAGGCTCCCCTTCTCCCCTCGCTGTCCTGTGTCTCGATTGCTGAAGTCGTTGAGCGAGATTTGCGTTCGCATGCATCCGCGATATTTGCATCCAGCCCATACGGGACTCACAAGAGGGAGCCAACCTAGGCTAGAGCAAGTGGGCGTAGAAAGAAGCAGCGTGGATATATGGGCAGAGCTGGCCTGAACGAACATAGAGTGAGCCAATTGACGGACTCACAGAGTGGCCTTCTGCTGCTCGCGACTACCAACTCAGTCGAGCTAATGGGGGACCCCGTCTTACGGTTGAGAATACGGAATGGTTGCTCTTCGAATTTTGAAGCGGCATCCCCGCTTATTTTATGATGATTGCGGCTTAATAAGCCAGCCTTCTGCATGGGATTGGGGGCCAATAAAGACCGACTTACCCAACTCAAAATCAGCCTTACCAGTCTTCCAAGTCTTCTGAACTCTAGATATTGATTCCGAACCATAGCTAGAGATGTCTAGCGCAGGACCTTCGGGCGTTGAAAAGCGCGGTTCAGCCGCGACGGTGCGCGTAAGTACTGAGTTCTCACCTCGCTTCAGTTCAGCTGCTGACTCACAGGCCTGCGATACGTGTCGAAGAAGAAAGAGAAGATGTAAATGGGCCCCTGGCGCAAACAGCTGTACTCCTTGTCTTCAGATCAAAGAAGAATGTACGACTACTCATGTACGCAAGCCGAGATCGAAGCCTCAAAAACGGTAAGTTGGAGCCAAAAATTGGCAAGCCGTTGCTGACATAGAAAAATAGGGACCGCATCGCCGAATATGAAAGTCGGATCCAAAGATTGGAAGCTCTTCTCAAGGAACGTAGCGAAGCCCAACCGCAGGTCCAGGAGCAACCTCTTCAACGACCGGATGATCAGGTGCATCTATCTACCTTGGTGGACAACGTCCGGAACGAGGCCGCAGCCTTTCCATCTAGCCAGGCCATGAGTATCAGTCCTCTCGCATACGAAGGAGGCTTGGGACCCATTGACCCGGAACGAATCTTAACCGACCCATCCCTGGACCCAAGCAGCACTGAAGACCCTCTAGACGACCTTTTCGAACCCTCAGCTGAGTTCCAAGAAGACGCCGCCATCCTCCAAGACCCGTCCTTCCAACCCTCCTCAGCCTCAGCCTCCATGTCAAACCTCAGCATCTCCCCAGCCCCTGTCCCTCGCATCCCTACCGCATGCGAATACTCCCTTCCGCCACCTGAGCTCGGCACCTCTCTCCTCGCCGAATTCCTGGTCGACTTCAACACCGTCTACCCCCTGTATCGCCCCTACGCCATCGCAGAGCATCTCCGGGTCTGCTACGCAGGCGGTTCAGATGGCACGCCGCTCGCCTGGGCGAGCGTCTACGTCGTGTTGGGTATCGCGCACCGCTCGCGCGCAATGAGTGCGGTCGCTACGCCGCAGGATAATGCAATGGCCGACTTCTACATTGCGAGAATTCTCCCGACTGTATCGGGGCTGCTGCTCGCGCCGCCGAGTCTTGGTCTTGTGCAGTGTTTGCTAGGGGTTGCGATGTTGATTAGGACGAGTAGCTACTCGACTCCACATGTGCTATTCGTCTCAACAGCCCTGCGCATAGCGCAAAGTCTCGCGTACAACGACGATCAACACCTTGCATCGACGACCGCTTCAGTTTCGGCCTCAGAAGATTCAGATGCTGACATCGAGCAACAGCGCCGCGTCTTCTGGCTCGCCTTCATCCAGGACACGGACGAATCCATCCTCAGCAATCTACCCACATCGCACCGCCGAGAAGACATAACCACCAGCATCCCGGACGAAAACCCAGAGGATTCCTTGGGCGCTGTGAAAGCCGCCGAGGGGAACTGGACGGTGAACCTCTTCTCGCTCCGCGCCCGCCTAGCTCTCATCCAAGCGTGGGCCATCGAGCAAGTGTTCTCTATCAAAGCGCGCAACAAATCGGTGGAGGAACTTACCGCCGCCACGCACAGCCTTCTCGGCCGTCTGAGGGAATGGCACAGGCATGAGTTGTTTCAGCTTAATGTGCAAGAACTGCAACAGTTGCTCTATCGCTCCGATTTTCTGCACGTGCTGACGGTCGAGGCGAGCTACTTTGCTACCGAGTTTCGACTCCATGGGTTTCTGGCGCTGGGCATGGATCCGAGGGTGAATCCTTTTTCGGCTGATGCCTTGACGCAGCTGGCGAATCAGAAAGAGCACAATTCTTTCAAGGACGCCCAGCGGCTGCTCTCCCTCCTTGCGGTCGCTCCGCAGGGTGATGTTGGAATATGCTGGTACGTTCCCCTTCTCGCAGGCCATTCCCCTCTGTCTTCACCGCACACTTTTACTCACGTAAAACTAGGATGACCAAGCTCCCCATTATCGCAGCCCTCGTTACTGTACTGGCACACCATCTCCATTACCCCAACGAGACACCTCCTTCATCCGACTCTATGCGCGAGTACAGTCGCATTCTGCGCATGCTGAGCACGTTGATCGAGAAGCGCCCAGATTTTGAGGTTCAAAAGATGAGGGACCTATGTATGGTGCTATTCTCCAGGGTCGAGACGGGGTTGAGGGTATCATGGCTGAACAATGTCGTTGATGAAGGGGAGCTAGGGTCGGCATAGGCGGGGAAGAGAGATAAGGTGGTGGTGAAGGATGAGACAGAGAATTAGTACCCGAAGAGAAGTGTAGGCGCAGAAGCGAAGATACCGAACACAGGGCTCCACTATGCATTGAAAAGCGGACATACGTAAGGGTTAGCTTTGGCTAGGAGAGGACGCGTAGAAGCAAGCGTCAAGCGTTGAACGTGCGCACCGTTAGGGACAGTTCATCGAACATGGCGGTACAGTTTGACAGGTGTCTCGGAAGCATAGCATTAACAGCGCATCCAGGAAATGACGGCCTTTTCTCAAACTATACATCCATCAACCCCCATATCCAACGCGGACAATTTTCCGTGACAAAACAGAAGCAATGTGATGTCTTATCAGATCAGATCTCGCACGCACCCGTTAGTTTCCGATATGGCCAAGCCCTGGCCCACTCCCCGCCCTGCAGGGACCGCGCACCCATCCTTTGTCAACCCACACCGTAACCGGCAGTTCACGCCGCCCGCCCACGAATAGGAGTATCCACAGCATACGACGTGCGTTCTAGACGGGCATGGCGTCATTTCACACTATGCTTAGCGCATTCGTGCCTGCCATCGGGGCGGCGTGGACAGCCGGGCGACGCTGGGTGGTGACCTAGTCGACTTCATACTACGGATCCGGGACGGACCCTGACGGCCGCGATGCGGTGGTGACGGACAAATAGTGATCGGCTCGTCGCCACGGTATATTCTCCACTGACCGCTTTGGAGTAGAACTGACAGCTAGGAATCTCAACACGTCAAGTGCGGCAGGCGTTTTCTCACTTCCTTCTCTTCCAACCCTGCGCGTTTGCCCCACTATCAATCCAACCCATCTAGCGCCGCTTCTCAGAAATTCTTCCGCGCGCCCTCTTCAGCAGCGCACCGCAGTCGGAGAGCCACCATGGCCTCCACGCCCACCGAACACCCCTCCACAATTTCTACCCTTCCGACGAGACAGAAACCGATCCCCTACTCCTGCGTCAACGGGCAGCGCACCCCGCTCTCCTCCATCCTTCCGCCCCTCATCTTCGGCACCGCAACCTTCAACCACCAATACAACTCCGACCCCTTCGCGCTCGACACCACCGGCCTCGTAACCTCCGCCCTCACCCACGGCATCCGCGCCTTCGACACCTCCCCATACTATGGCCCGTCCGAGCAATTGCTGGGCGAAGCGCTGGCGACGCCCTTCGTCCGCGAAACGTTCCCCCGCGCTTCATACATGCTCCTGACGAAGGTCGGCCGGATAGGCGCCGAAGAATTCGACTACTCCGCCCAATGGGTACGCCACAGCATAAAGACTAGCCTGGAGCGCCTGCACACTTCCTACCTCGACCTGGTCTACTGCCACGACGTCGAATTCGTCTCCCCGGCCGAAGTCCTCGAAGCCGTGCGCGAACTGCGCCGGCTCCGCGACGAAGATGGCACAATCCGCTACATCGGCATCTCGGGCTACCCGCTCGACGTGCTGGGCGACACGGCGGAGCTGATCCTCCGCGAGACCGGCGAGCCGCTCGACGCAGTGCAGTCCTACGCCAACTTCACGCTGCAGAACCAGGCGCTCGCGGGGCCCCGCGGCATCCACCGCCTGCACGCCGCGGGCGTCGGCGTCGTCCCCAACGCCTCGCCCCTGGGCATGGGCCTGCTGCGCCGCCAGGGCGTGCCCGTCGGCGCGCTCGGCGACTTCCACCCCGCGTCGCGCGAGCTGCGCGCCGCCGTGCGCGCCGCGTCTGCCTTCTGCGACCGCCACGCCGAGAAGCTCGAGGTCATCGCTATCCGCTACGCGCTCGAGACGTGGATCTGCGCCGGCGCGCCATGCGGCTCCAAGGGCGACCCCGCGTCCGGCGTGCCCTGGAAGCACGAGTCGAACTCTGACGTCGGCGGTGCCAGGCTCGGCGTCAGCGTCATCGGCGTGTCGCGCGCGCCCGAGCTCGAGAAGACGATGCTCGTGTGGCGGTCTATCCTGGACGGGCTGGAGGGCGGCGAGGAGACGGCGGTGCAGGCGGGACGGTGGTACAGGGCGTGGGAGTGGAGCAGGAATAGGCGGAAGGCGGTGCAGATACTGGCAGAGGGCGTGCAGGAGGTTCTGGGCCCGTGGTTTGGCTACGCGTGGCCGAGTCCTGGGGAGGGCTTTGTCAATCGGAGGAAGAAGGATGTGAGGGTCGTGGTGGAGGATGGAGAGGCGCCGTGGTTGACGCCCGCGGCGAGTCCGGAGGCGGGGCCTGTGGATGGGGAAGAGGTGTGTGAGAAGGCGTTGCCGCTGAGGTGATGCGCGTCTGTGGATATGTGGAGGGCGGATGTGTGCGTGTTTGAAGCACTGCGATTAGAAGGCGGTATGATGCGCCTATCACGAATCTCTTTGAAGCATTTTACAGCTTCCCATCCATAGACGGATCTCAGTGTAGAATTGCGCTGTATAGCGCTCCACCGGCGAGGTATCATTTCGTCACCCTTACAATATATCGCATCTTTCCCGATTCATAAGCGTTTACGAAGCATCTGTCCTATAATTTTCATAGATATATATACAATTTCCGCTCTTCACGGCCCTTTACAGCTTCGCAAAAACCGTCGGCACCTCCCCACCCATCTCTACCAGTGTGCTCTTATTCCTGACCCACGCCTCCAGTCCCCTCCGCCCATTCTCAACGCCCACACCGCTCATCTTCCACCCCCCGACACTCATCTCCGCCGGGCTTTCTCCCCATGTATTCACCCAGGTGATGCCGGCTTCCAGCTTCGCAATGACCTGGTGAGCGAGATTCAGATCTTTGGTAAACACACCGGCGGCTAATCCGAGCGTGGTGTTGTTGGCGCGGGCGATGCATTCGTCGACAGTGCGGTAGGGAAGGATGGTCATTACCGGGCCGAAGATCTCCTCGCGCACGATGCGCATGCTGTCGGAGCAGTTTGTGAAGACCGTGGGCTGGATCCAGTAGCCGTTTTGGTAGTCCTTGTCGCGGTGGCTAGCGAGCCAGGTGGGTTTATCGAGGCCGCCGCAGAGGAGGGTTGCTTTGTCCACTTCGATGCCGTGTTTGACGTAGGATTGCACTTTGTCGTAGTGCGGCTTGCTGACTAGCGGCCCGAAATTGGTGTTCGGGTCGAAGACGTCGCCGGGGCGGATATGCTTTACTTTCTCTAGCAGCTTCTGCTCAAACTGGGATTTCATGGATTCAGGGACGAAGACGCGGGTTCCGTTGGTGCAAACTTGGCCAGTCGAGAAGAAGTTCGCCATCATGGCGCCGTCGACTGCTTGATCGATGTCTGCGTCTGGGAGAATGACGCAGGCAGATTTGCCGCCGAGTTCCATGGTGACGTACTTCATGCCGCCTGCTGCGCTCCCTGCTACTTTTTGGCCTGTTGATACCTGTCCTGTGAAGCTGACTTTGGCAATGCCGGGATGTTGTGTGAGGTATGCGCCGACATCTCCGCGGCCCTGGACAACGTTGAAGACGCCTGGCGGTACTCCGGCTTCTGTGTATATCTCCGCGAGCACGGTCGAGTGCAGTGGTGTAAATTCGGAGGGCTTGTAGACCATTGTGTTTCCGGTTGCTAGGCAGGGCGCCGATTTCCAGAGAGCGATTTGAATTGGGTAGTTCCAGGCTCCAATGCCTGCGCACACCCCGAGAGCATTCTTTGTAGTGTACACCCACGCATTGGGTCTCAGCTGGACTGTCTCGCCGTTCAGGCCTCCACCTCCCACCATGTTTGCGAAGTATTCGAGCACATCGGCGCCTGTTACGATGTCCACTGTCGACGTCTCTGAGAAAGCCTTCCCTGTGTCATGTGTCTCGATGTTCGCAAGCTCATCGTTTCGGGACCGGAGGATAGCGGCGGCTTTCTGTAGTATTCGTGCACGCTCGATGGGGGGCGTGGATGACCATGCGGGGAATGCTTTCCGCGCTGAGGCGACAGCGGCGTCTATGGCGCTATGTGCGGTGGTGTGGATGTCGGCGAGGGGCTGTGCGGTTGCGGGATCGAGCGTCTGGAAGGAGGATGTCGAGGTGGCCTGCTGAAGCTTGCCGTCGTAGTAGGCGAAGCGCGGAGGATAGGGAGGAGGCATGTTTGCTTTGAGCTGAGATGTCAATGAGGGGAAGTTTGCGTATGAGCGGGCTGCCAGATCGTGCGGCGTGAATTAGCAGCTGGCGCTCTCTCCTGCTTTCGGTCAAAGACTACAGCTTCCAGGCGTGCAAAGCTGTCAATTGACCGCAATGAAGCCGTCATCCGACGTGCAGACGCCAATTGCCTCCTGCGGCGCTCGGATCAATCGTGGAGCTTCGGTGGTGGCGGGGTAGCTCCAAACAGCAATTCTCTCCGCCAGGGCCTGGCTGTGAGAGATACGGGCAGCAAAATCGCAGCCAGTCGCTCTTCTATCGGATTGCTGCCGGGCGATACGGGCGGTCGCAGGCTTTGAGGCGTTTGCGGTGATACCAGCGAGCGTTGATAGCTCTCGGACGGGATCAAGCTGCCCCAAGCAGCCGGCAGAAAAGTGGTGAAGTGGGGTCGGGTTGCGTCGGCGCATCACACCGCCAGGATACGCGAACCTGATCGGGCTAGCCGCAGAGGAGCAGCAGGGATACCGGCCTTGGCTGCAGCTTTTAGTGGGGTCGAATGAACCCCGGCTTCGCCAGATCACATCATCGGACCTGGCGATGAGGAATTTGGACGAGTTTGCGGGGGGGACGGGGAACGAAAGAAAAGGTGAAGTGCCGTGTGGGGAGTGCTTGCGGCAGCATTGTCAGAGCCCGTTCACTCGTCTTTGTCGACCCTTGGCGTCCGAACTCTCGCCCCTCCTTGAGAAGGGCTACGGATCTTGCCATCTGCGAGTGAAGCTCTACGCGCAGATAGGGCACGTGCAGTCGCCCGAGGGCCCGACCACTGGGCGGACGCGCCGTCTTATCCAGGAAGCCCACAGACATCTTCTGCAGTAGCCCGCCTGGAACCGCACGTATCTCGACCCATCTGACCACGCCCGATTCACGCCAGGCCTGCGTTGCCCTGCATAATCGCTCCTTCACTAACGCCTCGGATTGGCCTCTCGTGGAGCTACTATTTAAAAGCTCCGACCTCCATCTTTTGAATTTTCGTGCGAGACGACTAAGAAGTCGACCATCCGCTTTTTCCTTTCCTCGTCGTACCAGGTACTCCGAGCAACATGTCCCCAACTACCACCACCGTCCCGCTCTATGCCGCCTACGACTTCGTCATCGTGGGCGGCGGCACAGCGGGCTGTGTCATCGCGTCCCGCCTGTCGGAATACCTCCCGAACAAGTCTGTCCTCTTGATTGAGGCCGGCCCTAGCGATTTCATGGACGACCGCGTGCTGCTGCTCAAAGACTGGTTGAACCTCCTTGGCGGCGAGCTCGACTACGACTATGGCACCACCGAGCAGCCCATGGGCAACTCGCACATCAGACACTCGCGCGCCAAGGTGCTAGGTGGCTGTTCGTCCCACAACACCCTCATTTCCTTCAGGCCATTCGAGTACGACTGCAAGAGGTGGGAGGCCCAAGGGTGCAAGGGCTGGAGCTTCAAGACCTTCACGCGTGTGCTCGATAATCTGCGCAACACCGTGCAGCCTGTGCATGAGAACCACCGGAACCAGCTCTGCCTCGACTGGGTGGACTCGTGCTCCAAGGCGATGAACATTCCCGTCATTCACGACTTCAACCACGAAATCAAGACCAAGGGCGCTCTAAAGCCATGCGTTGGTTTCTTCTCGGTTTCCTATAACCCCGATGATGGCCGCCGGAGCAGCGCTAGCGTGGCCTACATCCACCCCATCCTCCGCGGTGAGGAGAATAGGAAGAATCTGACCGTGCTCACCAACGCCTGGGTCAGCAAGGTCAACGTCAAGGGCGACAAGGTCACAGGCGTGAACGTAACCCTTCAGAATGGCGAGAAGCGCACATTCAACCCTCGGTGCGAGACCATTCTCTGCGCAGGCGCAGTCGACACTCCCCGTCTGCTCCTTCTCTCCGGTCTCGGTCCCAAGGCTCAGCTCTCAGATCTCGGAATTCCCGTCGTCAAGGACATCCCCGGCATTGGCGAGAACCTGCTTGACCACCCCGAGAGCATCATCATCTGGGAGCTGAACAAGCCCGTCCCCCCGAACCAGACCACCATGGACTCGGACGCCGGCATCTTCCTCCGCCGACAGGTTCCCAACGCAGCAGGCACAGACGGTGATATAGCAGACATCATGATGCACTGCTACCAAATCCCGTTCTGCCTGAACACGGCACGCCTCGGCTACGATTCCCCCATCGACGCCTTCTGCATGACGCCCAACATCCCGCGTCCCCGCTCCCGCGGCCGCATCTACCTCACCTCCGCAGACCCCAACGTGAAGCCCGCGCTCGACTTCAGATACTTCACCGACCCCGAAGGCTACGACGCCGCCACCATCGTCGCGGGCCTCAAGGCTGCGCGTGAATGCGCCAAGCAAGCTCCCTTCTCGCAATGGCTCAAGCGCGAAGTTGCCCCTGGCCCGGACGTTCAATCCGACGAGGCGCTGTCCGAGTACGGACGCCGCGTTGCGCACACGGTCTACCATCCGGCCGGCACCACCAAGATGGGCGACGTGAGCAAGGACCCGCTCGCAGTCGTCGACCACGAGCTCAAGGTGCGCGGCTTGAAGGGCGTCAGGATTGCGGACGCGGGGGTCTTCCCCGAGATGCCGACTATCAACCCCATGCTCACGGTGCTGGGCATTGGCGAGCGCGCGGCGGAGCTCATCGCCCAGGAGTGGGGATGGAAGGGCTTGGAGAAGGAGAAGTTGTAGACATGCATGGGGTTCTTTAACGGTTCAGGATAGCTGGTATGTAACGGCAAGGGAAAAGCTGGTGTTGTTTTTCTCCGGATATGGATGGCCGGCTGGCTTCATTCAGGTAATGTAGGTTCCTACCTTTACGTGAATTTGTGACGATAATGAAATGAGCTATTTCTACAACGCGCCAATGTCCCATTGCAGCCAGCAAGCCAGCCAGCCACTTGTCTTCCCGTGCCGTGCAACTTTTCTCTCTGCTGTCAAAGGCCGCCCAAACGCTTCGTGCTGCTATCAGTGCGGGCACAAGAACGCCCAAAATGCTCCCAAAAGTCGCCCGTAGGATAGATAGATAAACACTACAGACCGAACCGCGTTACTCCTCAGGACCTAGACTAGACATCCCGAATCCTTTCCTTGATGCACAATCCCACCCGGGCAGTTCGAACTGCTAGATGCTCGAATGCCGATCTAGCTAATATCTATAATACCATACCACTGTCCAACATTCGTTCATCACTCGGACGCCCCTTTTCCTTTACCTTTACATTTACCAACGGTAAATACTACATTGACTACCCCTACCCACCGCATTACTATCTCCCTTCTGCTACTATATCCGCATACCTACACATACCCCTCTCTTTCTCTCCACCTTCGATGCTTATCTATCTTCTGTACTATGCTACACATGTCAACCCCACTCCCACTCCCCCGCCCCATCTTCCCATCCCCCCATCCCAAGCGGGCTAAACCATCCATCCAACCAAGCCCACCCTTCCACAGCTCGATTCGACCACGCGATACGCAGCCAAGTCTCTGTCGGTCGGAAGCAGACGCGCCAAGTTACTATGTACCCAGCCCGAGAAAAAGAGCGCGAGTAGTCTTATGAGGATTCTGAGTTTTTCTAACGGGGGCTGAGGGGGAGATCGCTGGATTGACTCTGGCTGGGCTGTGCGTGGTTGGCTAGTTGGGTTCTTTTTGCTGCTCTCGTGGGTACATGGGAGGGGAGGGGAGAGAGAGAGAGGCGGTAAAACGGAGAGAAGAGGAGAGGAGGCGGTGTATGGGACGGATGAAATGAATGGATGGGTGGGAGGATGGATGGAGTCGGTGCGGCATAGCAGCAGTGTCTGTTCTTCGCACGGGAAGGTATCTCGAAAGAAGATGGTGTTGCATTGGTAGACCAAAAAGATGTGGGGTGTATACGCATGCCAGTGAGGCCTGCAGCGACCGTTGCTCAAGCAAACGTCTTCAACCGACATCTGTGCACCATTCTACCAGAATCCCGAGCGCATTCAGGCGTCGCTTTGCTAGTGCGACGTTCGCTTCATCCGAGTCGTCGGTGGCGGAGCTCTCCTAGAGCGTGAAGGTTAGTGCGTGTTAGATGAGCATGGGATCGACTGCGGAAGGGTGGACCGCGCGTCCGTATGACGTCTTATAGATCAGAAGAGAGTGACACCTACCTCAATCCCGACTTGCCCTCTACCGCCTGTATGGGCGCTGCCCGTTGGGGCGGAGTACCCCCCGCCAATATTCTCGCCAATCCCATCAGCATTCCACTTCTTCCTTATCAACACCACCCTACTCAGCTGCGGCGCATTTCCGGCTTCCCGATGCTCAAGTATAGTCCACAAGGCATCGAAAGCTGCAGCCATATTCTTTGTCCTGATCCAAAAGCTCTTCAAGCTGTTGGGCAACAGCAGGTAAGCCTCGAGAATATTCGGGTCCAGGTCTGGCCAATCGAGCTCCAACCTCCCGATCGACGAAGACTTGTCGAGGAACTCCTCCAGCGCTTCGAAAGTCTCCGGTTCCGGCGTGTGCGACAAGGAGATGGAAAGGCCCGCGAGTGTCTTATGGCTATGGAGGGAGCTTAGTATCTCGGACGTGAAGAAAAGGGCGGGCGATGGAGCGGCTATGGATTCCGTGACGGAGAAGGAGGCAAGTTGGCTGATCGTCCGCAGGACGTCACCTGTGAAGCATTGAGGCTTGGAGGTGAAAGTACTGTGCTGGTGATGACTAGGCGTGAGCATGGTGTGCTGGCAGACGAGCGAGATGCTCGTCAGCTGGAGACTGGACAGTATTTCGGCAGTTTCGCTAGAGCTAGACGCCGAGAAGCCGTCGAAGGAGAGTGCTCTGAGTTCTTGCAGTGAGCGGAGGAACGCCAGGCTTTGGTGGTGCAGATTGCCTTGGAGGCTCAAGTCTTGAAGCCCTGGGAAGAGCGTGCCCAGCAGGCCCAAAACTTTCATTAGGAACTCGCGGTAGAGATGAGATTGTCGGCCCGGTAGCGCTCGGAGGGTGAACGTCTTGACGTTTCGAAGTTTCCCTAAAGCCTGACTTAGTTGCTCAAGCTCACTTTCATACAGCTCCCATACCCGAAGTCGAGGCACTGAATCGGGCTCAGTGGTCGGGGAAACGATTGGGCTCAATAGCGGTCTCAGATCCACATCCTGAAGATCCAATATCGCCTCGGTGACGTGTTGGAGAAGGTCTTGAGGTGCTTGCTCGAGCCATTGGTGCAAGGCTGGCTGACTCCGGACGAGTAAGGGCCGTTGGAAGAGGAGTTTGTGCGCATCCGAATAGACCTCGCGGCAGACCCTTAGGAGCTCTGTGCCTCGCGAAGGCTGTAAAAGCGCTTCCCGGTAGATCAGCTCTCGTAGTTCGAGAGGTAGAGCGAGGAGACGGGGAGACGCGCCAGCCATGGCGTGAAGGTGCGGATGCTCTTGCGGTCGATATTGCCTTTGAGCCTTTGCAGAGGGTATTTGTCAGATGCGCATAAAGTAGGAAGAACTGCGTTTGTAATTGCTGGGTCTTCAGAAGTGAGGCGTAGGACGTTTCTCGGCGGATTCCTATTGCCTGTACAAGTGCCCCTCTTAAAGCTGGCTATAGGAGGGGTCGGCAAGGATTGCATGCAGAAGAAGGGCAACGATATTGGCGAGTAGAAGGTAGTTGAACCCCGGTCTAGTGGATCGGCGGGACCAGAACCTGAACGGTAAAGCATCGTGAACCTTGTACTAAATGTGATTTCTGAACAACCAAATGCTGTTGACCAATGTGAAGCGTGCCCTCCGCCGGCCATGGCGTTTCCGTGTGTCGAACGCCATGTGTTCTCTTGAAAAGAAAGAATCCTTGCTGGCATGAAGGTATCTGCGTTTACTAGTCGCCTTTGGTAGGTCCACTAGGTCCGAAACACGGTAGAAACTCCGCTCGCTTATAGAGAGGCCTCTGGGCAAACTTAGATAGCCGAAGGGGTGGCGCAGATAGTCCCGCACACTAACACAATAAAGTGGGTTAACTAAACCCCGGCATGCAATTTCTTTGGGGAGCCAATGAAATCGTTTGACAGTGGACAATTGGAGAAGAGACTCCATGATGATTGGGTGTGCAAGGAAGAAATCGAGCATTGCCACAACACCCATCGACTTGCCGGTACTTTTTCAAGAGGGTTGCGTGGGCGGTGCCACCTAGAGCGGTGACAAGCTCAAGCCATGCCAGCGTGAACACCCGAGCTCCGCCGAAGCAATCAGGAAGAGCTACGGGGGGAAGGCGTTGATGCACTACCAATTCGACATGCTGAAGACCAACCCGGAAGGCTTTCAGGCTTGTTGTGGTACAAAGCCACAATGTATGCGCGGGCTTTTCAACGTAGAATCCCATGCTCGGGGGGAAATCGTACGATGATGGTGCCATTTCTGCTTTGAGTCTGAGCCAAAGTGAGCCAACCGGATCGTTCCGAGAAGCTTGCTTTTGCTTTTCTTTGTGACACTGCTGACTGTTCGGCGGCAATTCTGGAAGTAGTTCCTGCCCCGAGAGGTGAGGAATCAGACAACGGGTAGATGATCGATCCTTGACCTACGGCGGACTTGTGGCAGAACAAGTCTCTATAAACCACTGGGAGCCTTGTTTCCATGGAAACGGTGATCGGGGAGGCCACGAATGCTACGAGCAGCAGCACGGCGGCCAGCTCCGCGTTAGGGTTAGCGAATGGCAAACCTTGAAGCAATGCAGGCTCTCTCGCAGCCGAAGGACGGCAGCTCGATCAGCCGCATATGCGGGGTCGGGAACGAGGATCGAGGAGGGTCGGAATAGCGAGGAAAGGGAAGTGGAGTAGGGGTAGGGCGAGGCTTTGCGCCAATCCTCGTGGTTCTGCAAGCCATCGCGTGTCTAAAACGCTCAGAGTGGCTTGAAAGTATCCTCAATAAGCTCAGCCGGTGCTCACCGTGCTCAGCTCGGTGTTGCTTGGCCGCAAAGGAATCATACGATCGCGGTTCTGCTCCGTTGCTTTCGTTGGCCCAAAGCAAATCGGACAGAGGTAAGGGAAGTGTATGAGGATATCTTGGAGATGGCTTTTGGTGGAGGTGACAGAAATCGATGTCTGACGGATTGGAGGGGTGGCAGGCGCTAATGACGTGGCTAAGCCGCTTCTGGATTGGGCTGGAACATCTGCATATGGAATTCTGGACCTCTGGCCAGGTCTTGTGTGACCACCCTCGACACCGCAACTCTCATCGCTCTGCTTCAGCGTCCGACGTTCATGCCTGGCCTTTATTTGGCAAGCCGCAATAGAGCGGGCTTTGCAGTTGCTTGATAAGAGTCGTCACCGGCCGCAACCGAAGACGCTGCTTGAACAGCAGCAGCGTGAACAGTTCGGTCTGTTGAGTGATTATTATTCGTCCCACATCCGACTACTCGTCTGCCGCATGTGATGGTGGCGGCCTCTAGATCCCGAGAAGGCGCGCAACTGAAAGCCACTCTCGAGCCCTTCTATGGAACTTCCAGAACTGCACATTGTCGTCCATGGCGTCGAACGCTCCAATATGCTCATGCACCTCCTGAATACCACATGCGGCAATACTTGCTGTGACTGAGAGGGTGCACGGCAGTTTTCTAATTACCCAGCTGGGTCGGATCTCACACGTTAGACCGAACGACATATCCTACTGGCCGAGCATCGCGGGTCGTTGTTCCGGCTTTTCTCAAAGCCTATCTACTTCCCCTTCAAGCCAACAGTGCCAACAGCACGGTAAGGAACTTATTGATCGGATGACCTCCAAGGACTAGCTATCGTATTCTAAGGTCGCAGCGATGGGGGAAGAAGGACGCTCGTGTCGCGCGCGGCTGTAACGACGTTGTGCGGGCTTTCCAAGTCAATATCACCGACTAAGGCAGCACTAACTTAGAGCTTGAACCCTACCGCTCTAATGGGGAACATACAGGAACTGGAATCGATTAGTAACTCCACCGCCCGGAAACTTTTCGAGGATGTCCCCTTAGCGCTTCCATGCACCTACGTGTGTGGCCACCGGATTCTACTCCATGGCGATCACTCAAAGACGACACGGAAAGCTGCAGCATCTATACCAAGGAAGCGGTATCTTCTGCCAGCATTCTCCCTGGACAAGGTGCAGACCCACGTGGGGATCAGGCGAGGCGGTACAACGCTGCAACGCCACACACGGCTCTAGTCCTGGCCTTCGTGACGCCCAAAACATACGACTTCGCTTGCCCCAGCACATATGGACTTTTTTTCATACTACCAACCACGGCCATATCGGATTTCAGCTCGGGTGTCAGGCCATATATCGGTGTGGGTGGGTCTCCCAGATCTCATCGTCAAACCCACGTTTCGGAAAAGCAAAATGATAATCACCGCGTTTCTAGTGGAGCCTTACCTAGACATCCGAATGGGGATCAACCGCCCTGGATCGCCATCAACCGCCGAGAACTCGGCATATCAGCCCTTCTCCAGACCGTATCGCGGCATGCCGTCTGCGCTTGCCATTCCCGAGAATGGGCCGCATCTTCAACCCCCCGATCCAACATCATACGATATCTAGAAGAAGTAGTTTCTCTTAGTCTCGGTGATCCCGTCTTGCACGGACTCTATCAGCATGCCTTGAAGGTAACCAGAAGGACCATTCCAAACGAGGAGCTACCCTCCTTATTGCTGTCGTCAACCGCAGCATCCTCAATATTCAGCTCGAACCATCTGGACTTACGATGCTATGGAGATGGCAACCGCCCTAACGCCACGTCCGTCTACCTTCCACAGCGCCACGAAAAAAGCCTTAGAACCTGTGTCCACGAGCTATCGGATTCGGCCGTTCCCGCACCGTAGCTCAACAACCTGCAGAATCGGATATAGGGCCCCAGAAGATTGGGCGGTTATACAGACCGAGAAGCGACTAACAATTGCTTTCTACTTAACCAATCTTATCTGAATTTCAGCATGACGGTATCGCGATTGTTGTCACCTTCTCTCCTAATACAGGGCGGCTCTGGTCCAGAGTGGCTGAGTTTCTAACGAGCCTTCGCAGGGTCACCTCCTTGACGCCGTAGACCCAGTCTATAGCGCCAAAACGTCTGAACTGACATTTTCCCCTGCCCAGTAATCAATAACACTCAACCCCTTCAAATAGCTGTCTTCTAACTCTGGACTCCTTAGCACTGCACATCGCAATGACCATATATATGGTAGCACGAGGCCCCTCAAACGGTACTAGTAGGTTCTGGGACAAAGTGACATCGCATATGTTAAGTAGCAGCTTGTTCTACAAGAGGCTTCACAAGCCACCCGCTTGCCACATACTACCTTGCGCCAACTACCCTTTTCAACAGGGAACCTGCATACGGCACGTGGAGGATCGCCACCTGTGGACCTATACAGCTCTGTATGCGAGAGCAACGCCAACGTCCCACAAACAAGCCAATCCCCACGACACCAGCTTGCACAAGTGAAAGCCACGTGCCACACCTCGAGGTCCGGCCCCAGGAGTCCCAACAGCACATTGGCAGATACTTCGAACGAAATGCGAGGCATAGCATGTATGATTACTGACTGACCGACTGGTCCGGTCTGCTCTATTCTCGCACTAAACAAGTGAAAATCCCTATCAGAACTGAAGCATTAGAAGTACTTGTACATGCAGAATGCTCCCCGCTGACACCCGTATAAAAACTAAGATTTTGATACATAATCAAGCGCCATGTCTGCTAGCTCAGCTCCTGAACAATATTTGGCCCCAGTCTCTAACCTCAAGGGAAACGCGCGAATTCCAAATCTTCAAGCCACATCACAGCCCACTACCTTACACCCGCAGCAGTTTTGCAGCGTACGAAGTTATGAGGTCCTCTTGCGGGAACGCCATCTCCTCCAGCTTCTGCGCGTACGGCGTCGGTACCTCCGCACCAGTAATACGGGCCGGAGGCGCATCCAGGTAGTCGAAGGCGTATTCGCAGGTAAGAGCCATGATCTCAGCGCCAACGCCGAAGGACGGGAAGCCAGATTCCACACAGAGCATGTGACCAGTCTTCTTAACCGAGTTGACGATGGCTTCGACGTCGAGCGGTTTTATTGAGCGGAGGTTGAGGACTTCGGCTTCGACGCCATATTGCTTCTTCAGGTTTTCTGCGGCGACGAGGGACTGGCCGACACAACGGGAGAGAGTAACGATGGTGAGGTCCTTTCCGGGGCGCTCGATCTTGGCTTTGCCGAACTGGGGCTGTTAGCTATCTTCTGTCATGGCTCTGAAGCGTGGGTTGCCTACAGGAATGACAAAGTCGTCCTTCTGCGCAGCGTCACTCATGGGGAAAGTTAGCCCGTACAGAAGCCTGGTACTCGGTTAGCGAAATGTAACAAGATGTAGACTAGGTACGTACTCGTTCTCAAGGACAACGACCGGGTTGGGATCGCGGATAGCCGCCTTCAACAGACCCTTTGCGTCTTCTGCGCTGTATGGGGCGACCACTTTCAAACCCGGAATGCTGCCATACCACGCTGTGTAGTCCTGAGAATGTTGCGCAGCGACACCGGCGGCGAAACCGTTCGGTCCTCGGAACGTGATGTTGCAGGGCTGGATACCGCCGGACATGTAGTGTGTCTTTGCGGCGGAGTTGATGATCTGATCAATGGCCTGCATTGCGAAGTTGAAGGTCATGAACTCGCACTGTATCCCTGTCAGACGGTGCCCGACACCGCTGAATGCTCAGCTCCACTTACGACAGGGTGGAGTCCAGTCAGAGCAGCGCCCACGCAGAGACCAGCGAAACCGGACTCGGTAATGGGACTGTCAATTACTCTCCTCTCTCCGAAGCGGTCGAGGAGGCCTTTTGTGACTTTATACCTGTGGATCTCGTAAGCAAGGTGCTCGCCATGATATACCGGCAGTGTTCTCGAAGCAACATGTGCAACTCCAATGGCTTCAGTAGCCGCTTCGTGAGCTGCAATATTTCCGGAATAATCCAATTGAGCAGTTGGAAAGCAACGTACGCTCCGTTGTATTGTGCAACCTCCTCTCCCAGCACGAAGACCTTGTCGTTCGCCTCCATCTCCTCGGCCATCGCCTCATTCAGCGCCTCTCGCACCGTCATCTCCTTTCCGCCAGACGACGCATATCCTCTCCTCGCAATTGACGGGATCGCAGCTGTTGCGCGAAACGCAGGTCGGAAAGCTGGGGCTGGCCGCGAAGCTGACAGCAGGCGCGAGGTAGGTCGGAAAAGCCTAGAGGCAGCCATTGCTGTGAAGTTTGGAGGATGGAGGTCGAGGAGAGGTCAGGCCGCGGGCGAGAGATGGCCGGTTGGGAGTGGATGTTGTTGACGGTCTTCGAAACTTTCTTCGGAGGTCGGCTCGGGGTTCCAGTGCTTCTGTTGAGCCCGACTGAATTTGGGTGGTCCTAGCTCTCAGCCTTGGCGCGTTGAAAAGCCGCCGATAGCCCAACATCAAAGGCCGACCAAACGGTTGATAGTGAGCGAATATTTGTGTGCCACTAGATCTCTAGCGCGCGGATCAGATTGCTCACACGAAACGGTATTTGGATAGAGCATATCAATCGTTTCAAGGGCTTTCCTCTCTTGGTTGCTAGTTGCTCCCTTCGGCGGGAGAATCTAAGTAGGTATTCTCCTACCTCTCTCTATGCTCGCCATAAGTCGCATTAACATTACTTAGCCTTA